TAGCGTAAAAGGAAAAATGATAAAAAGACATCTTCTTCCATGTGGATTCCGAGCAAAAAAAGTTGTGCTTATTTGAAAGAGCATGATATAATTAGTACAATCCTCGAAGGATTTTTTCTGAAAGCTTCTCAAACATTTAAGAGACGTTTTTTGCAAAAAGGCAAATAGGGTCGGACAACAAAAAAGGGTGTAATTTTAGAATCGGCTCAAATTTTTTTTATTGATACATGGATGGATGGTGAACATTTTCCACCATATTTTTTTCCATAAAATCGATGCACCAATTTGGTGGGGGGTGATGAATGCGAAAAAGGGCATTTTTTCAAAAAATCAGAACTCAGCTCAAACTTCATATTTTTTGATGATCAAAAAAGGATTTTGTAGCTCTTGAGACGCTCTTTACTCCTGAATTTACTAGAATTGCCGAAAGTCCACAAATTAATTTTCAAAATCGATAGAAAAATTTTGACGCTAATTTTCCCCCCTTAAACGCCATTTCCGCAATTTCTAACTCGATCCATTAGATCCGCCTTGCAATTTTACGTCGGATTAGTCGAAAAAAACGGAAAAAAAGGGGGCCCTCAAAAAAGTTCTATTCCAGCTTCTGCTTTCCATTCTGACGCGCGCAACACACATGTGTGTATTTTGTGTGCGCATGCTCCCACATATATGTGTGTTGTGTGTTAGAAGCTTGAAATATACAAGGGTACTGTAGTGTGTGTAGTTTTTTTTTGTATTTTCATTGTAGATTTAGCATCTGGGGAGGTAAGAAAAACCCCGGAGGATTTTTACATGCAAAAATGTTTTTTCTGGGGGTGGACCTCTTTTGAGAACTTTTTTGGTTCTGAACTTTGAAAAATTGTAACTTTACTTATAGTGGACGAAAAAAATCGAACATAAAAGCTAAACAAAGCTTACATTTCGCTCTATGAACTCAGCTCATGGACAGTTCTATGGACTGGAAAAATTGTTGTAACAAACTAATTTTTTTGACGTACAAAATTCGAAATTATCAAAAAAAAGAAGGAAAATTCGAAATATTTTTAGAGAAAGTGTCAAGTGTTCTATTGTCTAGATTCGAAATTACGTATATATATTTCCGTATTGTATTGAAAATGTTAAAATCTATAGGTATCCGGGTTCCCAGAAGTTCTGAACATCGATTTTATGCTTTTGTCTTGCAAAAACAAACAGAAATAGTGTTTTCTGCAGGCTGCAATTTTAAGTAAAGTTAAAAACGTGAAAAAAGTTCACTGGATCGATTCCTCACAACATGAAAAATATTATCTAAAAAATATAATTTTTGGGAGAAGTTTCAGGGAATCAAAAATGAAGTGTACGCGCTCTCTATCAGCACCAGAAGAGCTGCTCTGTCTAGCAAAGTTGCCTGAAGAACTTTCACTTGGTACGCGTACCGTACGTACGGCGTCTTGATAGTTTTTATGTCAAGTTGTTGCGCCTGCAAAGACCGCCAGGCAAGATATGGCGCTTAGATAGAGTCATTCTAACAAGGATTCGCGTCTTGATCTCGAAAATCTCTAGGTACTGCTCCTAGTAAGCAGCTCTGACAAGAAGCCACGTCTAAAGAGCAAGTTTGATAAAGAAAAAAATGTGGCAAGGAGTTACGCTTGGAAAATAGGATCCTTGTCAGACTTGCTCTCTAACGGCATGTCAAAGAGCAATCGCTGAGAGTGAAAGAAACAAAAAGATATTGGAATCCCGCGTTATCTACAGCGAGTAAAAATTGCTGGTCTAGAACTTGTCAAATAGCATTCAGCTTAATTTTTGAAAATACATTCTTGAACTTTCAGTGTACCAAGAGAGTAAAAGGCCTCAACTTATTTCGGAAAAAAAATATGTGCAGAAACAGGGATTTCAAAAATTATGGATTTTTTATTTTTTTTTTCAACTGATTCTGAGTCTACTTCACTCTCACCGATTTTCAATTTTCGAAGGCCTGACATGTAGTGCTCTAGGAGCGAGGTTAAATAGGTTCTCTAGGAACGGCTGCTAGCTTTTTCTTGTGCGAATAGTTGAGAGCGTTATAGTTTTCGACATTTTCAAAGTGTTTCGTTAGTACAACAAATATGTCTTCAAATGTCTGAGGTCAAAAAAATTAGTTTGTTACAACAATTTTTCCAGTCCATAGAACTGTCCATGAGCTGAGTTCATAGAGCGAAATGTAAGCTTTGTTTAGCTTTTATGTTCGATTTTTTTCGTCCACTATAAGTAAAGTTACAATTTTTCAAAGTTCAGAACCAAAAAAGTTCTCAAAAGAGGTCCACCCCCAGAAAAAACATTTTTGCATGTAAAAATCCTCCGGGGTTTTTCTTACCTCCCCAGATGCTAAATCTACAATGAAAATACAAAAAAACTACACACACTACAGTACCCTTGTATATTTCAAGCTTCTAACACACAACACACATATATGTGGGAGCATGCGCACACAAAATACACACATGTGTGTTGCGCGCGTCAGAATGGAAAGCAGAAGCTGGAATAGAACTTTTTTGAGGGCCCCCTTTTTTTCCGTTTTTTTCGACTAATCCGACGTAAAATTGCAAGGCGGATCTAATGGATCGAGTTAGAAATTGCGGAAATGGCGTTTAAGGGGGGAAAATTAGCGTCAAAATTTTTCTATCGATTTTGAAAATTAATTTGTGGACTTTCGGCAATTCTAGTAAATTCAGGAGTAAAGAGCGTCTCAAGAGCTACAAAATCCTTTTTTGATCATCAAAAAATATGAAGTTTGAGCTGAGTTCTGATTTTTTGAAAAAATGCCCTTTTTCGCATTCATCACCCCCCACCAAATTGGTGCATCGATTTTATGGAAAAAAATATGGTGGAAAATGTTCACCATCCATCCATGTATCAATAAAAAAAATTTGAGCCGATTCTAAAATTACACCCTTTTTTGTTGTCCGAGCTCCTTCATTAAAATTCACCTTTTTGCAAAAAACGTCTCTTAATCCAAGCTACAGTACTTATGGACATTTAAGCCATTTTACACGGTGTTTCACGGATTTTTTGAAATTTAGAGTTTTTTAATTAATGTTTGAGAAGCTTCCAGAAAAAATCCTTCGAGTATTTTACTAATAAGAACATGCTCTTTCAAATCAACACAACTGAATATCATTTCAAGCTTTTGAAAAATCAAGTTTTTGAAAACCCCTCTTTTTTTCCTAAACCCCTCTTTTTCCGTTCACACTGTGTTTTTTTCCAATAGAAAAATGCAATTTCGAGGAGACGCAGACACTCGCTGGTCTCGCCACGCTTCGGCGAGAGATTTGTCTGCACACGTTAAAGTCTGCGTCTCCCTCGAATTGCAAAAAAAAATACAGTGTTCAGAGCCCTTAATTTTTGCTCGGACTCCACCTTCAGAAGCAACTTCATCTCTTCCCCTACTCCTAATTTCAGAAAGAGTCCTTTGAGATAAATCCTTTATCCGATATTTTGCCTCTTCCAGACTTCCCACCCCGACCTCTTTCAGTTTCGACTTTTCTTTTCGTTTGGCGCCGAACCGGCTCTTGATCAGCTAGCCTAAACCTAAACCGAAACTCACGATAGAATACGATTCAGTTCGCCTTCTTCACTTAATTGGAAACTGCTTTCATCTGAAGTTTCAAATAACTAATGAAAATACAGTAGTTCAACTCACTTTGTTTTCTATTAATTTAGCCAACCGATTAGGAAGAAGCTATTATCGAGAAATGCCCAAAAAATGGTCCCTATGATTTCGAAAATAGAAAAATCAGATAAGAAACGTGTCCTTTAATTTTTTGTGGAATAAAAACGTGCTCATTCTTTTTTCCATGAAAAAAGTTTTGAATTTTCACGTGAAAACTCGCGCACTTTTTGAAAAACAAAATATTAGCGCATCGATGGAAAAGAATTTGGGATTTAATGGTGAAAGTATCATGAAAAACGGCCTTCTGGGAGTTGAGAAAAGTCGAGCGACACATTTTGAAACCCAAAAATACATTGAAAATTTTGGATTTTTTCAAACTTTGCATTTTTTCGCGCACTTATCGAAAGAGTAGAAAATGATACCTGGCTTCCCCACCAAGTAGAAGTAATTTCCTAACTTCTAGTTCAGGAATTTTCAATTTTCATGCTCTGGGAATGAAATGCGGGCTCTGGACACACATTTTTTATTTTTGTAAGATAGAGAGGGCGCAGAGAAAGATTGAAGGCAGAGAAAGAAGAAAGCATACCTTGATAAAAATCAATAAAACTTGTTGACCACTACACGTTTACAAGAATGCAATTTCGCAATTTTACCCATTTGCAAACATACCATAATACAACCTTTTTTTCTGCCTTGGCAAAAAATCAGCCATCCAACGTTCCGAATTTTTCCAACACGATTCCACGTGGAAGCAAAAACAAAATACAGTAAACCTCTTCCGTTTTTTTTTGATCTTGAACAAAAAGTCTAAAATCCTCATTGTCAATCAAATTTTTTTCAACCGGATATGAATTGAATACCGTTTTCATTCAGAGCAATTTCCAAATTCAGAAACACTGATTTTTGAAAACTGTCATCATCGAGGCTTCAAGGCAAATATCACTGATTTTTACATGAATTGGTAGCGATCAAAAATGATAAATTATTCGTGAAGATCACAGTTATACTACTCAACTAGCTTCCTATTAACAGTTTAATTGTTTCAATAATATTTTCGAAACAAAAAGTAACAGAAAATTGTTGAATTTTGGGTAAATGAAAAAATGTTGTATTATTGCATTATTTTTTTCCAGCCTACGCCAGCTACTGGATGTTTGTGTTCCACATATTGTGCACATTCTACAAAAGAGGATGAGTATGAGGATTCTCAGTTGTGAATTTATGGTAGCTGTTCGATGTGTCGTACTAATTTGATCCGCATTTGGACAATCGTCAGATGTGCATTTAGTTGTTGTATCCACCACAATGTTCCTGCAAATGCCGTCTCAGGAATCCTGTTTTTGGTTAGCAATCTGATGGATTTGAGATAATGTATCCTTTGCTGAGGAGTACAATTCATATATTGGAACACAAGTCGCGCTTGTTGAATTGGTTCTCAAGAATTATTATTGATGATTTTCCCGAACTTCAGAATAATGTCGTGGTGAAATGGATGGTGCACATTATGAAGATTTGTCGCTCTCGCTTTATGAAATTTGCTTCTAATCACTTGTCTTTGTATCCAAACCAGAAGCTATGTGTTCTTCCCATCATGCTCGAGGTGAACATCATTGTACCCGGATTTGGTTTCAGATTGAAAACGCCTCTGAACAGTTATCATTGTATCAGTCGGAAGGAGAAAACAATGTATTCCACATTGCAAAATGACCCAAGAATGCCAGTATCATCGATGGTATCACATTCGGAAAACGAAACGAAGTCGCGGTATCTGGAGGTGTTGGATTTATCACTCATAAGTCCATGACTCCCAAAATAAAAGAAGTCAAATTCATTAGCCACCGAATCGTAACCCTTACTTTTGATGTTTCCAGTAGATTCAACTGCACAGTCATCTAAGTCTATGCACCAATTGGAACATCAGACGCCGAGGAAATTGCTGAATTTTACGAAAGCGTTGAAGATGTCATGCGCCAATGCAAATCGAAATTTAAGATTGTAATGGGCGACTTCAACGCTCCAATCGGATGCCGAGAAAACTCATCTGAAATATACATTGGCACACATTAAATGTAGCTAAGAAATGAACCAAGTTTTTGCGAGAATAATCGTTATTTCAACACCGACAGCTTCTTCGAAAAACCAACGAATCGACGATGGACCTTCATATTCCAAGATGGTCAACACAAACACGAACTGGATCACATACTCTCCAATGGTCGTTTTTTCACCGACACTAACGTTGTTCCATCGTTCACAATTTGAAGTGACCATAAGCTGGTCCGAACAAACCTACACTTCAGCTTGAATTTTGTAAAACATCAAGAATTCACGACAACCGAGGAAAATGATCGACGAGTCCATGATTGCCACCAACTGCGACCTCACGCAAACTCCACCACAAGATCAGGATGTGAACGCAGCAATGGCAAGAAAAAGTATGAAAAGAGTTGCCAGAAACCTTATATTCACAATTCCATGCTTGAAATCTTCTTCAACTGGAACTCGGAAGGGAAAAAATCGAAAAAGAAACCCACCAGTTTTACTCAAAGCTTTTCAAAAGCACCGATGCTCCACAAAATTCCAGTAACAGAAGATTGAGAAGAACTGAAAATCCACCACCGTTTCTACCGAGTGAAATTCAAGCAGCTCTGAGACCATTCCCAAATGGAAAAGCCGCTGGCAAAGACAAAATCACCTCCGATCTTCTCAAAAAATTCACGGATAAAGTAATCTTGATCATCACACACTTCTTCAACTTGATAATGGAGAAAGAAGTGATACCAAAGGCTTGAAGATGTCGATGAATATATTTATCTTGGTCGACAATTGAATCCACAAAACGAACTATTGGTTTGAATTTTGATCGAAATTTTCAGGCTTTGTTATATTTCAAGATAAAGCTGATTATATTTCCTAAAATTATCTGACACTGAAAAACTTACGAATTTCGAAGATGCTCCATTTGCAACATATATTTAAAAGGTGAGTTTGAAATTAACCTCTTATTGTTAGGGTAATTTAAAGTAATTTAAAGGTTTCTTGAAGTTTGAAGCTTAAGGTAATTTATAAATTAAGGTAACTTTCAGGAAAAATTCTCAAGTTAATTTTGGCGCCAAATTTTAATTTTCAAAATTTGGATTTTTTTTTTTGAAAATTTTGAAATCATAAAATCTGGCTTTAAAACTTTCAAAATCCACGTGGCAAAACCTTTGGCAAGTTTTTCCGTGGCTAGAATTTTTTACAATTTCAGTTCCTATTACATAAACTACAGAATCCACGTGGCAAAAGTTTGGCTCAAAAGCCATTTTTCCAGAAACTTAGTCACGCCTAAGATTTTCAAAATCCACGTGGCAACGAAAATTCCAAAAACAAAATCCTGTGGATCAGAAAATACTACAGTGTTTCCCGCCTTTCCAAAGATCTTCACCAAGTTTTTCTGCAAAAACAAATCAAATCAAATTCGCCGAAAAAACAAGTCAGCTCCTTGATCTTTTCTCACGCTGATTATTTCGTGACATTTGGCCGTCAATGGAAAAAGTTCGGCCCCGTGTTCGCTAGAGCGCACATTCATTTTTTCAACACGGCATTTTATGTTTTTTTCTAAATATCGCAATTTAACACCCTAAACGACGCCAAATGTAGATAATATTGATGGAAATAGGAAAATAAACCCAAATACTCTAATTTGCAAAGTTGAAATTTTCAAAAACCTTGTAGAATGAGAAGTTTTACTTAGGGCTTAATAAGTACATGGTTTCGCTGACTTAAAGCTCATTCTTAGTCATGAAAGAATCGAAATTTAATTCTCTACGTTTCCATCGTTCGTTTTTTCGGTGAAACGGCCTGAGAGCTGAGAAAATTGTGTGTTTCAAAAAAATTCTGAACAAAAAAAACGAAAAAAAAATTTAGAAAAAAAGTGGGCGGAGCCTGGCCGTCTAGCTGCCCGGTTTGGTTTCCTCGGCCAAAAGTGACGAAATAATCAGATTGTCTATTTTTGCTAATCATCGGAAATGTCAAAAAGAGAGATGACAATTGTAAAAAGAGACGCAGAGAAGACGAGAGAAAAGTTCGGCGAATTGAGAGATTAGAGATTTGACAGTTTAGAAGAGACGCAGAGAAATAGGAGAGAGATGAAAATTCGTTCAATTCAAATTAGAAGGAAGATCTATTTAGATATTGTCTGACAATTTAGCCGCGAAAAAATAAAAGTTATTTAGTTCTTGGCTCTCATTTCCTGTCTTTTAAAGTTGTATAGACATGATATCTTTTTTTCTCTGGACTCTCTTATTCTCTCACAATCTTTGATTTCACTTTTAAAAATGTTGATGAAACTGTTTTTTGATCAAGCAATGTATTGAGATCTTTTGTGATTTTATTTAAGTTAAAAATTGTTTGGGATCAAGTTTCTCTGATCTCACAACGAGAAACAATTATTTAAAATATTCAGCTACAGAAATTCAAAAAAAAGTGAGCGGAGTTTTTCATATCCCTTTTTCGTCTCGTGTCTCCTCTCCACACGCACTCTCTCGTTTTCTCTCTCTTTTTGCTATTTCTCTAGACCCTCTCATTTTCCCATGATCTCTCACCGATTTTTAGACAATAAAAAATGGAGATCAAAAAAGCAAAATCACAAGAATGTTTGGTTTGTCGAAAATCATCAAATGGAATGCATTTTGGAGCAATTTCTTGTCGAGCATGCGCCGCTTTTTTCGGTGAGCTCTGGAAACCCAAAAAAAAGCATTTATGTTAGCCTAACTCCATTTTCAGACGAGCTACAGTATTGAACATTCAATATGAATGCAAAAAAGGAGAAATGAATTGTAATATTGATGGAAGAGGAAGATTTGTATGTAGATTTTGTCGATTTTTGAAATGTCAACAAATTGGAATGAAACCTGATAGTTAGTTTAGTTTTTAAAAAATCACCAGAATTCTGAAAAAAATCATGTTTTTCACTTCAGAAGTTCAATTAGATTATGATCCAACATATTCAATAAAAGGATTATTAAATGATGATTCTGGAAGTGATGATTCAGCTACAAATTCTCCAAGTTGTTCGAAATCCGAAGAAGAAATTGAAGATCATAAGGATTTTTTGTTCAATTTTTCACCGAAACCTTCAGACAAACCAATTGCAAAAATTGATTTTTCGGATTTGACACAGAAAATTGAATATCTTTTTGAATGCAAAACAGAAGCTTCTGAAAAATATGAGCTGGAAATATTATCGAATTCACTTTCAGAACCTTCTGAAAATCAATTTCAAGAGATCCATCAGATGGAAATATTTGAAATGATAAATCTATTAAAAAATGAGATAATTTGGAAATGGGCAAAATGGATGAATTCGAGTCAATTATTGAGGACAATTGAGAAACAACAAAAAATGCAAGTTTTTCGAAATTCTTGGAATATTCTACATATTTTTGAGAGGTTGTATAGAACTTCGAAGAATTTTTTGAGTGGGCAAATTCTGATTTCTGATGATTTGCTGTGGATTTGTGGGAAGAGTTATTATAATATTTCAAGTATTTCTGAAATTTCTAATCAATATTTTGCAAGGTAAGTTAACCATTAAACACATACACCGTGACGCACAATTACACACAGAAAACATTTGCCAGCTACAGTAGTCGAATATAAATTATGTTTGCATGAATATCCCACAAGCCTCTAATTAATTTTCTAAAATTTTGATCTACAGTAATCTGGGGGTCCTAAAATCATGAATTCAAATTTCCCGTCCCGCCAAAATTGACCGCGGGAACAAGAAAAAGTTTTTTTTGGGGATTTTGAATTTTCTGGGTCAAACAATTGTGAAAATCATTTTTCACATGAAATTTCAAATTTTGACACAAAAAAATGAGAAATTCTAATTTTTGGGAAATCCGCTCCAACTGGGAAAATGTCTTCAATTGTCCTAATTAATAAAAAATATATTTTTTTATAGATTATTCGATCCATATCTTCAAAGATTCATTGATGTAATTGGAAAGCAATTATCCGAAATGCAATTAACAAATCAAGAATTAATATTTTGCCTAATTCAATTAATTGGATATGATACAACAGATTTAACACAAAAAACTATTGAAATTATCGAAAATTTGAAGCATCAAATTGCTGATCAAATGCATAATTATTACTCAAATTATCCTGATTTGACTAATTATTCATATCGATTAATTAAATTGATGAATATTGTGAAAAGCATGAAGGTAAAATCATTTTGAATTTTTTGAATTCTCAAAAAATTCAAAAATTTGCAGAAAATTGCCATCGAGAAGAATAAAGTCAAAGAGTTATTCTACATTTTCGACATTTTTCATGCCGATATTTCTGATCCCTATTTTTTCGAAATTTTTTGATTTTCGGGGATTTTTGTGCCGAGTTTTAGAAATAAATTATTTGATTTTTTACTTAAAGTTATGAAATCTTCAGGATTACTGTAGGGATTACTGTAGACTCACATCATTTATTTGTTTTTAGTCATAATATAGTTTTTCCTCCACAAGACTTTGACATTTTCATTTCTCTAACAGTCTCTCTTTTCTCCACACTCTCTCGTTCTCTATACAAACAAACATTGCTCATGGGAGAAAAAACACATCTTTCCGTTTCTTTTTTTCAAGAAGTCATGTAGTTTAGCTAACTTCTTCTAATAATGTTTAGGAAGAGAAAACATTGCTCATATTAAACTTTGGAGGGATTTTGATTTTGCCACGTCATAATTCAGATTTTCTATGAAAATTATATAATTTGTTATTCCAGGTGTACTGTATTTTTTTTCTGGAGGTTACGGTATCTAAGTTTAGTTTCATTTTGAAGCTCTCGAAATTCTCTACAAAATCAGCTACAGTACTCTAGGGATACTGTAGAATACAAGCTTCCAAACCTATAAGTGTTTAGTCTCATTTTGAAGCCCTAAAAATTTCCTACAAAATGAGCTACAGTACTTCAGGGCTACTGTAAAAATTCTAATTGATTCCATGAAAATTATAATACAGTTCTGTGTTTCAGAAAAGTGGGCGGAGCTTGAGTTTGTCTGTGTTTCTCTAAATCTCTCAATTTCCCTCAATCCCTCACTTGTCCCTTTAAATTGATGATTCATTCAAAATTTCCTATAAAATGTGTCATTTTGTTGAATTTTATCAGTTTTTGTTTTGGTTTTTCTAAAAAAAATTTTCAAATTGTGATTTTTTTCCAGAAAAATGAACCTCATTCATGACATTGTTGGGACCTTTGTGTGTTTGGTGATTATGTTCACATATTTTGGATTTGCTGGAAATCGTGCTGAAATTGAATTCGAGAAAGTTTGCGAGATGGATGTGAGTTTGACGGGGGAAATTTTAAAATTTTAATTTTTAATTTAAATTTTGCAGCACATGATTTGCAGTCCATTTTTTAAAGCCGGAGTCAAAACGCATTGCCAAATCTCATGCGCAACTTCAGATTCAACTTCAACTTCAGCACCAAATCGCCAAGAATTCTCCAAATTCATGTTCAAACTTCTGGTTTTCACTTTCTTCTTCCTCAATTGGTTCAACATGGTCAGAAAATTGTGCAAAAAATACATTTTTGCTCCCAAAAAAGTCGCCCCAGCTACTGAAATTCATGTGATTCGTGCATTTTGAATTTTTTTCCCCGCATTTTTAATTTTTGTCCAGCCCATTGCTCATGTTAATTATCCCCGTATTTTCCCATTTTCCAGTTTCAAACGTGTTTTTTGTGGTCCGTAAAGTTTTGACCATTGCTCATATTATTTATCCCCCCGCAAACGTATTTTCCCTGTTTTTGAATAAATTTTTTTGTAATTTCAAAAAATGATGACATTTCTGCCACGTCCTAAATAAATCTACAGTATTCAATTCGGGAAATTCTACAGTACCCTAACATACTGTACCTCATTTTGTAAAGAATTCCGAGAGCTTGTTTCAAAATTTTTCTGAAAGAAAAAGTAAGCGGAGCTTGACAATAAGTTTTCTTTTTCATCACCAAAAATCGGGTAAAAATCTACAGTAACCCTGAAGTACGGTACCTCATTTTGTAGAGAATTTCAAGAGCTTCAAAACGAGATCCAGATTTAGTATGCTTTGCCTGAAATTTTCAGCAGGAAAACTGGTTTTCTGAAAGTGGGCGGAGCTTGCGGAAAATTGTTGACCAATCAAAAATTTTTTAATTTTTTTTTTCGAAGCAAGAAAAAAACGACAAAAAATCAAAACTTTACAACATTTTTGATGGGAATTTTGAGAAAAAAATCTGGCAAAATTACTAATTGACATTTTAAAGGAGGAGAGGGAATTTGTGTTATTATGAGCAATGTTGAAGCTAAACAAAGTTTAAGATGAGCAATTTCAGAATTTCAGAAAATCGTGAACCAGAATCTTGCATCTTGAATCGATTGGATGAAAAACAAAGCCGCAAATCGCCAAATAGCCAAAATATAACACATCTGGAGCATTTCCACTTCAGTTGGCCAACTCTGAAATTTTCCCGCCAAATTTTTCAGATCAAAAATGTTTTCCCCGACCACAAAACTATACCATTAAATAACCAGGCTCCTGTTCTCCCTCAAATATCAAATTGTACATTCGCAAAAGCATCAGAGAAATCTGAATTCGACATAAATGTTGTAGAAGCCACATGTCTGCAATAATTCAGATCGGGAGAAAAACTGATTTACAAGAAAGAAGGAATGGCTGTTAATATGAGTCATGAAACAAATGGTGAGAGAGAGAGGGAGGTTTAGAAGGTTAGAGAAAAAAGACCTTCAGTCTTCGAAAAAAAATAATATTTTTCAAGCAGCGCTCCTTTCAACAAAATTTGACTCTGCGAAATAAAGAGCGGCGTGGCCAAGTGGATAGCACTTTTGCCTTTCAATCTCGCATCGCAAGTTCAATTCTCCCTGCCTGCTCAACATTTTATTTTTTATTAATTTCATCACGTGGATTTTCGAAGAGAAAATTACTCTTTCTCAAGTGGGCGTGGCCTAGACGCAATTGCAAAAAACTCGCACACTAATAATTTATTTCCGAAAAAAATGAGCAATGACAAAAACACAACAATTCACTGGGAACATGGGAAATTAACATGAGCAATATTCAGTTTCTGAAACGGGCACGGATCTCGTAGAGAACAACGAGAACCACGCTGACCATACATGTGAGCACAAAATGGTAGGCGAATTGCACGAGAACAGGATCCTCCGAAAGTTTTTCGACTGCTGAACACCAATGGTGGCAGAATTTTGGAAATTGAGGTCCAAGATTTTTGCAGATTAGTTTCTGGAAAAAATGTGGCTTTTGGTAGATCAAAAACATTTTTACTTTTACAAGGAGCAGCGCCTTGAAATCGTGGTTATCAAGGAGCCGCGCCTTGAGAACGAGTTAGTCGAGCAGCTGCGCCTTGAGAACGTATCTATCAAGAAACCGCGCCTAGACAACAAGTAAGTCAAGGAGCCAATCCTTGAGAACGAGTTAGTCAAGCAGCTGCGCCTAGAGAACAAGCAAGTCAAGGAGTCACTCCTTGAGAACGAGTAAGTCAAGGAGCCACTCCTTGAGAACAAGTAAGCCAAGGAACCACTTCTTTAGAACAAGTGAGTCAAGGAGCCGCGCCTTGAGAACAAGTAAGTCAAGGAGCCATTCCTTGAGAATATGTCTGACAAGGAGCCACTCCTTGAGAACAAGAAAGTCAAAGAGCTGCCCCTTGAGAGCCTGTAGATCAAAAAATCACCCGAAAAACTCACAAAAGCCTCGAAAATCAATGAGAACTGAATGCCAGTCAAAAACAGGCTCGCAGGCCGGATGCCGTTCATTTTTTTTTCGAATCGAGAAACAGAAAATCTTATTCTGCAAAAAAAAATTGATTTTCTAAAGTAAGGGGAAACAAATGGAGAGAAAATGATGTGAGTCATGTTGGGAAACATGAACGAAAAAAATGAGGGAGAGAGAGAGAGAGAGGCGAGAGATTTAGAGAGACAGACTCCCATGTTCCGCCCCTATGTTTTCTTCAAAAGTTCGGATAACTTCAGAAGTACTGTAGACCATTCTCAGGGGATAGGGGATTTTTCTGTGTATTCTACAGTATTCCTGGGGTACTGTAGATCATCTTGAAGGATATTTCCAGAGCTCCACAATGAGACCAAACACTAATGATTTAGGATAATTAATTTTCTAGATTTTTGGATTTTTCTCCAATCAAATCCTTATTTTCACATGTTCACCCCTTATTCTTTTGATATTTTTCAAAAAACAAAAAAATATTGCGAAATTTCAGAGATTAATCAAATCTCCCAAATAACTTGTTGTTGTTCACACGAACATGTTTTTAGTCAACGTTGCTTAGGCTGCTCTCGCTCTCTAATTCTCTTCGTATTGCTCATGTTAATTCTAGCTATAAAATGGCCAGGTTTTTCTCACTAACTCATTTTTTTCATAAATAATATTATTTCTACATAGTTCTTGAATTTCAATATAAAACTTGTTTTCAGCACAAGAAAATGGCTAAAATTTCCTCAAACGTGTTTGGCGCTATCATCGCATTGGTGATTTCGATAACATTATATTTCGGTTACGACCTGGTGATGGATGAAATTCAAAGCTATCCAAGAGTTGGATGTAGAATTGAGGTTGATATAAATTCAGAATCACAAGATTCTCCAGAATTTTATTTTTTTTCAGAAGTTCATATGTCCCAACAATCTCATCCCAGGCGTCGAATTAAATTGCACTTTGGTCTGTGCCGAATCCAGACTTCTAACTCCTTTTCTGGCTGGTAGTTTGATCGCTTTGCTCTTTGGAATATGCATTCACAACTTGAAGCTGTTTTGAAAATACTTTACGAGACTCCACAATTTTTCTGGTCTATTTATTTTTGAAAAAATCCCATTTTACCCTGTTTTGATGTTTCGAAAATAAATATTTTGCGATTGTTGAACTTCTACTCTGCTTCAGGAAACTTCAGTGTTTGATCCCTTGACATCTATGCTCCAAGAAAATCTTGTAATGTAATATTTCAATTGTCAGTGTCGCCACGTCATAACTCATTCCGTCCAGATGTCTAAAGTTCCCGCCAAAAAAATGTGACATTTACAAGCTTCTCTCTTTATATTGTCACCCTGCCACTTTTCTCTACTAAAAAAAATAATAAAATTGCGTTTGAATTCCCGCCACACAGCTTTACCGTACCTCGGTTCGCCGCAAGACTCTGCTCGTCTAACTTTCTCTGGCAATTAGCCAACTTATTTTTATTTTTATTTTTCGAAATTGTTTGTTTTTCCTTTTTCCCATTTTCTATTCATTTTCTTCTTGTAAATCATTTTCCAGATGTGAATTGAGTTTTTTTGCAGGAGGTCATGAGTATTCTCAAAACTTTGTGTCACATTCTGTTTGTCATGTTGACTTGGAAAGTTCTTTATGCAGTTTTTGTGGTTGATCAGGGAATTGGAAATATTGGCGGGCGTTTTACGGTAAGTGGGGTTAGAAATTGCTAAGAAGGTCTTAAGGGTCCCCAGAAAATAAATAAAAACCTCAGCCTTTGAGAATTATTATAAGGCTAAGGTTCAGGCTTATTAGGCTTAAGCTTACAATTAGTTGAACACCAGAAAAATCCCTCGTTTCCCAGTTCAGAGCCCAAAATTCTATCAAATTTTTTTATTTCAGAAATGCCCAACCGAAAAAGACATGCTTCTAGCTGGATTTGTTTGCATTTCTAGGCGAGCTCTCCCGATTTTTCTCCGTCACGTGCTCACAAATCCAAAATTCTGCTTTTCGATTTTCTAAGCAGCTGGAATTGCTCATTGCTCATATTAAGTGTACTTTTTCTCCAATGATTTTCTCGAAGATTCCAATTGCTCATGTTATATATTGTTTTGTTTTACTCACCCCCAAAAATTTTCCCCTTGTTTTTTTTTTTGAAAATGTTTTTGTTTCGCCTTTTTCCTTTCATCCTTTTTTCTCTCAAAAGCAAAATAAAATTCTGTGATTGGTTGAAGGTTTTTCCAAGCTCCGCCCACTTTTTTCCGAAAGTGCAAATAAGAATGATGCAATTTTGCTACGTGGCCTTGAGAATACAAAGGATTTTTTTCGAAAATAAAATTTCAAATGGATTTTGCCACGTCATCAGAAATAAGAAAATTCTGGAAAATTTTATTTAAGTCAGAAGTGTTTGGTGTCATTTTGAACCCCTGGAAAATTTCTGCTAGATAATCTACAGTACTCCAGGACTACTGTAGAACCCACAATAAAATCAGCTGCTCAAAAATGATTAGTTGAAAAATTCCTTGCTCCGAATCCATTAGTGTTTGGTGTCATTTTGAAGCCCTAGAAAATCTCTGCTAGATGATCTACAGTAATCTAGGACTACTGTAGCTTCCGAGAAGTTATCCGAACTTCTCATTCGGAAAATCTTGAGAAAACTTGGATATTTCAGAAATTAAAACCAATTGCTCATGTTTAAAATGTTTGGATGTTTGATCTCGTAACATCTATGCTCCAAAAAAACTTCTAATGTTTTGATTTGCCCAGTCGCTTCAGCCTTTGATGTTTTTCTATCTAGAAATAATTATTTTTCCCAGCTCCGCCCACTTTTCAAAGAAAACATGATGAAATATTTCATATTTCAGGAACATGATCTTCAGTTTCGCCACGTCATAACTCCTCCCGCCGTCCAAATGTCTAAAGTTCCCCCCGAAAAAATGTATGTCCCTGTGACATTTACACAAGCTTCTTTCTTTATATTGTCCCCCTGCCCCTGTCCATTTTCTCTAACTCTCTAAACCTCTCTCTTTCCCTCACTCTCTATAACTCGCTTCTTTTTCCTATTCATGACTCATATTAACCACTATCTTCTTCTTCTTCTTATAAATCATTTTCCAGATGTGAATTGAGTCTTTTTTACAGGAGGCCATGAGTATTCTGGCTTAAGGTTCAGGCTCATTAGGTTCGGGCTTAAGATTAGGAATAGATTTAGGCCTAGGCTTACCAGGCTTAGGCTTAGAAATATGAGGCTTAGGTTTAGGCCTATTAGACTAAGGCTTAGGATTATCAGTAACCCTTTCCTCCCTGTTCAGAGCTTCAAAAATAATTTTTTTTTTCAGGAATCCCCAACTCAAAAAAAGATTTTTGAAATGGCATTTGGATTTCACTGAAAGCTCTCCCGATTTTTCTTTGTCACACGTTTAAAAATCCAAAATCCTGCATTCCGATTTTCTAAGCTGTTGGAATTGTTCATCTTAAACATCTCTTTAATTATTATTGCTCATATTAATGATTTTTTTTTTCGAAAATTCCAATTGCTCATGTTAAAAATGTTTGCCTTGTTCCCCAAATTTCCCCTTGTTTTTTTGAAAATGTTTTGTTCCTTTTTCCTTTGATCCTTTTTTCTCAAAAGCTGTGATTGGCTGAAGGTTATGCCAAGCTCCGCCCACTTTTTTTCCGAAAGGGCAAAAAAGAATAAAGTCAGAAGTGTTTGGTATGATTTTGAAGCCCCGGAAAATTTCTACTAGATGATCTACAGTACTCCAGGACTACTGTAGAATCCACAATAAAATCAGCTTCTCGAAAATGATAAGTTGAAAAATTCCTTGCTCCGAATCTAACAGTGTTTGGTGTCGTTTTGAAGCCCTAGAAAATCTCTGCTAGAGAATTTACAGTAATCTAGGAATACTGTAGCTTCCGAGAAGTTCTGTGGAAAAAAATTGGCGGAGCTTGATTTCTGTCTCTCTAAATCTCTCGCTCTCTCTCTTTTGTGTTCATTACTTATCCTAACTGAATTTTATATAAATAAACTTTTTTTTTTCAGAATTTGGAAAAAATGGCCAATCTCCGATCTGTCAGCCGTTTGTTAACAGTTCCTGTGATTTTTGGGATGTGCAAAATTTTGGTGAGTTTTTGGGCAAAAAAATTAAGGTAACTTTTCCGCTGTCAAATTCTGGACTGAAATTCTTTTGATCTACCAAAATTCATAAGCAAAACTCAATTTTTCTGGTCTCAAAATCCATTCTCAAATAATTTCCTTCCAGAAATCAAAATGCCAAGTTCCTGCATCTCCCGAATCCCCATTCTTCTGCAAACCCTATTTCTCATCAAAGGACCAAAACCTGGATTTCACATTTTTCTTCAAACTCGCGATTGTAGCTGCGGCTGCTTATTTGCTGATGGAAGTTATCGCATTTCTCATTGCGAAAATCTTGAGACAACTTGGTTTCTTCAGAAATTAAATCCCATTGCTCATGTTAAAAATGTTTTGATTTAATTTGTTTTTTTATTCCGAAAATAAATTATTAGTGATCGAAAAATGTGTGAACTTCTTACAGTAATCTAGGGGACCAGGATTACTGTAGAGCTATATTTTTCACAAAAAAGGTAAGCTACCTTCACATTTGCATATAAACCCAGAGAAATCTCCAAATCTTAGAAATTTGACCCGATAATTATCCAGCTGATGTAATTTTCGGCTAATTTGAGATCAGATCTACTTAATCGCCAGGTTTTAAAGGAGCATCACTGGAAAATATACCGTATTCGCATCATTTAATTTAAAGGAACATAATCTTGTTTTCATTCAAAGATACCGTAATTCCTCTAGATTTAAAGGTACACAGCTATTTAAAATTATGTTTATCTCTTTTTTTTGTTTATATATTCCCTCATTCCAAAAATTTCCCCCTAAAAAATGGGCGGCGCAGATGTTTTTCTCTCTGCGTCTCTCACTATTACTCATTTCTATCTAACTCCTGACATGTTCCTTCACAAAGAGTTTCTTTTTCTCACTTTTTCTTAGGCCCTTAGCTTTTATGTACAAATTTTAGAAAATGTTCTTGATCAAGTGGTTTTCCCGTGTTATTTCTTCGATTATGATGATGCTGGTTATGCTGGCGACTGTGAGTTTTTTTTTTGGGAGTTAGGGGAAGTTAGTTGTATAGTTTAAGGTCTGATTGGAAATTTTAGTGACTTATATTAAAGCCGGTTTGACAGCTTTTTCAATTTTTCTCGAAGCATAGTGGCAAAAATAGTTTTACATAAAAGAATCCAGAAAAAATTTCGAAATCGTGAGTAAATACTTTTGAAAATTTCAAATTGCCGCCACGTCCAACGGATTGATGTGTGCAATCACTGCGACGCACTTTTGCGTACAGGAAGATTTGGATTTCTATATTTTCACAATATTTCATCTCTATCTTTTGTTCGGTTCAAGCTTAAGTCTAACCGCTTTTAAATAGAGAAATTTGTGACCGAAAATTCTTTGACTGGCTTGTGATGTTCACAAAAAACATTTGATCTAACTTAACATTTGTCAAAAACCCCTTGTTAGCTAAAAAATCTATCCCGAATATTTCCAGCAATCATTCTGCGACACATATTCCAAAACTGGACCCGGCCTCCAATCCATCTGCCAAGCAATCACCCCAGAATACGGAAAAACACATTTGGATTTCATCCAAATGATCATCTTGTTTGCTGCTATTATTTGGATTCTCAAATTTGGTGATGCTGTTGCCAAGTTTGTTGAGAGATGTTTCGCGAAATTGGGATTTCATTGCACATATTGAAAAAATCTTTTTTTCCCATTGCTCATCTTAATCTTCAGTTGTTTTCAGTAATTTTAAAGGTGCCATTCGGTCCTAAATATTTTTTTTTGAAAATTCAAAATTTGCATTGCTCAGATTAATTTTGAATTCTTATTGCTCATGTTATTCATTTGTATTTGTAATAGTAATGTTAAAGGTCCCCTTTTTTTATAATTAAAAATTAATTGTTCCCAAAAAATGTTGTAATGTTTTTTTTTTGAAAAATAAAATATATTTGATTCGCAATTATTTTTCAAACTTTATATGTTTTTTGCTATGTTTAAAATCATAGAAGAATTATTTTTTCCTAACAAACTTTATAATTACAATTAAATTCCTTTTCAGAATTCCAAAACAAAATGGTCAGTCCAAAAATAATTGGATTAATTGTCCATCTTTTTGGAAGGTTCATTGCGAGTTTTACACTTTTTGTCATTTTTATGTGGATGGTGAGTTGCAGAGGGCCAGGGCCTGATTCCGGGCCGTTTTTCAAACCTCCAAAAATTCCAAATATTTTCCAGCAAGCTTTCTGCTACAAAAATCCTGACCCGCAGATGAAATCATTTTGTTCATTGATCAGTGGCCAAGCATCAGATATGGAATCTCTTTACCTGACTGGTTTTTGCGTTTTTTCAATCCACAAACTGATCGTTTGGTTCGTCGACAATACTTATAGACAATTGAGAATCTAACGTGTGAGATGTAATTGATTTGATTCATGTGTTATTGCTCATGTTAGCTTTCATTGTTTTGGGAAAAATAAAACCATTGTTAATCAAGATTTCCAGAATTTTTTCCTAAAAACGTCATGACTACAAGTAGTTTTTACAATTTTTCGAAATATTTATTTCCAACAAAATTCACCCAGAAATCAGAAAAAAATCCTAGCCCCATTTAGATTCTTGCTTCCTTCAAGAATTGCATCAATGATTTATTCGCAGGTTCTTTTTTTATTATTTACCACCAAGTTTTGAATTTCTCAATGTTTTCTCAAGAATCTGGCAGTTTTTAGCTGGTATGATTATGTTTTGTGGAATATTATGATTATTTTTGTTTAAATTTTGTTTAAAGTATTTATTTCATACTTTCTTTGTTTGAAGAATCAACAAACTTTTCAAAAATATAATTTTAAAGGTTTTTTTCCCAAAAAAAAACTCACTTTATCGAAAAAATCCGAAACCATTGATAGAAATCTTCACCACTATCGCATTTTTTCCCGACCTCGAAATGAAGAAATTCCATTTCTTGAAATACAATAGCTGATGTGGAATTGTCACGTTCACGCATTCCTTAAATTGAATAATCATCAATTTTTTCAGCGAATCATGAAAAATGTGCTTACCTGATAAAGAACAACTTTCAACAATCCTTCAAAATCAATAAAAACTCGATGCATATATTCACAAGCAATTCTGGCAATTCTCTTCCTCTTCTCAATCATCTCAAAATCCAACTCATTTTCATTGATTTGTTTTTGGTGTTGACTGAGAGACATGAATTTGGCATTTGACATCATCATTTTGAGGCGAAGATCTGAGCGAACAGCGACCGAAAAGAAATTGAGAGCTTTGATGAAACATTGAAAATGTTTGGGAGAATTGAGGATTCGACGATCGCATCGGAAAAGAAGAGCCGGGATTTTGTAGAGATCTTCAATTAGGATCGATTCATCAGAGGACAGCCATTTTAGAGCAGTGGTCTGGAAAATTAATGGGATTTTTAAGAGGTTAGTTTGGATTTATGAGGCTATTCAGATTAGTTTCTCAACCAAAAAAGGAGGAGAAACGCATCTTCTCAACCTACTTAAAATTAACTTTTTAAGAACATAAAATAATAATTTTATACGAAAGAAATTTTCAGGGTTCCCAGCTGGGAACCCCTTAAAAATCGCGCAGGGCCCCCTAGTCAAAAAAAAAATGAAAACTTGTCCGAGAGAACTACGCGCTCACTTGTTCGCTGGAGCGAAATTGCATTTCTACTTTTATTTCTCGTGTTTTTTTTTCGCTGAAAAAAATGATGATTATTCAATTTAAGGAATGCGTGAACGTGAAAATTCCACATCAACGAGTGTAGTTCAAGAAATGGAATTGCTTCATTTCGACGTGGGGAAACGATGTGATGTGGACGACGATTTCTATCAATGATTTCGGATTTTTTCGAGAAAGTGAGTTTTTTTTTGGGAAAAAAAACTTTGAAAATAAGCTTTAAAAAGCATTGTTGATTCTTCAAAGAAAAAAAGTATGAAATAAATACTTTATACAAAATTCAAACAAAAATAATCATAATTTTCCACAAACATCTCGAATAACATCCCTGACAAGTTCCAAACCATGAAATGATACATGATTGATACCAGTCATATAAGCAAATCCCCGATCATCATAAAACCGCCACGTTTTTGTTGAATTCCGATAAAATTTCGGAAAATAATCGAAAAGTTCACATTTTCCCTCGCAATCTTTGATGAGTTGGGAATATCGCACTCTTGCAGTTTGGTAAAGCGCCTCATCATTCACTTTTTTCTTTAAAAAAATAACAAATTTAAAATTTTCTTAATTTTCCCGAACTCACATCAATTTCTAGTGACGTTAAATTAGTTTTCATATAATCTGCAAGTTTCCAGATTTCTTTGGTTATTCTATGTGGCGCAGCCAATAGCAAAGGGTGTAATATAAGTTAGCCTCTCTGTGACCACGCCCATTTGGTGGGTTGCAAGGTCCGAGGGAAGAGACGTCAGTCTATCAAGGAGATGGCTCAATCACCGGTCCTGAGAAGAAGCGCGCGAAGACGACACAGTAGACTGTGGAAGCTGGCAATCAGGAAGTAAGTCTAGGGGGCATTAGTAATTAGGTGTGACGATAGAAGTCACTCAGTGTTCGGGATAGAACATTGTGTCGTAGACGACATATGGTGCATCGGACCGAGTCTTAACAGTTCTCGGGCAACTAGTTATTGTGAAAAGGCGACTATCAGTCATCCCAGGCAGTAGTCAGGTAAGTCACCGCGTAAGTGCTTGTGGCAGGAGTACGACCGTGGGCTCTTCATTTGAGGAGTTTTTGGGATATTTTTGGGCCCCTGGGAAAGTTCTTGTGTGTTTCTAGAGCACTGGAACATCGTCGAAAGACAAGAATCGTCGAAAGACAAGAAATCGCTACGGCAAGAGAAAAGTTGAAACAGTCGCTAACGCAAGAAATCGCTTCGGCAAGAATTGAAAAAAAAAATATATATATATATATATATATATCGCACAGCGAGCCCTAAAGAGGCGCCCCAAAGAGGCATATAAAAATGATATCGCACAGCGAGCCCTAAAGAGGCGCCCCAAAGAGGCATATAAAAATGATATCGCAAAGCGAGCCCTAAAGAGGCGCCCCAAAGAGGCATATAAAAATGATATCGCAAAGCGAGCCCTAAAGAGGCGCCCTAAAGAGGCATATAATAACAATGAAAGTTCAATGAGAACTAAATATTTGATTACATATTTCAAGTTAAACATTTATAATAATCAAAATTAATTTTATTAGTTATTTATCTGTAAGAAAAGTTATTGATTGTGTTTCTATTTGATTTTCTATTTTTCTCATATTTTTGAATGTGGAAAATGTAGATCTAGTCTGATTCTATGAAATTCAAATTAATAATGATCAATATATATTTTTAATCAATATTCGAAAGAAAATTCACAAGATGAGTCAGCTTTTATATCAAAAATGTATAAAACGTTTAGCGATAAGTATAAGTATTCTCAGTTGGATAGATTGTACAGTAAGAACATTATTTTAATTCTCCAATAATATAAGTTTTGAGTCTAAAGTTTTGTTTACTCAAAAGAGAAGATTTTGAAAGATATATTACTCATGGGGTAATAAAATACTCAAATTACATAGAAAAGGAAATATGTTTTAAACAAAAAGGTCAACCACATGAGCATATCATAAAAGATCATATAAAACTGTCAGAAGTTATATAGAGTAGACTAGTCAAAGAGATAGGTCACCACAAAAAATACCAGATGTGAAAATAATAACCAGACACTCATATAAAAATACATACCCACAAAAAAAAAAAAAAAAAAAAAAAAGGGGGTCAGAAAATTTAGAAAGTTCTTATTCGAAAAATTAGAAAGACAGTCTTTAAAAAAAAATATATATAACATTACAGAATCCATTTAAAAAATTGAATGAATTATTTGAACACAAATTTTCAATCGGAAATTTGAAAATTCAATTCTTATTATTTGTTTTGAGATTAAGTTCACAACCATCGGGAAAAGTTGAAATGTAAAAAAAAAAAAAAAATAGTTAAAAATATGAAAAAGTTAAATTTAAAAAAAAAAATACCGAAAGTTAAAGCTAATTAAAAAAAAATTTTTTTTAACGAAAGCTACAAAGTTTTGAAATTTTAAAGAAAAAAGTAAATTCATTTTCGAAAATTGACAAATTTTGTAAGTAAAGTAAAAAAATTTTGGATACATCTAGATAATATGAAACTGTAGATTACAGATTTGCTTAAAATAAATAGTATATCTGAAAATTTATTTGATAAGTTATTCAAAAAAAAAAAATGAATGAGGAAACTATTTTTTAATAAGTCATAAAATGTTAAAGTGAAATAGGAAAGTAATCGTAAATTGTTTTTGCTGAAAAATTGATGTTTGAAGAGTTAAGAATTAGAGAAGTATTAGAAATGTTGTTTTTATGACATTCAAACTTAATTTACTAAAGAATTGAAAAGCTCACATGGAAAATTAAATTTTTTGAATTTCAAAAAAAAAAAAATATACATCTGGTTTTTAAAACCATTTCTTTAAAATTATGAGTAGATTGAGCTTTAGAAAATGGCTAAAGTTAGAAAACTAGAAAAATAATGAAGTAGAAGATAATTTTGAAATGAAAAAATACTATTTGGTAAAGAGTAATTCAAAAAGAATTTTATTGAGTAGAAATTGAAAAACAAACTAAAAGTAATTTTTATGTATATAAAAATGTGTTTGAAAGATTCTGAAAAATAGGATATAATTTTTCGAAACATTGAAAATTTTTTTTAAAACAAAATATTGATTATAAAATTGAATAATTTAAAATCTTGAAAGTTCTAAATCAAAAAGATCATTAGAAAAATGTATCTCAAAAAGCTAGACTTATAAGTTGTTTTGGAAAGATGATTGCTCGTTTTCAAGAGACAAGTTTAATTTTTAAATCAATTATGTATTTTTTGAATTTATTCATCAATTTTTATTCAAAATCAAGTAAAAGTATTAAAATATGAAGAGTGTAAAGAATTCTGTTGTCATAATATCAAGCTCAAAATTCAAAAGTGTGTGGTATAAATTTGAAATAAGAATTAGTATTACGAAACGGACTGCCTGCTAGTCAAAATTCATCAAAGAGCAAAAAACATCTGGTGTTTGTGTTTTTAATAGAAGATAGAATAAGATATGGAAGAGATGCCAATAAGAATCTTAAATTATTTTGTAAAGTTAACAGTATTTCGTAGATAAATTCTGAAAACACTGATAATTGATAATAAATTGAGAGCAACAGTAAGAACCTAGAAGACCACTAGATGTGTGATAGCATAATTCATTCATAACGTGAAACATTCAAATAGAATTAGAAGAAAAAAACCGACGAAGATCTAGATGAAGAAAAGTTAAATGATGAAAAGTTAATAGAATAATTCCCATGAATATAAAAAAAAAAGAAATTTAGAATGTAACTGAAGTTTTGTTAGAGTAATTTAAGTTACAAAAGATCAAAGGATCCATCAATGCAGTAAACGGCTAAAAATGAATGTGCAAACCAAATGAGCGATGATTCAATAGGCAAGGTGCCATTTTCTCGCGTTTCCCCGGGAGTGTGGCGCAGCCAATAGCAAAGGGTGTAATATAAGTTAGCCTCTCTGTGACCACGCCCATTTGGTGGGTTGCAAGGTCCGAGGGAAGAGACGTCAGTCTATCAAGGAGATGGCTCAATCACCGGTCCTGAGAAGAAGCGCGCGAAGACGACACAGTAGACTGTGGAAGCTGGCAATCAGGAAGTAAGTCTAGGGGGCATTAGTAATTAGGTGTGACGATAGAAGTCACTCAGTGTTCGGGATAGAACATTGTGTCGTAGACGACATTCTAGGAATCGCATTCAGAATATAAAATTTGTTCTTGATATTTTTCGTCAATATTTTTGTGTTATTCAGCATTATTTTGTAAATTGGATCGTTTTTGAAGTCACCATCTTTGAGAAATGGTTCGCCATAAGAAATATGCCTGAAATTAATTTTGATTTTGAAAAAAAATAGTTTGGAAATTAATTCACCTCGTGATATGAAAAGCATAATCCGGTTTAAAATCTTCCACATGTTTTTGAAAATCTATAATTTCGTTCTGACATCTGCCATACTTCAGTGAAGGATATAGCGGTTCACAGCCATATTTCGCACCAATCAGCATAATCCTCGCTTTATATCCACATTCTTGATAAAAAATATGCGCATGATTTGCAGCCCAACTATTACCAATTATAATAATTTTATATTTTTTCTCATTATTTTGATCTAACCCAGTTATGTTACACCAACCCAATGGTTTTGTTGTGGCGTAATTGCAAGCTGGTGTTATCAAGTTTTGTGTGTCATGAGTGTTCCAAGCGTAGTTTATTCTTTTTGCATCATCTAGTGTCATATTTGGTGTGATTCCATCGAGACTTGTGAAATTTGTCAGATGTTCTTGGGAAATATGTTTGTTTATGGTTTCGCGATGCAAAATAATCACATTTCCCATCAATAAAACTCCTGTCAATATTGCAATATTGCGATTTGACAAGCTTATATACCATGTTTCGAAATAATTATAAATTATCATCGCAAGGATAATTGAGATCATCATCGAATAAAATAAAATTACCAGATTCCCATTATTAGTGAGCTTCCAGTAGGCATAAATTGGCCAATGTATCAAATATAGAGAATACGATATATCACCAATATAAGTTATAAATTTATTTGAAAGAATTTTGTTGTTTTCACCATTTGAAAATAGAATAATTCCGGTAGTTAGAAATGTGGTAATAGGTCTGAAATGAAGCTGATTGAAGAGTCTACCATTGGGTCAAATCTTACCTGACAAAATTCTGTGGCAACGGTAATTGATTGAAGTTGATTAATATTACGAGAATTGTAAATGCTACACTTATAATTGTATTAGGTTTCAAAGAAGTTGATGGCTTGGTTTCTGCACAATTTTTTTCTAGATCTTCGACTAATTTATATTGATTTTCTTGCATTGAAGTTTCACATAATATAAAAGCAATCATACCAGCTAAAAACTGCCAGATTCTTGAGAAACATTGAGAAATGCATAACTTGGTGGTAGATAATAGAAATAGATAAAACTTCCGATCGACAAATAAATCATTGATGCAATTCTTGAAGGAAGCAAGAATATAAATGGGGCTAGTAAATAGAATTGAATTTCGACTGAAAGTGACCAAGTATGGGTGAAAATATCGACGGCAATCGAGAGCATTTCGAAATAATTTTCTTCGTCCGTTTTCAATCGATTTGATAGGAATAGTAATGCTTTTTTCGCAGAGTTTTCATTTGTTACAATTGCAGTATCAGGAAAAATTAAATATAGGAATATCAAGGATAGAAAAATGATGAGATAATATAAAGGAAGTATCCGTCGGAATCGTCGAATATAGAAGTTTTTAATCAATGACCATGTTGATTGTTCAGTTTTTTCACTTTTCGTTAACAACATGCACATAAGAAATCCGGAGAGCACGAAAAATTGATCGACTCCCAAATATCCATTTGGGAATAACTTTGGGAATAAGTGAAATCCTAGAACTGCCAAGATTGCAATTCCACGAACTCCTTGTAAATCCAACCGTTTCATCTTCTGAAATGTGCATTTTTGCTATAGGAAAAACAATGTGAAAGTGTGAACAAATAAAAATTGAAATGTGCAAAATTAATAACGAAATTATATCATAAAAGGGTCGTAGAATCATAATATTTTCAGAGAATATGATTCAAACCATTAGGCCTAATAATATCAGTAAGGCTAGCTTAAAATTTTTTTAAAATCGTAAAATTTCCGAGGTGTGACCGTGCCTTTAAGTTTGTAGTTGGTTGAGGCAAACATTGTTCTTGTTGATAAGAAAAAAGAAACGGTATGAATGATTTATTATCTATTAGATACTTCTTTTGAACTATAAACGGAATAGAAAATAATAAATTAAGAAAAGAACATTTTTGAAATCGGCTGAAATTGTAAATAGTAGAGAAACATGGATTTGAAAATGACAACCTCGATATTCATTTTCTTGAAAGGTTTTGTGTTTTAGAAAGACGTTATTTTTGGTTTGGTTTCTGAAGGTATGGCCCTGAACTCTTGAACATAGCTCTAACTTAAAATTGATAAGATCAGAAAAAGAGAAGAACCAAAAGAAGATTTCTTCAGCGGGAGAAAATGTGAATTCTAACCCGCTAAACTGAAAATTGATTTTACGGTCTGCCCATCTCTATTGCTCACAATCATACTTTGTTTAGAAATCTGTTACGACAGAAATTTCGCCCGGAGACTGTCTCAAACACGAGAGAATATTCATTTCTGAAAATGTTTCCCTTTAATCTATTTCAAGTTCCGAAACAAGCTCTTGTAATCCTTTTTTCTGACCGCACATTGCGTCGAAACTAGGTCATCTGACTTCGTTTGACACCCATAGTGTTATAAAGTATCAAATTATATCGTAAAAAATTTCCTCATTTACTTTTTCACAATTTTCTTATTCCAAAATGTCTTATTTTAGCAACATTATTCCTCAACAAATAATATTTTCTTATCAGTTTCCTCCTCATAAATCAAACAGTAGCTGTAAACACTTTAATGCAATTATCAATATTTTTCTATCATTCGAGAGAAAATATTTGAATCAGGGCTGGGCGGAATTTACTTGTCGGAATTTCGCAACGCCGACTTTTCGTGCCGAAAATATTTTCGGCATTTCGGGATGCCGACTTTTTATGCCGAAAATTGTTTCGGCATTTCGGGATGCCGACTTTTTGTGCCGAAAAAAAATTCGGCAATTCGGCACCCCGATTCGGCATTTTGGCAGTGATTCAAAAATTTCAAAAACACTCAAAATGATAGAAAAATGAATAAAATTATAAAAATGTATATATTCTAGTTCGATTTTAGTCATAACTCAATGGAAATAAAGTTAAAAACAAGACGTTCTGCTGAATATAGAGGTAAAAACGCATGTTTTATTTCACGGGAGAAAATTTCTGTTGTGATTTCGGCACATTTCAAAATCGGCACAAAATTCGGCTTCTATGAAGTGCCGAAAATATTTCTCGGTCGGTACTTCCGACTTTAAAAACTGCCGAAAATATTTTCGGTCGGTAGTGCCGACTTCAAAAATTGCCGAAAAATCAGCGAAACTCGGCATTTCGGCAAGTCGGCGTGCCGATTCCGCCCAGCCCTGATTTGAATGGAAGTTCCAAAAATGTTTAGGCGTTGTCGAATTAAAAAAAAGTTTTTTATGGGCCTATGCAGAATAATAAATTTTCTAATAAAAATCATATTTTTAATATCAAAATATTATTTTGCATAGGCCCATTATCATTTTATTGTCTTTCGACGACTTCCTCTGTGTACACACGAGCATTTGTATCGTTATCTGAATTTTTCAATCAAATTACATACATTTTTCTTATCTAAAAGGCCAAGTAAATATGTTTGATCATTGAGAGCAATTCAAAGGGCAAACTAGATGCGACGGTTGAATTTTCAAAAAGTTGCAATTTTGTTAGTTACAACTGTCCTACTTCTGATTCTCATATTTTCGAATTCAACGAACAATGATTCATCACATTATGGATCTGTAATTCGAGCTCATATTAAAAAACTGTGAGTTTTTAGAGGCTGATGAAAACTTTTTCACGCCATAACTTTTTTTTCGAAAAATGTGTTCTAGGATTCTTGAATAAAAAAATATACTCTGTTGGTGTTTTGGTGTCAGCAACAACTATCATTGGTTGGATAAAATGTTTTTTTTCTAGAAGTTGGAAGAAAAAATCAAGGAAAACATACCAAAACCCTTGAACTTGCAGTGTCTTTCAGAAAAAAAACTCACAAATTTTTTAATCTGAGAGGAGATTACAAAAAGCACCGAAATAGTTGCGATAACTAACAGTAAAAGCATCTTCTGCAAACTGTATTTTATCATCAATTCAGATTCTGTCAACAGAATAGTAACACTGTAGAGAAAGTTTGTAGTTCCAAAATTAGTGTATAAATACAGTGTGACATTTGAAAAACTGTACAGTGCCCATTTTGGACACGTCTCTCCAGATGTGATTGTAAACAGAATCATAACATTATAAATGTTATTTTCGACTTTCTTTGTGTACATAAAAACACTTTGTATCGTTATTTGAAATTCTGAATCATACTACATATTGAATATAAATTTCCTCTGAAAGGCCATTGTAATTGAGAGAAATTCAAAGAGCAAACTAAATGCGACAGTTGAATTTTCAAAAATTTGCAATTTTGTTAGTTACAACTGTCCTACTTCTGATTCTCATATTTTCGAATTCAATGAACAATGATTCAACACATTATGGATCTGTAATTCGAGCTCATTTCAAAAAACTGTGAGTTTTTAGAGGCTGATGAAAACTTTTTTTATTTTCTCATCGCGCTCCACCGAAACAAACACGCAACACAGACCGCGTCGCGCCACAACACACAAAAAGGGATTCAAATTCCCTCCCTTTTTTGTGTGTGTTGTTGCGCGGCGCGGTCTGCGTTGCGTGTTTATTTCGGTGATTTTCGATAATAGGATCTTTGAACTAAAAAATTTTCAAAAAAAAAACTGTGTCTAGATGTGTCATGTGTCTGCTAGATTATCTAGATTGTATCTACTATAGCTATTCAGTTCAGCGACTATTTTCGGCAGTTCAAAATTCTTGATGAGAAAATACAGTTTGCAAAAAATGTTTTTACTGTTAGTTATCGCAACTATTTCGGTGCTTTTTGTGTTCTTAAAAAACCTGTGAGTATTTTAAAATTATAGAAATCTGTCAAGTTCGCGGCCATCCTTCTTCTAAATTCAATTTTCAGATACATCCCAAGTGATTCTGCTCGCCCCCCAATTGCAAAAATAAAATCCGAAGGCAAAAAATGGATAGTTGTTACAAGTATATCTCATCCAACCGATGATGTCAAGCGTCTCGCCTCCTTCAAAGACTGGAATCTCGTAGTTGTTGCTGACACCAAAACACCAATCGATTGGAAATTGGATGATGTACATTTTCTATCAGTTGATTATCAGAATTCAATGGCATTCGATGTCATCTCATTTTTGCCTTATAAATCCTACACTCGCAAGAATATCGGTTATCTTTATGCGATTTCATATGGCGCTGAATGGATTTATGATACTGATGATGATAATAAACCTTATGGCTTAGGTCTTCAACAATTTCAATATGACAATGAGATTAGTGGATTGAGATATGTTGCACTAGAAAATGAAAATGTTACGTCCCACAAACTCTTCAACCCTTATCGATTTTTTGGATTGGATGAAATGTGGCCACGTGGATTCCCTTTGGAATATATAAAAGAACATACAAATGGGAAGAATCGACAGGTTCTATGCTCAAAAATGCCACGATCAGCTGTTCAGCAGGGATTGGTTCATCACGATCCGGATGTTGATGCGATCTATCGATTATTGAATGCTGAGCCGGCTGGTTTGAATGAGCGGTTTAATAAATTTGCACCATCGATTTTATTGGAACCCGGAACTTATGCGCCTTGGAATTCGCAAAATACATTATTCCACAAATCAGCCTTTCATGTTTTGATGTTACCAACTACGGTGTCATTTAGGACAACTGATATTTGGCGGTCGTTTTTTGCCCAAAAGATTTTGCATTTATCTGGTCACACGATTTCGTTCACTCCAGTAAATGCCGTGCAGTTTAGGAATTCGCACGATTTTTTGAAAGATTTTGAGAATGAGAGGTGAGTTTTTGAATGATTAAACAGAAAATAATGATAATTTTTTTCTAGGCAAGTCTACGAAGATTCGGGAAAAATTATCAGATTTCTGGATTCCTGGAGTTGTTCTAACTCAACGCTTATTGAATGCATGCGGAAGTTGGCGGATGATTTTGTTGTCAATGATTTTTGGCAGCAAAATGATGCGGCGCTGATTGATTATTACATTGCTGATCTGCAAAAAATCGGATATGAGTTTCCAGAAGTCTTGAATCCTTCCTCTGAAAATCCTTACCTGGCTAGCAAAAATGAGACAAGGCGAGATATAAATTGTCGCAGAGCAAATTTCGAATTTGATTTAACTTATCCCGATAATTCTACCGAGCCAGCAATTCAAAAAGCTGAGCAGAAAATCGAAAACTTCGGAGTGATTTCAAAATGGTGTGGGGAAGCTGGCTTTAAGAATTTCACGAATCATTTTCTATCGCCTGAAGAATTGGCACAACGACACTCCAAGGATTACGTGTTGAAAAATAATATGAATAATGTTTTGCTGGTAGTCAATAATTATCCATGGAAATGGGCTATTGGACACATTCAACGACTCTATCAACCCTATTTTGCTAGTGTTGTATTCTGCGGTTCTTATTATCCAGAAAATTATACGAAAACTGATAAAGGTTATGCGGGAATTCAGGAACCTTTCAATTTTATTCACATAAATCCGGCTGAAATTCTACGTGGATATTTTGGCTATCATTGTTTGACACTGTTGAATGATGTTGGATTGCAGAATGTTCACGGATATTATTTTATGGCTGATGATGCGCATTTCAATATTTGGCAACGGATTGATTTCAAGCGGGTTCATCATTTGATGGGGGTTGAATTTATGAATTCGAATCAGTGGTGGGTTAATAAATTGTATGGTGAGTTAATACGAGGGCTGATTCACGAACGAAAAAAATGTTTAAAAATGTTTTTTTTAACATTGAAAGATCAATTCACGAAAAGTCGGTCAAAATTAGTTTTTCGAGTTTTTCAGCCAAAAATGATGACAAATTAATATTTTTCAAGCTTCTGGAGTAATTTCTGATGAAAATTGACTTTGGAATTCACTTTCCAGAAGGTTTTGCTGATTTTTCGTTCGAAAAATTCATAAAATAAAGCAAAATAGTGTTCTCGAAGCTTATTTTCATCTGAAATTACTCCAGAAGCTTGAAAAATATCGATTTGTCATCATTTTTGGCTGTAAAACTTGAAAAACTAATTTTGACCTACAATGTTTTTTCGACATTTTTTGACTTTTCGTGAATTGATTTTTCAATGTTAAAATAACATTTTTCAACATTTTTTTGGTTCGTAAATCAGCCCTACTGGAAAATTTTATATAATTTTTTTTCAAAATTTCAGGGATCAATGCTGCCAAAACTATCCTTGCTAAAATGAGCAATACAACAAATCCACGAGAAATAAAAACGTGGAAAACATTTGAAGGAGGCCTGAGGAAGTATGGATATATAAAGCCTAATGAAACCGTAGCTACGGATTTGTTGAATGGAAAATCGAGAAGTATTTCGGATTTGTGAGTTCTCTTTTTTTTTCTCCAACGAATCTCTGAAAATAGAGTCTATTCAGCTTCTACGTCCCATCCTCGGAAATTCAATATTATTCCGAATTGATGCGAATATTTTACGATGGTCAACTATTTTTGGAACTCGCTGTAAATCGATATTTACGATCTGTTCGACATCAAACATCGAACTTCGGCACGAAATCGTATTTGTGGGGAGATCGAGGAAGTTGGGCGACGAAATACAGTGTTGATATGGTCGCAATGCATCCGATCAAATTGAGTGGGTTTATGAAGCCAGATAAGAATCGACTGAAATATTGTGCAAGTTGTATGAAACCTTGGCATGATATTTTGTTTGGTGCATCGACGAATTTCACGGTGAAAGTGGATAATGCAAAAGATCATATGAATGGGTGAATTTTTTTGATTTTTTTGTATATATTTTTGTTGGGTACATGAAGTTCAGGAATATTTTAAAGGAAGTCACGAAAATATTATCAATAAATTCATTAAAAAATAAGTTCATTCACCCAATCATCGTGGGATTCAATCGATTTCGCATAACTCGTTCCATAATTTTATCCTTTCCCACCAAAAACAAATTAATATTCGGTATAACATGTCCATAATGCATGTGTCTATCTGCCATATAATTCAAATATTTGAAAGTGTACGGTGCCCGCTCATTTGGATCGGTTAGAGATAGCGGAAATTCCAGAACACTGTTTAGGACGGAATTTCCGAGGCCTAAAAAAACATGGGGAATTTTTTGCACTAAATAACAAGAGCTAAGCTAACCTCTAGTCATGATTCTGGCGTCAAGATCAAAGAGTTCATTGATTCCTGGCAGGGGTAACATAAAATTACCCGAAACTTCTCGAACTTTTGATAAATCGTATTCTGCACCTACAGTACTTGCACTTATAAAAGGTTGATATAAACCATCATTACTGGATAAAGGCGCATCGGCAAAAGCGTCGAAATTTTTACGAACATTTAGCCCGTGACTATTGACACCCTGGAATGATTTGAAAAGTGGGGCGAGCGAAAAAAAAAGCGACCCAGATACTTACATTCACCGCAAAACCCGCTCCCCAACCATCGGCCAAATCTTCGGTGAAAACTGCGGAGACCATTTGGGTGAAGGGGTTGAAGGCGGATCTGAAAATGGTAAAATCTATGTATATACAGGGTGAAAATCACCGTACCTTCCCGAAAAAATGGCAGTTTGTCCGGGCAGCGAAACATCGGGAACCGTTTGCGGTTTCTGTCCCACTTTATCGCCCGCGATATACAAGCCGGGAAAAAATGGGCCCGAACGTTCGTCGGTCATTCCGGTGGGGATTTGGAGGAGGCCGAGGCCACGTGGACGATCACGCATGTAGGCCGCTGGAAAAAAGGAACTGTGATTGGGGAAGCGAGATTGATTTATTGATAATTTATAACTTTTTAACAAAAAATTATCAAAATCGAAATTTTTCTTTGAAATTTTATGAAAATTTTGAAACGTATTTTTTTCCGGAAATCTAGAACATTCTGGAAACTTGTAAAAATTGAACAGAAACTTTTCTCTGATCTACTGCAAATTTGAAATTTTTTTTTTAAATTATCAAAATTTATCGAATTCAAAATATTTCTTTAAAAATTTATGAAAATTTTGAAACGTATTTTTTTTCGGAAACTAGATTTTTGAAACACTAATTTTTCAAGGCTGTAAAAATTGAACAGAAACTCTTCTCTGATCTACTGCAAATATGAAACTTTTTCATAAAAATTATCGAAATTTATCAAAATCAAAATATTTCGTCAAAAGTTTAGGAAAATTTTGAAACGTATTTTTTCCGGAAAATCTAGAACATTCTGGAAACTTGTAAAAATTGAACATAAACTTTGCTCTAGTCTGATTTACTGTAAGTTTCAAAATTTTTCCAATCAAAGAACCTCCAATAATCGTATGCTTTTTTGTGATTATCACCCGCTAAAACCAGTTCTTTTTGCGCTTTTAAAGATAACCTGAACTTTTGGATTTTTGTCCGATAACATGTTGCGATTGCACCAAAAATCCTGAATTTTGGCGGTGAAAATGTGTTTTTATTTTTATAAAATCACCTTTTCCCACGACATTTTCGATTGCATAGAACAAATAGAGAATTTTGAAAATCATGAAAAAGAACAAGATAGAAATAGTGTCAAAAATCTGTTCTTTGATAATATCAAAAATGATGTGGAGGATTGATAATAAAATGAAAGAAACACGAATGAAAACGAACTATAACATACATGATCGTTTTTTGGCGGGGGAAATTCGGAAATTTATCATTTTCAGTTATAAAAATTGGCTGAAATGATGTTAGAAACAACAAATATGAAAACATTTATCAACCACCCTGGTTAATAACACGGACCAAAAGTAAATTCAGACATTTTTTCTCCTTCATCCAAAAACAGAATACTTGTAATCGCTTCACAAGTTTGATGTTTACCCTTTACAATATACAATAAATCCATTTTTTTGACTGGATGTTCTAGATGATCCGCGTAATAAACATTATAGAATTCATCAACTTTAGCCTCCGGAAGCTCTTGATTTTTCAAAAAATTGAAAAACTTTTGAAACATTTCTCCATTTCTTCGAGTTTTCCTTCGCTTTTTAGTTTCAGAATTTTTTCGATTAGAGAAGCTGCTTTTGGTTTTAAAATTTGAACTTGAGGATCATAGTCACAGGAAATTTGGAAGATTAGGAAAGTCGCGATAAGAATCAATAATTTCATGATGATATGAAAAAATGTTGTTTTGGTTTTGACTGAAAAACTGTGTAGGCTAGACATTTTAAAACTTGAGAATTTTTGGGAACATTTTGAAAACGTGTTTCTAGGAACTGCAGGTGTAATTTTTTTCGAAGTATTTGCATGCATAAATTAAAAAAAAGATCGCCAATCAGATCAAAAATAATATTTTTTAAATTTTTTTTTGATTTTTTGATTTGTAATTTTTACCCACAAAGTTCGAAATTTATGGATCTTCGGAAAAAAAATCATTTTAGAAATTTTCCGGTTTCGAAGAAGTTCAAAAATCAATCTCTGCAGGTGAAAAGTCTTTTAAAGTTCAGTGAAATCCAACAAAAAAAAACTCAGACCAAAAAATGCGTTGGACATATTTCGACACTCCCGATTTCCTCCGAAATTTTCTTCATTTTCTAATAATTTTCGAAATTCCAATTCATTTTCTCGGAATCTATTTGGTATTTTTCCAAACTCCTGTTAAAATGAAATATGTGAAATCTTCAATGATTCAATGTTGTATTTGGGGTGCGATTTTGGATTTTTCGTTGAGTTTAGGCACTATAGCCCTCCAGCTACTCAAAAGTAGCTGCTCGAGTAGCTCGAGCAGATTATCTGCTTATCTACTCGAGTAGCTAAGCACGCTCATCTGCTCGAGTAGATAATCTGCTCATCTGCTGAGTAGCTAAGCGTACTCATCTGCTCGAGCAGATTATCTGCTTGCCTGCTCGAGCAGTCTACTCGAAATCAGCTCACTTGTTTTTTGAACATGAATTTGAAATTTTTTTAATGACTGAAAAGTTGTAAGTGAAGTAGGAGAAGCTTGAATTTCAGCTTCTGGTGTCATTTTGGGCAGAAGCTGACTTTTAAAGGAAGTATGCATGAAAAATCGATTTTTATGAAATTTGATATTTAAGGGTATTTCGATATGGGGAACATCGTGGCGAGACCCATTCGGCCCAAAAATCACTTTTAAAGGACCCCATCACTCAAAAAATTTTTTTTTTGAAAATGAGGTATTTGGGCACGGGGAACATTTTGGTGAGGTATACGGTCGGGAACAGACTTTTAAAGGCGCATGCCAGGTTATTACACATTTTCCGAGATTTTTTTTTTCAAACTATCATAACTTTTTTATTTTTTAAGCTTTTTTGAAATTTCGACAACCATTTTGACGGTCTTGAGACGGGCTACATGTTTTGTGTTGACACCAACTACCGTACTTCGCTCCTAAGAGGTGAAAAACACGGTTTTGTTCGAATTTACATCAAAAAATGACATTTTTGAGAGATCTGAGAGATAAAACCGTGTTTTTCACCTCTTAGGAGCGAAGTACGGTAGTTGGTGTCAACACAAAAAATGTAGCCCGTCTCAAGACCGTCAAAATGGTTGTCGAAATTTCAAAAAAGCTTAAAAAATAAAAAAGTTATGATAGTTTGAAAAAAAAAATCTCGGAAAATGTGTAATAACCTGGCATGCGCCTTTAATAGTCTGTTCCCGACCGTATACCTCACCAAAATGTTCCCCGTGCCCAAATACCTCATTTTCAAAAAAAAAATTTTTTGAGTGATGCTGTCCTTTAAAAGTGATTTTTGGGCCGAATGGGTCTCGCCACGATGTTCCCCATATCGAAATACCCTTAAATATCAAATTTCATAAAAATCGATTTTTCATGCATACTTCCTTTAAAAGTCAGCTTCTGCCCAAAATGACACCAGAAGCTGAAATTCAAGCTTCTCCTACTTCACTTACAACTTTTCAGTCATTAAAAAAAAATTTCAAATTCATGTTCAAAAAACAAGTGAGCTGATTTCGAGTAGACTGCTCGAGCAGGCAAGCAGATAATCTGCTCGAGCAGATGAGTACGCTTAGCTACTCAGCAGATGAGCAGATTATCTACTCGAGCAGATGAGCGTGCTTAGCTACTCGAGTAGATAAACAGATAATCTGCTCGAGCTACTCGAGCAGCTACTTTTGAGTAGCTGGAGGGCTATATTAGGCACAATTCCCTATGTATTATTTCCCACGTTATCTGGACATCCTTTGGGAATTCTATCGAATTATGGATTTTCTATAAAATTCCAAATTATTTTTACACTCGAATTAATTGCCAGTGTTGGTTGTTCAGTTATTGCAATCTACGAAAATCGATTTTCCTGTGTTTCCGAACCAAAATCCAGCTTCAAAAACCACCTCATAATCTATATTTTAAATGGAACAATTGTCAATTTTTTCATCTATTTCGTATTTTTAGATTGTCCCGAGCAAGAATATGCTCGGCGAGCTGTTCTCTACGATCTTCTTCCCCCAGATCTTCCCTATCATTTCTACACCGATCCGATATTTGTGGTCTCTTTGAATAGCTCGAAAATCGGAGCATATATATTTTTTGTTCTTGTTTTTCAAGTTTCACAAATGTTTGGTTTTGTTATTGGAACTTCTTACAAATTATACTTCAAGAGAAATGACCCGAATATTTCTTCGAATACAAGAAAAATAAAAAACAAATTTTTTCTTTTGATTTGTATTCAAACTACGATTCCAATTATTGTTATCGCTGTTCCAATTTGTTATGTGTTTTATAGTTGCACGATGTTTTATTTCAATCAAGCTCTCAATAATCTGATGTTCATTCTTCTATCATTTCACGGAATTCTAACAACAACTTCGATTATTTTCATCCACTCAGCTTATCGTAATGCATTTTTCTCAATGTTTTTGCGATTGAAAAATTATCATAGACACAAAATTGGATCTACTAATTGAAAAATTTATTTTTTATTTTATTTATTATTGTCGAAATTGAAAAATGTGGCCGCCGCACGCCTGTTTTGCCTGAACAAAATTCGTCGGTACAGTAATAGGACGTCAAAAAAATAGGTCTCCATTTGGCGGCGCCGCGTTTTATATCTTGGGGCCCCCAGAAAAATTTCAAAACATTCATACATACGTAATTTCATCTCTTCTCTTCTAATAAGTATAGTAGAAGCCTTAAAAATGGCGTTTTCACGTAGAAAAACGTGAAAAACTGGAATCGCTGCGAAACCTCACTCTTTCGAAAGATGTGTGCGCCTTTGATTTGCTCAGAATTTGATTTTTAGCCCATAACTTTTTTGAGAATGCGTTTCAAAAACAAGTAAATAGTTTTCCTGGCTCATCTCGACGAGACGAATCAGATGGTATATTCAGCTTTTTCTGAAAATGCCTCTAACATGCTGAAAACGGACTGAAATCACTATCTAGTGTGTAAACACCGCGACGCACAAATGCACAAATTGCGTACCGTAGTGAAATTTTTCACCGTCGCAAAAAAAACAGGCGTGGTCGTAAAAATGAAAACTGGATTTCGTCAGTCGCGTGCGGCTGTGCGGCGCGGTCGCAAAAAAATCAATAATTCATTTTTCGTTCCTTTTACGACCGCGCCGCACAGCCGCACGCGACTGACGAAGTCCAGTTGTTCTCATTCATTCAGTTTTGTAATGGTGTTCATAGTTTTTTTTCACGCATTTTATAAAATGAGCAATTCATGACGCAAGTATTTTAAATTACGTAGATAGATATATAGATAGAAATGCTTACAGGTGATAAATATTTTTCAATTAAAAATCTTTTTTATTAATCCCCCATAAAAAGTTCTCACATTTTGGTACACAAACCCTGAACAATTTTAAATTTACAATCCTTTCCAGTCGGTCCCTTCTTATAAACCGCCATCCCCGGTAGATTTCCCTTTGGTGTATACTGACAAACAATCGCAATTTTATACACCTTTCCCTCTTTATAAACCGCTGCACCACATCCAATTTGATCAGTTTCCGCCCAAGCCATCTGTGTGGCTCTTGCAATATTCTTCGAATACAAATTAGTTGGCCATCCATGTTTCGTCAATTCCGATTGCCATGCTTCACAAGCTGTTGCTCCAGAATTATGGGGATTTAGAATTGGCGAAGATTTCGTAGCCCACCAAAGATTCTCACCATATTCACCATTTATTGCACCTTTCGAATGACCAGTTGGTTTAGAATTCGCGTGGATCTCTGCAGTTCTGGCTAGTGTATTGTTCCAGCGAAGAAGTCGGATATTTGAAGCTGGACCGTGTTGCACGCCGTTTATATCGAGAATTCCGTTTGCAATTCGAGTTCGAAGACTGTTGTGTCGATTTACGATCGCATTTTGAGCACCCAAATTGAATTTTATTGAGCAAACTGTGGCGAAGATCGAGAGGAGAGCGAGAAGTTTCAACATTTTTCTAAGTTTTGAAATTTTGGAGTGGAGTTTTATAGTAGAATATTTGCATATTTCCGAAGTTTTATGATGAGATTCCGATTTTTTGTGACTTTTTTGGGAAAAAAATGATTCCGTGGAATAGAAATCCAAAACATGATGGCCTAGGAAACCAAGGAAATGATATTTCTGGCCTAGAAATTTGAAAACTAGGTTTGGTAGCCTAGTAATGTGAGAAAAATTTCAAACTCCAAAATGTTTTTGACCTCCAAGGTCCCGTCAAAAACTCAAACTCTAGAGACAATCAAAATCAGAAGAGACGCAGAGAAGAAAATATTTTCTCTCAGAAATCAATCCTCACTTTTTTCTTCTTATCAATTTTTTGACAGAAATCAGATAACAAACATTTTTCTGTTATATTTTTTGGTTTGGTCACTTTTATCGATTTTTTTGTCCATAAATCATCCAATAATAAAAAATGAGTGATTTGTGTGTGATTTGCTCGTGCCCGGGAACCTTCACATGCTCCCATTTTGGCGCCAAATCTTGCAAAGCTTGTGCCGCATTTTTTCGCCGAACAATCGCCATGAAATTGATATATGTTTGTGTGAAGAAGTCGGAGATTTGTCGAGTTCATTTTCAAATTAAGCAAATTTGCCGGTTTTGTCGATTGCAGAAATGTTTGAGGTTGGGAATGAAACCGGAAAGTGAGTGGGTTTTGGGGTTTGAAAAATTCTGTAAAAAATTATAGGTTGAAAATTTCTTATGAAAAGTTTGTTTGAAAATTTTCAAATTTCGAGAAATCTGAAATCTTGGGCTCAAAAATCGACGTGGCGAAATTTTAGAAAAATTCTGATTTCGAAATTTTAGGAGTAAAATTTAGGGCTCATTTTTTTTCAAAAAAAAAAGCTAGCACTTGAAAATTTGCCACGTGGAATGTTAAAATTTTTTCAAAAATTTTGAACATTGAAAAATTCTGTGCGAAATTATAAAGTCAACATTTCTTACGAAAAGATTGTTCGAAAATTTTCAAATTTCAAGAAATTTTCGGCTCGAAAAGATTTTTCTGTGAGAATATTCATCTGAAATCCTGGGCTCAAAAATCCACGTGGCAAAATTTTAGAAACTTAACTTGAATTTATAATTTTTAGAATTTGCTTGAATTTGAAATTTCTAAATTTGATCTCCTGAAAAATGTTAAAGATTTCCAAGATTCTGAAATTTCAAACAAATCCACGTGGCAAAATTTTAGAATAAATTCTAATTTCGAAATTTCAGGGGTAAAATTTAGGGCTCATTTTTTTTCAAAAAAAAAAAGCTAGCACTTGAAAATATTTTTTTTTGAAATAGCGAAATTCACTCTGAAATTCTGATTTTGAAAATTCCACGTGGAATTATGAAACCAAAACTTTTGAAAAAAAAATTGAAACCTCCTTTGAAATTCTGATTCAAAAGATTCAGTTTTGAAATTTGAGCTAAAAATTCTGTTTTTGGCGCCAAACACCCACGTGGCATTATTCTCTGAAATTTTCACGTGAAAAATCGAAACCCCTTCCCTTCTCCAGTGGTCCAATCAAAAAACGAGCGTCGACACTACATTCGAATGTCGCGCGGTTTGGTAAAACGAAAAATCAGCGAGCATTCCTCGGAAGAATTGTTGTTGGACGAAGAACCGGGACCATCAAAATCATATTCTCATCCAGAAAACACTGGAAACACTCTGAAAATATTCATGCAAATGGAAATCGCGTTGAATGATCGGAGAAGGCTTTTGTATTCGGATACACCGATTCGAGATGTTTTTGCGGAACAAGTTGATTTGGTAAGAAGCTTAAGCTTTACTCTAGATAAAAAAAAAACATCTGAAATTCCAGCCCTACGACGTAAATTCGCTGAAATTATTCAACTACAAATCGAGTCCCGGTCTATCGAAACAAGATTTTTGCATGATCTTGGACTACGCGCGAATAATGCCCGGATTTGAAGAGCTGACCTACGCGGATAAAAATTTCTGCTATCGATTGATTTGCGCAGTCGATTTTGTTATCAATTCTGCCTATTATACCTATCGGTAGGCATTTTTCCCACATCTAGAATCACAATAATTCAAAAAATTTCAGCTACGGTTTATCTGAAAATCGCCTTATCCTTGCTGATGGCTCATTTGTTCCAATGTCACCTGAACCAATGACTGGAGATGAGACAAATGCGCAGGACTTTTTCGAGACTTCCGATGATTTATCGAGATATCGAACATTGATGTCTTTGTTTTTGAAACAGTGGAAAATGTGCACGCCGTTTTCAGAATTGAAATTGTCTTGGGAGGAATTTACGTTGCTGAAGGGTATTTGTATTTGGCATGTTTGTGAGTTGCGGGGAAAGTTTTGGAGGTGATAAGGATCAGCGCCTAGAGAGCCTAGTTCTCAAGTAACCGCGCCTAGAAATCATGGCTGTCAAGTAGCCGCGTCTTGAGCGTTCAATTGTGAAGGAACAGCTCCTAGAGAACCCAGTTTTCAAGTAGCCGCGCCTAGAAATCATGGCTGTCAAGTATCCAAGCCGAGAAGACAACATAGTTGTCAAGTAACCGCGCCTAGAAATCATGGCTGTCAAGCAGCCGCCTCTTGAGAGTTCAATTCTGAAGGATCAGCGACTAGAGAGCCTAGTTCTCAAGTAGCCTCCTCTTGAGAGTTCAATTGTGAAGGATCAGCGCCTAGAGAGCCTAGTTCTCAAGTAGCCTCCTCTTGAGAGTTCAATTGTGAAGGATCAGCGCCTAGAGAGCCTAGTTCTCAAGTAGCCGCGCCTAGAGAGCCTAGTTCTCAAGTAGCCTCCTCTTGTGAGTTCAATTGTGAAGGATCAGCGACTAGAGAACTCAGTTGTCAAGGATCAGCGCCTAGAGAACATAGTTCTCAAGCAGTCGCGCCTAGAAATCCCGGTTGTCAAGCAGCCGCCTCTTGAGAGTTCAATTGTGAAGGATCAGCTCGTAGAGAACCCAGTTTTCAAGTAGCCGCGCCTAGATTTTTGAGTAAACTATTGAATTGCGTCATTTTTTGATTTCAGTCGTTTCAATTTTCTCTGAAAATTTCAGAAACTGAAATTTTTCATAGATTTTCCCTCACCAAAACCCTCCCAAAATTCCAGCCTATTATCGATTATCCGAAGAGGGCCGTCAAATCGCCAAAGATCAACGAAATCTCCTAATCAAAGCCCTCTATCGAGTTTGCGATGAAGCTGAAGAACGCGTCGGAAGCCTGATTCTGAGCCTAAGTTTTATCATGGAGCAAATAAGACACGTCAATTGCTCATTTGTTATGATCTCGTTTTTCGGCATTTTGAAAGTTGATTCACTTATGTTAGATGTCACCACGTTTTGGTGAAAAAATAAAGAGGTTTTCAAAAATTATTTATTTATTTATTTTCAAGTTACACGAATCACAATTTCTGTCGATTTTTCAAAATCACCGACGTCCCATTCAACGGTTTCAATACAAGTTCAGCAATCGGAATCTCATCCGGAAATTTCGTCTGCGATTCAACAATAAATCTTCTAAAAATCCAAGACAACAATATTTTCTCCTCAAGAAGCGCGAATTTCTGCCCAATGCAATTTCGAGGTCCCGCGGAGAATGGAACATAGGCGAAAGCTTCACGTTGAGCAGTTCGAATCGGGTCGAAATGATCGGGGAAGAATTCGTGAGGTCTTTCAAAGTGTCGTGGATCTTTCATGATTGCGATTATGTTGATGAGAATTGACATGCCGGCGGGAAGACGGACGGGCGATTTTGTGGGGTGCGCTGGAAATTTGCACAGCAATTTAGAGATTTTTCCCCTTTCCCTCCTCAAAAATCACTCACGAACATAAACATCCTCCGTCAATCTTCTCGAAACAAAAGGCACAGGCGGTGTAATCCTCAAAGTCTCCTTTATACATTGTTCCAAATAAACCATTCTCTTCAAATCCTCCGACGTCGGTGCTCTCTCAAAATCCTCTCCAAAAATCTCATCCAACTCATCTTGAACCTTCTGTTGATATTCGGGATTTTGTCCGAGGAACCAGATTGTGAATGTGATTCCGCTTGAAGTTGTGTCGTGTCCTTCGAACATAAATGTGTCAACTTCTTCTCGAATATCTTCGTCTGATAGATTTTGCTCTTTTTGAGCTTGAAGCAGAAGATCCAAAAATGCCAATTTCTCATTTTCCTCATCTTTTTGATTTTCTTTATTGCGATTCTCCAACTCCAATTTCCGTTTTTCGATAACATTTCGTGTAAAATCGGTGGAAATCTTCACATTTTTGTCGAACTCATAACCTCTTCCCGACAAATACCAAAATGGTTTGAACCAGTTGATTGGATAAGTCTCGTATTTCCAGATAAGTTCACTGACTCGTTTTACAGATGAGACGTATCTGAAAATTTTCAGCTTTTCGGAATGCAAAATTAAAAAATTGATTGATTTTTGGTGAATACGGCAAGTGCGCTCTATTGCAAATGTTTTTTATTTCTTGTTTTTTTCGGGAAAAGTTTCGGGAACTCGGGTTTTTTGGGGTTTTCACGGGATTATCAGGTTTAAGAGTTGTGATTCAGTAAAAGCGGGAGTTCAGAAATGGGCGTGGCTCCAAATTTTTGAGGTTTTAGAGATGAAATCCAGGTTTTTTGGGAGATAATAAGTGAAAAAAGTAGATTTTAGGAGGTTTTTGCCAAAAACCTCCTAAAATCTACTACATGTTCATTTTGCCTGCCTGCTTTTCGCCCGGCGAAGTTTTGTGCAGGCGTGCCTCGCCTCGCCTGCGATTTGAAAAAATAAAAAAAGCACGCCTCGCCTTCGCCTGCCTTCGCCGCGGCGAGAAAACGCGTGTGTGTTGTCTGTTTCATGAAGAAACGTAATTTATTTGCATAAAAAACGATTAATTGGCATAATTTCACTCATATTTTAACGTTATGTGCTAAGATTTCTTCTGAAACACATTATTAAGGTTAAAGAAGTGAAGAAAAGAGTCATTTTCACTGAAAACCTAGTTTTTTTTAACGCAATTTGTGAAAAACTGTATTTATAAACATTCAATTTCAGCAAAATGTTTTTGTAAGCTTAGAAATACAAATATGTCGCCTTACAGTTACATGAGAACATTTGAACGATATGTTTTCCATCTAAAAATAGGTGTTTTTTCACACCTCGGCCAAGCCGTGGCTGGACAGAGTACAATTTTTGAAAAATCTGAATTTCAGTTTTTAGAGGTCAAAAATTGAAAAATAACAATTTTTAGAGGATAAAAACTGAAAAATTCACAATTTTTGTACTGTAAAAAGTTAGCGTACAATTTTTATTGTGGAGACCACGATTTTGGCCGAGGTGTGTGTTTTTTTCTATATATACGTTTTAGTGAAAACTAAAGCAAAATCTTGATTGAAAATGTTGCTAATAGGTAGCTGAAACCCCGCCGACAACCGAATTTATGAAAAAATCGAAGAAAATTTAATCTATTCTCACTTGCAAAATGCAACTCTCCCGGCGAATCGCCGGGCGACGCCTCGCCTCGCCTTGTTCGTTGAAAAATAAAAAGAGGTCAATTCTTTTTCGCATGACTTTTTTCGCATGAGTTTTTTTTCGCATGAGTATTATTTTTCGCAAGAGTAATTTTTCGCATGAGTCAATATTTTTCGCATGAGTTTTTACTTTTTTCGAGCGTTCACTAAGCCTAAGCTTTGAAGGCCGGATAAAGCTAAAACTCAATTTTTGAGCTCTACGAATCCGGACTTTAAGCTTAGGCTTAGTTAAACGCCTAGAAAGGTGCAATTTCGATTTAACATGAGCCAAACTCCAGTAAATGAACCAAAAACATAAAAAGTACTTGACAATGGGAAAAATAATATAGTTTGAATACCAAAAATTGGTCAAGAAATCAAAATGGAATACTCATGCGAAAAAAAACTCATGCGAAAAATTACTCTTGCGATAAATAATACTCATGCGAAAAAAAACTCATGCGAAAAAAGTCATGCGAAAAATAATTGACCTAAAAAGAGGCACGCCTCGCCTTCGCCTCAATAAAAAAGGCGACGCCGGGCGTTCGCCGGCGAAATGAACATGCCTGGTTTTTGGGTGGAAAATTTGAATTTTGTTTTTGTGAAATTAAAATAGGATGTGAAAAAAGCAATTTTTGAGCCAAAGACAAGGTTTTGTGCAAAATTCAAATACGCTCTGATGATAATCTCCCACTTTTTTCAAAATTTTCAAATCCTCACTTATCATTAGATCCTCTCTGACTTCCAATCGAAACTCCCATCGCAGTTTCACAAATGATATCCAGCGTGCATCTTTTAATATACGGCAAAATATCGAAAGCCACCTTTCCATTTGCGCGAAGTTGCAAAACATCGGTCAAAACTTTGCCCTGCACACAGAATATTTTCTGATATTGTTGGAGAACTTTGAAATGAAACGCGTGTGTGAGTAGCTTTCTTCGAGATCTCCATTTTTCATTGGTTGACACCAGCAAACCGTCGCCAATCCATTCACGAACTTTGTTGTATTGCGATGATTTGGTGATGTTTTCAGACGAGTCGAAGATTTGCTGAAAATTTTGAATTTTAATTGAAAACCCTGGCGGTTGGGGTTGAGACGCGGTGCGTGTGCGTCGCGGTTTGTTTTTTTTCAATGATGTGATGTCAGATCCAAAAATAAAACAACCAATTTTTTGTAGTGGAAATTATTGTCTGGTTATTTTTTCCGTTTTGTGAATGGAAGACGATTTTTAGACCCTCCTTTGAATTTGGCGCCAGTTTTTTGAACGCGCTGCGTGTTTGCGTCGCGGTTTAACTTTTACATTTTTTTAAAATTTTAACTTTTCTGTTGTTTTGCCCTATAGTGAAGTTAACTATAGTATAGTTTTATGTTTTGTGGTTTCTAACTTACCAACTCGATCCAACTAGACTCTAGTTTGAAGTAGAAAAATAGATGGAAGGGAATAGAATTTGAAGTAGAAAATAGATGGAAGGGAATAGAATGAGGAGAAATTCAGAAATGACAAAAAATTCAGAGAATAAAAATTGAGAAAATTGATTCCACGTATGTAGGTCACGTGAAAAATCTGATTTTTTTTGACGTGAAATAGATTTTGAAAGCTTTAGTCAAGTTTTAGAATTTATTGTTAGAGTATCTAGTGTAGAAGTTCCGGAAGTTCCTACCTTAGCCACACTTCCATGCAAAACTCCAATAAACGGCACAGGCCCCATCCAAAATTTCACTAATCCCGAAGCATCTGCACTATTCCCAAACTCCAGATCCCAATCCGCCCCCTGTTTTGCCAGCTCAATCGGATCTGACTTGAAATACCAAGCTGTGCCGAAAATGGGGGCACTTGGAGGACCTCCGATTTTTTCGAATTCCGGTTCGCAGATTTTACGAAGCCTGCGGAGTTCGCGGGTTTTTGAGTAGTAAATGTAGAAAACTAGAGTGAAAAAGAGCACGTACAAGAATATCATTTTGGTGTTCTTATCACACAAAAAATAATTACTTATATACAAAGTTTTGGGTAGAATCTAGGTTGAACTATGTTGAAGAGCTCAAGCTCCGCCCACCTTTGCAATATTCCCATGCAAAATCGCGGCAATCGGAAGTGGTCCCATCCAAAACTTGGCCAACCCGGAAGCATCTGCACTACACCCATAATCCAGGGACCATCCTTGTCCCTGCCTTGCCAAACCAACCGGATCCCGCTTGAAATACCAAGTGGAGCCGAAGACCGGGACACTTGGAGGGCCACGGATTTTTTCGAATTCGATTTTGCAAATTGCACGGACTTCTAGGAATTTTGAGAGGGGTTTGCGGATTTTTATGAAAATGTAGAGAATGAGGAGAGATAGAAGAGAAATTAGAAATAGGAACATGTGGTTTTTTTTCAGTTGAATAAGTTTTTTTTGGTTCTCTTTCTTATCACTAAACAAAAAAACTATGTAAATAAATATGAAAAGTGCATCATTGGTGACTAGGTTGATCAACTAGACTCTAGGATGAACTCGGACGCTAGCGGGGCACCGGGGATCAAACCTGCTTTCGCATCCACGTGGCAAACTGTTTAGGATAACGCTAGCTATCGTACGAAATGGGTAAAGCGGAAAAGCTTGAGCCTCTATGATCTACGCCGATTCTATTCCGAGCACATTCGGCGCGAGTCATAAATTTTCCCACCTTCGCCACTTGTGCATGCAGAACCGTCACCACAGGCAACATACCAAACCAAACTTTCATCAGCCCACAAGAATCCGCACTCCACGCGAAATCTCTCTGCCATCCCAATCTCTGTCGCTCCAAACCCACGGCGTCTCGCGAAAAATACCAAGTTGATCCGAAAATCGGAACATACGGTGGACCTTGGAACTTCTTGAACTCTTCGATGCAAATTCTGCGGATTTTGTGGAGTTCTAGGAGTTTGTCGCGGGAACAGATGATTTTGTAGATTAAATAAGTTAGGATTAGGAGAATAGGTAGAATCATAGGGTAAGTAAATAAAAATGAAAGAAAAAAATATGATAAAGTAGAAAAAACGTTGTAGTTTCTTATCAAGTTACCAATTTTTCAGTATCTATGATGTTTTAGGGGGAGGTTAACTAAAGGACCTTATCAGTAGATACAACAAGTTCAACCCGGGAAAATTGTGTTGTGAAATTTCGTTTTGTGATAGACTACATTATGTACCTTGATTTGGTTTCCACGGCAAACTTTTTTTCAATAGCTACCATTTCACGTTGGAGAAAACGAGAGTGTGTGAGCGCAAAAGAGACGCGAGACGAAAAAGAGATATGGAAAACTCCGCCCACTTTTTTTGAATTTCCGTAGCTATAGTGTTTGTGGAAAAATTTGATGTATAATTTTTTTAGGGCTAATTTTGAGTTGCTGTAAGTCTTCGAGTTTTCTCAATGTTTGGTATTAAGAATTTAGAGTTAGCACATTTTTAAGCAAAATTTTCGGTATTGCAATTTTCAGTCCAAAAGTTTCATTTTTCATCAATTTTGATTTCAAAATTCACCTGCAGATCAATTTTGTAAGAGAATTTCCAGCTGCCAAACTTTGAAAGTTCAGCATTATAAATTCAAGATTTTTGAAGTTCCAAAAATTTTTGAATTATTTTTTTCCTTTCCGTAGAGAAAATCTCAAAATTTCCTTGTTTTTCAAAAAAAAACACACAATTGACAAAACAAAATTTTTCTATTTTTCAAAAAATATGGGAATTTTTGGTTTTTTGATGTAAAAAAACAAGCTACTTTGATTTTTCTTCATCTAAAATTTGAAACCTCTACAATTCTAACCCGAGCCCAAAATCAGTCCCACCTTCGCCACATTTCCATGAACCACCGTAGCGATTGGCAACGGTCCAAACCACATTCTCATCAGCCCACTTGCTCCTGCACACCACGCAAAATCCCTCTGCCATTCCAGCCTCTGATATTCCAGCTGAACCGGATCGCGTGAAAAATAAAACGAACATCCGAAGAATGGAAATGTCCGTGGTCCCTCCAATTTTTCCTCGAATTCTTTTGCGCAGATTTTACGGATCCGCAAGAAATTTGTGATTTTTTGATGATTTCGAAGAATTTGGAATAGTATAAGGAAGATGAATGTGAGAAGAAGTATTAGCATTTTTTTGGGGGGGGAATTTTTCAAAATGGTGTGAAAATGTCTTATCTCAAAGGGAAAATTGCGCTTTTATGGGACTATTTTGAGTGTTTCGTCTTTAGTTTGATCAGAGGAGAGTGGCTAGATTGTGGTTTGAACTTTTGGCTCGGAATGTTTGGAAGTCTTATCTTTATTTATCTTTTTTTTCTTTCAAATATGAAATCAGAGACAATCTTGAATTTTTCTAAACATTTTTCGGTCGAAAAACTTCCAAATCCTTATAATAATAAATTTACATTAAAAATTTATTGAATTGCTTTATTTTTTTTTCTCAATAATTTACGAGCATTTTCCGTGATTTTCTCCGAAATAAAAAGTTCACTTTAGTTCAGTTCAAACATCACTCATTTCATTTCTCACTAATCAAATTCCAGCCACCTGATTAAAGCTCCGCCTTTTGAATATCTACACTATTTCAGTCCCATTTTCAGCCAAGAATGGCATTTCACACACTCTATTGGACAATTTTATCAATTATCGATGTTTTGGCCATTTTTTTCAATGGATTATTGATTTATTTGGCGTGTTTCAAGACGCCAAAAGCTGTCAAAACTTATACGATTTTGATTATTAATTTGGCGGTTACGGATTGTATTGCGGCTTTGGCGAATTTTTTTGTGCAGCAGAGGTTGGGACCTTTAAATCTGGAATTTCTCCAAAAAAAGAAACTTGGCCAAAAATTATTGCAAATTGTTGTAGTTTAGGTAGTTTAGTTGCGAAAAAATTATATTAACTTTTTTTTTTGAAAATTTATTTGATTTTGCCACGTCATCAAGTTCAAAACATCTAGTTTTCTAAAATCATACAATTAACACATTCTTCAAATAAAAAATTTTTTTCTAAAATTTTTGAAACAGTGAATTTTCAAAAAATATTTCATAGGAACTTTTACAACCCAAAAATGTATTGCGAAAATTTTTTCAGAAACGTGGAAAATTTTAAGAACATTTTTGACAAGCACAAAGTTTTGGGTTCACTTCATTTTGCCACGTCATCAAGTTCAAAAGATTTTTAAAGACTTAATTTAAAATTTTCAACATATAACAAGTATCACTTTTTTTAATCACAAATTATTTTCCAAAATTTTTGAAACAGTGAATTTTTCAAAATTTTTTATGACCGAAAAATTTATTGAAACATTAAAACATTTTCAGATTTTTCTATTTTTTTACACTTTACTGCAATTTCGTCTTCGTCTAATCAAATTTTCCAATTCAAAAACAATTTTCGAAAATTTCTGAAACAGTGAATTTTTTCCAGAATGATCCCCGGTGGCTGGTCAATCGGCTATATTTCCAATGGCCCGTGCAAATATTTCACTTACAAAATCTGCTTTTTCGGTCATAATATAATGGCAAGTATGATAACTCATTCGAATTATTCACTTCTCTTATCATTTGCCTATCGCTATTATATTTTGGTTAAAAGTGAGCCGCGAAGAAATGTGCTAATTTGTGTGGTCTTTTTGACTTATACACCTTCGCTTATTCAATTAGTGGGTTTTCTTTCTGAGAATTTTTGAAAAATTTCAATTTTTGACGTCTGAAAATCTAATTATTGGGTTGAAGATTTTAATTATAGGGAAATAGTGGGAAATTTTTGAACCTTGATTTTTTGAATATTTTGCGAAGTCTAGAGAGCATCTGGAAAGATTCTAGAAGGCCTGGAAAAATTCTAATTAGGCTGTAGAAAGATCCCGAGACACTTCAGAAGCTCTAGAAAAATTCTGGATAGATTCTGGAACTTTCTAGAAACCCGCGCACATTCTGGAAACGCTGAAATTGAACGAAATCTTCGGAAATTTCAGACATCTAAATTTTAAAGATTTTCAGAAGACCCAGGAAGCCTGGAAAAATTCTGATAAGGCTAGAAAGATCCCGAGACACTTCAGAAGCCCTAGAAAAATTATGGATAGATTCCGGAACTTCCTAGAAGCCCGGGAACATTCTGGAAACGCTGAAATCTTCAGAAATTCTGAGAGACTTCTAAAATCAAATGAATTTTCAGAATCTCTGACAAACCTCAGAATGTTCCCTCTGGAAGAATTCTAGATCAATTTTCGGACAAATCAAATGAGCCTGAAGTGCTTCAGAAAAAAATCTAGAACTCCTAGATGGATCCCAAGACTCTCCAGAAGCCCTGGGAAAAAATCTAAATAATTTTCAGATTCTCTATCAATTTGCCTCCGGCGATCCAATCCGCATCGAATCCGCTCTCCTCAAAATCTACCCCCATTACAATTTCACAGGTCTAATGATCAGTGGCGTCGAAGACATTCGATCAATAAACGCCTTCTTCAAAATCCTCCAAATGACCGTATTTTCGATCCCAATTTATCTAACCATCATTTATCTTCGCTCAAAAATCATCAAGAAATTAAATGAGTTCAAGGGAAGCATCACCAAATCCACCAAAACCCTTCACTCGCAATTTCTACTTGCTCTAACTTATCAAGCACTTCTGCCGTCAATTTATATGACAAGTTTAGTTATGTATTGTTTAGAGCAATTTGGGATCTACAGTAATCCGATGATGGAGGATTATATCGCTTCGGGACTCATTTTGACGCCATTCTTCTCGCCATTTTCATCGTTCGTTTTTGTCACACCCTATAGACAATTTCTATCAGATTTATTTTGTGGAAAACGGAGAAATCGAAGTGTTGCAAGTGAAACAGTGAAAATATCCACGATTAGCAGCATGTCAATGTTATAATTTTGAAAAAAATTTGTTAGAAAAAAACCGCCACGTGGTCGAGTGGTTTGCATGTCTGCCTACTGTTTTTGAAATCAGGGTTCGACCCCACTTGCCGCCAATTTTTTTATTTTTTGAATTCCATGAACTTTTCTACGTATAAAATGTTATATTCATTTAAAAATGACGTCATCATTTCAAAATTCACTCATGAAAAATTTTGAAGCTCTTCTCCCTCGCAAACAAAAATGTCTCAAAAGCCGCCGGACTTGTCAAAATCACATAATTCTTCAAATCCTCATCAACTTCAAATCTCGCATCCTGATCTCTCCGAATCCAAATCAGCTCATTATTCTCGAACCCTTGAATCGCCCAACTTTCACCGTTAAACACACCATCTTCATATTTTCCACCGCAAAATCCCCAATATTTATCCGGAACATACCAATTCGAAAGGGTTCCTTTGTTGAAAAATGTGGGACCATCGAGAACGATTGGAAGTTCGATTAACTCTTTTTCAATGAAATCGTATTTGAGGACTGTTGAGTTGTCCCAAGATCCATTGATTTCTTTTTCAGTTGTGAAATAGAGATTTTTGTTGGTGGTGAAAGCGTTGAGAGCTCGGCCACGCTGAAAAATGGGCGGAGCTTATTTTAAGTCGAAAAGACTACACAAAAAGTGGGCGTGGCTTATTCGGTGTCAAAATGAAGCCCCCGAAAAAAATATTTTGAAACTCACCCCATTCGCCTCCACAAATCCATAATACTTGACACAACTCTCCTCAAAATTCCCGCCAAAATCCACGAAATAAAAATGATAACCATTCTCAACAGAAAGAATTGCAAAATGTTGCACCGTATCAACTTCATAGCCGGCAAAAAGTAGATCAAAATCCCCAAAAACTTCCGGAAATCCATCAAAGTTTTTGGCGAGTGGAATTTCTTGAAACACTTTTTCATGATAATCCCATCGATAAGTTGCGAGAAATTCGAAATTGGCTCCGGTTTGGCTCGTCGTCAAAATCAAAAAAGTGTGACAGCCACTGGAGAATAAGATCTCCTTGATATTCTCATCGGGATTTTCACGGATTGCTGGATATTCGGAGATTTCCCATGGCTCATCTTTCATCACCATGTGAAGAGTTGCAAGTTTTCCGCCCAGCAAAATTGAGCCATCTGAAAGAAAATTAAGTTTTTGAAGACTCCCCTCAACTCACTGGTCTTCTCAAAAGCCGCAATTTGAATCATATTCGAGGCAAACAAAAAGTTCTGTGGATCTTCTGTGAACTTCTGCCAACCATCAGCAAAAGCTTCAGCGTTAGCCATTTTTTTCACAAAAAAAAAGAAATGACTAGATTTTTCCTTTTATATTGGGATGGGTTTAGTGTAATAAGGAAGTGTTCTTGTGACCTTCTCGAGAAATGATAAAAATATTGATTTTTGAGATACTGGGAATAAAAATGAACGTTTTTATGGAATTTTGGCGCCAGAAATTAAAAATTTGGAAGAAAGTGAATGAATATCTGAAAACAGTTTCGAAAAATTATATGAACATTTTGAAACGTATTTTCTCAGGGATTTTTTTGATGTTCAAAATTCGAAAAAATTGCACCTTTTCTTTTCCAAAAATCCAATAATTCTCTCCAGACACATTTCAAAATTCATTTTTCTCCTAAAAATTTTCATCGTCTTCTTCCTCCAAAAATGATCTCTCAAATTCTCCAAATTCTAATCTATTTTCTATCATTTCTCTTCAATTTCATACTCATTTTCATGATAAAATCTCGGAAAAGTAAAGATTCGCTTTATTTTCTGCGAAAAAAAATGAATTTTTGCAGTTATTCACTCAAAAATCTATATAGCAAATATGATTTTGGCTGAAATTGGTATCGATTTTGCTGGTGTTTTTCTGATCACTTTGCCGTATTTTGTAGAGGATTTTAGACAGGATGGTGGGTGAATAAAATAATTTTTCTCTAACAAATTTTGAAATTTAAAGTTTTTGGTGTCAGAAACCTTTTGATTTTTCTGAATTTTGCAAAACTTCTCTAAAGTTCTCCCATAACAAACCGGTACCGAAAACTTAAACTTCAAAAAAATTATCAAACAATTTTGAAACAGTGAAATTGTTTTGCCATTTTAATTCGTGACTTTCTCAAAAAAACGCCGCACCGAAAATTCAAAATTCAAAAAAAATTATCAAAATCATTTGAAACAGTGATTTTTCTCCAAGTGATACAGGACTAATTGTGAATCGAAAATTTAAAACTAAAAAAAATATTTCAAAATATTGAAACAGTGATTTTTTTCTCTAAAAATAGAATAATTTGTCTGACAAATTTTCGAAGTAAATTTTTTCCTCAAAATTTTTATTTCAAGTTTTTGGTGTTAGAAACATTTTCTACGGTAGTTTTTCTAAAGTTTGCAAATCTTCTCAAAAGTTCTCCAATAACGGAATGGTACCGAAAACCCAAACTTCAGAAAAATTATCAAACAATTTTGAAACAGTGAAATTATTTTGATATTTTAATTCGTGATTTTCTCAAAAAAACGCCGTACCGAAAATTCAAAATTCAAAAAAAATTATCAAAATCATTTGAAACAGTGAATTTTTTTGTTGGAATTTTTGTGAAAATACAAAAATGTAGAAGTAGACAACGCTGCATCGAAAATTCAAAATTCAGAAAAAATTATCCAAATCATTTGAAACAGTGATTTTTTTCCAAACACATAATTCAAGAAAAAATCGAAAATTTAAAACTCAAAAAAAATCATTAAAAATATTGAAACAGTGATTTTTTTTTCTCTAACAATAAATAATTTTTCTGACAAATTTTTTTCTGTCAAAAACCTTTGAAACAGTAAAGTTATTTTCTATTTTTGCACAAATTTCGGGATAAATTGCAGTGATTTACAAAAAATGGTATCGAAATTTTGAAAATTCCAAAAAAAAAACTATCAAAAATATCTGAAACAGTGATTTTTTTACGTTTTTTTTTTTGAAAAAATAACTGATAATTTTATTCTAGAATATTCCCATTCCTTTCCAATTCGTCTAATTCAAACAATCGATACAACAAGTTTCAACATGCGTTTTCTAATCAGCGCAATTATGTCAATCAATCGATATTTCATTGTATTTTTTCCAAATGCCACGTGGCAATTAAAATTCGATTATGACGTGGATTTAATTAGAATATTCCTAATTATCTGGATACTCCAATTAATTATTCAAACATTCCGACCATTTTCACAAAATTGCATAATTTATTTCAATTTCATATTTTACAATTTCACTGAGAAATGTTTGCCTGAAATTGATTTTTATCAATTGCTCATATTACGTGTCAATACAGTAATCCTATCGATTTTCCCGTTTTTCAGCTTGTTTTTGAATTTCTGGGTCTATCGAAAATTGCGTGGGAAAATGGGGAAAATTCAAAAAAATTCGAAAAATTTGATACTCAATTCGTTGATTTTATCAATGATTATGAGTTTTTACACAGCGTCGAAGATTGTGTTTCAATATCGAGAAAAAGTGAGTTTTTTGCGAGGTCGGCATCAAAAACTTGGAGATTTCAGGAACTTTTGAGAGTTTTCGGATTTTTGGCGGGGTATTTGAGCCTGAATTTATTCAGTGTTATGAATTTTTTGGTCTATTTTTGTTTGAGCCGCGATTTGAGGAATTTGATTTTGCGACAAATTTTGTGGCGGAAGGAAAATTGCAAAGTTACACATGTTGCAAATACGAGACACTTTACTAATTTTTGAGGCTGTCAAAAATCACACCATACTTCTCCTACATCAAGATATTCACTTGGGGCACCCAAAAATCACACCAAACTTTCCCTACATGCCAAAAATCCTATCCAATTTCACCTACCCAATATTTAACCGCTCAAAAATCACACACATATTTCAAAATCTATTTTTATTATGATTCAAACACTACATCATTTTTTCCCGAAAAAAATATTAGTTGAACAAACTTGTTACTTTAATGTTGACACATTTCTAATTCATATTTGCCAAAACTTTGTCTAACTCGTACTATAAAAAGAGCACATGTTCCACAATTTTTCAAATCAGTCAAAAATGCTTCGAATTCTCTCAATCTGCCTAGTCTTCCCAGCCTTATCTTCTGCCCTTTTCGATGTTATTGGTTCGGATCAATCAGTTACCGTAACTGGAAAATTGATCTGCAATGGTCAACCGGCAAATAATGTATTAGTGAAGTTATATGAAGATGGAACCATCGAAGATTCAAAACTTGATTCAACTCGAACTTCTACCGATGGAACATTTAAAGTATCCGGAACTTATACGAATATTTTAACAATCGATCCGAAAATCAATATTTATCACACTTGCAATTATAATGGACTTTGCACCAAGAAATTTACAATCAATGTTCCAAGTTATGCAGTTGCTCAGGGTAGCTCAGCCACTCAAAATTATGATATCGGAACTTTAAATTTGGCAAATCAATATAGCGGTGAAACTACTGATTGTATTCATTGATTATCCTGTATTAAAATAAAATATTTTTTTGCTTGAAGTTTCATCCGTAGCCATTTGTAGTCATGGAAGAGAAATTCAAAAACAAAAACAAAAACATGTCTTCATTTTTCATTTTTCAATTTCTACAAAACATTCCTAACAACATGCTCTTCTACATCGCTCTCTTGATTTCTTTCTCCAAATCTTGCGAAATCAAGAAAACCCAGCTGTATTACACGTATGATAGTGAAAGTGATAGCCTTACTGGTCATTATCAACGGTCAACTTATGACGATCAAACTGGAGAGACTACCATACATGAGTGGAAGGAGAACATTGATGGACCGATTTTGAAACCTCCGACTACAACTACAACTACAACTACAACTACAACAACTACGGAGCCGAAAATATATAATTGTCCGGATGATTGGCTCACATTTTCTCGTGATAATTACAAATGGTGTATGAAAATCGTCTTAACAGAGGAAATCACAAAAAATTCAGCTCAAGAAGCCTGTGAAAAACTTGGAGCAAATTTGACAGGATTTCAAAGTTCCAGTGAGAGAACTCAAGTTGCAAGTAAAATCAAGTTAATGGTAGCGACAAATAAAGATGCCTTGAATAATTATATAAGTCAGACAGGCGGAAAGTTTTGGGTTGGAGCTGAGAGAAAAAAATCATGTGCAATTGCAAATTCATGCGGAGATGAAACTGTGAATGCTTATGAATGGACCGATGGAAAAACAAGTGGAACAGATGGAATGAAATGGCAAAGTGGACAGCCAGATTTTTATAAGTGAGTTTGTTTGAAAGGAAGTTTTACATCAGTTATTTATTTCTCACAGAGAGGGACAGAAATGCGTCTACATTTCAAGTTCAAAATATCAATCTTCTCGACACGGTCTTCTTGATGATGATGCTTGTGCAGGCACAGACCATGTGGATGGATATATTTGTGGAAAATCAGCCGGATCATTATGATAATTTGAAATAATATTATCAGATAAATCTGACATGTTAACGTTGTTATTTGAAAACTTGGGTTCATAGTTACTTCGCATAGCTAGAATCACGTCGACCCACTAAAGAACAAACTGCTGCAATGGGTGTGAGACAGAATGCATCAAAATGCAAGAAAACTACTGAACCATTTTGAAAACTGATAACATATTCGTGATCAGCGTGTTCAAATCTATGGAAATAAGGAGTTTTATGAATTCTAGTTGAGGTTTTTTCTCGTAGCACTCCGTGGAAAAACTGAAAAACTGTACCCCCATTGCAGCAGTTGGGTCGACATTCGAATGTACATATATCTCGATGCGGGTAATAGACAATTGATAAACGAGACTAGGCGCGACTACTTGAGAATTATGATCTCCGGGCGCTGATCCTTGACTTTTTTTTTTTTTTTTTTAGGTGCTACTACCTAAGAACTAGTATTTCTAGGTTTTGCTGTTTGCCATTGAAGCTCTCAAGGCACGGCTCATTGACAGTTTGAACTTTCTAGGTTTGGCCACTTGATAATTTCTTGAATTTCTGATTAACTTCCAGACATCAAAGTACACAATTCTTGCATCTCGGTTTTCAGATGGAAAAAAATAAAAATTTTATGTGATCTTTTTTAATGTGTGTTTTAACAACACGGTTTTGTCTATTTTCAATTTTTCACGTCTCAAATTTCAGGTGGTATCGAAAACCTAGCAACAAGAATTTGCTTGTTAGATTTGATTCATTCCATCCAATCAAACAAAAAGCCAACATTGTGGTTACCACAATTCGGACAGCAAAATCTTGTTCCACTGGGGAAAATAAATCCTACTCGGAAAATTTAGCTTTGAAAGTATTAGAGAAGAACGGCTACAAGGTTTCTAAGCAAAAATCCAAAAAACCATTCTATCAAAAACGAGCCGTTCAACTCAATATGGATTACTGTATTTTGAGCATTCCATTCTTGGGTGATACTGTCACGAAACATATTCGAAGCATCCTAAAGGAGTTTGAACTTGATGCTCGTGTAGTCGAGCATAAAGGTCGATCACTACGAGACATTCTGGTCAAAAACCGGTGCTTCGAGTCTGTTTGTAATCATCGTGACTGTTTCATCTGCAAGAAATTTGGAATAGGAAAATGCAATATGAAAGGCGTAATATACAAAATAACGTGTGACTGTGGGGAATTTTATGTAGGGGAAACCGGCAGACCTTTCGATTCGAGATTCGCTGAACACCGTCGAGCTTGCACCAAACCTGGTCTGGCTTCTTACTCTTCTACGGTGTGGGCAAAACATTCTAAGGAAAAACATGGTGGAAAACCTCTTGTCATTGATCTGGACATTCTTGAGATCGAGCGCCACACGAGTAGAAGGAAGATCTTGGAGGGAGTTTTGATAAAACACCTAAATCCTTCATTAAATAACAAAGAAGAATTATCAGAGATGATATCAAGGCTCGGAACCCTCCAATTACCTCAAATATCTCACTAACACCTTTCAATACTTACTTTTAAATGGCCCGGCAACGGAAATTATGAGTACTTTTAAAAATGTTCAAATGTTGATGAATGAAACTCTAAATGCATTTACTTCACAAAAAAATTGAAGTTGAACATAAATTTCAGAAAATGAAAAAACTGAAAAAAATAAAAGATATATGTGGCCGAACTATTTTGGTGGCCGAGAAGTGTCGGGAATTCGGCCAAAGCAACAAACGCGCTCCAACAATGCAACATTAGAGCAAGTTTGTTGCTTTGGCCGAATTCCCGACACTTCTCGGCCACCAAAATAGTTCGGCCACATATATCTTTTATTTTTTTCAGTTTTTTTATTTTCTGAAATTTATGTTCAACTTCAATTTTTTTGTGAAGTAAATGCATTTAGAGTTTCATTCATCAACATTTGAACATTTTTAAAAGTACTCATAATTTCCGTTGCCGGGCCATTTAACCTAAATAAAATTTATTAAATTTAAATTTTCAAAATATCGCCTAAACTACGACACTCCGCTTTTACACTAGGCACTTTTGTCATTTTCATTTTCAATTTTTATTTTTGTCATCTTTTCACGGTTTTTTGGTTGACTAGTATTCTCCAAGGGAAAAGCGACATTGGAGAGATTCTCAGGGTTCCCATATGTTATACTTTAAACGTGTCCATTTCTAAAATCCGGGGTTCCCAATTTTTAAAAATCCCCAGAAATTTCTTCGCGAAAACACACAGCGCGTATTTCGCGTCAAGGTTGCGCGTAGGATTTGGTGTATGCGGGCAGTCGGTGTTGACATACACTCTTATTTTTTCCGTTCTTTCTTTAGGTTTGGGATTTTTAACGGATTTTCATGGTTTTACGTTGTTGTTGAATTTGTATTATACTTAGCTTAACACATATTCCACTTTTCTTTATTTTCTTTATTTCTATTCACTATTTTATAGGTGATTCCCTGAAGATGGCGTTTAAACGCTGAAACGTTGGAATAAATCAATTATTATTATATTTCAACCGTCGTTATTGTTTTTATCTTGGCTCAAAACCATCTAACATCAAAAACTAAAATCAAATTTCTGCTCTAAAACTTCAAATTTCCAACCACAAAAACAGTTGAGCAATTTTGATTGTTTCTAGCAAGATTATAGATTTCAAAATAACTTTTGATTTCTGAAGTGCAAAAAGAGTGATTTGAAAAATTGGACAGTCCACATCTTTTTAAAAGTAGATATAAGCTTGTTGCTTCCCCAGGTGATTCATTGTTCAGTTTTTTTTCTTTTTGCAGATTTGGCTTCTGCTGCGGATGGTCTTCCACGATTTTTCGGAATTTTTGAGATGATAACGTTTTTTTCTTTCATAAAAACCCCTTGAAGATATATTCGTGGCAACAATTTGAGCAAAAAATATACAGTTTTTCTAGGTATTTTTGCAGAAATTCACAGTTGCCAGATTTCCTGAAATTTTGGCTGTTTTTTAAAACTTGTCCTCATATCTCCGAGTGTACTGTGCTTCTCTTCCGAGAAAACTGAAGGAACAAAATAATCCCATAAAATAATTTCATCAAATCCAAAATCAGACGCTCACTTTTCAACTATTACAATGAAGTCGCGGGTTTCCCACACAAAAAAGGACTGGTTAAAAAGACAGCAGTCTCATCAGTAAGTCCAAGCTGATTCTCTGTTGTTATCGAAAGCACATAACCAAAGCTATTTGTATCCTGATAAAAAAGCTCAATTCTACTAATCAGCTCTTGTGGAATACGTCCGCTATCCAACCAAATCTCTGGTGGTTTACATTCAGTGGTTATCGGACAACTTTCATCAGCATCACACCAGCAATCGTCATCCGTATATACGTCGGTCACCACATACGTGACACCGGTCTTTCTCATCTCATTCAAGTAAATTTCCAACTCTTCCACAGTTTCGATCGAAGAGTAAAGATCCTCACCTATATCAAAGCACATTTACACTACAAAGAAAATATGAAACAAAATACCTGTTGGAGATACACAATCGAATTCTAAGTCATCTAACAATACGAATCTCGCACACCATCCGCCAGATTTTCTTTGAACAGGAATCCATCCATCCTCACATTTAAATGTAAGTACTGCTGTTGCAGAAGTTGTTGTTGATTCCGTGGAGATTTTTGAAGTCGTAGTTTCAGCGATTGTTGTTACAGTGGTGGATTCAACTTTAAATGTATCAAATTCTAAACTTCACAACGATTCCCAAGAAACTTTGTCATTGAGATTAAATTGATCACCTAACTCGGTGATGTTCTCATGTAATTTGATCATTAGCTTTTACTCGATGTTCAACTAGAAATCTGATTCACAAAGTGCATTTAACTTTCACGAACCTTCAATGTTATTCACTGGAATAGTTGCTATACACATATTCACTTCATGGATACAACACATACAAAATAACAAATGAATAGAAAAATATTTCGATAGCATCACAAACCACAATCACGAAATGGAACAATTTTCAGATATAACATGTTTCATTTAAGATAACTGATACAAAACCTGCTGGTTTTTTGTCCGAAAAATTATTATCATAAAAAAGTTCTATCTATCTTATAAGGTTGCCTATGAAAATGAAGATATCAAGTTTTTGTGTTCGCAAAAAAATGATAATTTAAAAGAGAATGCGTTAAAATCACCTCATAAATAAATAATTACTTTTGGAATTTCTTTAATTTCTGTAAATTGCTTTTCCATAGAACTTCAGGGCTCTTTTCAAAAACTCATCCATAATGTTGGAATTTGTAGTCATGGAACGTCAATTCAAAGCCATTCAAAAAATGTTCTCATATGTAATTTTTTTCAAAAAACATTATTCAAACAACATGCTCTAGATACAACGCATTTTCGATCTATTTCCTTCACAACGCTTTTTTGATTTATTTCACTACATCTCCGCAGCGTATATAAAAATAAAATAAAAATAAATCTTGTGAAACTAAGAAAACTCGACTATATTACAGGGGATAGCCTTACTGGTCATTTTCAACGGTCAATTTATGACGATCAAACTGGAGAGACCACAAAACATGAGTGGAGTGAGAAAATTGATGGGCCTTTGTTGAAACCGCCGACAACGACTACAACTACAACATCGGAGCCAAAAATATATAATTGTCCGGATGATTGGCTCACATTTTCTCGTGACAATTACAATTGGTGCATGAAAATCGTCTTAACAGAGGAAATCACGAAGAATGCAGCTCAAGAAGCCTGTGAAATACTTGGAGCAAATTCAACAGGATTTCAAAGTTCCAGTGAGAGAGTTCAAGTTGCAAGTAAAATCAAGTTAATGGTAGCGACAAATACAGCTGCCCAGAAAAATTATAAAAGTGAGACAGGCGGTAAATTCTGGGTTGGAGCTGAGAGAAAAAAATCATGTTCAACTGTAAATTCATGCGGAGATGAAACTGTGGATGCATATGAATGGACCGATGGAAAAACAAGTGGAACAGATGGAATGAAATGGCAAAGTGGACAGCCAGATTTTTATCAGTAAGTTCATTTGACAAGGGAACTGTTTCAGCTTTCACTCTATATTTAAAATAAAATATATTTTTTCTAGTAGTTTTCGACACGCTGATCACGATTCCGTCGTCTAAAATTGCAGAACTCAATTCCTAACATGAGTTATGACGTGTCAAAATTGGAAAATTTCGAAAAATTGGTACTTCAGGAGATCAAAACTCGCTTTCAAAATGTTTTCATGGAAATGTGAATTCTGACCCTCCGAAGTACGAATTTTTCAAAATTTACCAACGATAATTCATGTTAGGAGTCGAGTTCTGCAATTTTAGACAGCGCGATCGTGATCAGCGGGTCTAACAAGGGAACCTTTTTTACTCAACACTTCAAATCATGATGAAATTTTGTCCATGGACAGTTTTTGGGGCCATAAGAACACCCTAAAAATTTTGGTCTCCCAATGGACCTCTGAGCCAAGTTCTGGGCTCTCAAAAGTTCAAAAATTGTCAAAATCGGCTCATAAAACACGTCATAACTCAATTCCCGATCAATTTTATGAAAAATTGAGTAGCAGATGATGATCAGCGTGGTCGTTTTACCCAAAAAGCATAAATAAATCAAATGTTCGGAAAAATTTTTGATTTTGAAAAAAAGTATGAGCAGGGGCACATATGACTTTTCATGAATTTTCAGCCCAAAAATAAAAAACTTCAAAATTTTTCGAAATAATATTTTTTATTGATTTACTTTTAGGTAATCGACCATGCTGATCAATATCTGAAACTTCATTTCTCCCAAAAAAATTTTGAAATGGAGCTATGATGACTTTTATGACCATTTTTAGGCCTTTTTTGAGTTTTTGAGAGCCCAGAACTTGGCTCAGAGGTCCATTGGGAGACTAAAATTTTTAGGGTGTTCTTATGACCCCAAAAGCTGTCCATGGACCAAATTTCATCATGATTTGAAGTGTTGAGTAAAAAAGGTTCCCTTGTAAACTACTAGAAAACTTATATTTCATTAAAAATCTAGAGTGAAAGTTGAAACAGTTCTCTTGTGGAAGGAAGTTTTACATACATTGATTATTTATTTTCACAGAGAGGCACAGAAATGCGTCATTATTGCAAGTTCAAAAGATTACGAATCACGGCATGGACTTCTTGATGATGATATGTGTGCAAACACAGAACGTGTGGATGGATACATTTGTGGAAAATCAGCCGGATCATCATGATAATTTGAAATAGTGTTGTCAAAAATGAATTTGACATGTTAAAAGTTGATTGATAACTAGGCGCGGCTACTTCGCATAGAAATATTCAAGGAGCAAGTGCTTGCTAGAGTGTACATCTCGATGCGGGTCCTAGACAATAAGCATCAGCGCCTAGAGATCATAGTTCTCAAGCAGCATTAGGCAGAGCTGCTTGAGAACTATGATCTCTAAGCGCTGATGCTTGACAATTGAATTTTCTAGGAATGGCTACTTGGCAGCTGGGTTTCTAGGTTCGGCTACATGGAAAAGAAGTTTTCAAGGCGCGGCTCCTTGACACTTAGCATAGACGCTCTTAAGGGGTGGCTCCTTGTTAAAATGGATCTCTCGATGAGGGTCCTAAACAAGTAGGTTCTTCAGGAGCTGGTCCTTGAAAATTGAACTTTCCAGGTGTGGCTACTTGATTAGAATTTGAAATTAACTTCCCGACATCAAAGTACACACAATTCTAGCCTCTCGATTTTCAGATGAAAAAAATAAAAATTTATGTGCTCGTTTTTAATGTGTTTTTTAACCACACGGTTTTTCCTTTTTTCTATTTTCAAATTTTATTTCGAGATTTCTCACGTCTCAAACCAAAAAACTACGAAAATTTAATTGTTTTGAGCAAGATTCTAGATTTCAAAATAACTTCTGATTTCTAAAGTGCAAAGAAAAATTATAAAAGAAAAAAAGTGATTTCATTTTTGTATTTCGGTTTTGGATGTGTACTATGACGTGGCGGGCGATTATTAGAGGTCTAGAAGCCCGAGAAGCCCGAAAAGCCTAAGCAGCCCATAAAGCTTAAGTACAAAGGTTAACATGAGCAATCCCACAAATTTCTCAACGCGGAAACATTTTTTTCCTGCAAGATCTACGTTTTTCCCATGATACGTAAAATACTTGGGATTTTTTTTGGGGAACGCCCACCCCTAGAAAATTTGTATTAAAAATAAAAGTGCACATATTTTCTTCTTCTTTTTCACTCACTTCAAGATTTTCAGCTTCTCATCTGAAAATATGTCTACTTGCGACGTGGAAGCTGTGGAAAACCTATCAAACTCCAAAATTCTCCACATCGCCGAAGGGACCCAATTAATTCTATCACTTATCGCTTTTCCATTATTGGTTCGCGGGTTACTGTACTTTCAGACATCGAAAAAGTTTCATTTTAATATTCGCTTGATTGCCTGGTTTCATGTTTTCAGTTTGATTTTGCATTTGACTGGGAGGTGAGTACTGTAGGATTTGGCGGGAAAAAAATTTGGGTTTGAAACATGCCACGTGGCAATTACTGATTATAGAAAATTTTCTAATCCAAGTTGAACTTTTTTCAGGAATTAAATTGTTTCAGAATCTTGAAATCCACGTGGAAAATTTTGAAACATAGAAAACCCTAGGTAAAAAAGTTGAAGCCAAATAAATTCTAAAAATTTTCAAAATCAAATTTAGTATCTCCAAATCCACGTGGCAAATTTAGCCTAACTCATCCAAATTTTCAGAATTCTACAAAGTTTGGCCGATTTATACATGCATTATGGAAATTTTCCAATCTGTGAAAGACGGCCGACAAATTTGAGGTCAACATTTTCAGTTTTTTAAATTTTCAGCACTTTCAGCCAAAAATAATCCAAATTTTGCAGATGTTTTTGCACTCGTATTATTTACGTGTTCGGTTTGTTTTCGGCCAGCTATTCAACAGTTTTTATGGTTGTCGAAAGAACAATTGCCACTAAATATTATGCCGAATACGAGAATCGTCAATATTTTTGGGGATTTGCGCTGGTTTCGGTGCAAATTTTGATGGGATCGTTGACGACTTTTTCGATTTTTAACAAATTTAATTTTGAGCAACCTATTAATTTTTGCTCGGTGAGTTGGAAAATTTGAACTTTTGGTTTCAAATTTGAAAAAAATTGGAGCGTGAACTTGACTTTTGAAGGGAAAGATAATATCAAAAATATTTTAAGGGGACGCCAAAAAATTCTTATTTGATATTTACGTTAGCGCCAAATTCAAAAATTACAGTACCTCAGAGAGTTGTAATTTAATATTCAATAGAATGACAGAAACATTTTCTGGAAAACCTACAGCCCTAAACGTATAATTTGAAACAGTGAAAAATTTTCACTTTGAAAAGTTTTCAGGCGAGTCGAAACAGTTCGCCATGGCTTATTGTAACTCCCGAAATCCTCATTCTAATCTTCAATTTCGTGGCATTTTTCCAATTCAACAATCTTCTCAAGATCAATTCAAAACTTCGCGGAAATTCGCAAAATTTGAATTTATCAATGGGGCAAAAATACCAGATTGAGGAGAATGTGAATCTGATTCGAATGTTGCGAAAATTCACGACTTGTGATTTTGTTTTTGTGATTTGCTATTTTTCGATGGGAATCCCGTTTCATGTGTTTGGAAAATATTTGGATCCTCCGATTTTTTATGCGATTTTTGAGTGTGAGTAGAGGAAAATCTATGGAAAAAACCAGATGAGAAACATTTTTGAGTGAACATTTCAAAATTTTATTTTTTTATTCGAAAACAATATCCCAATCTTGTGAAATTGAGAGTTACTGTAGTTAGGATTACTGTAGGTTCAAAGTCCTTAAAAATAAAAAAAAAATTTGAATTAATTCACGATTACAGTACTTTTTGAGTTTTTAGGTTAAACTACTGTAGTTTAGATTACTGTAGATTCATAGAACTTTGAGGATTACTGTGAATACTTTAAATATTCAGTGGAATCTGGGATTACTGTAGATTTTATGGTCAGAAGATTACTGTAGTCTCAAAATTCTTATCTTGAATTTTTTGAAAAATTTTTAAAATTCAAATTTCCCGCCGCTAAACTCAAAAATTCAAATTTTTTTTCTCATTCAGAAATAGAATCTGAGATTAGATTATGAATGAAAAAAGAGGCTATCCGATTTCAAAAAACACTTCTCAAATGTCAGATTTCCTCGTTTTTGCAGCTATTTATATTGTGCCAATCTATTCAATCATAATGCCATTTTTGATCTACAAATATGATCGAAAGTTGTGCGATTCGAGGATTCACAGTATTTCGCAAGAGATCAAAATTTCTAACGAGATTTATTTTGAGCAATATAATAAACAATGGAGGTGAAGCGGAATCTAGGAATTTGACGATTTTTCAGGGAAATTTTCAGGGTTCAAAAACCGCTGTCACCAAAAATGATGCATTTTTAATTTATAGTTTTGACGCCATAAACCAAGAGCTCGAAAAAAAGAGCAAAAATTTTTAATTGCTCGGCTCTCAGCCAATTTTTTTTTGAAAAATGTGTTTTTTTCTGCTGCAGAATTTTTTTTTGTAAAAAAAATTTCAAAACTTTTTACGTTTCAAAATATCCATATCAATTTTTCACACTTTCCATTTTTTAATACTAATTTTTCAGAATTTAGATTTTGGTGCTAAAAATGGATTGATTTTTATAATAGTAATGTGGTTCACCTATTCATCAAAAAATGAATAGAGCAAATAATTATTACAGAATTTTTGAAACGTATGAAATCTTGGGATTCAAAAACACATCAAATTTTGAGAACGAGAAAAAAACCTCAAGGAGCCACACCTAGAGAATCTAATTTTCTAGGACCCCCATCGAGATGTGAATTTGCAGCAAGGAGTCACTCCTAGAAAGTCTAGTTCCGAAGTAGCCGCGCCTAGAGGATTCAATATTCAAGCAGCCGCTCCTTGAGAACCTTATTGTCTAGAGCCCGCATCAAGAGATTCATTTTATCAAGGATCCGTGCCTTAAGAGCTTCTATTCCAAGTGGCCGATCCTTGGCACTATGAGAACAAATCAAAACCAAAATTCTCAAAATTTGGATGAAAATGTTGAAATTATCGATTTTTGGATCAAAATTCGGGGAATTTTTTCGCGCCAAAACCAATTGTTTTCAAAATCCCACCTGAAAATCAATAATTCTCGATTCGAAACAACCTTGAGTCAAACCAATTATTTGTGCTCCAATTCCAATTCGATGGCGTATTTGTAGCCTAAAAATAAGAGAGTTAGGCTAACTTTTAGTGGTTTTAAGGTTGAGTTTAAGCAATTTTTCAGGAATTCAGATGAAAAATGAGCTAATTGTTGATTTTTAACCCTAAAAAATCAAATTTCTGCTCAAAATTTTGATTTTTCGCTTTTCGAAATTGTACTCTTCCAATTTTCAAAGATTTCGTGTCAAATTCAAATTTTCACCTTTCAAATTGAAAAACAATTTTCCGCTCGAAAGAAAAACTGAACTTGAGAACATTTTCTACCAAATTTTCATTTTAAAAAAATCTGAATCAAAAATAATGTGTATAAAAAATTATTATGCAAATTTTGAAACGTATAAAATTTTGGAAATTTTCAAATTTCGAATGCAATTTTTTCAGCTCACAAAAAATGATTTTGAAAATTCTAAAATTTCCCGCCAAAACTTCCACAGATCTAAAAACACTATATTTTCCAGTGGAAAAATAATTTATGACTCCATCTCTTTATAAATTCAATTATGATGAAAATAGTGGAGAGAAAAGAGTATATCTTAAACTTTTCTCTTTTCTCCATAGCTCCGCCCACTTTTGCTCATTTTTCAGGAATTTTTTGTGCTCATTTTTTTTCTTGCTCGTTGTTTTTTGAATAATAATCAAAAAAAAATTGTCTTGGTCCCAGAGAAATTCCCATTTTTTTTTCAAAAAATAAAAATTGGATAAAATATATTTGTTGTTGTTTTTTAGGCGAAAAAGAGGGGTTCAGCTCAACGAAAAAAAAGGCTTGAAAAAATTCAATTTATTTTTTTTCTGGTTAGCTTAGCTTCTCTAAATGTCCATTTTTGTGTGTCTGAATTTCAGATTTTCGGAAAAAAAATGACAAAAAAATTTTTTCCCAAAAAGTTCATAGATCTTGTAATCCTCAAGTGATTTATGACTACTTTTCTAAAATTTTGAAAATATTTTTTTGGCGCCAAAAATATACACAGAATTATTCATGTTAAAATTTTGCCACAAATTATCTAATCATTGCTCATTTCAAATAGTTAAATTGCCACGTCATAGAATTTCAATTTTTTCAAATTTCCGGCCAAAATGTGAAATTTTCTAGCCAAAGAAATTTGGAGCAATTTTTTCTGAGCACACATTTTTTTGTTTCTCAAATAAAATTCAATTTTCTTGTTCCCAAAAATTTAGGCCCAAATTTCTTGAAAAAGCAAAAAAAATGTGTTTTTTTCATCAATTTTCCAGCTCCAAATCAATATTCTTCCAGAAAATTACCATGAGCAACAATAGTTTCAAATTCAATTGTTCCGAGATGCTCGAAATCTCCACGTCACCATTTCTAATCTCAGTTTTGATGACAAATTCGATTTTTTGTGTTTTGGGTGTGATTTGTTTGGTGTATTCGTGGAAATTGATGGGCGATTCGAAGCTGATGCATTTCAATTTGAGATTGTTGTTGAAATTGCATTGTGCCGCGCTGATTTGTCATTGTGTTCCCAGGTGAGTTAGGCTAACTTGAGTGATTCATAGATGAAATATATTTTTTTTTAATCATTTGAATTTTTTGATGAAAATACAAGTCAAGGATCTTTGGATCATAAAAAATGAAAAATTTGAAAAAAAATTAAGAGGTTCCAGAATTTTGATCTTCTGATTTCAAAATTCGAAATTTTTTCTGAATCTTCTGAGAAGTTAGGCTAATTCCTATAAATCAAATCTGATTGGGGATTTATTAATTAAAGGGTTGGTCCTCCGCCAAGGAATCTTGCTTGGTTTAGATAAGAATAAGGTGCTCCTGGAAGGTTCCAGTTTTAGAAAAAATTCTAGTATCAATTCAGCCCATGTTTTTCCTCAAAAACACAAGCGAGTTAAAACCTACGAAATAAAGCATGTAAATGCGCTCTAGCGCACAACTTGTTTTTGAATTTTTGTGTGTGTGTTTGCACACAACTTTGAAAATAACACGGTGACGCCTTTTTGCAGACGATTTTTTCACCAGGAAAGCACCAACCCTTTAATGACGATTTTAATTATTTATAATTTTGTTCAGAGATCTGCTGATCTTTGGATTATTTTCCAGCTTTTGCTAGAAATCATCTGGATTTTGATAATTAATTAATTAATAAAATAATAGATCTCCAGAGATTCCTATAATCTTTGAGCAGGAATTTTTCATGACATCAGAAAAAATGATTTTCTTTTTGTCTACTAGTTATAAAAATAGAAACACTTGTAGTAAAAATAGAAAGCATGTGGGCTTCTTTTTATGATTTTTTGAGAATGAATTTTCTGGCGAGTTGGGCTAACTTGTTGGAAAAATTCTTATTTTATTGAATTTTCAGCCAAACTTTCCCAAATTCCAGAATTTTAAGATCTTTGAAAAAAATTCGCTTGAAAAATTTGCACACTTTCACACATCACAAATTTTTGCGCGGAAAAGAATTTTTAATTCTCATGAGAAATCAATTTAAAATTCTTCCAAAACACACAATTTTTCAGAATTTCAAATTTTCTTACAAGGAAATTTTCCAAAACCCAATTTTTCCTCTCTCTCAAAAAAAAGCCCAACCACATCTCAATTTCCTATGTCAATCATTCAAAATGTCGTGCAAAAAAAAATTCCGAAATGTTCTTTTTCAGTGAGAAAAAAGGGCAAAGACCTTCTTCAATTTTCGCATCACAAATTATTCACAAAATGGGAAAATTAATGAATTTTTTAAGCGCGAACAAAAAAACATGGAAAATAAAAAGAAATTTGCAGATTTTTCCTACATCTCACGGATCTCTGGTTTTATTTTACTGCTTCGAATTGTTACGAAATGGAGCCTGGATCTATCAGGTTAGGGAAACATGAGCAATGGTTCTAGAAAGAACCTCTGTAAATTTTCAAGATGCTATGACGTGGCAAAAATTAACATGAGCAATGCCTCTGATACAAGATTCTATTGCTCATGTCAACTTTCATTCAAGAAAAAAATAATTTCCTCCGGATTTTGATTCAACTTTTTTCCCGAAAATTTACTGTTTCAAAAAATTTATATATTTTAAAAATTTTTAGAAAATTCAATGCGAGTTAGTATTGGGATACAAAAAATCAAAAATTTTCTAGACATTAGTTCATTGCTCATGTTAATTTTGCCACGTCAACCTAGAACAAAAATCAGAAAAATTTCAGTTGACATGAGCAACACATGAACCTTGATTTTCAGATGTTTCATTCTACGATTTCCCTACATGTTTGGTATGATTCTCTCAAGTACAACCACAATTTTTCTGCTAATCGAACGAATTTTTGCCACGTGTAAAAGTGCCACGTATGAACACGGCTATAAATATATTGGAATATCGATTGGATGTGCACAAATATTGTGCTCATTGTTGCTTATGATCTCGGTTTTTCATGAATACGATTTTGGAGAATCGCACTATTATTGCTCGGTGAGTGGCTGGAATAACATGAGCAATTACTATTACATATTGCTCATGTTAATTTTTTGAACTAAGAAGAAGGATGTTGTCATTTTTTTTGAAGTTATAAAAAAATCCAGGATAATCTGGGATGAGAAAATTAGCGAGATTTTTTTTGAAAAACTATTTGAAGAAAAAAAAAAGTTTCAATGGACTTTTGGAATCGGAGCGGGAAATAGCGATGAGAATTACTCGAGCCTAGAATCGCAAATTTTTGAGAAAGCGAATTTTGTGAGAAAATAATTCGATATATGTATCAAAAATTCGAAAAACTTCGAAAACTATAAAAAGGTTTTGAAACAGTGATTTTTTTTTCCAAAAATAAAATTAGTAGTGCATTCATACCAAAAAGCCATAAAACTCTCGGAAATTTATAGAATTTTTTGAAACAGTGAAGTTTTTATATATGAAAGCTCTGAAAACTTTTGAGTTCAAAATTTCATGCGGAAAACTCAAAGAATTTTTCGGAAATCCACGTGGCAACGATTTTTGATCAGAAATCTTCAAATTTTCTTCAGATGACTGAAATTTCCAGGAAAAAATCTCTAGTTTCTGTGACAAAGTGATTTTTGAGCTCAAAAATTCCTCATAATCATACTCTAATTGAATTTTCAAGAAAACATTTTGCAACTTATGTTAGACTAACTTTTTTCAATTAGAAAAGCGTCTCGATTTTATTTAATTACAAATCTGATTTTCAAAAAACCAATCACCAATTTTCCATGTTTTCTCTGGAAAAACTCCAAGTACAAGTCCATAAAAAGAAACAAGGAACCTAATTTTCATTCATTTTGTGTGTCTCCAAAAGAACAAGGAAATGAAACTCTTCTCTTGTGTTTTTTTTTCGGTTCGCGTGACTAGTAATTGGCAAGGATAGGAAACAAATGTGTTGTGTTTTAGTATACAAGAAATATCGAGGCGAAAAAAATGAATTTGAGGATGAGTAAAAATAATTCGGGGTTCAGGATAGGGTTTCTCATGTCAACTCACGGCCTTTTAAAAATAGGTTAAATTGCAAGTTGAGAGAGACGCAGAGAGAAAAAAACCACCTTCAAATGGAAATACGAAACACCAATTCCATTTGCAGTTCGACTCCTCGTTTCGAGACCAAGCGCGGGAAACATGTTTTTCAAAAATTTTCGAATTCAAAAACGTTTCCCGCGCTTGGTTTCGAAACGATAGATCAAATTATTTGTGAATTTCGTGTTTTGGATTTCTTTTTTGAAGAAGTTTTCTCGTTTTCTCTGTGTCTCTCTCGATTTACCTTGTAAAAGGCCGTGAACTATAAACTAGAAAATGAAACCTTAGAGTTCAAAATTATAGATCTTTAAGATGGAACGACTTCAGAATCAGGGACTTACCAGGCATTTCGGTAAAAACGCGCCATTTTTCCAAAAAAGTTCAAAGTACTGAATTCTTGTAGTAAAAAATGGCTTAAAATTCTGTGCCTGGGGACTTTTTAAAATTCTAAATCTCCGGTGAACAACTAAAGTTCTCCAAAATGAAAATCTTCTGAATCAGACGTCGATGGAAACTTCTAAAGTCAAGAAAAATCCCGATTCCCACAAAAACATCCATCAGCCTCAAGCTACCGTAACCTAGCCTCAAGCTACCGTAACCCTAAGGTTACAGTATCCCCTGCAGTCTGAAATTGTCAACTACAGTATTCCTTGTAGTCTGAGGTTGTCAATTACAGTATTCCTTTGAGTTTTGAGCTACCGTATACTTTGCAGTTTGAGATACAGTACTCTTCGCAGTCTGGTTACAGTATACCTTTTAGTTTGGGAGCTACAGTACCCCTGATGCTACAGTATACCTTGCAATCTGACGAGGTTGTCAATTTCCAAGAAGAAAAATATTCAAGCTCCAAAAATCTCGGCTCCAGGAGAATCTAAAAGATCTATAGAACTTAGGTCATTCCAAACAAAAAATCAATTCAGACTGTGATCAGAAACTTTTCAAATAAAATCCAAACAGAAGATCCTTACGTGACCCAAAAAATCCACCAATCTCCCAATTTTTGCAGAGTTTATCAATCAAACAACCTCTTTGGGTAATCGTTCCCGAAATCGTAATAATGTCAATGCAAATCCTCGCTCGAATCTTCAACCGAGTCCTTCTTCGCGTCAACAAATCCATCCGAACCAAATCCTTCTCTTCAACTCTTTCAAATCGTTTTCAAATCGAATCAAATCTTCGCAACATCCGTCTCGTTCAATCTTTCACACTCTGCGATTTATTATTCGTTTTCACCTGTTTCATAGTCTCCGCTCCCATACATTACAATTCTCCAAATATGCCAAGATCAACTTATCATGCTTGGGTAGAAGTTGTGCATTTCGTACCAATTTATTCGATTATCATGCCAATGTATTTATGGGTATACAGTAAGAAGGTGAGTTAGCCTAACTTGTAGAAAAACCTAATCTAAATTATTCTAGCAACGAGACAACGCTGTGAATACACTTCAAGCTGCTTTATCCACAAGTCCTGATCATTATTTCGAGATTTTGAATGATCAATTGAATATGAAGACGAAAAAAGACACGTTTTTCCGGAGGGCACGGACGAATAAATGATAAGAAAACGGAAAATGAGTATTTTATTGATTTTTTTTTGTAAATTATGAATTTCTTTTTTTTAGAATTTTTTTTTTCAATAATTATAATTTCAAGGAATATAAAACCAGCTCTTCAAATTTTATTTCGAGACTTTTCGGGAATCCTAAAATCCAAAAAATTTTCTAACGAAAAGTGGAAACATCAATTTCTATAGTTTTCAAAAAATAATGTAAAAATGTTGAAACAGTGATTTTTTTTTAAAACAATTTTTTTGGAACAATATTTAAAATTTTTCGAAATTGACAAAAAATTGTTCAAATTTGGAGGCTTCCTCAAATTTCAGAAAATTTTTTTTTTCTCAATAATAATTATTTCGAGACTTTTCAGAAATCCTAAAATCCAAAAAAACTTTTCTTACAAAAAAACGGAAACATCAATTTCTACCATTTTAAAAGAAATTAATATACAAATTTTGAAACAGTGAATTTTTTAAAGATCATTTTTCTTGGTATAATTGACTAAAAATTGTTCAAATTTGGAGGTTTCCTCAAATTTCAGAAAAAAAAACTATTGAATTTTTCTACAATTTTTCCAGCTAACGGAATTTCAGTTAATTTTTTTTGAAGAATTCAGAAATTTCAGAACATCCATTCACCCAACATATCAATTTCTATAGTTTTTAAAAAATAATATAAAAATGTTGAAACAGTGAATTTTTTTAGATCACTTTTTTTGTAACAATGAAAAAAATATTTCGAAATTGACAAAAAATTGCTCAGATTTGGAGGTTTCCTCAAATTTCAGAAATAAAACTATTGAATTTTTCTACAATTCTAGAAATATACCTGAAATCAATTGAATTATCCATTTCTACAGCTAACGGAATTCCAGTTAAATTTTTTTGAAGAATTCAGAACTTTAAGAAAATCTATATGCATCTATTCATCTGCAAAAAAACACGAAAAAAAATGTATTTTTTTTACAATATTTTTCTATTCACCAAAATCACAAATTGTCGCGAAATACATGCAATCGTGTCGAGACCCACACTCATTTCAAGGCAGAATGTGTGCTTTCGAAAATTTCATTTCTTGTTTTCTTTCTCCCATGTTTTTCTCCTTGAAATGTGTGTGGGTCTCGTCACGATTGACATTGATTTCGTGCATTTTGGTGAATAGAAAAATATTGTAAAAATACATTTTTTCGGTTTTTTTCGCAAATGAATAGATGCAATAGAAAAACAAATCAACTTCTATAATGTTTCAAAAAAAATAATGTAAAAACATTGAAACAGTGAATTTTTTAACTGAAAAATTTTAGAAATGTCAAAAAAATAACTGAAATTCCGTTAGCTGCAAAGTTGGATAATCCAATTGATTTCAGATATATTTCTAGAATCGTGTTTTTTTCTGAAATTTGAGGAAATCTCCAAATCTGAATTTTTGTTACTTTCGAATTTTTTTAAAGAAAAATTATCTGAAAAATTCACTGTTTCAAAATTTGTATATGAATTTATTTCAAAACGGTAGAATTTGATGTTTCCAATTCTTTTAGTAAGGAAATATTTTTCGCAAAAAAAATGTCAGAATTCTGAAATTCCAAAAGATTGAAGCCTTGGCTAATAATTTTCTGAAAATGTCTCCCTCTGTTCTCTACACCCTCTCACTTTCCTCCACTATTTCCCACCCAAGAATCTTATTTTTTAGGACACTCTAGTTTCCCAAAAACTGATCACTGATGTCGGCAAAAGAACACTCAAACAAACACATGGTTTGATCTTGGTCTAACTGTCTGCGTCTCCAATCTCTCGTAAAAAGTCACATTTTTCTTGTCACTCTGATCATTCTTTGAAAATTTGATAGAATTTTACGTGATCCACGTCATTTTTTTCCTTTTTTCATTTTCAGAAATGTCTCTCCCCACAAAAATCGCAATAATCGGCGAAGGAGTCGTCGGCTGTTCGACCGCCCTTCAAATCCTCCAAAACATTCCCAATTCTCAAATCACCATTCTCTCAGACCGCCCATTCGCCAAAACTTGCAGTGCCGGACCAGCCGGGCTTTTTCGTATTGACGAAGTTGAGAATCGCGAATATGGCAGGACCACTTTCAAGTGGTTCGAGAATTTGTACAAGACGAGAAAAGGGGATGAGACGGGGGTGAAATTGTTGAGTGGACATATACAATCGGATTCGAAGGAGAGATTGGAGCAACAACAAGCGGCTTATGGGGATATTGTGTATAATTTTCGATTTTTGGAGGAGCGCGAGATTCAGGGAATGTTTGTTGAACCATCAAAGTGAGTTGGAGAAAATTTGGGCCTTTTTTCTGATTTTTAAGTGAGGAAGCTTATGAATTTTGAATTCTTCAGAAACATTTTTCTGAAGAATAGTTCAAAACACATTTTGAAAATCATTTGTATTTTGAACAATTCTTCAGAAAAATTTTGAAATTTTTCTGAGAAAACCAAAGTTTTTTCAGCTAAAAAATTACAGAATTTTTCCAAAACCCGGGGTTTTCAGCTAGGTAAACGGTGAAATCAGAAAAATTCAGATTCAAAAAATTCACAAGCCTAAATTTCCAGATACTGCATCCACTACACCGCCTTCGCTTCCGAAGGCAACAAATACGTGCCATTCCTCAAAAAATCGATTCTCGAGACGGGAAAAGCTGAATTCAAGCATCAAGAAGTCGAATCCCTAGATCAAGTAAGCCCACATTTTCTAACGTCTCCAAAACCTTTTTCAGGTCGCCGACTCAAACTACGACATCATCGTGAATTGCGCCGGTTTGAATGGTGGAAAATTGGCGGGCGATGATGATACCGTATACCCGATACGTGGTGTGGTTTTGGCAGTTGATGCGCCGTGGCATAAACATTTTATGTATCGCGATTTTTCCACGTTTACGATTCCAAAGTGAGTTAGTTGATTTAGATTTTGAATGGGGACTCGAATCTAGATTTCAAACTACAATTAAAACAGTTCTAATTAGAAGTATAATAAAACCCTAATTAAAATCGTAATTCAGGGAAGACGTCGTAATTCTCGGCTCTGTCAAACAAGACAATCGATGGGACTTGGAAATCACCGACGAAGATCGAAAAGATATCCTAACTCGATACATCAAATTGCATCCTGGTATGAGAGATCCAAAAATTGTTTCGGAGTGGAGTGCATTGAGACCGGGAAGAAAATCGATTCGAGTTGAATTGCAGGAGAAAAGAAGTTCGAGTGGAAAGAATTATACGGTGAGAAATAAGGGCTGATTCACGAACAAAAAAATGTTAAAAAATGTTTTTTTAACATCGAAAGATCAATTCACGAAAAATCAAAAAATGTCGAAAAAACATTGTAGGTCAAAATTAGTTTTTCGAGTTTTTCAGCCAAAAATGATGACAAATCGATATTTTTCAAGCTTCTGGAGTAATTTCTGATGAAAATTGACCGTGGAATTCACTTTCCAGAAGGTTTTGCTGATTTTTCGTAAAATAAAAAAATTATAAATTTTGATGAATTTCAAAAAAAAAGCAAAATAGGGTTCTCGCAGCTTATTTTCATCAGAAATTACTCCAGAAGCTTGAAAAATATCGATTTGTCATCATTTTTGGCTGAAAAACTCGAAAAACTAATTTTGACCTACAATGTTTTTTTCGACATTTTTTGACTTTTCGTGAATTGATCTTTCAATGTTAAAAAACAATTTTTGAGCATTTTTTCGTTCGTGAATCAGTCCTATAGGGAAAATTGGGAAGAAAAACTAGTTATGTCAAAAAAAATTTCACTGTTTCAAATAATATTGAAGCGAAGAACGCCCGATGACTTTTTATTGAGCTGATGTAAAATTCGAAAAATCCAGAAAATTTTAGAATTCAAAGATCTGAAATCCTAAACACCAACATCTAGAAAACTAAGAGGTCCAGTTCAATATTTTGCGAACATCCTAAATTCCAGAGGTCCCAGAAATAAATCAGAGCTTCAGCGTCAACAAAATTTAAATTTCCAAAGTTCCGAATCTCAAATATTTCTAGGTAATCCACCACTACGGTCACGCAAGCAATGGTTTCACACTCGGCTGGGGAACTTCAGCAAAAGTTGTCGAGCTCATCAAAAACGCCATCAACAAGAGCAAAATTTAAGTATACCCCATAAAATAAAAATTTGCATGTGTTCAGTTCGTTTTTCTAATGAGCTCAGCTCTTTTTTGTGCTCCGCGAGCACCAAAAAAAATGCTCAAAGTGCATCGACCCTTTAATTGAGTTTTTTGTGCTCGAAATTGTTTTTTTTTTTCGCTCTTTCTGTTCGAAAAAACGGGAAAACGAGCAAAATATGCCATCTTTTTCTCGTTTTTTTATTGTTTTTTTGTTTGGGTCTTGGTTTTTTCTTTGGAATTTTTGATGAATTTCGAGTCAATTTTCCGAGAGAAAATGAACATTTTGATGAAAAATTCATAGAGGAAAAAGGCTCTCAGAACCCAATTAAATGTAGAATTTTTAATTAGCTCGGAAAAAAGTATAGAATTTTTTCTAGATAAAAATAGCATTTTCAGAGTTTTCTTTTTTTGTTTGCAAAATTTATAGGTTTTTGTCAAAAAAAAAATAAAATTATTAAAAACAGGGAGAAAAGCTCATCAATATTTCAAAACAAAAATTATGGGGTGTGAAAAAACAGGATAGAAAAATAGATCGAAATTTTCAATTTTTTTTTTGGAGCTTTTGAAAATTAGAAATTATTGTTTAGAAAATCCCTTATGCTCAAAAATTGGGCCCAAATTTTTACAAAAACAACTTTGTTTCATATTTCCAGCTCAACCGTTTTAAAATTCATGAACGTTTTGAAAATCAGAAAGAGCATTTTCAGGTTCAAAAAACTTTTGTGGAATTATATAGCATTTTAAACAGTAATTTTTTTTCTTTATTGTTATGACTTGATGTTCACGTTGTTCAATTATCAGAATTATCAGGCAAACAACAACTTTCCATAAAAATTTGAAACAGTATATTATTTTTCTTATGGGGTGATTCATAAAAATAAATTGACAAAAAAAGTGCGATTAATTTCACGTTTTTTGTCAATTAATCGCATTTTTTCAGAAATGAATGCGATTAATTGACAAAAAACGTGAAATTAATCGCGAATTTTTTGTCTATTTATTTTTATGAATCACCCCATTATGAAATTCATCAACGAAAATTATTGAAACAGTAAATTTTTGATAATTATGTCATACCGACAAATAATCAAAAATCACCAGAATCTTTAAATTTTTCATCAAATTTTGAAACAGTAAATTATTTACTTATATTTGAAATCAAAAACCACTAGAAATTCAAGATTTCTCATAGAAAAATGGAATTTTTAATAGAAAAAGAGGCCATAAATTCAAATCCTAATTTCCCCAAGTACGGTATTCCTCTGCGTCACTGACACGGTTTCGCGACCACATCATTGGGCAGAGAAATAAAGTCAAAGACGCACATATGGGTCTTGCAGCGACTGGCAGAAACACCGTACTTGGGAAGAATGACATTTAAATTTCCAGGCTCCGTTTTTTTGCCAAATTTTTTTTACTTTGATAATAGTTGAATATGCAAAATTATTAAAAACACGGAATCTCAAGATTTTTCACAAAATTTTGAAACAGTAAAATTTTCATATTGCGAAAAGCACTATAGGATCATCTCAAAAAAATATGTATTCCTTTTATAAAAATTTGAAACAATGAAGTATTTTTATGAATATCAAAGCAAATGCTCAAAACTTCAAGATTTCTAACTAAAACTTGAAACAGTAAATTATTTTCATGGAAATTATTTAGTTTTTGAAATTTTCGAGACTCAACCCTAATTCCAAAATCTTTGTTCACAAATCCAACAAATCAATTTTCTCCCAGAAAATCCAATAAATTTCCAGATTTTTCTAATATTGAACTTGATGAAAAATCTTATCTCTCTCTCATTTTTTTCATTCACTTCCCCATTCAAAAAAGAAAAGTGTAACCAACATCGAAAAAACGCGTTCCTCTTCTCAAATGTTCATTTTCACTTCCTCTTTCTTCAAATTTTACATTTTCTAGCCAGATTTTCTGGGCCCAAAAATCGATATTTGAACTCTTGTATATATGTGTGTGTATGTAGTTTGGTCCCCTAGGATTAAATTTTCTCGCGTTCACCAGAAAAATGTGAAAAAATGGGACGAAGAAATGAGAAAACATCAATCTTTAGTCGGCTCACATTTTTTCTTCGGAAGCTTGCACTTTTTTCTGGGTGCATCTTTTTTGAGGATTTTTTCAGTTTGTCACTAAAAAAATGTTCGAAAACCAGATTTTCTCGGGTTTTGGTGGACATTTTTGGTTAGCTTTTTGAAAGAGGATTTCTAGAACAATTTTTTGAATTTCAAAATTTCGCGCCAAAAACTACAGTACCTTCAAATTTTTAAATTTTCACTGTTCTCCTAATATTTCTTTCAATTTTCCCGCCAAAAAAACCCCAGCCCAAAAAAACGCACCAAACTTTCGTCGCTTCTCGAAATTCCTCTCAAAAATCAAAATTTATCCAAATCCTTCAGAATCGCCGTGAAAATCCGCTGATTTTCCGCCAAATTTCACGATTTTTTTACCAAGATCTGAAAATTTTTTCAATTTCCAAGTTTTAATTTTTTTTTGGAAAAAGGTCAAAAATCGTTTAAGAACACATTTGTCTTCTTTTTTTATGTTCTTCTGAATTCCAAGGTCAACTAGACCAAACCAAACTTTTTTCAGCAATAAAAAACCAGACAAATCTAGAACTTCCTGGTTTTTCTAAAATTAAAGAGCATAAATTAAGGGCTTATTAAATTAAGGCGAAAATTTGAGCCCAAGTTTCAAGGCTGAACTCTTAGGCCTTTTCCAGGCTTTTCTAGGTTTATATATTTTTGAACCCTATTTTTAAGCCTTAAGTTTAGGGATGAATTTTAAGGCTAATAAAAATTCTTCATTAACCAAATTTTGCTCCAATTTTAGCTAAAACTTTTTTTGAATATTCTTTCCTCAAACTTTTCTTCCACAAAATGTTATTGTCTTCAAAGTTAGGGTAACTTCAAAAAATTTTCAACGTGTTCAGAAAGTTCATGAAACTTTTTTCTATATCTCTTCTTTGCCTCAGGGCTTTCACTATTCAGAAGTTCTCCTAACTTCCTCATCTCTTCCAGCCAAACCCAATCTCAAAAAAATGGGTTGCGCAAAAGTGTGCGGTTGGATTTTGGGTTGTATCGGCTGTTGTTGCTGCACAATCGTCCTCGGTTTTCTTTTGATCAATTTGGGAGTTTTCGGTGGTTTCTACTTTTTGGCCAAAACTGCAACATCGTGTAATGAAACTGAATTAGCGTTGGCGGCCGAAAAATGCGATGGTCTTGGATATCAAGTGACAAATCTCACCGCAAAAAGTATCAGCAGATATGGTTTCGACTACAATAATAAGGAGATTAGTGATGCTTGTACTAAATATACAGTGAGTTAGGGTCCCGTGATGAATTTTTGGTGAAAAATACGATTCCGAAGACAAAAATAGCCAAAAATATTTTTTCTGGAGATCCAGAAGAGTTTTTGGCAATTTTTGACTTCAAGATCGTGATCAGTGTGAAGGATTCAGTAAATTTCACACTATTTCAAGCCCAAAATTTGCAGGTTTGCCAAAAAGAGCACTTCTGTTTCCAAAACACAGACAAATATAAGGATATGATGTTCGCGTGTGCAATGCCCGTGTTTTTGGCCGAAAAATTTTCGACATGTCGCAAGCAACTCATCGATTTTGCCAAAAAATCAGATACTTCTTGTCTCAAATTTTTGATCGACGAGAAAACTGTGAGTTTTTGGAAGAAGAAACCTAACATGAGCAATACTCGAAATTTTCAGCGTTGTGAAAAATGGGACGAGAGTCGAAAATGTCTGATGACCGAAATCAAAGAAATTTGTGGAGAAGGAATTTACAAAACTGTCAAGAACAAGGAGAAATTCGAGTGCTAATTTTATTTATCTACTTTAATTTTGCCTAGATATGTATTGATTGATTTTTTTTGGAAAAATTACAGCCATTGCTTTCTTTTATAATTTTGCTGAATAAAAATTACAATCTGGAAGCCAGATGTCTCAATTCTCATCTGAAAATCAGAAAACTCCAGCCTAGAAAAATGAGCTCATCATATTCTTGTTTGGAAATAGTTTTGCGATTTTTTTGCATTGTTTTTGGAATAATTCTAGCAGTTTGTCTAAGTTTTATACTCATGTATGGTCTGATTTTTGTGAAGAAGGTAAGTTCAAAAAATTGAAAAATAATTTGAATTTTGTGAATTTTTCAGGAATGATCCAGTAACTCGTATTTAAAGTGTTCGAATAGTTTAATTTTTTATAAATAAAATTTTCAAAAATTTTTTGCCTAGAAATTTTCCAGATTCTTTCCCACCAGAAATCTGAAACCCAGATGTCTCATTTTCTGAAAAATGTCTTGCTTGGGAATATTTTTGCGATTTTTCTGCACAACTTTTGCAATTTTTCTAGCAGTTAGTCTAAGTTTCATTTTCATTTCTAGTGTAATTTTGCCTGGTAAACAAGGTAGGTTCAAAAATAAGATATAAAATTTACAAAAAAATATTGGAATTTTTCAGGAATTGTGAAAAATGAAACATCTGTGAAAGAGAAAACTGGAGAATTTGGAGGAAGTCAAATATTTTGATAATTTTTTGGAATTTGAAATTTTTCTGAATAAAATGTTCAGTTATGGAAACAATTTGAGACCTTTTTCAAAAATGAAAATTTGCCGCGAAAAATTTCAAATTCAAATTTTTATCAAAAAAACTGACTGGAAAATGCTAATTTTAATCCAAATTTGAATTTTCATATTCATTTTCAAGCCCGAAATTCCCATAAACTTTTCCCGTCTCAAAAAATCTCTGAAACAATTGTTCCAACTTTTGCAATTGCAATTTCTCTAGAGAGGTCGACCCATTTTTCATTTCTCAAAAAATCGCAACTTTCAGCAATTTTTCAAAATTTTTTGGCTGAAAAATGTTGCAAGAATATTTTGCCTATTACGAATATTTCTAACTTTTCTAATTTCAATTTTATTCGGCACAATTATTTATATAATATATTTGGCTCTAATTTCACCAAATCTGATTGCGAATTCAAATTCTCAAAACTGCAATGAAATAGGCCATGAAATTTCAAATTTCAATTCAAAAAATCCCGTGAAACCTGGAGACTTTCAGAAAAATATACAATTTATCAAACTCTGTCTTGAATATACGGTAAGTTTTTGATTTTCTGTTAAAAATTTTGCAAATATACTTAAATTTCAGTATTGCCTAAAAACACGCAATCCCTTGAATTTTGAAAATATCGAAAATGTTCTGGAAGCCTGCCAGAAATCGATTCATAAAATTGCAAAATGCCGTGCAAAAATTGTGAGAGGATCTAGAGATTCTTGTTTGAATTCTACTGCAGAATATTGGACAAAAATCAAGATAAAATACATTTCATAAAAAGGATTTTAGTTTCAGATCAAATTTCAGTTCTGGGTTGAAAAAAGGTTCACGCTGTAAATAAATTCCAGCACTTTTTTCCGACAACACATGTCGCATTTTCCTCCAATTTTGCCTCATAGTCAGGTTAAAATATACTCTGCAAAATTATGTGTTGCCTTTGTTGTCTACTATTCACATTCGTATTACTATTTATCATAATCTTAACATTCGGTTTTTATTTGGAAAACCAACAAAAATGCGATTCACAAGAGCGGAAAGAATTGGAAAAATGTGATATTTATTCGAAAGAGGTTAAAAATTATAAATGGCTGAATTTTTTCAAACTAGAAATGTATCCGGAAAATGATCGAGTTCTTCGAAATTGTCAAAGCTATGAGGTAAGTGAGACAAACTAATAGACAAAAAAAATACGCAAACACTTTTGCGTACAGTAAAACTCGAAATCGCATAGATAATTTTGTTTAGAAATGTGTCAGCCGTCTTTTCTGTAACCAACAAGTCTCCGAAGTTAGAAAAACTAAACGAAAATGTGAAAAATATCAATTTTTCAATGATTTGAAACCGTGTTTGGACAAAATAACAGAAAACGCCGAGAAAAATCCAGAATCGTGTTATAACAAAGTGAAAGTGAATTCGGAAGGAAATGTGAGTAGGGCTGATTCACGAACGAAAAAAAATGTTTTAAAATGTTTTTTTTAACATTGAAAGATCAATTCACGAAAAGTCAAAAAATGTCGAAAAAACATTGTAGGTCAAAATTAGTTTTTCGAGTTTTTCAGCCAAAAATGATGACAAATCGATATTTTTCAAGCTTCTGGAGTAATTTCTGATTAAAATTGACCTTTGGAATTCACTTTTCAGAAGGTTTTGCTGATTTTTAGTGAAATAAAACAATTTTAAATTTTGATGAATTTCGAAAAAGTTAATAAAATAAAGCAAAATAGGGTTCTCAAAGCTTATTTTCATCAGAAATCACTCCAGAAGCTTGAAAAATATTGATTTGTCATCGTTTTTGGGTGAAAAACTCGAAAAACTAATTTTGACCAACAATGTTTTATCGACATTTTTTGACTTTTCGTGAATTGTTTTCGATGTTAAAAAAAACATTTTTAAACATTTTTTTCGTTCGTGAATCAGCCCTAGTTTCAGATCGAGAAAAATCCAATTTCCAGACAAAATTTGTCTTTTCCAGTATTGTCGACAATGGGCTGTGGGGAAACCGTGTATTGTGAAGGAAGTTAGGCTAAGATGTGAGAAAGAGACTTATCAAAAATTAGAAGTATATATGAAATACTCGTGCGAGCGATATTAGGAGTTTTTGAATTCATGTGTTAGGATTTTTTTGAGATTTGAATAAAGTGTTTTTCCGCAATCTTCGGCCAGAAAATCGAACCAAAATCAAAAAAATTTCAGATGTGGGTTGAAAAAAGGTTCACGCTGTAAATAAAATCCAGCATTTTTTTCCTCTGATAGACAACACATGTTTCATTTTCCTCCAATTTCCCCTCATATAATAAAATGTCAGGTTCAAATATAATCTGCAAAACTCTATCCTGTCTATGCTGTATACTATTCTCCATATTTCTATTTGCTGTCATAATTATACTTTTCGGTATTGCTCATAAAACTTGCAATTCAGAAGAGTTGAAAGATATGGCAAAATGTGACATCTTTTCGAAAGAAGTGAAAAATTATGATGCGTTCAATTTCTTGCGTCCAGAACATATTCATTATCCGGAAAATGACAAAATTCTTCGAAATTGTGCAAGTTATGAGGTGAGTTCTAATTAAATTTCAAAACAAAGCTGAAAAAATTGGAAAATTCCAGACTTGCACAAATCGCCGTTGGTGTATTCAAGAACTTGTGGAAGTTATCGAAGTTCGTCAAAATTGTAAAAAGTTCCAATTTTTCAATGATATGAAACCGTGTTTGGAGAAAATCTCATCGTGTTTTAATCAAGTGAAGGAATTCAGAAGAAAATGTGAGTTTCAGACAAGGAAAATTCCACTTTTCAGACAAAATTTGTCATTTTCAGTATTGTCTAGCAATGGGAACATGTGAGGAAACCGTGTATTATGAAAAAGGAAGTTAGGCGAAGCTGTGGCAAAAAGAATCACGAAAAATTGGAAGAATACATGAATCACTCGTGCGAGCGATATTAAAGCAACACCCTCGTATAATAAGGCCATTGTGAAATGATTTCAAACACCAAAATATATAAAATTAACCTATCCAGCTATGTTCACAAGAAATATGAAAAAGAAATACTCAAAAACGATCAAGTTTGACCACTTTTGAGAAAAAAAATTATTTTTTTTTGAAAATCGCCTGCAGATTGTGCAGATCCGCAATTTCATGAAATTTGTGCAAACACTGTGACGACAATTGTGTGCTACAGTACCCCTTTCAACTTTTTTTTCAACAAAAAGTGAATTGTTTCACTGAAAACAATGAAATAAATTATAACAATGATTTTTGAACATCCTTAACTATCTCTACTTTTATTTTTGACAATGATATTTCAGTTTCACATTGCATTTTCCGGTCAAAAACTAAAAAAACACAATTTCCCTTGAAAAAATTAGTTTTCGTTTGAAATATTGAATCTTCGTGTTTATACTTCTTCACTTTATTTTTTTCATACCCAGAAAACAGTTGTTTCCATGCGAATTGTCATTTTCCGAAAAAAACGGAAAAAAATTGCAAAAAAATAAAAAGAAATTTTAGGAAACAACTTTAAGAAAACAACGAGACTCCGCGTTGACACCAGCCCGCGTTGTTTGAATTTGATTTTTTCAGTTTTTCAATGGGCTTCCATATTTCGGCGAATATTTATTGAAACGTTTTGAATTTTTTCTCCGAACTAGAAAACAATAAAACTAAGCTAAATCTAAGATTTGAGAAAATTTGGGCTTTTTTCAAGAAAGTGCCTATTATACGAGGGTGTTGCTTTAACATTTTTGGAAATTTATGTTAGGATTTTTTTGAATAAAGGTTTTTTTTCGCAATTTTTCTCATCAAAATTCAAATTTTTTCGATTAAAAAGTTCTTTGAACTCTTCGCATTTTCTCACAAATTTCCCTTTTTTTCAAAAATTCCAATTAGTTCTCTAAAATTTGTCATCTTATTATTTTTAATTGCCAACTTCCGAGCTAATCAAAGATTTCTTTTTCTCCTCTGCTCTGCTAAAAAATTCTCAATTTTTCAAAAACAAATTCAAAAAATGTTGATTCGGGTCTTGACACGATTGACGTGTTGTTTTTTGTGGATTACTGTATTTATCACCGCGATTATTGGCATTATTTATTTGTGTTTGTTCGTTTTGGTGAGCAATGATTTGATTTGTAAAAGTGAGGAGAGAACGAGATTGGAGATTTGTAAACCGGTTAGTTTTTATAGTTGGACATCGACTAAATGACATTTTCATGTTTTTTAAGCAAATGGGTTGAAATATTGGGTTCTAATGTTATTCGTATGATAGAATGGTCCAAGACGAACAGAATGATATAAATTTTGATGACTTTACGTTATCCATAAGTGATTTAGCGACGTTTAGCCGATATTTAGTCGATAAGCCGAGTCGATCAACTAAACGTCGCTAAATCACTTATGGATAACGTAAAGTCATCAAAATTTATATCATTCTGTTCGTCTTGAACCATTATATCCTATGAATAACATTAAAACCCAATATTTCAACTCATTTGCTTAAAAAACATGAAAATGTCATTTAGTCAATGTCCAACTATATCTTAGAGCTCTTTTAACTTATAAAGTTGCATAATTTTCATTTAATTTTTCCCTCCCAGCCAAAATCCACCCCAAAACACGCACCAAAACCTAATCGCTTCTCGAAAATCCATCAAAAATCCAATATTTTTGAAAATTACGAGGAAAATTGCCATATTTATCGAGTTTTCGTGGAAAACCTGCAAATGTTCAACTAGATTTTCTATATAGACAGAAAATCAGCAAAAACTTACCGAAAATCCGGCGAATCTTTCGAAATTGACGATTTTCCTGTGAAAATTCTGACCAACATCCGAAAAATCTCCGATTTTCCAGGTTTTTGACATCCTGAAACAAAAACTTTGTCTATTATTTTTCAACAACAGGAAAAATTCGAGAAAACTCACCAAAAAACTTCAGATTTTCAGTGTCGCAACGAATTATCGATTTTTCTGATTTCTTAGAAGCCATTTCCAGCTGGCGAGAAAATACGAACTGAAACTAGAATTTATCAAAGACTGATTTTTTTTTTCGAAAAAAAAAGAAAAAGAAAAAATGGGCGGTCACGTCACGTAAAGAACATTAAAAAGAGACATTTGATTTTTTTTTTTCATTTCGAGAAATCAGGAAACTGGCATTGCTCATGTTAGTTTTGAAATCTTTTTTAATTTTACAACCCAAAACCCAGAAACAGAAAACTTTTGCGCGCGCAACCGCGAAAAAACAAAAATAAAATTTTGAATCCGCTAAAAAACAGGCGAGCGGAGTGTCGTTGTTTTATTTTCTTTTTTTTTTCTTCCGAAAAAAAACAATATTTTTTCGATTCAGCCAAATTTTCCCATTTCAGTCTCAAAAAAAATGTTTTTTTTCAGAAAATCACTGTGTTGACAACTGAGATTCTGCAACTCAACGAAACTTCGGCAAAATACGATGATCTTCATGAAATTTGCAAGGATGTTCTGGTGAGTTTTTATTGATTTTTCTCAGAATTTCAGGCTTGTTTTAACAAGAATGTTTTTTAGGCCTGTCTTCACCCGATAAAATGCAAATCGCAAACCAACGAATTCGAATACGTCCGCAATTTCTGTCAAGTTATCAGCACCCTGGCCTTCGAATCCGGCAAATGCTTCAAATCCCTCAATTCCACTAATGTTTCCTGCCCAAAAATCCTATTTTTGGCTGGCGGAAGATATTCAAGATCTAAACAGCATTGCAACAATCTGGCCGGTGGAGAAAAATTGCATTTTTGATGTGGTTTCGAGGAATTGCACAAGTTTGGATGTTTTGCAATTCAGAAAGTATTGGCAGACTCTTATGGATATTTTTAATTGTTAGATGAGTGGAATTTTGATAAACTCTGTGAGTATTTTCACGGGAAACACCGTTATTTAGCTATTTTTTGGCGCTGAATTGACTATTTTCAACAAAAAAACAAAGTAAAACTATCAAAAAATTCTTTATTTTGCAAATTTTGTTCATAGTTGGAAGGAGAACCCTATACTATCCTGATTTTTCGTCGATCATGGTGTTTCTTTTTACGATGAAGACTGACTTCCTGAAATCAAGTACTAATGTTCAAATATTGATCTGAAACAACACGCGTCGCAGACCGCGCCGCATCAGAAAATGCGCGTGTTAAAAAAATACAATTGATCACATTTCAATGGGAAAAAACATACGATAAATTCAAACATTTTCAAAAATGATGTTGACCAGCCTGAATGGTCCGATTAATGGTGCTTTTTCGGCGTTGTATAACAAATATTTTTGATAATGACTAAGTTTCTGAAATTAAATATTATTATGGTGCTCTTTTCGGCATTAAATTTCAATTTCCAAACTTACATATTTTTTTCAATGAGCCGATTGAAACATTTCCACGTGGTTGAATTTTGAAAATAAATCAATAATTAATTTCGAAAAAAGATTCCACCAATTTAGATAGTGGTAATGTTGATTAGACATCAAAATTATCTGAAAAAAATTTTGGTTTTTTTGGGAACAAAATAGGGGAAAACTTACTTGTATTCAAAATTTACATGGAAGTTCAGATGCTTTCTTTTTGGTTTCTTCTTCTTTCAACGTGTCGAGAATTTTTCGCTTCGATTCAAAAATTCATCCGGCGACTGAAAACAATTCAATTTTTTTGATATAATTGTGTTTTCATTTCAAATTTCAAACTCACAGTCCATAAGAATTACAGCGTTAGGCGGTCAAGTAAAACAATTTCATCAATAAATTATTCATACAAATTCCACCAATTTAGATAGTGGTAATGTTGATTTAGACATCAAAATTATCTGAAAATTATCAGTTTTTTAGATACTTTTTGAAAAAAATTGGGGAAAACTAACTTTTATTGAAGATTTTTGAAGAAGTCATACGCTAGCGCTTTGATTTTTTTAATTTTAATTTTTTGGTTTTTCATGCTTTCTGCCAACGACACTTCTCCCAGTAACTCCTCTGTATGTTTTGTAGAATGCCACGGAACTAACTGAAAATACCAAAATTTTTTGAGCTAGAAATCAAGATTGAAGAACTCACGATCAGACCTGAGAATCAGACCCCAAATTGACATTTTTCAATGTTTTCTTTGATTGTTCAAAAATTCCACCAATTTAGATAGTGGTAATGATGATTTAGACATCAAAATTATCTGAAAAAAGTGTTTTGCTTGAAAGTTTTCATGAAAAATTAGAACTCACTAATAGTATTGATAAATTATATGTGTAGAAATATTTGAGTAGATGCTAATACGAGCAAAATGAATTTGATAAGAGGAAATTTTTGATAAGAAAATAAGAGGGTTGGAGAAAAATTGAAATACATATGTAAACAACTTTTTTTGTGGGAACAAGGGGAGCAGTTCTGAAGATTTTCTGGGCGAGAAAACTAATCAAAATTCTCAATTTTCAATCCGGAAGTTGAGTTGATGAAATCTTTTTTGAAACCCTAAAATAAATTTTCAACAAAAAAAATCCCCCAGAAAAATACGTTTCAAAGATTTCTAAACTCTAAAATTTTTAATTTGAAAAGTTCCCAGTTCCAAAAAATGCCTCCTTAAAAAATGAGTTCCAAAAATATCCTAACTCAAAATTTTCCAACGCAAATTTTCCAAATCTTGAATTGAATTTGTCAAATTTCCGACCCCCCGAATTCCGAAAACTTGATAAACAATATTTCCAGTCAGACTTTAAATTTTCTCTGTTTGTAGTAAACAACACAATCATATGTGGGAGACTGTGTTCTTGATACGATTTGATTTCATTAAAAAAAAAAACATTTTCGAGACAGAACAATTAGAAGAAGAAGAATAAAAGAAACAAGTTGTAATAAATCGGGAAAAAATTATGGGTTGATTATTTTTGACTGGAAAAATTGGTCATTAATGAATGAAAAATGGAAAAGGTCGGGTCAGGTGATTTTTTTGTATTTGATCATCTACTGTGAGAACAAAAGGGGTACTGTAGATGGTAGATTTATTTTTGAAAATTCAAAATTTTCGCACTGAATCTTCTGAGCTAAAATTCAAAAAATTTATGAACGAATTTCAAAATAATTAGGAAAATTTGGCGCCAATTTTCAAAAATTTAAAATTTTCGCACTGAATCTTCAGAACTTAAATTCAAACATTTTGGCACGAATTTTCAAAAATTCCTAAACTTTTCAAAATTCTGAACAATAAGTCTCTTGAATGTACAGTACCCTCTAAACTACCGTACTCCTCCCCCTATGTCCCTTTAAAACTTCCCCATGTTCTTTAAAAAACAAAAATCAAACAAAATTAATTTCATTCCCCCTTTTTCCATCAAAAATTACAGCGCGCGCCCCTCCCAAAAGACTTATTTTAAATTTTTTTTTTCAATTTTCATTTTTTTTTCAAAAAATAAAAACTGGTTGTTAAGTAATTAATTTTGATTTCAACTTAATTTATATTTTATTGATCTGAAAACTTCTGAAAATCTCTGAAATTCGTTGGGTAAAAGAAGATCTAAAGATCTGGGAAAAATCGATAACCTGTTTTTCAAATTGTTTTTTTTTGTGTTGTTTTCTCTCAACTTTTCTCATTTCCCAAAAAAAATGAATTTCAAAAGAAATTCAAAACTTTGTATAAGTCTCAATATTTTCTATATTATTTGTATTTTTATGGTGATTTTCACCATATTTTTGCTATTTTTTTTGGCCTGGGAGGTTCAATTTAACAGTTTTGAGAAGTGTAATCGAGAGATGGAGGAGGAGATTTTTAAGTGTGTTAAGGTAAGGATTTTGGGTCAAAATTTTGAAATTGGAATTAAGATCCAGCTTTCCAAAATTCTCAGAATCTCATCTCAACCCGCCCAAACTCCACCAAACTCCCCAAACTCTCCATTCTACCCTCCCCAAAATCCCTTGAAACCACCATCGAATTCTGCGAAAACATCGAAGAATGTTCGCAAAAATATCAACAACAATGCGGAAATCTACTGGAATCTCACAAAATTCTGCCAGATTGTCAATTCCTCCTATTCTACACTCACGAATTTTCGAGTTGCGCCGAAAAATTGTGGGAATCTCCGGGAGGACAATCGAGTGCCTTCGAGAGATTTTTGAGGAGCACACAAATTTGGTAACTTTTTTTCTATTTTTCCAGTGACAAATGACGTCATAGATCTCTATAATTAAAAAAAAGTGAAAAAAAGTACACATTGATTTGGAACTAATTTGGTCAAGTGTACGATTTTCTTGAGAAATTTCGATTTTTCCCAGATTTTCAAAAAAATTTTGAAACTGTAGTTTCTTGAGCGTACTGTTGGGCATCTGAAAAATTGTAGTCCTACAGTACTTCAAGGCACAGTATCCCTGTAATTTTTCTCAAAAACAAAATCAATTCTGAAGTTCTATGATTTTTTTCAAACTACAAAACTTGAACTACATTTGATTTATCAAAGAGAGAATTAATTCGATTTCGGAATCGCAACATAAATTACCACACTTTTCCCAATGTGATTTATTTTTTACCGGAAAATAGAAACCATTTTTTTCAAGAAGAAGCGGAAGTAAAAAAAAACTTTTTAACTGTTTTAAAATAACTTCCTTTTAAAAAATTTCTAAAAATAATTTATTTCCTGACTCTTCAAATTGAAGTTTTGAGAATCTAATTTTATGAGAAAAAAATGATGTTGATCTACCAAGAAACATTTCTGATCTTTAAAAATCTCTATCAAATCAGACACGCGCGGGATATATTTGATAACAGAAATTTGTGTGCCTGATTTATGATCTACCCATGAATTTTCACGAAAAGTCAAAAAATGTTGAAATAACATTGCAGGTCAAAATTAGTTTTTCGAGTTTTTCAGCCAAAAATGATGACAAATCAATATTTTTAAGCTTCTGGAGTAACTTCTGATTAAAATTGACCTTGGAATTCACTTTCCAGAGGGTTTTGCTGATTTTTCGTAAAATAAAAAATTCAAATTTTGATGAATTTCGAAAAAATTCATTAAAAAAATCAGCAAAATAGGGTTCTGGAGAAGCTTAATTTTCATCAGAAAGTACTCCAGAAGCTTCAAAAATATTCGATTTGTCATTATTTTTGGCTGAAAAACTTGAAAAACTTATTTTGACCAACAATGTTTTTTCGACATTTTTTGATTTTCGTGAATTGATCTTTCGATGTTAAAAAAACATTTTTAAACATTTTTCTCGTTCGTGAATCAGCCCTAACTTTGAATCGTATCTAGAAAACTTTTGATCTACCAGAATTTTAACATGATTTTTACAAACTTTTTGATCTATCAAAAATTAAATTTCTGGATGTTTATCTACCAAAATGTTTTGATCTACCAGAAATCTATCAATAGTTTCATTTCCCATCCTGAATCACATTCTGAAGATTCTGAAGGCCACCCTGGACCAATTCCCTCCCATTCAAAAACTCCTAGTTTTCTGATCTACCCCAAACTCTGCCAAATATCAGACCCGCTCCCAAAAATGCGATTTCTGGCGCCAATCATCATCATCATCCGAATCATGTGTCAAACAATCAATCGAATCAAAATGCGATGACCATCGCGAACATTTACAAAACGATTTTTCGAAGGTAAAAAATCACCGCAAAAAAAACTTGACCTTCAATTATTTTTCTCCCCCAAAATTTTTTGTGTTGTTTATCAATTTTCTCATTTCTCTTTGTCTCTTTATTTTTATTGTGTGCGTTTTTCTGAAAATCTTCTGAAAATATTTTGCTGATTTTTTTCAGCACGCTCAACTTCTCGAGGAGTTTTTCTGCAATTCGGAATAATTTTTTTTTGTATTCAAATTTTTTTTTCTTTGATAATTATAATAATTACAATAATTTTTAATAATTAATTAAATAATCAGAAAAATGTCCAAAAAAGTGGTTTCAAAATGTTGTCTGTGCTGTAATTTGAGTTGTTGGCTGCTGATTGTTTTGGTGGTTGGCGGCATTTTGGCGTTGGCTTTTATGGTGAAGCAGAAGAATGATCAGATGGAGGCCAACGCGTTTTGTACGAGGGCGCATGCGGAAATCGCAAGGGCCTGTGCGGAGGTGAGCGGAAAATTTGGGGGCGGTTTTTTTGAATCCAAATTTGCCTAGGTTACTGTAGAGGTTACCGTATTTTTGAAAAATTTGGATTTCTTTGAGTTTTAGCATCAGATTTTTAAAGACAATTTTGAGTTTTCTGTGATTAAATTTTCCTAGGTTACTGTAATTTCGAAGTCTAGTCAAATCATAAAATTTTTGAAACGTATTTCTCATGTGGATTTTTCAAACTACACTGTAGTTTCAGTAGATTTTGAAAATTTTTCAAGTTTTACCCACACAAATTGTTGAAAACTGAATTTTGAAATTTTTGAAACGTAATTTTTACCTGGTAATTTTATTTTTTTTTATTTTGTCAGAAAATTTCCGAATTTATATTTTCAACTGAAAAAAATTAAATAGATGATCAAAAATTATGATTTTTTTTGTTTCGATTTTTGATAACCAAAATTCTTACAATGAAAAATGATCTAGGAAAAAAAGAAAAAGAGAAATTAATCCAATTACAATTTTTCAGAAAGACGACGAATTGGAGGCGGCCGCTCAAAAATTGAATCATACCGAGAATATTTTGTTCCCACCTGATGATTATACGGAAATGGGAGAGTTGTGTCATGTGACGTTGGTGAGGACCTCTGCGTCTCTAGCCTCTCTGCCTCTCTAGCCGTCTCTAGCCTCTCTAGCCTCTCTAGCCTCTCTAGCCTCTCTAGCCTCTCTAGCCTCTCTAGCCGTATCTAGCATCTCTAACCTCTCTAACCTCTCTAGCCTCTCTAGCCTCTCTAGCCTCTCTAGCCTCTCTAGCCTCTCTAGCCTCTCTAGCCTCTCTAGCCTCTCTATCCTCTCTAACCGCTCTATCGTCTCTAGCATCTCTAGCATCTCTATCCTATCTAACCTCTCTAGCATCTCTCGCACCTCTAGCCTCTCTAGCCTCTCTAACCTCTCTAGGCTCTCTAGCCGTCTCTTACCTCTCTAACCTCTCTAGCCTCTCTAGCCTCTCTAGCCTCTCTAACCTCTCTAGCCTTTTTAGCCGTCTCAAGCCATCTCTAGCTTCTCTAGCCTCTCTAGCCTCTCTAGCCTCTCTAGCATCTCTAGCCTCTCGTTTTTTTCCAGAACTGTGCTCGAGGCATCAAATGCGTAGAGATCCGTGATTCATTAGATGATATGAAAATTTGTGGATTTGTTCATTTCTACACATCCGAATTCAAAGAATGCGCACAAAAGGTAAGAGTTAGCTGAAGTTTTTTCAATTTTTAAATTTGAAATTTTCCAGCTTTACGAAAAACGCGATGAGATTTCTTGTCTAGGCGAGATTTTCAATTCAAAAGAAAGAGTGAGTTCAAAAAAAAAACCAATTCAGTCTCGAAAATTTCTTTGCAGACCCCCGAAGAAGCTTGCGAAGCGTGGAAATCCAGTGCGCCGTGCATGAAAGAATCGATAAAAATCGCGTGCGAAGATCGTTTGGGAGTTTTGCAATACAAATGGTCGAATCGAGCCGAGAAGGCGGATCCGCTATTCTGTCGAGAGAATAGTGTGATCTTCAACACTCATAATCATTCGGTTCATCAACACGAACATCAACATGTTCATATTGGAAATCAACATCATTAGAAGAATAACTACTTTTTGAATTTGAATTATTTTTTTTGGATAATTAGTTGGGGAATTTTGAATCGAACCTTATTTTTGAGATTTCTAAATCGAGAAGCTTCTGATAATTCTAGATTCATTTTGAAACTTCAAAAAAAGTTCCCTGAACTTATGCTCTAAAAATGGTCCGATTCAAAAATTCCCAATTTTTAATTTTTTTTCTAAATTTCGAAATATAGTGTACAAAAATTATGTTCCCTAATCCCACCCCCAAAAAAATTTCAGAAAAAATTCCTTCATTTCCTTCATTTACCGGTATTAGATTTTATGGTTTTCCAATTTTTTTAAATAAACTTTTTCAGACAATGAGTATTATGAATTTTTTCAGAGAAAAAATTATCTAAAATTTTTGAAACCTAATTTTCCAGGGAAATTTTCAGCTAGGTTTTTTTTTTTGAATTCGAATTATTATGCGGATCATTAGTTAGCTTCTGATAATTCTAGATTAATTTTGAACGATCGGTGTCAAAAATTCCACGTGGCAACATTTTTAAATTTCAAAACTAAAAAAAAATTCAGAAAAAATTCCTTCATTCCCTTCATTTACCGGTATTAGATTTTATGGTTTTCCAATTTTTTTAAATAAATTTTTTTGAAAAAATTGACTGATTTTCAGAGCAAAAATAATCTAGAATATTTGAAACGTATTTTTCCAGGGAAATTTTCAGCTAGGTTTTTTTTGAATTTGAATAATTTTTTGGATTTTGTAGAATATTTGAATCGGAGCATTCTAGATTCATTTCAAAACTTCGAATTTCGGTCTCAAAAATTCCAAGTGGCAAAATTTTTAACTTTCAAATTTTTTTCAGAATTCAGACTTTCAATTTCTCTCCGGTCCGATTCAAAAATTCCCAATTCTCAATTTTTATTTTTTTTAATTTCGAAATTATAGTGTACAAAAATTATGTTCCCTAATCCCACCCCCCAAAAAAATTTCAGAAAAAAATTCCTTCATTTCCTTCATTTACCGGTATTAGATTTTATGGTTTTCCAAATTTTTTTTTGAATAAATTTTTTGTCCGATAACGAATACCCACTGATGATTTTTTCAGAGCAAAAATAATCTAGAATTTTTGAAACGTATTTTTCCAGGGAAATTTTCAGCTAGGTTTTTTCTCATTTCGAAATTACTATCTTCATTTAAAATTTACCAGTTTCAATTAAAAAGTTCTAAAAATTCCCTAACAATCCAATCGACTTAGCCAAAGTTCCTCGAAACTTTTGAAGTTTGCAATTTTTTCATCGCCACAAATTTCAGCCACATTTTGATGCACGCAGTTTTGATTTTCGAAATATTTTGAGCAGTCTTGCTGGAATTTAAAAGATTAAGTTGAAAAATTTCAAAAATTTCAAAAAAAAATTCCGTACCATTTTAATTTTGTGGTTTTGGTTGAATAAAAGATCCAAACATTGACTAGACTCATTTTTCGCCGTGAAAAAATTATTCAAATTCGAAAAACAGGTTTTGAGACTTCCTGAAGAGTAATGTGAAATTTCGCATAGAATTTCCACGTATTCAAAATTTGGAATCACATTCAAGCAGGAGCTCATTGAAAGGCATTTCTGGAAATTTTTGGCTGAAAATTTTTGTCTGAAAATATAAGTACTCACATCAGTTTGCTTGCATAAAATCGAGAGTTCTTCAAACTTTTCCGGGTTACTGTAGCCATACGGTAGGGATTTTGAGAGATTCTCAAGGCGACCGATTTTCTGGAAAAAAAATAATTGAAAAAAATTTTCGGCGCGAGAAATTCAATTTCAAAATTTTCAAAAACTCACATGTAAACATTCCCTGGCCACCCGAACATCCGCATTTTTACAAATCAATTTTTTGTCCAAATATGTATAAGAAGTAGCAAAATATATAGCAAAAATCACGAAAATCACGAGCAAAACTGCAAAAATTGCCAAAACAATCTTCAAAATTAGTTTGAAATTTATTTTTTCGAAAAAATCGGATTCTTTTTGCATTTTCTGTCTTGTGGTTAGTTAGTTGATAATAAATTTTGAAACAACAAGAAAATATAAGGTTTTTGTTCGGTGAAAATCGAAAAAGATAAAATAGAAATAGTACAAATTGATGGGAGTGGTCGAAGATCTTTTCGAATTTTCATTTTTGAGAAAGAAAAAAACAGTTTGATTTTATGTGAAATCTGAAATGTTCTGAACATGGATCATAGTTTTCTTTGAACAAAATTGATCGATAATAATAAAACAGCAACAAGGACATTTTAAGAGTATAAAATTTATGAATAAATTCGAGTTCTTCAAACGAATTTTAACAAATCCAGCTACTTTTATTGAAACAACACAATTTTGAATAAACCATTACGTAGATTACAGCATCGTTGTAAAAAACATTGAAGTGTTAGGAACACAAATCGGCTTTTTCTTTTTGAAATATTTGAACAAAACAATTCTATAATCATTCAAAGCCAACGAAATAACAATTGGATCAATAATTGGATAACAATTGACGATTGGTATAAATATTGAGTTGCCATAATAACTCCAGTTCAAATTAAAAAATGGGTAAAACCAGAGAACCAAACATGGAAAAAATGTGAGAATCGATGGAATCGTTGTTTGAATAATCAAAGTTATCAATAGATTTCGATGAACACGTTTCACATAGTCACTTAAACTCAAAATTTTGATAGAATTGTGAATTCTGTTGGCTAAAACTGCATCGAAGATCAATGAAATAAAAAGAATAATTGCTGCCAAGATCACAGCAAGCATCCCATTTTTTTCCGAATCAGCCTGAAAATTTATCGATTTTTCCTGGAAATATTCCAACTAGAAACTTACATTATAACTCGCTACAATAAATGGTACATTTTCAGTTGTCTCTTTATATGTTCGCACAAAATCATTGTCCAATTCTTGTCTAATCATTTCGCCTGGCCACGTATATTGTGCCATTAGGAAAAGCCACGAGGAACCATAAATCAAAACAGAAATCACTGTTAGAAAAATGAATCTTGGTTTGAAAAAGTGAACGATCCAATGATTTTGACAGATTGCAAAATATCGATAGAGAAAATGAACTGAAATCAATCCAAATGTATAGGCAACCATTGAACATCGCAAAACCAACAAGAATTGACAAACATCTCGATATTTATAGATTATACTTTCCGAAACAAATACGATGAAACTAAATTGAAAACTTTCAGTTGAAATCGGAACAACTAATTCGAGAAGAGTTGTGCATAAATTGACACAAGAAAAGGTTATGAGAAGATATTTGTATTTTCGAATTGATTGTGAAGATTTTCTGTAGGCCAGATTGATGAATAATGTGTTGATGACTATTGAGAGGAAACAGAGAATCTTTGGAATATAAAAATGAGCCAAGCTTATGTAGATCATTTTTATTGAAGTGCTTTTGATTTGAAAAAAAAATATCAGTTAAAATAGTTTTCCTATGCAAAGTGCATGTAATTTATCTTCTCGAAAAAGAGTACAACTACAGGAAACTACAAAAATCATTTTTTTTTTCAAAAAAAAAAGAGCAATAGAATTTCTCCAAATGAAAAACAAAGAAAGCAATGACCTTGTGGACTATATATTTTTTACCGGGAAAAAAAACGTTTCACAAAAACACTCGGACTTTCTGAAATTGTTTTAAAAAGTGAACACTTTTGTGATTTATTTTCCTGAAATTGATAAAAATAACAAGAAAACAAATGGAATAATGAAATTTTATTTGGAACAATGTTTAGAACATTTTCAATCATTTAATGAACACCACGCCATATTGGTTCGGGATTTTTCAAAACTTTTCTTTCTTCTGCCAAACTTGACGACGCCAAAATAGCCAAAAATGTCACCAAATATTGATAGAAATTCATTTTCTTTTGTTATTTTCAGTTGAAATTTGGCAAGAATTTATAGATCAAATATTTCACACGGCATTTTGAATTTTGAGTTAAATGTATTTACATTTATATTTTAGGTTGATGATTTACATTTTATATACGTGAGATCAGATTAGTTTCTCAATCAAATTTTCAATTTTAGTTTTATAAGAGCTAGAAAATTTCCAATTTTCAGTGTAAAATGGGCTCAGGGATACTGTAATTTTAAAGGTACATATGACTTTTGCAGCTTTGTATTTTCAACCATTTTTCCCTTCTTATTATTTTCAAATAGATTGTAGTCGAAAAAAAAATACGAATTAGAAAAATCACTGTTTCGAATAATGTTGAATAAAAATGAGAATGAGCATAATTTAATTAACTAATTAGTTCCAAATGTCTCGAAAACAAAAAGTCAAATATTATATCATAATCATGTTGTTTTCTCCAAACCAAACGTGTCATGAAAATCTGATCGGATTCGATATTTTCATAAATATTTTAAAAATCTCATCAATTTTCTCAAACCTCGTTTATATCACTGCAATTTTTGCGTTAAAATCAAAAAGTCCCGAATCTTTTCGACAATATCAAAAGTTATTGTTCATTCACACTTTATCAAATATTGCTTTCGAAAATTATTTGTCAATCGTCTGGAAATTCATGATAACTCCACCGTGGATGAGTTTGTGTGGATTCGGATTAATTCATGATTATCCCGCGATTTCTGTGGGGTTATTTCTGATTTTTTTACTATCAAGTACGGCTACATGTCGAATTTTACTCGAACATCGAATGGAATGTCTTGTTTCATTGATCCCGAGAAAAGTTTATCTAATCTCAAAATCATTAAACTATTTCTATACTTTGACTCAATTTTTAGTGTTTTTCAGTTATATTTATTCCTATCAGGATTTTCGAAATCAAATGGATTTAAAAATACGAATTGATAAGGTTAGTATTTTATTTTTCTCACAATCAGAAGCGGGTTGGTGTGTGCGAACACTGCGACGCAATTTTGCGTACAGGAAGAATGGTCTTGGCCACCCAGAATAGCTGACATGTTATTTTTCGAATGTTGAAATAAAAACCTAAATTCTCCCAGAACAATGGACCGCTTCCAAACTTTATCTTTTGTGAAAATTGCCTTGTCTTCAACCTTGATTCTTCTAAATCGATAATTTTCGCACTAACTGCCACATTTTCCACACTAATCGCTGCTATCGCCATAGTTCTAATGGCTCTCGCGTCATATCACGCGTTATCCTCAAATACTACAATGTTTTCCAAAAGCACCATGATTATTCAAAAATCGTTTCTTCAAAGTTTGTTCATACAACTTAGTGTTCATATAATATTTCTCGCTTTACCCATCATTCTTTTCTTTTCCGCTTTTCTTTTGAAACTTTCTATGGAAAATTGGCAAATTTTCATACATTTTTTGACAATTTGTTTTTTCCACCATGGATCATTTTCAACGATTGCAATGTTGTCAACTAATAAACAACTGAGAAGGAATTGTGAGTTTAAAAAAAAATTCTGGATTGTTTTTGAGAACAATTGATTTTGCAGTGAGTCAGATCATCAGAAAAATCGGTCAACGTTCAAAATTAGCATCAAAAAATGAATCGAAGGTCAATACAGCATCTTTCGTATTTCAACAGATGAATCGAAAAAACACAACAACTTCATAGATCATGTTTTGGTGAAGAATTTTCAAAGATTAAGAAAACAATTGCAAAAATGAAAGTTTATTTTGAACAATGTTTATAAAATTTTCAATCATTTAATGAACACCACGCCATATTGGTTCGGGATTTTTCAAAACTTTTCTTTCTTCTGCCAAACTTGACGACGCCAAAATAACCAAAAATCCAACCAAATATTGATAGAAATTCATTTTCTCTTGTTATTTTCAGTTGAAAATTTAGCAAGAATTTATAGATCAAATATTTCATACGGTATTTTGAATTATTCATTTTTGTATGAATTTTTTAGGTTGATGATATTTTACATTTTCGGTACGTGAGATCAAAAACTTTGGATTTACAGGTCTCTTTCATAAAAACAATATAGGCTTCTGCGCAAAAACTCACTGTTTCAAATTGATTCAAAACATTGAGGGACTTTGAAATTTCTGATTTTTGATTGTCAAATTCAAGTTTAGTAAAAATCACCGTCCTAAAGAAAATAGAGAGCAAAAATTTTAAAAGGCTTATAAATTTCAGGATTTTTTGAAACAGTGAGATTTTTCCTTGGTAGAAAATGCTATGACGGAAAAAATTCATTATATAAATACGTCATTTCCTTTCAGTTTTCAAAAATAAATCACAAGTCCTGAAAATTTTGCAGCTGTCACCAACAAAACCAAAAATTCTCTCATTTTCTATTTCCCATTCCCAAAAATCATGATAAATTACACATTTTTGAGCACAAATATTTCGAAAACTCAAATTGCCACGTGGCAATTATTGATTTTTTCGGATAGCGAGGATCAATTCGATTTGAGCACATTTCTGACGATTGCGTTTTGTGTGAGCACATTTTTCAGCACGCCGTTTTATTGGAGATTATTTCGGAATGATAGGAAATTGAGGAAATTTGTGAGTGAAATTTTTGGATTTTCAGCCAAAAAAGAATTTTCAGCAAGAGCTCAGAGAAACGCTAAATCAAATTTTTCTCGTCATTTTTTTGCCCTCGATTTCATGTATTTTGTCGGTTTTATCAGCGCTGGTCAGAATTTTGTGAGTTTTTTTGAAAATTGAAAATAATTTTTAATTTTATTTTTTCAGAACTCTCCTCCTGCCTGACTCAGAGCTCCAAAACTACCTGCTCAATATTTCGAGTTACACAAACTTCCTCGCCAAATGCACAATAATATTCGCCATCACATTTTTCTCAAACACCCTCGATAATTTTCAAATCCTAATGGCTTTCCGCCAAGTTGTTCTAACTCGTCTCCCAGTTTTCCTACATTTTTGGGTCGAGCCTTTTGCGATGCAAATTCATATAACATTCATCTACATTTTCACAGTATTCTATCGGATTTTCTTCATTTTCACATTCAAAAATTTCATATTTCAAGATGAAGTTAGCCCATCTATACATTCGTATTTGAATTGTGTTCGAATTTTGATTTTTATCAATTTTTTGATTTGTGGGATTTTTTATTCTCTTTTATTTTTGAATATTTTGAAGAAACGTGGAAAAATCGAGAATTTTGGCAATTTGCCAGAAATCGCAATTTTGTACGATGGAATTCCATTGCTTTTGATGAGGATGAGAAAATTCCCCGCCAAAAATTAAAATTCAAATTTTTTTCATATTCTCCTATTCTACTACTTTTCCCATTCCAATTCTGAAATCGACAATTTCAAATCGTCGCTGAATTTTCTGATTTTCGAAATTCGCTACAAAATTATCTCAACCGGTTTGGTGCAATTCCTATATTTGGTGGATGTTTCAAAAATGTGCCAATTTTTGGCGAGGTTTCGGAGGAATCGGAAAATTCTGGATGTTGTGGATGTGGATGAGAATAAAGTTTAAAACAGTGAAGAAATAACCGTGATCCTCAAAAAATCCCATTTTTGAAACGTGAAAACTGAAATCGCTGCGAGACCTCACCCTTTCAAAAAATGTGTGCGCCTTTGATTTTAGTTTTCAGCCTCTAACCAATTTGACAAAGCGTTTAAGTACAAATTAAACAGTTTTCCTTGTTCATCTCGACGAGACGAATCAGATGGTATATTCAGCTTTTTCTGAAAATGCCTCTAACATGCTGAAAACTGACTGAAATCACTATCTAGTGTGTAAACACCGCGACGCACAAATGCACAAATCGCGTACCGTAGTAAATTTTTTGCAAAAAATTTATGTTAACATCCCATGGGATTTTTTTTCGTTTTTTTTTCACGTGAACTCTAATTGTAAATGTGTCTTTCGTTTCTTGAAGTTGAATAAATAACTTGTTTTGAATATTCAATATCTTCTTTTTGGTCTACTTTTTTATTCGAGTATGGATTTTGAGCGGAAATTTGAAAAAAAAACCGAGGGACTAGGGTTTGACACATGCAAATCCTAGTCCCTCATTATTTTTTTCTGACATTTTTACAGAATTCACAGTGTCCCGAACGCGTATTGCGCCAGCACTCCACACTCCACACACTCTCTCGTTTTCTCTCTATCTCTCATCCGTCTCTTCAGCAAAGCGCACTCTCTCATCTTTTTTTGCGCTTTTGTTTGCTTGCTGAAAAATGCTGGAAATGGAATTTTTGTAACTAAATCGAATATGGAGAAGATAGAGGAAGAAAAATTGAAGCTATTCCAAGTTGTTTCATGAAAAATGGTTGAGAATGAAATGAGCAAGAGCTCTTCAAAAAATAGCTTGTTGAAAAACATCATTTTTGACCCAGGAAAGCTGATAAAATTCAGTTGTATGCTTCCAAAACATTGAAATAGGACTCCTCATGTATGTGGAATCAATAATAATTCAAAATTATGCTGTTTTTGTTATTTTATTTTCCAACGAAATTTGCCCAAAATTGATCAAAAAACTAGATTTCAGAAGTTTATTTTGATCAAATAATTCTTGAAACACCTTGAAAGTATTCTAATTTACATATTTATCATAAAACAAGTGCCGAATCACATTTTTCCTTCATGAAATTTGAATTGTTTTTCTTCAAAAGATATTAACTAACTTATTTTGAATCCAATCTTCACATGTTTTATATCAAAACGTTCCTCTCATTATTCTCCAGAACATATAGCTCAGTTTGGGAGTTTTCATGCAAGTATAATTGGATTATAATCGTTTCAAGAAAAAACCTAGTGTTAAATTTTCAAAAAACCGACAAACAGGCTTGTGCGCTCTACCGCACATGCACGAAAAATGCGCACAACTTTTCTCTGCCTACGCGTTGGGGGCACTGTGCAGAATGGATTCGTCCATAAAAAAACCATCTTCTACGAATTCACAAAATCCGTCGACATCATTGGCAACTCCAAAATCAGCTGTTTCGATAAGTGTTGTAAGTGTCCGATGATTTTGCTTTCTCAAAAACAATTTGTTTCACAGAATCCCGTTATTTATAAAAGTTCAACTCTCAAACTTTCAATATCTCCAAATCAACAATTTTTATACGGTGTTATATTGCGAATAATCAAAACAGTATACGCTTCAAGAATTCCACAAATAACATCAGAACTGCCTGAAGATTGGGAGAAAATCAAAGAAAACGATGTGAAAAGAATAGGAGAATTGATCAGTTGTTATAATAAAGGAGCAAAAGCATATAATAATGAAATATGGGGATGCAGTTGAAAATCGAAAAATGTTAGGAGAATGGGCTTTGCCATTTTGCACACAACAAATTGCTGCTCAAATTACAAATTGGGCATATAATTGGTTGGTTTATTTTTTTTTTTCAATTTCAATTTCAAAATTAATATATTTTTGCAGTGCTGTTTCAACACCATCAATTTTAAACAGCCATTACAAATCATTTTCATCTGAAACATATGGAGAAACTAATCTTGAACAAATAACAAGTATATTAAATGAGCTTCAACTTGGACCTGATGATGTTTTTGTTGATTTGGGAAGTGGTGTTGGTCAACTTGTTGTTTATACAGCCGCTTGCACAAAAATCAAGAAAGCTGTTGGAATTGAATTATCAACTGTTCCAGCAAATCATGCTCAAAATCTTCAACATTATTATAAGAATATTATGGGACATTTTGGAAAATCTTATTCACCGTTTGAATTGCATAATGGAGATTTTTTGGATGCGAAATTCCGCGATTTGATAACCAAAGAGGCAACTGTTATTTTCATCAATAATTATGCATTTAGCCCGGATTTATTGGTCAAAATATCGGATGAATTGATTTCGGAATTGAATGATAATGTTAGAATTGTAACAGCAAAAGAAATGGGTGTATTAAAACGTGAAGTTAATGATCGAACTTCTCGAGGTAATTTATAGATATTTTTAAATCAATTCACGAAAAAGTCAAAAATGTCGAAAAAACATTGTAGGTCAAAATTAGTTTTTCGAGTTTTTCAGCCAAAAATGATGACAAATAAATATTTTTTAGGCTTTTGGTGTAATTTCTGAAGAAAATAAGCTTCGAGAACCCTATTTTGCTTTATTTTATGCATTTTTTCAAAATTCATCAAAAAAGTGAATTCCAATGTCAATTTTCATCAGAAATTACTCCAGAAGCTTGAAAAATATTGATTTGTCATCATTTTTGGTTGAAAAACTCGAAAAACTAAATTTGACCTACAATGTTTTTTCGACTTTTTTTGACTTTTCGTGAATTGATCTTTCGATGTTAAAAAACATTTTTAAACATTTTTTTTCGTTCGTGAATCAGCCCTATTATCAAATTTAAAAAATGTGGCAGCCGTAAAAAATGAAAACCAGTGCAGAGCTGAATGAATGACAAACTCATTACTTCGTCAGTCGCGAGCGGCTGTGCGTTGCGGTCAAAAAACAATCAATAATCCATTTTTTCTTTGTTTCCCGACCGCGACGCACAGCCGCACGCGACTGACGAAATAATGACTTTTTCATTCATTCAGCTCTGCACCGGGTTTTATTTTTTACGGCTGCCACATTTTTCAACTTCGACAATACTAAATTATTATTTATTTCGGTGTAGTAGTTGAACAAGATTTCAAAGTTGAACAAGATTTGTAGTAGTTGAACAAGATTTCTGTTTTCAGCACTGTCTTATCAAATATTCAAACAAATTTCAATAATTTCAGATATCTCATCAATTCTTGAAATGCGACAAATGAAATCACTATCAAATGGTGTTTCTTGGACAGCAAATGTTGTCAAATTTTGGCTTCACACTGTTGACAAATCCAAGGTTTGTCTTCATTTTTGAGAATCTCTAACATCTCATTTTTTCAGGTGTTCAAGTTTTTTGAACAAAAAGCAAACCGACCAAAAGGAAAAGATTCGAAATCTTCAAGTTCGCAAATGAAAGAAAAAGAAGGAAAAATGGTATGGTAAATTAATTTGTTGATAACAATTTCACTTTTGATTTTCAGCAATTTTCCACACCAAAAGAAGAAAAAATAAATTTGAAAAGACTTGCACCAACTCCGAGTGACTATGATAATGATAAATACTTTTTTGGGAGAACTAAAAGAAGAATGTGCAAAGCACAAGTTGGAGGATATAAAAAGGTTGGTATTTGAGGAGGAGAGGGAGATTGAATAAATTTATTTCAATAATTATTTTTTTTACCAAAAAAATCATCTTGTCTTATAATTATCTTGTCAACGTGTTTAATAAAATTTCGTTTAAAAAAATCACAAAAAAATGAAATTCTTCAAAAGCTTTGGCGAATCAATCAGAAACTTACAAGGGAACTGTTTCAGCTTGCAATCGAGATTTTTAATGAGATATATGTTTTCTAGTAGTTTTCGACCCGTTGATCACGATTCCGCTGTCTAAAACTGCAAAGCTCGACTCCTAACATGAGTTATGACGTGGCAAAGTTGAAAAAATTTGAGAAATTGGGACTTTGGAGGGTCCGAACTCGCCTTCAAAATTATTTTCATGAAAATCTGATGGCATAGCGTTGTTCAGGAGGCTCGATTACATAGATAGAATTCATGTTGAACAACCCCGATGCTATTAGATTTCCAAGTCCCAATTTTTCAAAATTTTCCAACTTTGCCACGTCATAACTCATGTTAGGAGTCAAGCTTTGCAGTTTTAAACAGCGGAATCGTGATCAGCGGGTCGAAAACTACTAGAAAACATATATCTCATTAAAAATATCGATTGCGAGTTGAAACAGTTCCCTTGTTAATTCAAAATTTCACCTCCTCATTTTTTTTCGCTCCCGCAAAAGTCCCCATTCTTATTTCCCCACCCCTTTCTTTTGTAAAAAAAATAAAAAACATTTTGACACATGTTTTGACAAGTGGAAAAGGAGCGATCTCGAGGCGCGCGTGTCCAGATGTATGTATGTATTCACCAAAATTTCAAAAGAGGGCGGACAAAAAATCATTTGATGGTGAGCTGCCGATTTTTCCACACCGTTTCCTATTTTTCTCCGTATTTTTTTTTACCAAAAAACATATATTAGATTCATTGACGTTATTTATCTACAGTAACCTGATCTACAGTAGCTTGACCTATTTTAACTTACAGTAACCATACAGTTTGAGCTACAAGGTTACTGTAAACTAAGGTACTAGGCATTTTTTAAACTAACTTGGAATATGGTAGCTCTACAGTAACCTAAACTACAGTAACCCTACCCTTTTCATAAATAAAATCAGAAATGTATATGCGCCAAAAACATTACAGTATCCCAGTAGCATTAGTTACAGTAGCCATCTAGATTCAGAATTCCCCCTGTACTATTTTTAGTCGCGAACTCAAACAGATGTTATTTCAAAATAAAAAATTCCCTATCATTTTTTTTCTTGACACACATGTGTTTTTTTCAAAAAAGGCGCAAACACAAAAGTTCCTCCTCCCGTGTCCAGATGTATCCCAAAAACTATTCATTCAGCCAAAAGAAAACAACAATGTGCTCGACTGTCTTGGCATTTGCCAAAAATTGTCTCACGTTCATTTTTCGGCCGATTTTCTTGTGTTTGTCGAATTTGTTGGACATGTTGCCGTTTCGTGAGTTTTTTTTTTGAAAAATGAAAATTTCGAAATTATTTTTTGGGTGAAAAATTATGCCACGTGAAAGTTTCACGTCGCGTTGAATAAAAAATAATTTTTCATTTTTTATTTCAAAATTTGGGATTTTTTGAAAAAACTATTTAAGATTTTAATCTTACAAGTACAGTAATCCTAGACCTACAGTAATCTCAGAAGCCTTGTGTTAGTTTAACTACAGTAGTTTTTGATCTACCAGATATCCATCTGTAGATTACTGTAGCCTGTACCTTTAAAAAAGTACGATAAGCTAGCAAATTGTGATCTACAATAACCGGGTTCACGTCACGTGAAATAAAAAATAATTTTTTATTTCAAAATTTGGGATTTTTTGAAAAAACTATTTCAAATTGAAATCTTACAAGTACAGTAAACCTACAGTAATTGTAAAATTACTGGCATTTCGTAGTGTTTTAAAGGTACAGGGTACAGTAGTTTTTTAAAGGTACATCGTACATATTTCTAGGAATCTTTCTGGTATATCAACAACTACTGTAGATTGACTAACTCAGAGCTTCTGATATTTGAAATTAAAAAATTAAAACTGCAGTAATCCTAGATCTACAGTAATATTAGAAGTTCTGAGTTAGTCTAACTACAGTAGTTTTTGATCTACCAAAAAGATTCCTAAATTTTTGTACGCTGTACCTTTAAAACACTACGGTACGCTAGCAATTTTTGATCTACAATGAACATTTTTCCAGGATTCGCATTTTTTGGTGGTCAAAACCGTGCTCAAATCGTTGTGCTCCAGGAGCCCCCTTCACAAGTTCACTTCGATAATGTGGATTACCCGGTGCGCATCAATGGAACGGTTTATTATTCGGACCCGACCAAAATTCCCCAGTGGACTCTTCGCGACATGTACACCATTCTGTCCCGTCGATTTTTGAGCTCCGAAGAAGATTTGAGACAATCTGGCTATCCGTATTTCCAGATGAATTATTTTTCTGGCGAGCCTGCTGGAAAAGTGACGATTCGTCAAACCGAGTTCGAGGAAGACGAGCCGATTTGGATTGCGAATGGAGCGAGAATGCGATTGTGTTGCCGGTGCAAAAATGATTTCGAGTTGGATGAGAATGGCGAAGATGTTTGTCTTTTTCATTTGAAAAAAGCGAAATTTGATCGAGGTAGGGGAAAATGTTTTTTATTGGCGCGGGAAAAATTTGAATTAAAAAAAAATGAAAATAAAATTTCCAAAATTTTATACGTTTCAAAAAATTGACAAAATCTTTCTCATAAATTTCGAGATGTTTTGAGTTGAATGCCCAATAACTCTGATAGGATTACTGTAAATACTGTAATTTCAAAGGTACAGGAAAGATTCAGTATCCTAGGAGACTACTGTAGACCTAAAACTAGCTCTAGGATTACTGTAGTCTTAAAGGGACATTATTAAAATTATGGACATTTTGAGGCATCATGTTCCTTTAAAACTACAGTAATCTGGGGCTATGTGAATATTTCAAAATTCAAGAACCTTTAAAACTACAGTAATCCTAGGCTCTTTTTACACTGAAAATCTTGAAATTCCTAGAACTCATAGAACTACAGTAATCCGTGATCTACTGAATTTCAAAAAATATGAATCTGATGTCCCTTTAAAGCTACAGTAACCCTGGGATTACTCATATCCAGAAAATGCCGCTTTTCTTTGATCTACAGTACCCCTAAGTCTTTCAAATTTCCAGAATCCGGTCAAAAAAATCCACGAATGTTGTCAGAAAATCAGCGGCAGATCGCTCGGCTGCCAACTCAACAACTTCCACGTTTTCAACCAACTTCAAGTCTCAGAACTCCAAAAATTTGTGTCAACTCCAAGATCCCTGGGACCTGTGGATCCTCGAAATCGAAATGTTTTTGGAATTGACTGTGAGATGGTCTACACAAGAAATGGCCCAGCGGTTGCCAGGGTTTCTCTAGTGGATTTTGCTGAAAATGTGGTTCTGGATATTTTTGTGAAGCCTGAAGCGCTGATTTTGGATCCGAATACGGAATTCAGCGGATTGACTGTGGAAATGATTGAGGAAAAAGCGAGGGATAATTTGGAAACGGTGAGATTTATTTTTTATGGGAAAAAAACTGGGATTCAAAAAATTTTTGAAAATTTTTTTCTACAAAAATGAAATACTATGTTTTTTAACATCGAAATATCAATTCACAAAAAGTCAAAAAATGTCGAAAAAACATTGTAGGTCAAAATTAGTTTTTCGAGTTTTTTCAGCCAAAAATGATGACAAATCGAGATTTTTCAAGCTTCTGGAGTAATTTCTGATTAAAATTGACCTTGGAATTCACTTTCCAGAAGGTTTTGCTGATTTTTCGTAAAATAAAAAAATTTAAATTTTGATGAATTTCAAAAAAAAGCAAAATAGGGTTCTCGAAGCTTATTTTAATCAAAAATTACACCAGAAGCTTGAAAAATATTGATTTGTCATCATTTTTGGCTGAAAAACTCGAAAAACTAATTTTGACCTACAATGTTTTTTCGACATTTTTTGACTTTTCGTGAATTGATCTTTCGATGTTAGAAAAAACATTTTTTCGTTCGTGAATCAAGCCCTAATGAAACCTACATTTCAGTGCCGCCAAAAACTGTTCCGCCACATCAATTCAAGATCAATTTTAATCGGACATTCCCTGGAGGCCGATCTCAAAGCTCTCCGAATTGCCCATCTGACAGTAATCGACACCGCGCTACTTTTTGGTGGGAGAATGAAACCATCACTGAAAAAACTTGCGCGGAAACATTTGCGGAAATCGATTCAACAATTTAATCCCGAAAATTTGGGACATGATTCGGTGGAGGATGCGAGGACTTGTGTGCAACTTGTCAAGTTTTATTTGCAGAATTATTTTTGAGAATTTTTATTGAATGTTTTGTTATTTCCTGCTCATTTATCTATTTTTTAACAATTTTTTGGAACTATTTTTTGCAAAACTTGTAAGTTCCTGTATCTCAAAGTAATTTCCTACCTTTATCTATTTTTGGACACTTTTCTAATTAAATTATTTTTTTACCTCACTTTCCTCAGACATTTTTTTGTACTTTTCTGTCTTTTTGTATCCCCCTTTTTTATTTATAAATATTATTTTCTAGAAAATTTTTTTTAAAATAATTTTTTAATTTATCAAAAAATCAATATTCAAAAAAATGGTTTAGCTTAACAAAAACTTTTTGATCCTGAAGTTCTCTTTGAGCTCAAAAAAATCTTCACTAATTAACTAGCTCCCAGGGGACTTTTGCTAACTCACCTCCTATTTTTTCAGACAATTATTTTCAGATCCCAATATGATCTTCATAAGTCTAGCCCATTCCTACATCCCAAAAATCCTATGCATTCTCTCCACAATCATCAACACATTTTTCATCACCCTGGTTCACCGAAAATCTTCAATTTCCATCGGAAAATACAAATATCTTCTCATCACCTTCTCAATTTTCAATATCATCACAAGTCTTCTCGAATTAATCGCTCCAATTTCAACAGAAAGTTTTCAAATCAGCCTAATTGTCTTCGTCGCGGATAGTTTGATCTACGAATATCATCGAGATCTCACACAATTTCTAATTTCTCTAAGATGTTCCATGGTTTGCTATACTTTTGGACTGATTTCCATTCATTTTTTATATCGATATTTTGCAATTTGTAAAAATTATTGGTTAAATTTGTTTTTCAAACCAAAATATATTTTGATCATGTGGTTATTGGTTTCAATTTACGGGTCTTCGTATCTGATTTTAATTGCGAAATATATGTGGCCAGATGACGTCACCAGACAGAAATTGAACCTGGATTTTATTGAGAAGTATAATGAGAGCACTGGAAATATACCATTTATTATTGCAAGTTATGGGGTAAGTTTGGGACTTAAAAAAAATGTTTAAAAATGTTTTTTTAACATCGAAAGATCAATTCACGAAAAGTCAAAAAATGTCGAAAAAACATTGTAGGTCAAATTTAGTTTTTCGAGTTTTTCAGCCAAAAATGATGACAAATCAATATTTTTTAAGCTTCCACAGGCATAAATTCTTGACTTTTTAATTCAGAAATGCCTGTCGCAGAAAAAAATTTCTCGCGTGAATCGGGAGGCGGGATTTATTTGGAAAGGTGCGGCACGTTTTTTTTTCAAGCAAAAATTATTTCTGATTTTTTGCATTTCGAAATTTAGTGAAGAAAAAAAATGAAATCGAAAAAATTATTTAAAAAACGTGAAACGTGTAATCGTGGCAGGGGGCGGAGCCAGCAGGAAAAAAAGTCAGAAATTTATGCCTGTGGCTTCTGGAGTAATTTCTGATTAAAATAAGATTCGAGAACCCTATTTTGCTTTTTTTCGAAATTCATCAAAATTTAAATTTTTTCATTTTCCGAAAAATCAGCAAAACCTTCTGGAAAGTGAATTCCAAGGTCAATTTTCTTCAGAAATTACTCCAGAAGCTTGAAAAATATCGATTTGTCATCATTTTTGGCTGAAAAACATCTTGTGTTTTCAGCAACCTGAAATTGACCCAAGTGGTATAATCGCAATGGGATCCGCAACAATTATCTCCATAATTTCCCTCACCTTCGATGCAGTTTTGGCCACCAAAATCCACTTTGCTATCAAAAATAAGGTCTTGAGTAATCATGTCAAACGTGTACATCGAAATTTGTTGAAAACATTGATCGCTCAGACTGTAATTCCCTCATTTCTCACATTTATTCCATGTTTTATTTGCTGGTTTTTCCCGCTTCTCAAATTAGATCAAAGTTATTATATAAATTCGATATTTGTGCCAATGATCAGTGCTTATCCAGTTATTGATCCAATTGTTATCATTTTTGCATTGAATGATTATAGAAGAGTTTTGTGTAAAAAGTTTGCAGTAAAAACTCCAATTTATTTTTATAATAATACTTCATCGGTCTTGCAAACTACAAGATTTTAAAGTCTAGAATATAAATAAATTTGGTATTTTTTTTTGTTGGAATTGTGAAAAAAAAATCCCAATCAAAATTCATTCATACGAAAAATGAAAATAAAAAATGCTCAATTTTTCTCACAAAAAGGTTGAATTTCATCCAGCAGACTTTCAGCAAATTCACGGCCTTCTGGACAAGCTAAATCGATTAGGCATTTTTCTAATTCCACGCAGAATATTGATTGATTTGAGCTGGTGATTTTTTGGGAAATCTGAAAGGTTTTGAATTTATTTTTTTTGGTGTAAAAAAAAAGATCTGGTGAAAGTTCAATTTCTCATAAATAGAAAATTTAATTTCAGGTTTTAAGTTCAAGAACTTTTTTGGTAAAAAATTAGTTTTCTGGTTTCTGAACGTTAAAGAAATTTTCAAAATTTTCAGAAAAAAACTTGATTTCAGATTTTTCAGATCACTAAAGTCTGAAAATTAGAGCACCTGATTTTTATTAACAAATTTATTTTTTTCTGTTTTCTCCAGCTAGAAAAACACATTTTTTCCCCAAAAAAAACCAACTTTTGCGCATTTCACACCAATTTCCAGCTCCATTCTCGTACAATAATTCCAATCATTTTGAATCGCCGAAAATCCGGAAATCATGAAAACCGCTATGAAAAATGCGAGAAAAAATAGGAGAATGAGGAAAATCGTAAGACTTTTCATAACTTTTTTTTTCGAATCAAAAGTTTTTCGAATTTCGGAAAGAAAAACCGGTTTGGCCTCATTTTATATTAAATTGTTATGGGTTTTCGGGGAAATCTAGAATTTTCTGAATCACCTCACCCAGAAAAAAAATCAGAATCACTTTTTTTTTCAAAATCACCTGTCTCTCCCAGCAAAATATATTATTTATCAGCTCATTTTCGATTTTCAGCCAGTCAGCTCAATTTCAGCTCACTTAAAAAATCATGGTGGAAATCAGTTTTGATCTACCACTTTTATTAATTTATCACTATCGAATTGTTGGGATTTTGTCGTTTTTCGTCAATTTTTTGGCACTTTTTTTGATTTTGACGAGGAGTGGAAGAATGAACAGTTTTCGATATTATTTGATGTATTTTCAGGTGGGATTCTGAAATTGAATTTGAAAATTGAATTTGATTTGAAAAAAACTTCGCATTAACTGTGAAAAACATGGATTTCTGATATTTCTTGGGCCAAAAACTAGACATGTGAAAAAAAACGTGAGACATAAAAACCATGTGATTTGTCTGAATCCAAAAACCAATACACAGATTTCCTAGGCGCTGAAGTTTGATCTAACACAAAACTCGGTGGGAATTCCAGAAGGGCTGATTCACGAACGAAAAAAATGTTAAAAAATGTTTTTTTAACATCGAAAGATCAATTCACGAAAAGTCGAAAAATGTCGAAAAAACATTGTAGGTCAAAATTAGTTTTTCTAGTTTTTCAGCCAAAAAATGATGACAAATCGATATTTTTTAAGCTTCTGATGAAAATAAGCTTCGAGAACCCTATTTTGCTTTATTTTATGAATTTTTTTCGAAAATTATCAAAATTTAAAAATTTTTTATTTCACGAAAAATCAGCAAAATCTTCTGGAAAGTGAATTCCAAGGTCAATTTTATTCAGAAATCCCACCAGAAGCTTGAAAAATATCGATTTGTCATCATTTTTGGCTGAAAAACTCGAAAAACTAATTTTGACCTACAATGTTTTTTCGACATTTTTTGACTTTTCGTGAATTGATCTTTCAATGTTAAAAAAACATTTTTTTCGTTCGTGAATCAGCCCTAGAGAAATTCAAATTCTAGTCTAAATTCTCAAATTTTTGACGATAGCTTCGCCATTAGCGATAAACACACACAAACCGCCGCCTATATACGTTTTGTTGTGTGCGACGGCTCGCGGGTTTTGCGTGGTAACCTCATGTGTGTGCGAAAGGGGCGGGGCTTGTTTTTTATTTTTTCGAAAATTCGCGTTTTCGATGTTTTTGAATGAAAATGTTTAAAAAAAGAAAATTCCTTGCATATTTTTTTTACGTTTCAAAAATTCTTTAATTTAGATTTTCAAGAAATGATTTCAATTTTAGGGTTCTCTATTCAAATTTCCTACGAAAAAGTGTATTTTTTCCAGATTTCCTGTATAATACTCGATATCCAGCTCACATTTTTCATGCAACCTTGCCCACTTTTTCCACTAATCGCTGGATTTTCCAATGGAGTTCTCTCAACTCATCTCAACATTTCCTCACATATTCTAATGTGTATATTATTTCTTTTCATTAATATTCAACTTCATTCTCTAACTGTTTGTTTCATCAAAAAACATCAAACTATAATTCAAATTGGCGCGAAAAATGCTTTTTATTTTGCTGAAATTGGAGTTACTTTAGTCTGCTATTTTTGGCCTTTTTTTGTTGCGATCATATTTTATTTGTCGGAATTGGATAAGGATGAGCAATTGAGACGGATTGGAGAGGTTTGATTTTTTTTCGATGGGAAAAATTTACTGTTTCAAAAATTTTATTTATTAAATTTTCAATTATTATTAGCCAATACGAATTCGGTTCTAAAATTCTCGAAAACTTACGTTTCAAAATTTTTGTATTATTTTTTCTTGAAAAATTAAATTGATGGAAAGTTTTTGTCATATTTCCAACAAAAAAAATTTTCAAAAAAAAAACTCTGGTTTCGATTTTTCCCATGTCCTAACCCAAAATGTTTTTTTCTCCAGAAATACCCCTCCCTAATCCCCGGCTTCTTATCCCTGCGCGAATTTCAATACTACGATTTATCCGGTTCATTTATTCTCGTATTCCTCTTCATCACCTTCGGCTATATATTTGCCATAACTCTAATTCCAATCCTCTCCTACAACATGCTCCAAATTCTCAACAAAAACAGTCTTCGTATGTCAAAATCATCAATTTCCAAGCATAAATCAGCCATAAAATCCTTAATTGCTCAATTTCTAACGTGTCCAATTGCTCTACTTCCAAATCTTGGAGTTATGATAATTCTGGCTTTGGAGCTCAGTTTTGCTCAACAACTTGGCGTCTATTTTCTAATGATTATGACGTTGCACTCATTTATCAATTCGATTGTTATGATTTTCAGTTATCCCGATTATCGAAATGCCGTGTATTTCTGTTTTCGAGATCGAAGGAAGAAAAGTAGTGTTTTGGTGACTACAGCTTCATTGAACTGAACTGACAATGAAATTAATATTTTATTCTCAAATTTTTGACGATAGCTTCGCTACCGCCCATGAGCGATAAACACACACAAACCGCCGCCTATATACATTTTGTTGCGTGCGACGGCTCGCGGGTTTTGCGTGGTGACATCATGTGTGTGCAAAAGGGGCGGAGCTTCTTTTTTATTTCTTCAAAAATTTGCGTTTTTCGATGTTTTTGGATGAAAATGTTAAAAAAAAAAAGAATATTTCTTGAAAATTTACGTTTCAAAAATTCTTTAATTAAGATTTTCAAAAAATCATTTCAATTTCGGGTTTTTCCATTCAAATTTCTTACAAAAAACTTTATTTGATAAGATTTTTTTCATAATTTGTGACATTCTTAGTTTAGTCAATAACTTTTCAATTCCTGAACTTTAGTCGGAAAAATTTGACTTTTCAATTCCGAACTCATAAAAATAATAACCAATGGAGATCCGAGATTCAAAAAATCGTAGCAAAAATATTGAATCATGAGAAGAGTTATTGAAAGTGCACAGGAGGAGCAAAATGCAAACAGGCTCTGCAAAAAAAAACTCAGAATTTTTCACAAACCCCAAGTTTCTGCCCAAACCTGTGTCAAAGCAGTCGCAATAAATCCCATCGAAATACAAACCGTCGCCACGCACAAAGTCTTTTCCGCATTTTTCAATCGATTCGGCATCGCCACAAGACCCACTACAGTAATCGCTGTGCAGATTACTGTAGTCACCAGGGAAACCAACAATAACCCCAAGTGCAGAACACTTAATTTAGCCCAAGTTCCAGTAACTCGCTTGACATAGGAAAAAGAGAATCCACCGTACATTGCAAAAGTGCAAGTTCTCGAGATCATAACATTCCACGTGATGAAAATGGGTCCCGCCACGATTAAGAAAATGACAGGTTTGATCATTTTTTGCCAGCGGATTTTATAATCCAAAGGCCAAATTACACACCACATTCGATTAATTGACATAAACATTTGAGTGAGTGATTTCATTGCTTTCATATAATTTGGGAGAGTGTAAAAGATTGTGGCGAGAATTGAGGGATTTTCGAAGAATGGCGAAAGAATTGGGCAAATTGGTGGGATGAAAATAAGAGGACGTGTGTAGAGAACATCGATTAGATTCATTGTTAAACTCTGGAAATTGGGAAATTGGGAAATTTTTGAAACAATAGAAAATGTGGATTTAAAAAAAACACGCAATAGACCAAAAATCGATTTTTCTGTGTGAAATTTGAGAAAATTTTGAAACAGTGAATTTTTTTTCTATTTTCTTTTTCAATTGATTTTGTTCAAAATTCGAGAAATTTTTGAAACAGTAATTTTTTTTAATTTTTTTATGACTTGGCAATCTGGAACTTAAAATAAGTTTCAATCTTGTGAAAAATTTGTTTTTTTTTATTTTTGCTGATAAGCCCAATCAAGTATAATCGAATTTTTTTATTCTGTGTAATATTTGAGAAAACTTTGAAACAGTAAATTTTTTTTGTTAATAATTACAAATTCTGTTGGAATTTTTCACTGTTTCAAAATTTTCAAATATTTTTTGGAGGTTATTTTTAGAAATAGAATAAATTTCAAATTCATAGAATTTTTTCACTGTTTCAAAAAATTTCACATTTTCAAAATTTGCAGACAAAAACTTCAGTCTCAACACAACTGGTAAGAACTTATTATTCATCAAAAAATCTAAATTCGTATAAAATCTTGTGAAAAATTTGTTTTTTTTTTATTTTTGCTGATAAGCCCAATCAAGTATAATCGAATTTTTTTATTCTGTGTAAAATTTGAGAAAACTTTGAAACAGTAAGTTTTTTTGTTCATAATTACAAATTCTGTTGAAATTTTTCATTGTTTCAAAATTTTCAAATATTTTTTGAGGTTATTTTTAGAAATAGAATAAATTTCAAATTCATAGAATTTTTTCACTGTTTCAAAAATTTCATATATTCAAAGTTTGTAGACAAAAACTTCAGTCTCAATTGGTATTGTCGAAATTGAAAAATGTGGCAGCCGTAAGTGTACCAAAATCGATTTTTTCTGTGTAAAATTTGAGAAAACTTTGAAACAGTGAACTTTTTTTTCTATTTTTTTTCAAATTTTTTTTTCAAAATCTTATTTTTGAAATTGATTTTGTTCAAAATTCGAGAAATTTTTGAAACAGTAACTAAAAAATTTCACTGTTTTAAAATTTTCAAAAATCTCTTGATATCTAGAATTGTTGATTTTTCATTATCTGAAACAATGACGTGGAACTCAAAATTAAAACAACTTCAGATAATTTTGTTTTGAAAATATGAAAATTTTGAAACAGTAAATTTTTTTTTTGAAATTTTTCACTTTTTCAAAATTTTCAAATATTTTTTTAGGTTAATTTTTTTTCAATCAAACGAAAATTTGAGACAATACATTTCAACTTCAATATTTAAAATAATTAATTTGTTTCACTGTTTCAAAAATTTCACATTTTCAAAATTTGTAGACAAAAACTTCAGTCTCAACTGGCCAGTACCGGTACCGACGTTTCAAAACTCACCGCCAAAATATCCACCAAATAAATGCGAAAAAACGTGTTCTTCTCAAATTCCTTCCTCTTTTTCACCAAAATAATTCTCAAAATCAAAAAATGCAGCCAAATTGATATCGAAATATAAATTGATTGCGTCAAGTATTTGACAATTTCTCTGGAATTGTTGAAATTCGTGTCGCATTCGATTGGCATCGGAAGATCCAGGGTGTAATTCCGATCAGCTGACATTATAGAAGTTGCTGGAAATTTCGAAATTTTCAGATTTTCAGACAAATTTTTCTGTGAGTTCAGAGAGAAGCTGAGAAATATGTACATATAATAATAATAATAAGGTTGAGGTCAGAAGTTGTTTTTTAAAATTTAAATTGACGTGGAAAGATTACTGTATTTCACATTTACAGTACTTCTAAAAACTACAGTAACACGGACTTTAACAGCAGAAAAAACCCTTAAACAATTCAATTTTTCAAAGAAAATATTTTGAAAAAAATTTTGAAACAGCAGATTTTTTTTTTGAAAACTAAAACTACTTCTCACTGAAATTGATTTTTTCTGAAACACCGTGTAATTAGAATAAATTAGCATTCGTAAAACATGACTCGTACTTTAATTATAGGTTGAGTTTTAAATTTGAGGTTGAGCGTTCAGTTTTTCTCACATACTATCAATAAATGTTTCCAAGTGAAAATTTTGAGAAAATATTGAAACAGCGGATTTTTTTTTAAACAAAAAGTGGGAAATTCAGAATACTGTGAATTTTTAGCACCGAAAATTCCAGAGTACTGTAGTTCAAGCGGTCAATTTTCAAACCAAATTTTTTGAAAAAAAAAGTTTAGTCAGAAAATGTTTCTAGAAAAAGTTTTGACCTTATTTACGATAAATTTTCAGCTGTTTTGAGTGAAAAAGTATATTAGTTTCTATTTTTGGAAGAAACGTTTCTAGTCTTGAAATCTTGGAGCTGAAAATATAGTTACAGTAATTTAGAATCAGATAGAAAATTTTCAGAATTTTTTTTCCAATCTTGCGATCTCGCGCGAAAAATTCCAAAAAATATCCTGAAAAAATACGTTTCAAAAATTATTCTTCGAATTGTTCATAAATCATTTTGATGATGGATCATTCTTATCAAAAAATTGCAAACCTAAATTTCCAAATCCCCAAAAATATTTCCATGTTCCTCACAGATTTTCATGACAAGTTTAAACGTTCAAAAACGAATCGGAACAACGTCATGAGATTGCAATTCTTATCAACAAAACTTTATTTGGTTGACTGTTTTTGAAAGAGAATACAGTTTATCTTTTATTTTTCAAAGAAGAAAGACAAATCACAGGTTTTCTGATCTTTTTGATCTTTCTAGGAAGAAAACTGTTCATTGAAACAGCAAAAAAAAATATTTTTCAGAAAAAAAAAGATTTTCCGTGGCTCAAAATTCTTTAAGAATTTCTAGAGGTCCCATTTCGATCTACAAACAAAAATTCAAAAAGAACATCAAAGTTCGAAAAAATTGTTTTGTCATCATTTTTTTTCTTCGATTTAGCCTAACTCCAACACGTTTGTGTACGTTCTACAACTACGTCATGAGATTGGTCATTTTATCTTTTCAAGTCTGTTTTTTGACCAGGGGTACTGTAGTTTTGGTTTATTTTTGGGATGTGAGTGTTCTTTGGGAGAAAATAGGAAGTTTCAATTACTTTTGGGATACTGTAGATGTTTAGAGTACTGTAGTTTTTCATCTAGAATAATTGTTAGAAAATATTGGAATTTTCGGAGCAGGGTACTGTAGCTTCTGGAGTACTGTAGTTATTTATTAAAGTTATACGGTAGAAGCCTGAATTTGCAGTTCGAGATACTGTACTTTTTAAATCCTGAAATTTTCGCCAAAACCAACAATTTTTATCAAAGAAAAAATTTCATTACCAAAAAAAAAAGACAACATCGGAGATCTACAGGTTTTTGGGGGAAAATCTAGTCACCCGTCTTTTTCCAGAAAAAAAACATTGAAAAATGAAATGAAATGTGTTTGGGGGAACTTTGAGCAAGTAAAAAAAAACATAGTGAGTTTGTAAACTTAAAACTTAAAGGAACATAAGATGGGTGACTAATTAACTAATTAAAACAAAAACAAACTAATTGGGAAAACGGGGGGAATTTAGTGGTGATTTTCGTATTTTTTCATCTTCTTTTTGAGCTCCGAAATTTCTTTGGATAATTGTTTTTCTTGTTGGCGAAGCATTTTGTTGCGTTGGAGAACTTCTTGATAATCGCTGAAAAAAGAACAAAATTGGATTTGAAAATAATGAATTCTAGTTCAGAAAACGTTTGAATTTTAACGATTTTTCAAAGAATTCGAGGCAAAATTTCAGAAAAAAAATTGCTTTTTATTTTTCGAACCTGTAGAAAAGAGAAATCGAATTTTTGAAAAGTAAAAGAATTAATGATTTTTTTGAAACAGTGAATTTTTCGTTGGAAAAAAAAAATTAAAAATTAATTTTTCCCGTAAATTTCTTATATCAAACTTTCGAAAGATTATAAAAATTCATGATTTTTTTGAAACAGTGAATTTTTTTTTTGAAAAAAAAAATGAAAATTTTATTTTTTCATAAAAAAAATCACTGTTTCAAAACAATCATGAATTTTTTCACGCGTTCAAAATTTCGTTAGTTTAATTTTTGCAACAGTGAAAATTTTTGTGTAAATGAAAAAAATTGGATGAAAAATTCAAACTTTTCCATGAAAGATTCAAAACCGGAAAGCTAAACTCATCGCGAATGGAATTAAATTTTCGGAATAGTGAAAAAATTCATGATTTTTTTGAAACAGTGAAATTTTTTTTGAGAAAAAATGAAAATTAAATTTTTTCCTAAACTTTCAGGAGATAAAGTCTGATTTTTAGTGTAATGTTTTCCAATTGGAATAAGTATGAAGTTTTGTGTATAGTTTACAGAAGACACAGGAAATGAAATTTATCAATTTTCGAAAGATTGTAAAAATTTCATAAATTATTTTGAAACAGTGAATTTTCGACATAATTTGTGATTGAAAAATACTCGGAAAATTTTCATATTTTTTCAATTTTTCAGGTGAAACTCGGATTTTTTGAATATTCCGACATGATTTCCGATGTTTTTTTTCACTTTTTTCAGGGGCATTCTGATTTGTTAGTTCAGAATCAAAATTTCGAAAGATTTCGAAAATTTATCATTTTTTTTTGAAACAGTGAATTTTTGAAGTGACAAAAAATGGTATATTTTTGCAATTTCCAGGTTTAATATTCAATTTTTCCATATTTTTTCGGAATTTTTTCACAACAAAAAATTCTAGTGAACAATTTTCAAAACAAATTTTTTAATCAAAAAATTGCGCTCACCGATTTCTCGCCATTTTCTCCTCCCTCTTCTTCTCTCGATATCGAATTGCCGCAACTCGATTCAACGCTCTTCTTCTATCAGTTTCTTCATCAACCGACGGTTTCACAACAACTCCACGTTTCTTGAATTTCGGCTTCTCTTCATTATAATAATCATCAGATGCAGGTGTCCAAGATCTTTCAGATTCTGTAGATCGATAGGTTCTTCTAGATGTTCTCAATTTCCTGGAACTCGATGATGATGCCAAACTCTTACAATCATCTTCTTCAGATTTCGGAATATAAGTAAGAGGTCCCGATTGGAAAAGATTGAGATCATAGTCTGGATTTGTTGAAATTGCATTGCGGCCGAAGCTTGGCTCATAATTTTGAAGCTCAAAATCCTGTTCTTGTTTGATTTCATCTTCGAATCTCAAAATCGGCGTCGATGTTTCGAGTTTTGGAACAGCTGACAAATAATTGACATATGACGTGGAATCCATTTGTTGTGGTGCAGGAGATGGTGCAACCGGTGCACCACAACCACTGATTATTTGATCGTCTTCGGCAAGATAACGACTCCAGGCCTGCAAAAAATTGAGATATTTTTTGAAACAGTGAAGTTTTTCGTAGCTATTTTAAAGGGAATGCAGAGATTTTCAACAAAAATCGAATTTTTCGTATGAAAATCTGAATTTCCAAAAAAAAATCAAGAAAAATTTTGAAACAGTGAATTTTTTTTTGCTAAAAATCTGAATCTTTCAGTTATTTTTGAAAAGAATTGGGAGTTTTTTGACAAAAAAATTTGCTTGAAAATCTGAATTTCAAAAAAATTATACTAAAAAGAAAACATTGATTTTCCAAAAATCAAGAAAAATTTCTAAAAATTTTGAAACAGTGAGTTTTTTTTTTGCTTAAAGTGTGAATCTTCTAGTTATTTTTAAAGGGAATTGGGAGATTTTCAACAAAAAAATGTTCCTTGAAAATCTGAATTTCAAAAAAATTTTATACTAAAAGTTGTCACGCACGGATTAATTTTTCAAATAATCGAGAAAATTTTCTACAAATTTTGAAACAGTGAATTTTTTTTTGCTAAAAAAATGTTTCTGAAAATTTCTCCGAATTTTAAAAATTTTCAGAATTCAATAAAACTTTAACAAAAAATGTTGCTTGAAAATCTGAATTTCAAAAAATTTTATACTAGAAATTGTCACACACCGATTGATTTTCCAAAAAATCAAGAAAACTTTAAAAAATTTTGAAACAGTGCATTTTTTTTTGCTTAAAGTGTGAATCTTCTAGTTATTTTTGATGGGAATTGGGATATTTTTCATCAAAAAAATTTTGCTTGAAAATCTGAATTTCAAGAAAATTTTATACTAAAATGTTTCCACTCCACCGATTGATTTTCCAAAAAATCAAGAAAATTTTCTACAAATTTTGAAACAGTGAATTTTTTCCCCGAATTTTAAAATTCTGCATTTTTTGAGAAATTTTCAGAATCCAATAACAAAAAAATCACTGTTTCAAAATTTATAGGATTTTTTTTTGAAAAATCAATACATGTTTTGCGGAAAAATTCTCAAATTTCACAATTTTTCAACAAAAAAAGAAGAACATTTCGAAATTAATTTTCAAAATCTAAATTTCATTACAAAGTTGATGAAACTCAGAAAAACTCGAATTTCAGCCGTTTTTTTTAGTTCTGAAAGTTTCAAATGAAAAGTTCTAGATGTTCTGAATTTTAGAATTATCTGAAATTTCAGAGTTTTTTTTTAAATTTCAAAGATTTCAAAAAATTCAAAAAGTTCTAAATCTTTGAAGAAAAAGCTGCTAAAAATAATCCAGAAAATATTTTTTTACAAAAAAAAAAAGCTGATGCAACATTTCAAAACAAAGAAAGAATGCACTGTTTCAAAAAAAAAAACAAAAAAAGCATTTTTTCCGAAAAAACTACAATAATGAAAAATTGCATCATCATTTTTCTTATATATTTGTTTTCCACGTGGAAAAAAACGGCGAACGTTTTTCGGTGAAAATTTTTAGGTCAAAAATTTCTGTCAAAACTTACATCCCAATCAACCAACTTCGACGCGTTATCAATGTCATTTTCGAAATTTTTCAAATTCTCAAATTTTGGCGCGTTGAAACCCAGTGGCGGCTGATTGTTGTTTGTGGTGGTGTAGAATTGATGTTGATTTTGATCTTGCGGCTGATTTTGTTGGTGAAGATTCTGGTGTTGGTGGGCCTGGAAAAATTTGAAGATTTTGTGAGATGAAAAATGAGGTTTTGAAATTTGACCCCAGGAAAACTTGTGAAAAATCTCACAACATTTTTGCTTGAAAAAAAGTGAAAATGAGCTACCTAAAATCCACGTGGAAAATTGTTTTTCCAATCAAAATTCGTGAAAATTTCACTGTTTCAAAATAAATTTGTATAATTTTCAAAGCCACGAAAAGTTCGTTAAATTGAATCGAAATTATATTCAATCAAAATAAATTATTCTGGGTCAAAAAATCCACGTGGCAAATTTTTTGGAAGCTTTGGACCAAGTTCTGAACTTTTCATGAAAAACTTAAATTTCCAAGGCAAAATTTAAAAATTAAAAAAAAGTCAAAACTTCACTGTTTCAAAAAATTCATACATTTTTCAAAACCACTGAAAATTCGTTTAATTGATTGGTTGTCTGTTCTAGGAAATGCAATTGGATTTTTCTTCGAAACTAGGGAGAAAATATTTTTTGTGCTAAAAATTGCTCTGAAAATTCAGAAATTCTCATGAAAAAATAAAATTTCCAAGGCAAAATTTAAAAATTTTAAAAAAAGTCAAAACTTCACTGTTTCAAAAAATTCATACATTTTTCAAAACCACTGAAATTTCGTTTGATAGGTTATATTCTGCGGCAGAAAATTCACGTTTAAATTTTTTTTTCAAATTTTGAAGCACATTTTTAAAGCTAAAAAATTGATTTGAAAATTCAGAAATTCTCATGAAAAAGTAAAATTTCCAAGGCAAAATTTAAAAATTAAAAAAAAGTCAAAACTTCACTGTTTCAAAAAATTCATAAATTTTTTTAAACTAATGAAAATTCGTTGATTGGTTGGTTGTCTATTCTAGGAAATGAATTTTTTTTCGAAACTTAGAAGCAAATATTTTTTGGGCTAAAAATTGATTTGAAAATTCAGAAAATCTCATGAAAAAATAAAATTTCCAAGGCAAAACTTCACTGTTTCAAAAATTATACATGAATTTTGATTTTTTAATCTAGAAAAATTCGTTTGTTGCAGTCAAATACTGGGATAATAATTTAAAATAATTTTTTTTTTTGAATAAAAAAATTCAACTGTTTCACAAAATTCATAATTTTTGAAAATCATTGAGAAATGTGTTATTCGTTTTATTCTCTGATGGAATATTTTGCAAAAAGTCTGGCGTAAAAATCCACAGTTCTCAAAATTAAAAAAAATATTTTCAAAAAAAGATTTAAATAACAATACTAATTTTTTGAGCTATACATCAAAACATGCATACCTAAATTATGTTGAATAATTCAAATTCATCAGTAAAATTTCAAAATTTCATCCCAAACCCCCCCCCCCCCCAAATTCCTCACCACATTCTGATCATGTTCTCTAACAACACTTGTCCAATCCTCAAAATCATCATTACACAATTCATCGCAACCAAATCTCGGATTATTTGTCCACGAAGAAGATGTCATTTGATAATCATTTTGTGTATTTGAGATTCCTTCACTTCCAGATGGAATTTCAGGATTCTGAAGACTTCCAGCAATTGGATTTGCGCCATTCCAACTGTCCAAATCCAACAATTCCAATTCTTTTATAACTTCTCTTTCGTCATTTGAAAGAACTCCGAGAAATGGATCGGCATTTGAGGTGGAACTGTCAGATGTTCTGCAAAAATATATGAGGATTATTTGTGGAGAAAAATTTGACTGTTTCATAAATTTTACAAATAAAATAACCTCTGGGAATTTCTTCGGATTTCAAATTTATGGGACACCTTCATGAAAAATCCAGAAAATATATAATTTTCTTGAAACAGTGAGAATTTTCCAATATTTTTCAAAAAAAAATAATTTTCAACAATTTTCAGAATGAAAACTTCACTGTTTCAAGAAAAAATAATAAAAATTGTTGGGTGAAAAATGTTGATTTTGACTAATTCCCCATCTCGAAAAAAATACGTTTCAAAAATTAGATGAATTTTTTTGGAATTAGAAAAGTGTGAATTGGTAAGTACAATTGAATTCATTAGTCTTACCACTAGTTCAAATAATTTTGTGAAACTTTTGAAACAGTGAAATTTTTTTTAGTGAAAATAGTTTTTCTTCATGTTGATTTACCATGTTTAGCATTTTTGTACGACATTGTCTTCTTCAAAAATCCAGAAAATATATAATTTTCTTGAAACAGTGAAAATTTTCCAATTTTTTTCAAAAAAAAAAATAATTTTCAACAATTTTCAGAACTTCACTGTTTCAAAAAAAAATTATATCAATTTTTAGGTGCAGTATTTTGATTTTGACTAATTCCCCATCTCGAAAAAAATACGTTGCAAAAAATAAATGAATTTTTTGGAATTAGAAAAGTGTCACTCCGTCAGTACTAATGAATTCATTAGTCTTACCACTAGTTCAAATAATTTTGAGAAACTTTTGAAACAGTGAAATTTTTCTAGTGAAAATAGTTTCTCTTCATGTTGAAATATACTACTTCATATGGCATTGTCTTCATGAAAAATCCAGAAAATATATAATTTTCTTGAAATAGTGAGAATTTTTAATATTTTTCAAGGTTGAAAGTTCCCAAAAACCAAAAAAAAAATTATTTTTAACAATTTTCAAAACTTCACTGTTTCAAGATAAAATAATAAAAATTTTTGGGTGCAGAACTTTGATGTTGTGAATTCTCATCTCGAAAAAAATACGTTTCAAAAAAATAAATGAATTTTTTGGAATTAGAAAAGTTTGATTCCCCCAAACATTGTTAAAATAATTTATCAGTCTTCCTACTAATTTTGAGAAACTTTTGAAACAGTGAAATTTTTCTAGAGAAAATAGTTTTTCTTCATGTTGAAATAGACTATTTTTCATGGCATTGTCTTCATGAAAAAACCAGAAAATACATAATTTTCTTGAAACAGTGAGAATTTTTCCAATATTTTTCAAGAAAAAATAATTTTCACCTCATTTCCAAAATAAGAAATTTACTGTTTCAAGAAAAAATAATAAAAATTTTTGGGTATAGAATTTTGATACAGTGAACAATTTTTCATCTCGAAAAAAATACGTTTCAAAAAATAGATGAATTTTTTTGCAATTAGAAAAGTGTGAATTGGTAAGTACCAATGAATTCATTAGTCTTACCACTAGTTCAAATAATTTTGTGAGAAACTTTTGAAACAGTGAAATTTTTCTAGTGAAAATAGTTTCTCTTCATGATGAGATTTACCATTTTTTACATTTTTGTACGACATTGTCTTCATGAAAAATCGAAAGAAAATATATAATTTTCTTGAAACAGTGAGAATTTTCAAATATTTTTCAAGAAAAAATAATTTTCAAACATTTTCCAGAATGAAAAATTCACTGTTTCAAGAAAAAATAATAAAAATTTTTGGGTGAAGAATTTTGATTTTGACTAATTCCCCATCTTGAAAAAAATACGTTTCAAAAAGTAGATGAATTTTTTGGAATTAGAAAAGTGTGATTCCCTCCAAACTTTGTTAAAATAATTTATCAGTCTTCCCACTAGTTCATTTTTGTGAAACTTTTGAAACAGTGAAATTTTTCTAGTGAAAATAGTTTCTCTTCATGTTGAAATTTTCCGTTTATCTTCTTATATCTACATTATCTTTATGAAAAATCCAGAAAATATATAATTTTCTTGAAACAGTGAACATTTTCCAATATTTTTCAAGAAAAAATAATTTTCAAATAATTTCCAGAATGAAAAATTCACTGTTTCAAGAAAAAATAATAAAAAATTTTGGGTATAGAATTTTGATACAGTGAATAACTTTTCATCCCGAAAAAAGTACGTTTCAAAAAATAGATGAATTTTTTTGGAATTAGAAAAGTGTGATTTGGTCAGAACCCCATTAACGTAAAATATCTATAAAATTCAATTATTTTTGAAGACAAAAAATACCCGAAAACAATGTACTGTTTCAAAAAATTCATAATTATTTTTGGATCTCAAAAAGTTCTGATAACTGACGATTTAGTTATATTTTCATTTCCAAATAAACTGTAATTTTCTGAGAGAGCACTGTTTCAAAGAAAACATGAATTTTCATTGATATTATTTCCAAAATTATATTGCTCTTTTTTTTGGAACTAAAATATTGAAAAAAATTTACTGAAATTCATGAGTATTTTTAAATAGAAACAATTTGAAAAAAAAATTTTCCATGATTTTTTCAAATAAAAAAAATCACTGTTTCAAAAAAATCATGAAAAATTTTTGGGTGGCGAACTTTTGATAAAATGGAAAACTGAATATTCACAATTTTTGAAAAAAATTTTCACTGTTTCAAATAAACATAAACGTGTTTCCAATAGTAGAAGGTTTAATTCTACTAGCGTTTGTGACGAAAATAATTTTCTAGAAAATTTACTGTTTCAAAAACCACTTTAAAAAGACCCTGATTTTGTCTAACTCAAATTTCCCCCAAAAATCCCTTCCTTCGCCCAAAAATAACTCACGTTCTCTGTCGAATCGTATTCGAGAAAGTGTGATGCGCAAAATTGATATAACCATCCGAATTGTGGCCCAACGCAGAAGCTTGCGCTCTTTGCGGCAAATAATTTTTGTCTCTTCGAAACGGACAATTCGAGATTGCGTGAGCTCCGAATGTTGTCAATCTTCCAACTCGCGAAAACATTTTTGTGTGTTTATACTATTAAATTATTCTTCCTCTAATTATATTAATTAATTAATTGCGAAGAACAATTTGATGCATACCCTGGAAAAATGAAATATGATCTTTGGGGGAGAAATGGGCGGAGCTTGGGGGCGGACAAAAAATCACGTGTTGAAGAAGAAAAAATGTGTTTGATCGAAGAAAATGAAAGTGTCCTGGACAAAGTTTGAAGAGATATTATTTTAGGTAACTTCAGAAGAATCGGAGAGAATTTTAGGCTGAATTTCAGCCAGAAATTCTAGGAAAATCAGGATTTGCCAGCTGAAATACGTGCAAACTTTCAGTTTTTCCTCAATCGGGGATTTTTCAGGGCTTAGACTTACAAAAGGATTTTCAGCTGGCGAAAATTCAGCAAAATTCAGACTTTGAAGAAAATCGGCTTTCAAAAATCCGGGAACTTCAGAAAAAACGGAATTTTTTCAAGCTGAAAACTTGGGGAATTCAAAATTTTTTGAAAATTAGCTGAGATTCTACCCTTTTTCAGGGAAAGTCAGGCTTAGGCTTAACGGAACTCTTAGGCTAAAGCTTAGGCCTAGCCAAACTTTTAGGCCTGGAATTTTAGGCTTGAGAAAACGGTTAGGCTAAGGTTTAGGCTTCTCCAAACTCTTAGACTAAAGCTTAGGCCTAGTCAAACTTTTAGGCCGGGATTTTAGGCTAGAGAAAACGATTAGGCTAAGGTTTAGGCTTCTCCAAACTCTTAGGCTAAGACTCATACATAAAATAGGTCCCCCGAGTCAGTTGTCAAAGTTAGGGTCCCTCCTTGAAAATTTTCCAAAGTTAAACACCTTACTCACATTTTTGAGCGAATTTTGGACAAATCTGGGAATTTTGGTAAATTATCAGCAGAAAATTGGCCAAGTTAGGTACCCTTCCTTTCAGATTTTTGAAAAAAGTTAAGTCCCTCACCCCGATTCTGGGGACCCATTTTATGTATGCTAAACCTTAAACCTAGCCAAACTTTTAGGCCTGATTTTAGGCTTGAGCAAACGATTAGGCTAAGGTTCAGGCTTCTCCAAACTTTTAGGCTAAGGCTTAGGCCAAGCCAAACTTTAAGGCCTGGATTTTAGGCTCAACCTCAAACCCTAATCTTATTCAAGTAGTTAGCTCAATTTTGCCACGTCATAACTAATTTTCTCCCAAAAATAAGCGGAAAACTACAATTTTCCCTGAAAATAATCATTTTTCATGAAGTGATAGCAAAAACTGATAAATTAGAAGCCAAAAATCACCGAGAAGTGATTTTTTTCGGGAAAATCGTCAAAATTTTAGGAAAAAACTATACTAAAACAATATCTTACACTAACAACGAAAAAAAGCTTATCAATCTACAATTGTTATTGATTTTTTTATTTGATTGATCAAACATAAAAAATACGAGTTTTTTATGAGTGAGGGAAAACTGAACAGCTTGCAAAAAAGGGGGAAGATTTCGAAAAGCATGATGCAATTTTGCGCCAAAAATGGTTGGCTCCGGGCCAAAAATCCTGGGATTTTCGCTCAAAATTTGGAATTTTTACTAGAAATTTCTTTGGGGCCGTGCAAATATCACAAAAGTTTTTTTGCTGAAGAAAAAAGAAGAAACTATTTCTGTGTCTAGGCAATGTTTAAACAGAAGAAAAGATGAAAAGAACAGCTGCAGGGGTCAGGAAAATGTGAAGAGAGCGGTTAGAGAAGCAGACAGATTCTCTCTGGGTTTTTTTTGGAGAAAAAAACGAAAGCGTGGTTAGATTTTTAAAAACGAAAAAGAAGAAGAAGATGCACTGAATACGTGCATTTTTGAAGAATTTTTCGAGTTGAGAAATTTTTTCGGAGGGCGGGAACATTTGATTGAATTTCTATTTAGAACAGCTGAATTTCAGATAAATAGATTTTCAGCACGGCTGAGTTTCTGAAGGAGCTCTGGATTTTCAGCACTAACTCAAAATGAGCTCCGAATTTCACACAAAAATTGCGAAGCTCCAATTTTTTTTGGGAGCATAACAAATATTGACTTTTTTACTTACTCAAAAATTAATTTTGTTTGAAATTTTTGAATTCGGGATTCATATCACAGGTTTTTTGAGAATTCTACAATTTTAAGATTGTACTGAAGATTGGAAAAATACAATTGTTAGGCAAATTTCAGAAAAAAATCTTCAATTTTCAGAAAATTGATGGTTTCTGAGAAAAGACTGAAATTTCAAGTTGAAATTTGATTTTTCAGAATTCCCAGACAAAATTGTTCACTTCTAGTTAGCAAAAATTGAAACTTGGCTTGAAATTCAACTCGTTATTGCCACGTGACAATTTTTAGATACAAGCTGAAAACTTTGATTTTCCATAATTTTCAGACAATTTCCAGAATGAAATTCAGTTCAAAATCCTGGATTACTGAGAATCGTGTTCTAAAAATATGGTTTTTGCCAAATTTTGAGAGGTCGAAATTTCATTCAAATTCTCTAGAAATTTCTCTAGAATTCTTTAGGCCGAAAAATCCTCCAGAAAATCCCGAAATCCTTCCCGAATCTTCCCGAAAAACTCACAAAACTCCGAAAAAACATTATCTAAACACTGACTGATCCAAAACCATAGTTCAAAATGTGAACAAACAAACAACACATTTTTTCTTCACAAAAAAGTGTAGGAAAAACCGATTTCGCAATATTTTCCCTGTGTGTGAGTGGCGTCATTTGTCGTGGAAAAAAAAATGGAAAATGGAAAATAGCCAGCAGCAAAAATATATGTGGAACACGTTGCATTGAATGCCACGTGGAAGGGGCCGGAACACGTTGCCACGTGGAATACGGAACGAAAAAAAAAGATGAGCCCAGGGAAATCGGGTATTTCTCAATTTTCTAAATACACAAATGAAAGCACAACAATTATTCCTGATTCTTAATTTATTCATAGTTCTCGTAACTTCGACGACAACTTCTTCAGAAGCTGGCATAATTTCCGATGATTTACTAAATGACAACTCCTCAACAATCACAAATGTGACTATAGAATTGCCGGCCACAACATCAGCACCGAAACCTCTGCCGCAAAAACGAGAGGAACCCGAGAAAAGCGTTTTCCGCTGCAAAAATATGACGAATCAACTTGTCGATTGTAAAACGGCGTGTGTGGCGAAGAGTAGTGTGGATGAGACGAATTATGAGTTTGATCATCAGTGAGTTTTTCGGGAGGAAGGGACTTAGTATAAGTCCACGCTACAGTTGGACATCGACTAAATGACATTTTCAGGTTTTTTAAGCAAGTGAGTTGAAATATTGGGTTCTAATGTTATTCATATGATAGAATGGTCTAAGACGAACAGAATTATATAAATTTTGATGACTTTACGTTATCCATAAGTGATTTAGCGACGTTTAATCGATCGACTCGGCTTATCGACCAAATATCGATTAAACCTCGCTAAATCAGTTATGGATAACGTAAAGTCATCAAAATTTATATCATTCTGTTCGTCATAGACCATTCTATCATTTGAATAACATTAAAACCCAATATTTCAACTCACTTGCTTAAAAAACATGAAAATGTCATTTAAACCGCTTTATGATCACCAATATTTTCCAGAAAATACGGTGTTCAAATAATGCGTCGTGGCTGCGAAGGTCACTCAAACTTCAATCTCAAATCAGTCGAATGCAAATACGAAACCAACAACGGTCTACCCTACTCAATTCTCTATTCAATCGCAAACTACGAGAAGAATCGCTTCTTAACAGTTCGAAAATACTGTTGTTGGACTGTTGGCTGCAATGCGAAAAACGATTTTCGCAATCCGCGATACGTTTTTGTTCCGCGAAGTAATGTGAAAAAAGCGATTGATTCATTGCAAGTCGATTCGTTCTTCTATTTTGTGATCACAGCGGTGGTTTTGCTGTTTTTAGCGATATTTGCGGCGCAGAAATACTATGTTTACGCGACTTCGCGGATTCAAGTTAAGAGAACTGATTATTATAATGAGGCGGAGCAGAATTTGAAAGAACTCAATGAATTTAAGGAGGAATCAATGATTGATGTAAGTTCACCTGACTCATATAAATCGATCGAAAATCAAAAATTTTCTAGACTCGTGTAAAAGTGACAGGTTGCATGACAATCAAGGATCTCAGCAAAGTTCTAGCCCTCTTCCCAGATGAATCGAGAAACAGTAAACTCTCAAAAACGCATTCGGACGATGTCTATGCGTATGCTGGAAATGATATGCTCAAAGGCGCGAAATGCTCGACACATCGTTGTAGTATCGAAGTCGAACGACCACTTTTGGCACATTGTATTGGATTTGGTCATGAGATTATGAATACGGATCGAGTTATTTTGACGCCGAAGGATTTGTTGTATCGAATGGTTGAACATGGACCTTATCAGTTTCCGTTTGATATTATTGAACTTTTGCAGGTATTTTTGGGCACTGTAGACGCGAAAAATCATTTTTTTTTGTTCAAAATCGTTATTGGCGCCAAAATTCACTTAGGATTTCAAAAATTCCTGATTTTTGACGCCTTAAATACCCTATTTCTAGAATGCGTCAAAATCTACAGTAATTCTATTATCAAAGTAAAAATACGCAAAAAAATAGGCCAGAAATTAAATTCCCAAGTTCCTTCCCCAAGTACGGTATTCCTCCGCGTCACTAACACCTCATTGGGCAGAGAAACAAAGTTAAAGGTACATATTATCGAAAATCTCATCGGTATCACGCGCTCCACCGAAATAAACACGCAACGCAGACCGCGCCGCGCCACAACACACACAAATAAGGGAACGAATCGAATCATTCCCTTCTTTGTGTGTGTGTAATAGTGCGGCGCGGTCTGCGTTGCGTGTTTATTCCGGTGGAGCGCGTGGTACCAATGAGATTTTCGATAATATTTGTTGCCAAAATACACAGTAACCCTAGGCTTGTTTAGATTTTAAAGATTCCTAATTTTTGAAGGCTAAAAGTACCGTATTTCTAGAATTTTTCGCGCCAAAATCTACAGTAACCTGAGTCTTTGAAAACTCTTAACTTGTGCCGAAAGTTGCAACAACGCTAAGCTTATTTGAAAAAAAGAAAGGCCAGAAATTCAAATCCCAAGTTCCTCCCCCAAGTACGGTATTCCTCTGCGTCACTAACACCTCATTGGGCAGAGAAACAAAGTCAAAGACGCACATATGGGTCTCGCAGCGACTGGCAGGAACGCCGTACTTGGGAAGAGTGTCATTTGAATTTCTGGCCAAATTTTTTTTAAAATTTCAATGATAGGAACTCTTATGGGGTGATTCAAGTCTTTTTTTTTTTGAAAAAAATGTTTTTTTTCATTTTTTTTTCGACTTGAATCACCCCATTAAGTTTTGGTTCTTGGTTAAAATGAGCAATGTTACAATGTTCAATGAGCACAAATTAACGTTCCAGCTCTTCGAAGAAACGGCCTACATTCTTGGAACCGAGCCAAGTCTTCTCAAACTCGAAGGTGGAATCACAATCGTCGGCGATTTACGTGGTCGCTACATCGATCTTCATCGCTGGCTTCAATTAACCGGTTGGCCACCAAATAACAAACTTCTATTCCTCGGTGGAATGATTGATGTCGAACAAAAAGGCTCACTCGAAACCCTCGCCCTAATCTGCGCTCTCAAATGTCGCTTCCCCCACCACATTTATATGCTACGCGGTGTTCCGGAAGCGTCGGAATTCACAATTTCGAATCGATATGATCCGATGATTTGTAGATCTATACAATCATCGGTGGCAAGAATGTTGTCGTATTTACCGTATTCGGCTGTGATTGGACAATCGATTCTGGCGACTTATAGTGGATTTTCGCCGCTGGTTAGATCGAAACAGGATTTGTTGGCGATTCAGAGACCGGTTAGATTGGATTCGATTGGGAAGATTGAGAAACATATTATGTTTAATCAGCCATCGCCGACAGTTAAAATGTATCGACCAAATCCGTGTGAGTTTTGGGGAAAGGGGGGGGGAGGGTTTAGGACCAGAAATTGCATTAACTTAAATTTCAGCTAGCTAGAAAAATTATAGAGCTTTCTGAAAGTAAGAACTTAGGATAACTTTCACCAAAAAAATCTGAGAATTTGAAATTTAGAATTGATTTTTCTGGATTAATGTTTTCAAATTGATTTTCAAGATTTTTTACTGAAAAGTTTCTAGGGCTAAATTTTTGATAGTCTGAAATATTATTGAATTAAAAACACGTGAGAAATAAAAAACTAGGTCAAGTGACGTGGATTTAAAAACAGTATAGGTAGCCATGTCGTCAGTTGCGATGCGTGTGGGCGACACGTTTTTAGAAATGAAAATTTGGCAAATTCAATGGAAAATATAAGGGCCCTGCAATCTCAAAAATATGATATATGAACATAATGATCACTTTTGAGGTCTCGGTAAAGAACAATAACATAACGCCGAAAATTCTAACCTAATTCGATGAATTTTTTATGCCGAATTTTCTAGCCTATATAAAACGAGCCATCATGTGAAAAAGACTGTATTATTATTTTTTATTCAAAAATCACAAATTTTTTTTTCGGTTTTTTTTTTGTTTTCAACAACTAGTTTGTTTTTTATTAAAAGTTTATTAACACAAAAAAATAAGGGGGAAAAAGGATAAAGAATATTGAAGTCTTCGTCGTAGTCGCCAGAATGATATGTCGACAAGTGTGAGTTTCCAGCAAGTTTCATTGAAAGTCTGTAAAATGATCTGTTTTTAATAGGGACGGAAACATTTCAAATCAGAATCTTTTTACATTGTGTAAAATGGATCCTAGAATTTCTGTTCCGAAAAAATATCTAGCATTATTTTCAACATCTTATTTTTCATTGGAATCTTTTTACATTATGTAAAAAGATTCTGATTTTTTTCAAAAAAATTCACGTTTTTTAATTTAATTTTATCAGAATCTTTTTACATTATGTAAAAAGATTCTGATTTTTCATCATTCAGAGAAATTTCATTCCAAAAAAACAACTTATTGTGTCATAAAACTAACTAAGAAAGTTTGGAAAGGTTGAAACTTGACATGACAATAAGCTCATGCGAAATAATTTATTTCCAAATTCTAAATTTTCAAATTGAAATTACTGTAATATTCAGCGAAAAACTGCAAAAAACGTGGCATTGGATTGTAAGTGTTTGTTTTCGAACTTACGGTATTCAAATTAAGCTCATAATGATAGTAAATAGTTGTTTTCTGAAGGATAATCTGCTCGATTTGAAAAAACTGCCGGAAAAATAAAAATTTTGATTGGAAATGATGAACTGTGATGTGGCTCTACGTTAAAATAAGTGACGTGTCCTAATTTTTTTCATTTCGCGATTTCAATTTTATTTTTCCGGCTGCTTTTTTTCAAATTGAGGTGAGTGAAAGGCTTTCCCTATGTACAAATCTTGCCAATGCGAAAAGTACGGAAGCGAAAGCCACATATACAGTCTTCGCGGCTGCTTTGATCTTTTATGTTGAATAAGGAAACTTTCTATATTATAATGGTTCTCTTCCAAAAGTCAGATATGTAAATTCAGATTGACAATGGGCATAGAATCGTAAGAAAATATTTTCTGTTTGGTTTTTAGATACTTCTGTAATTTTTTTCCTAATTCAAATCCTTCTTCGGAATGAAATTTCTCTGAATGATGAAAAATCAGAATCTTTTTACATAATGTAAAAAGATTCTGATAAAATTAAATTAAAAAACGTGAATTTTTTTTTGAAAAAAATCAGAATCTTTTTACATAATGTAAAAAGATTCCAATGAAAAATAAGATGTTGAAAATAATGCTAGATATTTTTTCGGAACAGAAATTCTAGGATCCATTTTACACAATGTAAAAAGATTCTGATTTGAAATGTTTCCGTCCCTATTAAAAACAGATTACAGACTTTTAATGAAACTTGCTGGAAACTCACACTTGTCGACATATCATTCTGGCGACTACGACGAAGACTTCAATATTCTTTATCCTTTTTCCCCCTTATTTTTTTGTGTTAATAAACTTTTAATAAAAAACAAACTAGTTGTTGAAAACAAAAAAAAACCAAAAAAATAGAAGAAAATCAAATAATTCAGAATTTTTCTGCGGCAGATAAATTCCCGAAAAGAATGAAACGTTTTACATTTGTTTCATATTTTTCGATAACTCCAAGAAAAAATACTTATTGTTTTTCTTCCTCCTTAGAAAGAGCTCATCATGCGCATATATCAAATTTTTGAGATTGCAGGGCCCTTATATCGAGGTCAACACGCAACGCAGAACCGCATCGCAACTGACGACATGGCTACCTATACTCAGAGAAAAGGTGGTCCATGGGCAGCCCCTTGAAGTGCCCCGAGGGCTGATCCTAAGGGCAACACTAGTGCATCCAAGGGGCGACCTAAGGGCAATTCAGAAAAACTAGGGTATGACGTTTTTAAATTTTAAAAATTTTGACGTGGAAAAAATCATTTCTGTTTCAATTTTTAATTTCCAGCATGGAAAAATTTAGAAAAAAAACCGTGCACTACTTTCACAATGGTGATTACCGTCGGAAAACTAGTCTATTTTACGATCAAAATGTATTGTAAATCAGAAAATATTTATAAAGCTAGAACTTTTATTCAAAAAAAAAATGAAGCTCGATCTCATCATTCTCATTTTAGCAAATTCGACCATGGCAAACTCCTATCGAATACTAGGAGACACAATAGAATATTATTGAAGTCTAATATCACTTTCTCTTCACAATTAATTCTTTGAGTACTGCAATATCGGGTACAAATAATGTGAGGTAAAATCTTTCGGATTCACAAATATTCCAAATAGCAATACGAATAATCTCAATTCATTGCTGTTTCCAAAACTGTTCCTGCTTCTCACTTTGTACTTTTAAAGATTTGTAGCATAGCAATTCGAATAACATGATTAGGAAATGATTTCCCGACTATTTTCTAGAACACCGAAATGTGTGAAATGAAAGAAATTTATTATTTTTTGTGATCGAAGACGTAACTAGGTCACAAAACTAGGTCACGTACTCAAAACATACCCTTCGATTTATTTTTCCCATTAGAAAATTTGCCCTTCGTGCTGGTCCGAAGGGCAACACCTCGAAAATACGGGCAAACCAGATTCCTACGGGCAGCCCCGGGGCAAAATTTTCTCTGAGTACTGTTTTTAAATCCACATCATTTGACCTAGTTTTTTTTATTTCTCACGTGTTTTTAATTCAACAATAATTGATTTTTTCTGGAAACATTTTCTGAAAATTTCCAAATTCTGAACAAAATCTCTAAAGAAAAATTTAGAAAAGTTATTTCAATTTTTTTCAGTAAGAACTTACGATAACTTTCACCAGAAAAAAATATGAAAAATTGGAATTTAGAATTGATTTTTCTGGAAATCCCGCAAATATTATTTTGAAAATTTCAAATTCTGAAGAAAATTTCTGAAATTTTCCAATTCTGAAGAAAATTACTGAAATTTTCAAATTCTGAACAAAAAAATCTTCAGAAAAAGAAAATTTCTGAAATTTTCGAATTCTGAACAAAAAAATCTTCAGAAAAAGAAAATTTCTGAAATTTTCCATACCTAAACAAAATTTCTGAAATTTTCGAATTCTGAAGAAAATTTCTGAAATTTTCGAATTCTGAACAAAATTTCTGAAATTTTCGAATTCTGAACAAAATTTCTGAAATTTTCGAATTCTGAAGAAAATTTCTGAAATTTTCGAATTCTGAACAAAATTTCTGAAATTTTCGAATTCTGAACAAAATTTCTGAAATTTTCAGAGAAGTAAAAATCTCTAAAGAAAAGTTTCTCAAAATTTAGAAAAAAATTCTGAAAATTTGGATCGAACCATAGCTTCAAATTCAAAAATCCCTAGAATCGCCAAATTTGTCTAACCTCACAAAATCCCCATTTCTTACAGTAAGCGAAGGCGACCATTTCGGAAAACACGCAATTCTCCGCGCCTGCAAACTCTACAACGTGCGAACCGTAGTTCGTGCTCACACGGTAGTTCCAAATGGCTATATGCCAATTTGGCATCACCGTCTTTTGAATATTTGGAGTGCACCGGCTCTTGGTGGAGCACAAGGTGCAGTTTTGTGTGTTTCGAGGGATATGAGTATTACTCCGGTGATTTTGAGAGCAAGGAAATATTAGAAATTGTAAAAATAAATAGATTTTCATCGCTTGAAAACGAATTTCTTTCACAAAATAAAAAATTTGAAATTAAAATTTATAGTTATTTATTTATTCACACTTAAAACCCGAAAATTCTTATTATTTTATTCCACAATTTGTGTTTTCTCAAAAAACGTGGTAATAGTTCGAATAAGTTCGTATTCTTCGTGTTTCGGATCGCCGGCCAAAATTCCATATCGAACTGCGATTCGATTTCGAGTATTCGCCAAAACTCGGCTCAAAAGACGGCCAATGCAATCGGTTAGACTCGGGAATTCCTGGAAAAAATATGGGATTTTGGGAGCGAAATTTAGGCTTGTGAGGAGGGTTTTTTCATACTTTTTGAGTCATAAATGTACATTTTTAAATTTTCAACGAATTTTCATCAAGATGAATTTTTTTGGAATTAGAAAAGTGTGATTCCCTTTTTTAGTATTCACGTAAAATATCTATAGAATTCAACTATTTTTGAAGACCTAAAACCGAAAAGAATGTACTGTTTCAAAAAACTCATGATTATTTTTGGATCCCAAAAAGCTCTGATGGTTGGATTGTGTCCCAATAAACTGTAATTTTCTGAATTTATAGAGAAAATGCACTGTTTCGAAGAAAACATGAATTTTCATTGTGATTATTTCCAAAATGCTGCTCACTTGTAAATTCAATAATTAAAAAAACACTGTTTCAAAAAAATCATGAAAAATTTTTGGGTGCAAAATTTTCGATGAAAATTCGGCTCTATCACAATATAAGGGTCCCATGGAAATATAAGGGTCCGTAAAAAATATAGGGGTCCGTAATTTTGTTCAAGGGTCCCAAAAAATATAAGGGTCCGTTATTTTTTTTGAAGGTCCATCAAAAAAAGTTTTTTTCTAATTTCAATTATTTATTTTTGGTGATTTTTTTTACAAAACACATTTTTTCCTCCAAAAATCAAAAAAATCAGACCTATGAAAAAAATCACGGACCCTCATATTTTTTGGGACCCTCAAAACAGATAACGGACCCTTATATTATTTTGGGACCCTTATATTGAGATAGAGCCGAAAATTCTTTAACTGGAAAACTGAATTTTCAACGAATTTTTATCACTTAAAACATTATATTAAAATAGATTTTTGAGCACCAAATTTTTGAATTTTCAAATTTTTTTCAAATCCGAAATTTTCAACAAGCCTAATTTTCAAAATTTCAAATGTCCAGCCCAAAACCCTCCCCCAAAAAAAGCATACGGTAGCAAAAGTGATCATGGCCGGCACAATATGTTTCCACAATTGATTGGAGCTCGGCAATTCTCCATATTTCTGAAGTGAATGCACAAAATCGCATACGATTCGAGCGGTTTCAAGAGTTTCTCGAACTCGATATTTTCGACAGAGCTCCGACGCCAAAACAACGGCGAAAATTCGTCTTTGCGGGTCGACAAGGGTCAACATTTCAGTGATATAAGCATTGGCTGTGAAGAGCGATGGAATTCCTTCGACGAGAACACGGATTTGATGGATTGGGAACTTCTGAGGAGAAATAGGAGATGTGAGGGAAATTTTGTGGATTTTAAAGGGTTCAGAAATTGGATCTTCCACAAAGCGGCAAAGTTAGGCCAACTTCAGAGATTCACTAAATATTTCTGTTTTTTTATGGATCAAATTTACCAAAATATTAGTTTGAGTGTGATTGGAAAACAGAAGAAAATTTTTTGAAGCGTATTTTTTCCGGTATTTATTTTACAAAGGAAAATAAAACAAAAAACCTTACCTGATAAAGAACAACTTTCAACAATCCTTCAAAATCAATAAAAACTCGATGCATATATTCACAAGCAATTCTGGCAATTCTCTTCCTCTTCTCAATCATTTCAAAATCCATCGGATCATCTTTCATCCGTTTTTCATCACAAACTTCAATCAACGCATGAATCACAACACTGTGTTGGGAATCGATGAAAGACAGTGTCAAATGCTCTTTTTCTTTTCGCTCATTTTCATTGATTTGTTTTTGATGTTGACTTAGCGACATGAATTTGGCATTTGACATCATCATTTTGAGGCGTAGATCTGAGCGAACAGCGACCGAAAAGAAATTGAGAGCTTTGATGAAACATTGAAAATGTTCGGGAGAATTGAGGATTCGACGATCGCATCGGAAAAGAAGAGCCGGGATTTTGTAGAGATCTTCAATTTGGATCGATTCATCAGAGGACAGCCATTTTAGAGCAGCGGTCTGGAAAATTAATGGGATTTTTGAGAAATCTAAGATTAATGCAATGGAGTTCAAAATATTAGCTAATTATTCAAGACATTTTTGAAACAGTGAATTTTTTTGCACTGTTTTTCACATAACCATACAATTAAACGAAGTATTCAGCAAAACTTCAGTTATAATGCGACATCTCAAAAAATCTTTGAAACAGTGAAATTTTGAAGCGAAAAAAATATATAATTATAAAAGTAGAACTTCAACCAAAAGATGTGGAAACCGAAAAAATGTTCAAAATAATTTTGAAACAGTGGATTTTTTCGAGTAGAAATTGTTTCAACAACATTTGAATTATCAAACTAAAATTACAAACACAAATACGTAAATTTTTTGAAACAGTGTATTTTTCGGTTACAAAAGCTATTGAAAAACACATAATAATTAAGTTTCATAAATACCCAATGTTCTGCTCTAATTTTTAATTGGCTAATTCTAAACAAAGAAATGATTGGGGTTCGAAAAACTGAACAAATTATTCAAGAATGTTTGAAACAGTGAATTTTTGATGACTTCTTTCTACGTACTGTTTTTCATATAACCATAGCTAATGTTCAAAATAATTTTGAAACAATGGATTTTTTCGAGTAGAAATTGTTTCAGAACAGGCTGAATAAGATTATCAAAAACCAAAATTACAAGCAAAAATACGTAAATTTTTTGAAACAGTAGATTTTTCGGTTACATAATTATTAAAAAATATTAATTATGTTCTGTTATAATTTTAAATTCGCTCATTGTGATAAAACGAACAACTTGTTAAATCATTGGCGTTCGAAAAACTAAAAAATTATTCAAGAATGTTTGAAACAGTGAATTTTCGATGATTTTTTTCTATGCACTGTTTTTCACATAACCATACAATTAAACGAAAACTACAGTAGGAATGTGACATCTCAAAAAATCTTTGAAACAGTGACATTTTGAAGCGGGATTTTCCTTGAAAAAATAGATATGAACCTTAAAGTACATTAACCAAAAACAAGAAGTAAAAACCGAAAAAATGTTCAAAAATATTTTTGAAACAGTGGATTTTTTTCGAATCGAAATTTGTTTCAAGAAAAGCTGAATCGGTTTATCAAATCCAAATTACAAACAAAAATACGTAAATTTTTTGAAACAGTAGATTTTTCGGTTACATAATTATTAAAAAAATATTAATTATGTTCTGCTAAGATTTTGAATTCGCTCATTGTGATAAAACGAACAACTTGTTAAATCATTGGCGTTCGAAAAACTAACCAATTATTCAAATATGTTTGAAACAGTGAATTTTTAATGACTTTTTTCCATGCACTATTTTTCACATAAACATACAATAAAACTAATTGTTTAATAAAACTACAATTAGAATGTGACATCTTAAAAAATCTTTGAAACAGTGACATTTTGAAGCGGGGTTCCCATTGAAAAATATAAACATAAAATTAGAAGCTTTTTCCTGTAAACAAGAAATTTCCCGTGAACAAGAAGTAAAAACCGAAAAAATGTTCAAAAATATTTTTGAAACAGTGGATTTTTTTTAACAGAAATTTGTTTCAAAAAAATTTGCAACGAGATTATCAAATCCAAAATTACAAACAAAAATACGTAAATTTTTTGAAACAGTAGATTTTTCGGTTACAAAATCTATTGAAAAATATTAGTTATGGATCAATTCATCTGAAGAAAAAATGAATTTCGCGACATTTTTTGTCGCGAAATTGCAATTCGCGAAACGACACGAAATTAATAAAAGAAAAGAGGAAATTCTTTTTTCGTGTGTTGGGTCTCGCAGCGATTACGTGTCCCTTTAATATTTCTCCTTTATTTTTGTGTTTATTTCGTGTCGTTTGACGAATTGCAATTTCGCGACAAAAAATGTCGCGAAATTCATTTTTTCTTCAGATGAATTGATCCATTAGTTTTCATACTCAATTTTGTTGTAATTTTTTAATTGGCGTTCGAAAAACTAACAATTTATTCAAGAATGTTTGAAACAGTGAATTTTTTTTTGTTAGATATATTTGGAAAATTATTGAATTTCAAGCAAAAGTGTGCATTTTTGGCTCGAAAAAAAACCTTCCTCACCTCATAAAGCAATCTGGGACATATCTGATCATATTTCTCAAACATCGCCACAATAATATCCAATGTTTTCTCCTCAACATCGCCTTTCAAAGTTTCCATAAACATATCCAAAACCATCGGAATTGCGGATACTTGATTCTCCAAACTCGTTCTTTCCAGAAATTCGAGTTCCAATTTGAGAGATGTTTTTGTTTTTATTGGCGAATTTTTGGTGGCCGGTGTGAATTTTGAAATTAGAGCCATCGATTTTGCAGTTGGCATCGTGAATGGGAAAATATTGGCGGCTCTTGAGATCTGAAAAAAAGCATAGAATTTTTGATTCGCGAAATTTTGTTATATTATAGTGTTTGCAATTAAGATTACTGAACTTCGCGAATTCCCCAAGATAGTCATCGATATTTCGAAACAGTGAAATTTTTAAAATAATTTTTTGCCTGATTTTCTGGAAGTTGTTCAATTCTCGAATAGATTTCGTGTTGATTATTTATCAACTTTCTCAATTAATTTTAATCCAACTGTGCGATTACAACACATCAACACAACCCAAAATTTAAGTGTCAGTTCTATAGAGTTTCGAAACCCTGGATTTTTTTCGGAACACTGCAACACATCCGACTGAAACTGTGAAATCTTTCAGAAAATTATTTAAATTCTTTGAAACAGTGAAATTTTTTGGGTGTTCTTTTTTTGAATTATATGAATTTTGTATTTTTGTTTCAATTAGCAAGTAAGAAAAAACAACAATTAGAAAAAAAATCCTTCAAAAAATTATGAATTTCTTGAAACAGTGATTTTTTTTAAACTCTCATTCGAATACAACAATATTCTAAATCCGCCATTACAATTATTCAAATTTTTTTGAGACAGTGAAAACTTTTTTTTAAGTTCTTTTTCAAAATGAAAATTACAATTCATTTCTGAAGCAAATCAGTACTGATTTTTCTGAAGAAAAAAATTATAAATTCTTTGAAACAGTGAAATTTTTAAAGTGTTCTTTTTTAAATAATATGAATTTCATAAAAACCACCGATTAGATCATAAAGTGCTTCAGAAAGTTATAAATTTCTTGAAACAGTAATTTTTTTAGGACTTTCATTCCAATCAAATAATATTGTAAAATCCTTCATATTTGACAATTATTTAAATTTTTAAAAAAAATGAAAACTTTTTTTAAAATTATTTTTCAAAATGAAAATTACAATTCAGTTCTGAAGCGAAATCAGTACTGATTTTTCTGAAGAAAAAATTGAAAATTTTTTGAAACAGTGGAAAAATAATTTAAAAATCCAGGAAATATTAACTTTGAAAAACATCATCAAAGATTTATCAGATTTTTGAAACAGTGGAAAAAAATATTTAAAAATCCAGGAAATCAAGATGCCAAGAAATATTTTGAAAAACCCCTCAAAAAATTGATAAATTTTTTGAAACAGTGAAAATAATTTATGGAATTTTTTGGTAGAAAATTCAAAATTTTCAGCTGGAAAAAAGAGTCCAAAAATACACTGTTTCAAATATTTTATATGGAAAAATAGGAATTTTTTAAAATTTATTAATTGAACGATTCTCCAAAATGTTTATTATCTAGTTTTTTACCCCTCCCCAAAACCTCACCAGCCTAAATCTAAAATTTTCAAAATCGCGATGTCTCGTCTCCATAACAGTCAACAAATATCTCAACGGCAATTTCGTATAAACCTCTTCCCCATAGATAATTCCCTTCAAACTCGGCTCATTTTTCTGATATTGCTCGCGATAACTCAAAAGATAAAGCAACACAAAGAGCTTTTGTGTGAGATTTTCCTGCTCCAACATTCCATTATTATCATTATCAAAAGTGGATTCAACAAAAGATAGGCTAAGTCCAGGTGTTTTGAAAGCCGCAGTATTACTCGCAAAAACTTCGACAACTTCTGCAAGAATCTCACTTGCTGGAAATGTCACATTCTGCAATTGTCGTTCGATCCAATCAGCAATATTGATCTGATAAGTTCGGAAAACTCCAGCGGCTTGAAGTGCAGCCATCGAGAAGATCGAACTTCTTCCCCTTGATTTCTCACTGAATCTCGGAGTGATTGCTTGTCCAATACTGCGATTTGCCACTTCCTGTTCACTCAAACATCGTGACAAAAAAGTGTTTTTGAGGACTTGCGCATGCATCGAATTCCTCTGTGAGATCTCAACTTTTCTTCGAAGAATTTCGCTGGCAAACTTGGCCAGGTCCTCAATTCGTCCACACATAATACACGAATGAACATACAATAAATTGGCGCCAAAAGTGCCGTGTGACCAGTCGATGGTTCGCCGGCGAGCCGCGTCGAGCCAATCATCAACAGCGCGATCTGGCGGTTGAGCAGCAGCGGTTTGATTTGGTGGAAATTGGGTGAAGAATGGGACGGCCACTAAAGATGCGAGGATGAAGGTTTCGTGAGCATCGCCGAATGGGGAGCAAGCGAGTCGCGGCTCATTTTCGGCGCGAATTCGGCGAAGAATCGGTTTGGAGGGTTGATTGTTGGATTCGTCTTCTGAATCGGCTACTATTGAATCATCCAAATCGGTTAGACTTCTGAAAAGAAATTATTTTTGTTTTTGTTGGGGTTTTTTTCTTCTTTTTTTGGATAATACGAATTTTGTAATTTTATTTCAATATTATTAAAAAGGCAGATAAAAAAACACCAATTAGACAAAAAATCCTTCAGAAAACTATGAATTTCTTGAAACAGTGAAAACTTTTTTTAAAAATTCTTTTTTTAAAATGAAAATTACAATTCAATTTTTTGAAGCAAATCACTACTGAAATAACGCAACATTGTCGATTTTTCTGAAGTAAAAAATTATAAATTCTTTGAAACAGTGAAATTTTTAGGGTGTTCTTTTTTTTTTGAATAATACGAATTTTGTAATTTTATTTCAATATACAGATAAAACACCAATTACATTGAAATCATAAAATCCTTCAGAAAATTATGAATTTCTTGAAACAGTGTAATTTTTCTTTAGGACTCTTATATAAATCCAGGAATATTCTAAAACCTTTCATAAAAATTATCAAAAATTTTTTTAATTGTTTGAAACAGTGAAAACTTTTTTCAAAAATTATTTTTCAAAATGAAAATTACAATTCAATTTTTAGAATCAAATCAGGATTGAAACACCGGAATATTGTCGATTTTTTTTGAATGAAAAAAATTATAAATTCTTTGAAACAGTGACATTTTTAGGGTGTTCTTTTTTTTTTGAATAATACGAATTTTGTAATTTCATTTCAATATACATATAAAAAAACACCAATTTGACAAAAAAATCCTTCAGAAAATTATGAATTTCTTGAAACAGTGTAATTTTTCTTTAGGACTCTTATATAAATCCAGGAATATTCTAAAACCTTTCATAAAAATTATTAAAATTTTTTGAAACAGTGAAAACTTTTTTTAAAAATTTCTTTTTCAAAATGAAAATTACAATTCAATTTTTAGAAGCAAACAAGTACTGGAATGAAAGAAAAATTGTCGATTTTTCTGAAGAAAAAAATTATAAATTCTTTGAAACAGTGAAAATTTGCTAGGTCACGTTTGAAAAATATCATTTCCAATTTTTTTCAGAAATTTTTCAAATCAGAAATGAGTCGAATTGCCACGTCACAGGTCACTTTGAAAATCATTAGCCGCAATGCAAACAAGTTAAACTCACAAAAAGCTTCCGGTCTCCATCAATTCTTCAGTATTTGTCCTATCTCGTCCCTCCTCAGCTTCTCCCACAACTCCAAAATCCTCAATTCCGGTTCGAAAAACGAATCTCGTAATCAAAACCATATCATCATCCTTCCACGTTTCACCCGAACTCATCAATAATTCCACCAAACAATACGCCAATCGTGTGCACCAGGGTGGCCGCGAAATTTCCGATTCTTGAACATTTTCAGCCATCATAACGTTTCTAACAATTTTCAGCAGTTTCTCAATGATTTTCGGAAGAATTTTACGACCTCCCGAACGAGTTACGAGAACTGAGAGAAAGCTTTGACGATCGGTGAGAAGAGGCTCGAGGAATTTGATGAAATCCACATCTTCTAGATGATTTACAGCAACTCGACACACGAAATTTGTATCGAAACGGTTTTTGGAGAGCTTTTCGATGACAATTTCAGCTAGGCTTGGGTCGTTTTGCAAAATCTGAAAATAATTCATTAGGGAGAGAAGGGATGAGAAAATCCTACATTTTCAATAACTCCCATCCGCATTTCATTTCTCTTTCCATGCCCAAAACTTTTCAAAAGTGATTTCAAAATCGAAAATCGCATCTCGGGCAAATCTGCCAGAATCGCCTTTAGAATTTCGGGACCATTTTCGAAAAGAAATCCATGAACAAGTTCATCGCTTGATAGAATACCAGGTAGATAAGAGAGTAGAATTACGATTTGTTGCGAGATTTTTGAGATGTTTTCAGGGTTTATCCAAGAGACGATAGATGTTGATAAGGCGGGATCTTTGTCTGAAATTTAATTTGACAGATATTTTTGAACAACTTTTGTGAACATACATTTTCTGATAGATCTTACAAGATCTACCAAGTCTTCAATCAATTTTTCTTTCTCTTTCGCATTAAAATTGTCTTGTATTTGATCGAAATTATTTATATCGATGACTTCTTCATGCGGTGAATTTCGATATGGTGTGCTTTTCTTGGCCAAATACTTATCCGAAAAATACAACGGTGTTCCAAAGTTTGAGCGACTTCCTTCTGATGTGTTATCATTTTCTTCGCCTTCAAAAATTGATGTGGAAGAGATCTCAATCTTCGGAATGTTTTTCTTGATTTGCAGGCGATTTTCAACGATATTCCAATCGATATTAGCATATAGCAAATTATTAATCGCGCATGGATCCAAGGATGTTACAATTGGCCCTAGCAAACTATCGGGAATATCGAAATTCGATTTTCCTACTCCTGACTGCTCTGCGGCGATTTCATAGAACATTATACCAGTTTTCGAGGTGCTCTGCAACATGTTAAACTCAATTCACAACTTCAAACTACAGGAAAACACTCACCGCTTCCATTTTATTCGAAAAACGCCAAAAAACACTTTTCGAAAAATAAATAAAAGTAGAAATGCAAGCGTGCCCCACCGCACACTGCAATTCGTGTACTTCTCCCGGACTTCTTTTTTTTCGAAAATTTCCATTTTTTCCCAAAAACACGGTTTTAAGATTCGATCGCGAGTGTTTAGGATATTTAAAGGATTGAGAAAAATGGCCGAACAAGAGGTGACTATAATCCAAGAAGGTAAACTGATTTTATTATCCAGGAAGGTGAACTAACTTGAAATATTTCAGGAAAGGCAAAAGTCGGTTTCCATGGCCCTGTATTCTATAACCCGGTGCAGGAATTTAATCGTGATTTGACTGTGACAGTTCTCCGACAATTTGTAGATGATCGAATGAAAGCGCGAGCAAAAGTTGAAGAATCTGATGAGCCACCAGCAAAAAAGAACAAACTTCTCACAGAAAACGATAACGGTTCGATTAGAATCCTCGACGCTTTGTCTGCCTCAGGACTTCGAGCGCTCAGATTTTCGCAAGAGGTTGAAAATGTTGAATTTGTGATGGCTAATGATTTCTCGGAAAATGCAGTTGAATCGATCAAAGAGAATGTGAAATTGAATAATGTTGAGGGAAAAGTTCGACCGCATTTTGGAGATGCTATGTGAGTTCTTTGAAATGTTTTCTGAAATCAATATGATTTTGAAATTCAGAATGACGATGATGACGCATCGCACATTGGATAAACGTTTCCACGCGGTCGACCTAGATCCATATGGCTCTGCCTCATTATTTCTGGATTCAGCAGTTCAATCAGTCGCAGACAAGGGAATCTTGATGATAACCTGCACAGATATGGCAGTTCTTTGTGGAAACACACCAGAAGCATGCTATAACAAATATGACGCGGTGACAACACGAACCAAATTCTGTCATGAGATGGCTCTTCGAATTTTGCTTCGCTCCATCGATTCACACGCCAATCGATATACCAGATATATCGAACCACTCGTCTCGATTTCAGTTGATTTTTATGTGAGAGTCTTTGTGCGAGTTCATACGGGAGCAAGGGAAATGAAGGATTGTGGGGCGAAAGTTGGAACAGTTCTCGTTTGCTCGGGTTGTCAGTCTTTTGAGCAAATCCCTCTTCTCAAAAAAGTTGTGGATGGGAAAAGTGTCAAATTCTCCACCCCAACAATCAAACAAACCCTGATTGATGGTTCAAATCGATGTGTTCATTGTGGACATGCCGTGCATCAAATCGGACCAATGTATTTGGCGCCAATCCATTCGAAAGACTTTGTTGCGAAATTGCTAGGCCAACTGAAAAATACGCCAGAAGAATTGCGATTGGGAACGCATAGCAGATTGTTGGGTGTTTTGACGACGGTTAGTGAGGAAATCGATGATGCGATTTTATACTATGAACATGATCAATTGGCAAATGTTGTGAAATGTTCGGTTCCGAAGGCGATTAATGTGAGAAGTGCGATTTTGAATGCGGGATTTAAGGTTTCCGGGTCTCATTGTAATCCAAGAGCAATCAAGACAAATGCGCCACTTCAATTTTTATGGGATATTTATCGAAAGGTGGCGGAGGATACGAATGTGGATCGGGAGAAGAGATTGGACCCAAAATCGGCGGGTTATACGATTCTTGGGAAACCTATCATGTAAGATTGTTTTGAATTTTATGGGCCTATGCAGAAAACATTTCTTTCCTATGCAGAAAAACGTCGAAAAACAAAATATACAGTATTATTTTTGAGTAGAGACAACGGGAAATTAAGAGAGTGCAGACAGTTTTTTGTATTTTTTTGTGCAGAAACCTAATTTGTCTGTCTGCACTCTCTCAATTTCACATTGTCTCTAATCAAAAATAATAAACTGTATAATTTGTTTTTTGACGTTTTTCTGCATAGGCTAAAAACGGACCCTAATAATTTTCCAATTCAAAATTCCTCCCAAATTCATTTTTTTCTCATTTTCCTCTCTTCCAGATCCACAATCGATTTCAAATTGCATCCGGAAGCGGCGAATCAAATCAAAAAGGAAAATATGGTCAGATTCCAGTGTAACAAGGGAAAAAATTGGGGACCACGACAAAAAGCCAAGGGATCCGTGAATTCGGCGCAAGCCGGTTTTCAAGTCGAAAAAGTTTGAGATTTTTGTTACAAAAATCTTAAATTTTGTTTTATTTTTTGTTGATTTTTTGATTGTTGAATTTGATTTAAAAAAAATATATGTTTTTTAAAAATATAATAGGATTTTTTTCCAACAAGTTCATTCAACAAATCTGGATTATACATGTTGTCCACATAGAACTATTGATGGACAATTCAGTGATCCACAAACCAAACTCTCACATTCAACGGTTTCCAGGAGTTGTGTAGCCATTTGTAACACTACACATTTATCCCTACAAAAAATTTAAAAAAATAGATTTTTGTTTCTCTGTAATTGTCTTACCCATATTTAGGAAATCCTGATGCCCAATAACTCAATTCACTGTCTCCAGTGATCCAAGGATCCGTCCACTTAACACTGCCAGAAAGTATATCTGCTCCAAGAACTACTTGTGTATTTGTGCGGTTCGCCGCTGGATTCAATTTACTCCACATTCTTCGCTCATTGGCATTTTCAAATCCTAATTTCTCCATATTTTTTGTTTCGCAAAATTGGAAAGCTTTCGCTTGTGTTGTATGTAGATACATTCTCGTTGCACAAACAACTGAATTGATACGAATCATTTTCGTAAGATTAGCTGCACAGGCTTTTAATTTATCGAATTGTTGAGTTTCGAGAAGTTCAATACTCTCCGAACAATTTGTGACATCCGATTTTATCGCAATTTCCATATCATCTCGATTGTTTGTGTATTTCATATTATCAGTTGCGTTTCTCATATCAAATTCAATTATGTTACACAATACATCTGATTTTTTATAAACCAACAAACATTTTGAAGTATTTCTACACCAACAAATACACTCGTCCCAAGAATATATATTTATTGTTGGCAAAGTTGGTTCAAAGTCGTTAGGACTATCAAAAGTCCCATAAAAAACTATCATTTTTCCAATTGCCACGTGGAAAATGAATGAAATAGAAATAAGGGAAGTTCTCATTTCGGAAATGATTTTTTTTTTAAACATTATCCGCAAAAGGAATGTCATGGCAATTTGAATTTATTGGTCTTTTGAATGTTTTCGAGAACATAGAGGAATTTAGTACAGCTACAATAACCCGGGATACAATGTTACATACATGTTTTTTTCTTTTTCAGATCCACGATCGATTTCAGACTGAATTCGGAAGCGGCGAATCAAATAAAGAAGGAAAATATGGTCACTCAGCAAACCAGGGCGTAGCTACATTGTTGGAATTCTGTAAAGAGAGCCTGACAACGATGTAGCTACGTGAATAGACTTTTGTAGCTACGAGACTGTCTGCCCCACACTATTTCCACGTTTGTGAACTATGCGGAACTCCAGAAAACCAACAATGTAGTTACGAAAATTTCGAAAAAAGTGAAATTTTTTGTGTAGCTACACCGTTCTATGTAACTACACTGTTGGATTTCTGGAGTTCCACATAGTCCACAAAAATGGAAATAGTGTGGAGCAGACAGTCATGCGTAGCTACTTTGTTCAAATTCTGGAAAGAGAGACTGACAACCATGTAGCTACGCACGTTCGCCAATGTAGCTACGCCCTGGTTTTCTGAGCAGATTCTAGTGTAACAAGGGAAAAAACTGGGGACCACGACAAAAAGGTTTCAAGTCGAAAAAGTTTGAGATTTTTTGGAAACATCTGTTTTATTTTTTGTTGAATTTGGAAAATATATAAGTTAAAAGAAAATTTTTAAAAAAATATTAGAATAAGTTACAGTGGATCTCTGGATACAAAATATTCTCTACGTATATCAGACTCGAAAAACTTTAAAGCTCGCCTCTGGCTCACAACCTCGTAATTTGTTCCGAATGACGGCTGACTTGAGTAAGATTTATTTGTCTCGAAGATATCATTGATTTTTTGTCTGAAACAAAAATATGGAAAAGGTTTCTTTGAAAAGAATACCTCAAAATTGAAAAGAATACCTTAAATTCACATCATCATCTCGTGTCAAATGTTGTCTAGCCCAATTTTTCAGCCATAAAATCGATTGCAAATCGACATAAACCCAAAAATCATCGACATCAACGTCGACAAAATTCTTGAAAATCTGAACGGCCACTTCGATAGTTGCTCGATTCGAAATTTCTGGGTGAAGTTCGCACAGATATTTGAAAATTTTTTCGACAATTTTGTCATTTTCTCGACTTGTGGCTGGATTTATTTGATATCTATTCTGCTCGTCGAATCCACATTGAGCCAATGTCTAAAGTAAGAAATTATGATAGAAAATTCTTTCTGAGGTATCTAATTATAACTCACCAATGCATATCTGGTCTTAAAATCCGGATCAAACAGCAAATCAATTCTTACAAGCAAAACTTTGATGAAATCTTTCCTCTCCAAAAACTTCGACAATTTCTCAATCGTCATAACAAACCGATAATCATCCATCCAATTACTATAACCTCTCTTCGCCTCCATTTCCATAAATACATCTCCAACATTTTCCAAAACCGTTTTTATTTGTTCCCACATTGCTCTAATTGTCATCGCTTGAAACAGATCGATGAAATTGATTTTCATCAAAAACTTCGCGACAACTTTGATAATTCCCTCTTTTGTTCCTAGAGATGGAATGAATTTTGCAGCAAGAAACAAAAAATGGGAAGATTGAGCATTATCAAACCAATAGTTCAACATTTCGATACAATCAATTTCTTCGAGAAGAAAATGAATTTTATGTGATAGTAGATATTCATCAGATATCATACGAAAACATTGCAATAGTTTGTCATGTAATTCGAAACGAGTGAAAGAATCTGTTAATTTATTAATCGCCACGATTCTCGCAATTCTATTATCCAAATGTACTTCATTGTTGATTTCATCTATCAAATACCGCGCTGTAAAATATACATTTTCGCGTCATCTTGTTTTAGAAATATTCCACAACTCACCGGATTTCTCCTTATTTTCTATCAAAAACTGCCTAGTATTCTCTATTGTATAAACACCATCCATTGGAATTGGTTTCTGGGTTTGACCATTTTCCTTGAAATTGTTAAAAACTTTTCTGCAAAAAAACTTATTTATCTTCTTATGAAGTGAGACTTAAAACTTACAAAACTCCCAATTCATTCATTTTTTCGATTTTTTGATCTATCGCTTCGAAATTTATGGATTTGAAATCGACAAAACTATTGACTAAATCGAATGCTAACTGAAGTTTATCAAATTCTGGATTGAATTTTGATAATTGAACATCAAGATTTTCTAATAATACTTCAGATATATTCGGATCAGAAGTTTGATAGAAACCTGATGTTTCGGAATTATTGTTCAGCAATGTCTGAAAAATAAAAAGTTTTCAGATTTGTTAGGAGCCTAAAATAAAGAAAATTATCACCTTAGCATATCTTATCGCAAACACAGTATCTTCACTCAAAATACAATCGAGTCTTCTAACCATAAATCTGACAAGGCAATAATTTCCAAATAAACATGAAATATCCTCCAAAACTTCAATTATTTTCTCATTTTCACTATCTGCATTGGAAATAATCGCATTCATCGATTCAAGAATTCCACTTTTGCAACGATCAAAAACTTCAACTTTCACAAAGACTCCGATTTTGATGGGTGTAACATATCGTGCCTTTTCGTTTCTATTCATTCGATCGAATATCTATAAGTGAAAAATTATAGATTTCTTATGAAAAAAAACATACAGCTATCATCATATTTGCAGCATTTATCTCATTTTCGAATGATTCGATTTGGAAAATTAAAAAAAATTGCTCAATCCATGCTTGTCTGTAGGGCTGTAAAAAAGTGCACTTCATCCGAAAACCCTGTTTTTATGTACAGTCCTACTTCTCTGTCACGTGGCAAATCTAATAATTTCCAGAATACTTCACATCTCGAAAAATGAGGCGAATTCCACAATAATTGGACTAATCCAAAAGTTTCTACATGCGATTCAAGAATTGGAATCAGAATTCTCCACAATAACTTTCGGCAGCGGTCCAAACATCCAATTGGAACCTTTGGTAGCAGGGATTCGATGCTGGTTTTTGCATCCTGAAGTTCCAGTTTTTGTATTTTTCGAAGTGATTGGAAAACTGCAAAAATGTGGTTTTTCTTGAAAATAAATGTTTGAAAACTAACCTGGATCATGTCTGAAGCTCATTTTTGGGAGAAAAATCTAATTGACAAAATTGAAAATGCAGAAAAAGCAAGGATTGAAATAAAGCATATTCATTCGCTATGTAAGTAGATCAAACATTTTTTCGAATAAAAAAGAAAAGAAAAAACCTCAAAACTTTTTCAAACGCACCGTAATTTTTCAAAGGCACACCAAGAAATTCGCGTGGTCTCACAACGAAATGACGTTTTCACAGGTTTTTCATTTCGCGAAATTTCGAAAAAATTTTCACAAGCCCAATTTCAGCGCAAAATGGACGATTTCAAGCACGGACAAGTTTGTAATGATTGGATAATCTGGAAGAATTGTGGACACAATGGATATGCGCATGTTTATCAAGTTAGCGATATGAAAAAAGAGGTTTATGTAAGTGAATTTTAATTTCGGCCTAAATTAAGTGGTTTTGATTAACATTTATAAGTTTCAGGGCACAATGTATGCTGAAAAATTGAAAGAAGATCGGAGTTCAACAATTGGAAGCTGCCTGGATTTTTTAATCGAACAACAAGCAATGGGAAATGGCTATAAATTTGTGACGGTTATCGATTCGAAAATGATTGAAGAGGATTGGATTTATATGATCACCCAATTTCGACCTGGCCCCAGCTTGGAGCAATTGATAAATTGTCAGAAATCTGGTGGGAAGTTTGATCCGGTTACCTGCACATTTTTCGCGATTGATATGCTACAAGCTATCGAAACGATCATCGAATCAGGACACGTTTTGCAAAGTTTTGAAAAATCACATTGGAGATTTGATGTGAATTCGCGAATCTTTTATCTCTCGGACATCTCAGATCTCGCAGTTTGCACAGATCGACGAGCCAATGTTTTTCGCAAAAAACTCAAGAAAAATCCGCAACTCTTCAGTGGCGCCTCGGCTTCCTTGAATTGGAAGGGTGATATCAAATACGCGCCAATTTCTTTCATCGAAGACGGAAAAGATCATCGTATGTCTGAAATGGATATGTTAGAAGTTGCGATTTATGTGTTCTATGATTTAGTGAGCGGCAAATTACCATGGGAAACATCGCAGGATTTGGATAAGATTTTGAAGATGAAAGAAGAGTTTCTCGATTATCGAAGGTTGCAATGCAATGACAGTGGTTTTAATATAGTGTGAGTTACGATAACTTGCGAAGAAACTTATGAATACGAGTTATGACGTGGCAAAGATCGAATTATTTGCTTCAAATCAAAATATAACAACGAAACATTGTCATTAAATTGAATTATTTTCATTGAAACTGGCAATGTTTCTTCGTTTTATTTTGCTTTGATGTAAATAATTTGATCTTTGCCACGTCATAACTCGAGTTCAGTCTCAAATTTTCTTACAAAACCAAAACCTTTTGAAAATTTCAGTCTTCGTAACATGGTGGAACGTTTGAAGCAGGCGAAAATTGAAGAAGTTCGATTGGCATCAAAACCAACGATGTTTGGAGCTTGGTGTCCGCACGGTCTCCGCGGTCCCGCCCAATCTTCCGCCTTCAATTACGATAAAATGCACAAAGATTTCCGCCAATTGATCACAAATCATCAGCCAAAAACAATCAATTTCCGCGATGCTATGCTTTGTTTTGAAGTCGAGTTGAAAATCGAAGATATGTCGGAAAATGTTCGGAAGAAATTGGAAAGGAAAGAATTGTTGAGAATGTTGAAGGAGCAAAAAGAGGAGATGAGACGAGAAGAGGCGTTGATTGAACATTATTCGGTGATGAAGGAGGATGATATGATGCAGGAGAATATTTTGCAGCAGAGGATTCGGGAGATGATTAAGGCTGTCAAAATTGAGTGTGGTAAGCGATTTTTTAAAAAAGAAAACTTTTTGGGAACTCCAAATTTTGAAAGAATATTTATTGATTGATTAATATAATATACAAGAAAGAATTCAATGATCATGGAGCGCGCGATTTCTGAAAACCTCAATCAAATTCGCAATAACTTGATACAAAACACTCCAAGCAACACGAGTTTCCTCATCCAATTGATAGCCATTTGTTTCTTTGACAACTTCGAGAACCGGCTCAATCATGTGCTGAAAAATCAATAATCCGGATTCCTGATTTTCTAAATAGTTTGTACTTACGATAACATGGTTTCGTTGAACATTCCATTTGATATGAGCTTGAGCAATTCGAGCCAATTGTTTTCCCAATTCTTCTTCGTTTCTCATCGATTCGATGATTTTTCCCAAACCTTTTAAATAGACTGAAGCGTGACGTCTATAAAATTTTTTAATTAATTTAATCACCTAATTAAGTATTTCGTCAATTACCTTAATTCTATCGCATTCATTAGAGAAGAATCAGGAATTGCTCTGAATTGTGGCCAAATTAATTTGTATCTTGGATATTCGGAGAATAGCCGGACGAATATTTTGAGACCATTTTTGACGCCGTCTTTTTCCATGTTGGCGAAGGTTCGGCGGATTATGTCGCGTTGTTTTTCGGAAAGGCGGCAGGTTTCGTCGATGACTTTTTGAGCTGGAAATTTGGGGGAATCCACGTGGCAATATTGATTTTTGGGACGAAATTTGGAACAGAAATCTCCAGAATTTTGTAGAAAAATTTTCAAATTTCTGACAATTCGCGCTCAAAATCGCCACTCGATCCAAAAATTCGTCATTTTTAAAATTCAGATAAATCTTTTACCCTAGAAAATCTTAAAATCCGATTTTCTAGCAAAAATACGGCTTATCAATTTTTTCCCACGCAGATCTCAAATCTACGACCTTAAAATCCAAGCTAGGATTTTAAGGTCGTAAATTTAGCTAGAATCTAGTTTCACAGAAACTCACTGAAATTCTCCTCATTCTCATCGTCAGACATATTTTCTCTCGAAAACACAAGTGAAAAATCGTATAGAGACGAAAATGAGAAAATATGATGATGAGAAATCTCACTAATTTGATATATATGAAAATTTGGCTGTTTTTCAGATTTTTCTTTTTTTTTAAACATGAATTTTGGGGGCGTTTTTCTGAAGCCAAAAACCTACCAAAAGGGTCCGAATTTTCTTTGCCAAAAATTGAGGACATTGTTGTTGAGGTTGTTGTATTGGTGGATGTGGAATTTGTGGAATCTTGAGAATCTTGATGTTGATAGGAAGAAGATGTGGAGGAATTTCGGGGGATTTCTGGTTGCGCGGGGGGTTTCTGGAAAATAAAGGAAATTTGGAGCAGTTGAGGTTTTTGATTTGCCACGTCATAGACATTTGAGTTCAGAGAAAAGTGATTTTTTCTAGAAATTCTGAACAAAAATCCAATTAGGAAATTAATTTTTTAATTTCACTAATTTATAGAAAATTAATTTATGAAAATCAAAAATTTTAAAGAACTTCAATTTCATCTTACAAATTTTCCCCAATTTCGCCTGAAATCCTTAAAAAACCAATATTTCAGGAATCGAAGATGAACCCGAAGAATTTCGACCACCCCCACTGAAAAAACCAAAAGGTAGTGTTTCCTCAAAATTTTCCACATTCAAAAAATCTTTTTTTTTGCAGTTGAGATACCCGAAGATCCTCAAGAATTTTCGCAAATCTACAAAATCCCCGAAAAACCTATAGGTATGTTTTATTTTTGGTGAAAAATTACCTGAAACTCTGGTAGATTTCCAATTGTTGATCTGCGATTTTCGGGGATTTTCTCGACTTTTAAATGTTTTTCGGATTTGGCGGAACTTGCTGCCAAATCGTAGAACTCAATCATATTTCGATACATTTTCAGAGAAAGTGGTGAAAATCGAGGAAGAAGAAGAAGATCTGGAAGAAACATTGGTGAAAATCGAGGTGGAAGATCTGGAATACGAGCCGATTCAACGTGAGAAGCTGGAAATTTTTGGAAAAAAGAAAGTTGGAAGACCGAAGAAGAGTGTAAGAGTTGGAGAAGGTAATTTTTTTTTTTAAATGGCCCGGCAACGGAGATTATGAGTACTTTTGAAAATGTTCAAATGTTGATGAATGAAACTCAAAATGCATTTACTTCACAGAAAATTGAAGTTGAACATAAATTTCAGAAAAATAAAAAAACTGAAAAAATAAAAGATATATGTGGCCGAACTATTTTGGTGGCCGAGAAGTGTCGGGAATTCGGCCAGAGCAACAAACTCGCTCTAATCTTGCATTGTTGGAGCGCGTTTGTTGCTTTGGCCGAGTTCCCGACACTTCTCGGCCACCAAAATAGTTCGGCCACATATATCTTTTATTTTTTTCAGTTTTTTTATTTTTCTGAAATTTATGTTCAACTTCAATTTTTTGTGAAGTAAATGCATTTTGAGTTTCATTCATCAACATTTGAACATTTTCAAAAGTACTCATAATCTCCGTTGCCGGGCCATTTAAAGTTGGAAGGTTTTCGGATTTGGCGGAACTAGCTGCCAAATCGTAGAATTCAATCATATTTCGATACATTTTCAGAGAAAGTGGTGAAAATTGAGGAAGAAGAAGAAGATCTGGAAGAAACGGTGGTGAAAATCGAGGTAGAAGATCTGGAATACGAGCCGATTCAACGTGAGAAGCTGGAAATTTTAGGAAAAAGGAAAGTTGGAAGACCGAAGAAGAGTGCCAGAGTTGAAGAAGGTAATTTTTTTTAAATTTTTTTATAAAAGTTCGAAGGTTTTCGGATTTGGCGGAACTTGCTGTAGAACTCAATCATATTTCGATACATTTTCAGAGAAAGTGGTGAAAATCGAGGAAGAAGATCTGGTAGAAAAAGTGGTGAAAATCGAGGTAGAAGATCTGGAATACGAGCCGATTCAACGTGAGAAGGAAATTGCAGGAAAAAGGAAAGTTGGAAGACCGAAGAAGAGTGTCAAAGTTGGAGAAGGTAATTTTTTTGAAGGGGAAAAAGTTACTTTATGATTTTGAGCTGGGAAGGGAGAAGATCATTCAAAAAATCGTACAAAAAATTTCATAAAAATCTTGAAACGTACAATTTCCATTTTTAGAATGACCGGATTTCCGAGATTTTTTCAAAAAAAATTAATTTTTTTCTGCTAAAAATTGAGAAATCATATATCCGTTTTACTTCAAAAATCTTCGATTCTCACAAAAAAAAGCAGAGTTTTTGTTAAGTTAAAGCGCTTAAAAATTGCAACAAAATTATCCAAAAAAAAATTTTTTTCTATAGAACAAAAAAAGTGATGTTGATGGGGATTAAGGCTCAAAAACACATGTAAAAATAAATTTATTTTTCTAATTTTTGATCCAAGAACATGGAAAATGAGTGGGGTAAAATTGAAAAAAAAAAAACAATTTTTTCTCGTGATTTTTCAGCCGTATGAAAATTGAGCAAGTTTTTTTTAGTTTTTTAAGCGAAAAAAATCCTTGGCTCCGCCCATTTTTCGATGAATTTCCGGACAGGAAATTCTTAAGACACGCAGCAAAATTGAACTTTTAAGACAAAGTTCGCAACTCGTTTTTCATGGAAACCGCAGGACAGAGAAAGGTCAAAGTGATTTTGAGTTTGAGTTTGCAAGAAAAAAGTTGGAGTGGACCTTTTTTTGGAGAAAAATGTGTGTGGTTCAGTGATTTTTGAGGGGGATTTCCGGAGATTTTTTGGGGGGAAATTTAGTGTCGAAATTTCAGATTTAAAAAATTCTGAAATTTTTCTGCATACATCAGTATCCCCGGATTTTCGCCCTGAGGGGGTCTGGCTAACTTTGAAAAAAAGGCGTGGGGACTGGCTAACTTTTTGAAAAAATAACAATTTACAGCCCAAAAACCAAGTTTTTTCTCTTTTTTTTTTGAGGGGGTCTGGCTAATTTTTGAATTTTCACATTACGGGGGTGGCTAATTTTGAGGCCCTGACCTGGAGAAACTGATGTATGTTTTTCTGTATTATTTTCAGCCTGAAAATGTTTTTTTTCGAAATTTCTGAAATTAATTTTGAACAAATATTTCAAGAAAATCCTAGAATTGATGATTATCTGAAATTTATTCATTTTTTCAAGAAATTTCAGTGAAAAATCAATTTTCCAGCTCCGGAAATTTCTCAAGTTCTTCTGAAATCAAACATTCAAATTTACGAGATCTCTGAAAATCCCTAGATTTTTCAGAAATCGGAAATATCGTCATAATTTCCTTGAATTTTTTACGAGGACATTTTTCGCCAAAAATCATGAATTTTCAGAAAAAAAGTGCAAATCATGAAATATTCATCAATTTTTCCATGTCTAGAAAAAATTTTTTCCCAAAAAAAAATTTCAAAATTTTCAGGAAATTGAGTTTTTGTGTAGCCAATTGTGAAATTTTCAGCTGAACCGTGAAAATTTGTATTTCCTTTTGATTTTCGTACGAAATTCTGTGTAGTCTAGAATTCTCAATCGAATTAGCCAAAGTGTAGACGTAGGCAAACTTGCAAATTCTATTTTTTCCAGAAAAATCGACCAAAGGCTGAATATCAAATTCAAAGTTTTTAATGCAAAATTCTCACTTTCTGTATTATTTTTTTTAGTTTTTTCTGTATTTTTGTTCTAATTTCATGATTTTTTTTGTATTTTTGTTATAATTTTCAAAATTTTTTGTTTTCTTTTGTTTGTCTTTTTATTCAAAAAAATTTTTTTTGAAAAAAAATCTTCATTGGATTTATTACACGTAAAGAAACCTGGAGGATATTTCGAAAAAAATCAATAAAAACAGTTATGTGCTCTTCACATCATCCATTATCGAATCATTCAGAATAATTGGAGTATCTCTGGAAGCCAACATCACAATTGCGAAGATTATTGTGATTGTTATATAGAAGAACATTATACATCGATCGATGAGGCGAGTTACTTGTTGCCATTCGAATTTGACACGTTTTAGCTCGCGTTCTGGAAAAAAATGAGGAACTACGATGCTCCGCGATAACGCTGCTAAAATATTTCTCAATTTTTTTCTCTCAATGAATTGATGACCGGATTTCCTGAGAAAATGAAAATATTTCCGTTTTTCTTTCACAAAAATCAACATCAGTGTTCAGAAATCATCGAAAAAATGCACTAAAAATTTCCGGGAAGCTATTAACTAAGATTTTTCTAGAAAACCCACCAGCTTGAATCGAAGCCTTCAAATCATCCAAAACCATCTTGATCTTCAGCAAACTTCCAGTCATTGGATTTGGATTCGAATCTTGCGAGCTTTGAGTTGACATCACGAATGATTTCACACTTCCACCAGCGATTTCTTCCATTTTGACGATGTGTGGAGATGGTTCGCCTTTACAGTAGCCATTTGAAGTGGCGCCGCCGTTGACGAAGAAATATGACTGAAACTGGGAGAAATGGGGTTGTGGGAAGAGAATTTGGTGGAAAAATAGTTCAAAAATTTCAGAATTTCTTGATCTACCAAAAACGTTACTAACTCTTGAATTCAAACTAGGATTCCGGAACTACAGTACTCCTTGAGAATAATATTTTTTTTGGTTCATTTACAATCGTATTTTATTTTTGATCTACAGTACTTTACAGCCTGAAAGCCTACTGTAATCGGAAAAATCAAATAATTGTGAAAAAAATTCTGGAAAAAAAATGGTTTTCACATTTTTAAAATTATTTTTTGATCTACCATTTTTGGGAAGTTAATTTATGGTTCAAATCTTAATTTCAGAATTTCTTGATCTTCCAAAGAAGTTACTGTAACTCTGGAATTCCAACTATGGAGGATTCTTCACCAGAATCCGGAACTACAGTACTCCTTGAGAATTATATTTTTCGGTTCATTTACAGTCGTATTTTATTTTTGATCTACAGTACTTTACAGCCTCGAAGCCTACTGTAATCTGAAAAGTCAAATTTTGGGCCAAAATCTAGAATACTAGGCTGATAGGTTACTGTGAAATTGATTTTCACATTTTTAAAATTATTTTTTGATCTACCATTTTTTTGGGAAGTTAATTTATGGTTCAAATCTTGATTTCAGAATTTCTTGATCTACCAAAGAAGTTACTGTAACTCTGGAATTTAAACTATGGAGGGTTCTTCACCAGAATCTGGAACTACAGTACTCCTTGAGAATTATATTTTTTTGGTTCATTTACAGTCGTATTTTATTTTTGATCTACAGTATTGTAATCTGAAAAAATCAAATTTTGGGCCTAAAATTCAGGATACTGTGAAAAAAACTCTAGTTTTTTGATTTTCAAAATAAGTTTTTGATCTACCAAAAAATGTGGAAAAAACATTGTAGGTCAAAATAAGTTTTTCAAGTTTTTTAGCCAAAAATGATGACAAATCGATATTTTTCAAGTTTCTGGAGTTATTTCTGATTAAAATTGACCTTGGAATTCACTTTCCAGAAGGCTTTGCTGATTTTCCGCTTATTTTCATCAGAAATTACTCCAGAAGCTTAAAAAATATTGATTTGTCATCATTTTTGGCTGAAAAACTCGAAAACTAATTTTGACCTACAATGTTTTTTCGACATTTTTTGACTTTTCGTGAATTGATCATTCAATGTTAAAAAAACATTATTTTCGTTTGTGAATCAGCCCTATAGTTACAGTAATCCTGAATCCCCCAACTACACTATAGTCTGACCCCAAAACTCACTTGTTTCCGATGATCACATCTCAACAATTTTTTAGGTAATTGAAATGAAAAAGCCCACGAAATGCATGGATTCGCAGCGATTTGATAAAAGAAAAAATCTCGAATTCTCGGATCAACTTCTTGTCCAGAATTCCCGCGCATTTGATAGGAAAGTGTTAGAGTTGTTGTAAATGCGGCCATGAAAATGAGGAATATTAGACCGATGTAATATTTTCCGATTAGTGGAATGACTTCGGAAGTTGCCGGAACTTCATCGGATACCATCATCACTGAAAAACAATAGGATTCAGGAATTTTTTGAAATTTAAAATTTTGCACTAGAAATTCTCAATGTAATTTTTTTCTCTGTGAAAAAATTTGGAAAATTTCGGATTTTCAATCATGTCAATTTTTTTCAGAAAAAAATACAACTTTGAAAATTTACTACGGTCTTCAGTACCAAAACTACAGTACTCCTACTACTACAGTACCCTTTTCCCTCCACAAAAATCTCAATTTTCCAGAATTTTTTGAATTTAAAAATTTTGCACTAGATGTTCTCAACGTAATTTTTTTTCTCTGTAAAAAAATTTGGACATTTTTTTTGTGAAAATTCGGAATTTTCAATCGTGTTAAATTTTTTTTCCAAAACAAGACAACTTTGAAAATTTACTAGGATCTACAGTACCAAAACTACAGTACTCCCATTTATTTAGAACTACAGTACTTCAAAAATTGGCTCCAAAATCTGAAGTAACGGTATCCTCATCTACAGTAAAAACCTCATTGAATACTTTTTTTTTTTGAAAAACTCAGTTTCAGATTTTCATTTTTGCCAAAAAAAATTCTCAAAACTCTTCCTAGAAATTACATTTGTACAGTAATCCCATCTACAGTACCAAACTTTGAAACCTCCTAGACTACAGTACTCTAAAGTTACAGTACCCACACATAATTTTGTATGAAAAAAAATTTTTGGCGGCGAAAATTTGGATTTTCAGTCATGTCAAATTTTTTTCCGAAATGTTGAAAATTTACTACAGTACTCCTATATACTACAGTAACCTTTTCCCTCTCCAAAAAATCTTTTTTTGAAATTTAAAATTTTGCACTAGAAATTCTCAACGTAATTTTTTCTCTGTGAAAAAATTTGGAAAATTTTTTTTTCATGAAAATTTCGAATTTTCAATCGTGTCAAATTTTTTTCCCGAATAAAACAACTTTTAAAATTTACAAGGGTCTACAGTATCAAAACTACAGTACCCTTTTCCCTTCCCAAAAAACTCACTAATAATAGCCATCGAAAGCAACGCCGTGACTCCCAACGAAACTTTTTCCGTATTTTCTCCCGTCGTAGAATGCGGTGTAAAAAATCCGACAATTGTGACTACGGTAATGAAAGCCGATGGAATGACCAAACTAAATATATAATAAGAGGGTGATCTTCGAAGAACCATAAAATATGTGACATCTGGAAATGGGTCAGGGCAACATTCGTAATTCTTCTTGTAGATTTTTACTCTGGAAAATTGGGGGGCTTCGGGAGGTTTCAGAGAGTTTTTGGGGGGTTTAGAAGCTTTCAGAAGGCTTCAGATGGCTTCAGAATCTTTCAGAAGGCTCCAGAAGACTTCAGAAGCTTTCAGAAGGCTTCAGAAGCTTCCAGAAGGCTTCAGAAGCTTACAGAAGGCTTCACAAGCTTCCAGAAGGCTTCACAAGCTTTTAGATGGCTTCAGAAGCTTTCAGAAGGCTTCAGAAGCTTTCAGATGGCTTCAGAAGCTTTCAGATGGCTTCAGAAGCTTTCAGATGGCTTTAGAAGCTTCCAGGTGGCTTCAAAAGCTTTCAGAAGCTTCCAGAAGGCCTCAGAAGCCTTCAGAAGCTTCCAGAAGGCTTCAGAAGGCTTCAGAAGGTTTCAGAAGCTTTCAGATGGCTTCAGAAGCATCCAGATGGCTTTAGAATCTTTCAGAAGGCTTCAGAAGCTTTCAGAAGGCTTCAGAAGCTTCCAGAAAGCTTCAGAAGCTTTCAGAAGGCTTCAGAAGGCTTCAGAAGCTTTCAGATGGCTTCAGAAGCTTTCAGAAGGCTTCAGAAGCTTTCAGGAGGCTTCAGATGCTCCCAGAAGGCTTCAGAAGCTTCCAGAAGGCTTCAGAAGCTTTCAGAAGGCTGCAGAAGGCTTCAGAAGGCATCAAAAGCTTTCAGAAGGTTTTAGAAGCTTCCAGAAGGCTTCAGGAACCTTAAGAACTTACCGGAAATCTGTCAAACTCCATTCAGTATTCCTGATATACAATTCCAAATTGTCAGTTTTTGGTGTTGGATTCAGGTCGAGTTTTGAACCATCCATACTCCAGGATGCGAAAGTCACAAAGCAAATCTGGAGAAAAATTTTGAATAAAACAATTTTTGCAAATGCGCCCCATTGATAAACCCTTTTGTGCGCTGAAAATTTGAATTCAAATTTTTTTTGCAGCAGAAAAAAATAGTTTTTCAAAAATCCCCCAATTTCCCGCCTTATTTACCTGTTGATCAAACGGAAATTGCTGTAAATTCAAATTACAACTAATATCCGTAATCATCGATCGAAATAGCATAACTCGTCCATCATAATCAATTATCGCATTCGTTTCCATCTCATTTTCCTCGACATTCATGTTCGCACTAAAAAAACGCACATTTTTCCGGTTTCTTATCTCAAACATTTCATGCGGTTTCTCTCGGCCTGCTTAGTATAGTGGTTAGTACTCCACGTTGTGGCCGTGGCGACGCTGGTTCGATTCCAGCAGCAGGCAACTTTTTTTTTGTTTTTTGTTTTTTAACTCACTTATTGTAAACTAGAACATCTGGCTTCCAAATTTTCGCAGCTGGCACATGAATTCGAGAAAGATTATTGAATTCAGCAGGATTCCAGACTAGCATTTCATCGGTCCAATAAAGTTCCAACCAACAATAAACTTTGACAATTTGATCGCGTTCATCGACTTTGAGAATTTGTTTGAGCCAAAATTTGATATCGACTCGTAAAGTGTGAGAATCATTGTGAACAGGGCGAATGTCTTTGACGTAGTTGGTGAAAAGTTTGTCGTAAAGGGCGTGCATTGGAGTTTGGGTTGGAGTTGGAGGTGGAAGTTCGGAGGTTTGGAGAAGATAGCTCTGAAAATTTCGGGTTTGGAGAAGGGGATTTGAGTTTTTCTGGAATATTTCTGAATTTCAAACCAACTTTTCGCAAAAAATTGAGCTCCAATTTAACAATTTCATAAGAACAGATGAAAAATGTATGACATTTATGAAACAGTGAATTTTTTCTTTGGAAAAAATGAAAATTCGAATCTGAATTTCAAACTTTTCGATTTAAAATTTCGTAAAACAAATTTTTCGAGAAATAAGTTCAAAATTCAGTTTCGAATTATAGAAAATTTTTGAAACAGTGAATTTTTATTTGAAAAATGTTTTATTTTCGGAAAAATTCCACATTAAGGACAACGCACTGCCTCCCCAAATCTACGTGTGTGTGGAAAAACGAAAAATGTCTGGCACGCTCTCACAAACACACACTCTCTCGCACACAACTTTTTACTTTTATTTCGCGAAAACAGTGCATATTAGGAGCTGATTTTTATGTGTTTTTCATCAGAACCACAATAAGTGTTATACATAGTTCGAAAGAGAATTTCTTCAGCTACAAACACATATGAAATGTTATGTATGAAAACAAGATAAAAAAATAAAAATTTCATGCAAACATGACATGGTTTTTTGAATTGTGTGAAAAACGCATGTGTTTTTTGATGACCTGGCTTATTTTTTGAATATCGAATATATGTATAATCAAGTCGTAGTTTTGTGCAGAATCTCAAGGGCTTTCAGATGATGTAAATCAATATTTATGAAATTGTGAAATCATGGAGGAGTAGGGATTTTTCGTTTGTCAATTTTTAAACGAAATTTTGATTTTCATTTGAAAGGAACTCGAATGAAGTTTACATACGTTTTGTAGAGAATTTCTCGGGCTTCAAAATCATATATATTTCTATACACAAAAATGAAAATTGAAAGCACCGCTTTCGGTTGAAAACTCACCGCTGTTTTTCGCAACGCTACTAAACGCGCTTTGTTTGTTTGGTGCAAACCCAACAAGTTTTCAACCGAAAGCGGTGCTTTCAATTTTCATTTTTGTGTATAGAAATATATATGATTTTGAAGCCCGAGAAATTCTCTACAAAACGTATGTAAACTTCATTCGAGTTCCTTTCAAATGAAAATCAAAATTTCGTTTAAAAAATTGACAAACGAAAAATCCCTACTCCTCCATGCTTTCACAATTTCATAAATATTGATTTACATCATCTGAAAGCCCTTGAGATTCTGAACAAAACTACGACTCGATTATACATATATTCGATATTCAAAAATAAGCCAGGTCATCAAAAAACACATGCGTTTTTCACACAATTCAAAAAACCATGTCATGTTTGCATGAAATTTTTATTTTTTTATCTTGTTTTCATACATAACATTTCATATGTGTTTGTAGCTGAAGAAATTCTCTTTCGAACTATGTATAACACTTATTGTGGTTCTGATGAAAAACACATAAAAATCAGCTCCTAATATGCACTGTTTTCGCGAAATAAAAGTAAAAAGTTGTGTGCGAGAGAGTGTGTGTTTGTGAGAGCGTGCCAGACATTTTTCGTTTTTCCACACACACGTAGATTTGGGGAGGCAGTGCAACGGGTATTCAATAAAAAACGAGTTTTAAAAAAATTTTACAAGATTTATGAAACAGTGAATTTTTTATATTTTATGACTCAAAATCTAATTAATAAAAATAATATTTTTTTAAAATGTTTTACAAAAGTTTTAAAACAGTGAATTTTTCTCAAGGAAATTTTCAACTTACCATCTGCAATTTAACAATATCAAGAAATCAGTTGAAAAATGTATCACATTTTTGAAACAGTGAATTTAAAAAAAAATTTTCCGGAGAAAATTCCACGATAAGGACAGCAGGTATTCAATAAAAAACAGGTTTAAAAAAATTTTAAAAAATTTATGAAACAGTGAATTTTTCTCAAGGAAAATTGCATTTTTTTCACAAAAATTTCAAAATGCCATCTTCAATTAAAAACATTTAAAATAATCAGTTGAAATATGTATCAAGTTTTTGAAACAGTGAATTTTTTATTTGAAAAAAATGAAAATTCGAACTTTTCGTCAGAATTTCAACAAATTTCAATTTTTAAAATTTCGGTCGAAATGAGTTCAAAATTCAGTTTCGAGTTATAGAAAATTTTTGAAACAGTGAATTTTTATTTTAAAATTTTATTCCGTAAAAAATTTCACAATAAGGACAGCAGGTATTCAACAGAAATACTTTTTTACAAAATGTATGAAACACATGAACAAAATGACTTCAAAATTCAGTTTCGAATTATAGAAAATTTTTGAAACAGTGAATTTTTATTTAAAATTTTTATTCCGAAAAAAATTCGACGTTAATGAAGGCATGTATCAATAAAAAAACAGTTTTTTATTTTTTTTTTTACAAAATTTTTGAAACAGTGAATTTTTTATTTTGAAAATTTTTCGAAAAAAGTTTCAAGAGTCGTTTATGACTCAAAATCTACTAACAATAGAGAAAATAATATTTTTAAAATTTTTTACAAAAGTTTTGAAACAGTGAATTTTTCTCAAGGAAATTTTCAACTTACCATCTTCAATGTAACAATTTCCAGAAATCAGTTGAAAAATGTATCACATTTTTGAAACAGTGAATTTTTTAAAAAATTTTCCGGAGAAAATTCCACGATAAGGACAGGAGGTATTCAAGAAAAACCAGTTTTTTAAACAGAATTTTTGAAACAGTGAAATTTTTATTCAAAATTTTTCGAATTTTTCTCAAGGTAAATTTTTTTCTCTTAAAAAATTGGTTTTTTTTTCATTTAAAAACGTGACCCAAATTTGCCACGTCTCAAAAAATTTTCATTTTCGCTCAATTTTCCCCCAAAATTTTGCTCATTTCTAAATTTCTCCCTCACACTAAATAAACCAAAAAATCGTATGCTTTTGAATAAAAAAATCATCAAAATATTTCTAATTCTCGTCGAAATCTCCAAAATCCTTCTTGCCAAAGTTGCCGTAACTTCAACAATTTCCCCGGAAATTCTCACAAAATGTGTGGAAAATGATGATGGAATTATCATAGAGGATCGGAAAATTTGTGTGAAAATGTTGGAGAAAGAAGATTTGGAGATGGAAGAAGTTGTGGAAGTTTGTGAAGATTTGGGAGGAATTTTGATGGAAACTGGGAGCGAGCAGAATCGAATGGTTTTGATGAGTGAGTTTTTTTTGGCTCCAAAAATTGTTTTGATCTACAAATTCAGCGCCGCATTTTCAGAACTCATAAATCAAAAATGTCACGGTATTTCATGCCCACGAGTTTGCCTCAATGACAATTTCAACACCAGTATTTCTCTCGAACGAAACCCGATTTATCTGGAAATCCTAAATCGCCCTCGAAAAAAACAACTCTGGGAATATGAGCGAAAAACAATTGTGCCAACTCAAAAAATGTCAACCGGAGATGCAATGTTTCTCGAAATCGATCAAATTCGCCCGGGAACTTTGGAAGTTTTTGAGCTCATTGATTTTGTTGTCGACGAAATGAAGAATGACGAACAGGCTTCGGTGTTGTTTCAAATGGCGATTTTCCGGAATTTTAGTGATATGAAAAATGGGGAGCTTGTGGATAAATTACAATTTCGAACTGGGTATATTCAAAGGAAAAATGATCAATTGAATGTGGAGAAATTGGTGACGCATGAGTTTTTGTTGAAGGATGAGATTGCGAATGAGACGAGTCAGATTATTAAAATTCAGTGGGTTGAAAGAACTTCAGAAACCTTTAATTTAGAGTCTGTGTGTCAAGCTGTCAAGCCTATAAAACCTAGTTATCAAGCAGCCGAGCCTAGAGTTTGACTCTGACAAGGAAGCGCGCCTTGAGAACTTCTATGTCAAGCAGCCGCGTCTAGAGTTCTACTCTGACAAGGAGGCGCGCTTTGAGGTCTTCTATGTCAAGAAGTCGAGCCTAGAAGGCCTAGTTATCAAGCAGTCGAGTCTAGAAGGTCTGGTTATCAAAAAGCCACGCTTACATTTTGACTCCGACAAGGAGGCGCGCCTTGAGAGTCGCTTTGTTAAAGTACGGCGTCTTCAGAGCTTCTATGTCAAGCAGTCGGGCCTAGAGCTCGATTCTAACAAGGAGGCGCGCCTTGAGGTCTTCTATGTCAAGAAGTCGAGTCTAGGAAGCCTTGTTATCAAGCAGCTTATCCTAGATAGCAGAATTGTCAAGCAGTCGCGCCTAGAATTTGACTCTGACAAGCAGGCGCGCCTAGAGTTCGATTCTTACAAGGAGGCGCGCCTTGAGATCTTCTATGTCAAGTAGCCTAGCCTAAAAGGCCTAGTTATCAAGCAGCCGCGCCTAGAGTTAGACTCTGACAAGGAGGCGCGCCTTGAGAGTCACTTTGTTTAGGGACGGCGCCTTGAGAGCTTCTATGACAAGTAGCAGCGCCTGTAAAGCCTAGTTGTCAAGGAGCCTAGCCTAGAGTTCGACTCTGACAAGGAGCCGCGCCTTGAGAGTAGCTGTGTTTAGGCACGGCGCCTAGAGCTCAACTCTGACAAGGAGGCGCGCCGTGAGATCTTCTATGTCAAACAGCCGCGTCTAGAAGACTTAGTTATCAAGCAGTCGGGCCTAGAGCTAGACTCTGACAAGGAGGCACGCCTTGAGAGTCGCTTTGTTAAGGTACGGCGCCTAGAGAGCTCCTATGTCAAGTAGCCGCGTCTCTAAGCCTAGTTATCAAGCAGCCGAGCCTAGAGCTCGACTCTGACAAGGGTGCGCGCCTTGAGAGTTGCTGTGTTTAGCCACGGCGCCTTGTGGTCTTCTATGTCAAGTAGCCGCGCCTAGAGGGCTTCTTTTTGAATTTATTCAAAAGTCTGGGAGAAAAATTTCACGTATCATCTAAAATTTCTGAAATTTCAGAAAATTTCTTCGCCACGTGTAAAATCATCGATTTTTTGCAGTTTCGCTGAAATCGGAAAAACAATTCTAACAGCCGATGGACTTTTGGACGATTCTTGGGAGTTCGAAACACCCGAAATCGATGGGCGATTGTTTTTGAGTCGCGAAAAATTCGGAATCCCCAAAAATCAGTTGCTAGATGTTTATGTCATGAAAGGGTAATTTAAAAAACCTTAATTAATTAATTTAAAAAATAATTAATTTCAGAGGAAATTGTCGAAAATCATCCTATCAAAATCAAAATTTAATCGAAAATGGGACCATTAATTGTCACTGGACCAATTCGATGGTAAGATTTTTTTTTAAAAATTCGGAAAATCTAAGTTCAACTCGAATTTTGCAGCAAACAGTTCCAGTCTACTCTTGCGAGCCCTCAAAATTTGTGGTTTGCCAATTTCCGACGGATATTAAGTTTGAAAATAATGCGATTATTTTACCGGATCGAAATATTTCGAGAGGAAATTCGACGGGAAAAGCTGAGAAATTGGGAGATGGTTGGGATGAGAGCTTTGATGGACTTTGGAGTTAGTTTATCTTGGGAAAGGGGTACAGTACTCTAGAAATTTTTGGAAAAAAATACAGGAGATACAAACATCCAAAAGTATCCTCTGAAGACCCTACAGTACTCCTTAGGAACCCTACAGTACCCATTTTTGTTTTTCCAGAAATGGCGCCTGGACTTGTGCTAACTAATATCATAATTGGAAGCCTAACAATGATCATAGTTATTTTTATGAGAATTTTTGGGAAAAAATAAAACTTACCTTTTTGCAACTTGCCACCAAAATTGAAACAAAAATCAGAAATTCTCGAATTCCAGACATTCTTCTTCCTGAAAATTGATATTTTCTTCTACAAAAAATGAGAAAAAAATAGAAATGTTTGTTTTTCGGATGATCTTTATTTTTTTTTTAGAATCCTCCTGAAAAATCGAGAACAAAAAACAATTGAATTTTTTTATTAGCTTCAAAGGATTTTCGGGATTTTGGAGGAAACAAGCAAAAATAAATAAAACAGGAAGAAAAAAAGAAAACACTTTTTTTGGGGGAAGGGGAGATTTTGAGAAGAGATTGGGTTTCGGAAATTTTGGAAATTCAGAAAATTCAGGAAGCTGCAAGGATTTTTTTGGAAGCTCGAGAAATTGTGGAAAATCAGCTTCAAAATTTCAGAAGTTTTGAATTTCAGACATTTTTCAGAAGCTCGAAGTAGAAGTTTGAGAATTTTCTGAATTCTAGAAGTTTGAATTTTGCCACGTGGATTTTTGGAACCTAAGCTCGGGAATTTTGGAAATTCAGGAAGCTGGAATTTTTTTAAAGAAAATTTGGAAGCTTTAAAAAAAATCAACATTGATAAAATATGACTGAAAAGTTACACGTGGAAAATTTAGCTCTGAAATTTCAGAAATTTTTAGATTTAAAAATTTTAAAGGGAATTTCAGAAGCTCAAAAATTTTGAAAAAAAAAATTCGGGGAAAGTAATTCCGGAAGTAGAAGCTTCTCTATAACTTATCTCTAGAAGAATTTTGCCACGTGGATTTTTGGGACCTAAATTTTTCCAGAAAAATTCCAGAAAGCTCAAAAATTTGCGATTAGAAAATGTCATTTTCTGGTGCCAAATTTAGAATTTCCCACGTGGATTTTTGAGCTAATTTTCTGAATAAATATTTTCAGAGAAGCTTTAGGAGTATCAGAAAGCTCCAAAATTTGAAAATGATAAATTCAGAATTTGATTTAGCCACGTGGAATTTCGAGGTCAACAAAATTTACTGAAAAGAAAAATTGACGTGAATATTGTGAGTCAACATTCAGAAATTCAAAATTTTTTGCCACGTGGATTTTTGTCCCCAAAAATTTCTTGGAACTAAAAAAAACATCGAACAAAGTTCAAAACTTTTTTCTCCCGGTTTTCGTTTCCCAGAAAAAAATTGTTTAGAAAGGGAATTTCCAAAACTCATCTATCATTTTTCATTTTCATTTTTGCTCTTTTTTGTGAGAGCTCGGAATTTCGAAATTGAATTTCTGACATTTTCAGAGAGGTTTTTCATTTTTCAAAAAATACACGGGATCGAAATTTGGTTATCTTTTTTTGTGTTTCGTTTTTTTTCGGCGAGGAAAAAGGACAAGTGGATGGACAACAAAAACGGATTTACGAGAAGTTGAAGGGGGAGGAAATTGAGAGGAATTTACGAATTTAGTAGGGGGAAATTTTGAAACAGTGGAAAAATGTTGCGATTTTTTTGAACCAAAAAAAACGTTTAGAAATGTCTGAAAAAAGCACTTGAGAATAGAAATATTTTGGGAAAAAAACTTTTTTTTTGAAAAGTTTTCTGTGTAGTTTGAACTTTCTGGGAAATGTTGGCGCCAAATTTTCAATTTTTAAAAATCTAATAATCCACGCGGCACAATTGGAACTTTGGATAAATACGAAAATTCACGTGAAAAAATTTTGGGTCAAAGTTTGTTCTTCGAAATTTTGTCTCTCACACTTTTGAATTTTTCAAAATTGTCCAAACCACTTGAAAAAAAAGTTTTATTTTTGAAACCTGAAATTTCGAAAAATGAAAAAAAAAAGATTTTGAGTTGCAAATTTCAGGTTTCAAAATTTCACGGACCATTAAAAATATACGAAATTTTCGGCTTGAAAATCCACGTGGCAAAAAAATTCTTGAAAAAAATTACAATTCTTGAATTCTGAACTTCAAATAAAAAAATCGAGTTGCTTTAAGTCTAGCTTGAGAATTTTCAAGTCTGAAAATTTTTTGCTCAAATTTTCAAAATTACGGAGCACAAAACATCAAAAACCACACATTGGTCAAAAATAATTCAATTTTTGGCCGCGCGTTTTTTTCTCAACGAAAAGAAAAAATCAAATTTGCCACGTAAAAAATCTTCAAAAGCATCAGAAGATTTTTTCACTTTCCAAAAATAGATTATTTTTCTCGCTGGAAAAAAAATCGGGGAACATTTTTCTGAAAATAACCAAAACTGACAGAGACTTGCTTGTTTTTGACAAGTTCTTTTTGTTGGACAAGAAAAAAAACAAGAAAAAAAAACATGGTGAAAATTGAGTGGGCAGCCCGAAAAAAGGACATCAGAAAATATTTTTGAAATTTTTCTTTTCGCGCCAAAAAATTAGTCAAAAATATGGGGCTCGAAAATATTCGGCGGAAAAAAATTGTGGCAAAGTCAAAAAATCAGTGGTGCGCGGAGACGAACATTTATTATTTATTGGGGGTCTAAAATATCGGAGAGGTGAGAGAGAGTGGAGACGCAGAGATGCAGAGGAATTTGGCGGGAAAAAAATTTGAGCCAATTAAAATCCACGTGTCATTCATTAATTTCGAATTTTTAATTGAAAATAATTATAGTGACTGAAAATTTTAATTAAATTTTTTAGTCAAAAAAAAAGTTCACACCAAAAAACAGAAGAACAATTATTGAGATCAAGTAAATTTGAGAGACGCAGAGAAAAAATTTCGAAAAAAAATCATTTTTTGAAAATTTTAGAGATCAGGAGAATTCAAGAGACCCAGAGAAAATATAAAATTATTCCAGACGTTTCCAAAAGTTTTCAGAATTCAGAATTAGAGATCAACAAGATTTGAGAGACCCAGAGAAACTTCAGAAGTTATTCTAACTCTCCTGGAACTTCTCGGAACTTCAAAAATTCTACAGAATTCAAGAAACCCAGAGGAAAAGATCAAAAGTTCCACGATTCGACTACAAAACCATAAATCTTCACCAAAACTCAACAAAAAAAAAGAAGAAGTCACCAGCGAATTTATGAATATTCAAATTTCAGACTTCCTTCCTGAACATGACATTCTATTTTTATTTATTTATCTATGTTCATTTTTTTTTCTGGAGGCTCTTCCCAGAATGACAAAAAAAATCGTGTGTTTGTCAAAAAATTGTCATCATTTTTGATGGATTTTGATTGAAAAAAAAAATTTGTTTCATTTTTTGGTCGAAAAATGAGCCGCGCTTGCATGGAGCACACAAAAAAGAACACATATTCATAATTCAGGGGGATTAGGAAATGGTGCAATGCGTTGAAACAAAGGAATTTTTGGAATTTTGAAGCGGTACTGTGGGGGAAAAAGGCACGTGGCAAAAAAAGAGCGAGGTAGATCAAAAGTTAGCGACTTGGAAATTTTGATTTATGGATTTTTTTATTTTTGTTAAAAATTCAATTTTCTTTTTTTTCTCTTGAAAATTTCATCATCAAAATCCAACAAAAAATAAAAATAATTTTTGAAACAGTGAATTTTTCTCCTAAAATTTTTGAGAAATCAGCAAATTCGAAAAATCTTATAAAATTGTTTTTCAGACTCAAAAATTCAGATAAAATAGTTTTGAAACAGTGGATTTTTTAATCGATCTGGAATTTTGTTAAGCAAATTTTTGAAAGAGGGATAAATTGTTTTTTCAAACAAAAATTGTTAAAAATTCAATTTTTGAAGTCACTCTTGAAAAATTCACGTATCAATCAATCATCAAAAATCAAAAAAAAATAAAAATAATTTTTGAAACAGTGAATTTTTCTCCTAAAATTTTTGAGAAATCAGCAAATTCGAAAAATCTTATAAAATTGTTTTTCAGACTCAAAAATTCAGATAAAATAATCTTGAAACAGTGGATTTTTTATCATTTTTGATTTTGTCTGCAAACAAATTTTTGAAACAGGGATAAATTAATTTTTTTTCAAAATTAATAGTTTCAAAAATTTGTTTGCAGACATTTTCGATCGATTTTAAAAATTCCCACTGTTTCAAAATTATTTTATCAGAATTTTTGAGTCTGAAAAACAATTATATAACATTTAACTGTTTTCGAAGATCTCTCAATATTTTCACTGTTTCAAAAATTATTTTTATTTTTTTTTATTAGATTTTGATTATTGATGGTGAATTTTTCAAGAGTTACTTCGAAAATTAAATTTTAAAAAAATCTATAAATAAATTAATTTTTTTGAAAAATTAATTTACATTGAAAGTTTGAAAAATCAAATTTTTTTTGTTTCTATTTCAAATTTTTATTTGTCGTCTAGACCCAATTTTCAACCAAAATTCTTCATTTCTTCATTTTTCAATCAACAATGCGAATCCTACTTCTCCTAACATTCCCCACTTTTCTAAAATCCTCGATTCATTCCGAATCTATGGCTCAATCTATAATGAATGAATATGGAAAATCGATAGTTGAAAATGATAAAGAGTTGCTCTTCGAGATTCTCAGTGAATCATATCTTTTTACCACTTGTAAAGGCAAGTTCAATCGAGAGCAAATATGGGATACTGTTGAATTTCTGCCAAGTCTCACTAAAGTTCTGAGTGTCGTTCGCTTCGAATCCACGGGTTTCAATCAGAATTACGACAAAAATTTGATAATAAATCTTGAGTATGGAAATTATGGACCAGCGACGCTTGAAGCGAAAATGGAGAATGGGAAATATCGGATAATTTATGAGCAACAAAGAAATTGTCCATCTGAAAATCTTTATGCCACAACATTTTTAATTGATTATAAGGGAACAGCTTTGAAAATGGCGAATGATTTGATGGATAATTGGTTTGTTGCGAATAACAATCTTAATAAGAAACTTCTTCTTGAAACAGTTCATATACCATTTCATTTATTTTGTTGGGTTGAAGGTAAAAACACATTAGAGATCACAGATATAACCGAAGAAACTTTGAAGAAAAAGGAAACTGCATTGAATTGGTTTGTGCGAAGAGATGATATTGAAGTTATATCAGCTGAGATGTTTCAAAATAAATCAATTGGTTTTGCTACAAGAAGCCAAGTGTTTTATGACAGTTCATTTCTTGCTTTACCATTTGATGAAACATATAAATTGTATTATCAAATGTTCGAAAAACCTTGCAAATTTGCGCCGAATCAAACTATGTCGGAAAATAGAAAGGAATATGAGAGAAATTATTTGGCTTGAATATTTTTTAATTGAATCAATACTTTTTTAATAAATCTACATTTTCAAAAATCTCTACAGTTCTAGAAGTCAGCTCAGACAACAGATGTCGCTAAATTCTCCACATGAATTTGATTTTTGCGACATCTGCAAGGAATCATAGCCATAAGTCTTTTCCCATTCGCAACTGTATAGACAATTGGGAATAAATCAATATTTGTTGATTTTCGGCAGATTAACTTCATGATAACATATTCCAAATATGAATCTGATGTTTTTCCTATTAGAACAAATAAAATTATACCAATAATTCGAACAATAAAATATACGAATAGTGGTAGATTTTGATAAATTATAGCTAGCTCATATTTTCTACGAGTTTCTGATAGAATATAACTTCTTTTATGGATTGCATAAAGTAAAATGATGTGAATTGTGAGAGAAATAGCTGGAACTATTAATTCAGTACAAGCTGATGTATAAATTGAGAATATTGAATACTGAAAAATATGTACAATGTATTGTGACGGACAGGAACCCATTCTCTCACCGTGTCTGTGACAATTGTGCCATCACATTCAAATTTATTCGATAAAATTGAATAGACTGTGCAGATTGCAAGACGACAATAAGATCTTTCAGCAATGCTTGATGTTATTATCCAGAAAACAATCAAAATAAGAATTCGATTCAAATGTTTTCCTTGAATATAATCGGCAAATTTTTCAAAATTTAATATAACTATTAATCGTTGGACTCCGATTAGTAAAATGAAGAACATACTTCCATCAATTGCAAAATACATTGTTAAAGATGACAGTACCCATAACATTATTAAAATGAGCAACACCATACTTTCTTCTATATTTGGTATGATGAATAAAAGAACAATCGAAGCTAAAATACTCAGCCAACTCGCCAAAATATTCAAGAATATTATTCTATAAATCGGATAAATTATACTCTTTTTTTCATCAGATGGAGTTGTTAGAAATAAAATAGCAGATGGTATAAAACATAATACAGAGATGTATTTTGGAAATATATTAATTAACAAATCAGCATCATTATCAAAATTTGTGATGTTCTTCGCTTGCATTTCGATAGAAATCAGAGTAAACATAAATGTGAAGTGGTGGGTTTTTGATTATATGGCGAATCAACATAATTATAATGTATGCAATTTAATGTTAAATGTCAGTGCAATTGAGAATGAAAAGAGCATTTTTAGGATAACTGGGTCCCACAACGAAAGAAAAATTTAAAAAATGTTCAAACGCTATTTTGATTTTCTAATGATTTTTGATCACCAAAAAAGATACCAGATCAAAACACATTTCAAACCGGATCAAAAGTTCGCGATCTAAAATTATGTTATCAACATGAGAGATCAATAATTTCAAACTCGATTTTTTTTATGAGAAAAAAATTAATGAAGAAAAATGTCAATTTCTAACACAACAATTTTGTTGAAAAATAATTTCGAAAACACTTTACAAATTCTCACGGGTCTTAGAAATTCCAGAAAATTTCAGATTCCCCCGGCAAAAATCTTCGAATCCAAGTCAAAAATGTATCTATTGCATAACAACATTTTGCCCAAACCAAAACCACTTGAAAACGGTTTCAAAACTTTTTTTGTTGTCAAAATTCGGATCAAAATCCTCTCGATTTGAACGTTGTCCACTTGAATCAAAATCCACCGTTTTTTTTTTGTTCTTCGCGCCAAAAAGAAAAATGTTACATAAGATATCCAAATTCAACAGCAAGAAAAAAAAGTGTTTTGCAACATAGATACAAGCATTCCTGTATTTTTCCATCTCATCTCATAATTTTTCATATATCTAAATTGTGTTGTCTAATGAGATAATAAGCGTGGGTGCTGCGCGCGACAAAAGTGGGCGGAGCCTAAGGCGAAAAGAAGAAGAAGCTGCCTCGCCTTTCTCATTTTTGCATTTTAATTTATCTGATTTTATTCTACCCACCAAAAATATTTATATTATTATTATTATGAAAAATAATTTGATAATAATTCTAATTTTTACTGTTTCAATTGTTGATGGATTTTTTGGTGAGGGTTTTTTGGTTTTCTTGAGTGAAAATATGTAAATATGGGTCAGGGGATGTACTTGAGAAGAGATAATTACATGATTTGAGGCTACAGCTACAAAATACAAGGAAAATCCGTGTAGTTCTCGAGGAAAAGTCAAAGTTTACATCAATCAAAGTAAATTTTAGTCCGAGAAAAGTACACAGATTATTTGAAAAAAAACCAAACTTTTTTGAATTTCAAAGTTTCCCGCTTGCAAACTTGTGTAGTTCTCGAGGAAAAGTCAAAGTTTACATCAATCAAAAATTTAACAGTCAATTTTAGTCCGAGAGAAGTACACAGATTATTTTTTAAAAATCAAATAAATTTGAATTTCAAAGTTTCCCTCTTGCAAACTTGTATAGTTCTCGAGAAGAAGTCAAGAGTTTCTTATAACATGGATTTTTTGCAACTCGAGAAATAGTTGTCCGAGAGAAGTACACGGAATCTTCGGAAATTAAAAAAAATTAAAATTTTCCCGCCCAAAATATGCTCTAGTCCGAGAGAAGTACACAGATTATTTTTAGAAAAACCAAATAAATTTGAATTTCAAAGTTTCCCGCTTAAAAACTTGTATAGTTCTCGAGAAGAAGTCAAAGATACAAGGATTCTTCAAAAACCTATCATTTTTTTTTGAAATTTGTAATTTTCCCGCTTGAAAAAGTGTGTAGTTCTCGAGGAGAAGCTAAACATTTTTGTCCGAGAGAAATACACAACTTTTTAATTTCTAAAATGTTCCAAAAATGTTGTGAAGGAGTGAAAAAATCCGGGAAAAATGTATTTTTGAAATTTTTTCTCCAAATTCCAGACGAAGTTCCCCGATGCTTATCCGGCCGTCGTCCACTTTTGGACGAAAATCTCAAACTCTTCCCATGCCATCATTCAAATTGTCCCGACAAATTCTATTGCGAAAAACAACAAACGAAACATCTTTTCAAAAATCAGGTACTCTCTTTCTCTCTCTCGCCCCACTCTCCTCCCTTTACACACTCTCTCACTTCACAGACTCGCTCATTTTGCTGTCCAAACAGCACACTTCTCTCGTCGCCTGCCGATGCCGCCGAGGTCAGTGTTTTCAATGTTATTTGACGATGAGTTCTCGTCCTCCCATGTGGTCTAGTGGTTAGGATTCGTGGTTTTCACCCACGCGGCCCGGGTTCGATTCCCGGCATGGGAAGCTAATTTTTTAAAATTTATTTTTTGGTAGAGAAACATTTTTCTTTTGAAGATCTCATTTCAAATTGAATCATCTACCGAACTTCTACGATCTTTATCATGCGAACGATTTCCCTATCATCAAACGTGTTCGAAGAGTAAAAATGACTCACAGCCTATTATTATGTATTATTTTGATGTTCAAACTTTAAACTGTGAACTATATCCGTATGGATTATGTGAGAATGATCCGAAATTAACACTCCGAACAAAGAAAGAATGCGAAAGACGGTGTGATGTGCAAAAATTGAAAGAGGCGCTGGATATGTTGGAGGAAAATGGGTTGGAGGATATTACGATACCGGATTCGCGTGAGTTTTTTTGAGCAATTTTTTTGAATTTTCAAACCCAGCCCCAAAAACTCACTTCAAAAAATCACCAAATCCTCGTCATTTCGATAATTTTTGCTCCAAAATCACAAAATTTTTCCATCACCTGAAAATCCGCGGTTTTCATTCCATAAAATTCAAATTTTCTCCCAAAAAACTCACTCATTTTCCAAAATTTCAACTCATTCTTCACATTTTCATCCAGTTTTCAGCTTGGAATAATCTGAAAAATTAAAAAATAATTCAAAAAACAAAAAAAAAGAAAAAGAAAAAACAAATCAATAAAAATCGTGTTGGCCACGCGCTAATACGCTAAACAATAGGCAAAGTGACAGCGGAGTGTCGTTGTAAGTGAAATAATTGTTTTTTCTCGTTGCCAATCATTGTTTTGTGATACGATTCCAAACTTGGGACTTCTTTGAAAACTTGTGAATTTGCTTTACATAAATTTTGAAACAGTGATTTTTTTTTTTTGAAGAAAATAATTTTTCAGAATTTATTTTTCAAAAAAAATTTTTTTTGAAGATTTTTTTTCGTAAAACGGATTTCTTGAATCGAAAAAAATTCACTGTTTCAAAATTTTCATTAAAAATTTGAAACATCTTGAAACTGCTTTCTTAGCAACTTAGCAAAGTTTCAAGATGTTTCAAATTTTTAATGAACATTTTGAAACAGTGAATTTTTTTCGATTCAAGAAATCCGTTTTACGAAAAAAATCTTGAAGAAAACATTTTCTGAAATGAAAAAATAAATCCTGAATACAAATTTTCCAGCTCAAATCGCCATCGATGACACCAAAACCGAATCCAAACATCTACGCGGTCATCCGCCTCCACCAACCGACATCGAAATTCAACACCGAAGTGAAAATCTGATTTTGGAAGATCTAGAAGGTTCGGGAAACAAGATAAGCTCATACGAAGATATTAATGAGATCTTGTTGAGTGGCAGTCAAGTTCCAAGGGAGGTTGTGATTATTGAAGATGATTTGGTGGAGGGTGAAGGTTCGGGAAGTCAAGATGAAGATCCGATTGTGACATCAGGGACTTCTACAACACCTGGATCTAGTACTTCAGAAGCATCTAGAACTTCTACACAGGAGACATCAACAGCATCTAGAACATCTACACAAAGATCTGTAGCATCAAGAACCCTCCAACCAGAATGTCTCGCCTCTCCCTACCGCCTTCTCTGCCAAACCGGAAAACCCTCACAATTCGTCTATCGCTGGGAAGTTCTCGATGGAAAATGTCAAAGTTTCCCGTACGGATATTGCTGGAAAGAGCACAATCTACCACATCCAAGAACTCAGGCGGAATGCGAAAGTTATTGTGTCACTGAGCTGAGTTCCAAGTTTTAAAGGGTTCCTAGAAAAATTAGGTTTTAATTGAGCTTTAATTAATTTTATTTATTTTTATTTTTGATCTGTTGTATATTTGTACGAAAATCATAAAATTCATTTTTTTCCGAAAATTTTCGCAAAAAAATTTCATTTAGTGTCCATATTTCGAGTCGTACTCATCTTTTTCGTTTCTCCAACCTTCGGAATGCGATTTTTTCGAAGCGCCGCCGTATTTGGCGCCATGGTTGGCGCGATCGTAATCGGAGTGGTGTTTTTTGTGCGCGTCGGATTCCTGGAATATTTTTTTGGGAGATAAGGCTTCTGTAGGGAACTTCTGGGATCACAGAAAAAAAAATTAGCCCGCTTTTAATCCAGAGACTTCAGTGGATCTTCAGAATCAACTATGACAATCAGAATAATCCCAGAATTTGGAATTTCTGAAACTTGGGATTCCAAAAAAAGTATAATTTTTGAAAAGTTTGAATTTTCTTCAGTGAGATCTACGTGGCATTCTGAAACCTAACTGGAAGCCTTGTTAGATCTCCAGGAATTTCATTACGGGGATCCCAGTCCCCCTGTGAGTTTTGACCCGGATTTTTTAGGTTTCAAAATTTGGAAAAATCCGAAAAATATATGTATTGATAATAACTACAAAAATATATAGTACAAGAATATAAAATATTTTCTGAAAAAAAAATCCACGTGGGTTTTTTCACCACAGGGTGTTGTAATTTACTACCCAAAATCTCTCTTCAAGAAATTTTCTGGTAGATCAAAAATATTTTTCTCTAAATCTCTCAATTTTGCGTTGAATCGTCGTTTTCAGTCCAACCCCTAAAAAATTTCATCAAGATTTCAGGTCTCAAAAAATTCGGGAAAATGGCCCAGAAAACCAAATATATGCAAAAACCGTGTGGTCGAGTGGTATACAATTGTGCCCACTGTTTGCAAGACGAAGGTTCGACCCCACTCGCCGCCCAACATTTTTCCAATTTTCCAGCCCCAAACTCTCTCTCACCTTATCATAATTATTATATTGATCATCATAATATTTACCATCTCCATTATACCCCTTCTTAAATCCATCATCTTCCGCATTCATTGAATATTTGGTCTTCTTATCATCATGCTCATAATCCTCATGTCCATAATACCCTTTCTGATAACTTCCAGCTGGTCCACTTCCACTTGAGAAATACGAGAATTTCTTGAACCCGAATCCATCTCCATACTTCCTTGCACTTTTTTCATGTTCCTCATCTTTGTGTCCATTTTCATCACCCGCTGTATATTCCTCTTTTCCCACTTTCTTTCCCGATTCTCCATATTTTCCCTCGTAATATCCATTTGCTCCATCATCGGATTTTTTGGCTTGCTCATCATAATGACTGCCGTATCCTTGATGTTCGCCGAGGAAATCGCCGTGTTCGGAGGATTTGTGATTTGAGCCGTATTTGGATTCGTAGCCTTGATGTGATGGGAAACAGGAGATTGTTGAGATGAGGAAAATTAGAAGGAGGGATGTTGGAGTCGGCATACCTGCAAAAATTACCAGTGGGGCGCACTTGCTTTTTTTGAAAATTGTGGTGTTGTTCATTAGAGCGCACTTGCTTGAATTTAAAAAAAAAAATGAGAAATTCACAAGATTATCATTGGAGCGCACATTCTTGTTCAACTGATTTTTCGAATTTTCAATCAAAAATCTCAGTTTGCAGTGGGGCGCATTATCTCTTTTTTATCAAAAATTTGAAAATTGTATATTTCTGGGGAGATTGCATTAGGGCGCACTTAAAAAACTGCAGGATTTTTTGAAATCTTTGAAAAACTGCTAGATTTGCATTGGAGCGCACATACTCCTCTGAACTGAAAATTTGAATTCACAAGCAAAATATTTGTTTTGCATTAGAGCGTACTTGACAAACTGCAGGATTTTTGAAATTTTTGAAAAACTGCTAGATTTGCATTAGAGCGCATTTTCAAAAACATCCAAATTTTTGAAAATTTAAAAAAACCTCCGGATTTGCATTGGAGCGCACATGCTTCTCTGATTGTGAACTGAAAATTTGAATTTCCAAGCTAAAAATATGTTTTGCATTAGAGCGCATTTGAACTCTCCACATTTTCGTTGAGCCTAACAGCTTAAGGCCAGCCTAAGTTAGCCTATCTTTCAAATTTGAATATTCAACGAATAAAACCAGATTAGCATTGGGGCGCACTTGCCAAAATGAATATATATATTTTTTTTAATATTCGCATTAAAGCGCACTTGAAAAACATATAATTTTCAATTTTCAATAAAAAATCATTTCATCAGTAGAGCGCACTAGAATATTTAGATTCAAAAAACTCCCACAAATTTCCAAAACCCCAACCCAACAACTAAACAAAACCGCAAAATAAAAATGCGAAATAATCAAATCAGTTTGATCTTTTATACGAACCGGTAGACAATTAGATGAGCTTCAGCTGACACATAACACAACAAAAGTAATAATAATAGTAATGGTATAATAAAATGAGAAGCTAGAGAGAGAGAGTGTGGAGAATCAAGAGACGTTGTCTGTCAACCGGAAATTCAGTATAGTATAAAAGATGATCAGAAATTTATAGAAGAAGTATATCAATTCGCAGTTTTCTTTTTGATCCTTTGATCTACAGTAGTTATTTTTTCAGATGAAGTTATTGATATTTTTGGCGGCCCTGGTAGCTGGAATTTGTTGTTTCCCTCACGATGGCTATGAATCCAAATATGGCTCCAAATCCAAATCCTACGATAAAGGAGATTACGAAGCGGATAGCTCCAAATATGGAAATTACTATGACGACAAAGCTCATAAATCAGACGAGGGAGCCAACGGATATTACGGTGGAAAATATGGTGAGCAAGGAAAGAAGCATGGTGAAGAGAAGTATGAAGCGGGTGACTACAAAGGACATCATGATGAGGATCATGAACAAGGGATGAAGAAGTATGGAGATGGATTTGGCCACAAGAAATTCTCGTATATCTCAAGTGGAAGTGGACCGCATGGAACTTATAAGAAGGGATATTATGGACATGAGGATTATGAGCATGATGATAAGAAGACCAAATATTCTACCAAATATGAGGATGATGGATTTAAGAAGGGGTATTATGGAGATGGTAAATACTATGATGATAAGTATAGCAATTATGATAAGGTGAGCTAGTTTTGGGGCTGGAAAAATTTAAAAAAAAGTTGGGCGGCTGGCGGGGTCGAACCCTCGTCTTGCAAACGGTTGACACGCGCGCACACCACTCGACCACACGGCTCTTTTTTCCCAGGAATCCGACGGTCACAAAAAACACCACTCTGACTACGATCAATCGAAATACGGCTCGAAATACGGTGGATATGCCAAAAAATCGCATCATGATGGTTTCAAAAACGAAAAAGATGAGTACGACTCGAAATATGGTCACTAAATGATCTGTAATTAATTTTTCTTGGCTAATTCTTGTCTGCCTGCAAAGAATTTCTATGAAAAAATGAATAAATATGTTTTGTGGGATGATTTGGAGTTCAAGTGGAGCATGTGCGCTCCAACGTACACATGGCATTTCAGGATAGAATTCAAATCCTTAAATGAATCTGGAAGAGCGCTCTAACGTACACATGGCATTTCAGAGAAAAATTCAAACTTTCATTTATTTTTTCAGGCGCGCTCTAATGTAATTTTGATTTTCTGTTTGAAAATTTGAATTTTCAGTTGCTCAATTTTTTTAAATGAATCTTCAAGTGCGCTCCAACGCACACATCGCAGTTCAGAGTAGAATTCAAATTTTTGAATGAGTCTGGAAGTGCGCTCAAAAAATTCGATTTTCAAAATTTAAAAAAAAGGCAAGAGCGCTCTAACGAACACCTGACCTTTCCGAACATAATTCAAATTTTCATTTTTTTTTTGCAAGTGTGTTCTATATTTTCTGCTTTAAAAATTTGAATTTTTAGTCGCTCAGGTGCGCTCCAGCGCACTGTTCAGAACAGAATTCAATTTTAAATTTGAACACCTGACTTTTCCGAACATGATTCAAATCTTCATTTTTTTTTGCAAGTGCGCTCTATATTTTCTGTTTGAAAATTTAAATTTTCAGTCGCTCAAATGCGCTCCAACGTACAGTATTCAAATTTAAAAATTAATCTGCAAGTGCGCTCCAACGTACACATGGCAGTTCAGAGAAAAATTCAAATTTTCTTTTTTTTTTCTCAAGTGCGCTCTAATGTAAATTAGATTTTATGTTTGAAATTTTGAATTTTCAGTTGCTCAGGTGCGCTCCAACGCACCGTTTAAGTAGAACAGAATTTAATTTTTTTAAATATAAATCTGCAAGTGCGCTCCAACGTACGCATCGCAATTCAGGATCGAATTCAAATTTTCTTGTTTTTCTACAAGTGCCCTCTAATGTAAAATAGGATTTCCGTTTGAACATTCAAACTACAATAAATTCCTGATTCATCTTAATTGAATAATTTTCCACCTGATCAAAAGAATTTCTCTGAAAAACCACTATGTTTTGTGGGATGATCATGATCAGCCAAAAAAAAGTCGCTATAAATATTCCAGTTCCGGTCAAAATCTCAAACATCATCATCGCATCTCTAATTCGTTTGCAAAAACATAATTACCTTCAACTTTCTAATTTCTCACCGGAAAAAAATGTTGCATAAGTATTTTTCATTACACACACTTTCGCTCTCTCGCACCAAATTATCGTATACATACATTCAAAACACGTATTTTTCGGGAACAAATTGGGGGAAATCGGGGGGAGAGTTAGGTCAAATGCGAGACCAATTTTTCGGATATTAGTCGATGACCTTCGATGTTTGGATGAAAACTACCGTAGTCGTTGGATTGAAGAGCGAGGGATTCGTTTCGGGATCTGGAAACATATTTTGAGTGAGTAGGAGAAGGTGCCACGTGGATTTTTAGAACTTGAAATTGCCACGTGGAATTTGAGAATAATCAATGAAACTCTGCACAAAATCATTCAGAAAATAAGAGAAATTTTTGAAACAGTGAATTTTTTTCCCAAGTGAAAAATTACGAATTTTCGATTTTTTTCATAAACTATGGTTCTGAAATTCCACGTGGCAATAGATTGTGATTTAAAAATAAAAACCATCAGATGTGCGTCTAACAAATTTCAAAGGCATTACAGAAATATGAAAAATTTATGAAACAGTGAATTTTTTCCAAGTGAAAAAATTTGAATTTCTCGAAAATTTCATATTTGTGCGAATTCCATTTTGAAAAACCACGTGGATTTTGAAATTCCACGTGGCAATATAAATTTTTCTTGCAAAAAAAAAATTGAAAAAATTTTGTCGTATCAATACTTAGCGTATTTTACTTAACGGTTTTTTAAAATTAAAACAAAAATTATGACCAATTTTCGAAACAGTGAATTTTTTTATGTTGAAAATTAACTGAAAAAAATGTTTTCACTTTTGAAAAAAAATTATATGGGCTCTGAAATTCCACAAAAAAAATACAATTTTCAGATTATTCTCAATTGAGTCTCATTCCATTAACAACTCGCAATTCTGTTCGAAGTCATTGCAAAAATATGAACAATTTTTGAAACAGTGAATTTTTGTTGGATACAAACCTGTGCATTTTTCATCGTACCGACAAGAGTTTTAAAAAATAGTGAATTTTTTTCTTTAAAAAACCACGTGGATTTTCAATGGATTGAAATTCAATTGTTTTTTTTATTTTGAACAAATTCATCGAAACGTTGTTTCAAAATATTTGAAATAAATGTAAAATTTTTGAAACAGTGAATTTTTGGGTCATAGCGAAAATCAAGGTATTCATCGTATCAACAAGATTAAAAAAATAGTGAATTTTTTTGAAAAAAACCACGTGGGTTTTCAATTTTTGTGAGGAATGCATTGAAATTCATTGATATAAAATTTTCTCTAATTTTTCAGAGATTAGCGATTATTCGAACCTACCAACACTTCCAAACTCTGTTGGAAGTAATTGCAAAAAATATGAACAATTTTTGAAACAGTGGATTTTTTGAGTTGGCAATGACGAGTATTCATCGTATGAAAAAGTGAAAGAAAAATAGTGTATTTTTTCTCAAAAAAAACCACGTGGATTTTCAATGGATTATTTTTTTCAATTATTTTTTTTTAATTATAAAGAACATTTAAATAAAAAAATTTTGAAACAGTGAATTTTTTGCGTTAAAAATAGCATGTTTTCATAGTATCAACAAGAATTTAAAAAACAAATTTTTCTGAAAAACCACGTGGATTTTCAATTTTTAAGGATGCATTGATATAAAATTTTCTGCATTTTTAACGTTTTTTTCTAGATATAGAGATTATTCAAACCTACCAACACTTCGAAACCCCGTGTAAAATCATTCGGAAAATAAGACAATTTTTTGAAACAGTGAATATTTTTGGATGAAAAAATTTGATTTTTTTCTTTAAAAAACCACATGGATTTTCAATTTTTTAAATCATTGATATAAAATTTTCTCAAAATTTTCAGAGATTAGCGATTATTAGAGCCCCCTCAAGCCTTTCTACTCCCGTTTAAAATCATTCGAAAAATAAGACGATTTTTTGAAACAGTGAATATTTTTGGATGAAAAATAGTGTAGTTTTTTTTTAAAAAAAACCACATGGATTTTCAATGGATTTTTTTTTCAATTATTTTTTGAATAATAAAAAAAGTTGTAAAAACGCTGTTTCAAAATACTAGAAATAAATAAACAATTTTTGAAACAGTGAATATTTTTGGAGGAAAAATGGTGCATTTTTCATCGTATGAGAAAGAGTCAAAGAAAAAATGTATTTTTTTCTCAAAAAAAAACCACGTGGATTTTCAATGGATTTTTTTTCGGTTATTTTTTTTTAATAATAAAGAAATGTTCCGGAACGCTGTTTCAAAATATTTGAAATAAATGAACAATTTTTGAAACAGTGAATATTTTTGGAGGAAAAATGGTGCATTTTTCATCGTATGAGAAAGAGTCGTAAATTGAAAAAAAAAACGTGGATTTTCAATTTTTTATTGTGAGGAATGCATTTAAATTCAATTATTGAATTTTCAACGTTTTTTTTCTAGATATAAAACTTTTCGAGCGGAATCGAGACGTCGTAACCCCGTTTAAAATGATTCGGAAAATAAGACGATTTTTTGAAACAGTGAATATTTTTCTATGAAAAAATTTGAATTTTTCTTTAAAAAATCCACGTGGATTTTCAATGGATTTTTTTAAAATCATGAAACAAATTGTCGGAAACGCTGAAAAAAATATTTGAAATAAATAAACAATTTTTGAAACAGTGAATATTTTTGGAGGAAAAATAGTGCATTTTTCTGAAAAAAAACCACGTGGATTTTCAATTGATTTTTTTTCAATTAATTTTTAATCAGGAAAACATTCTTACCGAAACGCTCTTTCAAAATACTAGAAATAAATGAACAATTTTTGAAACAGTGAATTTTTTCACAAAGCCTACCGTATCAAACTATTCTTGGAGCACAATCCTCTCCTCCGAAAAATCTCGCTTATATCCACCAATTCCCACCCATATTTCTCCGCTTTCCTCCGCAACAATTCATTCAATCTTCGCAAGATCCGTCGTTCCGCCAATATCAAATTCAACTGCGAAACCTTCCCAAATTTCCCGCAACTCGCATCAACTTCGCCATTTTCATTACGTGTGATGTCATAATAATTAACCAGGATAATTTGGGGAATTTTGAGTTCGGCTAACTTCGCAGCGATTCTATCGAGTTGATGGAATACGTAGAAAAATCGCATGTTAATTGAGATTTCGGAGAAATTCTCCTCTTGAATTTGCGATAGAATATCAGTGAATCCGATATCATTTCCACCCACTGTCAGAATCAAAGAATCTGGAGAAGATTTTCGAATTTTCATGAGATTCTCCAGTTTTTCAATCTGCCCATTTTTCGATAATATTCCATTATCCACCGATGCTCCGGAGCATGATAAAAATGTGAAAATCGAACATTTTTCTCGAATTTTCTCGAAAGTTTTGAAGACGAATGAATTCCTTGATCGATAGCAGGGTTCTATAATAAAATGAGCAAAATTTCAAAAATAAATCAATTATTAAAGGCACATACCGTCTAACCACTTTGGAATGGATTTTGCCGGATTTCCTTGACCTGAGGAAAATGAGTCGCCAATCGCTGCCAGCCAAAATGTTGGAAAATTTTTGGACAAAATCATGCGGGAGTTTTGGAATATTTCGAGGCTCCACGTTTTTGTTGGGTCGATTTTCAGGTGAATTTCCTTGAAGTTTCGGATCTCTTTGAACAATTTTTTGATCTTCGAAGATTCGCCAAACCAGGTTTCCTTGAATTTTCAGTGAAACTTGCACCAGGATCTGCTGATTTTGATTTGGATCATTCCAAATTGGATTATTTCCCCCACACTGCCTGATTTTCATACTTGAATTCCAGCTTCAAATTATTCTCCTTTAAATTTTCATCAGAATTCTTGTCCGGATAAAAATTCGACCAAGTGATCATCAAAACCCGTGGCCAATTGTTCAAAACTTGTAGAAAATAGAAAAACGAGAACATCTGAAAAAAAAATTAATTTGCAACAGATTGTTTTCTTTGTCGGCTTCGTGCGGCTTCTTCTTTCATCTTTTTTTTTTTTATTTTTCAAAAATTCATTGAAAAACAAAAAAGCTTGCCCCAAACCAGGATCGAACTGGTGACCTTTAGATCTTCAGTCTAACGCTCTCCCAACTGAGCTATCGAGGCACACGAAAACGCGCTGTTGAATATTGGTGATAAATTTGATACAGGAAAATTTTTTTTAATCAGGGTAGAGAAAATTTCTTCAAAAAAAAATGCCCTAAATTTTCGCGCTAAAACCACAGCTACAGTACTCTAAGGTTTTGAAAAAACATTTAAAAAATGATATATAAAATAAAATGAAATCGTCGTCGTCGTTGTATTCTCGCAAAAATGAAAAAGACAACGAAAAAAAAATACGATTAGTGTGAAAAATTGAGAGCGGCAAGTTCAAAGGCGGCAAAAAATTCGAAGGAAAGAAACAATAACATGCCGAGAAAAAAGGACCTTTTTCTAGATTCAAGAACAAAATTTATTACATATAAATGTATATATTTTTGATATTTTTCAATATTACTTTGGAGAAGATGAAGAAGAAGAAGACATTTCTTTTTCAAGTTTTTCCAAAGATAATTGAAGATAGCGCGATTTCAAATTATAATAATTTGTCATCGCATTTTCACGAGCAATCGTAGATTTCAGACTTTGATTATAAAGAGCTCTCGATTCCTGCTCCATTTTCCCTGCAAATTGTTGTGAGCCCAGAGCTCCTCCTAATTCAACTTTTAAATTATTCGAAGTTCCCGATGGTCCCGCTCCTTCAGGTCGTTTGATAGAAGACAGCAATGACAGCGAGAATTTTCCGAATTTCGCATTTTTCGGTGGACTTGCACTTGCACTAACTCCAATATCTTCCACAATAGTTGGCTGATCTTCAGGGATTCCGAGCATTTTTCGAAGTTCTTGATCGTTGTTGGCTTGAGTTTGCGGGATGATTTCGTTGGGTAGAATTAGAGTTGATTCTTGCTGGAAAAAACATTTATTATCGAAAATCTCCACGCGCTCCACCGAAATCACGTAACGCAGACCGCGCCGCGCCACGACACACACAAAAAAGGGAGGAATTTGAATCGTTTCCTTATTTGTGTGTGCTGTGGCGCGACGCGGTCTGCGTTGCGTGTTTATTTCGATGGAGCGCGTGGTACCGATGATATTTTAGATAATAAAATTATTTTTCCGAGTGGCCGAGAAATTTGTCGGGAGTTCGGCCAAGCCAACCAAAAATCCCCTCTCACCTGTTGTAAACTTCGAATAACTTCATCAATCTCCGAATCAGCTCTCGATTGTCCGCCATTACTTCCATTTCCCTTCACCGAACCTTCATTTCCACCCATAAAACCACTAAAATCACCAATTTCAGCAGCATCTGGCATGAATTGTTTCAGCAAATTATCCATATACGATTTTGTCGCATCATTAATCTCCACACTATTCTCATGTTCATTTTCCGTCTTCTTTTTTCGTTTTTTGACTGGCTCTAAAGTTGGGTCGAAATCAATGTTTTGCGGGTGAATCGTCTTCAAATGTCGCAAAACTGCAGAGGTGCCGCCTTTGATTTGAAATTCGGCGCTGCAATAATTACAGGCGGCCCGTTGTGTCGCCTCGAGCCAACTTATATGATCCCAGACTATCGATCGACTACTTCGCGATGGAAACCAATTGGGTTTTTGATTTTCTGCAAGAAAAATGGGGAAAATGAAAAATATTTACTTATTTTTGAAAATAAATGTTGGCGCGTAAGCGTAAGCGGAGTCTCGTTGTTTTCTTTTCTTTCAAAAAAAAAACTCACCACTTTTAGCGACTGTGTTCAAGGATATATCGATATGTGAAACATCACCTTGCGGCTCTGTATTCTCTTGTGACATCAAAGCATCGAAGAGCAACGATTCTTGCGGCTCATGTTTCACTTTTACAGGCTGTGAAGTTCCTGCTGGTTCGTCGAAAGTTGCAGCAATTTCTTCTTGCAGCATTTTTAGATACACTGGAAAAGGAAACTATTTTTCAAATTTAAAAAATACGCGCTGGGTCTTGCAGCGATGAGTTGTTTGGTATACCGTAAAATTTTTTTACGAATTATTTTTCTCGGAAAATTAAATTTTTTTCACATTAAAGAAAATAAAAATGAAAAAAAAACCAGACTTTCTTCAAAAAATCACTGAAAATGAAAACATAAAACTAAAACCAGCCGAAAACCAAAGCGTTTTGCGAAAAAGTGGAAGGAAAAAGAGAAAAAAGGCAGGCATGGACCTAATAACGACGACGAAATAGCGTGTGAAACAGAGAGCGACGAGACGGCCTCGTCTCTCGCAGACCGATCAATTCGGCCCCCTTTTGAGATATAATGGTTGGCTAGAGAGACGCAGACATGTGTTCTTTGTTGCTGTGCTGTGTGTTCTTCTCTCGTCTTCTTCGTGGCTTAGTGACGTTCATTTATCGGCAAACGACTGGTCGTCTCTCACCGGCCTCAATAGCTCAGTTGGGAGAGCGTTAGACTGAAGATCTAAAGGTCACCAGTTCGATCCTGGTTTGGGGCAATCCTTTTTGCAATTTTTTTTAAAATTATTTTATTTCATCAAAAAAAAAAATCAAAGTTGTGTAGTTTCAAGAACAGTTGCTAGATTATCAGAGATGCGCTTGGTTTTCCTTCCAAAAATCTTGAAAACAGCTTCTCGATAATCAGTTAATGCAAAAGTGATAACAATCGGATCAATAACTGGGTAAGCACTTATCATTGGCATTAGGATTGAATTACTGACATAGCTCAAATCTAAGTTGAAAAATGGGTAGAACCAGGAAATAGCACATGGAAAAAATGTGAGAATTGATGGAATACTTGTTTGAGCAATTAATGTTATTAACATAGTTCGATGTAATTTCTTCAAATTATCACTCATGTTCCAAGTTTTGATTGCAAAATGAATCTTTGTTGCTAAAACTCCATCGAAAACAATTGAACTTATTGAAACAATAGTTGCCAGGCCCATTCCGATCAATCCATTTTTTGTTAGTTCTGTTTGCTGAAAACATTTTCTTCCGACAAAGAAAAATACAACTTAACTCACTTGATAATCTGCAATTAGAAATGGTATATTTTCAGTTGTCTCGATGTACTTTTCCAGAAAATTATGATTCAATTTGAGCCTTGTTTCTTGATCTGGCCACATCCATATTGCAATTATGAATACCGGAGTAGAACCATAAAGAACAACTGAACAAACTATTACCAATATATTTTGTGGTTTGAAAAATGAAATTGTTAAATGAGTTTGACAAATTGCAAAATATCGATAGAGAAAATGAACTGAAATAACACCATAAGTATAAGCTACCATCGAACATCTCAAAGCCAATAAGAATTGTACCAAATCGCGATATTTGTAGATCAAACTATCCGAAACAAAAACAATACAACTGAATTGAAAACTTTCAGTTGATAGCTGAGCTATTGTTTCAAGAATAGTTGTGAATAAATTGACAAGTGAGAATGTTATCAAAAGATATTTGTATTTTCCAATCGAAAGCGATGATTTTCTATAGGCAAGGGTTATGAAAAATGTGTTGATGAGGATTGAGAAAATGCATAGGATTTTTGGGATATAAAAATGAGCCAGACCAATGTAAATCATCTATGCTTCTCTTGGAAAAACGAGCGCAGTTTTTATAGATAGAAAAACGGATATTGAAAAAAGAGTTCAACGCCGGATGTTTTTCGATTTTTGTATCAAGAACATCATCTAAATTGGGAGGAGTTTGAAAAGGATTTTTATTTCCAACATCAGAGCAAGCAAAATCAGGGTGCTGTATAAACTGTTTTGAAAATGTTGAATTGCATATCTTCTTACTGTAAGTTCGAAGAATCTGTTTAGAAAATTTCACACCAGTGTTGTTCGAAACATTGTTGGAAAAATTGGTGTAGCCCTTGGTTGAAATTTCCGAAACTTTTGGCAAATAACTTCTCGATAATCAACCAACGCAAAAGTTATAATAAGTGGATCAATTATTGGATAAGCGCAAAGCATCGGAACACATATTGAATTAAGATAATAACTTATATCAAAATTATTCAAACCATTCAGCAAAGGGACGAACCAAATGAGTAAACATGGAATAAATGTGAGAATTGTAGGGATAATTGTTTGAGCGATCAATGTTATCAATAAATTTCGATGCATTTTCTTGACATTATTGCTTAGGTTCAGATTTTTCAACGCGAGATAGATTTTCGCTGCCAAAAACGCGTCGATCAATAATGAAACTATTGAGACAACAGTCGCTAAGCCCATCCCAATTAATCCATTTTTATCAAATTCTGAAGTGCGTTGATAATCCGCAATTATAAATGGTATGTTTTCTGTGCTCTCATTGTATTTTCCAATGAAATATTGGTTCAATTTCTGTCTTGTTGATTCATCTGGCCACATCCATATTGCAATTATCAACATCCACGTGGAACCATAAGTGAAAACAAGAAAAATCATGAGCAAAATAGATTTTAGTTTGAAAAAGGAAACTGTTAGATGAGTGTGACAAATTGCAAAATATCGATAGAGAAAATGCAATGAAATGAGTCCAAATGTATAAGCAATCATTGAACATCTCAAAGATACTAGAAATTGCGAGAAATCTCGATATTTGTAGATCAAACTATCCGACACAAAAATAATGAAATTTGATTGAAAACTTTCGGAAGAACATTGGCACCAGAATTTCTAGAAAAGTCGCAAAAATATTTGCACATGAAAAAGTTATCAAAAGACATTTGTATTTTCCAATTGATTTTGAAGATTTTCCATAAGCGAGGAGAATAAAAATTGTGTTGATGATGAATGAGAGAAGGCATAGGATTTTTGGAATATAATAATGCGCTAGACTTATGAAAACCATTTTTTTTTTGAGTTGAGACAAGGAAAATGAAAGCGTTGTTTTTTGTGAGGAAAATCTTATGGGATTTGATATCAGTTTTGTAAATGCCCTTTTTTTGATTTGTTTACATTTTTTGCAATTTCGTGAGGTTTATAAAATTGAAATGAGCTCAATAAATTCTTTTATTTAATTTTCAAAAAAAAAATAATCAAAGTTGTGTAGTTTCAAGCATACCACGCCCAGCTTCGTGCCGATCAAAAATTGAAATTGGCGGGGTGATTTTTGAAAAAATTTTGGCGGGGTGAAAACAAGGCATTTTTTGAAAAATTCTCAAAAAGCGGCCGAAAATTTACTTGAGCATTTTGGCGCGGTAAAAACAAGCTTATCTAGACCTCAAACATCAAAATGACTAATTCGGAAGAAGAAAATTATTACAAATTTTGTACATTTCCCAGGAAGATCATGGAAAAATTCGATTCAAACTGTATTAATTTTGTTTATGTAATGATGTTTGTGTTCTAATTTGTTGTTGGCATTCTTTCATTTGTGAATTTTTGTTATTGGAAATGCACGATTTTGCTTATGTCTTCAATTCACCGCGTTTTGTATTTCTACTTTCAACGTCTGTCTGCAATCAATCCCTGGTCCAAAGATTAGGAAACATTTCTGGATGTCTTCTTTTCCACAGATTTTTACAAAGTTCGAAAGATTTTAGCATTCAAATTCATATTCCCTTATTCTAAAAATTCAGAACAAAATTTAAAAAAAAATAAAAAATTTTGCTGAAAGTCGAACTCGAACTTTTGTTATGAGTTTGCAAGTCAAAAGATTATCCAATAGACCACACACACACCTGCTAACCGCCTTGTTTGTTTGCCTTGATAAGTTCGCTGTTTTTGTGTGTGCAACAGCGACGTTGTTATTGTGTGGGATAGCAGTTTTTGTGTGATAACTTCAGAATCAAAGGTCCAATCCGATTGAACATTGTTGTTGGAGATCCTCCAGTGCCCTACCCAGGTGAAAACATCATGAAATGAATGAAATAAGAACAAATATTCATTTCAAATTCAATTTCAATGATTTTTTTTTCAAAACTGAAAAGAAAATGTCTTACGGCATCAAATTCTTTGTTTCAACAGCCTACATACATCAAAAAAAGCTGGGCTTTCAATAAAACCAAAAATGCGAGGTGGAAATTTCCTCTAACTCAAGTTATTCTTGACCGTGCCGATTGAATTTTTCCTCAAATGCAGTTTTTGATGAAGAAAAACTTTTTTTTCGTTTCATCAAGCAAAACCCGTAATAGAAACTCATATTATTTTTCGCCGGTGCACCTTTTGCGACCAAGAACGATGCAATTGGTGCAGTATGAGATGAGCTCTTCGAAATTTGCGAAAAAACAGGCACGGTCACGTTTTATTCCTCAAATAACACGTAAAACAGTCTAGTTTTTTGTTTACACCTGGTAAAGGCCATTTAGAACACTATTTGATTGGGGAAAATCAATCAAAATGTCGAAAATATACAAAACTCTGAATTTCAGACAATTCGAAAGCAAAATAAAAAATTTAGGTGGAGGCGGGGGGTTGATCTGGGACCTTATGAACAAAAACTCGCGCGCCTAACCGACTGAACTACCACACATTTTGTGGAAGGTGGTGTGATTGCCAAGATATACTTTATTTTTTCCGCTTTTTTTGGCACTGTGGTTTCAAGTAAAAATAAAATTGTTGGATAAAAAAATTATTGGCGCCGTGCATATGCTTCACCCTGGGCGTGGTATGGTTTCAAGAACAGTTGCTAGATTATTAGAAATGCGCTTAGTGTTCCTTCCAAAAATCTTGAAAACAGCTTCTCGATAATCAGTTAATGCAAAAGTGATAACAATTGGATCAATAACTGGATAAGCACTTAACATTGGCATTAGGATTGAATTACTGTAATAGCTCAAATCTAAGTTGAAAAATGGGTAAAACCAGGAAATAGAATTAAAAGTTACCAGAGAACGTTTTTCTTCCGCACAGAATTAAACAGCCGTTGTTTCAATCAGTGTTGACGGAACATTACAAAAAGTCGCATTTTTCTTCCCAAAAAACTTGAAAACCGCTTGACGATAATCAACCAATGCAAAAGTGATAACAATCGGATCAATAACTGGATAAGAATTGATGATTGGCACTAATATTGAATTGCTGTAAATGCTCCAATTCAAATTGAGAATCGGGTAGAACCAAATAATCAGGCATGGGAATAATGTGAGTATTGAGGGAATTGAAGTTTGAACGATCAAAGTTATCAATAAATTTCGATGCACTTTCTTCACATAATTACTCAAATTCAAAATTTTGATTGCTAGGTAGATTTTTGCGGCCAAAACTGTATCGAAGATTATATTGTCAATCCGAAAATAAAAGAACCTCCGTTTGAATTGGCGCTCACGTACAGTAGACTAAAAATGACGTGACACATGCACATCAAACTGGTTGGCAAATAGCCAGCGTGTAAATTTCGCATTTTATTTTTCAAATGGACTCCAAAATTTTGCGAAGTCTACTGTGGTCTTGGTTTCCTAGGCCATTGCGGTTCTCTTCCAAGTTCTTATTTTTTCGGAATGACAATAGAAGTTGCGGATATTACTGTTGCTAGACCCATCGCAACTAATCCGTTTTTATCAAGTTCTTCATGCTGAAATAATCCAAATTTTTTATTTCCTTGAATTAAAACTGCTAACCCCATAATTAGCAATAATAAATGGTATATTTTCTGTGCTCTCATTGTATTTTTCCATAAAATCCTGGTTCAATTTCTGTCTTGTTAAATCATCTGGCCACATCCATTTTGAAATTATCAACATCCACGTGGAACCATAGATGAATACCAGGAAAATCATGAGCAAAATAGATTTTATTTTGAAAAACGAAACTGTCAGATGAGTCTGGCAAATTGCAAAATATCGATAGAGAAAATGAATTGTAATAAGTCCGTAAGTATAAGCAACCATAGAACATCGTAAAGCCAACAGAAATTGACAAGAATTCAGAAAATTGTAGATCAAACTATCCGCCACAAAAACTATGAAACTCAATTGAAAACTTTCGGTTGAAATTGGAGCAATTATTTCGAGACAAACAGTGAACAAATTTACACATGAAAAAGTTATGAGAAGATATTTGTATTTTCCAATTGACAGCGATGATTTCGTGTAGACTAGAATGATGAAAATGGTGTTGATGATTATGGAGAGAAGGCAAAGCAATTTTGGAATATATGAGTGGGCTAGACTTATGAAAATCATTTTTTAGTTAGAGACTAGTTTTGTTTTGGTTTAATGAGGAATTTCTGAGTGAATCTTTTGGGATTCTTTTGTTTTTTCAATGCAATTCTTGGAAATGCCCTCCTACATACCCAATTCCCGCATAACTTTTGGTTCTATTCTAGTTGTTTTAAAGTTTTAGCTATTTTCCTTAAAATCATCAACCCTATAATTAGTTCTGCTCTATTCTTTATCACTTTTATGTACGCTTTAACTTTTTCCCCTTCTCTATTCTAAATATATAAATTTTTATTCTCAATGGCTTTTGGTTCATTGTGCTTTTAATATTTATCAGAACTGTCTATCTATAAATAGAAAATGTCAGAAGGCAAAAACAACGGCAAAAAGCATTTTTTATCAATTGTTATCATCATTCAAAATGATTTACATTGGTCTGGCCCATTTTTATATCCCAAAAATCCTATGCATTTTCTCAATATTCATCAACACCTTTTTCATCCTTCTGGTTTATACAAAATCCTCGCAATCAATTGGAAAATACAAATATCTTCTCATAACATTCTCACTTTTCAATATATTTGCAACACTTCTCGAAGTGATAGCTCCTCTTGCAAATGAAAGTTTTCAAGCAAATGTTATAGTTTTCATTGCGGATAGTTTGTTCTACAAAAATCGGAATCTTCTACAATTTTTGTTGGTTTTACGATGTTCCATGGTTGCTTATACCTTTGGACTTATCTCAATTCATTTTCTCTATCGATATTTCGCAATTTGCCAGACTCATCTAACAGTTTCATTTTTCAAATTGAAATATGTTTTACTCATGATTTTTGTGGTCTTGATCTATGGTTCCACGTGGATATTATTGATTGGAAAATGGATGTGGCCGGATAGCGTAACAAGAGAGAAACTAGACTATAGTTTCGTGAAAAATACAACGAAAGCACACAAAATATACCCTTCATTGTTGCTAATTATGGGGTACGCAAAGCATAATAATGATACCCTTCAGATAATATTTTCAGCACCCCGAGTTTATGAAAAATGGACTTGTTGCAATTGGCCTGGCAACTTTGATCTCGATGTTTTCCCTGATCTTCGATGCAGTTCTAGCAACAAAAATCTACAACGCGATGAAAATTTTGAATCTAAGCGATCATGTCAAAAAAGTTCATCGAACTTTATTGATCACATTGATCGCTCAAACAACAATTCCCTCATTTCTAACATTTATCCCGTGTTGTATTTGCTGGTTTTACCCAATTCTAGACTTGGATTGGAGTATTTACTGTAACTCAATTGTTTCTCCAATGATAAGTTCTTATCCAGTTATTGATCCGATTGTTATCATTTTTGCATTGGTTGATTATCGAAGAGTTGTTTTGAAGATTTTTGGGATCAAATCGACTTCTGTTATATCGAATATTTCATCGATTGTTGAAACAACAAGAATTTAACTTTTTTTCAATTAATAAAAAGTTCAAAATGAATCACCCCATTATAATTTTTAAATCATCAGACAATGAATTTATATAATTCCAAGAAAACTAAACGCATGTAGTTTCCAGGAACAAAATATTATTATTATTCAAATATGGCACCGTTCGCTTCCGGAAAACCTTCAAAACCGCTTCTCGATAATCAGCCAATGCTAAAATTATAACAAGTGGATCGATAACTGGATAAGAACTTATCATTGGAGCAAGAAGTGAGTTGCAGAAAGAACTTAGATCCAATTTCAGAAGCGGATAAATCCAGGAAATGAAACATGGAATAAATGTGAGGATCAATGGGATTACGGTTTGTGCGATTAGTGTTATCAATAAAATTCGATGCATTTTCTTAACATGTTCACTCGAATTCAAAACTTTGATTGCAAGATGGATCTTTGTCGCCAAAACCACATCGAAAATTATTGAACTCATTGAAATCAAAGTTGCCAAAGCCATGGCAAATAATGCATTATCACCAAGATCAGGATTCTGGGAAAACATGGGTTTTTTTGAAATTTTCAAAAAAAAAAGTCTCACTCCAAAGTTTGCAATAATAAATGGCACTGCAAATATGCTCTCATTGTATTTTTTCATAAAATAAGGGTTCAGTTTCCTTCTGATTGCGTCATTTGGCAACATCCATTCTCCAATTAAAAAGATCCATGTAGAACCGTAGATAAAAACCAGAAAACTTGTGAGAAAAACATATTTTGGTTTGAAAAATGAAACTGTTAGATGAGTTCGACAAATTGTAAAATATCGATAGAGAAAATGAACGGAGATAAGTCCAAAGGTATAGGAAATCATGGAACATCGTAAAACCAACAAAAACTGTAGGAAATCTCGATTTTTGTAGATCAAACTATCCGCCACAAAAACAATGAAACTTGATTGAAAACTTTCATTTGAAGCCGATGTGAGAAGATCGAGAAAAGTTGTGATTAGATTTACGAATGAAAAAGTTATCAAGAGATATTTGTATTTTCCGATATATATGGAAGATTTTCTATAAACCAGAAGGATGAAAAACGTGTTGATTAGTATTGAGAAAATGCATAGGATTTTTGGAATATAGAAATGGGTTAGACCAATGTAAATCATTTTGGAAAATGAAAATGAAAATGAAAATTGAACGATGAAAATTCAATGACTAATTTCTAATGATAATTATGATCGCAATTTCAATTGGGATTTTTGAAGATGTTTGATTCTTTTGCTTGTCGTGATGTACGGAAGTTAAAAATAAATCTCATCTGGGACTATCTGTGCTTTTGTTATTGTTTTTGTGTTTTCTCTGTACTTTATCTTAAACACGTGTGGTTTCCATTACAGTAGGGCTAACAACAAGAATAGTTTTCTTCCCAAAAAGTTTGAAAACAGTTTCACGATAATCAGCCAATGCAAAAGTTATAACAAGTGGATCAATTAACGGATAAGCACTTAACATTGGAGTGAGAATCGAATTACAGAGAAAACTCCAATCTAAGTTGAATATTGGGTAAAACCAGCAAATACAACATGGAATAAATGTGAGGAATGATGGAATTGCTGTCTGCGCGATCAATGTTACCAACAAAGTTCGGTGCACTTTTTTCACATTCTCACTCAAATTCAAATTTTTGATTGCATAATGGATTTTCATTGCTAAACCAGCATCAAAAATTAGAGAGCTATTCGATATAAATGCTGCAAAACCTATTGCTAGCAAAACATTTTGACCAAGATCAGGATTCTGAAATTCTTAAACTAAGTATTTTGTTTCAAAGTTTTCCATTACCGTATAATCCGCTATGATGAATGGTATATTTTCAGCACTCTCATTGTACTTTTTCACAAAATCTTTGTTCAATTTTGCTCTTGTTGTTTCATTTGGCCACATAAAACTACCAATTATCAACATCCAAATAGAACCACAGATAAATACAAAAATAATCATGAATAGAATATATTTTAGTTTGAAAAATGAAACTGTTAGATGAGTCTGGCAAATTGCAAAATATCGATAGAGAAAATGAATTGAGATAAGTCCGAAAGTATAACCTATCATTGAACACCTCAAAGCCAATAAAAACTGGGAGAAATCGCGATATTTGAAGATCACACTATCCGACACGAAAACTATGAAACTGGATTCGAAACCTTCGTTAGACATTGAGGTGATAACATCGAGAAACGTTGTGAATATATTGACAGATGAAAAAGTTATGAGAAGATATTTGTATTTTCCAATTGATAGAGATGATTTTTTGTAGACCAGGATGATGAAAAATATGTTGACTAGGATGGATAATAGGCAAAGTATTTTTGGAATGTAGAAATGAGCAAAACCTATGTAAATCATTACTTATTTCTGACTGACAGGTATGAAGAACATTGTTTTCGGAATAATTCATTGGGGAAATTCGACGAATTTGTTTGTGCAGTCTAGTTATTTTTATAAATGTACTAGATAAAAATAGAGAAACTGCCGAGAACTGCTGAAGTCTCGCTGCATTTAAAAACGAGTAGTTTCCATGAAGGTTGAAGAATTAGTCAAGAAAGGTGTAGTTTTCCTTCGGAAGAATTTTATCACCGCTTCTCGATAATCAGCCAATGCTAAAATTATAACAAGTGGATCGATAACTGGATAAGAACTTATCATTGGAGCAAGAATTGAGTTGCAAAAAGAACTCAGATCCAAATTCAGAATCGGATAAAACCAGGAAATGAAACATGGAATAAATGTGAGAAACGATGGAATACTGGTTTGTGCAATCAAAGTTATCAACAAGATTCGATGCATTTTCTTAACATGATCGCTTAAATTCAAAACTTTGATTGCCAGATAGATTTTTGTCGCCAAAACTGCATCAAAAATCAAAGAACTTATTGAGATCAAAGTTGCGAGACCCATAGCAAGAAGTGCGTTTTCACCAAGATCAGGGTTCTGAAAATTTCAGCTTTTCGAAAAAAGAAGAATAATACTTACTCCGTAATTAGCAATTATGAATGGTATATTGTTAGTGCTCTCATTGTATTTTTCCAAAAAATAAGAATCAATTTTCATCCTGATCTCGTCATCTGGCCACAACCATCTCATAATTATGAGCATCCATGTGGAACCATAGACAAAGACCAGAAAAATAATGAGCAAAACATATTTCAATTTGAAAAATGAAACTGTTAGATGAGTCTGGCAAATTGCGAAATATCGATAGAGAAAATGAACCGAGATGAGACCAAAAGTATATGCAATCATACAACATCTCAATGCAAACATGAACTGACAAAAATCCCGATATTTATAAATCAGACTATCCGCCACAAAAACAATGAAACTCAATTTGAAAGTTTCATTTGCCATCGGTGTGATTAAATCAAGACAAGTTGCAAGAATATTCACAGAAGAGAAAGTTATGAGAAGATATTTGTATTTGCCAATTGATGGGGATGATTTCGTATAGACTAGGATGATGAAAAATGTGTTGATGAGGATTGCGAGGGAACACAAGATTTTCGGAATATAGGAATGTGCCAAACTTATGAAAATCATTTTTGTTTAGAAATTATGATCAGATTTTTTTAGAAGAAACTCTTTAGGGATTTTTTATTCTGATTATTTTCCTATGAATGCTCTATTTCTATTTCGAAAAAAATGTTCTCTAAGTTCAGAACATTTTGAAAATGGTCTTTTCTCTAAAAAAAACAGAAATAAATAAAAAAAATTTCACGTGACCAAATGACGTGGCAATTTGAGAAATAAAGATTTTTGAAACAGTGAATTTTTTTCGAGAAAATTCTATTAGAGTTTATTTATTTGCATTAAAAAATACACTGTTTCAATAATTTTCAAGAACTCGTATCGTAAAAAATCTGAAAAAAAGCAACCCCTATGGCGAAAATGTTAGGGAAAAACAAGAAACCGCTTTTTTTGCCACGTCAATGTTCTCAGAAAATTTAATGCAAAAAGAAAAACAAATTTACTGTTTCAAAAAATTTTCAAAATAAAAATTCAAACGTTCAAAATTCAATGAATCTGAATCTAGATGGAAATTTAAACATTTCCTTTTTTCAAATATTTCCCGAAAAAAAACTCACTGTAAATATTCCCTTCGGAAGCCCCATCGAAAATCTCTCAAATAACTTTTGCGTCAATTTAATGTGTCGCTCTTCAATTCGTTCAACATAAACCACCGGATATCCAATTTGTTCAGTCCAAGACTTTGCAAAAATCGATTCATTCATTTTTCTGAAGATTTTCGAATAAATCCGCTTCTGTGACAGATGAATATTGATTTTTGTTCAAATATTCTCGAATTCCACTCAAAAATACATCATTTCCCAAAACTCTTCGAATCATAAAAAGAATTGAAGAAGCTTTTCCATAATCCACACCATTTATATCATTTTGCAGACTTGTGCTAACTGATTTTTCTATGAGTTAGAGAATGTAGGTTGATCTTGCTGAATTCGCTGTCAAATGCGCGTTTTTGGATTGTTGAGGCGAATTGGGATTCCTGAAAAAATGGAGATTTGGAAGAGGCGGGCTGAATTATGACGTGGCAATCTCTTTGCGGAAATATTCCTCAACTAACCCCGCCAGCCGCAATCACACCAAAAACATCAGCCAATCCTAGATATTGGGAGTAGCTTGGAATTTTGTTAGCTTGAAATTTGCTTCCCGATTTTTGCCAGCTTCAATTTCAGCACTTGAAATCGCAAATCGCTTGAGTTCCGATCGGATGAATAATTGTGATTCGTCAAATCGCCTTATCCTATTTTTCCTCTACATTTTCTCACTTTTCTCCTCAACTTCTTCCACAATATCTCCAGATTCTTCCAATTCTCGCGCAGTTTTCATTCGCAAATAATTCAGTTTCGTTAATTTTCATTTTTCTGCCACTACCCGGTTCATTTTCGAATCGCATTATTTATCAGAAATAGCGCATTGTGAGGGCACGAAAAAATTAGGCTAACCTGCAAAATTTAGATCACGTTTTTTTGTGCGAAAAAAAAATAAAATAAAAATTCATGCGCGTCAAATAAAATGTTGTGCGTGCAATTTGTGCAAACACGCGATGCATACCGTATCACACCAACATTCAAAAAATTTTCGATATTTTTTTTTACCAAAGCGCGCTGAAAATGGATGTTCCTACTGAAAAAGAGGTAAGTTTTCGAATGAGTACGTCAGAAATCAACTATAAAAACTTGCAGACTTTCTCCATAATCAAAAGTTTGCCGCCTGAACTTGCAATAATGGTTGTTGATCGAATGGGACCGATTGAAAGGTAAAATAGCTCAAATATCGAGTTTTCTTCAATAGCCCATTTCAATTCCAGAGGCAAATTCTCTCAATGCTCGAAATTGTGCAATGATCTAGTCAAAGATGTGAAAAAGAAGACCACAAGCTTGGATTTTCGTGATAATAGAACATATGCGACAATTCACGTGTCTTCTCAAAATAAGAAAACATTTTATAAATATTATTATACTTTCGAGAAAGTTGGCGAAGAGAATTTCAAGATTTGGTGAGCTGAAGATAGATTTGTTTAAATAATAAATTGAGAATTCAAAATTTTTAGCTGGAAATCAGATGGAAAGGAAGATTGGAGAGTAAAGTTGGCAGATGATGTCGATTTATATAAAGTTGGCTGTCAATTATTCAGAAGTCTTATTCAAAAATATCAAAGAAGTATCGAAAGTTTAACACTTTGTATTACTAGAGATCAAAATTTTGATTTTGATTTTGGTTTTGAGAAGTTGACTCATTTGAAATACCTTACTCTCAGCGGCAATTTTGATGTTGGAAAAATTATGACGAAACTTCCCAATCCTTTGTATTATCTGTTTATTTTTGTGGATGAAAGCATTTCAATCGATTTCGATCAAGTATTCAATACTCGAAATCGTCTCCGAATTCCGCGCCATCCAATCAATAATGAGCAATTACTCAAAATTCGTGCGAAATATTTGGATGTGTCAATTGGAAGTTTAAGCGAGGAGAATATTGCAGATTTCGTGAAATCGTATCAAAATGACACAATGAATCACAATGCTCTTAATTATTGTTGGCTTATTAATGGTCAATTCGATTTGAGAAAATTGTGGAGACTTTTAGGATCGGAAGAGGAGAATTAGTAAGTTGTTTTTTTTTGAAATACCTAATAATAATAATAATTTATTACGACACTAAAGGTGTTCGCAGCAAAAAAAAAATAAAACATGGCAGATATAAATTGAAAATGACTAATTTGTTCTTTCTAGTCAGAAAATGCTTCCAATTCGACACTTGACCAAAAGAAAGTGTGCTCTTTTGAACTTCGATAATGTAATTTTGACTTGGCGAAATCCAATGGGTTGATGTATGTTTAACATTTTTGAGCACTGAATAAAATGATAATATTGTTGGAAAGTGTGAAAAACAAACATCATGGGTAGATTTTTCTAAAATTAGACTCGCGAGATTGAAAAAAAAACAATAAAATCGATTCCCAACGGGTTCTTCGAACAACAGATATAAGTGATGTTCTCTATTTTCATCGTCAAATTTGAACAAAAATGATTTTCATAAGTCTGGCCCATTTCTATATTCCAAAAATCCTCTGTGTTTTTGCACTGATTGTCAACACATTATTTATTATCCTAGTTTACTCAAAATCCTCAACAACAATTGGAAAATACAAATATCTTCTCATCACTTTTTCAAGTGTAAATATTTTTGCGACGTTTCTTGAAATCATCGCGCCATGTTCTACGGAAAGTTTTCAATTCAATTTCATTATTTTCGTCGCAGACAGTGTGATCTACCAATATCGAAATCTCACACAATTTTTAGTTTCTTTACGATGTTCCATTGTTGCCTATACTTTCGGACTTATCTCAATTCATTTTCTCTATCGGTATTTTGCAATTTGTCAAACTCATCTAACAGTTTCATTTTTCAAACCAAAGTATATTCTTCTCATGATTTTTCTTGTTTTCACCTATGGTTCCACGTGGATGTTGATAATCGCAATATGGCTCTGGCCGGATAATTCAACAAGAGAGAAATTCAATCCAGATTTCGTGTCAAAATACAATGAAAGTACCAAATATATACCATTTTTTGTTGCTAATTATGGGGTAAGCTGGAAATTTTCTAATATCTTTATCTTCTCAACATTTTCCAGCACCCAGATTTCGATAAAAATGGGCTATTTGGAATGGGTTTGGCAACCATTATTGCGATAATTTCTTTGTCTCTCGATGCATTTTTCGCAGGAAAAATCTATTTTGCTTTGAGGAATCTGAATCTAAGTGATCATGTGAAGAAAATGCATCGAAATCTATTGATAACATTGATTGCTCAGACAACAATTCCATCAATTCTCACATTCATCCCATGTTTGATTATCTGGTTTGTTCCATTGCTCAGTTTTTTGAAAATCTCCGATCCGAGTTATTATGTCAACTCAATTTGTGTACCAATGCTTTGTATTTATCCAATAATTGATCCACTTGTTATAACTTTTGCATTGGTTGATTATCGTGAAGCTATTTCCCGAAAATTCCGGAAATTCCAACCAAGTTCTACAGCAATTTTTCCAACGCGATTTCAAACAACAATTGTCTGAAATTTTGAACAATTGCACTTACCAACTGTGAACTTAGCCTAATATATACAGTAAGAAGTTATTACGCTGTGGGTTGACATTTGCTATATTTGGAAAGGGCAATTCAATCGAATCTCAATGGATTTGTGGAACAGAAAAATATCCAATTTATTTGCTTTGTTTGCTTTCAGAACAAGAAATGATTTTCATAAGTTTGGCCCATTCCTACATTCCAAAAATCTTATCTTGCTTCGCAATATTCATCAACACATTTTTCATCTTCCTAGTCTACTCAAAATCCTCGAGATCAATTGGAAAATACAAATATCTTCTCATAACTTTTTCAAGTGTAAATATCTTTGCAATGTTTCTCGAAATTTTGGTGCCGGTTTCTACGGAAAGTTTTCAATCAAGTTTCATAGTTTTTGTGGCGGATAGTTTGATCTACAAATATCGAGATCTCACACAAAAATTACTTGCTGTGCGATGTTCCATGATTGCGTTCACCCTTGGACTTATTTCAATTCATTTTATCTATCGATATTTTGCGATTTGTCGAATTCATTTAGCAGATTCATTTTTCAATCCAAAATATGTTGTTCTAATGATTCTTCTTGTTTTTCTCTATGGTTCAACTTGGTTGCTCATAATTTCAAAATGGTTGTGGCCAGATGAAGAAATGAGGCGAAAATTCGACTCAGATTTCATGAAAAAATACAATGAGAGCACGAAAAATATACCATTCTTTGCTGCTAATTATGAGGTGAACCATAGAACAATATTGAAGTAAAAACTTCCAGCATCCGGATATTGATAAAAATGGAATTTTTGCAATGGGCCTGGCGACTATTATTACCATGTCTTCTTTGGTTTTAGACGCATTTTTGGCCACAAAAATTCATCTTGCTTTGAAAACTCTGAACTTGAGTGAAAATGTGAAGAAAATGCATCGAAATTTGTTGCTAACATTGATCGCCCAGACAATAATTCCATCAATTCTCACTTTTCTCCCATGTATTATAATTTGGTTTGTCCCGTTTCTCGATAGTTTGAATGACTATGATCCAAGTTATTATATCAATTTAATATGTGTTCCAATGCTTTGCGGTTATCCAATTGTAGATCCACTTGTTATAACTTTCGCATTGGTTGATTATCGAAAAGCTGTTTTTCAGAAAATTAGGAAGATTCAATCAAATTCCTCAACTCATCCTTTAACTTTTATGGAAACAACACTCGTTTGAATAAAGTTTTACTCTCAAAGAAAAGTTTCAAACGTTTTATTGTCAGAAAAATCAACAAAAGGGTGACAATAATCGGTAAACCAAAAAAAAAGAGATTTTGCGATTCTCATGGTACGATCAACATATTCCTAATGGCCTCTTTATATTCCCCAATCACCAATAAAATAATCAAAGTATCAATAAGCGGATAAGCACTGAAAGTTGAAATCAGGAAACTTGTCTCAAGATCGACACTTTGAAAATTGAAAAATGGGAGAAGAAAAAGTGGAAGTATTGGAAAATGTATAATCAAAGATGGGGCGCTGATTTGAATCATCAACGCGATGTAAAACTGCTTTTGAAGTTTTCGTTGCGATTTGGAGAATTTGGGAAGATTTTCTTTGATCACCATTTTCATTCGAATTGCGCAGAATATCACGATAGCATATTGAATGAAAAGAAGGGATAGTAAACATACAGTGCAGATGAGTGCATTGATTCGAAGTTTCTCATTTTCCTGAAGACAAAAAATTTTATAATTTTATGTAAAAAATTCTCACATAAGCTACCACTGTATAAACTGGGAGATCGTCTATATTTGAAGCGTAGACTTCCGATAACTTATCTCGAAAATAATCAATACCGAACTCATCATTTGCAACTGTCGAAGAAGCAGCGATATCCCATAAAACACCCATTAGTATACTATATCCAACCCAGATGTACAATCTGTAGCCGTCGAACCATCTCAGCTTTTCGCTTGAAATTAAAGCCCAATATCTGAATAGAAATTGGACAGCTATAAAAGCCATTGTTGAACAATGCATTGCACTATAAGATGAGCATATCAGATATTGAATGTTTTTTGAGAAAATCTTTTTGTGCGAAAATGTTTCACTAAAATATGTGAAACCAGCGTGGTATGAATACATTGTTGGTTGAATAACCAAATCAAGAAATGTGAACACGATTCCCATTACAGCGAAAATTATGATAAGTTTTCTGTATTGTCTTGCGATGTGTTTCACATATTTACAAGTTAGATAAATTGTTAGAATGTTTAGGATTAAGGTTAGGCTGAAATTAAAAAGCGAGAAGAAAAAATTGAGTTTTGCGCATTATCAAAAAATGAATTGATGTGAGTTTGAATATATTTTTTTAAAAGAATAATAAAGAGTGGGCGAAAAACTGAGGAAATTGAAAATGGATTTATTTTGATAGAAATATCGTCAATAAATTGTACTAACTTGAACAAACTTTATTCAATCTCACAAGCATACAAATAATTTTACAATTACCTTTTTATATTCACCAATAACCAACAAAATAATTAACGTATCAATTAGTGGATAAGCACTGACTGTTGTAATTAGGAAACTTGCTTCAACAGCAATGTTTTGAAAATTGAAATATGGTAGAACAAAAAGACAAATGAAGGGAAGATGAATCATAAAAGATGAGGCACATGTTTGAAACATCAATGCTTTGTAGAACTGTTTTTGAAGTTTGCGCTGAGATTTTGACAAATTCGTGAGCTTTTTCTTAATGATACTTCTCATTCCAATTGCGCAATAAATCATAATGAGATATTGAATAATAATAAGTGATGTTAAGGAAACAATGCAGATAAGTGTGTTGATTTGAAATTGCGGGATTTTATGGGCCCCAGGTTCCTGAAAACCCGGATAAAAATTATTAAAAAAAAATAACCGAAAGCTCACATAAGCAACAAAAATATAAGCTGGAAGATCATTGATTGATAATTCATAAACTTCTGAAATTTTGTCGCGATAAAATTCAACGGCAAATTTATCATTCAGAATAGTCATATCAGCGATTGTCACCCATAAAACACCCATTAGCGCACAATATGCTACCCAGAAGTATAATCTGTAGCCATCGAACAATCTCAAATTATCACTTGATTTCAAAGTCCAGTATCGAAAAATGAACTGGACTGCGATGAAAGAAATTGCAAAACAATGTATTCCACTATAACTAGAGAGCAGAATAGTTTGCATATTTTTGGATAAATATTCGGGAAAAATAGGTCTACTGAAATACAGGGTGCGCGCAAAATATGTGTGCATGAACTTTTGGCCATAATAAAGCCAGTACGTGTCTGATCACGCTGAGATTTGGTCTCAAATTAGCCAAACTGATCACAATACAAAATCCGAAGCCGATTTTGTATACCTAGACCAAGTCACATAATTTCCTTTGGGGTATGGTTTTAGAATGAGTGTGGTATGAACGCGGCTATTTTCAAGTTCACAAGACTGTTTCAAAGTCTTAATTTTGACTATTAATTGAAGTGATCAGCAAAAAACCTTTATTTTACCTTCCCTAATAGTGTTCATAACAGAAATCCATATCTGGTTCCACAAAACTTTCTGAAAATGGTGTTTAGTGCAACCTACAAAAGTGAAGTTTTCAAAAAAAAATTTCCCAAAAAGAGACAAAAATCAATTATTGTCGAAAGTAATGTTTGTATAACTAATATTTCTATCAAACTGCAGTAATATGAACATATTATCATAAGTCAGTCATAATCACGATGAATTATTGACTTTTAAGTGCTCTAGAGCTTGTTTCTCAGATTGAATTCAGATTTCGCCGATTCCTCGAGAGGAATTTTGTTGTAGGCCTGCTCGTTCTTAAAACGATATAATGAACTCTATGAATTTAAATAAAGTAAGCCAATGATGTCTAAAGACATCCTACAAAATCATATTTAAATAACTTTTACGAAACTCGAGTTCTAATTGGTCAAAATCATTATCCGAAAAATAGGAAGAGTCGCGTTCTTATTTTCTCATTTTCACAAATTCTCTTCTGACTTCATACAAACCGGATTCTATTTTAAGTGAAGAGATTGACTTGAATTCTTGTAAATGGTGTTTCTCGGATACTTGTGACTTGTTTTGAACAATCCATACTCAAATTTACTACGTGTGCCAATATTACTAACACTGTATGTGAAATTTTCGCATGCACACATATTTCGCGCGCACCCTGTATATAAAACTGCACTTGTAGCCGTAAATCAAGGGTTGAATAATAACATCGAGAAGTGTGAATATTATTCCAGTCATTGCTAGAATTATGATCAGTTTTTGATATTGTTTCGCAATGTTTTTGACATATTTTATAGTTAAGAAAATGAGGAAAAGGTTGCAAATTAAAGTTAGACTGAAATTGAAGAGCGAGAATAGATACTGTAGTTTTTGCATTGTCGAGTTTTCTGATCGAAAATTGGTGCGGTACCAAGAGGGGAAATTAAAAATCTAATGTAAAAATCTTTATGAATTTCCGTAAATAATGGCGAAAAATATGTAGTACACTACATTTTAATTAGGACACAACGAACTAACAACAACAGTTTTTTCCAATAACTTGATAAGCTTGGATAAACCAGGCTGGAGAGCTGAATAAAATCGACATTTTTCGAAAAGAAAAATGATGAGAAAGTTTTTTTTTCGTTTCTTTTTTGATTATTTTTTCCTGCATATGGCGATTTTTTTATGAAAAAATTAATTTATTTTCAGAAAATTCTTAGAATTTCTCATCTTTTGCAGATTCTTGCGACTTTTTGCGACAATCGCAAGTTTCTTCACATTGGCAGGTGATTTTTGAAGTTTGACACGCTGCAAAATCTCATTTTCAATTTCACAGTGGAATTTCAGAACTCACCACACTTGCACGGCATTTTGATGAGCTCTGTTGAAAATTATGGCGAAGGGGTTTTATAGTGAGTTTTTTTGATGATCGCGATCAAGTAAGAGGATTGCTTTGTGAAAAACAAAAACAAAAAAGTGAGGTCAAAAATTGTATATTGGGTTGCAGAAAACATGATTCAAAATGCGTTGCGTGTGCGTCGCGGTTTCTACAAAAACACACTGAACTTCATTTTGACCTTGAAAATAAGGTGAGTAAGTAACGCTCTACTGATAAACACGATTTCTCTGTAAATTTGCTGGTAATCTCCGGTATGTTTATTTTTTCTATAAATTCGCAAATTCCTATTTTTCAAAATGCGCGGTGGCGAAGCTATCGTCAAAAATTAGTGATTTTCGACGTGATAATTTTTGATTTCCAAGAACTTCGAATTTATTTGTTTTTCGAAACAGGTGAAATAATTTCGAAACAGGTGAACTGAAAAAAGTTTAATTTTCACCTGTTTCGTGAGAAAAACATTAATCTAATCGCATTTTCCAAATCTAATGATTGTGAAAGAACCAACAACCAAATAGAAAAAAAACCATATTCTACTGCAAATATGGAAAGTTATTATTTTCCGGATTATTCACCTTCAACTCAAAAATTATTGAGTAATTTTTTTGAGGCACTCTTAGATTTCCATCATGTCATTTATAAGAGAATTGAATTTGTTGCATGTATCCTGGCGATTTTGATCAATATTTTTCATAGTTTCATTTTATCACAAAAATCAATGAGAACATCTTCAACAAATGTTGTTTTGTTAGGAATGTCTTTGATTGATATTTTTTCAATGGCTTTGGAAGTTTATGATGATTATGATTTTTTATTTCAATGGGATGAATTTCCAGATATTTGGTAGGATTTTTGAAAATATTCACAGATTTTTCTAAAAACAATAAAATGTTTCTAGTTACGAACCACAATCGTACTATAGAGTACTTATTTCGCAAATCGGTATGGTTGCAGTCAGTTTTTCTCGACTAGTATCCACTTATTTATCTTTATCTTTAGTTTCAATCCGAGCATTTGCAATAAGTAAAATAATGAACCCAAAATTCAATTTTCTCACAAAACCAAAAACAGGATGGCTAACAATTCTAGCCAATTTAATTTGCTGCGGTCTAATTTGTGTACCTGAAATCCTCTCTTATTCTATTGGCTCTCAGGAATATTTTCCAGCAAAAGAGTGTAAAAAGAAATATCCGGAAAATTATAAGAAACCTGAGTATTTTTGCGTGATTTCTCCTTGGATTATTTCGGATATTTCGGTGCAAGGTTTGTTGGATTCTGTCATGGCTAAACATTTACCTGTAGTCTTATTTATAATTATGACAATAGTTTTAATTGGAGCAATTAGAAATGCATCAAAAAATCAAGAAAATTCTGGAATTTCACGAAAAGATGATTCTGATAAAACTTCAAAACTTGTGTTATTCACTACGATTTCTGTGATTATTGCTGAACTTCCAGTTGGGATTTTGTATGTTGTTCAAAGTTTGTGTCAAGATACTCCTGGGTGGATGTAAGCTGCTGAATCAGACTGAAATAAAACAAAAATAATAATTTGCAGAATGATCGCCCAGGTATTTTTGGAATTCTGCTTCCTGATTTATGTGATCAACACAACATTCCATTCAATAATCTGCTATAATTTATCCTCCCAATATCGAAAAACTGTAAAAAGTATTTTCGCAAGAAAATCGCTTTCCAAAATAACCAAAATAAGTGTGATCTCTGTGTCTGTGAAAAGTGTGAAATAAATGTTTGATCTACCCAAAAAAGTTCGCGCGATGAAAACAAATTTGAAAGCAAATTTTTATTTCTAGAAAAACACGCTTTTTTGAAACAAGGAAAAGGGTTGATTCACGAACGAAAAAAAATGTTAAAAAATGTTTTTTTAACATCGAAAGATCAATTCACGAAAAGTCAAAAAATGTCGAAAAAACATTGTAGGTCAAAATTAGTTTTTCGAGTTTTTCAGCCAAAAATGATGACAAATCGATATTTTTCAAGCTTCTGGTGGGATTTCTGAATAAAATTGACCTTGGAATTCACTTTCGAGAAGGTTTTGCTGATTTTTCGTGAAATAAAAAAATTTTAAATTTTGATGATTTTCGAAAAAATTCATAAAATAAAGCAAAATAGAGTTCTCGAAGCTTATTTTCATCAGAAATTACTCCAGAAGCTTAAAAAATATTGATTTGTCATCATTTTTGGCTGAAAAGCTCGAAAAACTAATTTTGCCCTACAATGTTTTTTCGACTTTTCGTGAATTGATCTTTCAATGTTGAAAAAACATTTTTAACATTTTTTTCGTTCGTGAATCAGCCCTTTTGAAACAAGGAAAATTTGCAAATTTGAAGAGAAACTGAGTATGAGAAAAAGACAAATCGAACTGCAAAATTTTTTCGCGCTGCAATACCAGTCAAAAATTTATTCATTTTCAATTTTTTTTCAAGAGGGGAAATTAAAAATCCAAAAATCTTCATGAATTTCCGTAAATAATGGCAAAAATATGTAGTACACTACATTTTAATTAGGACACAACGAACTAACAACAACAGTTTTTCTGATAACTCTTTTCCTCCCTAAAAATATTTGTCTGAAACTCCTCGTGGTCAAAATTAGAACCAAAGCGTTGAGCGAAGAATGTGTGGTAAAAATCAATGTTGCAATAAGCATAGTTGTAGAAACATTGGAAATTCCGAAATATATTGCGATTATGCCAGAAATTCCAGGGAGGATGATTGAGGAATAGGTGGAGGTCTGGAAATGTGTATGTTTCTCTGCGCTCTCTCGATTTTGCGTTGTGTTTTGAGAAAGAGATAGCAAACGCGCTCCGTTGCAAACCGAATATTTTTCTTTTCTTTTTCTTTTTGGTTTTTTCTGGGTTTTCCACGTGGCCACGTCATAAACGCATTCCCAATGCTCATTCCTTGCAAATCCCTCCCCTCGAAACCCGTGAGTTTTTCTAACCTGTGCCAGCAAACTATAAAGTGCATGCTTATGTCGCTTCAAAGTCTTCACAGATAACACTTGGAAATTGACACGAAGCACGAAAAACATATGATAAGTCAGAATAGTTATCAAAAAGGCAATTCCAGATTGTAAAATTGTGCCGAAGAATAGCAAAGTGTAGATATTCAAGTTATGATCGTAAACAACAAAGTTTTCCAGATTTCTGAAGTTTTGGAGCAAGTCAGGATATAAAGTTTCGATTATTTCAAATTGTCTCGATTTTTCAAGCTCGGAATTTGCAAACACGAAAATTAGAATTAGCAAATATAGAAAAATCGATAACATGAGGAATGAATTAGTCTTTGGTGAGAGTTCAAATAATCTTTGAGAAGTTAGCCTAACTAGAGTCTCATGTTTTTTCAAATAACATGCACTTACAAGGGAAGTGCATAAGGGTAGGTGTTGAACTTTTTGTGCAATTTGGTACACATACAGATTCGAACCTGCTGATCTTGAATCTGTTTTCAAAAATTGCCACAAGTGCACCCAAATGGTGTTTTTCGCCATCAAAAAATCACCATTTTTTTCTTCGTTTCATATATCAAACATTTGCAGCGAGGAAAAACAGGAGCGCGTAGCCGAGTGGTAAACACTCACGTCTTTGAAATTTTAGGTTATGGGATCGATCCCGCTCCAAGGCAAACTTTTTTCAATTTTTTTTCAAATCCATTTATGATAACTTGTCAAAACACGTTATAATATTTATGATAACTGGTCGCAAATGTTTTGATTTGGAAAAAAATTAGTGAATGTTGCGTTCAAAAGGCAGATGACTTTTATTTTGAAACAAAAAAGACCAATAAGAATGGAATGATCAAGAGAGCTAGCCTGGAAACGATGAATAAAAACTTTCAATTCATATCTAGTGCAAATCAGCTGGATAAACTCCGAAAATTTCATCGACTGGGGAAATTTTTTCTAGAATTTTTTTCTGACGAAAGTATTTTAAAGGTGAAATTTGAACGGAAAGATGAAATGATCTCCATTTGATAACTTCTGAAAAATGTTCTGAATTTTTTTAATTGTTATGTTTCCATGATTTTGTTTTTTGTTTTCATAAATGGATTTGCAAAAAAAATGGAAAAAAAAGTTTGCCTCGAAGCGGGATCGATCCCATAACCTAAAATTTCAAACGTGAGTGTTTACCACTCGACTACGCGCTCATGTTTTTTCTGCCTGCAAATGTTTGATATATGAAACGAGGAGAAAATGGTGAATTTTCGATGGCGCCAAACTGCTTTTGGGTGCACTTGTGGCAATTTTTGAAAACGAATTCGAGATCAGCGGGTTCGAATCTATATGTGTACTAAATTGCAGAAAAAGTTCAACACCTAACCTTATGCACTTCCCTTGTTAGGATCGCTAACTGTAACCCTAAACCTGATAACCATAGAAAAACTGCGTAGTGTGCTGGAAATTTGAAAAGCCTCCAATAAATTCCAGTTGTTGAATGAGCTGCCCAAATTGGAAGCATTGAAACGGTTTGACAACAAAATGAGGCTTGAATATCGACCAGAGTTGTGCTAACTACATACGCCAAAATGTAGAATTTATAAGAGCTGTCCATTTTTTCAGACTTGAAGATGATTAGAAAAATTGTTGGGATATTTATAATTGCGGAGAGAGTTCCGATAACTTGATAAGCTTGGATAAACCAAGCTGGAGAACTGAATAAAATCGACATTTTTCTGAATGAGAAGATTTTTTCGTGTTTTTTTTTGTCGTTTTTTGATTATTTTTTCCTGCATACGGGGTGATATTTTAATGAAAAAATGCATTTATTTTCAGAAAATTCTTAGAATTTCTCAACTTTTGCAGAATCTTGCGGCTTTTTGCGACAATCGCAAGTTTCTTCACATTGGCAGGTTATTTTTGAAGTTTGACACTCTGTAAAATCTCATTTTCAATTTCACAATGGGAACGTAAAGTTTAATTTCAGAACTCACCACACTTGCACGGCATTTTGATGGGCCTTGTTGAAAATTATGGCGAAAGGTTTTCGATTTTATAGTGAGTTTTTTTTCGATGATTGCGATCAAGTAAGAGGATTTTGTTTTGTGAAAAACAAAAACAAAAAAATGAGGTCAAAAATTGTATACTGGGCTGCAGGAAACATGATTCACAATGCGTTGCGTGTGCGTCGCGGTTTCTACAAAAATACATGCCAGATATTCATCGAAGTCAAATTTGAAGAAGGTGAGTAAGTACGCTCTACTGACAAACACGCTTTCTCTGTAAATTTTCGAAAATTATTTTCAGAGCGCTCTCATTGTAATGCTGATAATCTCCGGTATGTTTAATTTTTTTTTTTATAGATTTTCGATTTCGTACCTAACGCGTTGCAGATGCGTCGCGGTTTTGAGTTTTTTTTTTCTATTTTTCTCATCAAAATATTTGTCGCACAGCTGGGCGCGAGGTCGTCTAAAAATGTACATTTCTTTGAATACCCGTTGTCCAGGTGTCTCATTTTATTTTTATATTTTATTTCACAAATTGTTTTTTTTTCTGTATAGGCCCGACGTTTTCTCAATAATTTTTCTCAAAAAAAATGAGATATCTTCCATTTTTATTTTTCAGATATTCAAAGTTGGGCATAGAATCTCAAAAAGTCATGGAACATCTGTGTGTTGGATGTCCAAATACAAATGCAAAATGGTATTGTACTGTTTGTGGTGTAAGTTGTTGTTTCGTTTTGAATTTTTCTATACATATAACCCCTGATATTTCCAGGATTATATTTTGTGTGGATCTTGCCTAGCTACCACCGAACACCCACATATATTCGAACTTATCCCAAGTGAATCCGCTGGAAATCGTCGTCTAGAAAATATTCAACGATGCACTCACTACTGGGTTCACGTTTCTCGATGTAGAGATGCAGATTGTCGTCAATCGAAGTGTCAATTGATGAAACAAGCTTTGGAGCACACGAAAACGTGCACGAGCCGCGAAATCTATGGAAATTGCCGTGTTTGTCGACAACTTATGCAGTTGTCCTTTGAACATGCAAAACAATGCTCACAACCTGCGTGTTTTGTGCCATTCTGTATGAATATGCGACAGAAAATGGCGGCTCGCCAGAATGTTTGACTTTTCGGTCAAAGTTAATTTATTTCACTGGGTAACTTTTTTGGCTTCCCAAAAATCGTTATTTCTGTATTTTCCGGTGAGAATAAATTGTTATATTTTTCTAGTCTGCGTACGCGTCGCGAAAAATGATCAATACGAGGTGGCAAGTAAGCTCTACTGTACAAACACGTTTTCCATGTAAAATTTCAAAAAATTTATATTTTTCACAATTTTAGAACGTTCTAATCGGATTACTAACAATTTCCGGCACTTTTATCTTCTTTTTCTCGATTCCCAATTTCGATATCAGCGCTTTTCGATACGGTGAATGTATAACAATCATAGATATAGCCGATAAAATACCGTGCAGAGAATGCAGGATAACAGCAATGTTGTTGAATGCTGAAAACAATTTGTGAGTTGGGAACGCGCTGCGTATGCGTCGCGTCGCTTACCCTGATTATGATAAAATGTTACGCAGGTATAAATCACATAAGCCCCGGGAAGAGCAAGTGCGCAAAACGGGATGGCGAGTTGAATACAAAGCAGCATGAACAAATGATTTTGCATTCGTCGAGTTCTGTTCGACATCCCTTTTCTAGCGTAGATCTTAGAAAGTGTGAGAGTCCCAAAAATCGAACATTGAGCAACTATCGAAACTACAACGACACATATAAATGAGCGTACGAAGGTGTAATCGACTGAAACTACAAAAACTTCCGATTCGTGAAAATAGGGAAGATTTGGTGGAAGTTGCTCGCGGACGATTTGCAGAGCCAAATCTTGCTCCGGACAGGTGTCAAATATATAAATTGAACCTAAAGTTATTGTCAACATGTTTAGAGAATAAATCAGAATTTTATTGATAAGTGATATCGTAAATGATTTTCCAGCAATGTGGGTAAATCGATTTTCAAAGATTCCAACTAGCGAGCAACAAATCCCGAAATACGCCAAAACTAAAACTTGAACTTGTGATTTTGTTGAAACTTCGAAATCATTCAGGATTCCTAATGGATAACCAGATAATGTTGGGAGAACGATGAATGGTATTGTTGCAAATGTTAGACTGCTATCAAATACGATGTTCCAAAAGCAATAGTGCAATAGAGCGAACTTGACACTTTTCATAACTTGAGGAGTGTGGAAGATTATGCAGTAGAGGCAGATGAGATGAATAGGGACCTCAATGAAAATCAGGAAGTGTTGAGAAGCGTTTAGAAATTCGGGGGAATCAAAAAAGCTCATAGTTTTTTTACTTCGGTAGTAAAAAAAATGCGTTTGTTTTATTGTTTTATTTATTCACGATGGAGGTAAATTGAATTAGGCTAATTTGTTTTGTCTGTGCGAATTTATTGATATTTGATTCTGAGTATCCAATTTATTTGATCTCACGAAAAATAACAAAAACAACAAGAGGTTTACAGGGTTATTGCAAAAATTTTATCTGATTCCGCTTTTGATTTTGTGATTTCCACGTTTTCGCTTACACAAAAAAGTCTAGCCTTCAAATCACAAAATTTTTTATTGCAAAAATTTTCTGACACATTTTTCATCTTCCACATTGATGAAAAATAATCGATAAACTCCAGTTGTTGTTGTCATCGGTTTCAGGAAAATGTATCGATTCTCCTTGAGAATTTGATTGATGAAAGAGTGTGTGATTTCATAACCATTTGGCCAGAATTCAGGGTGAAGCTGAATAAAAAATTATCATGTGACAGAAAAATTCGAATTTCTTACCTCTATGTTGAATTGACAAACACTGATTCCCAACTCATCCAACTGTTTTCCTTTATGAAAATGATCCATGAATGTCAATTCGCCTCCCTCAATATCGATCCAAAGAAAATCGATTTGCGTCAAGTTCAGAATATTTTTGAAGAAATACGGTAAATCAATTGTAGTTACATCTTGATATGTGTAAGCTCTGGTTTTCTGATTTTGATTTGGTAAAACTTTAAATCTATTCATCCCTGCTTTATCGCCAAGAGCAAACGGGAAGAATTTACCGAAACTAGAGTATAGTTGAAGATTTGGCTCGATTATTGGATCTGCTCCATAGAATTTGGTTTTTGGGAGGGTTCGGTAGAGCAACACTTCAGCGTTCACATCGTGCCCAATTCCCAAAGTTACCATAACATTATCCTCTTTCTGGAAAGCAAAAAATAATTATAGGTAACTCTGATTATTAAAAAAAACTCACACATTTTGGCAAAATTGCCCACTTAATTTCATGCAAATTTTTGAGTGCTTCAATCTTGACATCTTTGTATTCCCCAATGTTATCGCATTTTTGAATAGCATCACAAATTTTTAGTGAAAAATTTCGTGCATCTAACGGATTCAATTGATTTTCAAATATCGGATCAACACATCGATGAAATCCCTTCAATAATTTCTCCGAAGTTGTTTTCGGCTCCAATTTATCCATTGATAAATCACAATTTGGTAAGTTATTCAATTCATGGAACTTGAGAAATGGTGTTGTATCAATATCACTGAAATTATATCCAACTCCATCCATCGAATTCAGTTCTCCTCGATAAATCAGCTGTTTTGCTGGCAGGTTTTTGTGAGTTCCATTTGGAAGTTCTACAATCGGTGGTGGCAGTTTTATGGGTTCAGATTCCAGTTTCGAGGCTAGTTTTGTTGAGCTTGATACATTAAAATAATAGAATAGAAGTGATATAGAAATTGAGAAAATCAAGCAAATTAAAACCGTCATCTTCGTTTTTGGATGCATGTTTTTTGGGGGAAAAACGAAGAAAAGGAAACAATTTTTAATATTTCACCGTTGAAGTGATGTTTTAAATAGAAAAAGATTATGATCTAACAATAGGCTTGCCCTAAACCCATCAAAATCAGAAATCTTCATGCGGATTTTGACACAAATTCCGATTTAATCGAGATCTCACACAACAATGTTTCAAACAACAACATGTCGGGTTCCGCGGTTGAAAAGTTTTCGTTGATCAGATAGTTGGACAAAAACTCAATAAGTTATCTGATTCCGCTTTTGATTTTGTGATTTCCACGTTTTCGCGGACACAAAAAAGTCTAGCCTTCGAGTCACAAAAATTTTTATTGCAAATATTTCCTGACACATTTTTGATCTTCTACATTGATGAAAAATAATCGATAAACACCCTTTCCAGTTTCCATCGGTTTCAGGAATATAAATCGATTTTCCTTGAGAATTTGATTCAGAAAATCGTACACAACTTGATAACCGTTGTCGAAAAATGCTGGGTGAAGCTGTAAATTTTTTTTTTGAATTCAGAAGCACAAAAAAATTCACCTCAATGTTAAATTGACAGATCGTGATTCCAGCCTGATCCAACTGTTTTCCTTTATGCAAATGATCCAAAAACGTCAATTCACCTCCCTCAATATCAAACCAGAGAAAATCGATTTGCGTCAAGTTCAGAATATTTTTGAAAAAATACGGTAAATCAATTGTAGTCACATCTTGATATGTGTAAGTTCTTGTTTTCTGATTTTGATTTGGTAAAACTTTAAATCTATTCATCCCTGCTTTATCGCCAAGAGCAAACGGGAAGAATTTACCGAAACTAGAGTATAGTTGAAGATTTGGCTCGATTATTGGATCAGCTCCATAGAATTTGGTTTTTGGGAGAGTTCGGTAGAGCAAAACTTCAGCTTTCACATCATGACCGATTCCCAAAGTTACCATCACATTGTCTTCTTTCTGAAAATCTTTTTTTCAAATATCTGAATCGCGTTCATTACAACACTAATTAAATCACGCTGTTTTAAGCATGACCTATTTCAAGTCCATTTCTTGATAATTCAATTAGATGTCTAGATCTAATCGCTTTTTTCTCGTTGAAAACACAAAGGTCATTAAAAAATCTGTGAATTATTTTTCCCTTTTTAATCTAAAAACTTAAAATTAATGACTTCTGATTTCTAGAAGCGATTTCAAAAATCCAGATTTTCATCACCATTTTTATAAAAAATTTGTGCAGAATTTCGGAATTTTCAGATTTCTCAATCAAATTCTGTAAGTTCCCAAAATCAAAAAAAAATATAACTCACACAATTCGGCAAAATGCCCCATTTAATCTCATGATCATTTTTGAACTCCTCAATAGTCAGATCCTTGAATTCAGCAATATCATCGCATTTTTCAAGAGCCTCGCAAATTTGATACGAAAATTCCGTGGCATTCAATGGATTCAGGTGATTTTTGAAGATCGGATCAACACATCCATGAAACCCTTTCAATAATTTCTTCGGTGATGTATTTGGCTTCGATTTATCCATTGACAAATCACATTTCGGTAAATTCTCCAATTCATAAAACTTCGGAAATGGTGATACATCAATAGTCTTGAAATCATATCCAATTCCATCCATCGAACTCAATTCTCCTCGATAAACCAAATCAGATTTTATTGGTGGGGCCAGCAATTTTTGAGGGATTGAGGAATAATCGAAGAAGAAAAATGTGAGGAATAAAATCGCTGTGAAACATAGGCAAGAATACACCGAAATTCTCATGATTATGAATAGTTTTCGATCTTGAGGAGTATTGAAAAGTGGAGAATACGCTGACATTCTGTGTAGACATCATTTTTCAACTGGTGGTTTATAAAGACATTGGATTTTATCTGCAATAATGACCTAAAATGTCTAGAAAAAAGGTTGAAACCTGATCGAGATAAGATCTTATGAAAACATCAAGATCGTTGAAACAAATAATAATTGATTAATTAATTAAAAAATTTATGTAGACCCATATATTTTAACCAGCAGTTGGGATGAGTCGATGAACGTGAGAAATTGATTTTCGTGGCGAGACCAGCATTTGTCGCCAGTGATCACTTCGCTCGGCGGATAAAGCGATTCCACCGATGACGTGTTTTCTGGAAGTTTTAAGGAGTTCTAGAGCTTCGGAGGTACTGTAAATGAGAAAATGAAGATCCTACTGTACGCAAAATTGCGTCACAGTGTTTGCACACCCCAATCTTTGGAGGCAATTTGAAATTTTTCCCCAAAAATCCCACCAACCTGCCATCCTCCACAATCTGCACAACATGAATCAACAATTCCGAATCGAATCGAAAACTCTCCCTCCCAACATCAAATATCAATTTCTTCGTGAAATAACATCCATCATCACTAGTCGCCTTCAAATCGTGCTGGATTTCAGTCTTATGAACTTCGAAAACCTCATCGCGAATGAATAAAGCGCCTCGGATGTAGAGATTTGGTTTTTGAGCATTCGAGCTTCCAGCTTCTTCTTCTAGGATTCTGAGATTTGTAACTCCTGAATAATGTATCACAATTCTTCCAATTGTCGGAAGATACACCATATTAAGCTCAACTTCGCCTAAATCTGGTAGATATGGTTGAAAAGGCAGTTCGAATTGACGAAAATCGAGTTGTAGATCATCATCCAGCCAATAATCCATCTCTAGAACCACCGTATCCTTCTCGTTTTGATCTACCTCGCAAATTTGCACGCGGAGCATCGTTGTTTTGAAGTCTTTTCGGGAGGCTTGACATGTGAAATATTCGTTGAAAAGTGTTGATTTTTCGAGGGGGACACTGAGAGTTTTGAAGATTGCAGGGTTTCGAGATTCGATTTCCTGAAAAATTTTTTTTTTGTTGAAAACCCAGGCCAAATTTCAATGAAACATGTTTCAAAAATCTCAAGATTTTCAGGAAAGATAAATCTGATGTTTGTTTTTATGAATTTTAATAATTCACAGATCAATATGGTTGATTAACATGGACAAGCAAACCTGCTCTATCGCACACATTATTTATTTGTGTATACTTCTCGAGGAATTCATATATTTTTTTTTACATTTTTAGGTAGTTTCTACTTGTTTAAAATGAAAATAGTAAAAATTTTCATAATCTGATTTTTTGTTTTGATGAATTCGAATGATCAAAATGTTCGATAAAAACTCACTTTTCCTGAATTTTTTGAAATTTTAAAATGAAAAAAAATGAAATTAATAAACGTGGCAAGAAAAATTGGGTCACGTTTGGAAAATTTTTAAATAAAATACAGAATTTCTAAAATATTTTGATTCTCCCCAAAAAAAACCCACCCTCATCGAAATCCTTCGATTCCATCCCATAACCGAATATTTCCTCGAAATTCCCCGCGCAAAATAAAAAATCGCCCGCGATTTTTTGCGAATCAAACTCGGCAACGTGTGAAAATTTAAAATTTGTCGAATATAGAAACTGAATTCCTCGCTTTCTTCGGTGAACGAGAAGGCGATTTGGAGAGTTGGCGCGATTTTTTGAGAGTTTTCGTTCTGCAAAAAAAATGGGCTGAAAATTTTTCACAACCAAAAACCAACCTCATCGTTCTCCATTTCCATCCAAATATAGAAATTCGTCAACATATTTTCCTTTTATTCGAATTCAAAGCAACAAAAAAAATCGATTTTTCCCAGGAGAACAAATTAAAAAGCACCGCAGATGTGTATACAATCAAAATCAATGCATTTTTTTTTGAAAATAGGAAAAATTGGCCACAAACACACAAAAGGGAAAACGAAACAAAAAAAAACAAAAAGTTTTTCCTTTTTTTGTTTTTCAAAAAAAGGAGGGGAAATAGTAGTGGTCAGTCTTTGAAAGAAGGACGTTTATGTGATGAATGGCACCCTTTTTGAGGGTGGAAAATGGGCAATTCATGGAAAATATTGAAAATAAAGTTTTTCGGGGGTTTCAGAAATTTTCAGAGCGATTATAACTTTTAAAAGATATTTTTCATAATAATTGAAGTTTATTAGTAAACTTACCTGATATTCACGCTTTGACTAAACGAACAAACTGGGTTTTGACTGGAAAAAAAAAGAAAAACAAGAACTAGAAAAAAGAAAAAAACAACACGGTGGATTTGGTTAAAGGAACATTGCAAACCACACAAGAGTCTCACCACGACGCGCATTTTCAAACCGTCATTTTTTTTCAAACAAAAAAAAAGAAAATTCACAGTGTCCACAAAACGACGTTTCTGCGTCTCTTTTCGAAAAATCTCTCGTTTCGGTAGAGCGCGTTTGCTCGTTTGTCTTTTTCCAATGGAAAAATCAAATTTTTTGCCGATTTTTCAACTTTTTCTTGTTTTTACTCATTGTCATTGTTGTTTTTGCAAATTTTAATGAACGATTTCTTATTCTATGAATATCAGAGAACATTTTAATGTATAGATCGTTTCATGAAGTAACGCCATAATGCCGTTCAAAAATTTTAAAGATTTTCGTTCGTTTTTCAGGTTTTTTTGGGTGTCGCCAAAAAGTGAAGAATACTCATTTTTCGAACTTTTTGGAATACGAGGACCACATTTGGGATGAAATGGGATATATTTGGACCAATTGTAACGACGACAGATTTATTTTCATATGAATCGAGGGATGTTACCAGTGGTGCTGTTGTACTGTTTTCTGATGCTTGTTTGGATATAAACTGATTCGAATATGATAGGAGAGAAGAAAATTAAGCTTTTCGTAGGTTTTTTGCTTCAGAAATTTCATAATAACGGTATTTATTACGGTATTATTGCAGGTTCACAGGTAAAATCTGGCAGTCCTGCGGCGGACCTGCCGGGGGCATGCCAAGGTCATTTCTGCCGCTGTCCGTCGGAGTACTGGCCGGCATGACTTCCTGGCATGCGTGCGGCAGGTGTGTGGCAGGTCTCTAAGCTTTTTTCTGAAATTTTTTGGGAGGCTCAATCTGAAATAAATATAACAACAGAATTTTCATTGAAAATTTATTGAACATTTATAATTTGATATTTACTTAAAATCCAGGCGATCGTTGATGGTTGGGCCTTTGAATTTTATTGATTTTCGTTGACATGCGTGATCCCAGGCGAATTTGACTCTGAAAGAAAACTTTAATGAATGCATAGCCTAGAAAAAGATTTATGCAGTTTTTTAGATGTTTACTCGGGAAAAATGTCGCGGGTTTCGCATCATTTTGATGCGAATTCGCATCACTTTTATGCGAGCTCGCATCACTTTTATGCCGCGGCTTTTTTTTCGAACCTGCATCATTTTGATGCGGCTTTTTTTTCGGACCCGCGTCACGCTGCCGCGGCTTTTTTTCGATAGTTGCGGCAGTTGAGGCGCTTGTGGCGCCCAGCTTAAAATTAGGCGTTGAAAAAGAATTCTCAGCATGAAAATTTTATGAAAGCTTTAAAAGAACTCAAAATTAAATCAAAATAAGAATCACAAATTACATTCCACCATAGCTTTCGATATTTCTATCCATTAATTCGAAGAAGCTCGGCAATCGTTCCGTAGTCGCAACTTTGTTTGATCGATCATGACATCTGAAAAATTGATGGAGTTTATTGTGTCAAGCTTTATGAAAAATATTTTTCTCACAGGCCCATTGGGAGTCTAAAAATTTGAGAGACTCATTTTAATCCGTATATCAATGTACTGTAAAAATTTCATAATGATTTGAAGTGTTGAGTAAAAAGGTTCCCTCAAGCTTTGGTCAAAAAAAATTTGACAAAAAAATTTGTTTTTGAGTTATAAGTCATTAACTTCGATTGTAAGTAAATGACAATCAATGAAATCGATCAGAATTTGTTGAAATTAATTCAAAATGAGTCAATAACCTAAGTTATAAAACCAAAAAAAAATATCCGAAGCGATTTCATAAAGTGAGGCTATAGTTTTCTGAATTGGGCGCCTGAATGTAAGATAAAGTCTCAAAAATGATGACAATTTCGTTTCTCATCTGTTTACAAATGCGGATGTGCTTTTCCCAAATCTAGAAATAAAACTTACAATTTTTCATTGAAAACCAAACATCAAATGACATAAACTTCGTCACATTGTTGCAATTCAAAATTTGTAGAGTCTGAAATAATGATATATTGTGATTTCCAGAACATAAGATTTTGAAGATTACTCACAAAAATTTTCTTCACAAAAATCATCAAAAACCTTCATGCTTTGATCGGGCAGGATACATCGGTATGTCCACAATTATCTGTACATGCTTTTCTTCCTATCACATATCTGAAATATTACAGTAACAGCCCTTTCAAATTAAAATGAGAAAAATAGGAAAAACGAAAAAAAAACAAATGAAAATATGTTTACTACATGCAATGCGTTAACCCATTCTCATCACTGACGCATTTTGTAATCGGGAGTGCCGCGAAAGTCGCATCACTCTCGATCTCGGTAATTTTTGATGCGACTATCGCGTCAAAACAACGCATCCCAAAAATCTGAGATTTTGGTGATGGGATACTCGCATCAACGGGAAAAAGCGCCGCGACTATCGCGACACGCCCGCCGTATTTTTCCCGAGTAGAAACAATTCTGAGTGGACTATGAAATTTTTAGAAGTCTGGTAATAGTCCTGGTGACTCGGAAGACTGCTAGTAGTAATAAAGGACTTAGAGACTTGGGGATTTTTCAGGAGTGAGACCTGTAGACGACTTGGGAACTTATAAGTAATAATGGGACCTGGAGTGGAATTTTAATGAAATCCTGAAACTGTCTGAGATCCCGGTGACTTTATAGAAGCCAGGAACGCAGATGGAAGAAGCTTGGCCAATTTTTCACCAAACTCAACTACGATTTCAACCGAAAAGTTACTAATGTAAGAATTTGATATCTTTAGATGACAACTTTTTGTCTAATTCACAAAAGGGCATAAAGATTTTTATCATCAATATGATTTATTTTCGATAAAAATTATAAACATTTACCTTGCTCAAACTCGGCGCATCTTCCATTTCACTCATTTGTCCAAGCAAGCGATGGGAAACCTGTAAGAATATCGAAATTATCGAATTCACAACATTTCTAAGATAGACTTACAAGGAATTCCTTGCATATTGGCGCATTCCACCAATTCTTCGAGATCCATCGTGTTGAAATTGTCTGTAATCAATATTATTTTCGATGCATGTAAAGAAAACGATTGAATTACGGGAATTTGAAAAAGAAAAATCTTATACTGTAACCTATCAAGCAGTGTTACGCCAATATCCTAGTGGCAAACTTATCTCTAAATTAACCAAATGAAGTTTCACTAAAACATACATAAATATCATTTTTCATAGGTTTCATAAATTTCCTAGGTGAAAATTACTAGATTTGTAAGCAAAACGAGACAACTTTGGCCATTTATCGAATTATCGTCGAGACAGATTTTGTTCTAAGATGCGCAGACGAAAAAATACTTCACGAATATTGGGCTTCCGAATCACCGACTGAGTTGTCGTCCCAGAAACCTATTTCGTCTCCACATCCAAAAAACATACGTCATTCATGCAAAAAAAAATTTTAAAGATGTTTGAAGACGTATGTTTGAGGAATTTTGGTGTTTTCAAAGAAAATTTCGAATAGCCGCCAAGTACATTTTCATTAATATTCTCCTTAGACTAAAATGCAGCTGTTATAAACTCATTAAACGCTTAAATCTCTCAAAAAACACAACAACAAAACGAAACGAAAAAAAAATGAAAAAAAATTTCACAAGTTGTCCGTGAGAAGTACACACAAACGCGTTTCCGCGTAGGACCAAAGAAAATAATTGTGTGCGCCTTTGTTTTTATTTGATTTTTGCGCGCGGCGAGTATAAGTTTTCGTGAAAAATGATTTTCACCATTGAATGTGAAATTTCATTACGAACAAAATGATATGCATTTCATACTATTTAGTTGAGAAAAAACAAATAGGCCAGCTTAGAGATCAAACTTTGAACTGAAAACCGTTCGATTCTTGAATGTGTAAATGAAAAATTCGATTTTTCAAAAATTTGTCCCATGTATTTTATGAAAGTTCGCTTCTATTTCAAGAAATTCAACCATACTACCTAAATGACCTTCCATTGGAAGTTTTGAAGTTCCACTGTTCGAAAATTCGATGAATTCTTATGAAGTACAATTGGGAATACCATTTCGCATTTTCTTACACCTTTTCATTTTCAAAAAAAATTGTCGGCTGAAAAAATTTCTGGTCGGCGTGCGGCATGCCGACGAAAAATTATCAACTCCTGCCGCACGCCTGCTGCGGTCCTGCCAACCATGAGATACCTGCCACACACCCGCGGCAGGCAGGCCTGACTTTTCCTGTGTTCACACTGGTCATCGCTACTTTTGGACATTTACTGGCTTAAACAATATGAAACTGGTCGTCAAATTTGATTTTTGATGAAATCGTGATCGCATTGGATGTATATAATCGTAATTACGAATCAATTACATATTTTTGAATGAGGATAAAATCACATTGATGGATCTGACTCTCGAACACCAACATCAGGAAATTTGCTATTCAGAGTACTAGAGGACTGTGAAAAACATCGAGAAAACACATGAAAACCCACTTGACAATGTATATGTTGGAACTATGCAGAAAATAGCGGTCGTTGGAGATGGTTTTATATCGAAAGATGGCTCAAAAGATGATTAATTGGGAGGAATTCATATTTCAACAGCAATATTTGACTTGTTATTGCTCAATTCTAATTTTTGAGCTTGGTACAGATTTGACGATGATTTATTCTGAAGCTGGCTGGATAAGTTGAGTTTGAATCGAAGAATGACGTTCCTTATTGGCCAAAATTATCTATTTGTGATATTCGGAGCTCTATAACTCAGCTGAGCAGTTTATTCGGATCCTGGCAATCTTTTTGTTGTATTTTGTCTCTCTGCTAATGTTAATTTTTATTAATTTTCAGCCGGTTTTTCAAAAAAATTGTTTGTAAGACACGACTTTCTATTTTTTATTAATAAATATTGGATTAGTTCGTTTTTTGTTACATAAAACTTTATCATTTAAATTTTTCGGTTTTTCACACTTAGATTCAGGTTTTCTAATTTTTTTTTAATTCAAAAAAACGCTCAAACAAACGTGTTTTGCTGATTGCAAGACTTTTAGGTTCAGAACTTCTCACTCCTAGTATCAAATAAACTGATATGCTTTGATTCACGTAATTCCTGTCCTCTAGAAGTGAATTTACCAAAAATTTCGTGAAATTTCAGCTAAAATACTTCATGAAAAACATATAAGTTTTTCTTTGGATTTTATAGCCTTCAAAATTTCAAAAATGGAACTAAATGTTATTTCTCTGTCTTCCTTTCATCCTCCTCTACTCGCTCATATACCACTTTACCCGTGAATTTCTCGAATTTTTTGAAAAATTTCGAAAAAATTCAAAAAAATTGAAAAAAAAATGAGAGAGTGTTGTTTGCTGTAGAGACGCAGACAACGAGAGAGCGCACACACCTCGCGTCGTCCTGTGGATATTGTGAATTATTTTTATTTTTTTTCGCCAGGAAGAAAAACGTGAAACGTGAAGCGTTTTGATCATTTCAAGATTCAAGAATGATGGGAAAAGGTGAGTTTCAAGTCTTGCATCCTCTATGAATCTTGAAAATTGATTTTACAGAAACGTTTTCGCGATTTACCCGGGCTGGCTGGAATTGAAGTTATTCGAAGGTTCTTGAAGAGGCTGGAATTGTTGCTGAAAATGTGATGAAGATGTGCATTTTTGGGAAGCAAGTTGAATTTATGGATTTTGGAGGATTCGGTGGCAAATTTGTGAGTATTTTGAGGGGAAAAATATTTAAAATTTATAAATTCAAAGAAAAGTAAATCGTAGATGTGCTAAAAACTCTGCTGAAATTAGAAAAATTCAAATGTTTCATTTTTTTTCGCCAAATCCTTGAAACTCGAAAATTATTCCATTGATGACGTCACAAAAAGTCATCGGCCTAGGACAAAAATCGTATAGCATCTTTTCGTAGTTGTTGTATCAATGAAGCAGAACACCTTCATGTTTTTTTTGTCGTTGATGCCATTGGCTATCCGATTTTATTTTATTTTATTTTGTATAATATGTATTACGATCTTCTTCTTTTTCCTCTTCTTTTTACTATTTTTTGTTACCTGATGTTGTTCTTTTGACGGTTACAGTTAGTGTAACTTTTTATGCAGAATAGATCTTCTAGAAGTTGGCAAAAATGTGTACTTCTCGAGGAGAAGCTGATAGGCTTTTGTGTAGTTCTTTTGGAGAAGTTGAGAAATCTGTGTAGTTCTCTCGGACAATTTGATTAATTATTTTCTAGTTTTTTTTCCCCAAAGTGGTCATTTTTCCTCTGCAAAACAATGAAACAAAGAAAAAACTAGAAAAATTTGTTTTTCCTCATTTTCCCCCCAAAAAATGAAACCTTTCATTTTGTTTTCATTTTTCTTGTGATAATTTTGAGATGTTTTTTTTTTTCGAAAAACAAAAAAAATTGCAAGCTTTTGCCATTGAACTTTCACTTTTGCCCTTCTTTTTTTTTCTGTGGCGGAGGAAAAAATGAAGGAGAAACCAACCTCATTCTGGTTTTACAATTTTTTTTCGACAATTTTTTTCTTAGGTCTACGTTTTGATGGCAAATCTAATCACATACATTTAATGAGAGATTTTTCTGCGCTTCTTTTTATCAATTACATGATTTTGTGTTACGCAATTTATTATCGTAGATGCTTTTCCTTTTTTGATAGGTTTCGGGGATCTTTTGTAGCTAGGAACTTGATATTTTCATCGGAAAATTTTGAATTCTGAGCATTTTTCACTTGCTTCTGTGAAAAATTTCAGCTCTGATCTTGAATTTTTGAAAAATTTAGTGGGCTTCAAATTTTTGTAGTTTGAGAAAGTCTGGAAAAAAGGTTAGAAAATTCTAAAATAAATAAAATGATTTCAAAAGTTTCACTGTTTCAATTTTATTTTTAATTTTTGAGAAATTGTTTAAATTTGATAATGTCCGCTCGATATACTTCCAGAAAAAATACAGTTTTTCAACACAAAAAATTACTGTTTCAAAAATTCTTGATTTTTTAATTTTAATTTTAAATTTTACTATATTTCGGTGATTTTCTGAAAAAAATCAAAAATTTTTTTTTCAAAAAATCACTGTTTCAAAATTTTTATAATTTCGAAGAATTTATTATATTTTGCTATACCCAAACAAATTGAGTTCTAATTTTGCCACGTGGCATTGAAAAATAAAGTACCTCTTATAATTTTCCGAATTATTTTTTGGAAAAATGTAAAATGAATATTTTCAAAAAATTCACTGTTTCAATTTTATTTTTAATTTTCGAGAAATTTTTTAAAGTTGATTGTCTATCATTCCATAGATACTTCCAGAAAAATACAGTTTTCAGCACAAAAAATCACTGTTTCAAGAATTCTTGATTTTTAATTTTAATTTTGAATTTTAGTGTTATTTCAGTCATTTTCAGAAAAAAAATTCGAACATTTTTATTCCAAAAAATCACTGTTTCAAAATTTGTATAGTTTCGAAGAATTAATTTTATTTTGTTAGGCTATACAATTATGCAAAAAATATTGAGAATTTTTCTAATTTTGCCACGTGGAATTGAAAAATATAGTACTTCTTATAAATTTCCTAATTTTTTGAAATTGAAATTTATAATTTGGTAAATTTATATTTTCAAAAATTCACTGTTTCAAAGTTTTTTTTAAAATTTTCAAGCAACTTTCAAAGTTGATGCAGCTATGTTGAAATGGAAATATATTTTTCAATTTTTATTTCAAATTTCACGATTTTCTGAAAAAAAATCCAAAACTTTTTTTTTCAAAATATCACTGTTTCAAAATTTGTTCATAATTTTGGAGAAATTTTTATTTCTTATTAAATTTATGTATGCAATTTTACACTAGAAAATTATTTTTTTTTTGCCACGTGGCATCAAATTTCTTCCTCATCTTTATATTCTTTCAAACAAAAAATAAAAACAACAAACTATTTTAAACCCCTCTCATTTTCTCTTTATTTCACTTTTTTTGTTTCAAAAAATGTATTTTCATTCATCTTTTTTTTCAAAAAAAAAATGTGATTTTTCTGGTCACGTGGATTAGAAAAAACATGTGTAAAAGTTAAAAAAAATTGGCGCCAGGTTTTTTTTTTCTGTAGTCATTTTAGACTACAAAAAATACATTGTTTGCTTATCCTAACTTGTCACATGTTCTTCTAGAAAAAATATAGTTTTTAGATAGAAAATGACAATTTTTTGATATAAAACGGCTATATTTGACCAATTCGTGCGATTTTGTGATGATTTCCGCGAACTAATCAAAACCAAACTAGAAAATTAAGTGAAAATAATTTTTTCTGTTTAGAATGGGAAGTTCGGCAAACATTGTTGACATATGCTTTCGAGTGTCAACAATTTTCTCCTTTTTCTTCTTCTTAGTTCGTTCTTTATTTTTCGTCTGCAGAAGTCAGTTTCGCATGTTTTGTAGTTTTTGTTTGCTTTGCTGATTTTTGGTGCAGAGAATATGCGATTTTTAATTTTGAGGCCTTTTAAAAGGTGGTGCAAAATTAGAAATTTTCGATTGATTTTCTAGTTTGGCTTAGAAATAATGGGAACATTGGTCAAAAATCGCCATTTTTCACTATGCTCTTTTTTCTGTGAAATAAGAAAAAAATTGGTTATAAAATTTATAACAATTTTTTGAAACAGTGAAATTTTGGGAATTTGAACAGTTGATTTTTGTTTGTTTTTTTTTTCATAAAACCTTAAAGTTATGAAATTATACATTTCCGAGTATAAAACATTATAAAAAATTTTGAAACAGTGAACTTTCGGAGAATGAAAAATCCATTTTTTAAATTAAAATTTGTGAAATTTATTTCCTCAAAAATCATTTTCTCTATTTCTGTGACAAGTTAGATTAACTTTGAACAAAATTTTCTGAACACACGATTTTTGAAGCACAGCATCTTGAATTTATGAAGTTTTGAAGCTTCTCTAATCTCCAAAATTTCTGAATTTCTCAGAAGCCTCCTGACAATTTTGTAGTCCAATTTTTTTGTAGTTTTTGTTGCCTAGGAGAGATGTTTGCTTTGATGCGTGTTTGAAGCATTTTCTAGCCTAGAATCCTCACAAGTTTATACATTTTTTTGTGGAATTTGGAATTTTTATGGATTTTCAGCGATTTCTGGGCTGAAAATTCAGTTTTTCGGAATTTTCAATCAAAAATTGTTATTTGTAGTTTTTCAGAAGCCCTATGATTTTTCTGGAATTTTTTTTCTAGTTTAAAATCTAGTGCTGGAAAAATTGTGATCTGCAAATTTTTGTCATTTTTAAATTGAACCAAAAAGTTATATTTTCGAAAGTTTAATCTTTCCGGATATTTTTTCAATCATCAAAAATTGTTATTTATTTATTTATAGTTTTTCAGAAGCCCTTTAATTTCCTCTTGTTTTGATGGATTTTCTAGAATTTTCTCTCTGAGTTTTGTGTTTTTGGCCAGTCATATGAGTCTCTATAGAAACCGGTGGATTTTTGTTTGAACTTTGAGACTTTGAGTTTTGGAATTTTTTGATTTTTTCTCGGGAAAATTCGCGCCAAAAATGCCACGTGGCAAAATTTACAGTACTCTTGATCTAGGCCTATTTGATATGAAAATACTTGTCAGATTTTCGCGCGCAAAAAGCTGTACAGTAACCTGATACAGTATCTTGGGAACCAAAAATATCATTTTTGAATTTTTTTTTTGAACTCTAGGCTTATTCTGTATCCAAAAATCTACAGTAACCCTAAAAAGTTCTAGAATTATGGGAATCAAATTTACTGTTTTCAAAATCACGACGTTTCCTTCTCATTCCCCAAATTTGAGAAAAATCTGACCCACGCAATCTTGTTTTTTTTCTCAATTCGTCCAAAAATCAAATCTCATAAAAACTTTGTCATAAAAACGCCGCCAACTTGTTACAACTCCTCTCATATAAAATATTCAGAATCGAAGCGACCTTGGGTAAAATGTCATCAGATCAAATTCAAAAATGGTTCGAATACGAGTCGGGACACGCTTGGTGTGAATCAGCGTACAAATATCAAACGTTGCCATATGTGGCGGAATTCGCCAATTCGGTAGGTTTTGGCTTCGAAAATTCACCATGTTTCACTGAAAAATCTTGATTTTCAGCTCACAAATCTGCCAATTATCGTGCTGCCCCTCCTCAATATAATGCTTCTACGAAAATATTTACAAAACGTCAATATGGGCCTGATTTTCCCGCAACTTTTGCTTACTTTCAATGGTCTGGCTTCCACGTATTATCACGCGACTCTGAATTTATTTGGACAACTTGTTGATGAATTATCGCTGGTTTGGATTATCACTGTGTTTTTGGTGGTTTATATTCCGGTTATGAAATGGTTTCCCAAAAAGTTTTCGGAAAGATTGTGAGTTTTTTTTTGGGGTACTGTATGCACCTTGAAAATTAAGAAGAATATTCCACGTGTACTGTATCCCGCCAAAAAATTTCAAATCTGAAAATTATTCTTCCAGATGTTTGGTCAGATGGATTACACTTATCATCACTGCTGTCGTCTCTGGATTATGCTTCTTGGAGCCGAATTTGAATGCGATTGCGCTGATGTTGTTCTCGATTCCGGCGGCTGTGGTTTTGAATTATGAAGGAACACAGTCAGTTTTCTTTTTTCTGGGCTTTCGATGACAAAATGGAAAATCACAGAAAATTCACTCTAAAAATTTACTGTTTCAAAAAATCCTGAAGTTTCTAGCTGTTTCTATGGACATTGATCGAAACAAGCTGCAGTTTTCAAAGTTTTATATGAATTCTGAATTTTTGAAGTTTGGCGCCATTAGTACTATTTTTGAATTTTTGCCACAAAAATTTGACGAATTTTGAAACCAAGCTCATAATTTTTTCAAAAATTCACTAAAAAACCACTGTTTCAAAAACGTTTGAAATTTTTGAAATTTTTTCGCCTAAAAGTTTGGAGAATTTCGAACATCATATGTCTGAATCGGAAAATTATGAAAAATGCACCCAATGATCAGGCCAAAATCACGGGTTTTTTCTCACAATCAGAAAATTCAGACGAAAAATTTACTGTTTCAAAAAATCCTGAAGTTTTCCAATTTTGGAATTATAGACATTGATTGCATGAACTGTTTTCGAAGCTTTTATAATTCTGAATTTTTCAAGTTTTGCCCCAAAAATTTGGGAATTTTGAACCTAACAAACATTTTTTTTTCGCTCAAAACTTGGGAGAATTTGGAACCTGAAAATTCTGAATCGGAAAATTATAAAAAATCACCGCAGAAATGGTCAGGCCAAAATCACGGGTTTTTTCTCACAATCAGAAAATCAGAAAATTCACCCTAAAAATTTACTGTTTCAAAAAATTCTTAAATTTTCCCATTTTGGATTTATGGACAATGCGATTGCTAAATAGATATGGACAATGCGACTACATATATTAAATTTATAATTCTGGCGCCAAATACAATTTTTGAATTTTTTGGCACAAAATTTGGGGAATGTTGAATCCAACAAACATTTTTTTATCCCCAAAATCACATTTCCGGAAAAATTCACCAAAACACCACTATTTCAAAAAAATTTAAATTTTTTGTGCTCAAAACTTGGGATAATTTTGAACTTCAACCAAATCAAAATTCTTAATCTAGAAATTATTAAAAATCACTCCAGAAATGGTCAGCTAAAAATTTACTGTTTCAAAAAATCTAGAAGTTTTCGAGTTTTGGAATTATGGACAATACTTCCCAGCATCGCTACACGAATTAAGTTTATAATTTTTGCGCCAAAATTACAATTTTTGAACTTTTTTTCTCAAATAATGGGAATTTTGAACCGAACAAACATTTTTCATCCCCAAGCTCACAATTTTCTGAAAAATTTATTCTCAAAAATACCCTAAAATTTCACTGTTTCAAAAAATTCAGAAATTTTCTGACTATAAAATTATAAACATTGATATAATGAAATTATCTTCAAAACTAAACAAAAATAAATGAAAAATCAGCCTAGAATTACTCTAGACTTACACTTTTCTAACAAATGAATCTTAAAATTCACTGTTTCAAAAAATCTAGAAGTTTTCCAATTTTAAGAATTAAAGACATTGATCGAAACAAGCGGCAGTTTTCAAAGTTTTATATGAATTCTGAATTTGTCAAGTTTCACACCATGGTTTTTGAATTTTTCGTCAAAATTTGGGGGACTTTGCACCCAAGCTCATAATTTTTTGAAAAATTTATTCTTAAAAATTTTCTCAAAAGTTCACTGTTTCAAAAAATTCAGAAATTTTCTGACTCTAAAATTATAAACATTGACTCAATCATCTGCAAAATTAGAAAAAAATAAATGAAATTCAGCCTAGAGTTACTCTAGACTTATACTTTTCTAACAAATGAATCTGAAAATTCTACTGTTTCAAAAAATCTATGTGTTCTCCCATTTTGGAATTATGAACAGTAAGAAAAGTTATGATTTTCCAGCTCTGGAATCCCAGACATCGAGAGATTCCCAAAACGAGTCCTAGCTCTTTGGGGAGCCGCCTTCAGCTTCTGGTTCGCCGATCGACTATTGTGCGATTTTTGGTTGTATCTGGGTACACCATACTTGCACGCCGTGTTTCATTTGTTGGCCGGATTGGCTGGTTATACGATTTTTATCATGTTTTCGATGATTGATATTGAGACAAGATCGAAATCTCATAGGTGAGTGGAATTTTTGCGGTTTTTTGAGTCTAAACATGACTAGGGTTACTGTAGGTTATCGTAATTCCAGATTACTGTACCTCTAATTTTTTCAGATTCACAGCTGCAGTACGGTATTTCCCTGACAAAAATGGATCGATTTTCGCATTTCCATATATTTCTCTAAAGGAGCGAACACAGTAAGCCTATGTGTTTTTTTTTCTGTGTTTATTGTGTACTGTATTTTGTCGTTGTCCTGTCCATAAATGTGTATAATTGGTTACTGTAGATTACTGTATGCACCTTTAAACGTTTTTTGTAGCAACGTCAATGTTTCTGTTTTCGATTCGCCTGGAAAACCGAAAAAATTGGAGGAGGAATTTGGTGAAAATTAATTTGGAGCTTTAATTTGTTTTTTTTTTGTATATTTTGAGATCTTGCCATAAATTTTTGTTTTTTTCCCATGTTTTTGGTGTTATCGCATAATGTAATTATCAAAAGTGTTTTTTGATTAGATAAGAACTGGATTTTTCTGGGATTTTATTGGAGATAAGACAATTCTTGTCAGTTTTGATTGTTTGGACATGCCGTGCAAGTGTGGTGAGTTGGGTTTTCTTTTGGGCTAAATTTATGTGAATTTTTTGAAACGTAATTTTTGCGGCTAGTTTTTTTGATTGAGTTGAAAACGATAGTAATAATAAAACAAAAATACCAAAATTTCTCATAGAACTTTTAAAACAGTGATTTTTACCGGAAAAATATTTGATTTTACATACAAAAACTAATTTTATCTCATAATTGCGGCTCTCTTTATGAATTAAATTTTTTTCCTACTCGATACGAAAAACCAAGAACTACAAAAATCCCGAAAACCTTGGACAAAATTTGAAACAGTAGATTATTTTTTGAGAAAAATTTTTTTTCGGGAAAATCTACTGTTTCAAAATTTTCTGATATTTTTGAGAAGTTTTCGAGATTTGGTACCGATCGGCTTGTGATTTCCTAACAAATTTTATGAAAAACTTTACTGTTTCATAATTTTATGATAATTTTTGCTTTATTTTTCACAACGATTATTTGCTAGTATCTTGTGATGAAAGTTCCCGAATTTTTCAACTCAAAAAAATTCACTGTTTCAAAATTATTTGAAAATTTTTATGAAATATTTCGAAGTTGATCAGTAAAGGGCAATGATCAAAACTTCTAGAAAAATAATTTATTTATAGACTTCGAAAAATTTACTGTTTCAAAAACTACATAAAGTCTAAGCAGCCGATTTGGGCTCAATTCCTTAAGCTTTTGGAACTAAATTCAGTTTTCAAGATAGAAAATATTCACTGTTTCAAAAATTCTTGATTTTTCAACTTTTCAGTTCAATTTTAGTATATTAAGGACACGGAATGCTTTTTTAAAATAATTAACTGTTTCAAAAATTCTCAAATTGTTCTAGTTTTCATTTCGAATTAATATTAATGCAGTCATCACCACGATGTAGAAAGCATTTTTTCACTGTTTCAAAAATTTCTGATAATTTTTCTTAGATCATTGACAAAATGTTCCAAAAATTTTGTGAGGAACTTGCCAAAAAATATACAAAATCAAAATTTGTTTGATTAAAAAATTTACTGTTTCACAAATTTTTTATAGTTTTTGGAAATTCTTAAAGTTCATTATAAATCTTGCAAACGTTTGGAAACAATAAAAAAAAATCACTGTTTCAACAATTTTTTTCGAAATACTCTGAATTCTAATTTCACAAATTTTAATCAAAAATCAAGTTTTTCAATTTCCAAAAATTTCACTGTTTCAAATAATTCTCATAAATTCTGACCAATTGGTTTTCGATGGTTTCGAATTCGATGGTTTCTTCGATATTTATTTTCCAAAAAAAAAAATCACTGTTTCAAAAATTTTATATTTTTCGAAATATTCGGAAAAATTAATTTCTATCTGCTTGGTAGTTTCACAAATTTCATTCAAAAAATTCCGAAAAAAAATCAACTGTTTCAATTCCACAAAAATTCACTGTTTCAAAAAATTCTTTTAAATTTTCATAAATTCTTTGACACATTTTGCATTAGATCTTTTTTCCATAAATATTTTTCAAAAAAATCACTGTTTCAAAAATTTTATATTTTTCGAAATATTCGGGAAAACTAATTTCCAAAGTTTAATTCAGAAACTCAACAAAAATCAACTTTTTCACTTCCCCAAAAATTCACTGTTTCAAAGAATTCTCATAAATTCTGATCAATTTTTCCAAATACTAAATGTACTCTCCTTATTTCCAGATAAAAATAAAATAAATCAAAAATCTGATTTTTGTTTCAGAAAATCAACTTTGTGATTGCGGTGACGCCTGTCAATGTACTCCTGAAAATTGTTGTTGCGGGACATCGAAACAATCTGAAAATCCAGAAAAACCAATAAAATCTTGTTGTTCATCAGCTCAAAAAGTGACTTTGGTCAAGCCAAAATGTGGTGAGTTATTGTATCTGAGAAGAGTACTGTAGCTACATACAGTACCCCTCAAAAAACTATTGATTTTTTTCAAATTTCTATTTTTCAGCTTGCTGTGGTGACAACTGCAAATGCGATCCATGTAACTGTAAATAATTACAGTAACCCTGAATTTTTGTGTGTTTTTTTTCGAAATGATTTTTGTTATCATATGATAATAAATAATAAAAATATTTTTGTTTACACACCGAAATTTTCAGCACAAACTACAAACTTCTGGAATTTTTTGGCTGAAAATTTCAGAACTTCCTGGCTGAAAATCTTGAATCTCAGATTTTCTTGCGATTTTCAGAGCTTCTTCAAAAAAGTTGATAAATTTTATTAATTTTTGATCTGAAATTTATTAAAAAATTCCCAAAAAAACGTGTTGTTTATTTGTTTTTGTTATCAAAAACTACAATTTTTGAGATAAAAAATGGTATAAAAATTGGGAAAAATTTCAGTTTTCCATCGAAGACAAAAATGAACAAGTGTGGTGAGTTTTTTCCTGGGGGTACTGTAGGGACAGTACTTGATGGACTACAGTAATCTGAAAGTTTGGGAAGAATTGGGTTACTGTAGATGAATGTCTACAGTAGTCCAGATCTTCTAAATTTTTTTTAGTTAAAAAAATTCGGAACTTGTACATTCCTGAAATTTTGAGCAGTATTGTATCTCAGCTACAGTAATCTCGATGTCTAGAACTACAGTATCCTGAAAGGGGCAAAGTACTGTAGCTGGGTTCCTACCGTAATCAAAAAAAATTTTCCGAAAAGTTTTTTTTTCGATTTCAATTTTTCAAAATTCAAAAATAATTTTTGAAATCCAAATTTTTTGCCCCAAAATTTCACCTCTACCTACAGTACTCCTTATCCCATTTTCCAGACTGCAAAACCAAAAACTGCATGTGCACCAAAGACACCAAATGCACCTGTAACTCTGGAAAATGCTGTGAAAAAATGCAGTGCAAAGACCACAAAAAATGCGATCAAAATAGTGAGTTTGGCTGAAATTATCTGAAATTATCTGAAAATTTTAAATGTTTTTCAGCCAAATGCAAAGCCGGTTGCAAATGCGAAAAATGCAAGAAAATGTGATTTTTTCGCATTTTTGGCGTTGTGAAGAAGTTTGGAGGGGAGTGTGAAGAAAATTCCAAAAAAAAATGTGATAATTTTAGATTTTTTTGTAAAAACTTTCTGCATAAATTTTTTTACTTTTAAAGTTGTGTACATTTTTTGAAACAGTGGAAAATTATTTTTTTTTATTTTCAGACTTGTCTATGACTCGATTAGAGATTGTTGAATTCGCAATATTATATTAACTTTTTGAAACAGTAAAAATTTTCGGAAAAAAAATTACAAATTGAAGAATTTTGAACAGATAAAATTATATCAAAATTTTGAAACAGTGAATTTTTGTGAAAAAAAATTGGAATCAAGATCTGATAATTTTTCGTAATAAATAAAACAAGAAGAGCACATTCCCCTATCAGAGATTTTTTAAAATGCTAAAAATTATGTGCAATTTTTGAAACAGTGAATTTTTTTTCAAAAAAAAAAACCGGCCCGAGTTTTTTCAAAAAAAAAAAACCGGCCCGGGTTTTTTCAAAGAAAAAAAATCGGCCCGAGTTTTTTCAAAAAAAAAAAAAAAATCGACCCGAGTTTTTTCAAAAAAAAAAAAAAAATCGGCCCGAGTTTTTTCAAAAAAAAAACGGCCCGAGTTTTTTCAAAAAAAAAAATCGGCCCGAGTTTTTTCAAAAAAATCGGCCCGAGTTTTTCAAAAAAAAAAAAAATCGGCCCGAGATTTTTCAAAAAAAAAATCGGCCCGACTTTTTTCCAAAAAAAAATCGGCCCGAGTTTTTCAAAAAAAAAATCGGCCCGAGTTTTTTCAAAAAAAAAAAATCGGCCCGAGTTTTTTCAAAAAAAAAATCGGCCCGAGTTTTTCAAAAAAAAAATCGGCCCGAGCTTTTTCAAAAAAAAAATCGGCCCGAGCTTTTTCAAAAAAAATCGGCCCGAGCTTTTCAAAAAAAAAATCGGCCCGAGTTTTTTCAAAAAAAAAATGGGCCCGAGTTTTTTCAAAAAAAAAATCGGCCCGAGTTTTTTCAAAAAAAAAAATCGGCCCGAGTTTTTTCCAAAAAAAAAATCGGCCCGACTTTTTTCCAAAAAAAAAATCGGCCCGAGTTTTTCAAAAAAAAATCGGCCCGAGTTTTTTCAAAAAAAAAAATCGGCCCGAGTTTTTCAAAAAAAAAATCGGCCCGAGTTTTTTCAAAAAAAAAATCGGCCCGAGCTTTTTCAAAAAAAAAATCGGCCCGAGCTTTTTCAAAAAAAAATCGGCCCGAGCTTTTTCAAAAAAAAAAATCGGCCCGAGTTTTTTCAAAAAAAAAAATGGGCCCGAGTTTTTTCAAAAAAAAAATCGGCCCGAGTTTTTTCAAAAAAAAAATCGGCCCGAGTTTTTTCAAAAAAAATCGGCCCGAGTTTTTCAAAAAAAAAATCGGCCCGAGTTTTTTCAAAAAAAAATCGGCCCGAGTTTTTCAAAAAAAAAAAATCGGCCCGAGTTTTTTCAAAAAAAATCGAGTTTTTTGCCGTTTTACTATAAAATTTGGGTTTGAAAAAAACTTAAAGATTTTTTGAAACAGTGAATTTTTTTTCATAATTTTTTCATTAGAATTCAAGTTTTGAAATATTCCGAAGAAAAACGATTATTTTTGAAAATGCAAAAAAAAATAATTTTAGAAGCAACTAGAAAATTTTCTGAAAACTGATTTCTCTGATCTAACCTAAGCTTACTCACGAATTCAATTATATCATTAAAAAATCACTGCCGGGAATTAAATTTCCCCAATTTTTATCAGACAGCATCATTTTTTCGACCAAAAAGCATTTCCAAAATTCTCATTGTAGCCTCGTTTCATTTTCAGATTTCAAAAATGTTCACTCTGAAATTTGGTATAACTTTATTTTATGGTGGACTTTCTTTTGTGGTTTATTTTATGACGATTTTTATGCTGAAAAAAAATTGGAAAGAATTTTCGCTATCATTTTTTCGGTTGTATATTGCATTTTTTGTTTTTGTGAGTTTTGGAGCCAAATATGGGAAGGTGGGAAAAATGACTGGAAAAAATACGTTTTAAAAATTTCTTAAATATTTTTTCATTTTTGCCAAAGAGCTCGATATGTTTGTTCTACCAAGCTACTGTAGGAAAATTGTGAAAGCGCTGAAATAAACTGAAAATCAATATTTCTTGATGTCTAAAAACTCTTCGAACTGTAAGAAATTTTGCCAAAAAATAGCCCACAATTTTTCCAGAATCTTCTAACTTTTCTCAATTCTTTCATCACCGTTCGAATCCCTCAAAACACATGCAAAGACTGTTTTCCTTTCAAAATTTTAAAATCAAATTTTGAAAATTATCTCAACATTTTCTACACACTTCATTGGAGCCTAGCTTTTGTCCAATATTCAATGATAATGCTAATTTCAATCAATCGATTTTCAATGATTTTTTTCGTGACTTTTTATGATAAAATCTGGAAAAGGGCATTTCCATTGCTCATTTTTATTGTTGCAATTTTCCCGATTTCTCAAACTTATCCCATATTTTTGAAACAGTCAATTTTTGATTATACGGAAAGTTTGGATTGTTATGCAACGAAAAGTTTGGCGGTTTGTAGAGATTTTTCTCACAGGAATCCTTTTTTTCATTTTTTGTAGAACACAGCTCCAATTTACGATCATTTATTGATTTTCATGGCGATTACGACTATAATTACAGCACTGGCTAAATTGTTGGCATTTGGAAAACTTCAAGTTTTATCCCACGGTATTCCAAAAGCCGAGAGAAATCTGATGTTTGTTAGTTTGGCCATGTTTATTGTGCAACTTTTCGCGGGCGGGAATACGGTATGATTTTCTAACATAAGAATTTTTAATAAAAAAATGAGAACTCTTTGTTTGTAGATGATAACTCGCCTGATGATCCACGACGAAAATATGACGTCATTCTGGGCTCAACTTACCGAAACTCTTCTTCCCTTCACAAGTGATGGTTTGACTTTGGTTCACCCGTGGATTTTGATTGTTTTCAGTCGAAAAGTTCGAAATTATATGATTAAAATGTATTTTCCGAAGTCTTGGATGGGGATGAAAGTAGCAACACCACAAAGAGGATTCTGAACTTTATTTGAGATTTTACATCAAAGATTTTCTGCTTATTAAATTTTCAATTTTAAAGATTCTTTGTTAATTTATTTTTGAAACAGTGAAATTTTGTAGACCATTTTTCTTGATTTTGAGTATATTCTGTTCAACTTAGGTGCAAATAAAGTGTTTCACCTGTTCCTAATTTCAGGGTATTACTCATTTTTTCAGATGTCTAGAAAATTTCCTTTTTATTTTTTTTTGAAACTTGGTCTTGATTATACCTCCGAGGTTTATAAAATTTCACCATTTTTTTCAAAAAAAAAATATTCCTAGACGTCATTCTGTCATTTTGAACTTTTAAATTAACTGGCTCAAAAAGCATTTTCAGAAATGTTCACACTGAAATTTGGCATAACTCTATTTTATGGTGGACTATCTTTTGTGGTTTATTTTATGACGATTTTTATGGTTAGAAAATATTGGAAAGAATTTTCGATTTCGTTTTTCCGATTGTATATCGCGTTTTTTGTTTTTGTGAGTTTTTTTTACTGGGAAAAAATAATGGGAGAATATACGTTTCAAAAATTTCTTGAATATTTTTTTGATCTACTTTTGTTTTTGATGTTTGATCTACCAGGCAGGTTATGCAGGAAAATTCTGAAAAATTTCCAATATTTTCAGCACAAAATTCGGGTCTAGAAACTCTTCAAAGCCTACTGTTGTGCTACCAGTTCACCGTGAAAAAATACTTTTCTAGACTGAAATTTTGTGCTGAAAATCAATAATTTCCTGATGTTGAGCCCTCAATTTTTTCAGAATCTTCTAACATTCCTCAACTCCTTCATCACTGTTCGAATCCCTCAAAACACATGCAAAGAATGTTTCCCATCAACATTTTTCAAATCAAACTCTCAAAATGCCACATCAAATTATTTTCCCCTCAACATTTTCTACACAATTCATTGGAGTATGGCATTTGTTCAATATTCAATGATAATGTTAATTTCAATCAATCGATTTTCAATGATTTTCTTCATGACTTCTTATAATAGCAAATGGAATAAGGCATTTCCATTCATTATTTTTATTGTGGCAATTTTTCCGATTTCTCAAACTTATCCCATTTTTTTGAAACAGGCATATTTTGATTATACGGAAAGTTTGGATTGTTATGCAACAAAGACTTTGGCGGTAAGTGCAAAATCACCTGGATTTGAAAAAAAAGTGGGAGAACTGAAAACACAAAACTCAAGTTTCTGCTGATGCAAAATTTGTGAGTTAGTCTAAATCATCCAATTTTTGAGATCAAAAGATCAATGAAAACACATGCTAAAATTAAAACTGGAAATTACTTAAATGTTTTGAAAACTAGAGATCACCAGAAAGTTAGAGACACAGAGAAGCCAGACAATCAGATAGCACTGTATAGTAAGAGACGCAGACAAAAAGCTTTTGCTTTTGGCCTGTCTTTTTTCAGATTCCTAAAATGTTAGAGTCAGATGATGTTTACCTTAACAAAAATCCAATTTCAATTCCCTGAAAATCCTCCGTAAGTCAGAACCAAAAAAAGTTAGGAGAAGATTAATTTTCAATCAAAAATTGAAGAATCTCACGTCCTGTAAATCCCTAATCAGAAAGCCAAAATGAACTCAGCTCAAGAACATTTAGTGGTCTTTTGATTTTCAAAACAAAAAAACTGACTATTTTTTCCAGGACACCAATCCGATTTACAATTATCTTCTGATTTTCATGGCATTAACTACTGTAATTACAGCACTGGCTAATATTTTGGCATTTTTTAGACTTCAATTTTTAGTCGAAAAAATTCCGAAAGGCGAACAGAATTTGATGTTTGTTAGTTTGGCCATGTTTATTGTGCAATTATTTGCAGGCGGGAATACGGTAAGTAGGTCTAGGCGCGACTACTTGGAAGATAGGTTCTCTAGACTCGGCTACTTGAGAAATAGACTCTCTAGGCGCTGACCCTTCACAATTCAATTTTCTAGCCGCGGCTGCTTGAAAATTCAATTCTATATAATTTCCAGATGATAATAAAATTCATGATCAATGATATGACATCTCTCTGGGCTCAAGTTGCAGTAACTCTTCTTCCCTTCACAAGTGATGGTTTGACTCTAATCCACCCTTGGATTTTACTGATGTTCAGTAGGAAAGTTCGAAGTTATATGATAAAAATGTATTTTCCAAAATATTACAAATCTTCTACGGTTACTGTAATGTCTACTAAACCATGAATTTTACCTAATTGTGTAGTAAATATTTTTGTGACTGCAAAATGTTTGTTTGTGATCTCCAAAGGAGATTAGTGACTAAAAATAAATAAATAATCTTTAATTTCGATAAGTGCCTCCTGGTTTTTGAACTATTACTAAAAATTTGCTAAAATAATAATAAATCTGGGATTTTCCAACTACAGTAGAGATTAGTAATTTCTGAAAAATAAGTTCCTCGGGCCTGTATGAATAATCTAAATTTTTTCAATTTGCGTAAGTGCTGAGGGATTATCTTATCTTTTTTTTGTGATTTGGTCAGAGATTTGTGATTTTTTGGGGGGAAAAGCTTTCCTGGAAGGATTTTCTCAGCTACAAAAACTATAAGTTATTTTTGGAATCGAAAGGATACAATATCGAAATTGTTTTTGAGATTGGGAGGATTTTACAGGATCTTACAGGCTTTCTAGGCTCCTTCTAGACAATAAGAATCTCTAGGCGCGGCTTCTTGACATACATAAAACGCGCCAAGCCGTCGCCTCTAGTCGCAGGGGTTTTCAAGGCGCGGCATCTAGACAATTAAATTCTCTAGGCCCAGCTGCTTGACAACTAGGCTTTATGAGCTTGGCTACTTGACATAGAGCTCCTCAAGGTTCCGTATCTGGTCGTAGTCCTTTTCAAGGCGCGTCTCCTTGTCAAAGTAAATCTCTAGCTGCGAGAACTAGACAATTATATTTTCTAGGCTCAGCTGCTTGACAACTAGCCTCTCAAGGCGCAGCTACTTGACATAAAGCGCGTCAAGCCGTCGCGTCTAGTCGCAGTGGTTTTCAAGGCGCGTCTCCTTGTCAGAGTGAATCTCTAGACGAAGCTCCTAGACAATTAGGTTCTCTAGGCGCAGCTGCTTGACAACTAGGCTTTATAGGCTTGGCTACTTGACATAGAGCAAACCAAGGTTCCGTATCTAGTCGTAGTCGTTTTTGAGGCGTGTCTCCTTGTCAGAGTGAATCTCTAGGCGCGGATCCTAGATAATTAGATTCTATAGGCTCAGCTGCTTGACAACTAGGCTTTATAAGCTTGGCTACTTGACATAGATCGCATAAAGGTTCCGTATCTAGTCGTAGTCTTTTTCAAGGCGAGTCTCCTTGTCAAAGTAAATCTCTAGCTGCGAGCCCTAGATGAATAGATTCTTTAGGCTCAGCTGCTTGACAACTAGCCTCTCAAGGCGCAGCTACTTGACTTTCACAGTGCTCGGAAAATTCCAGACTTGTCAAAAACGAGGCGCGATGTTTGTTCGAGAACAATTCTTCTGATTAGTTTATTTTGTAGTCTGATAATCCGGCAATTTACCAGGAATGTTTTGAGAACAAAAATCCCTGACCAGATCACAAACAAAAAAATAATGATAAATTGTAAACTACAGTAATTTTCAGCTTAAAATTCTACAGTAACATTTCACATCCTGAAGCTACAGTAATCTGAAAGTTTCCAAAAACAATAGTAACTACGGTAGATTCAGTATCAGAAATTAAAAATTTCAAACTTCTAGAACAGTAACCCTGATCCAGATTTTTTTTCGAAAAACTTCTGGAAAACCCCTCAGATCTTGTTTTGTTTTTCCTCTCACATCTGAACAGAGATTATGTGCATCTGAACTACATATTTTGCTCATCTCCAGGGGGACAAAAAACACAGCAGATAAACTTTTTTTGTTTAATCCATCCTTGGAAAAAAGCTATTCTATTTGTCATCAGATTTGACTTACGACTAGACTTTTTTTTCATTTCGAAAGCCACAAACTACAAAATGTCGACGGTAATTGGACCTTGCGCAGTTTGCGCTCTACCTGCCACTGGACATCATTATAATGTGAGCTGGAATCGGGAAAGCTTCTGAATTGTGTGCCACGGCTCTAGAAGTTATATTTTTTGAGATTATAGAAACTTTGCCACGTGGCTTTCCGGCTCAATAATTTGAACTTGAATTTCAAGATTGGAAATATCGATTTTTGCCACGTGGATTCTCAAGTTACAGAAAAATTGCCACGTGGATATTAGGCCCAAAATTTGAATGTTTGTAACGTGGATTCAAGGCTCTAGAAATTCTCATTTTTCAATTCATAGAAAATTTTGCCAGCTCAAAAGCTCAGCTCAAAAATTTGAGATTGAATTTCAAGCTTGAAAATTTCGATTTTCGCCACGTAGATTCAAGGCCCACCTTCACGAGTTACAAAAAATGTTGCCACGTGGATTCTGAGTTTGAAATTCGTGATTTTTGCCACGTGGATTCAAGACTCTAGAAGTTTCAATTTTTTGAAATTAAAAAAATTTGCCACGTGGATTTTCAGCTCAAAAATTTGAAATAGAATTTCAAGCTTGAAAATTCTGATTTTTGCCACCTGGATTCTCAAGTTACAAAAATTTTGCCACGTGGATTCAGAGCTTGAAATTTCCGATTTTTTCCACGTGGATTTTGTTAGGTCCAGAAGTTCCAATTTCCTTAATTTCAAACATCAAACTTTAATTTTTAGAGCAAAAATCTTTGACCAACGAACTCAAACTAAAAATCGTCACGAGACGGAGAGATTTTGGAGCATTGAAACAAAATCCACACAAACTCTAAATTGTTTCAGGTCCCCGCCTGCCACGGTTGCAAATCCTTCTTCCGCCGTTCAACTTTGGACAACTTGCAATATCCGGGTTGTCGTTTGGGTGAAAAATGTTTCGATGGTGTAGGTCAAGGTGAACGTCCGAAGCGTTGCAAATCGTGTCGATTGAAAAAATGTTGGGAGGTCGGAATGATACCGCAAGTTCGAGAACTTCGGGGAAATGAGGAGAAGAATCCGGAAATGGCGGTGGTTCGGTTGCCGGATGTTAAGGTGAGTTGGTGTAACTTGGGGAGCTATTTGGACCACCAGAATTTTCTATGTAGCTCATCGAAAAAACGCGTCAAATCACGCAAACCCTTCAAAACCTTCTGCACCTCGATCAAAAACTCATTCAACTTCGCGCAAGCGCCTACAATCCCGTGAGATTTCCAACAATCAACGAGATAATGCTTCAACCTGTCGTGTTTCATTTATCCGACAAATTCGAGCCGATGCCAGGTTGGCCGATAAGCGAACAACAATTTATGCAACAACAAAAATTGCTCACCGAAATCACGTTTGCCTATGAGGACGGCTGGCAAACTTTGGAACCCGGAAGTGTTCATGATCCAAATCTAGTTAACACGTGGGTTTTGGGGGGAATTAGGCTAACTTGACGGGAAGTTAGGCTAACTTCAAGGTTTCCCCTTTTTCCAGCAAAGATTGGATGGCATTCGATTGGCTTCTCGCAGCAAACTACGTCAAAACCTTCCCATTCTACCATACTTTCATCGAAAGTGACAAGCGCGCTCTAATTCGCGGAACCATTGTCTCCCTGGCGAGTTTGACCCTTCTCTTCATCTCGTATCAAAATAAACAGGCCGATTTGCAATTTCCCGATGGAACTTGTTTCAGTGGTAACAATTTGTGAGTCTGATCAATTTTCTCCAAGAAAAAAAAACAATAAAATTTTGTTTTTTTGAAGAAAAGAGATAATGGAATTCGTTTTGGCAGTGGAACTCGATGAGAATTTTCTGGCAATGTTCCACAAAAACACAAAATTCAACGCGATCGAGCCGTTGATTCGATATAATGTGACGACTGAGGAATATGTGTTTGTCAAGGCGTTGGTGGTTTGTAATCCAGGTGAGAAGAGCATTGCTCATGTTATACTATATGATGAGTAATGCCTGAAGATTCTAAGATTGCTCATTTTAGACTATAGAACAGGAAGCAAAATTCAAAAAAAAAAATTGAATTTTTTTTCAAAAAAGTTCGCCTCGAATCGGGATCGAACCCAAGACCTAAAAATCCACAGGCGTGAGTGTTTACCACTCGGCCACGCGCTCCTGTTTTTCTTCCCCGCAAATGTTTGATATATGAAACGAGGAAATGGTGCATTTTCGATGGCGCAAAAGAACTAACATGAGCAATCATCTAATAAGCACAATTCCAGCCCTCGATCTCACCGACGCTGCTCGTGAATGTGTGCAAAAATACCAAAACATCTACGGCCTGGCTCTTCTCCAAATCTGCCTAATCAATCATGGCAAACGCGATGGTCCGGCTAGATTCGGATCACTTTTGAGCTACGTGATGGCAATGATCAGATATCAGGGTGGATTCATCGAACTGTTGGTGAATTTGAGAATGTGTGCGAGGAATCGGATTGGTGTTTCGAGGAAGATGTTGGAGGATGATATCTTTTTTGATAAATATGCCGAGTTGCACTAACTTTAGGACTTTGGGAAGCTGATCATGCGGCTGAGCTTCTGGAGCAGGCGGTTAGTGCTTAACATCCCGTTCTAAAGGCAGCGGGTTCGAGTCCCCATTGCGACCAGATTTAAAAAAAAAAAATGCGTTTTGAAAATAGCCACCATGCGGACTCGAACCCACAACCTCCAAACTGGGAGCCTAGGCACTTACCGCCTGAACCATCTCGCTAATTTTCGAAGCGCATTTTCTCAGGTCCTCCAGAAGCGCATGGCTTGATATTTAGAGCATTTAGATCAGCGTTTCTAGTTCTATAAGCCTGGTGTAACTTCCTTTTTATGTAGTTTATTCAGAAACCTTGTTATTCTATTATTTTTCCAAACAAACAAACAATAAATATGAATTTTGATCCAATTTTTGCATCATTTTCTATTATCAATTTGATATGATCTCTTCGCTGAACTCGTTTTTTCCCGTTTTTTTTGTAGATCAATTTTCTAGCTGACAAAAATCACGTGTTTTTCATATAACTTTCAAAGGTTAGAAATTTTCTGGCTATTGAAAAAGAGAACAAATTCATTTTTTGCAATATAATTCTGCGGCGAACAATGAAAAAATGAGGCGAATGACAAAAAAATTGGTTTTTTTTTTTTGGAAACCAGAATTTGTTTCATCATCATCATCGGAACAATACCGGGTGGGTGATTTTTGATCCCAAAAAAATTTTTGTGGCGATTTTTTTCACGCCTACGTTTCATTCAGTGATATGATTCACTGATGCAAAAAGTTCAAGTTCTCCTAAGTGACCTTTGAAAATTCGGGTAACTAGTTTTGCATTTTGCATTCGTAAATAGAGTTAGTCATGTTTTTTAATCCAAATTGTTCGCGGGTATTTAAAGGGTATGTTTTTATGTCTAGTTCTGAAAATATTTCCGCGTGGATTTCTCTCAAAATCGTGTTATCTCTCGCTGGCTGCATTTTCTCTGCGTCTCCCGAATCTACATTGTCTCTAGCTTCTCTGATTCTCTCAAAATCATGAACTCTCTCTCTCTCTCTCGCTAATTGTTTTTGTTGATAAAAAAACTTTTCACAAAAAAAAAAACATTTTGAATTTATTTACTCAAAAGATCAGTTGGGGAAATCGTGAGCTCCCAGAAATGGACACCTAATTTTTTTTCTGAAGATTTCATTTAGAATTTAGTTTGGTTCGAAAAATACAAATTCCAAATTCTCTGCGTCTCTCAAAAATCCAATGCTCTTTTTCTGAGGAGTTCTCTGGTTCTCTGATTTTCTGCGTCTCTTCCCACAGAGTCAGAGAACGAGAGTGGCCCCTTTCATTTGTCTAACTGTCTGTGTCTCTCAAACCCAGCTATCTCTAAGCTTCCATATTCTTTCTATGGTTTCTCTGCCTCTAACCTCCTTATGGTGTCTAATATGTCTGCGTCTCTCCAAAATGAACAATCTCTCGCTCTCAAGATTGACGTGAAATTTCTCTGGGTCTCCATCATATCTATGGTCTCTAACATCTCTGCGTCTCTTCAATCTCTCTCATTTTCTAGCCATTGAACCATAGTTCATTCATCTATGGAAAAATGATAGATTACAGTACCTACATTTTTTTTTCTCTGCGTCTCTTCTCTCTCTCTCTTTACTGCAAAATGATTGTTATTTTAATGTGTGTGACACACAATTATATATTTTTTACTGTCTGCCGTGCCACAAAAATAGATTTTTTGCAGATGTCAATTCTTGACAACAAATATCGGGTTCTGGTGGTTTTTGTCGGATTTTTGTGTCTGGTTTCAGTATGCTCGAATTATGCGGTGATGAATTTCACGTTTATTTGTATGAAGTCGGATTTGAGTTTTGTGAGGGATGATGGGAATTTGGTGAGTTCTGGGAAGGTTGAAATTCAGTTCGCATCGCTGAGTCTGGTGATCAAGGAGCTACATCTAGAGATCCACTCTGACAAGGAGACACGCCTTGAGGGCTTATATGTCAAGCAGCCAAGCCTAGAGAACATAATTGTCTAGGGCTCACACCTGGAGATCCACTCTGGCAAAGAGACGCGCCTTGGGAGCTGATCTATCAAGCAGCCAAGCCTAGAGAACCTGGTTGTATAGGGCTCGCGCCTAGAGTTCCACTATGTCAAGCAGCCAAGCCTAGAAATCCTAGTTGTCAAGTAGCTGAACCTAGAGAACATAATTGTCTAGGGCTCACATCTAGAGATCCATCATGTCAAGCAGCCGAGCCTAGAGAATATAATTGTCTAGGGCTCACACCTAGAGATCAACTACTTATATGTCAAGTAGCTGAGCCTAGAGAATCTAATTGTCTAGAGTTCACATCTAGAGATCCGCTATGTCAAGCAGCCAATCCTAGAGATCCACTTATACGTCAAGTAGCCAAGCCTAGAGAACCTGATTGTATAGGGCTCTCGCCTAGTGACCTTCTCTGGCTAGGAGCATTGTCTGAATTTCCACTGTGACAAGGTGCGACGCCTTGAAAACCACTGCAAATAGGTACGACGCCTTCACACCATCTATTTCAAGCAGCCAAGCCTAGAGAACATAATTGTCTAGGGCTCACATCTAAAGATCCACTCTGGCAAGCAGTCAAGCCTAGAAATTCTAGTTGGCAAGTAGTCGATCCTAGAGAACATAATTGTCTAGGGCTCACATCTAGAGATCCACTATGTCAAGCAGTCAAGCCTAGAAATGCTCGTTGTCAAGTAGCTGAGCCTAGACATCCTAGTTGTCAAGCAGCCAAGCCTAGAGAACATAATTGTCTAGGGCTCACATCTAGAGATCCACTATGTCAAGCAGTCAAGCCTAGAGTCTAAATTCCCACTCAAGGGCCTTCTGTAGACCTCGACATTTTTCCAGACCAATCCAAAAAGTCTCTTCGACTACACACCAAACGAGAAAAAGTACATAATGTGGTCGGTGGCCGCTGGAACAATGCTCGGAACCTTCCCAGTCAACTGGATCTTCATCAAATTCGGCGGTCGTTTCACATTCTTCACAGCCGGCATCATATCAGTCATCGCAACCGGAATCATTCCACTCGCCGCCGAGAAAAACTTCATCTCCCTTCTAGTCGCCAGGTTTTTCCAGGGTCTCGCGTTTGCTGCGGATTTTGCGGCGATCGGGCTGATTACTGTGAGATGGGCGCCGCTGACGGAGACTGCGATTTTTTTGGGTGGATTGACATCGTTCACGCATACCTCGTCGTTTTTCACGAATGCCGTGTCGGGAGCGGTGAGTGTGTTGAATTTTCAAAAATTGAAAATTTCTTTTCAAAATTTTGTGGTTAAAACGGTGGAAGAAAATTGATTTTTAATATTTGAATTCAAAATCAAAAACAACTGAACCGTACTGTTTCAAATAAAAATCATGTAAAATTTTCAAGCTCTGAAAATTTCTGTTAAAAAATTCTTGATCTTTTAGAAATTTCAGAATTCTTTTAAAAAAATTCAAATTCAAATTTGGATTCAAACATCAAAAACAACTGAAACAGTAAAAAATCCACGATTTTTAGAATCAAGAAAAATCACTGTTTCAAAAATCAAGTCAAATTTTCGAAGTCTAAAAATTTCTGTTAAAAAAATTCATGATCTTGAAGAAATCTCAGAAGTATGAATAAAAATTCAAATTTGAATTCAAACATCAAAAACAACTGAAACAGTAAAAAAAATCTACGCTTTTTTATGTCAAGAAAAATCACTGTTTCAGAAATCAAGCAAAATTTTCAAGCTCTTAAAATTTCTGTTAAAAAATTCTTGATCATGCAGAAATCGCAAACATCGTAATAAAAATTAAATTTGAAGTTTTAACATCTAAAATAGTTGAAACGTAAAAAATCCCCGATTTTAATATCAAGAAAAATCACTGTTTCAAAAATCAAGTAAAATTTTCAAGCTCTGAAAATTCGTGTTTACACATTCACGATCATTTAGAAATGACAGGTCTAATAATAAAAATTAAATTTCAAGTTTGAACACCAAAAACAACTGAAACAGTAAAAAAATCCTTAATTTTTAGTATCTGAAAATCACTGTTTTAATTAAAAATCAACTAAAATTTTCAAACTCTGAAAATTTCTGTTAAAAAATTCTTGATCATGCAGAAATCGCAGATATCATAATAAAAATTCAAATTTGAATTCAAACATCAAAAACATCTGAAACGTAAAAAATCCACGATTTTTGGTATCATGAAAACTCACTGTTTCAAATAAAAAAAAAGTAAAATTTTCAAGCTTTTAAAATTCGTGTTTACACATTCATTGCCATCTATAAAAATTTCAGGTCTGATAATAAAACTTAAATTTGAAATTTGAACACCAAAAATAGTTGAAACGTAAAAAATCCCCGATTTTAATATCAAGAAAAATCACTGTTTCAAATAAAAATCAAGTAAAATTCTCGAAGTCTGAAAATTTCTGTTTAAAAAATTCTTGATCTTGTAGAAATTTCAGAATTAATAATAAAAATGAAATTTGAATCCAAAGATCAAAAACATCTGAAACGTAAAAAATTCACGATTTTTTGGTATCAAGAAAAATCACTGTTTCAAAAATAAAATCACTGAAACGTATGAAATCCGAGCTCCGAAAAAATTCCAGATTTGTGAAAGTTACGGATGGCGCACCGCCTTCTATTTTCACGCAATCATCGGACTCGTCGTATTTTTCCTATGGGTCATCGTTTACACCGATGCTCCACAAAAATGTAAAAGAGTTTCGCCAATAGAGCTGCGAAAAATTCAGAAAAACAAATCCGAACAACATTTGGACAACAAAAATACCTATGTTCCTTATAAGGTGGGTTTTTTTTTTTGATAAAATCAGGATAGAAATCAGATGTTTTTTTTAGAAACTTCTAACATCTCCCGTAGTATTATGTATTTGGCTCAACGCATTCGCTGAAATGTCAATAGTTGTATTCTTGCACAGCTACGCACCTATCTATTTCAATCGAATTCTTCGATTTTCCATAAGTCAAACTGGTTTCTTCCTAGCTTTAGCTATACTTTTTGCACTTCCTTTGAAATTGGTCGGTGGAGTTATTAGTGATAAAGCGAGATGTTTTAGTGAGAAGACGAAAATGTTATTTTTCAATTCGGTTTCGGTGGGATTTGTTGGATTTTTGATTTGTGTTTTGAGGTGAGTTCCGGTGCTTGGGTAATTGTTTTGCAAAGAAAGGGAAGCAACAATATTTATGAAACATGTGGATTGTTTTTTGTGATATTTTTGAAACAGTGAATTTTTTGAAAGAAAAAATTGACTTTTTCAGAAAATAATTTGTAAGAATAATACAATTAAAGTAATCAAAAAAATTCTGATTTTTGAAACAGTGAATTTTTGTGTGTGATGAAATTTTTTTAGTTTACAGAAAAATCAATCGGGGAAAAAGTTTCCGAAAAATTCACTGTTTCAAATATCAAATAAGTTTTTTCGTTGTTGGGAATTTATGGTGCATTTATCTTCCTTTTTTTCAAAAAAAAATAATTTTTCAAAGGAAAACTTTTCAAAGTTACGAATTAAAAAATCTTCGAAAAAATTTACTGTTTCAATAATTAAACATCATTTTTTTTCTGATATTTTTGAAACAGTAAATTTTAAACTTCTTCTTGAAAAAAATAGGATAATGTTATATAGTTAATAGTAATTCCACATGAGAAAAATCAGAAAAAAAATATGGAAAAATTCACTGTTTCAAATTTCAAATAAGTTTTTTCGTTGTTGGGAATTTATGGTGCATTTACCTTCCTTTCTAAAAAAAAAATAATCTTTCAAAAAAAAAATACTTTTCACCACTATAAAAGTGCCGAATTAAAATAAATCTTCGAAAAAATTTACTGTTTCAAAAATTAAATAAAAATTTTTTCACAAAATGAAATTGCTGATTATTTGAATTTATATGCACAGAAAAATAAGAGTAGACATTGAAAAAGAAAAATTCACTGTTTCAAAATATATTTAATTTTTTAGCTGATAGAAATTCGACAATTCGAAAATTTTCTTTGTCGGTAAAACAATCCACTGTTTCAAAAATCCTCCTAATTTTTCATTTAGAAAAAATATATATTATCAAAAGTTTAGACTTAATTCTCACTGGAAAAATCTACTGTTTCAAAAAAAATCTCCCAAATTTTCTTGCAGTTTCATTCCTCAAGATCTCAACTACTTCTCAGTCGTCCTATTCTCATTCATTTTCTCATGTCTTTCGCTAAACGTTGCCGGTTTCTACAAATGTGCCACTCTTCATACTCGACAATACGCTCATGTTGTTATTTCAACAATTCAATGGATGAAATCAGTGGCGTTGATAACTGGACCAGCTTTGGTGGCAGCTGTTGTCAAAACTGAGGACAGTGTGATGCAATGGCGGATTGTTTTGTGTATTTTGGGTGGATTGTGTTTGACGGTGAGTTTCAAAACATTTTGCCACGTGGATTTTCAGTATCCTGATTTTCCAGGCTAATTTCACCTCAATCTGCACATTCACCGATAAACCAGCCGAATGGACTGGAACAGTTCCAGAAAAATCTCAGCCAAAAATTGAAATGAATAAAAAACCAACTGAAACTGCATAATAATTACGATAATTTCTCAAAATATCTACGTGTATATACTATTTTTTCGCTGTATTTTTTTTCGAAATGAAAAAATTTGATTTTTGAACTTGAAAAATACTGTTTTATCAATTCAGAGATCAAAAACGTTTGAAACAGCAAATATTTTTTGAGTTTTGTTTTTGTGATGTCGTTAAAATTTTTGGTTTTTGTTAGAACAAACTACAAAATCAAGGCTGATTTGGACAAAATTTCAAGCCTTTTTGGGAAATACCAAGATTTTCAAAAAAAATATTCAAAAATACTCCTTTGCAAACACATAACACCAAAAAAAATATCATAAACATTTTTTTGTGAAATTTTTGAAACGTAGAAAATTTCGGAATCTTAAATTATTTTTTCCGAATTTCAACTGTAGAAATACGGTTGGAGAAAAATTCTGGGAAAAACTTAATTTGCCGCCACGTGGATTTTTCTCAAACACAAAATTATATTGTCTAGGCTTAGGCTACTTGAGAACTAGACTTTCTAGGCTTGTCTGCTTGGCATAGACGCTCTCAAGGCGCGTCTCCTTGTCAGAGTGAATTTCTAGACTGTGTTCCTAGACGATTAGGTTCTCTAGGCTTGGCTACTTGAGAACGAGGCTTTCTAGGCTTGTCTGCTTGGCATAGACGTTCTCAAGGCGCGTCTCCTTGTCAGAGTGGATTTCAAGACGCTGGTCCTAGACAACTAGGATTTCTAGGCTAGGTTATTGGACACACAAGTTCTAAAGACTTTCCTGACTTCCAAAACTCTTCCAGCTCCCTTCAAAATCCCCATTTCCTAACCAATCCCATCCCAAAAAAACACACACACATAAACAGCATAAAATTTGCGTCTCGCTCGTTCACAGTTCCATCTGCTCTTCCTCTTTCTTCCCCCTACACTTTAGGCTTACTAAAACATCTGCCCTTTTTGTTTTGTCTTGTATATGTGTTCTCCTCATTCATTCATACCATGACATTTGGTTCGGGCAGCCCGTTTATTACCAGCTTTGCCTAATGGCTTGAGGACTACTTTCACTTGTTGTGCGCCAAAACATTTTACAAGCATCTACTACTAGCCAGGTGTTCGAAATATAGGGGCGAGAGAGAAGAGGGCGCAGAGAAGCGAAAGAAAATTACATTAGTCCAAAAGAACTACACAAGTTTTTGACTTGTCCCCAGCAATTCTAAATGTGTACTTTGAAGTTAATCCAAGAGAACTACACAAAAAGTGCTGATAGGGCAATAGTGGGCAAGTTGTCCGAGAGAAGTACACGGATTTAGAGGACATACCTTGTTGAAGTTCGAAAAATATTGTCCAAAAGAACAAGAACCTATTTTCCGAGAGAAGTTCACAAAATTCACAATTTCCAAAACTCCAGAACTCGTCCGAGAGAACTACACGGAAATGAAAAACGTCCAAAAGCACTATAAACGTCCAAAGCCCTATATAGATTCAAACTTGTCCAGAAGAACTACACAAACACCTAGGATTCTCCGAGAGAACTACACATCGTCCAAAAATTCCCCAGATCCCTCAAATCTAACCCCCAGGCTCATCCAATTGACAATAATAAAAACACAAATAATTTTCCTTTTGAAAATCTTGCGCGGGCCCTCCAGATAATCCTCTTGTCGGAATGATTTTGTTATATAATTGACCATAACAACAACAACAACCAGAAACAATGGGATTAGACGAAGCTTTCAAGGTTACAAAAATCAAATTGTGCTCTATTGATAACCGCAACGCAGACCGCGTCGTGCCAAAACACGGGTTTTTTGAATACAGGGTGGTCGCAAATTACCCGTACAAACCAATTTTTTCTATTACCCGCTTAAATTTTATTTCAAAAACTCCCTATCTTGTTTCGGTGGCACTAATTATCAAGTTTTACATATTTTAAAGATAATATTCCAAGACTCATAGAGATTCTTCATGTTTGGGCCAAGTTAGAGAGGTTGTCCGGGACGATTCAAAACAAAAAAACACGATTTTTTGTACGCACCTTTTTTCTATTAATTTTTCTACTTTGGCTCCTGAAATTGAAACAATATGGGCATTTCAGAAGCATAGCTGAATTTCCAAGTGTTTTTTGGGTTTCAAAAAAGGTATTCCACAAGATGAAACCCTCTTGAAAAATTTTATGAGATTATTTCTAGGCTTGTTTTGAATATTCACTGTTTTTCACAACAAATTTAATAAGTGGTTCCAAAATCAAAAATGTTGTGTAGCATATGAGATATCAGAGCCAAATAGTGAAAACAGGTCTACTAGGGACATTTTGCACAAAAAATACCGAAAATTAGTTACACACCCTGGTGGTGGACAAGAAAAATCATAAAAATCGTGTTTTTGAGTTGAAAATTCGGTTTTGAGGGGTCCAGCTTACTGTTTTCTATTCTTTTTAGAAAACGTTTCTGGACATGTCCTTCAGAAATCAAACACATCTAGGGATAATCTTCGAATTCTGATCTAGAAACATATAACTTCAAACCCCACATGTATAGAAAAATCTGGATCTTTTTGAAAAAATCTGCGTGCCTGAAGTGAATTTGTGAAACTCATTCTCGATAGTTCAGCTACCACATGACTAAATTATATCAGAATATTCTATGTCAAAATGATGAAGATAATATCTGGGAAGGCTTTTTAAAACCAAAAATGATGTCTACATTCCCCGTTCAAATATGACTACAAATTAAATTTGTACGGGTAATTCGCGACCACCCTGTAATTTATTTGTCAACCAGACTACATACAAAAACAATATTTTATGAATATTCTGTCGGCACTTTTCCACAAACAATCGTCCTCATAGTTTCGTACTCATAAGTTCCAGTTGTAGCACTACAGTCAAAATTTTCAACTTGATTTGGATTGATTCTTCTGACATAATTGTCCGTATAAGTGTAAGCGGCCATTATTGCACATTGATAAGTGCTGAAAAACATCTTATAATACCAGGGTTGGAAAAAACACACACGATACACGAATACACTGTTTTTTCTCATTTGCTTACGCGTAAGCAATTTATAAAGAAGCGTGTATTCGTGTATTATAACGGGTTTTTAAATAAGGTAAGTTCAGTCTTAAGTAACTCGACGTGCTTATCATTATCCTGCAAACAATTAGCTGCTGAGCTCCAGTCCGTCGAGTTACAAAAGACTGTACTTGCCTTATTTTTAAACCCGTTACCACCCTAACGTAAGTCCCATGTCAGTATACGCAAATACGCTGTTTTTCCAACCCTATGATGCATTTTCAGACTCACTCAGGATAGATCGGCCCCAAATCTCCCCAACCAATTTGACTCGTCCCAGTTGTATAACCATCTGTCCACGCGAACGAATTGTTACCGCAAATCGGATAATCATCTGCAAAATCGGGGTAGGTACAACCAATAGTGATATGCAGACCGAGCCAAATTCCGCCATAATCATATCCTTGAGCTGATTGCGTGCTTTTAGCAGTGTCTGTAGAATTTGTAGGTCTTTAAATGTTGCGTGAGATCTGAAAATATCCTTTGCAGAAATCGAAACTCACTGGTAATCCAAGATTGCTCAATAGTATTTTGAAATCCTGTTGGAACTGCACCGTCTGCAGTGCACAATTTCTCGGCATCGGTGTAATTCAACGGATTGAAATAGTAAAGCCTCATACACCAATTATAACCCGGTCTAGGGAAACTTCTATAACCAACAGAGCAAGATGGAACTGGTGCAACGTTGGGAAACGTGTTCATCACATACGCACCATCATCCTCGTCTGGAACAAAATGTGAAGATGTACATAGTGGCCAGTTGCCACGTCATAACAACTCACTGCAAACATCACCGCATGCGAATATTATTGTCGGGAGAAGGATAGAGAAGAATATCATCGTGAATATTTGAATATACAAGCAAGAAGTTTTTGATTTTTATACTTTGCTAGTGATGGCTATAGCATCATTGGAACAACTTGCAAATGTCAGGTTCCCACGTACGGTATGTGTTTTGGTAAAACTTATATATGTACATAAGGTGTAGAACAGTATTGTCTGACAAGTTTTCAGAAATTCAAAATCATGAATCCGGAATCGGGAAAAAAAATATTACAAAAAAATTTTGGAACAACGATGAAAGCTGTAGAAACTAATTACAAAAATCACAAATAAATATATTGATATTTTGAAACAGTGAAATTTTGTGATACTTTTACAGCCTTTTATCAAATTCGGAGAACCACAAAAACATTTATATGAAAATTTTGAAACAGTGAGAATTTTAGGAATTTCTTCAAACCCATGCCAGAACGAAATTGAGTTTTGAAAATGATAATAAAAAATATCTGATGATCTTGAAACAGTGATTTTTTTGAGAATCACAAGATAAACTTTGAACCGTTTCATTTTATTTTATTTAGAAACAATAAGATTTGTAGAAGAACCGCTTTTCATCAAATTCAAAATTCTCAAAAAATTTATGTGAAAATTTTGAAACAGTGAAAATTTTTATAATTTTTTGAATCATAATTGAGTTTTGAAAAATCAAAAAATCTATCTAAACATTGTGAAACAGTGAATTTTTCCAGCATTCAAAAATTTTCGAGCTCCAAAAAAAGCGCAGGTGAAAAACAAAAAAAAAAGGAGAGATCAAAGGTTTATGGCATTTCCTGTCAAACTCCAAAAAAAATAAAAAAGAATCAAATTTCACGCAGACATGTTTTTGCTGTTTCAAATTTTGGTGACGATTTTATTCCTTTTTTCACCGGTGAATTGCAACTATAACTACACTTCTGGACAAGTTGAAGCATACAGGAATTTTCTGAATGAGCAATCGAGATTGGTTTCGGATTTATTCAAGAATTATGATCCGGATGTTAGTGGGCTCTATACTTTGAGTAAGTTTGGAACAAAACTCCTGACTTATTAGAAGTCTCAAAATCCTAATTCCAGGAAGTTCTAATTTCATAAATCAATCCGACTATGAACATCCCCCAAAAAATGCAACTAAACTTCCAATGCAACATGATGAAACTAATAGATGTCGTTGAAAAAGAGGAAAAAGTCACTTTTCTCTTCGATTATGTGGTTCAGTGGTATGATATGCGGCTGGCGTGGAATCCATTGGATTACGGTGGAATCACACATTTCTATGTGCCTCAGAAGAATTTGTGGATTCCCGAATTATCGATTAGTGATGCGTGAGGTTTTGAAATTGCATAATTTTCAGAGCTAAATATTTTTAAATCGAAAAAATCAATTTTTTTCAAATTTCATTGGATTTTTGAAACAGTGAAAATTTTTGGGAAGAAAAAAAAATTATTCGAAAATCCGATGGAAAAATGGAATTTTCAGAAAAATTCTGAAAAAACTCGGGAAAAATTCCGGAATTATCGATTAGTGATGTGTGAGATCTTGGCATGCTCTTCTCTTCTTTAATCTGAGCAATGCACAATTTTCACAGATGAATATTTTCAAATAGAATTTCTAAATAGATCAAAAACTTGTTGAATTTTTCAAATTTCATTGGATTTTTGAAACAGTGAAAATTTTTGGAAAGAAAAAAAATTATTCGAAAATCCGATGCAAAAATGGAATTCTCAGAATTCTGAAAAACTCGGGAAAAATTCTGGAATTATCGATTAAGTGATGCGTGAGGTTTTGAAATGCTCTTCTCTTCTCTAATCTGAGCAATGCACTACTTTCACAGCTAAATATTTTCGAATCACGTTCTTAGAAAAAATCAAAAACTTGTTGAACATTTCAAATTTCATTGGATTTTTGAAACAGTGAAAATTTTTCGAAAGAAAAAAAATCATTTGAATGATTCAAAAATGGAATTTTCAGAACTCTAGGAACTGTGCTAATTCTAAATTTTTTTTTTTAAATCGGGAAAACAGGAAACTAGAAAACCAACAATTCGGACTTGAAATTCGAACTCCTGACGCAAAAAATACCGAATGAACATCATAATTTCAAAAAAAAAAACTTGAAAACGAGAGTTCAAAGTTTATTTTCAGTGTAAAATTTTCTAGATAAACTCAGAGCCCTGATTCCAACCCTAATTCAAATTTAAAATGATCCTAAATATCCTAAGCTTCCAGCCACGACGTAAACGATTTCCAATCGGAGCAACAAAAAACCGCCTGGGTCACCTACAACGGAACAATCGGCTACTACACCTCCTGTGTCGTCTCCGTAGTTTGCCAAATGAATGTCTTCAAATTCCCCATGGACTCGCACATTTGCTCGATAAATGTGCTCTTTCATCAATGCTACAAAAACGAATACGAAATAATCAATTACCCGGCCAATATTTCATGGCCAATTGGTCAATTGGGAAATGGAGAATGGCAAATTGAATGGATCAATTCGACGACGGTTTATGGCGGAGGTTTTGGTTTGAGTGATGTTGTAAGACATTTTTTTTGATTTGAAAAACTGAAACTGTTGACAAATTTGAGTTTTCTAGCAACAAACTGTGGCAAAAATCAAGCGAAATCCTGGATTTTATATAAGTCTCGTTATAATTCCCGCATTTTTCATCAATGTTTTGAGTATTGTGGCACTTTTTATTAATGTTGAGGCAACTTCGGAGAAGGTTAGCGGAACTCGGGGAATTTTTGGGATCAAAAAGTTTTCAGAAATGGCGAGATTTCAAAAAATATAATATAAGCTGAGCAATGCTTTAAAGAAAAACTCTGAATCAAAAGAATTTCTCTAACATGAGCAATGCCTGAAAATTCAAAATCCTTGATTTTATGAAGCGAAGTATGAAGACGGATCATCCTAACATGAGCAATTATTCAAAAAATCACAGAAAACAGAAAATTCTCAATTGAGCTATTCGGAAAAATATGAGCAATCCTCAAAAAAAACAAAAACTTGATAGTTTATAGGAACCTAGTCATATTTATACTCAAAATGCTCCAAACCCCCCCCCCAAAAATCTTCCAAAAATTCCAGTTCGGCATCGGTCTAACCAACATAATGGCAATGACATTCATCCTGGCAATCCTGGCCGACGATCTCCCAAAAACCAAAAACATTCCCCTTTTGGCAATCTACGTCATAATTAGTTTGGTGATAATTGTAGTTGCACTTCTCTCAATTCTAATTCTCAACAATTTCCGGAAGCTCTTCAAAAATCGCACCAAAAAGGATTCGAAAAAAATCGAGATTATTTTGCTGACTTTTTTCGAATTAGCAAATTTCATCAATTTTTTGATGCTATTTTTGTGACACAAACAAAATAAAGATGAATTTTTCCACTTGACCAATTACATCATAGTCTCTTAACCTTTTCCTGGTCTCAAATACAGTATCATGTTGTGTTATGCTATGTTTGACCCACACTTAATTATAGGTAAGAGCGATGAATGGTCTCGCGCATTTTGGAATAAGAGCAGGTGGTTTTTGGTTGTGACCCGGTCAATCTTATCCCTTACAGCTGTTTTTCTATGAATAAATTTTTTGTGGGTGAAGAGATGTGTTTGGATAATTGGTGTATAATTGGTATGTGTGCAGATGGGTGTTTTCATTTTGGTATAATATGAGCAATGCTTAGATTTTCTGAATTCTTGAAAATATTTATTTTCTGATATGAGCACTTCTATTCAGAAATATTGTACATTTTAGTGGTATATTAGCAAATTTTTTTAAATCCCCGATTTTCAAGAATTTTTTGAAACAGTGAAATTTTTTGAGAAAAAAATTTAATCTGAGCAACAGTAAATTTTCGGGGTATACCTAAAATTATCTAACAAAAGCCAAATATAATATTATCCAATCATTTTCCTAATTCTAAAGCAATTTTTGAAACAGTGAAATTTTTCAATAAAAAATTTTCAAGCAAAAAAATTTTAGAAAATGGTATAAAATTATATTTGACTTGTCAATCAAAACTTTCAAATCCTTTGAACTGCTAAAAACATTTTTGAAACAGTGAATTTTTTTGAAGTTAAATAGACGTTAAAAATCAAACACCATAATAGAGATTTTAATAAAAACTTGTGAACCCTGATAGTTTGAATATAATTTTTGAAACAGTGAATTTTCCAAAAAAAAAAAAACAGAAAATTGATTTGAAGTAGATTTTCTTTTAAAAAATATTTTGCGTAGGAAAAATTCGAGTTATGCTTAGAGTTTTTAAACTCAGATATTGTACTGCATGACCAAGCACAATTTTTTGAGTCCTCAAGTTTTAGAAATTTTTTGAAACAGTGAATTTTTGTAGAGGAAAAAACCAAAATTTGGAAATTCCTTGATTTTCCAAAAATTTTCAATAATTTTTGAAACAGTAAAAATTTGCATTGAGAAAAAATTGGAAAAATCGATGTAACTTTTTTCCCATAGAAATATGAACCATATTGTTCATATATCAAAAATCTGAAATTCCTCAATTTTTTAAAAACATTTTGGAAACAGTGAATTTTTTGAAACGAAATCGAACTTGACGAATCATCACAGTAATAAAAAAAATTGTAAAGTCCATATATTTTTGAAACAGCGAATTTTTGTAGAAAAAAACCCATAATATTAATTTGGAAAGGTAGATTTTCTAGGAACAAAAATTCGTAATTTTTGGTAGAAAAAAATATTATGAAATTATTTTTTTTTCTAAATGTTTCTAAAGATTCAAAAATATGCTTCAAGAGAAAATCTGATCTAGTGTCCTGATCTAGTGGCGAGCTGGCCAGCGAATCTCTGCGCCATCACAAAAATGAAAACTTGTAAACCCGGATATTTTGAATATAATTTTTGAAACAGTGAATTTTCAGAAGAAAAGGTAAACTTTCTAGTAACAAGTATTTCGCAACTTTTCGTAGAAAAAATATTGTGAAATTATTTTTTTTCTAGATGTTTCTAAATTCTTCAAGAAGAAAAATCCCAGTTATGGTAAGTCTATTTTTCAGAATTAACAGGACAAAATAAAAAAATTCCCAAAGACTTCAAAAAAAATTATTTTAATTATCGAAAATGTTTCTGAAAATCCTCTAGTCTAAAAAATTCCATAGAAAATCTAACATACTTCAGAGCAAAATCGAATTCAAATGAGCTTCTCAAAAAAATTCTCCCTAGATCTTGAAACAAAAATTAAAAATCCAGAAAACCTTCACAATGCTTCAGAAATTCCCAGAATCCTTCCAAGATCCCAAAAACTCCAGCTTCTCCCTTTCCCCTTAAAAAATGCTAAGCCAATTTGTCTCACATCAATCTATCTATCTACCGTCTGTCTGTCTGTCTCACATCTCAATTCCAAATAAATAAATAAATCGAAGAATATATAATCATCAATCTTTCATTCAAGACCATCTGTACTTCTCTTTTCTCTCCAATTTTATGGTTTATTTGCATAAATACATACACTGTATGTCAACTACACCTTTTCGTCCCATCTGCCAGCTCAAGAATAACAAATTGTTATTTTTCTTCTCGGCAAAATATTGACACCTGGATGGAAAATATCCCCAAGAAAAAAATCCGAAATGCATGGTGTATGTCAATCAAAAAACAATCTTTTCGAGAAAGAGAATTGAATGAATACATTTTTTTTGAACACCCAAAAGTAATTGGATTCTGTCTTGTTTTTATTTTATTTTGATACATATATTACATATAAAATCTGTCAGTTTTTGATTTGGGCTAAAAATTAAAACCGAAAGGTTGTCAGAAAATTGAAAATTAGACTGATGTGAGTGAGCAAAAAAAACGACGTGGAATTTTCAGAAAAAAGTTCGACGAAATTCAGCGAGAAACTGAGAGATCTATAGAAACATATTTTCGATCTTCAAAAAAAGATTTGAAAATTTTCTGCAGATGGAAGTTTTCGAGGCTCAAAAACCTTCTGAATTTCATCTGAAATTGCCACGTGGCAAATTTTAAATTTTGAAATTTTTGAATTTGCCACGTGGACTTCCTGATGTTGATTTTGAAATTGGCATTTTCCCAGAAAATTTTTAAGATTCAAATTTTTCAAGATTCGCAACGTGGCAGATTTCACGACTCCAAATTTTTCTGATTCAAAAATTTTGAGAAAATTGCCACGTGGATTTTTCTCAGGTTTCAACTAATTTGCCACGTGGAATTCATTCTCGAGGCTCAAAAATCTTCTGAAATTTCCACGTGGAAAATTTCAAGTTTTGAAAAAGTTTGAATTTGCCACGTGGATTTTCAGATGTTGATTTTTAAACTTGAATTTTCGCGAGAAAACTTGTATTTTTTTGTGAAAAAAATTTAAAGATCAAAGTTTTAAAACTATCCTAGATTTTCCACGTAACAAATTTATAGCTCCAAATTGTTCGGATTCTAAAAATGCCAAAAACGTGGATTTTTCTCAGGTTTCAATTAAATTGTGGATTTTCAGCTTCAAAAATTGAATTTTTAAAATAAATTTGCCACGTGGATTTCCTGATGTTGATTGTGAAACTAGCAATTTCCCAAAAAAATTTTTAAGATTCTAATTTTTCTGATTCAAAAAATACCAAAAACGTGGATTTTTCTCAGGGTTCAACTGATTTGCCACGTGGACATTCTGATCTCAAAAAAAGATTGCTCATGTTAAGCTCCAAAACAACCACCATATTTGCTCTTCCTCTGCCCCCGATTAAACTCTTACATAATCTTCCTAATCGCATCTCACCTCCTATTATTATCCCAAGTGTCTATAAAGGAAATACCTGACATCTTATGACCCTTACGTAATTCAATAATTCCTACCATCTGCAACCAAATTTTTTCGTACATTAGTTAGCCTAACTTTTCCCTGACCACAGCTTAATTTTCTGAATGTGAGCCACAAAAAAAACTTTGAAGCTTCACCAGCTGGCACCAAAAAAAATCACCATGACAATTTCAATTTGGCTCCAAAATGTTTTGTGGCTGGCTCATCATAAAAAATGTGAGCCAAAAAAATGGACATATTGGTTGTGGTCAGCACACAAAAAAAAACAGGTTCACATTTCATTTGGCGCATCTCATTTTTCATGGTGGGGGTGGTAATTATACCAATTAGAAATGAGTGAAAAAATGAGGAGGGATTTTTTTTGGAGATAGTCTAACTCTGAATTTTGGATAGAAATTTCAAGTCTGAAAAAAAAATTCCAGAATTTTTCCACGTGGAAATCCTAACTTATCTAATATATTTTAAACTAGAATTTATTTTCAGAACTTGCTGAAAATCTGAAAAATTCAAAATTTTGCCATGTGGCATTTTTTAAGGTCCGAAAGCAACTTAAAATTCCCCAAATCTCGTGAAAATTAAGATTTTCAAAATTTTGAAATCCCTCAAACTTTTTACAGTTTCAAAACAACCCTTCTCACTCCAATTTTCCAATTAATTAATTAAAAATCTCATTTTCAACAAGTGGTAAACAAAACTCTTCTCAAGAAAACTCTCCTGGGAACAAATCCCCTGTCAGAACAAAGAGTTCTGTTCCAAATTTTTAATTGTTTTCGAATATAATATTATATTATGAAATAAAATCGGTCCAATTAACAAATTGTATAATTAGGACAAAAGTATATATTTTATTATTGAGAGGTCTCGCAAACACCTGTTTTATTGAGGAACCTCATTAATTTTGTAGAGAGGAAAATGAGACAGGATAAATATGGACATTTTTATGAGCATGAACGAGAGAAATTAATTGGTTTTTGACAGTTTTCTGGGTACTGTAGATTCTTGAGTACTGTATTTGTGCTCAACTTGAAAATTATGTTTGTCAAGTGGCCGAGCCTTGAGAAGCTAATGTGTCTAGGAGCCGCGCCTAGAGATTCGCTTGAACAAGGATCCGCGCCTTAAGAGTCACTAAAGCTATAGGTACGGCGCCTTCAGAACTTCTATGTCAAGCAGCCACGCCTTGAGAACTCGTGTGTCTAGGACCCGCGGCTAGAGATCCACTTGAACAAAGGAGCCGCGCCTTTAGAGTAACAACTTCTGGCGAAACAATTCCAGAAGGAAAATCCACGTGGCAAAATTTTCAGAAGTTCAGAAGTGCAGAATTCAAATTTTCAAAGCAAACATTTGAATCTACAGTTTTTTGGCTCCAAAAAAAATGGGCAAGGAAAATTTTTGCAAAAAATTATTTTTGAAAATTAGACCTTCTGATCTCGAAAATCTACAGTACACTTTTTAAAATATAGTTTGATCTCAAATTTTCCACAGTATTCGTACAGTAATCTTCCAACTTCCAAAAATTATCCACAAAAAAGTTCCACCTCCATCCAAATTTGCTGTAGTTTTGCTCCTCCCACAAAACCCAGGCGGAATTGAGGAGAACAAAAAGTGGGCGGAGTCGAGAGCAGCTGGCACCTTTTTTGGGAGAAGGAAAATTTTTATATGTATAAAATAAATACACCAAAAGACAGACGTTCCTTTCTCCTCAATGGTCTACAGTAATCCATCACCTGTCTCCTATTTTTTTTTCTTGTGAATTACATTTTTTTAACCACTTGCCTAGAGCTTCTGAATCTAGATTCTAGATCTTCTAAAAGGTTCTCAAAAACCTTCTGAAGTTCCGTGAAGTCTCCTAACTCCTAAAAATTTTCAGCCAAAAAAAAGCCATGCCGATCCAAGATTTTTGGATGCAGGCCATACTCTCCTCCACTCCCAGTCCAGTCCCATCAATCGGCTCAAATTTTTCCAACGATGAAAATAACCTGGCAACTCCTCTCCCATTTTGGAACCCGACTTTGATTCAACAATTTTTGGCGCTTTATCAAATGTCACAATCAACCAATCAGATTTTTGCGCCGCAGCAAAATTTGAATCAGAATTTGAAAATTCAAAATCAAAATGAGATGATGCCTAGTCGAAAACGACCATTTTTGGATGAGAAGGAAAAAGTTAGAAAAGTGAAGAGCCGGAAATTGGGAGAGGATACAGTTACACAAAGTCCAGTCAGCGGAATGTTTATCAAGGTTAGTTTCAGGGCTTGAATTTTTGAGTTTGAATCGAAAATGGGCGGAGAATCATTTCAAAAACCACAATTTTCTCCTTCAAGATACCTTGAAACGTAGATCACCCTGGATCCAAATCCAAAGCTTCCAATTATTTATTTTTCCATCTAATTCCCCCAATTACCATCTCAAAAACCCCGCTCGAAAAAAAGCTCGCCGAGGAGTAGGAAAAGCTGCTCTGCTCTTAATTACCACCCGCTGATTTTTACCAGCTCTCAGAGAAAAAAGGGGGCAAAAGGACCTTCTGTTTCGGCTCTTTTTATTCGGAAAAAAGAGAAAAGATTGATTGATCTAATGAATATTAATTTAGCATAGTAATTAGAATTGGGATTGGATTTTTTTGTGGAAGAAAAAAGAGAATACAGAAAATGCGATAATTGATTTTAGGAAGAGTTAGGATAACTCCTAGGCTTTAAAAAATTCAAAAACTAAATTCAGGTTAGATTAGCCTAACTCTTTAGTTGTGGACTTATTTATCTTCATTAGAGAAATTTTTTAAAAAATAGATTTAGGCTAATTCTCTACAAAAACATAAGCTAACTTCTAGGCTTCTAAAAATTCTGTCAAAATAAGTTAGGCTAACTCATTCAACCCTCAATCAATTCCAGGAAGAATGCGATGTTGCTCCACTCGAAGAGCTTCAAAAAGAAGCAGATCTTCTCGATGAAACCGCCGCCTACGTGGATGTCACCGAAGAATCTCGCCGGAAAATCTCCCAAATCCCAAATCTGATCGGCGATTGTATTTGTCGACTTTGCAAAGTGAAATATGATGATGTTTTTCGATTGGCTCAACATAAATGTCCAAGAATTGCTCACGAAGAATATAAATGTCCAGATTGTGATAAGGTATGGGAATATAGCCTAACTTGGCACCAGCCAAAAGGGATCCCGCCAAATCTCTAATCCCCCCACTTGACAGTTTTTGTTAGTCGGCGGGGCGGGTTGACTCAAAAACCCGATCATGCTGTGAATTATGAATTCTCAAGTACTTCTTCTAATGTACATATCTGTCACCTGCTACTAGATACCACTAAATAAACAACATCTGTTCACAAAACATGCATTTGAGGATTTAGAAGCCTATGAGGATTTTTAGGGACTTTAAGAGGCCTTTAGGGACATTTAGAAACCTTTAGAGGCCTTAAGGATTCACAAAACATGCATTTGAGGATTTAGAAGCCTATGAGGATTTTAGGGACCTTTAGGAATCGTTAGGTACGTTTAGAGGTCTTTCGGAATCATTAGCAAGCTATAGAAACCTTTAGATACCTTACGGACTATTCAGAAACATTCATAGACCTTAGGAAAGCTTATTAACCTTAAGAAACCTCTATGGAACTCTAGAAGCCTTTAGGAAACTCTAGAAATCTTTAGGAGAATTTAAAGGCCTTAAGGAATAGTCAGAGACCTTCAGAAACTTCTAAAGGACTTTATGGATCTCAGGAAGCCTTTGGGAGCTTTAGAGACCTTAGGAAATGTTCAGAAACATTCATAGACCTTAGGAAAGATTTAGGAATTTCTAAAAACGTTTTAAGACATAAAGAAGCCTTAAGAAACCTCTATGGAACTCTAGAAACCTTTAGGAAACTCTAGAAATCTTTAGGAGAATTCAAAGGCCTTAGGAAACTTCTAAAGAACTTCATGGAACTCTAGAAACTATTAGAAAACTTTAGAGATCTTAAGGAATATTCAGAGACTTTCATAGACTTTAGGAAAGCTTTAGGGATTTTTAAAAACGTTTAGAGACATAAAGAAGACTTAAGAAACCTCTATGGAACTCTAGAAACCTTTAGGAAACTCTAGAAATCTTTAGGAGAATTTAAAGGCCTTAAGGAATAGTCAGAGACCTTTCGAAAGTTCTAAAGGACTTTATGCATTTCTGAAAGCCTTTAGAAACCTTTAGAGACCTTAGGAAACATTCAGAAACATTCATAGACCTTAGGAATGCTTTAGGGATTACTTAAAACGTTTCAAGATATAAAGAAGCCTTAAGAAACCTTTATGGAACTCTAGAAACCTTTAGAAACATTTAGGCGAATTTAAAGACCTTTAGCAACTTCTAAAGGACTTTATGGATCTCTGGAAGCCTTTAGGATCTTTAAAGTCTTTAAGGAACCTTCATTTTCCGTTAGAAACTTTCACGAACTTCTAGGAACCTTTAAAGTTCCCTCAGCCTCTCAAAACCTCCTAAAATCATATTTTTCAGACATTCTCCTGCCCGGCCAATCTGGCTTCTCATAGAAGATGGCACAAACCCCGCGAAATGTCGGCTGCACAAAATTTGAGCACACAAAACCTATCATGCCTGAATTGCTTCTCGATTTTCCCCACCCGCAAAATCCTAAAGGCACATACCGTAACCTGCCAACGTTCACCACTTCAAAGTCTTCTAGCAAGATGTGTACAGTAATCTGGATATGAATCTACAGTAATTCTATAGTAATCTGATCTACATACATACAAAACATTCCAATTTTTTCTTGAAACCGGTATTTTTCTTCTTCATTTTATTTTTCACTATAGCTTTCCAAATTGATCTCGAATTTTTTTTTGAAAAGTGAATTCTAGTTTGCCATTTTCATTTTTTCCCCGAAAATTTCCCCATTTTTGCACCCAAAAGCGTCAAAACCGCAGTATTTTGCATTTTTCTCCCCATTTTTTTTTCATTTTTTTGCTGAATTTTTCTAGTCACGTGTATTTATTTTACCCCAAAATTTTCCCATTTTTCGTCCCAACTTTTAGCTGATGTGATTTCTAGTCAAGATTTCCAACCCCAAATCCCCTTTTAGCCCCCATTTTTATTGATTTTTGTTTTTGAAATGAAATTTTTTGCCCCCAAAAAAACTCAAGTTGATCAATCGATATCAATGGCTCCAGCTCCAGCTCCAAATCTTCCAATTTCCAGATTTCGAAGTTGAAGTTGATGTTGAAATTGTAGAAAGTCCTCTCGAGAATCTGAAAAAATCAAATTTCGTCTCATGGATTTTCAGAGGGCCTTTAAAAATTTCCCCGAAAAAATACGTTTCAAAAATAGTTCATAATTTTTTGAAATAAACAATTTTTCGATCTCGTTTTCTATAAGTTCAAAAGGTCAAATTATCAAATTTTTATGAAATTTTACAGAAAAAAACTCACCAAGATCATTTCCAAAGTTTAAAACTCCTTCTCTTAAACTTCTAACATTGAACAGAAGTTGGAATCTGAAAAAATCCAATTTTCAACTGAAAATCAAAAATTCTAGGAGAAAGCTCACAGAAATCTTGCTCATTGGCGAGCCAGAGAATCGCCAAAAACTGTTTTAGTTGTCCGAGAGAAGTACACAATATTTCTTCGCTTCTTGTTTAGCCAAAATCCCGAAATGAACCAAAATCACCGAAATGAACCAAAAACCACGTGAAATATAGGTCACGCGGAAATTCATTTGTCATCACAAATGTCGGGAAAGTAGCCATTTTGCAAGAATCCAGGTTTCCTGCCTGCAAAATTTGAAATTTATAAAAAAAATCATAATTTCAGTCTTTCTCCCCCCAAAATCTCCCCAAAAAACAATTTTCCCAGGTTCTCCTGGCATAAAATTCTTAAACTCACCTTTTGTCATCATTTTCCAATTTCGAAATGACAAAATCCATCCACGTTTCACGTTTAAACGCGTTTTTCTTCGACGAAAAAAAAACAAAAAAACATTTTTCTTCTTTTTTGTTTGAAAAAAATAATTCGCGGGGTGAGAATGTGTGTCGCGACGAGACCCAGTTGCTGTTTGCAATGTTCCTTTAACCAAGCCACCGTACTATTTTTGTTTTTTTTTTCGTTTTTTTTCAGAAAAAACTTCTTTATTCACAAAAATCACAACAAAAACCAGCAAAAAAAATTAATCACCATGATGATTAACATTATCCAAATTGTTGAAAAAATCCAGCAAATCTTGAAGAGCCGCTTGAATTTCGTCATGAGTTTGGCGAGTTTTTCGGATGCTTCCGAGGCCAGAAGTCAATCCAGAAGATGCGGATGAGATTCCAGAAGTTAGGGAGCCAAGAGTTCCAGATGCCAAGTCAGAAGCTTTTCCAGATGCTGAAGAAATTCCAGATGTTAGGGAGCCGAGGGTTTCAGAAGCTATGTTGGAGGCTGAGGACACTCCTGAAGTCAAAGAGCCTAGAGATCCAGAAGCTACATCAGAAGCTCCTTAAGTCAAGACTCCGAGGGTTCCAGAAGCCACATCAGCAACTGAAAAACACGCCAGAGCTTCCATCTAGCTGTCCCAAGACTTACCTGAACTCAAAGATCCAAGAGCCCCCGTTGCCACGTCACTAGCCTTCCCAAGAGCCCCCGCTGCCACATCAGAAGCTCCCTGAATTCCCGAACTCAATCCACCCAACAATCCCGTGCTGCTCGCCGAGCACAATTGAACTTGCGCACACAATTTATCAGCTGGTGTAATCGTCAAATAAATCGATGCCGCGTTCACTGCATTCGAGCACATTTGCTCATTTTTCGTGATTGTTGAGCAAGCGGTTTTGAGGTTCTGAAGAAAATTCTGCATTCTATGATTGTGAGCTCACAACAGAGAAGCTAGAGACCAGGCAGAATGTTAGAGACGCAGAGATATCGAAGAGCTATGAGAGGTTAGAGAGTTAGAGAAACCAGACTCACATTTTTGATGTTCCCATTTTTGTTGGCATTTTTCACGGCGTTTGCCGTGATCAGACAACTTGAGCACAATGGTTTTTTGACTGTTGGCTCCTGCAACGAAAAATGAATAGGAAGGGGGTACTGTAGCTTACTGTAGGTAGGTAGGTACTGTAGAGTTTAAAAATCTAGTATATCAAAAAATTGCAGGTTATTGTAGCTTAGATTAAACCTACCGTATCCTTGGCTTGTGCCAACACTACAAAAAGTACAGTAGCCAAAACAAATTTCATTTTCAGAATTCTGATTTCTCCATCGAAAATTTTCAGATTTTATACCCCTTGGGTCAAAGTTCCAAAAAAAAAATAACAAAAATATTTTTGTCGAAAAAAAGGAAAAGGTGTTCAAATAGAGAAAAAGAGTTACAGTAACTGTTTTTATTATCCGCAAAAAAAAAATAAAAATCAAATATTCACAAAAAAAAGTGGGAGAAAACGCAATTTCAAAAAAAAAAAATAAAAAATAAAATCCAGTTAAAAAATCAAGTGCACCCTTCACCCAGAAAAAAATCGATAATTTTGCGCTGGGAAACTTTCGTGGTGAAAAAACCCATATACAAACAAAAAAGTGGTAAAAAAATGTAAGAAAAAATTGTGGGGGACTAGATTACAGTGGGAAGGGGGAAGAAAATATTTTCTGGGAAAAAAATCTGCAATTTTTAGGCGAGGTAGACAAATGTTTGAATATCATCGGAGCGACGTTCCATGTACCTTTAAAAATTTGGGTTACTGTAGGGTAAAATTTGGCGCCAAAAAACTCACCGATTTTCAATAAGCCAATCGATTTGCTCTTTGATGATTTTTCGATTTGGCACAAAAAGTGGCTTCAAAATTTCGACGAGCTCCATGGTTAATTGAGCCAATGTGATGGTTTTGCGCATTTTCATGATCTGAAAAAAAATTATGGATTTTTTTCACTGTTTCAAAAAAATAATAAGTTTTCTTAATTTTTCAATTGATCCATTCGGAAAACAAAACAGTGAAAAATTCAGTAAAATTGTTTTCAAAATATTTTACTGTTTCAAAAAAATGTTATATATATTTTTTTAATTTTAAAAGATGATTTTGAATGTTCTCTTGGAGCTAGAAAAGTTGAAATTTTCATTGAAAATTTCAAAATTTTTCACTGTTTCAGAAATTCAACATAACTTTTTCATAAATTTTCAAAATGATTTTATTTCGTTCATATTGTCCTTCCGAAAAAATAAGAACCTTGGAAGAGAACCGAAATGGCCTAGGAAACCAAGACTACAGTAGACTTCGCAAAATTTAGGAGTCTATTTGAAAAATAAAATGCGAAATTTACACGCTGGATGTTTGCCAACCAGTTTGATATGCATGTGTCACGTCATTTTTAGTCTACTGTACGTGAGCGCCAATTCAAACGGGGGTTCTTTTATTTTCGGAATGACAATATGTTCTTAAAATTCAAAAAAATATGTGAAAATGATATTTTTCACTGTTTCAAACAAAAATCATAAAAATTATGCATTTTCAAAAATGCTTGAAGAACTGTCTTATTTTTCATCAAAAAAATTTCTATGTGAAAAATATTCACTGTTTCAAAAAATAAATATAGAATTTCGGTAATTTTTTGAAATATTATGTAGTTGTATTTTTTCTAGGGAAAAATTAATTTTTTTCACTGTTTCAAAAAAATAATAAGTTTTCTTAATTTTTCAATTGATCCATTCTGAAAACAAAACAGTGAAAATTTCAGTAAAATTGTTTTCAAAATATTTTACTGTTTCAAAAAAATGTTATATTTTTTTTTAATTTTAAAAGATGATTTTGAATGTTCTCTTGGGACTAGAAAATGTTGAACTTCTCATTGAAAACATTCAAAAGTTTCAGATTTTCTCACTGTTTCAAAAATTCGACATAACTTTTTCATGAATTTTCAAAATGATTTTGTTTCGTATTTTCTTGAAATTCAGAAAAAAATATTTGAAAATGATAATTTTCACTGTTTCAAAAAAAATTTATAAAAATTATGCGTTTTTGAAAAGGCTTCAAAAATGACCTATTTTTCAAAATCAAAAAATTTCTATGTGAAAAATATTCACTGTTTCAAAAAATACATACCGAATTTCGGTAATTTTTTGAAATATTATGTTGTTCTTTTTATTGGGTAAAAATTCATATTTTTTTCACTGTTTCAAACAAAAATCATAAAAATTATGCATTTTCTAAAATGCTTGAAGAACTGTTTAATTTTTCAAAATCAAAAAATTTCTATGTGAAAAATATTCACTGTTTCAAAAAATAAATATAGAATTCCCGTAATTTTTTGAAATATTATGTTCTTGTATTTTTCTTGGAAAAATTCATATTTTTCACTGTTTCAAAAAATAAAAATATTCAAAATTCTGAATTTATTTGTTAATGGAAAACACCATGTTTTTTCACTGTTTCAAACAAAAATCATGAAAATTATGCATTTTTAAAAATGCTTGGTTTCCGGACATGTTTTGTGTCACAAATTTTCACTGTTTCAAAAAATAAATATAACATTTTTTTGAGATTAAATTTCACTGTTTTACCAAAAATATTCAAAAAGTCCCAAATTTTCTCCCCTTCTCTAGAAAAACCTCCCAAAACCTCACTAACCTTAACAATTCCCTCTTGAACTCTAAACTCTCTCAACGCAACAATTCCCTCATGCTCTTTCTCAGCATTCGCTTCCAATGACAATTGCAATCTTCCAATCAGATTCACTTTTCCGCGAAGTTGAATTTTGCCGTTTTTGATCAAATGAAAGTCGTGATTGATGTAGAATACGGTGGAATCGGTGAAATCACGTGGTGAAATTATTGGTAGATCACAGAGGAGAATTTGTGATTTCATTTTTGGATATGCGACGAGAGACTGGAAAAAATGAAGAGGTTTAGAGAAAAATTGGTATTTAAAAAACCCACCAAAAGTGTGCGATTCAACTCGGCATCCGGTAATTCCGTGGCCAATCTCAAAGTTTCCAGGGAGATTTTCTCGTGGGCTCTTTCGTTGAAACAAAAGAGCACAGCCATTTGGAAAGTTGTCACATCCAAATCGAATCTTCCGCCGTTTGAAGTTCCAAAAACCATCTGAAAATAGGAAGATTATTGAAACAGTTAAATTTCTGGATTATTTACTAGAGTTTTGAAACGTATAAAAAACAAGAGTTCATTTTCACAAAAGGAAAATCAAATTTCTAAATTTCTGAACTATTTCGAGGATTTTTGAAACGTATCAAAATTTGAATTTGCAATTTTTTCCAAAATGATTCGATCGCTGAAATTTCAATTTCCTGAATATTTCGATACTAAAATTTATGAAACAGTAAATTTTTCAAATAATAGAAGAATTCGTCAATAGATCAAAATTCCAATTTTCACAATTTTTCAAGGCTAAATTTTGAAACAGTGATATTTTTTCAAATAAATTTTTGCAATTCAAATTTTAAATCTATTGAATTCAACACAATAAAGCAACACAATAAAGCAATAAAACAATAAAGCAAAATTTCATTTTACTCAATTCTTTTATGAAAAAGATTTGTCCAACAACAGAACAATTTTCACAATTTTTATGAATAAGTGTTGAAACAGTGAATTTTTTTTTTGGAAAAAACAACTAATACTTGATCACCAACCAATCAAAATTTTAATTTTCACAATTTTTCAAGACGAAATTTTGAAACAGTAAATTATTTTTTAAATAAATTTTTGCAATTAAAATTTTAAAATTGTTTTTTAACGAACCATAAACCAAAAATCCAATTTTCTCAATTTTTTGTGAATAATGTTTGAAACAGTGAATTTTTCTTGCTTTATAAATATCAATTTTGGTTAATTTTCATCATTTATTTTTCAAACTTTTGAAACAGTGAATAAATTTTCCCACAAAAAACTCACAGTTCCACTGCTCCAATGATGCATCCAACAAAGTTTTCTGCCATTATGCTGCTTCTTGTAAAACGCCTCCATTTCGGGCACAAAATCTTCGAGTTCTCTTGGAAGTGAAAATCTGATTTTCTCCGATCCACCACGTCCCCAAGCGCCACCATTCAAAACTGGAAGAAAATGGGTGTTTTCAGACAAATTTTCAGCCAAAACAAAAAAAAACACTCACCTTTAATATTAATCGCATCCGATGCGCATTTATTGTTATTCGTTCCGACCAATGCTTTTTTGAAATTTGAATTCAGATCCTTGTTAACTTCGATATCTTGGAGCATTCTTGAGAGTTTGTTAACAGCATCTGAAGGCATTCCACATTCCTGGAATCAATTTTTGGTTGAAAATTGGGATAATTGGTGAATTTTGAGGATTTTAGACATTTTTTAAGGACGAATTTTAGTTGAAAATTATGATTTTCAGGTTAAAAACCGATATTTTATCTTCAAAATACATAATTTTCATTATTTTTTGTCGAAAATTGAAAAATTTTGCATCAAAATTCGTCATTTTCACTCAATTTTCCCCCAAAACCCCAAAATCCCTCCTCACCCTCAATTTCGCCACCATCATTTCCTCCTTCTCCTGATCGGCACTCATTTCCAAAATCAATCTTCTGGACAAATGCGCTCTATGGAAACGCATGAAAACATCCTTGTTCTCCACGTATTTCAGCACCAAGAGCTGGAAAAAATTGGGTTTTTGGACACGTGGAATTTCAGCCAGGCTGAAAATTTCAGCAAGGCTGAAATTCAAAACTTACAACTTGATTCAATTTCTCGTCAATTTCTTCTGACGTCAATTTTTTGCTCAATTGCGTTTTTCTCAATAGCAAATCGCAATAATTGGCCAAAAGTTCAGCACATTTTGATTCGACGGAAAGGGGACGGCTGGAAGAAGAAAAATTGAGTTATGACGTGGCAAAATTGAGGAGGTTTAGGGAAATTTTTCTAGATTTTGAAAAATTTAGGAGTTAAATTTAGGCTATGACGTGGCAAAATCAGGACTTTGAAGATTTTCTGATTTTCTAACTCAATTTCACCTTGAAAATCTTCAAAACTTGTCATAACTTCATTTCTGCCACGTCATCAATTTTTAATCCACAAAATACGCGTAAAATTCAAATCTTATCAAAAATATGAAAAAATCCAGCCACGTCATAACTCAAAGTTACACTAGAAATCTGAGGAAATCAAAATTTTCCGGTTTTTTTTAAATTTCTTCAGATTTCTGATGTACCTTTGAGTTATGACGTGGCACAAAACTGGATTTTTTCCTATTTTTGATGAGATTTGAATTTTACAGGTATTTTGTGGATTAAAAATTGATGACGTGGCAAAAATGGAGTTATGACAAGTTTTGAAGATTTTACGAGGTGAAATTGAGTTATGACGTGGCAAAATTTATATTTTTTCAATACATTTTTGGATTGTTGGAAAATCTAGTTTCGTAATAAATTTTGAATTAGATTTGGGTTATGACGTGACATAAAAATCAAATTTTCCAGATTTTTTTTGAATTTCTTCTAATTTCCAGTGAAGATTTGAGTTATTACGTGGCAAAATTTGAAAATTTTAAGAATAGAACCTAAAAATCGCTCAAAAAATCCTCAATTTTTCTACTCACCCTTTCTTCGAGCTCATCTCAACTTTAAAAATCGAGCTATCATTCACAACAACTCGAAAAGCTTTGTCACGAGCTGTCAAAAGTCGCGCATCATCACAAAATCCTTCGCGAACCAACGAACTGAATCGATCGAACATGGCGAGAAGTTGTTGCACATATTTTTCCGGGTCCTGCAACGAAATTGAAAATTTTTTTAAATTAGATACACGTGGCGCCAACAAACCGTAGCCATACTCTCCGCATTATTGCGCATATCATTCAAACCTTCGGTTCTTATATGACAATCAATACACTTCAAAACCGTCTCAATACCATTTCGAGTTCTTCGAATCAATCGATATAATCGCTGAAGTCTCTCGACATCTCGTTTCACAATCAACGTCGAACATTCCGCCAAAATCTGATCTTCGAATGATTCCACTAAAACCATGACGCATTTATCCATGTGTCGACTGGCACTTGGCGAACTCATTTCCAGATATTTTTCAGCGCGTTTTTGCTCTTCGTCGAGTTTTTTGTCGGCGTAGACCATGTAGTTGAGAACACCAGCTTCGGCAAGATACTGCAAGAAATTTGGGGATTTTGGGTGGAAGTACAAGCCTATAAGCCAAAGCCTAAGTCATTAGCTAAGCCTAAACTTGAGTCTAAGCCTAAAATTTCTGCCAAGCCTAAGCGTAGGCCTAACACATTGGCTAAGCCTAAGCCTAGTCCTAATTTTTTGGTAAGCATGAACCTAAGTCATTAGCTAAGCCTAAGGTCTTCTTAAAGCATGAACCTAAGTTATTAGCTAAGGTCTTCTTAAAGCATGAACTTAACCTTAAGAGAGATCTTACTGAAGCCTAAGTCTAACACTTCTGCCAAGCCTAAGCGTAAGCCTAAAACTCTTTTTTGGTTAAGCCTAAACCCTAGCCCTAATTTCATAGTGAGCATAAGCCTAAGTCATTAGCTAAGCCTAAGGTCTTCTTCAAGCATAAGCCTAAGTCCTTAGCTAAGCCTAAACTTGAGGTTAAGCCTAACATTTCTGTCAAGCCTAAGCGTAGGCCTAAACCATTGGTTAATCCTAAGCTTAAAGCCTAAGAAAAACCTAAGCTTTAGAAAAATCTTTCTTAGGCTTTAGGCTTAGGCTTAACCAATGTCTTAGGCTTACGCTTAGGCTTGACAGAAATGTTAGGCTTAGTAAGATCTCAAGCTTAGGTTTATGCTTTAAGAAGACCTTAAGCTTAGCTAATGACTTAGGCTTATGACTTTTTTCTGCTCAAAAGCCACGTGTTTCACGTGAAAACCCCATTTTTTTTTAATTTTTCATTTCCCCAAATTATTTTCCAAAAAATTTTGATTAAAAACCGGTGAACTGGAAAATTGCATTTCTCAGCGAAGAAAAGAAAATTGGCCAAATCAAGTCACTAGAAAGTTCTAGGAAAACTAGGAAATTCTGCTAACCTCTGCACTGCGATTCCTATAATATTCGACAGTCTGCTCGATAAAACTCCTCTCAAAAGTCTTTCGATAAACACCCAAAACATCATCGGGATTATCGTTCAACGCCACAAAACTCTCACGAATCCCAACAACACTTTGCGCATCAATCAATAATCCGTTGCGTTCGTCTTCAATTAATTTGAGCGCGTCGGCTAGAAGCGCCTCGCTCATCTCTTCGAAAATCTTCGAGTTCCATTTATCCAACATGACTGATTTTATTGAATCCGCCGCTTCTGGGGGATTTGAAGAGCCTCCCGCGGCGCTACTACTACTTTTGATAGCAACCGTTGTCCCGTCGATAACTTTGAAAGGCAGTGGGAGAATGTTAGTCTGTTTGAAATAGCGTTTCCATTCTTTGATGTATACTTTGAGCAATGATTCAGTCTTGTGGCTGCGAATTCTCTGCAAAAGTACATTTGTCATCACTAAATACTTGGTTTCCCCTCGCGCAAAATAAAAACTCACTGCACCGGCCTCTTTTACATATCGATCAATATCTGTGGTTAGTGTATCTCTTATCTGTGTCGCTCCTTCTTCAACCCACGAGTTGATTTTGTAAACCCATAGAAATAAATCTTGCCAGTCAGCCGGTGTCACTGTCTTTTGATATAGCAAACTTTGCACGACGGGATGCGCTTTTGCCCATTCTTGATCGAATTGCACGCCGTTATCTTTCAAAAAAGTACGAATCGGCATAGAAACCCTGAAAATCTGGAAGAATCAAGGGAAACCGCGAAGAAAACAGAAAAACAACATGTCGCCTGCAGGCGCGACGCGGGAAAAACAAAACGAAAAATCGTCCGCGAGAACTACACAAAACGCAAATCGTTTTGAGATATTTCCACAATTTCACATGCTCCTTTCTCAAAACCGTAAGGTTTTCAAGAGGAAATGACTTGAAAATCAATAAAAAAGTTACATTTAAGAAGTGTGTAATATATTGAATAATCTCGCAAAGGTGAAAGTTTTGGCGTGTGTGAAGAAAAAGAGAGAAAGAAGAAAAAAACCGGTTTTTGAAGCGAGGCAAACGCGCTCCACTGCAAAAATGTGTGCTTTTTTTTTCGTTTGATGATAGAAAAGGGAAATAAAAAGCTAAGAGAGTGAGGAGAAAAAATCTGCTTTTCATATATGAAAATTGGCTGAAAAAAAGCTCAGCGAAAAAAAGAGCATTTTGAATTTTTCATGATGACGAGCGAAGAAAAATCTCTTTTAAAAAAAATGAGAAAAAATCATATAGTAGTTCGCCTGCACGGTGTGTGTTCTAAAACAAATATTTGCTCGTTTTCCGGATGGTTTCAGCGCGCGTAGCCCGCGAGGGAAGAGATGCAAATGCGCTCCATTGAAACGTGTTTTTTGAATGAGGAGGGAGGTTTGAAATTCAAAATTTAAAAAAAAAAATTCTGGTTCCACTATTAAAAATTCTCCAAATTTCATGAAGAATTCAAAAAATCCATTGAAATTGGCTAATTTTCAGAAAATTTTATTCGAAAAAAATTCACTGTTTCAAAATTGTTTCTTATAAATTTGATTTTTGAGAGAAAATATTGGGTGGTAGACCATATAAAAAGATGTCAAATTGAATGAAATGAAAACTAGAAATCGTTCAAAAATCATTATGCAGGAGAAAAAGAGGAAAAATTGAGTGGGAGGAGGATTTTGCTAATTTTGAAAAGTGATTTTGTTATTAGCGGGGGGGGGTTTGCACTTTCTGCATTTTTCATGATTTTTTTGTTCTAGAAGTTTCCAGACGAGGCTCTTTGAGAGGATAGTTCTCAAGCACCCGCACCTAGAAAGCCTGTCTGTCAAGTAGCTGCACCTAGGGAACCTGATTGCCTAGGACCTGCGCCTAGACATCCACTTTCTACAGTAGCTGCTCTGAGTTTTGTCCTAAGATTCGGTGTGTCGAAAAAGTACTGTAGATTTTCGCGCTGAGAGTTCAAACAACTTCATTTTTCCTGTAGGGTTTAAATTTGTCCAGGTTACTGTAGATCCACATACTCTTTATTTTTCAATTTTGCTTTCTCAAGGTTGCTTCCAGGGCTGGGCGGAATCGGCACGCCGATTTGCCGAAATGCCGAGTTTTCCTGATTTTTCGGCAATTTTTGAAGTCGGCACTACCGCCCGAAAATATTTTCGGCAGTTTTTCAAGTCGGCATTACCGACCGAAAGATTTTTCGGCACTTGATAGAAGCCGAATTTCGTACCGATTTCAAAATGTGCCGAAATCACAACCGAAATGTTCTCCAGTAAAATAAAAAATGTGTTTTTACCTCTATTTTCTGCAGAATGTCTTGTTTTACCTTCATATCTATTGAGTTATGACTAAAATAAAACTAAAATATAATTTTATTCATTTTTCTATCATTTTTTATAGTTTTTAAAATTTCTGAATCACTGCCAAAATGCCGAATTTGAACAAAATCGGGGTGCCGAATTGCCGAATTTTTTTTCGGCAAAAAAGTCGGTATCCCGAAATTCCGAAAAAAAATTTCGGCACAAGAAGTCGGCATCCCGACAAGCCGAGAAAATTTTCGGCACTAAAAGTCGGCGTTGCGAAATGCCGACAAGTAAATTCCGCCCAGCCCTGGTTGCTTCCCAGAAGTACTGTACCTATTTTTCAAATTACTGTAATTCACTTCTTACTGTAGAATTTATTTTTTTGTAATTGTACATAGCTTCAGATGTAAAATCCCATGTTCCTTTAAATTCCCCGGACTACTGTATCTCATCCCAAATTTCCGTTCCCCGAATTCTATCCAAGCTCAATTAATATTCTCTTCCTTTTTCCCTCAAACAAAAAAAAATGAAATAATAATTAAATATCCTCAAAAAAACACACACACACACACATATTTTCTGAAAAAAATCTTCTCCATTTTCAGCTCCTCTCTGCCACTCTGCGTCTCTAACCCGCATTCATTAGATTATTCACAGACTCGTTTCTCTCTCTCTCTCTCTCTCTCTCTCTCTCTCTTTCTCTCTCTGCATTTTCAGCGAATGATGAAGTGTGTTGTGTCCCACGTCATAGCTTTGGGGGAAAAATGAGCCCCGCGAATCAATGAGTTGAAGCTGGCTGTGGAGCCGCGCGGCTCTCAATCGATTTTTTTCCACACACACACTCACAGCCTCATTTTTTCTTCTTCTTTTTTTTCTGAAAAAGCCCCTCCTCGCGCGCTCAATTTTCAGTTTTTTCCCTTTTTTCTTGATTTTTTGCGGGCGGCCGGCGAGTCATTATTTTAAACCGCTTTAATTACAGGTTTCCTTGAATTTCAGCATTTCTAGAGATCATAGGATTCAATAGGTTTTCTGAAGTTAGGATAACTTGATGACGTCATAATTTTTGGTGACGCGCGCGCGCGCGATAATAAATATTCATTTTTCAACTGTTTCAGAAGATGTGTCCTTGGCGCAGTGGTAGCGCGCTAGATTTTTGCGCACAGGATCTGGGTTCGATTCCCGACGCCTGCGAGAAATTTTATTTTTTTCAGTCAGCCATGTTTTTCTCTCTGTTTTCACTCCACAATTACCATAAGTAATGAGAAAAACAACTCAAAATTCCCCTGTTTTTTTAACAAAAAAAAATCGCATTTAAGTTCAGTTAGCCTTTCAAAAAGTCACAAAAAATTAGGAAAAATGTTGCCAAAGTTGCCGGAAATCCATCCGCCCTCGAAAAAATTCCCTTTTCCCATTTTTTTTGCCTTCTATATCCATTTAAAAATGATGATGAGATGAATAATTTTCGCTCCAGACATTTTTTCCTCGTTTCCCAGAGATATTTTTTGAAATGTCAAATTTCCGGAGGGCGAGGAAAATCTTGAGAAAATGAATTTTTTGGGGGGATTAGATTTTTAATGGATTTTTTTTTTGGTGATGAGCAGCAGGATTAGGATGGTTTTCGAAAAAAATGACGAATTTTGACAAGCTGATTTATTATTTCAGAACTTTTTTAGTCATATGGGGAAAACTAACTTGTGGAGGCTGATTTTTCACATGTCAAAAATTTTCGGGTTCAAAAAACTTCCTGTTTTTTTTTGGATTTGTTCAGAGTTGGAAGAAATTGAACTGGAATTTTCAGATTTTTAAGTTTTTGATATTAAATCTGACAAGTCAAAACCTTAGAGCTTAAAATTTTGTAAAAAATTTTGATCTCTAAAGCTTCTAGACCTTCTGCTCGAATTTTCCCAGATTTCAAATGTGACCTTTTGAGTGAGCCTCTTGACAATTATTTTTTCTAGGCACGGCTGCTTGAGGTCACGGCAAGGCATAGGCACGGCTGCTTGAGGCTTGAGCTCTCTAGGCATGGCTGCTTGGCAACAAGGATTTCTAGACTTGACTACTTGACATATGAGCTCTCAAGGCGCGATTCCTTATCAAAGTGAATCTCCAGACGCGAGCCCTAGACATTTAATATTTCTAGTCGCGGCTGCTTTAGAACCAGGATCTCTAGGAGAGGCTGCTTGACAACAAGGATGTCTAGACTTGACTACTTGTCAAAGTGAAATTCTAGACGTTGGGCCTAGGCAGTCAAATTTTCTAAGCGCGGCTGCTTGAGGACTAGGATTTCTAGTCTTGACTACTTGACATATAAGCTCTCAAGGCGCGATTCCTTGTCAAAGTTATTCTCAAGACACTGGCCCTAGATGATTAGATTATCTAGGCCCGCTATTTGATTTCTCTGAAAATTATTGATTTTTTCTTACTTCCTCTATATTTTCTCCTCAATTTTCCAACCCTCCCCAACCCGATTTTTTTGTTGCAGGTATGAAAAACACATATGGCGACATAATATGTGTATTGTTATCGATATTGTTATGTATCACTGAGGCGGTCGACGTCTACACCAACCACTTCCACGTCCATCTAAAAGATGGTGGCGGCGCGGAAGCCGCTCACCGAATCGCCAAACGTCACGGTTTCGTGAATCGCGGCGCAGTCCTCGGCTCCGATCACGAATTCCACTTTGTCCAACCGGCTCTCTCCCACGCGCGCACCAAAAGATCCATCGGACATCACGCTAAACTTCACAATGACGATGAAGTCGCGCACGTCGAACAACTTACTGGATATCGAAGAACAAAACGAGGATACAACAGCCGACCGTTGGAGGAGAGATTGCAATCACAATTCGATTTTTCGGCTGTGATGTCACCATCTGATCCACTTTACGGTTATCAATGGTATTTGAAGAATACTGGACAAGCTGGTGGTAAAGCGAGATTGGATTTGAATGTTGAACGAGCTTGGGCAATGGGATTCACTGGAAAGAATATTACAACTGCTATTATGGATGACGGTGTTGATTATATGCATCCGGATATCAAGAACAACTTCGTAAGTTTGATGGGGAGATCGGAACTTAGATAGAGTAGGGATTGAATTTTAATTAGGATATTGTTCAGATGAATAGGTTCTAATTACTTGAGTTATGAGTAAGCTGAGGAAATCGGGATTTATGAAAATATAATCATAACTAAGTCACTCCCTGATACAGTTCTACCTTAAGTTAAGGTCCTTAACGCCATCCGCTGAACTCAGAAATCTGTATTTAATGATCAGAGCTTAACTTCAATCTAGCTTACCTTAACTAACGCACTTTAGTCTAGTCTACATATACAGTACAGTCTGAACTACTACCAGAGTTTAGGTAACCTCAAACGTAGCCTATCCTAGCCTAGCCTTTAGTCTAGCCTAACCTAGCCTTTAGTCTAGCCTAACCTAGCCTTTAGCCTAGCCTTTAACCTAGCCTTTAACCTAGCCTTTAGCCTAGCCTTTAGCCTAGCCTTTAGCCTAGCCTTTAGCCTACCCTAACCTAGCATAACCCAGCCTTTAGCCTACCCTAACCTAAGCCTAACCTAGCCTAACCTAAGCTTAACCTAGCCTAACCTAAGCTTAACCTAGCCTAACCTAGTCAAACCCAGCCTTTAGCCTAGCCTAACCTAGCCTAAGCTAGCCTTTAGCCTAGCCTAACCTAGCCTTTAGCCTAGCCTAACCTAGGCATTAGCCTAGCCCACCCTAGCCTTTAGCCTAGCCTAAGCTAGCCTTTAGCCTAGCCTAGCCTTTAGCCTAGCCTTTAGCCTAGCCTTTAGCCTAGCCTTTAGCCTAGCCTTTAGCCTAGCCTTTAGCCTAGCCTTTAGCCTAGCCTTTAGCCTAGCCTTTAGCCTAGCCTAACCAAGCCTAACCAAGCCTAACCTAGCCTAACCTAGCCTAACCCAGCCTAACCTAGCCTAAACTAGCCTTTAGCCTAGCCTAACCTAGCCTTTAGCCTAGCTGAACCTAGCCCAACTCAGCCCACCTCTTCTGAACTGGCCCTCCCTTGATCTCCCCCTCCCCCCTAACTCGCATCCCCTTTTTCCAGAACGCCGAAGCCTCCTACGATTTCTCATCCAACGATCCATACCCATACCCACGTTACACCGACGACTGGTTCAATTCGCACGGAACGCGATGCGCTGGTGAAATCGTCGCCGCCCGCGACAACGGTGTGTGCGGTGTCGGCGTCGCCTACGACGGAAAAGTCGCCGGAATCCGCATGTTGGATCAACCCTACATGACCGACTTGATCGAGGCTAATTCAATGGGTCACGAACCGAACAAGATTCACATCTATTCAGCGTCTTGGGGACCAACTGATGATGGAAAAACTGTGGACGGACCGAGAAATGCGACAATGAGAGCTATTGTGAAGGGTGTGAATGAGGGAAGAGATGGTTTGGGTTCGATTTTTGTTTGGGCTAGTGGGGATGGTGGAGAGGATGATGATTGTAATTGTGATGGATATGCTGCGAGTATGTGGACTATCAGTATCAATTCAGCTATCAACAATGGTGAAAATGCGCATTATGATGAGTGAGTTGAAGCGGGAATAGAGCGGTGGAGCCTTCTGAAGCCCTCTAGAGCCTTCAGAAGCCCCCTAGAGCCTCGAAAAGCCTTTAGGGGCCCTCTAGAGGCCACTGAAGCCCCCTAGAGCCTCGAAAAGCCTAGTAAGCCTTTAGGGGCCCTCTAGAGGCCACTGAAGCCCCCTAGAGCCTCGAAAAGCCTAGTAATCCATTAGGAGCCTTCTTGAGCCTTGTGAAGCCTCCTTAAGAGCTCTCAAGCCTTGTGAAGCCTTCTGAAGCCCCTAGAGCCTTCTAAAGCCTTCTGAAGCCCCCAAGAGTCTCATAAGCCTTTAGGAGCCCTCGAAAGTTTTCTAAAGCCCCCAAGGCCCACTACAGCCTCCCGAAGTTCAGTGGTCTCCGATGAAGCCTTCTGAAGCCCCCTAGAACCTCCAAAAGCCTCGTAAAGCCTTCTGAAGCCTTCTAAAGCCTTCTGAAGCCCTTTAAAGCCTTTAGGAGCCCTCGCAAGTCTTCTGAAGCCTTATAAAGTCTCCTAAAGCCTTCTGAAGCGTCCTAAAGCCACCTGAAGCTCCCTAGAGCTTCCAAAAGCCTCGTGAGCCTTCTGAAGCCCCCTGAAGCCTTCTAAAGCCTTCTGAAGTCCACTAGAGCTCTCTAGAGCTCCTTACAATCTCGTTAAGCCTCTTCAAGCCTTCTAAAGTCTTCTGAAGGTCCCTAGAACCTCGTAAGCCTTTAGGAGCCCTCTGAAGCCTCTCCAAACCTCCCAAAGTCTTTTGAAGCCCCCTAAAGCCCACTGAAGCCTCCCAAGTCTCATGTTTGTTCCAGATCCTGCTCTTCAACTCTCGCCTCAACCTTCTCCAACGGCGGACGCAACCCAGAAACCGGCGTCGCCACCACCGATCTCTACGGCCGTTGCACACGCTCACACTCTGGAACATCAGCCGCCGCTCCAGAAGCCGCTGGAGTCTTCGCTCTCGCCCTCGAAGCCAACCCGAAACTCACCTGGAGAGACCTCCAACATCTCACAGTTCTCACCTCCAGCCGCAACTCACTTTTCGATGGAAGATGTCGTGATTTGCCAGAGCTCGGAATCAAGGACAACAACAAGGATAGCAAGGGAAATTGCTCGCATTTCGAATGGCAAATGAATGGCGTCGGCTTGGAGTACAATCATCTTTTCGGTTTTGGAGTTCTTGATGCGGCTGAGATGGTTATGTTGGCAATGGTTTGGAAGACTGCACCACCAAGATATCATTGTTCAGCAGGAATCATTGATGTTCCACAGTGAGTTCTAAAAAAATATTCAAAAAATCTCAAAGTCCTAATGAGAATTTTTCAGTGAGATCCCAGCCAATGGCAACCTTCTCTTGGAAATCGACACCGATGGTTGTGCCGGAACCGCGACCGAAGTCAAATATCTCGAACACGTTCAAGCCGTCGTCACTTTCAACTCGACCCGACGCGGAGACACCACACTCTATTTGATTTCACCAATGGGAACCCGAACCATGATTTTGTCGAGACGACCAAAGGATGATGACAGCAAGGATGGATTCACCAATTGGCCATTCATGTCAACACATACTTGGGGAGAGAATCCGACCGGAAAATGGAGACTTGTCGCAAGATTCCAGGTGAGTACAATACAGTACTGTGGTTGGGAGAGGGGTGCGGTGCGGCTGCGTCGCGGTCTGAACACCTCTCTTATTGACCCGGTAGATATTTTTAATGCGTTGCGTGTGCGTCGCGGTCAGTGCTATACTATATAGCTTGCAGTTTGATGAGCGTTAAAGTTTTCTCGTTTGAAAAATTGATGTGCAGCGTATGCGTCGCGGTCATTACTGTACTGTAATCAAAATTACTTTTATCTTGTAAATTATAATGTTCAATGCGTTGCGTGTGCGTCGCGGGTTTATCTAGTTTTTTCAGTACCACTGCCTTTTTGCAAATAAAAATACTATCCGAGTTTCACAGTGAACCAGCACGTTGCGTGCGCGTCGCGGCTACATAATCAAAAAAACACATGTCATATTTTTCCAGGGCCCCGGTGACCATCGCGGAACCCTCAAGAAATTCCAACTCATGCTCCACGGAACCCGCGAAGCTCCCTACGATTCCATCGAAACCCTTCTCGGACAATCCAACAACAAACTTCACACTGTACAAAGCGCACACAAACGAAATCTCTAAATTTTTCCTTTTTTTGTACATTTTCCACAAATTTCTATCGTAGTTTTTTCCTTTTTTTCCTTTTTCCTTCTTCTTCCGGTGAATTTAATCTTCTTCTTCTTCTGAAATTTGTTAGATCTTCCGGGTGTGCACACATCATCGCCACGTGCCCAATTTGTTCCCCCCTCCCCCATTGAAAAATGTCATCCACATCATCAAAAAACAACACGTCGAACCAACTTTACTAATAAATCGTTCTCAATTGTTGTTCAAAATTCGAACAAAATTAAATATAGGTCAAAAAAATAATAAAAAATTGATAAGAATCTGACGTGAAACGTGTAAATTTTCCGTATAAAAATCGATTTTCACAGAGAGAAAATCAGTTTTTTATCCGGATTCTCAATGCTTCAAAAATCAATGCTTGTATTATTTAGTCAGGTGAGTTTTGACTTCTAGAAAAATTGAAACAGTGTGTTTTTTTGCAGTGAAGAAAAACGATCTTGGATGTGTTGCAAATATATATCGATGATGTGAAAGAACATCCGAGCAAGAGGATTTTTTGGAGTTTTTTGTAGTCAATAAATTTTTTGTTTTTGGTTTTTTGAGCACGGTATGGAGCTTGTGTGTCAAGTAGCCGTGCCTTGAGAATCTAGTTGTCTAGGGCCGGAGCCTTGAGATCTACTCAGACAAGGAGCCGCGCTTTCAGAGTCAATAGGATTCAAGCAGTCACGCCTAGAATTTCTCATTTTCCACAGAATTCGAGGATTTAGAAAGGCACAGTTCAAAATTTCAATTTTAAAAATTCTAGGGGCTAATATTCAAGCCATGTGCACTCAAAACCTCAAATTTCCTCAAAACCCCCCCCCCAAAAAACTCACATTTTCTCCAGTTTTCCTCGAAATTCACAATCATTTGACCAAAATTCGCTTCAATAATTGTTTCCATCATTTCGCTGACGATTTTCCTGTAATATAGAAATATATAAAGTGACCCAAAAGTAAGAAAAATTCAAGAAAGTACATTTTTTCATAAAATATCTTTTTGAGCACAAGTTTTTGTATAAAACTATCGAAAATCAACTGAAATTGTGTTAATTGTATTAGGAAAATAGAAAAATATGAATTTAACAACAATTTTCATTCAAATTCATGGAAAAACAACAAAAAATAGGCGAATAAAACATTTTCGAAAAATAAAAAAAAACAAGAAAATAAAAGTAGAAATGGAAGTGCGCCCTATTGATAAAAATCGCATGCCGCGCACTCTTTCAAAAATATGTGTGTGTTTTTCGTTATTGTTGCTGTTTTATTTTGTTTTTTGTGATTTCGTAAGACTCATTTCATCTGAAAATCTGAAAATTTGACTGATGCTTGATTTTTTTTTAATTTTCAGCAAACCTCTTTTCCCATTATTAGTAATTTTCATGTAGAATTAATTGAAAAATCTTGACGCTTCATATATTTAGAAATTGAAGTTAGGAAAATTTATTCTTTGGCCCTAAAAATTTTTTGGGCCTTAAATTTATGCTCCCGGCCCAAAATCCTCATATCCATCGTCCATTTTGACCGGTTTTTTCTGGTTTTGGTCTTCCGGATCTTTCGAGATACTTTGCGGCTCTTTTTTGTTGGCAGATCGGCCCAATGATGTGATTTTCTGGAAAAAGGGATTTAGGCTACTTTAGGCTTTTATTTAGGCCCGTTCAAGGCTCATTTAGGCTCTTATTTAAGCTCACTTAACATCAACTTTAGGTCCTCATTTAGGCTGCTTAAATTCTTGAAAATTTCCAAATTTTTACACTAAAAAGTCCTTACTTCAATTTAGCTTAGGCCAAATTCAGACCTAGCTTTAGGCTCATCTTTAGGCCCATATTCAAGTCCAGTAAGGCCTAGCTTTAGGCTCATTTTCAGGCCTACCTTTTCCTCTCTACTCGGTGTCTTCTTTTCCTTTTCTCCTTCTTTTCCTCCTTCGGTTTTTCCTCTTCTTTTTTCTGAACTTCTTTCTCTTTCTCTTTTTCCTTCTCTTCAGTTTTGCTTGGGGTTCCAGGCCGCGCGGCAACCCTTTCCGCTGCCTTTTCCGCACTCAACCTCTTCTTCTCCCCTTTTTTGGGTTCCGCAGGTGTGTTGGATTTAACGGGTGTCTCAGTGGTCCTGAAATAGGCATGTTTGGTGTCAAAATGCTCCAAATTCGGTGCCAATTCTCCCACTTTGACGTTTTTTTCTTCGTGTTTTTGTCCAACCCACTGCCTTTTTTCGGCTGCTCCTCATTACTGTTCGTTTTATAGTATTCACTTCGATCTTTTTTGCTTCGATTCACACTTGACTTCTTTGGTGTTGTGCCTTTCTTCATTATTCAAAACAATGATGATTAAATGTACTGAAATTGAATTTTGGTCTGATTTTTAGGCCCAAATTTGAGACTTTTCACTCACCTCTTTAAAGTTTGGGGGGGGTTTTCTAAAGAAATGACGATTTTTCGGCGGCGCTAACTTTTTATAGACTCAAAAATGAGCTGGCATTTGGAATGTCACGTGAGTAATATTTTTCTAGACTGAAATTTTGAGCTGAAATTGGTGGAATTATTGATTTTCAGTGATTTTCAGCACAAAATTTAAGGTTAGAAGAACATTTTGAGCTTCTGCAATTTTCTATAAAAAATAATAGAAAATTTTGAAGGTCATTAAAAAATGAATTTAAAAATTTTTCTAGACTGAAATTTTGAGCTGAAAATGCTGGAATTATTAATTTTTAGCAATTTCAAGTGCTTCCAGCATTTTTAGCACAAAATTCGAGTCTAGAAGTGATTTTTTAGGCTTTTGGAATTTTCCATGAAAAAAGTTCACTTATGATCATTAAAAAAAATTAATTCAAAAACTTTTCTACACTCAAATTTTGTGCTGAAAATGCTGGATTCATTGATTTTCGGCAATTTTGAATAGTTTTAGCATTTTCAGCACAAAATTTGAATCTAGAAGTGATTTTTAAGCTTCTGGAATTTTATGTAAAAAAAAAGTTCCAATATGAACATTAAAAAAATGAATTTCAAAACTTTTCCAGACCAACATTTTTTGCTGAAAATGCTGGAATTATTGATTTTCAGAAATTTCAAGTGTTTCCAGCATTTTCAGCACAGAATTCAGGTCTAGAAGTGATTTTAAGCTTCTGGAATTTTCTACATAAAAAACGGTATACAAAATTTTGTAGATTATTAAAAAATTAATTTCAGAACTTTTCTTGACAGAATTTTTGTGCTGAAAATGCAGGAATTATTGATTTTCAGCGAATTTGAATGTTTTCAGCATTTTCAGCACATAATTCAGGTCTAGCAGTTATGTTTGGAGTTCTGCGATTTTCTGCAAAAATAATCTACAAAATTTTGTGGATCATTAAAAAAAATAAATTTCAAAATTTTTCTAGACTGAAATTTTGTGCTGAAAATGCGGGAATTAGTGATTTTCAGCAATTTTGAATGTCTTCAGCATTTTCAGCACAAAATTCAGATGAATTTTGGGCTTCTGGAAATTTTTATACCAAATTGAAGTTTTTGACCAGAAGATGGTGTTCAGCGGCTCCAAAATCCTTTTCCCATACATTTTTCAATCAAAAAACTATTGCCCAAGTTCCCATAAGTTTTTTTGCCACAAAAAATTGCACGAAAAAAACGATATGTTTTGTTTTGAATCTCTCTTATCATCAACGCGACAATTTTCATTTATTTTTGGATATTTTTTTCCACTCCCTCGAAAAAAAAATGTCCTTCGCTAGTTTTTATCGAAAACGCTGTGCTCAAAAATTCATTCTCGCCTATTTCAAGCACATAACTCTCCGAAATCCCAACATTTATCACGAGGATTTTCAGAAAATTGAGAAGGGCGTGCTCACTCAGACTTATCGTAAGTTTCTTTTTTTCTTGGCAATAAATTTTAATCTCTAAAGATTTTCAGAAGGCGCTGTAAATTCACTGCTCTCCTTATCATCTGAAAATCTCGAGCCCTACTACAGTAGCCTGGATGCGATGCTGAATTATTCATATCTGGAATGGGAAATCGAATTTCAGACAATTTTTGTCAGACAACGGGAAAATGGACTTCTGGAAATTCGCCTGGATCATTCGGATTCTTCATTTTTCCTGAAATCCGATGAGAATGTTGAAGGAGGTTTCAAAATTGTGTTGATTGTTGTTTTTTAATGTAAGTTTTTCATAAATTTTGTGATTTTTACTGAAGTTTTTATTCAAGATTGAAAAAAAAATCTAATGTCTAACATACTTTAGCATTTTATAACCACCCTCAATATTTTCATCAGTAACAATGAAAATCGAATTATTTTGAGATTTTCGAATTTCCAAAACTCCAAAACCAACATCTTCAACAATTCGATCCCGCCATTCCGAATCCCAATCCGAATTTGTAAAATTTTTCATAACTTCTACACCTTCCTGAAGTTGATTGATTGTTTCTGCGCTCAAATTTTGCATCGTAGTTACTGCATCTTCTGAAACTGAAATTTTCCAAGGAGAGAAAAAAAAACTGGAACTCACGATAACTTTGAGTCTGCACACCATTTTTGAATTTCGCAAAATCCTCATGTAAAATATCCGGATTTTTGGAAATGTAGTGCTCATAAAAGGCTAGAAGAAATCCTTGAGCACGCTGTTTTAGAGTTAACATTCGATGATTTTTTTTTTCGAGAATGATTCATTTGTCCACAAAATGTTTTTATTACAACAACAAAAAATCTTATGGGAATTTGAAAAGGGCACAGTTTTTTTCTGTTGATGTGAGAAAATTTAAAAAATCATTCATCGTCAACAAGCGGAGTGTCGTTGTACCGAATTTGAAGCCACTGTACTAACCTCGATTTTCATAGTTTTTTTGCGAAAATCAAGAATTGACACCAGAAACATCAAAGGAAGTGCAATTTCTGGAAGATAATTAATAATCCCCAAAAGTGATATCAAAAACATCAGATTATCAATGTCTATAACACTTTCTAGAATTGTTATCGTTTCGAAAGAAATGCAAATAATTCCGTAGAACAAAACTGTAACCAAGAGTTGCGCGAAGATTTTTTGCTCGGCATTTCTAGAAAATACCATATTTGATTGTTTTCTTAAAAATCGGAACAAAATGATATAGCAAATTGTGGAACCAAATGGAAATATATAGAAGATTCTTCCGATCATTGTTTGATAACCATCGGAATTTTCACTGAAATCAATGAATCCGGCGTCATAGTAGAAAACTCGCTTGATTTTTGAGCTTCGAATACTGATTATTGTTGCTAGAATTGAAATTGAGAATGATATCAGGACTGCGATCAGATAGGAATATCCTTCAAAGATCAAATCATTCCAATATTTCGAAATAAAGCATAAACATCGATTTAGAGACATCAAAAATATCAAAGTGAATAGGAAAAAACTGAAGAAAAAATCTGAATATACAGCATTTCGCATGTGAATTGCATAAGCTGCAGTATCATCTCTGTAAATTGCAGCGCCACTGTAATTCACAACATTATGTAGACAACGAATAATGATACTTATAGACATTATGAATAAAATCTTAAAGAATGGTCCATTTTTCAAATATCCCTTTTTAAGCAAAACATTCAGATTGATGAATTGCACAAGGAAATCAAAAATTGTCATACAAAACGGTGCTAAAAAATTGAATTGAAAAATTTCGATACCATCAAATGTCCAAGGAATGTATTTGCAAAGATTTGGGTCTTTTTGACAATCTGGAACTGGTTGACCACCGGTAAAAGTTGGAAAATAAGGGAATATTGAGATGTTATAAGTTGGCGCAACCATATTTTGAAGGAAAAAAATAAGAGATTTTTTTCTGAGAACAATGAGTAGGGTATTATTATAGGGGCTTGACATTTTGCGGCGATAAAACAAAAAAAAATGTTCAAAGTTTGAAAAATAAAAAAAGGCGGACACAAGCGTCAACAAACGGAGTGTCGTTGTTTTTCTTCCCACAAAACCCCCCGCTCAAACGAAAAAATTCATTTTTTCAAGTATATTTTTCAAAAATGCTCAATCAAAATCTATGGTGGCGGTGCTCCCCAATCGGATTTCGCATCATTGATTGTCTCATTGTCATCGGCATCGCGTGGCTTCAATTTCGGACCGCCGGCGGCTTTCGGTTGATCGGCTGTCGATGATTTGGCGGCGCCATCTTCGCTGATTTCTTTCGGCTTCAATTTTGCCGCCTCATTTTTTTTCGAACATTGTTGCGCAATGAAAACGGTGGGAAGCATACATACAATTAGCGTCCACATTATTCAAAAAAGAATTCTGGAAAATAAAGGGGGGTTACAGTAATCTGTTGGCTGTCTACAGTACTCTTCCCGGGGGGAACTCACTTGGAATAAATCTCCAGTTTCGATCTGTAATATAGGAAGAAATAATTGATTTTGACAAATTTCTCGATTTTTATAGCCCAAATTTTTTCACGTGAATGAAATTGGGTTTTTGGGACACGTTTCGAAATGTTTTTTTTTTGCGTTTTGAATTTTTTTTTTTCACGAAATCTCCAAATTTTCAAGAGCAATTATAATGGAGCAAGACCTCCTGAGTCATTCCAAAAGATTTTTTTTTTCAAAAAAATTTTTCCCCAAAACCTTTTTCAAGGTTCCCACAAAAAACCAGTTTTCATTTTTATTATTTTTCTTTTCAAAAACTTTTTTTTCGACAAAAAAAACTTGTTGATATTGATATTGAAAATGAATTTTTTCATTTTCATTATTACGAAAATTTTCAATTTTACATTGGGTTCTAATGAAAAATGAAAATTTCAGACCTAAATATTTTTTTCCAATCAAAAAAAATGATCATAAATAAAAAAAAGAGACAATCATAAAACATTTTTGTCTGATTATCTCTGCGTCTCTCACTTTCCCCATACTCTCTCTCGCTATCCTGCCATATCCAGAAATATTTATATCTTTATTAATATTTATTGATCTTCGATTTTTCTCCAAAATATTGAAATTTTTATGGTAAACACAAAAGATTTGCATTTTATTTAATACCCTTTTGATTTTTTGAATTTTATTTTTTATTCTCCACATTTTTTTGTCTAGTTGTGAGGGAGTTAGGCTAATTTTTCTCTAAAATTCTTCATTTTCAGATGGATTTTCAAACTGAAAAAAAGCCAAATATTGCGCCGAAACGCCCATTTCTAAAAGCCAAACATACTCCACCAATTGGCCTCGCACTTCTATATGGCTTTCAGCAAGTTATGGTTTGCGTTTCGGCGCTTCTTACGGTGCCGCTTCTAATGGCGCAAGAATTATGTGCGGGAAGTAGTATTGGTGAGTTTCTGGCGGATTTTTTGGTGTATTTTTTGTGACAGATATTTTTTTCAAAACACAAACTTTTTTCAACGAAATCCTCTCTCAAAAATAAATCATCAAACATCAGAAAATAGTTTCCTGGTCTTCATGTTTTTCAACTAGACTCTAGTTATCATTCGATTTTGTGACGGATTAGCCACAGGTTCTGCAAAAAATTTAAAAAAAAATAGAAAAATATTACTGTAGCACGCAATTGTGTGCAAACACACGTTTGTCACTTTGCGGACAGGCGTTGGCAAAAATTTTCATTTCGCAAAAAAAAAGGTTTTCAATGAGTTTTCGAGTGAAAATGAAAGTGAAAAGGTGAGTTTCAGGATTTTAAACCAAAATTCAAGCTGCCAACCAAAAAATCTCGAATTTCCAGCGCGACTTCGTCAAACTCTCATCAGTTCAACATTTGTGAGCAGCGGACTTTCGACAATCATCCAAACTTTGTTGGGAATGCGTCTGGCACTTCTACAAGGCACAGCTTTCGCCTATGTTCCGTCGGTTCAAGGATTTTTCAAGGAATATAAAAGTTGTAATGCGACGGAAGAGGATTTTGTGCCGGAAGAGGTTTATTATGAGCGATTGGCACTTTTGCAAGGTAAAAATTGGAATTGAGAGAAAGCCTAGGCTGGAAAATTATTTAAATCAATATTCAGCTAGAATTTCTTCACGAAAAGTACATATGAAAATTTGAAAAAATTCACTGTTTCAATTTTTCTATATTATTTTTGGTATTTTTTAAAACCTGTTTAACGATTTCTCAACTAATTTCATTCAACCCATAATCCAGAGTTAGGATAACTCAAAATCGACAAAATTAAATTCCAGGTTGTCTAATCGCCTCATCCTTTGCTCCAATGCTCATCGGAGCCACGGGAATTGTCGGAGTCCTCACAAAATTCATCGGACCACTCACAGTCTCGCCATTAATGATGCTCTTAGCTTATAGTCAAGTCGAAACAATGGTAGATCGTGTAACTCAACATTGGGTGGCTGTTGTTCAAGCTGTCACACTTTTCGCAACAATTTTATATTTGGCCGAGTTGAAGGTTCCGATTCCGAGATTGAGAGATGGCAAATTTCATTGGTATTATGTGGATATTTTTGGACAATATCCGGTTGGTTTTTGAGGGGAAATTTTCGACAAAAATCCAGAATTATAAATTTAAAAAATTTGGTTCAAAAATTCCATGAATTTTCTACGTTTCAAAATTTTTTAAGGAAGTTGTAGAATAAAATCGAGTAGTGAATCATCAGTTTTTGAATTTAGAATTTCAGAATCTTCTGAAATTTTAGATCTGAAAACGCCATTTTATAGACTGATTTTAATTTGATTTTAAAAAAATTCCGGAACTTTTTTTTGTTTATGAAATTCCCCTAAAAATTGTACCCTAATTAAGGTCGCTTAAAAAATTCCTAAATTTTCACTGTTTCAAAAATTTAGGATGATAAATAGCAAGTTTTTCACTCTGATTTTCAAATTTACTATGATTTATTTCAATAGGAAACATTCAATTAATTTTATTGATCAGATTCCTCAGCAGCTTTTTTGACCAATTTTGAATTTCCAGCCATTTCTCTTGATTTCACAATTCTTCTGATATTCCCAGGTTTTTGATATACATCTGTTGTGTCATTAAAATCACAATTCCCCATAATACATAACATTTTGTTGTAGAGAAAAATATGAGAATATTTGTTGGAAAATGTTGCGAAGTTTCAGGTTTTATAGGAAAATTTGAATGATTCATTCTGAAAAAGTAAATAAATAAGATTATCAAATTAGGATTACGTGGAACCGATTTTCGTTGAAATTCTAACTCGAGGAAAACTGGTTTTGAAAATTTTGAGATTCAAAAATCACGATTGGTTTTTGGTGGACCAGAAAATTGGGAATTTTTCAAGATAATAATACTGTTCTAAATATTTTGAATTTAGGAAAAATTTAAAAAATTTTCAAAATTTTTCACTGTTTCTGAAAATTCTTATGACCTTTTTTTGAACCTTTAAATGTCGCTTAACCAAACACAGAGGGGTTTTATTATTTTTCAACATAAATTAGCGAAATAGTTTTATTTTTCAAAATGAAATGGTTTTTTTCTCGAATTTTCACTGTTTCAAATAACTTTAATTAACATCTGAAAAATAATTTATTCGATTAGATACACTGTTAATGTTTTTTACTAGATTCCTGTTGATGTAAAAATGTTCAGTTGGATTTTTAAATTTTGAAAGCTCACAAGAATTTTTTGCTGTTTCAAAAAATTCCTAAATTTTGGAATGTTCTAAATTTCTTCGATGAAAAATCGTTCGTTTGAATCAAATCAAAAATAGTTTTTAAACTTTTTTTTCCCCGAAATGTTCACTGTTTCAAACATGTGTTATTCAAAAAAAACAACTTTATTCAATTTCGTTTTTCAAAAATCCAATTTAGTGATTAGATTTCTCAGCTTCATTGACCAAACTTGAATTGTGAATCGATTTTCTGGAATTCACCAATCTTCTGATATTTTTGGCGGAATTTCGGCGAAGTTCACCTGAATTTTCAGGAATATCAAATGGAACATGAATCATTTTTAGTATTGAACAAAATATGAAAATTTCATAGAAAATGCTGTGAATTTTCGACTTTTATATCAATTTAGAGAGAATTTTGAAACTGGTTTTGAAAAGTTGTAGACCCAAAAAATCACGAGAAAATGTTTTTTTTTTGGGAAAAATCTTGCCGGAAACTCTTGATTTTTGACCGAAAATCAGTTAGAAAATAATTAATTTTTTTTCCTATTTTTTCACTGTTTCAAAAATTTATGATAAAAAATAAAAGGTTTTTCAATGTGATGATGCAATTTCCTTGCAATACAAAAAATTAAACTTTATTCAAAGAATGAAACATTCAGATTTATTTATTTAGATTCCTCAGCAGCTTCTTTGACCAAACTTGAATTTCCAGCCATTTTTCTTGAATTCACCAATCTTTTGATATTCCCAGATTTTTGTAGTTCCACTTCTTCAACTACAAACTCATAAAAATATCCACGAATACATAGCATTTTGTCAGAAAATCCTCTGATTTTCCAGGTTTTATAGGAAATTTTTCAGCCGGGTCCTTTTAGTCCAAAAAATTATCAAATTAGAGATAAGTGGAACCGATTTTTGTAGAAACTGGTTTTGAAAATTTTTGATCCGAAAATCATGGGTTTTTTACGTTTCAGAAAAAAATAAGATAAGTTCTGCAAATCTGAAATTTTAACTGAAAGTTAGGAAAAATCTGAGCTCTTCAGATTTTTTGGTAAAAGTTTTTCACTGTTTCAAAAATATTATATAGTCCAGTAAACATAATAAAAACAGTTGGATCCTTTTGTATTCAAAAAAATCAGATTTTTTCAATCAGGAAACATTCAATTTTATTGATCAGATTCCTCAGCAGCTTCTTTGACCAAACTTGAATTTCCAGCCATTTTTCTTGATTTCACCAATCTTCTGATATTTCCAGGTTTTTGATATACATCTGTCGTGTCATTAAAATCACAATTCCCCATAATACATAACATTCTGTTTTAGAGAAAAATTTGAGAATATTTGTTGGAAAATGTTGCGAAGTTTCAGGTTTTATAGGAAATTTTGAATGATTCATTCTGAAAAAGTAAATAATTAAGATTATCAAATTAGGGATAAGTGGAACCGATTTTGGTTGAAATTTTAACTCGAGAAAAACTGGTTTTGAAAATTTTCGAAGTTCAAAAATCACGATTGGTTTTTGGTGGACCAGAAAATTGGGAATTTTTCAAATATTTTTGAATTTAGTAAAAATTTAAAAAATTAATTTTCAAAATGTTTCACTGTTTCGGAAAATTCTCATTCATTCCACACCTCGGCCAAGCCGTGGCTGTCCAGAGTACAATTTTTTTAAAAATCTGAATTTAAGTTTTTAGAGGTCAAAAATTAAAAAATCACAACTTTTAGAGGACAAAAACTGAAAAGTTCACAATTTTTGTACTGTAAAAAGTTAGCGTACAATTTTTTATTGTGGAAACCACGATTTTGGCCGAGGTGTGATTCATTCTGAAGATTTTGAAAATATTAATTAGAAAATTGCTTTTCCGAAATTTCAGAGTCTGAAAATTTCTTCATTCGCTCCACAAAAATTCACTTTTTCAAAAATTATACAAGTTTCTTCAATTTTTCGAAATCGTAATAATTCGTCAACAAAAAGCGAAATATGTAGTTTTATTTGTGAAAAAATATTTTTTCCTCAAATTTTCACTGTTTCAAATAACAATAATTAAAATCTGAAAAACAATTTATTCATTAAAGCAGGATCAATTTCAACGTTATTTATTAGATTTCTCAGTTTGTTGAATCGAATCCGTTTTCGGCAACTTCGAAAAATCCCTAGTTTCATCAGTCTCCTTTGCCAAATTTCGTTTTCTAGTTATTTCACTCGATCTCACATTATCTTCCTCGATTTCTTGAATCGAATCCGTTATCGGCATACTGATCAAAGTTGTCTTCCAAAGTGGTACTGTAGTACTTTTAGAGACGGTTGATTTCGGTTTAATGGACTGAAATTCTTCTGTTTTTCCAATTTCTCCTTCAAAATATTGAAATTCTCCTGATTTTCCAATCTCTTCTTCAAAATATCCAGGATAATCTTTTAGCTTAAAACAAGATATCATTTTTTCATCAGAAAAATAAGAAGTTGTTGGAAAATGTTGCGAAGTTCCAGGTTTTATAGGAAATTTTGAATGATTCATTCTGTAAAAGTAAATAAATAAGATTATCAAATTAGGGATAAGTGGAACCGATTTTGGTTGAAATTCTAACTCGAGGAAAACTGGTTTTGAAATTGATTTTCTGGATTCAAAAATCGGTGATGTCAATTCCCAACCCGGTTCATAATAGTAATATTTATGTTAGTTAGAAAGAAACTAAAAACAACAATAATAATATTTAGCGTTCTCCTTTTATAGCATAGTTTGTTGTGATGATACATCCTTCAGTCGAACATTACGATTTGTCATACAAACATTATTTTTGGTGAATATGTTTTCTTTCTGTTGATCAGAAGATCAACACACTCCTAACAGAAAAAGTGAAGGTGTAGGTTGGTTGTTTCAGCTATACATAAATATAAGTTGTACCAAATGAATAAATCCAAAATGGCAAGTGATATATTCCGTCTGTTCTTTTACTGTTGCTTGTGATAGCAACACCCTCCTAACAGAACAAGTGAAGGAGGATGACGTTTCCGATTCAAATTCGAGTAGATTCCAAACATGTGAAAACGAAGCAAGAGGGTTGTAGTGATTCCAAATTTACTATCAGTTGAGAATAAATAGTCCGATGCAAATGCAATATATATCTTTCCGAGTCGACAAAAATGTTTTCTGGTGAAATGAGGTGGCAGGCAATGTAGGCAAAAAAGTAAGCAAAATAGTCCAGGTAGGCATTTTCCGATGCGCTAAGTGACAAGTTCAATATTGGTTCCAAGTTCAATATAAGTTCCATGTTGGAGGTCAAATCCAAGCATTCTCTAGTTGGAGGTCTAATCCAACTTCATTTTCCAAATAGCTTCCGCTAGTGGATCTCAGGGTCCTCCACAACACTCCAGGCCAATTGCATTTTGCATACTCCGATTGATAGAAGGAGATGGATGTCGGGTTTTCATTTGATCTGATCTTCTGTTTTCGGAAATAGCATTGTTCTCTAATAATTGTGTCATAACTCTTGGTTCTTCGTGGTCTTCTGACTTCTTTGGTTGATAGTTGGTAATTTTTCGAATATAGATTTTGGTGAATCGGGAACCGGGTTGAGCTAACGTATGGGTCACCATGTCAATTCCCAACCCGGCTCATAATAGTAATATTTATGTAGGATAGAAAGAAACTAAAAACAACAATAATAATATTTAGCGTTCTCCTTTTATAGCATAGTTTGTTGTGATGATACATCCTTCAGTCGAACATTACGATTTGTCATACAAACATTATTTTTGGTGAATATGTTTTCTTTCTGTTGATCAGAAGATCAACACATTTTGGTGGGAAATTATCGGTTGTTGGCCCAGGAAGTTTTTGAAAAAATTATTTTATCGATCAATTTTTCACTGTTTCAAAAAATACTTATCAAAAGAAAATTTTAAAAATATGGAATCTGTTTAAACATGAGTTGTTTCAGAAAAAAAACATAATCGGAAAAATTTTGAATAATAATTTTTATCGATAATTTTCACTGTTTCAAAAAATGCATTCATTTTCTTGAGAACATTTGAAGTCGCTTTTCGAAAACAAATTCTTCGCAAAATAAATTTCACTGTTTCAAATAATTTACATATTCCAATAATTTTCTGTACATTAATCTGAGTTCGAACTTATCATCATTTTGAAAATGAAAACTAAAATTTGGGAATATGAAATTTTTTCTTGAAAAACATGAAAAACAAATTTTTCACTGTTTCAAAAACATCACATAATTTTCGAAAGAAAAATGCCTGTAACTCGTCAAAGGTCAGAAATATATTTCACTGTTTCACAAAACCCAATAGTTTTTACAATAATTTTCTGTGTGGTAAATATAGGAGGGTATAAAAATAAAAAAATGAAATGGTCGATCTAAAATATGAGATTTTTTGAACATTGTTGTGAAAACAGAAAAATGATAGCTAAAATTTGAACGGTCAAATTTCAGCGAGTAGGAAAGAGCCTGATATCGACACGCTGAAGTTATTTGATTCATTTTCGAGTTTTATTTGTTGTTTTTAACGCATTGTTTTTAAAATAAAGTTGAATTACAGTATCATTCATTTATTATGAGAAAAAAAAACAAAAATAAAGTTTTCAAGAAAAATGAGTATTTCAAATTATTTAAAACTTATGCGTCGACTTTGATGAAACGAAGAGCATTGGACGTCGGAAGTACCTGTAAATTATTTTTAAAATAAATTTAATTATTGGAACAGTTTCTTTTTTGTTCAATTGTTTTTGTTCTCTTTCAGAAAAATGTCCAAATTTCAAATGTTCAAAATTTTGACATTTTTTAAACTCATTTTTTCATTCAGAAAAATGTTAAAATTTTGAACATTTGAAATTTGGACAAATTTTGAACATTTGAAATTTGGACAAATTTTGAACTCGATTTTTTCACTGAAAAAATGTCAAAATTTTGAACATTTGAAATTTGTACAAATTTTGAACATTTGAAATTTGGACAAATTTTGAACTCGATTTTTTCACTTAAAAAATGTCAAAATTTTGAACATTTGAAATTTGTACAAATTTTGAACATTTGAAATTTGTACAAATTTTGAACATTTGAAATTTGGACAAATTTTGAACTCGATTTGTTCACTTAAAAAATGTCAAAATTTTGAACATTTGAAATTTGTACAAATTTTGAACATTTGAAATTTGTACAAATTTTGAACATTTGAAATTTGACTGTTTTTCAAAGGATATATGTTTTTTATGGAGAAGCACTCTTAAATGAAAACCAAAATTAAACTAACCTTTTTCTCCGGGCCAATATCGCTGATCCATGTGTTGAGTAGTCGATCAGAAGATTGCGGTCTGAAAAATTGATGTAATCTATTATTGAACAAAACATTTGATTTTTGCCAGTTACAGTCAAAATTCACTGCGACTGAGAACTGAATTGCGCCCTGTTTGTCTTGTTATGATACTAATTCATTTTTTTAATAGTTATTTTTGTAAATACATAGTCGAAATTCTTTTCTAAATGGATTTGACACAGCATGTCAAAGATCAATCAGTAAAGTCATAAGGAAACAGAGAAATTATATGATCCGAGAAACGAAATCTAGCCGGCTGCCATGTATTTCACTTTTTTATTTGAAATAATCTTATTTTTAAGTGGAAACATAAGAGGTTCACGTGGAAACGTCTTATGCTCTCGAACTATCTCAGAGATTCGCTGGCCAGCTCGCCACCAGATCGCTGCGGCCACCTGGAAACCGCATGGCCGCCAGGTCGCCTTGAGTTTTCCGGCGACGTGGCCTGTGTGTTTGAAATTCTGGAAAGCTGGCAAGATAGTGGTTTGTACTCAAAACACTGCATTTTCTAATGTTTTTTCACTTCCTAAGGTTTCAAGTGCTGCGAAAAAACAGAAAATGAGCCAAATTTTTTCGAAAATGGCTCAATTCACAAGCTTTTCAGACATTTTCATGAAAATTCATTTTGACGCGGCGAAGTGGCCACCACATGGTAGCCATGTGGGCTTGACCTAGCCAGGGCTTGGCCACCTTGCCAGCGAAAAAAACCGGGCGACATGGTTTCCATGGGGTTCCCAGGTCAGCCAGCCTCCCCACCTGGTGGCGAGCTGGCCAGCGAATCTCTGAGATCACCCATTACCAATTTTCAAAGAACTGATATATTGAGATTTAAATCATAATTTCAGGAAAAAATACCAAAAAAGCCCTTTTCCGTCTGGAGAATTAATGAACTTATTTCTTCTATGAATACCCATTAATAAAAAAAACTAACCAACACAAGTCACGAAACGAAGTTGGATTTCCATTATGAATCGCATCACTTTTCTTCAAATCCCTGGAATTGAAAAATAACACTTTCTTAAAACTTTTTCTTTTGAAAACTAACCAAAAATCATTGATTTTGATAAATCCAACACGGCTATTGATTCGCATTGTTGGAGAGACTGAAAATCAAATAATTCGATGAAAAGAAACTGTTTAAAACGAGCCGAAAAGGAAGAAAACGGAAGAATGAGAAATGGGGAAAAAAGAAAAAGAAAATTTTTGTGTGCAATTGTGCGTCACCGTGTTAACACGCAACCTCATTTTTTCTTTTCTTTTTTCACTTTTTTTTTGTTTTTCTCGTTTTCGGCGAATTATCATGTATTGAAAGAAAAGAAACTGTGTACGCAGCAGAATACTATTTTCAAACGTCGAATTTCAACCGAACAAACAATTCAGCAGCGTAAAATTGCTTTTTGCCCTACATTTTTGTTTTTATAACAATCATTCATGAAAGTTCTTTTTTTTTTACTCTTGTTTCTTCTTATTTCAAATAATACATCGATAGATTTTCAACCTTAATATTTATATTTAATAAATTAACGAGGGAAATGTGTTAGCGCCCCCTTAAATTTTCAATAAGTTATTCGATCAAGTTTCTCGCTGCAAAATTTTTATTTGGTCTAAGAGTTGAAGATCTATCGATATATTATTTGAAATAAGAAGAAACAAGAGTAAAAAAAAAGAACTTTCATGAATGATTGTTATAAAAACAAAAATGTAGGGCAAAAAGCAATTTTACGCTGCTGAATTGTTTGTTCGGTTGAAATTCGACGTTTGAAAATAGTATTCTGCTGCGTACACAGTTTCTTTTCTTTCAATACATGACCATTCGCCGAAAACGAGAAAAACAAAAAAAAAGTGAAAAAAAGAAAAGAAAAAATGAGGGTGCGTGTTAACACGGTGACGCACAATTGCACACAAAAATTTTCTTTTCTTTTTTCCCCATTTCTCATTCTTCCGTTTTCTTCCTTTTCGGCTCGTTTTAAACAGTTTCTTTTCATATAATTATTTGATTTTCAGTCTCTCCAACAATGCGAATCAATAGCCGTGTTGGATTTATCAAAATCAATGATTTTTGGTTAGTTTTCAAAAGAAAACGTTTTAAAAAAGTGTTATTTTTCAATTCCAGGGATTTGAAGAAAAGTGATGCGATTCATAATGGAAATCCAACTTCGTTTCGTGACTTGTGTTGGTTAGTTTTTTTTATTAATGGGTATTCATAGAAGAAATAAGTTCATTATTTCTCCAGGCGAAAAAAGACTTTTTGGTATTTTTCCTGAAATTATGATTTAAATCTCAATATGTCAGTTCTTTGAAAATTGGTAATGGGTGATAGTTCGAGAGCATAAGACGTTTCCACGTGAACCTCTTATGTTTCCACTTAAAAATAAGATTATTTCAAATAAAAAAGTGAAATACATGGCAGCCGGCTAGATTTCGTTTCTCGGATCATATAATTTCTCTGTTTCCTTATGACTTTACTGATTGATCTTTGACATGCTGTGTCAAATCCATTTAGAAAAGAATTTCGACTATGTATTTACAAAAATAACTATTAAAAAAATGAATTAGTATCATAACAAGACAAACAGGGCGCAATTCAGTTCTCAGTCGCAGTGAATTTTGACTGTAACTGGCAAAAATCAAATGTTTTGTTCAATAATAGATTACATCAATTTTTCAGACCGCAATCTTCTGATCGACTACTCAACACATGGATCAGCGATATTGGCCCGGAGAAAAAGGTTAGTTTAATTTTGGTTTTCATTTAAGAGTGCTTCTCCATAAAAAACATATATCCTTTGAAAAACAGTCAAATTTGAAATACTCAAAATTTGTACAAATTTTGAATGTTTCAAATTTGTACAAATTTTGAATGTTTCAAATTTGTCCAAATTTCAAATGTTCAAAATTTGTACAAATTTCAAATGTTCAAAATTTTGACATTTTTTAAGTGAACAAATCGAGTTCAAAATTTGTCCAAATTTCAAATGTTCAAAATTTGTACAAATTTCAAATGTTCAAAATTTTGACATTTTTTTAAGTGAAAAATTCGAGTTCAAAATTTGTCCAAATTTCAAATGTTCAAAATTTGTACAAATTTCAAATGTTCAAAATTTTGACATTTTTTCAGTGAAAAAATCGAGTTCAAAATTTGTCCAAATTTCAAATGTTCAAAATTTGTACAAATTTCAAATGTTCAAGATTTTGACATTTTTTTAAGTGAAAAAATCGAGTTCAAAATTTGTCCAAATTTCAAATGTTCAAAATTTGTCCAAATTTCAAATGTTCAAAATTTGTCCAAATTTCAAATGTTCAAAATTTGTACAAATTTCAAATGTTCAAAATTTTGACATTTTTTCAGTGAAAAAATCGAGTTCAAAATTTGTCCAAATTTCAAATGTTCAAAATTTGTACAAATTTCAAATGTTCAAAATTTTGACATTTTTTTAAGTGAAAAAATCGAGTTCAAAATTTGTCCAAATTTCAAATGTTCAAAATTTGTCCAAATTTCAAATGTTCAAAATTTTAACATTTTTCTGAATGAAAAAATGAGTTTAAAAAATGTCAAAATTTTGAACATTTGAAATTTGGACATTTTTCTGAAAGAGAACAAAAACAATTGAACAAAAAAAGAAACTGTTCCAATAATTAAATTTATTTTAAAAATAATTTACAGGTACTTCCGACGTCCAATGCTGTTCGTTTCATCAAAGTCGACGCATGAGTTTTAAATAATTTGAAATACTCATTTTTCTTGAAAACTTTATTTTTGTTTTTTTTCTCATAATAAATGAATGATACTGTAATTCAACTTTATTTTAAAAACAATGCGTTAAAAACAACAAATAAAACTCGAAAATGAATCAAATAACTTTGGCGTGTCGATATCAGGCTCTTTCGTACTCGCTGAAATTTGACCGTTCAAATTTTAGCTATCATTTTTCTGTTTTCACAACAATGTTCAAAAAATCTCATATTTTAGATCGACCATTTCATTTTTTTATTTTTATACCCTCCTATATACTAAAGGTTCACAAAATAATATTAACAATAAAATTGAATCATATTATCATGCAAATATTGTGCAAACGAATCTGAATTTTTAGCGTTGTAATATCTGAAGTTTTGAAAAATTATTAACTCAATGAATTTTTCACTGTTTCAAAAAATTGACATATTTTTTGAAAATTTTTCATTTGATCTTATCAGGTAAAATTTCACTGTTTCAACACAGAATCAAACATTTGTCAATGGAATACATTTCAATGTGAAGCATTCTCTGATTCTGCTCAGAAATCTGGATTTTTCTGATGAGGAAAAATCATCGGAATTTATTTTCTAAATATTTTTCACTGTTTCAAAAAAAAAACATAATTTGTTTTGAAACTTTCAAAACACTCTTAAGTAAATCAATTTTCACTGTTTCAAAAAATTCACAAATTGAAAAAATTCTGTTGAACTCGATCAATTCACATGTTTTCAAATCAAATTATTCTGTGTCTTTTCACTCTGTAAAATAAAATTCAACAAAACGTATTTATTCAAAAATTCGGCAACATTTCGAATATTTTAACTTTGATACCATTCAGCTTCAAGATCTTCCGGAACCCAGAAAAGAAATACCATTTTTCTTTGCAAAATAAGAAATCAAGAAATTAGTTCCAGAAAATTTTAAATGAACTTCTAATTGCACTCCGATCATTTTATACTCCCAAAATCTGGGAGACCACCTACCAGCTGATCAAAAAATAAATAAATGGAAAACTCAAGGTCATGAGTCAAATTAAACATGGTGGTCTGTTTTTTCTGGAAATCTGTAATTTTTTGAACTAAACCAACAAGAAAAACGTCAATTTGTAAATATTTATTCAACAAAACTCATTTATTTTTCAATTATGCTCGATCCAAATTTTGAAATCTTCTGGATCGAATGAAATCGGTCTGAAGCACATTTTTCTCTTGAATTACTTGACTAGACTTGAAATTTTGGTTTAAATCCATCAAAAAATTAGGTGGAACCGATTTCGCAGACAGTTTTAATTTGATAAAAATTAATTAATTTGGAAGAGGGTTCAAGAATCCAGGAAAGATTGCAAACCACAAAAATCAGGTTCAAATTGCAGAAATCTTGTGACGTGGCAAATAATACTCTGCGTCCCTGACCTAACTCTGGATCTCTAACTCTAACTCGGCCTTCCACTGCATCTATGACCTAGTTTTTCTCGTTTCTCTGGGCTCTGTGGTCGTAATTTCACCTATTTCCGCACTTTTTCTGCGTCTCTAACCCCATAGTCTCTAGATGTCTGACTCTTTGATTTTCTTTACGTTCTATTTTATGGCCTTTCGTTTCTCTGCGTCTCTAACCCTGTCTACATCTCTAGTTTTTCTTGATTTACCTCTTGTTCTCTAACTTTCCATAGTTTCTCTGCGTCTCTAACTGTCTAATCCTACTCTCCGTCTCTAACGTCCTCTGGTTCTCTAACCCATTTGTCTGGCTTATCTGTATGTCTAACCTACTCTAGCTTCTCAGCGTCTCCGATGTTTCTCCTTTCCCTAGCTCTACTCTAGCTTCTCTGCCGCTCTAACTTTCTCTTGATCTCTAACTTTTCTATTGTCAATAATAATTTTCAAAAGTTCGCCTCGGCGAGGAATCGAACCTTCGTATCTTATTTTGTAGTCCCATCCGTTAGCCACTAGACCACGCGAGCATTTCTAACATTGCTCATTTTATGATTTATATTTGACGTCATTTAGAAATGCTCACAGCAAAAAAGCATTTTTGAAAAAAAAATAAATAAAATTCCAACGTGACCCACATGAAAATCGTCATTTTTTTTTAAATTTTTCTCATTTTCCGATTTTCTGCCGCTGAAAATGATGGAAAACAACAAATTTATTCAATAATTTTTTAATTAGATTAGCAATTAATTAAGTAAGTCAGGCTCGTATTCGAATTCAGAAATCATTGGGATGAAAATCATGGTTTTTTAGAGAATGTAGTAGAATGTTCTGGAATTTTTTGCTGAAAATTTGATTTTTATACGCGCCAAAAAAGTGGAACCGATTCGATTCGGTCATGTGTTTTTCTTCTTGAGAAAAACAATTTTTTCCAAGTAAACAATAAAAAAAAAGTTTATTAAAGTCAAAGTTCTTAATTAAATAATTAATTAATTAATGAATATTAATTATGATCCAAAAATAATATCATTAAAATTGGGCTCGGTTGTCAAACATGTTCCAATGCAGCAAATTATTTGAGGTGGCAACATTTTTTAGATTTTCAAAAATAGAATTTAGAGCTAGATATTTGTTTTTTGAATTTGAAAAAAAAACGTTTTATACTCAACAAAAAGTCCACCCAAAAAAATCATGTGATTTAATTTTGAATCAAATTAATTGTCTACGTCACGACCTCCTTGAAGTCAGGTCAAAAAATCAGGTTTTTTAAGAGCGTCTGATTTTTTGTTGTTGTTGTTTTTTTGAGTGAGTCAGAAAGGATCAAAATGAAAAAGGTCGTTTTGAGTTTGGGACGTTTTTTGATGTTTGAATTTTTTGGACTTTTGGGGAATTTTAAAGGTACATGTGGATTTTTAGGTGGAAATTGACGATTTTCTTGAACAGCTGAAAATCACTGAAAAAAAGGTCTGAAAATTTTCAAAAACTTTTTTTGAATCCTTAAAATAAACCTTAAAATTTGAAAACTTCAAAAATTCAGAAATCTGGGAAAATTTGAAGTTCTCAAAGTTTATCCTACAAAATTGTTTGAATAAAAAAGTTTCAGTATGATCTAAAAATTCTAACGGAAATCTGAATTTTAATGGATTTTTGAGCTTAAAATTTTTGATCAATTTTAATTTTTAAACAAAGGAGCGTAATGCACTGAAAATGTGTAGGAATCGAAATTTTTGAAGATTTTCTGAAACAGTGAGATTTTTTTTACTCGCAGAAATTTCTTCAAAGTTTTGAAAATATTCAATATTTTTGAAACAGTGATTTTTCTTTTCTAATTTTTTTCACTGTTTCAAAATTTTGTTATTGAAAAATTGGATTTTTGGAATTTTGATTTAATATTAACTTCTTGGAGAATTTCCAGCTTTAAAAAATGGGAATTTCAAAAAGAAAATTATCTCTGAATTTGAAATAAGCTTCCCAAATACTCCTAATCCTTCTTTGAAAATTTTAAACTGGTTTTAAATAAAAATTTAGGTTGAAAATCTGAATTTTGAATTTTTCAAAAAACTTGAAATTTCAATAAATTTCAATAATGCGAAAACCCCTGGAATATAATTTTTTAATTTTTGAAAAATTTAAAATTAAAAAAAAATAAAGTTCCCAAAAACCCTCGCATTTTCCAGTACCTCATCGCCATCTGCACCTCCTGGCTCTTCTGCGTCGCTCTCACTCTCTTCAATCTCACACCCGAAGGCAGTGCCGCACGCGTCGACAAAAACATCTCAATCGCCGTCATCCGTGAATCGTCATGGCTTGAAGTCCCGTATCCTGGAAAATTCGGACCTCCTCAATTCAACACCGGCCTATTCTTGTTATTTTTGTTATCAGCGATGACGTCAGTGTTCGAAAGTGTTGGAGATTATCATGCGGCAGCTCGTGTGTCTGAAGAGAGACCTCCACCAAGTCACGCGATTAATCGGGGAATTCTTGCCGAAGGATTTGGAAGTTTGATTAGTGGGCTTTTGGGGCCTGGAGTTGGAATGACGACGCATACGGAGAATATTGGAGTGATTGGAGTGACAAGGGTGGCATCAAGGTGGGTCAAACTAGATTTTTTGTCAAATTTCTGAAATTTTTCATTAGGAAAAGTTTTACTGAAAAATCCTGAACTTTCTCCTGAAAATTCAAATTAGAAAATCCTGATTTTTTTGCATGGAAATGTTGATTTATCTGAAATTTTCAGATTTTTTGTATGAAAATTAAAACACGTGGCAAAATAAAATTAATAAAATACTTGAATTTTTTGCATGGAAATTTTGATTTTTCTGAACTTCTCAAATTTTTTTGAATTAAAATTGAGACACGTGGAAAAATAAAATTCGAAATTGAAAATTTTCCAATTTCTCATGCCACGTGGCGAAATCAAATTAGAAAATTCTGATTTTTTTCAGTTTTTCTAAACTTCATGAGGAAATGTTACAATTTTTCTGAAAAATAGACCAAAGCCAGCAAATTTTCATTATTTTTGGAAACGGTGCAAAAAATTGAATTTAACTCAAAATTGTGATTTTGTGTTTTAAATTTGTACTACATAACACATTCACCATAATATCGAAAAAATCTATAATTTTTTTGAAACAGTGGCATTTTTTGTAATTGTGACAGTGAAAATATAAAATAAAACCAAAACATTTCATAATTTTTTTGAAACAGTGAAGTTTTTATCTTTGAATTTCTGGGTTTTTTTGTTGAGAAATCAAAAAATTCCCCAAAACGTTTATTATTCTTTTGAAACAGTGAAAATAATTTATTCAAAATTTTTTTGGCGAAATAAAATTAGAAATTGAAATTGTTTTGAAATTTCTCACGCCACCTGGCAAAATCCAATTTTTTTGTTGTAAATTTTTATTTTTTCTGAAATTTTCCAGATTTTTTTGTACGTGGCAAAATAAAATCAAATTTCAAACTTCTCATGCCACGTGGTTAAAATACTGAATGTTTCTATTAAAATTCAAAAACTCCTTTATTTTCATAATTTTTTTTGGATTCGGTACAGACCCGCCCGACTCCTAAATTTTTGGTTCCAAAAAATGTCATTTTTTCCAGATGGACAATGGTTGTTGCTGGTCTCCTTTTGATTGTTCTCGGTCTAATCACCAAAGTTGGCGCCCTCTTATCCACCATTCCCGATCCTTTAGTTGGCGGTGTTCTGGCGTCTTCAATGGCTATGGTGGTTGGTGTAGCTGTCTCAAACCTCCAAATCGTTGACATGTCTTTGTCCCGAAATATGGGAATTTTTGGATTCTCAATGATGATCGGAATGATTGTTCCCTCATATTTCACACGTCTTCCTGTAAATTCAGGTTGGATGTGGTTCGATCAAACCCTGAATGTTTTGCTGAAAATGCCGATGTTTGTTGGTGCACTTTGTGCTTGTATTTTGGATAATTCGGTTGGCGGAGCGACACGTGAGCAAAGAGGATTGAGAGCGAGAGGAGAGATTTATGAAGGAGCATTGCATGAATGCACTTATAGTTATCCAAAGTGGGCGATGGATATTTTGCATAAGGTTGGTTTGGGTTTTTTTTGAGGTTAAAAATTTCATGAAAATTCAAATTTTCGCGAGTTTTTTGATTGCAAAATCGATAATTTTGAAGAAAACCGTGACTTCTAATAGTTCCCATCTGAAACAGTGATTTTTTTTGAAATTTTGTAGGATTTTTCTTCAAAAGAAAACTAGAAGAACTACTTTAAAATTCACTATTTTTGATTAAGAAGATTTGAAACAGTGAAATTTTGCAAAAAAAAAATTTCTTAAATTTTTGAACTCAAAAAATGTACCACTGAAATTTTCCACATTTTTTTTCACAATTTCACTGTTTCAACATCGAAAGTAAAATTCAATAATTCGAAAAATTGAAAAAAAATGTTTGAAATGCTCTTTTCAAGGTTCAGGATACTTGAATTCTTCAAAATTTTGATCCCAACATTATTGTCTCCTCAAATTTTCAGCCCGAAACCATTGAATTCCTTGAAAATTCATTAAAAAAAATTTAACAATTAGTTCTACCACAATGCGGTGTCCAAAGCAGAAAAAAAGTGAAAAAAACAGAAAAAAAACGTAAAAAGCTCGCGTTTTTTTGTAAAGGCGATGCAAACGGGTATCGCAACGAACAGAGAAATAGTGTGTGTAAACGAGAGAAACAGACAGTTCGACTTTAGAATGCTTTGTACGTTTTTTTCTGTTTTTTCACTTTTTTTCTTTTTTGGACACCGCATCAATGATCAGGAACTACCTTAAAATTCACTATTTTTGATTAGGAAGATTTGAAACAGTGAAATTTTGCAAAAAAAAATATTCTAAAATTTTTGAACTCAAAAAATATACCACTGAAATTTTCCAGATGTTTTTTTTTCCTGAAAAATTTCACTGTTTCAACATCGAAAGTAAAATTCTGAACGTTTTTTTTCAAATCAAAATTCAAAAATTTCTGTGCTAAAAATCAGAATTTTCATAACTCTCTAAAAATTCAGGATTTCGAAATTTCAGCTCAAAATTTACTTGAATTTTTCAAAATTTTGATCTCAAAATTATTGTCTCCACAGAACTCCCCAAATTTTCAGCCCTAATTCATCTAAAATTATTTTTTCCAGATTCCCCTGGTCAAACATCTTCCATGCACTCCAAAAGAAAAAAAGAGCACAAATCGAATCAATATTCAAACAAATCAAGAAGAAATTCGAATGTAGCATAGATTTTTGTGAATTTTCCCACAGCTCACTCACCGGTGCCTAAAATTTCGTGCTATTTATATTGAAAATATTTATTTTTAATTTTTTTCAGATAAAAATTTATTTATTTACTTGGTTTCCAGAAGCTCAGATTCAGATTTCTGCTGTAATTGCGGAGTGTCGTTTGGAGCAGCTTCACGATGTTTGGCTATTTTTGAACACTGGAAATTATTGATTTTTTCGATGATTTGTTAGGGTAAACATGAAGTTACCCAATATTTTTGGCTCCACGAGCAGCCGGGATGATTTTCGAAATGATAATGAGAGCTGTGGAATTGACGATGATGCTCGGAAAATTGACCCATTTTGTAGCTGGCCTAGAAGAGGTTTGCGATTTTTTTTGGCGGGAAAACTTGAAAATATTTGACACGTGGATTTCCGAGCCACGTAGAATTTGAAATTTTCAAAAAACTCACCCAAATCGCTGTGAATCCACCAGCTAAAACCCAAAATTTCGAGCAACCCATTTTTTGCATAGAAATTTATCTGCGATATTTTTCCTGTGATTTTCGGCCATGTTTTTATACCACGTTTTGCATCATTTGCGAAAATGATGTGTATTTTTCTCTCATCTTTTCTTGTGAAACTTTTTTTGATGATTGCGAAATAGTTTTTGAACTGCTGGGAAAAAATGAGGAACTACAATAGTTTTTCCAATCTTTTTGAAACAGTGAAAAATTTGAGAAATTTTAATGGAATTGAAAAATCCAATTTTATACATTTTTGTGAAATTTTTTTTTATACATTTTTGTGAAAAATATCAGCAAAAAACTGTATTTCCAAAAAGTTAATAATTTTTTGAAACAGTGAAAAATTGTATTTTTCAAAATTCTTTGATTTTTTCGAATTTTTGGGAGGGAAATCATTTATTATGGGATTGAAAAATCCATTTTTTTCACTATTTTGTGAAATTTTTCAAACAGTGAATTTTCCACTCAGAATTCTGTCGATTTTTCAAGATGAATCAAATTACCGAATTGTCAAAAAGTCCATAATTTTTTTGAAACAGTGAATTTTTCGAAATTACAACAGTCTACCAATCAAAAAAGCAGAAAACTTGGGAAATGTTACAGATTTTCTGAAACAGTAAAAATTGGATTTTTTTGAAAATTAGACTCGGAAACGGTGCAAAAATTTAATTTAAAGGGGTTGTCCTTCTACGTCGAAAATCAAGTCCGCAATAGTGCGTCACTTTTTAAAACTAACTATAAGCAAGCCTAAAGTTGATTAAAATCACCTTCCATAGTTGAAAAATGTTAGGAAATACGTTTCGCGAGAAATACACACAAATAAATGATGTGTGTGAAGAGCACACATGTGTTTTATATGCACTAAAACCTTAAAACCTAAGAAAAACACGAATAAAATGGTGAAAACTCGCTCTAAAATCAAAATAAAATATGGAATGTTTCAGGAGCGCCTTAGCTCTATCGAATGAACCTAAGTTTCCCTGTAGCAGGACCAACCCCTTTAACTCAAAATTGTGCTATCGTTTTTAAGTTCGTCACACCAAAATATCGAAAAAATCTATAATTTTTTTGAATTAGTGGAATTTTTTGTAATTGGGAGAGTGAAATTATTAAATAAAAGCGAAACATCCAAGAAAATTTTATAATTTTTTGAAACAGTGAAGTTTTCTTCTTTGAATTTCTGGGTTTTTTTGTTGAGAAATCAAAAAATTTCGCAAAACTTTTATTATTTTTTTGAAACAGTGAAAATACTTTGTTCAAAATTTTTTTCTAGAAAGTTGTGCGAATTTAAACAAATTTTTCAAGCAGTGAAAAATTCTAGAACTTTCATAAATTAAAAAACCTGGGAAAAAAATTATTCGAGGAAAAAATTTGCTGAGTTTCCAACGAAAAATCCAGAAATTTGATGTGAGAATCCGAACAAAAAGCAAATTGATAAAAATCCTATAACTTTTCATTTTTTTCTTGAAACAGTGAGTTTTTTTCGGCAAATTTTGTGAATTTTTCGGATTTTCAGTGAAAAAAATTGCGAACTGATGCCAACAAAAAAGCATATTTTCAAAAACATTACATAATTTTTGAAACAGTGAAAAATATCAAAATTCTTTGGTTTTCTTTTTTTGCGAAGTAAATTTCAAATGGAATTGAAAAATCCAATTTTATACAATTTTGTGAAACTTTTGAAACAGTGAATTTTCCACTCATAATTCTGTCGATTTTATCAAGATGCCTAAAACACATCCCCAAATAGTCGAAGAAATTTATAATTTTTTTGAAACAGTGAATTTTTAGAAATTTCAAAAGTTCACCAATCAAAACAGTGGGAAACTCAGGAAATGTTACAGATTTTCTAAAACAGTGAAAATTTGAATTTTTTGAAAATATGACTCGGAAACGATTTAAAAAATTGAATTTAACTCAAAATTGTGCTATTCTTTTTAAACTCACCAATTGAGAACATTCTCCAAAATATCGAAAAAAAATTATAATTTTTTTGAAACAGTGGAATTTTTTGTAATTAGGAGTGAAGTTGTTGAATAAAACCAAAACATCCAAGAAAATTTCATAATTTTCTGAAACATTGAAGTTTTTATCTGGGTTTTTTTTGAGAAATCAAAAAATTTCCCAAAACTTTTATTATTTTTTTGAAACAGTGAAAATAATTTGTTCAAATTTTTGAAAATTTTTAATTTAATTTTTGATCAATTATTTGATAATTATCAGATAATCTAAAAAGTTCTGAAAATTTAAACAAATTTTTCAAGCAGTGAAAAATTCTAGAACTTTCATAAATTAAAAAACCTGGGAAAAAAATTATTCGAGGAAAAATTTGCTGAGTTTCCAATGAAACATCCAGAAATTTGATGTGAGAATCCGAACAAAAGCAAATTGATAAAAATCCTATAACTTTTCATTTTTTTCTTGAAACAGTGAGTTTTTTTCGGCAAATTTTGTGAATTTTTCGGATTTTCAGTGAAAGAAATTGCGAACTGATGCCAACAAAAAAGCATATTTTCAAAAACATTACATAATTTTTGAAACAGTGAAAAAATCACCAAAACCCTTTCATATATCAATATTATTTAGCCCATTTCCCACACGCAAATCCCTGTTGTTTTTGAACATCCAAATTTGCCGGATTCCACGGATGATCACATTCAATATCATCAATAGTTCCAGGCCGGATACCATACTTTGTGATTCGACCGATTTGAAGATATGCACATTTTTGTCGGCCTTGATGATTATCGGGTTGAATGATACGCCACGTCATAGTGTTTTTTCTCGTTGTCACACCATCTGTCCATTGGAAACCATTACTTCCGATACAATTTGGTGAGTTTTTGGTGGCCAGCGAATAGCAGGCCGGTTTACGGACGAGACCAATCCACATTGTGCCAACTTGGAGGCCGAGGCTTTTGAGAATCACGACACCTTGTGCTGCAAAAATACGGGAGAGGTTAGAGACGCAGAGAGATGCTAGAGATGCTAGAGAGACTAGATAGGCTAGAGAGGATAGAGATGCTAGAGAGGTAAGAGAGACGCAGAGAGGCTTGAGAAGCTAGAGACACAGAGAGATGCTAGAGAAGCTAGAGAGGTTAGAGACTCAGATGGTTAGCGAACAAGAGGAAACGGCCTAGACAGCTAGATAACACATAAATCTATAGAGACGCAGAAAGCTAGAGATAGCTAGGAAATAGTTACTACTTAACATGAAGTGACTAGAGAAGCAGAGATGGTTAAAGAACAAGAGGAAACATCACAGTCAGCTAGAGAACACATGAATCTATGGAGACGCAGAGAGCTAGAGCCCAACTCACCCTGAAGAAATCGATTCTCGGCAACACTATCGATTCCAGTCAACGTGGCTCCTAATTTTTTGCATTGAGCTTGCGCCACATTTCGATTCACTTTGCTTTTTTGAACTTTGATACACCAAAGACCCTTGGCTCTTTTGAAACCCTTCCAACCTTTTTGACATTTCGGAACTCTTTTGGTGGTGGTTGGAATACGTTTTTTGGTGGTCTTAGTAGGTTTTTTAGTAGTAGGTTTTTTGGTAGTGGTTTTCTTGGTTGGCTTCGGAGTTGATTTCTTAGTTGGCTTTGGAGTTGGCTTCTTAGTTGTGGTAACTTTCTTGGTGGTATGAACAATTTCTTCAGATGATGAGCATTCTTCTTCGCTGGCAATCAATTCAGCTGCCAGAAAAATCAGAATTAAAATCAGGAAGCTTCTCATTTGTTTTCTGATTTTTCGCCCCCGAAATTTTATTTTATAGGAAATTTTTAATGATAATTACGCTGCTATAAAATTTTTGACATCAAAATACAAACAAAACATATTATTTTCCAATAAACATGGATTACTGTATTTGAAAAAAATTGGAAAAAAAGTCAAGAACTTTTCATAATTTTTTGCGATTGACTCATTGAAAATCTAAATTTCTCTCAACTGTATCTAATTTTTCGAAACAGTGAAAAATAATTTCTTTTTTTTGCATTCAGTTCAATTTCTGTTGAAAATTAGAATCACATTGAAAAGTCAAAATTCTCAAAAGTTTCAGCATTTTTTTGAAACAGTGAAAAAATTGAATGAATTTTTAATCATTTTTTTACAGCGTATTCAAGATAAAAACAAGCACTTTATTTAAAATTCTCAAAAGTTTCATAAATTTTTTGAAACAGTGGAATTTTTTTTGGAAATTAAAAATGATTTCAATTTTTTCCGAATACAGGAATCCATGTTTATAAAAGTTTGTATTTTGATGTCAAAAATTTAATAGCATTCTATAAAATTTCCCGTAATTATCCCAAAAATTCCTATAAAAGAAAACTTTGTGGGCGAAAAATCAGAAAAATGAGAAGCTTTTTGGTTTTAATTCTGATTTTTCTGGCAGCTGAATTGATTGCCAGCAAGTATGAGGAAGAATGCGAAGCTTCATCATCTGAAGAAATTGTTCACCATCATCATCACACCAAGAAACCTACCACAACTAAGAAGCCTACTCCGAAGCCAACCAAGAAACCCACTACCAAAAAACCTAAGATCACCAAGAAACCTACTACCAAAAAACATACTACTAAAAAACGTGTTCCAACTACCACCAAAAGAGTTCCGATATGTCAAAAAGGTTGGAAGGGTTTCAAAAGAGCCAAGGGTCTTTGGTGTATCAAAGTTCAGAAAAGCAGAGTAGATCGAAATGTGCACAAGCTCAATGCAAAAAATTGGGAGCCACGTTAACTGGAATCGATAGTGTTGCCGAGAATAAATTTCTACAGGGTGAGTCTAGCCATTCTAGCCATCTCTTACCTCTCTGCATCTCTAGCCTCTCTAGCCTCTCTAGCCTCTCTAGCCTCTCTAGCCTCTCTAGCCTCTCTAGCCTCTCTAGCTTCTCTAGCCTCTCTAGCCGTCTCTAGCCTCTCTGCGTCTCTAACCTCTCCCGTATTCTTCCAGCACAAGGTGTCGTGATTCTCAAAAGCCTTGGCCTCCAAGTCGGCACAATGTGGATCGGTCTCGTCCGCAAACCCGCCTGCTATTCGCTGGCCACAAAAAACTCACCAAATTGTATCGGAAGTAATGGTTTCCAATGGACAGATGGTGTGACAACGAGAAAAAACACTATGACGTGGCGTATCATTCAACCCGATAATCATCAAGGCCGACAAAAATGTGCATATCTTCAAATCGGTCGAATCACAAAGTATGGTATCCGGCCTGGAACTATTGATGATATTGAATGTGATCATCCGTGGAATCCGGCAAATTTGGATGTTCAAAAACAACAGGGATTTGCGTGTGGGAAATGGGCTAAATAATATTGATATATGAAGGGTTTTGATATTTTTTCACTGTTTCAGAATATTGTGGACGGATTTTACAAAACAAATTTTTGGAACAAAAACAGCACAGAACCCATAGTTTCATAATTTTTTGAAACAGTGAAAAATTTAATTCTTCAAAATTATTTGTTTTCCCCAATTTCTTGTCATGTCAGGAAACAATTATATTATTTTGCAAAACATTTAACCGATTCTCAATCACATCTTCAAATTGTCAAAAATTTTTATAATTTTCTTGAAACAGTGGCATTTTTCCCAACACAAATTATCATAAATTCTAAAAAAACTTCGAAGTTTTAGAGAAATTTTGAAACAGTGAAAAAATGAATTATATTTTTAAATTGATGAGGATGCAATTAAGTCTAGTAACATCACAAAATTTTCAAAAAAAAATCTATTAATTTCTTGAAACAGTGAAATTTTTCGTGGAAATTCAACAGATTTTACAAAACAAGAGGATGGATATTGGAACGAAAGCAGCACAGAACAAATAGTTTCACGATTTTTTGAAACAGTGAAAAATTTAATTTTTCAAAATTATTAATTTGCTCGATTTGTCAGGAAACAATTATATTATTTTGCAAAACATTTAACCAATCGATCACATCTTCAAATTGTCAAAAATTGTAATTTTCTTGAAACAGTGACATTTTTCCAATAATACAGAAGAATATATCAGAAATTCTAACAAACTTCGAAGTTTTAGAGAATTTTTGAAACAGTGAAAAATAAACTTATTTTTATTTGTCATTCTTTCCGAGTTTTCAGGTCAAAAGTTTGGATTTTTGTTGACCATATGTTTATGAACGAATTATCAGAAATTCTAACTAGCTTCAAAATTTTAGACAGATTTTTGAAACAGTCAAAAAATGAATTATATTTTAAGTTTATGAGGAGGCAATTTAGTCTAGTAACATCACAAAACTTTCATAAAAAATCTATTAATTTATTGAAACAGTGAGATTTTTCTTGGAAATTCAATTGCTTTTACAGAAAAAGTTGATTATTTCGACAAACACGATGAGAAATTGTAATTTTTCTCGAATAAACATGGATTACTGTGAGGATTGCTCGAATTATTGAAAAATCAGAATTCTCATTGAAGTTTACATAATTTTTGAAACAGTGAAAAAATTTAATGATTGTTTAATGGTTTTTTACAGCGTATAACAAAAGAAAAGAAGCACTTTATTTAAAATTCTGAAGCTTTCAAAATTTTTTTGAAACAGTGGAATTTTTTACTTTAAAATCCTTGATTTTTTTGAGGAAAATTTTTTAAAATGAAAGTATCAAAATATCAGGAATGTCTTAAAAATTCACATAATTTTTGAAACAGTGAAAAATTCTAGATACTTTTTTTCGTTTTTTTCCTGAACAAATACAAACATCACAAAATTTCCAAAAAAAATATAGGTTTTTTGAAACAGTGATTTTTCGTACTTGAAAAATTGTGTATTTTTCAAGAAAGATTGGAAACCTTGTATCGATCGAAAAATAAAATTTTTGAAAAATTTGTGAATTTTTTGAAACAGTGATTTTTAACAGCTTTTTTTTCATTTTTCATTAAAAATAAACTTGAAACAGTGAATTTTTCAAATTTTCCTTTGATCAATATCGTTAATAGAAAAATTATCAGAAAAGTCAGAAAAACTTAGAAATTTTACAAAATTTTTGAAACAGTGAAAAAATGAACTTATTTTTTTCCCATTTTGCGAGTTTTCAGGTCAAAAAAATCTCAAAAATCTCAATCCTCTCTCAATTTTTTTCCTACCAAAGTGTGTTTTTTCGGTGTGTTGTCCATCCCAAAAGTATATCAAATATTTGCCAAAACTTTTCTCCCTCTCTTCACAAAATAAAAATCGACACACAGACAAAAAATAACCAAACAGCAAGAAAAAAATTGTTTTTTTTCTCCCAATATTTTTTTTTGCTCTGTGGGAGCTCAATCAAATTCAATCATACTTGTCACACATTTTTTTGGTTTTTCTGGTTTTGCTTTATTATTTTTCCAGAAGTTAGAGAGTGTGGGGTTTTGAGAGACGCAGAGAAAATAGCTATTATTTTTTGGTAGATCAAAATGCATTTCAATGTAAAAATTCCGAATTCTTATCAACTCCGTTCAAAATTTCTCATAAAAATATCAAATTTTCCCCAATTTTCCGCTAAAAATGTTCAAATTTTGCACGATGACACACTGTGAAAACAAACCATCTTTTCTTTTTTTTTTTTCCAAAAATTTCCCGTTCCACATTCCCTTTTCTCTTCTTGTTCAAACAAAAATTGAAATTTTTTTGTAACCTGTGATTTGTGATATGAATCACTAACTATATGCTATACTTATGCCTTTTTCTTATCAAAAATTTTCTTTTTTTTTTCGAAATAAAATGAAATGGCGTGTCATTTTTGAATAAATATATATAAAAAGTATAGGGAATTTTTATCTTGTCATCATTTTTTTTCAGCTGTCGTGAAAAAGTGACATTTTTTCTGGTTTTAAAATGTTTTTTGAGGTCTAGAATTTGCTAGATTCTGAAAATGATTTCAGCCAGAATTTTAAGCTTAAAATTTTTAAATTAAAATTTTTTAATGCTGAAATTAAATTAGTTTGATTTTTTGAATTTTTAAAAAAATTTTCTCGCGTTTTTCAAAGCTCACTTTTTAGCTAGACTTTTAGGCTCAAAATTTGAGGTTTACTAAAAAATTTTTGAAAAAAACCTCCACTTGAATTTCTGAAATTGTGCCGAAATTCAAAAATGTTTAATTTCTGTCTAGAGTTCAAAAATCTTTTTTTTTGTGCTAAAACAAATCATGTACTGATAAAGTTAATAACAAAAAAAATTGGCCTTTAAAACTTCGTGGATTCTGAAGAAATCAAATTTAAATTTTGAAAATTAAAATTTTTCAGAAATTTGTGTTTCTTTTAAATTTGGAAGGTTTAGCGTCGAAATTTAAAAAAAAAATAATTTTGAGAAATTTCTGAAACAGTGAATTTTTTGTGTTCAAATTTCCTAAATCCACCAGAAATCCGCCCAATTTTCTCAATGGCGCCACCTGTTCAAACAAAAATCTCAAATTTCTCACATTTATTATAATAAAAATAATATAAATGTTCCTCGTCTTTTTCTATTTTTCCTATTTTAATTTTATTTACTACTTGCTCTTCTCACTCATTTTCTAATAAATCCACTTATTTTGTGCTCTTCTTCTTCCTTCTCCTATTCTAACACATCTTTTTCTTTTTCTCTATTTTTATAATTATTTTTGAGTTAGCCTAATTATAGGTTGTAGGTTTTTTGGCATAAAAAGAGAAAAAAAATTGATTTGTTTTATTTTTGTGACCAGAAAAATCATGTTTTTCTGATTTTTTTGCAAAAAAAACAAAAATTGATATGTTAATCCGATTTTTTTCCAGAGAAAATAGAAAAAGGAAGTTTTGATTTTTTTTTCAAAAATTCACTGTTTCAAAAAATACTCGAAAATTATTTAGAAATTTTTTTTTATTCCAATGTTGATGTTATTTCTATATTTCAAAATTTTCAATTTCTCTTCAATGTGAAGCTGACTTTTTACCCAAAAAATTTACGTTTCAGAGTTAAGTAGGTTTCAATTTTTTTTTTATTTTTGTGAGCAGCTGAATATCAATTCTCAGATTGTTTTCCATAAAGAAAAATTAAATGTTCAAAAAAACTTTCACTATTTCAAAAATCTCACAAATATGTGTGTACTAATATTTTCAGTAGTGCTTTTAATAGGTTCCAAAATTTACTGTTTCAAAATTGTATAATTTTTTTTGACATTCAAATTTTCCGATTTTTCAAAACAAGTGTCACAAATTCAGAAGTTGCTGAAATTTTTTTCCAGAAAATTCAACTTTCACAGTTTTTTTTTCATCTACAAAAATTTACTGTTTCAAAAAATTCATAAAATTTTGTTTTTTTCTGAATGTTTCGATAGAAGTCTGATTTTTTGAAAATCAAAATTCTCAGAAGCTTTTGAGCAGCCTTAAATTTATGAAAAAAATTTTATTTAAAAAATATTCCAAGAAAAACTGAAGTTCTATTTTCTGAGCAGCTGAAAAAAAATTTTCTCTTGAATTTTCTCACAAATTATACGTTTCAGATTTTCCTAATCTTCATTCTCTCTGTGTTTTTTTTCAATACCATTCGTATAGCTTCTCTGCGTCTCTCTGAAAACCATGCTCTCTAACTCTCTCTAGCTTCTCTAATTCTCTCTCTAACCTTGTGATATCTAATTCTCTAGCTTCTCTGCGTCTCTCTCTCTCTCTTCAATCCAATAAAAAGCGAAAAAAAACTATAATTCCATGCCATTTTTTCCGCCATCCCAAACATAAACAAAATAAGAAAACCCTCCTCTTTTTTTCACTCCAAAAACTTTTTTCTTCCCATTTTTTGTCATTTTTTCTTCTTATTCTGGAGTGGAAGAAGAAAAGTAAAAGGATTTCTTTTTTTTTGCCAGGACACAAAAAGGACACTTAAAATTTACTACTACAAGGATTTTTTCTCGTTTCTTGTGTTTTTGGAATTGTTTTCCTTGGTTACACGATGAATATTTGAGGTGGGTGGAGGCTTTTTGGCGGGAAATTTTGAATTTCAAAAATTTCTGAAAATTTCAATTTTTTTCATTTCTGAAAATTTCAATTTTCAGGAAAACATCAGAATTTATAGCTGAAAATCAAAAACTTTCTGAATGCTTAAAAAAATTATCAAAATATTATATTTTCAGCCAAAATTTATAGAAATTTGAAACAGTAGAAAAAATTCTTAATTTTCAGCCAAAATTTCTTAGATCTTCTAAATCACAAGATTTTCAGCCCGAAAAAAATTAACAAAGTTTTTGAGCTTAAAATTTTGAATGAAAATCTGAAAATCAGAAACTTTCTGAATTTTCAATAATTCAGGTTTCAAGGTAAAGTTCATAGAATTTTGAAACAGTAGAAAAAATTTCAAAAATTTTCCAGATTTTTTGAAATTCAAGATTTTCAGCCCGAAAAAATTAACAAAATTTTTGAGCTTAAAATTTTGAAGGAAATCTGAAAATATTAGAATTTATAGCTGAAAATCAGAATGTTTCTGATTTTTGAAAATATTAAATTTTCAGCTAAAGTTTATAGAAATTTTGAAACAGTAGAAAAAATTCAAAAATTTTCCGGATTTTCTGAAATTCAAGATTTTCAGCTCGAAGAAAACTGGAGAATTTTTTGAAATTCTTCAAATTTCAAGCCACCAAACTTCAAAAATCCCCCAAATTTTCAGCCAGCAAAAAATCAATCAATAATGGTGTCAGTTTTGGTTTTCATCGGCTACAATGTATTTCTAACCGTGTTCGGCCTCACAATCTGGAACGTGTTTCCAAAAAATCGAGCGCAAAGTTTTCTGGGTGGAAATTCCCGGGGAGGTGAGATTGAGGTGTGTTGTGTTTGTCCCTTTGAAAATTTTTTATCTGAAAAAAATTATCTGAATTTTTTTTGCAGATCTGATCAGCGACAAAAACAACAACAACAACAGTAAGAAGAGCAAATAATTAATTAAGCAATTAATAAAAAAAACCACGTGTACATAAAGATTTGATGTGTAAAATAAATAAAAATATCACAAATTTGTCAAAAGTCCTGAATTTGGAGCTGGTGGAGCTCCGCTATTCGAAGAATCCAAATATTTTGGAATTTTTGCCGATTTTGAGAGGAGCGATCGAATTGTTTCACGGTATTCGGGACTGGAAAATTGATGAGAAAGGGTTACTGTAGAATTTCTGGGTTACGGTAGGTTTCAACACTTCTTTAGGAGTACTGTAGATTTTCAATTTAAGTGGGAACATTTTTGAACTTTCAGAAGTACTGTAGGTCTCAAAAATCAAGATAATTACTGTAGATTTACAGATTTGTCTTATGGAAAATTCGAAACTTTTTAGTGTAGGATTACTGTAGAATTTCTAAGTTACGGTAGATCTAAAAGTTCTTGAGGAGTACTATGGATTTTTTTACAGTAAGAACAACTCTGAATTTTCATAAGTGCTGTAGACTTCAAAAAATCCGATAAATACAGAATCCTCTACAAAATTCGAAACTTTTTCAAGGTACTGTAGAATTTCTGGGTTACGGTAGGCTTCACTTAGGGGTACTGTGGATTTTGGGAACAACTGTCCTTCCTGGGGGTACTGTAGATCTTGAAACCTTGGAGAGTACTGTGGATTTGAAACTTGTAGATTGAAAATTGTATTTCAAAAAGAATACTGTAGATGTTCGGTTGGATCTACCGTAATCCAATTTCAATCGATAATCTACAGTACCTCAAAACCATTACTGTAGGTAGCAACATTTTCTACAGTACCCCAACCCCAACTCACTTAATCGCAAAAAAAACAAAAATATTCGCCGAGCATGCAATATTGACAGTAATTCCCGAGTACATTTGAATGAGCTCGAAAATTTGCTCATTTGGTGAGATGAGATAGCCAAATGTGTTGGATACTGTAGTGATTGACCAGCCAAAAAGCACCAAAACGCATGCGACCAAAATTGATTTGAAGGCGAGTTTGAAGCGGGAACCTGGAAAATTAGTGAGGGTTTTTGGGGTTGTCTGGCTTCTCTGCGTCTCTCTAACAATTATGCGCTCTAGCTTCTCTAACTCTCTAACATTTCGTTTCTCTGGCTTCTCTGCGTCTCTCTAACAATTATGCGCTCTAGCTTCTCTAACTCTCTAACATTTAGTTTCTCTGGCTTCTCTGCGTCTCTCTAACAATTATGCTCTCAAGCTTCTCTGACTCTCTAGTTTCTCTGGTTTCTCTGCGTCTCTCTAACAATTATGCTCTCTAGCCTCTCAAACTCTCTAGTTCATCTGGCTTCTTTGCACCTCTCTAACAATTTTGCTCTCTAGCTCAACACTCTCTAGTTTCTCTGGTTTCTCTGCGTCTCTCTCTCTCCCTCTTCATATATTTCATTTTGACCAGAAATTAAACATTTCCTATATCTTCGAAACGAATCTAAAACTGAAAACTATATGTAGATGTTATCAAAATGTTTCAAATCCTCCCTTTCCATTTTCATCCCTCTCTTTCTCTCTCTAAAATGGACTCTAGTTTATTATTTCCCATAGTTATCCTAACTTCTATTCTATTTCTCTATTATTACAATCGATATGAAATCGCATTTCCAGAACTCACTGATAAAGTTGTGTATATTGAAAATGTATCGGTTCATGAGAAAATAGAATTTGCGAAATGCCGTGTCGAAATTTGGAATAACAAAACGACGTGGGAAATTCCGCGTATCGAAACGCTTAAATTGCTGGCTAAACCGGGTGTGACGCAAAGTGCAACTACGGTACGTACCGAAGCTATATTCTAGGCTGAAGCTTGCGCTTAGGCCCGATTCAGGCCTATGACATAAGCCAAGCCTAGACCCACACCTTTTTATTTTGCAAAAAGCAAAATAGTGTGAGAGTGCAGAGAAAACGTGAGAAATTATCAGCAGGGCGACGTTTCATTATTTATTTTATTTTCTTCTTTTTTTTCGAAAACCTTTTTTTGGTTTTTTTTGTTTTTCAGGGTTTTTGGGGATGATTTTTGTTATTTTCGATTGGAAAATGATGTTTTTGACTTGTGAAGACTATGCTCAAGTAGAAAACGGTGAAAACTTGGAGAGAAAACACCAACATCAATCGAGCAATCATTCTAACACCTTTCTCTTAATAAAAAGTTATATTCTGAAAAAAAACTGATTTTGAACATGAATCTTTCAAAATCCGAGTAAAGAGTGTTCTATTTGGAAAATACAAAATCTAATTCATAATTTCATGATTCCGTTGCTTGTAATTCAGGCGAGGCCCTCGGCAGCTTCACACAAATCTCACATATTCTTATTTCTTTGGTGTTCGACTCGACATAAAATCAAAGTTTTTAAGTATAAAAAGATAACGAATAGAAAGATTCTTCAACTATGCTTATGAATTCCAATTTTGATGAAAAATGGTTTAAAAACACATTCTCAATCAATATTCTCACCCATACAAGTCAAACACATCATTTTCCAATCAAAAATAACAGAAACCATACCCATAAACACAGAAAAGCAATAGAAAACTGAAAAAAACGGTTTTTGAATAAAAAGAAGACAATAAAATTAAAAATGAAATGAATAATGAAACGTCGCCCTGTTGATAATTTCTCACGTTTCTCTGAACTCTCTCACTATTTTGTTTTTTGCAAATTTCTATTGACGTGAAATGATGTGGACCAGGCCTAAATTTTGGTTTTTTCAGGAGGGCTTGAGTGACGGGCAACTTCGCCTCGTTTCCGCCTTCCTCTATGAAGATGAGATTGTCGTGACAACCACCAGACAAAGGCCTGCGCAAACTGGGTGAGTCCGGAAATTTCTGTACAGTTTTTCACGCATTTTGTACAGTTTTTCAACCATTTTTTTTTAAAAATCGCGTTTTTGAGAACCCGTAAATCATGTTAGAAAGTATTTTATCAAAATCAGAGTACAGGGAGATGTTCAGGAAGGTTGATTTAGCGAAAATTCTACACTTTTGGCTCATTTTTGGGCTCTTTAGAGAGTTGCTCAGCAAAAACTGAAAATGAGATCTCTCTCAGCGTGAAAAACTGTACAGAAACATCTGAAAATCTCACAAAACATCAACTTTTTCTTCCGCAGAACTCCCGTGTATTGCCGATATTTCGATTGCAATCGTGTTGAGATCCCAGGCTCAATATACAAATCATTCTTTATGCCACTAACTTCAGTTCACTGCCTCCGAAAATCTGGAGCAAGTTTTATTTCCTTAAGCTTATCGGACGACAAGCCCCAATCGCCAATTCCATTAACCCACAGGCTTTTCAAACAACCTCCCAATGAATTAGGAGTGTGTGCTGGACAAATCTATGGATTAGACAAAAAATGGATGCAGATCGCTGAATTCGTGGAACATCACAAATTAATCGGAGCGACAATGTTCTATTTTTCGGTTTTTGAAATCGATGGAATGACTCGAATGCTATTAGATGAATATGAGAGAAGTGGATTTGCAGAGGTTTCAATAATCAATACAGAATACACGGGTACAGCAGCAATGTTGAGGCATATGGTGCAGATTCATGAATGTTTTTATCGCGCGAGACAACATTCAAAATGGCTGCTAAATATTGATCACGACGAATTTCTGATGCCCAGAGAAAAACCAATTCTAACATATATTCGAAGTTTAGGAGATCATGTTGCTGAATTAGTATTTACTATGAGAAGAATCGCAAAATTCAGGGATTCTATTGAAGTTTACCATAACATTAAGGAAGTTTCCAGCGATATTCAAGCAGTCAATTATAATTTGACACATTCTCCAAGTTATCAATCACCAAAAGTGATGATTCGACCGGATAAAGTGAATATGATGATTGTACATTGGTCGTATGGTATGGAGCCTGGTTATAAAGTGCATGCGGTGCCTGCCAATATAGCAACTCTCAATCACTATCGTACGATTTCTCCCAAATTTCTATGGTCCGATTTTGTGGCGAAATTGATTAAGCAAGATGTCAAGTTTATGCATTTCACGTTGCAGAAGGAATATTTGAAGAGATTGCGGGAAAATGTGGCGCAAGTTGTTGGTTATGTTTTTGAGAAGCACGATGTGACGTGTGAGAATATTCCCGAACCTATACAAAAGTACACGAGACCCTATTTGAAGAAGATGAAAATTTGCGAATAAATTGTATTTTGGTGGGAAAAACCGGATTTGTAAAATTTCTGTTATCTCGAAAATCTTTTTTGTTTGACATCAGCAACAAAAATTTCATCAAGAGATGGATATCTGTCACAGAAATGTACGCGGGAAAAATTTCAATTTCTAGTTTTCCAATCTTGACATAGAAGCTCTCAAGGCACGACTCCTTATCTAATTGGATCTCTAGGCGTGGCTGCTTGAGAAACAGGTGCTCTCGGGGCTGCTCCTTGATAATTAGTGGATCAATTCATTTGAAGAAAAAATGAATTTCGCGACATTTTTTGTCGCGAAATTGCAATTCGTGAAACGACACGAAATAAACACAAAAATAAAGGAGAAATATTAAAGGGACACGTAATCGCTGCGAGACCCAACACACGAAAAAAGAATTTCCTCTTTTATTTTATTAATTTCGTGTCGTTTCGCGAATTGCAATTTCGCGACAAAAAATGTCGCGAAATTCATTTTTTCTTCAGATGAATTGATCCATAGGTTATGTAGGCGCTGTTCCTGGATAGGTGATTTTTCAAGACGTGGCTGCTTGACAACTAGGGTTGCTAGTGTCGGCTGCTTGGCACGAAATATCTCAAGGCGGGGTTACTTGAAAAACATAAACTCTCGGCGCTGATCCTTGATAATTAGGTAATCTAGGCGATGTTCCTTGACAAGTGATTTTTCAAGGCGTGGCTGCTTGACAACAAGGGTTTCTAGTCTTTGTTGCTTGTCAGAGTGTATCTCTAGGCGTGGCTGCTTGACAAATAATGGTTCTAGTTCTGGCTACTTGGAATAAAAGCTCACAAGGCGCGGTTACTTGAAAAATCATTTTTCTAGGCCCGGATGCTTGAAAATCGAATTATCTAGGCGCTGCTCCTTGAAACCTAGAGTTTCTAGTTTCGGCTGCTTGGCTTAGAAGCTCTCAAGGCGCGGTTACTTGAGAAACAGGTACTCAAGGCGTGGCTGCTTGACAACTAGAGCTTCTAGTCGTTGCTGCTTGTCAGAGTAGATTGACAAGAAAGTGTGCACCGCAAGCTTCCGCGACTTTCCGCTTCCCAAAACTCACTAGCATCTCTCATCCGCAACAAAATACCCGTCAAACAATACGCAAAAATAATCGATACATAAATCGCGTGACTCGACAAAGTGAACAGTTTAAACGATGCTCCGTTCAATGACGTCGGAATTGCACATCTCACTTGCTTTCTGAAAATTAATTTTTAAATTAGTACATATTGTGAAAATTTCTTCATCTAGTTATCCAAACTCACTCAAAATCCCTCTCCAAAAATCCCAAATACAGTATTCCGGAACTATAAATTATCGGGAACATCAGATGAAATACCGTGTAGCGGAAACGTTGATTTTGAGAGTTGCGATATCTGAAATTTCAGATTTTGGGGCTTAAAATGAAAAAAATGGAAACCTGAATGGAAAAGTGACGGCGAAAAGTCGATCCAAGCCGATTTCGAATAAAAGTGGTCCGGCTGAAGTTAGGCCAAGTATGGGTAGAAAATTGATGAGGAAACATGTGGGTTGAGGGATTGTGACTGGAAAAAAATAGATGGAGATGCGGAATGTGAAGCGGAAACGCGGAAAATTCCGGATGAATTTGAATTTGAGCTTGGATTTTCTAGTTTTTATTTTTAAATTTGATTTCAGGATAAATACAATTTTTTTGAATAAAAATAGAATAATTCGAATTTCCTGATGAACTTGATTATTTTTGAATTTTGGATTTTCAACTGCCAGAAAAAAAAAATTGAATTTTGGCACAAGAACTTTTCAAATTCCCAGCAAAAAAATTAATATTTCAATTTCAGAAAAAAATTTACAGTAAAAAATTATGCGCAAAAAATCGATTTTTAAAAAATTTCCCACTGAGAACTCACATGATCCAGAAAATTCAAAATGAAAATTTTCAAAATAAATTTTCACGCCTCAAAAATATGGGTCACGTCAGAAATGTTTATTTTTAATTTCAAGCTTTCCGCTTCCGCTTCCGCATCCTCACCTTCCGCCAACAAATGATACACAAAAACAATCTGCCCACAAACATGCATCAAATCAGCCAAACATGTCAAAGTCAATAAAATGTGGAAGGGTGTTCGGAGTCGGCTGGAAAAATAGTTTATTGATTTTTTTTGGCGCCAAAAAAATTCTGGAAACTCACGGATTCTTAAAATAGCACAAAACCATGATAAAATTCCCGGAAATTCCAATGGGAATTATGATCAGGTAGAAAAAAGTGATGGGAATCATCCACGGATGAACATCGCCAAACATTTCTGAAAAATTTTCAGATTGAAAAAAAATCTGGACGCTGAAAAACAATATTTTCATCAAAAATAGTACAAATTCCAATGAGAAAATGAAATTTTTCTGAAAAAAACGCAGAAAAACAGAAAGAGACCGGAGTTTTTTAATCCCTAAATTATTTTTTCTTCGCTTTTTTTTGACATGTGGTTTGATCCTTGGTTTTGAAGAGAACAGAACAGAAAATTGCAAAAAATGAGGAAATTTTTAATTATTTGGGAGATAATGAATAATTAATTAGGCTAAGTCTCTAATGGGCGAAAAAAAGAGTTCGGAAGATCGAATTTCTGGGAGAAAAATTGAGATTTCCGGTTGGAAAAAAATATTGCTCAAAAATTTTTGGCAACCGGAAGTTCAAACTAGAAATATAGTTCAAACTAGAAAAAATCGACCGGCTATAGTTTTGTAGATCAAAACTGCTCAAGGTCAAAAAACCGAAAGAGATTTCTCTGACTGTCTGCGTCTCTTAGATTTAGTCATCTCTAACACACCGTGTTTTCTCGGAATTCCAGCTAATTTTTGTCACCGGTGACAAAAATTAGTCTGAAATTTTCAGCACAAAAAATTTGACCAAAATAAGTTTTTTCTCTTCTCTGCTCTGCTGAAAAAAAAACAGAAAAAGAAAACAAAAACAAATTGAGCATTGGAGAAGAAAAATGTCTTTTTCAGAACTGAAAAAATTTCTAGGAGACATTCAATTTTTGTTCACAAAAATTATAGAATCATGTGAAACCCTTGAAAATTTGAGCTAAAGTTTATGAAGACCTAAAAAAGGAACAACACAATTAATTTCACGACAGGAAAAAAGTCTAGTCTGAGTCTAGTTTTGAGCTGAAAATTTGTGAAATTAATTTTCAAAGCTCAGCTAAAAATTCAAATCTTTTCTGAAACCTAAAAATTCCGGGAAAACTTTTGAAATCCTATATTTTCAAGAGAAAAGTTCCGAAATCCGAAACCATATTCAATTTCCAAAAAAAAGCCGAGCCAAATTCAAAATTCCTAGAAAAATTCTTGGAAGTTTTTAAAAGTTCACCTGACATTCAAAAATCGCTACTAAAAAATGCACAAAATTTTTTTCATAAAGTTTATAAAAATGAGTCGAAAAACTTCCTGATTTTTTTGCTGTTTCAAAAATTATACTTTTAAAAATGAAAAATACCAGAGTTTCTGATCTCGAGATCAACATCAATTCGAGAAATTTTTAGAAAAATTGAGGAAAATCTCTAGGAAAACCCCAGACTCCAATTTCTTCCAAAAAAAAACACCAGTCAAAAATTAGGTATTCAAAAATTCCCACAAGTCTCGAAAAAACGCTCAAAAAGCTTTTTGTTTTTTATATTTCATAGAAAAAAAAACAAATTATAGTCGAGAAACCAATAATTATGATGATTTTCTGAAATTCTGATTCTCAGAAATAATAATTATTATAGAAAAAATTGCACTTTTCTGAAAATTTCAGCTTTTCCGGGAATACTAGAAAAACAAACAGAAAAGTTCCGAGCATTCAATTAAAAACCCATTTCGAATGTTATTGCAAATTTTCGAATTTCAAATTCAAAAGAAAAACACAGCACATTTCGAGACAAAATCGAGTTTCCTGAACTTCTACTTTTCTATTTTGTTTTCAAAAATAAAAAAAAAAATGAAAAAATTCCATTCATCCACCCAAAACAACATCGAAAATTGTGCACTTGGGAGAGCTCACTGCATTTTGATGAACATTGAAATAATGTGGCACAAAAAACACTGTGAAAAACATCGAGAAAATTGAGAAATGGGATTAATTTGTGTTTTTCTGTTTTCGAACCATGGTAAAAACAATGAGAACAAAATAAGGCCTTATCAAGTGTACAGTGACGTCAGAGAAGTGAGAGAATTTAGAAAGTATAGGGATCGGGGAGAGGAGAGAGAAACTAGACAGTGAGACAGTGTAGAAATAGAAGAGAGCGCAGAGAAACTATAGAGTGTAGACAATGAAGAGGACGTAGAGAAGTGATACGGAGAAAGATTGTGACAACAAAGAAGTGAAGAGAGCGCAGATAGGAAATACTGTGTTGAATGAAGAGACGGAGAGACACAGACAGCGAGAGAGCAAAACAACGTAGAGAAATAGTGTGTCAAAACTAGAAACATCAGATAGCCCATATGGAATGAGAGAAACCAGAGAAACCAGAGAACAAGAGTAGCGAATAGCCAAAAACACTGTGTTACAGAGAGAGAAGAATAGGGAGAGAGTGCAGAGAAGCAGACAGGACGAGAGAGTACATGATTTGAGGAGAGATACTACAGAGCACAACTGAACCTTGAAAGAACCAGAAAAAACATCTAATTTCCCACGCCTCAAATTATGTACATTCAAGAACATCAGAATTTTTCATTTTTTCTAGCTAGCTAGACATGCCACATACATCAATAACAAAAAAACCACAAGCAACCGAAAAATATTTATTTACATATATGATAGAATTATTCAGACACCTAATTAATCCCTCAATCTTTTATAAAAAAAATCTAAACAATAGTCACAGGTCCTCCTCGCCAAGCCGCATCCAATTGTTCGAAATAATCGTGTTGCGTGGGATTTGTCACAATCGTCTGTCCCTTTAAATTGGTAACAATACTTGTTTTCCGACCGCTGATCCAGGGATTAATCCGTTTCCAGGTTTTATCCCTCCATTGTCGATGGCAAAACAATAAGATCCATGGAAAGATTGACATTTCGAATGCAAAAGTGATTTGATTTATGATCCGATAATCAACCATAGTCCAGGAAAGTTTATCAACCAAAATCAGCCAGCCTAGTAAAACCAAAAATATCTGGATTAGAATATTGAACACTGTGCCGAACACAAAACATCTTGTCATCTCATAGGAAATCGATAAATTGAAGCGTTGATTTAGATTTAGGACTCCAGTTGTGCGATTATATTTGTCTCGCGAACTTTTCATCGCCACAAGTTCCATGGGAAGATTCACAAGAATCAGGGAAATGAAGAAGATCAGCCATCCTGGCTGCATTTTCTGTTGCAATCCATCGATCAATGTCTGCAATATGAAGGAATCAAGAAATCAGAAAACAGGTGAAAAACTCACCGAATACAAAAACTTCACCGCTATTCCAAAAATCATGGTCGAAACTGCGAGAACCAACAGAAAATACGTGGAACTTTTATAAAAATTGGGCGATTTTATGAATAACAATCTATCCAAACTGAAAAATGATTGAAGCATGAAAACAACAATCTGCGAAAATCGATGAGCACAATCTAATAGCAGAATCTTTCCAAATAATTCGCGAAGAAAATAAAATATTAGATGTATAGTCATTCCAATGCTCAATGAAATTAGGATAACTCTCGAATATCCAACCATTCTTCGTTGAAAAGTTTGAATCGTTAAAAAATGCCCAAAAATTCCAATAATCACCAAAACCAAATCAACGATCATAGTGTGGGGAAGCGAAAAAAAGAGTCAGACAGGTGAAATCAGGGGGTGTAAACATTCCAAGCAACTTCCAATTGATCAAAATAATCTTTCTGCGTCGGATTCGTCAAAAGACTCTGTCCCTTTAAATTCACAACATGCACTTTATTCGATCGTCTGCTGAACATTGTTCTAACCTTCTTCCTCCACTTTTGATTCGTCACTAGAATAATCCATGGAAAAATCGACATTTCGTAGGAAAACGCGATTTCGCTAATCTTCCGATAATCATTCATATTCAAATCAACTCTCTCGGAATAAACCAGAAAACCTATGCAAATTAATATGAACTGAACGAGAATATTGAAAATTGCCGCAAAAACAAAACATCGTGTCATCTCGTAACAAATCGCTAAGTTGAATCGTTCATTCAAATCAAAACCAGTGGTTTGATTATACTTGTCTCTCGAATTTTTCATAGCCATGAGATCTAGGGGAAGATTCAGAACTATGATTGAAATATAGAAGGATAACCATAAGGGATTCATTTTTTGAGGTAATCCATTTATAAGAGTCTGGAATTTTTTTGAATTCAATGATTTTTCGAAGTTTATTCAACTCACGGTATAAACGAATCCTAGAGATATTCCAATGAGGATTATTGAGACTCCGAAGAAAATCAAAAAATATAATTTAGTTTTATAGAACCTTGGAGATCTGATAAATAATAATCGATCAAAACTAAAAAACAATTGAAGAACGAAAGTGAGCATTTGTGTGAACTTGAAACCATAATTAAAAATCATAACCAAAATCTGACTCGAGGTCCAGTTCTTGAAAAATCCAAAATTCAAATTGACAGTCATCGCAAAACTCAATACAATTAGAATAACTCTCGAATATCCAACCATTCTTCTTTGAAAATTTCGAAGTGTCAAAAAGTGTCCGAAAGTTCCGAGAACTACAAGCAACAATTCTAGAATCATTGGAGTCAATAAACTGATTTTTTAGAGGAGAAAAAATTGCAGGTGCAATTTTTTCAGAGTTATCAAAAATAAACCTTCAAAGAAATTGTTGAAATATTTTTTGTTTTGTAGTTTTGAATGTGCCACAAAAACCTGTTTTCAATAATGAAAAACATGGTCCTATTTTGAATATCCAGCTGCTCTAGATGTTCAAGATTAAATAGAGTCTAGTCTGTATAAATCATATTTACATGAAAAAAATGAACAGCTGAACTTTATTCTCTTACTCATATGTAGATTCAAATCAAAAATAGAAAAATCACAAATTCCACGCCGCATTCAATTGTTGAAAATAATCATTTTGAGTGGGATTCGTCAAAATATTCTGTCCCTTTAAATTCACCACTTGAACTGTAGTATTCCTCTTGGTACAGGAGAAAATTATCGATCGAAATTTCGTTCTCCACCTCTGATTCGTCATCAGCACAATATATGGGAAAACTGACATTTCGAGGGTTAAAATCAAATGGAGAAGCATAAGGATAGAAATTGTTTCATCGAGAATTTCAAAGATCACAAGAATAATCAATACTGATAAAATAATTTGGAGCAATATATTAAACAAAGTTCCATAGACAAAACTTTTTGTGATCTCATAGGAAATTGATAAATGAAAGCGTTGCTCGAGATTCAAGCCGATTGTATTCTCATATTTTCTGCGAGCACTTCTCATAACAATGAGCTCCGATGGAAGATTGAAAATAATTAGCGAGACGAACAAAATCAGCCAGACAGGTTGAATTTGATTTTTCTGGTTTTTAAGATGTTATTTGAGTAACTTTGTGTATTCAAAACATACAGAAGCTGCAAAACTTGTAGAAATACTAATTATCAAAATGCTGATAATGATAAATAGATGAGTATAGAACTTGGAATCATAGAACTTTGGAAAATTTATAAATAACAACCGATCTAGACTGAAAAATGGTTGAAGTGTGATAGACATCATTAAAGAGCATCTAGATATAAAAGTTCGAAAATCAGAATCATAAATATTCTTCAAAATATTCGCATTCATGTAAACAATCATCGACAAACTCAAAAACATCAGAATACTTCTAGACAATCCAAAAAATCGATGTGATAGCGTCCAAATCGCTAAAAGATGTCCAATAGTTCCGAAAACCACTATAGACACGTCAAAGACAATACTCATGCCGGAAATGGACGATGTGAGTTAGAATAACTATGATTAGCTTATTTTTCACCTGCTCTAATCAAATTAACAGGAAAAACACTGAATTTTCGAGCAAAAAATGCTTTCAGGTGAACTTTAGTCATGAATCACGAATTCCACGCGGTCTCCAATTGATCAAAATAATCCTTCTGCGTGGGATTTGTCACGATATTCTGTCCCTTTAAATCCATAACATGTACTGTATTTGATCTTCTTCGAAAACTTGAGAATAGTCTATTCCTCCACTTCTGATTTGTTATCAGAACAATCCATGGAAAAAATGAGAATTCCAGAATAATAATTAGATGTAAAAGAGATAAAATTGAAATTTCCTCATTGATAACATTGAAAATTACAAGAGCAGCGAGAATAGCAAGCAGAATTTGCAGAAAAATATTAAAAAGTGTTCCAAATACAAAACTTCTTGTAATCTCATAAGAAATTGATAGATCAAATCGTTGATTCAAATTCGAGCCTGTAGTTTGTACATATTTCTTTCTAGCACTTCGCATAGCAATGAGTTCCGACGGAAGTTTGAAAATTATCAAGCATGTGAATAAGATAAGCCAGACTAGTTGAATTTGATCCTCCTAATAAAATTGAGAAAAAAATCTCAAAAAAATGTACCTCGAGAACTTACAGAGAGTGCAAAACTTGCAGAGGTAACATTTATTACGAATGCTAGAATAATAAATAAGCTTGTGTAAAGTTTAGATTTGTAGAATTTCGGAAAATTAATAAATAGCAATCGATCTAGACTGAAAAATGGTTGAAGTGTAATAGCCATCATGAAAAAATATCTCGAAATATAATCTCGAACTATATTATTTGATAAATAAACTTTAAAACTACTCGAAACCATGTGCAAAATCATCGAGACACTCAAAAATAGCAGAACAATTCTCGACAATCCCGAAAACCTTTTCCAGAACGTGCGAATGGCTAGAAAATGTCCAAAAGTTCCAAAAACAATAAGAAATATATCAAGCATACTATGTGCTGCTATTTTCTAGCGAATAATAATAATGATATATGAATATATATTATTAGTTAGTGAGAATTCAGGTGTTCAGAAGATCGAACTTATGTTTTTGTGGGTTACGTATGTATAGTCTTGTTGATTTTGAGGGAGAAAAACTATTGTGGGGCGAAGAATTGCCGAAAAGTGCTAGAAAAAATACACCTGGAATTCGATATAACCAAAAAGCTTTGATTTATTTATTTATTCATTTTTCGCAACAAAAAACCCTAGTAAACAAGGTTACAACCAGAAATGTGATTAATCATTTCCAAGCGGCGTCCAATTGCTGAAAATAATCCTGCTGTGTGGGATTTGTAACAATACTTTGTCCTTTGAAATTCATAACTTGAACTTTACTCGATTTCTTCTTGAATGTCAAAACAACTTTCTTTCTCCATTTCTTATTCGATATCAGAACAATCCAGGGAAACATCGACATTTCCAGTGTCAAAATTGATTCTAGAAACGAAAAAACTAATTCGGAATTATCAATTACTTCCAAAATCACAAGAATTGATAGAATAGCCAAGAGCAACTCTAAACACACATTGAAAAATGTTCCAAATACAAAACTTCTTGTAATCTCATAGGAAATCGATAGATCAAATCGTTGATTCAAATTTGCGCCTGTAGTTTTGCTATATTTCATTCGAGCTGTTCTCATTGCGATGAGTTCCGCAAAAAGATTAATAATCAATAAAGTGACAAGGAGAATTAGCCAGATTGGTTCAACTTGGTCTTTCTGGAATAAATCAGTCCGAAAATGATTATGATTATGAAATTCGACATTTAGATTGTCATCTTATTACTAATTCCGGGTTTTTACTTACAGAAAGTGCAAAGATTGATGTCGCAAACAAAATTGAAGCAAACATGAAACTAAACAATAACCCATACATTTTCGCCGTATAAAACTTTTCGAAATTGATAAAAACTAATCGATCAACACTAAACAAAGGTTGAATATTCACAAAAAAGTCCCAGGCAAAATTTCGAAGCATAATTTTCGATAAAACTTTCGACAAAATGACTAATTATGTTCAGAATCAAGTAAACAATAACCACAGAGAGAAAAAATCGACAGCCTTTTATTAAATTCCTGTCTACGTTTTTGATTGGCCCACGTGAATAAGCCACGCCCATTTCATTTTTTCATTTTCAAAATTTATTTTATTTTATTTTTTTGGTCGCCAGGCCTATTTTTTGTTGTTTTTCCTTGAAAATCATGATTTTTTGCTAAAATTTTTTATACAGTTTTTAGAACTCGTATAGATAATACTTCCTATCGCTTTATAATTATTTCTTTCGCAATATTCCGAAAGTTTTAACGATTTTTGTTCAAAAGTTCTCAATAATTGTTGTTATTTCAGTATTTCGGATACCAATTCTTGTCTCAATCAATCAGGAAGTATTCAAAAGTATTTTAGAAGCTAATGTGATGATTTAAAGTCGATATCGAGGCAGTTTTTGCAATAAAGAACCCACAAACCGAATGTTGAACAGAAGCGGATAAAATATGAATTTTCTCCGATAATTTGTCAAAAACTCGATGGTTCTGCAACGTTTAGTTGATATGGTGCTGTTTTTTTTTTCATTTTGATAAGTTTTATGTAAAACTTGGTTTCATTTTCAATAAATTTTTATTCGAAATATTTCAAACATCAAAAATATGGTCGAATTTTGGGTCAAATTTTGGATTAGAAGCATCAAAACCCGATTTTATCGAAATCTTCAAAAGAAAACTTTGAAATTTCGACATTTCCTCAAATTCTGCACAAAATCCGTCGTTTTCAACTGTTTATCACATCCACATCTGATTTCTTCAAAACTTCGAGAAAATCTGTTCCGAATTGCTAAAATATCCCTTATATAATACAATTTCATAAGAAAATGAATCAGAAAATGAATATCGGAGATAAAAAGATTGAAAAAAAAGCAAAACTTGAACTAGGAATCATGTTTTTTTCTTATAACTTTGTGAGTTTTTCAAATTATATAACAATCTACATATGTAAATGATCCTTAGGGGACTCCTAACAATCTGTATAAAAAATATTGTGGAAATTTTTCTTCTCTCGCTGAAAAACTGTAAAAAACTGAAAAACCAAAAAAAATTTCGAAAAATAAAAAAAAGCGTCAGGAAAAACAACAAACGCGTCAATTTTCGCGTGACCCATTTCTTGAAACCCCGCCCAAAATCGCTGATTGGATGACGTGATTTTTGTCGATTTTTTCTCTCTGTGTAACTGATAAACTGAGAACAACCAAAATAAATCTGGAAAATCCAGAAAACCTTTTGGAAAATGTTCGAATAGCTATGACGTGTCCAACTGTTCCAAGAAGCACAAATAAAATGTCAAAGAAAAATTTCATGATTTATGAGAAAAAATGATAATTATATATTCCAAGACGCCTCCAATTGATCGAAATAATCTTTCTGACTTGGATTCGTTAAAATGCTCTGCCCCTTTAAATTCACAACATGCACTTTATTCGATTTTTTCTTATTACATATTGTGATAATTTTGTTTCTCCATTTCTTATTAGTTATCAAAACAATCCAGGGGAACATTGACATTTCCAGAATAACAATTATATGAAGAACTGATAAAATCGAGATTGATTCATCAATAAATTCGAAAATAATTGGAACTGCAAGGATTGCCAGCAGAATTTGCAGGAAAATGTTGAAAATTGTACCCAATACAAAACTTTTTGTGATCTCGTAGGAAATCGAGAGATCGAATCGTTGATTTAAATTTGCGCCCGTGGTTTGAGCATATTTCCTGCGAGCACTTATCATAGCAATGAGCTCCATAGGGAGTTTGAAAATAATCAAACACGAAAACAAGACCAACCACATGAGTTGAATTTGATCATTCTGATTTTAAAAAAAACAAAGATAATTTCTAGTTAGAAATACATATAATTCTAGACTTACGGAAAGTGTAAAGCATGTGGAAATACCAAGAATCAGAACATATATGATTATGAATAATAAAGTGTAGAAAATCGATTTGTAGAATTTCGGAAACTTTATGAACACTAATCTATCAAGACTGAAAACTTGTTGAAGTGTAATAGACATCATATAAGAATATCTCGAAACATAATCTCTAATCAAACTTTCGAAAAAAATCTCTTTCGACCAACTCGAAATCATATGAAAAATCATAGACAAGCTCAATGTTACCAGAATAATTCGCGACGATCCAGAAAACCGATTCCAGAATGTGTGAATAGCTAGAAAATGTCCAAAAGTTCCAAAAATTATGAAGATAATATCAAGCATGTTTGATTCTGGTCAGACTAAAAATAATGATATAGTAGTCTAGGGAAATCGAGCTTTTCCTTGAAACGTGTTTTTTTTTAATTTTTTGTCAGCACAAAGATTGAATAAAAAATTATTTTATATGTAGTTTATTTTTACAATTTAATCACAAAGATCGCATTATTCAACTCCAAGCCACATCCAATTGTTCAAAATAATCCTTCTGACTCGGATTTGTCAAAATACTCTGTCCCTTTAAATTCATAACTTGAACTGTATTCGATGTTTTAGTGAACTTTGATAAAATCTTGTTTCAACATTTCCGATTCGATATGAGAACAATCCACGGGAAACATGCGATTTCCAAAGTTACGATTGATTCTAGAGATGAGAATGCGAGGGTGGAAGCATCGAGAACTTCGAAAAAGATGAGCAGCGACAAAATCGCAAGGACAATTTGAAGACATAGATTGAACAAAGTTCCAAAAACAAAACTTCTGGTAATCTCATAGGAAATCGATAAATCAAATCGTTGATTCAAATTCAGCCCCGTAGTTGTATCATATTTCATTCTAGCACATCGCATAGCGTAAATTTCCGAGGAAAGATTAAAGATTATTTCCGAGATGAATAAAATAAGCCATATTGGTTCAACTTTATCTTATTGAATTAGGAAGTGTGACTTGGTGACAAAATGTTTATACTTTCGTCCGATCAAACTAGAAAACTCACAGAAAATGCGAAAATTGAAGTGACTAACAAAACTATGCAACCATTAAAAACTGAAAGGCATGTATAAGACTTGGATTTGTAAAACTTCAGTATTTTGATAAACAACATACGATCGAGACTAAAAAACGGTTGAACATTCACAAAAAGCCCCAAAGATAATCTCGAAACATAATTGATCACATAATTATCCAAAAAATAATTGAAAAGATTCGAATACAAGTGTAGAATCATAGATAAACTGAAGAATACCAAAATGAATCGAGACAATCCAGAAAAGCGTTTGAAGTACCAAAAGTGGTACCAAAAGCGAAAAAAAACATCAACCAAAACACTCATGATTTTTAGAATAAATGCGAATGTGGTTTGAAAGTGGAAGAAGGTGGTGAGAAATCGCGAGGTAATCAAATCATGAGCAAACATCAGGGGAATTGCCTTATTCGACGTTGACAAAAATTTACGATAACAAGAAAATCATGGAGCTCTTGGCTAGTTGTTAGAAAATCAACGAGCTCAATTTTTAATGACCATGTGTAATTTTCAGACTCGCATAAGAGTGTCTAATATCAAACAGCTCAAACAGTAAAGCAAAGAACCCCCGTTTGAATTGGCGCTCACGTACAGTAGACTAAAAATGACGTGACACATGCACATCAAACTGGTTGGCAAATAGCCAGCGTGTAAACTTCGCACTCCAAAATTTTGCGAAGTCTACTGTAGTCTTGGTTTTCTAGGCCATTTCGGTTCTCTTACAAGAATGGCATTTCATTTACTATAAAATTAATAAAATTAAATTTTTCATAAACTTCAGAACTCTAGATTTGGTCTGCAAAACCAAGAAAAAGCTAAAAAAAAATAATTGTTGTCTACAAATTTAATTATTGTCTACTCAAGCATTCCAAGCCGCATCCAATTGTTTAAAATAATCCATCTGCGTTGGATTTTTCAAAATATTCTGTCCCTTTAAATCCATAACATGTACAGTATTCGATCTCCGTCTAAATAATGACACAACTCTTTTTCTCCATCTCTGATTTGTAATCAATATTATCCATGGGAAAAATGAGAATTCCAAAAGGACAATCAAAGTGAGAAGTGAAATCATAAATTCAGATAGATTGATAACTTTAAAAACAATCAGGGTTGAGAAAATCGCTTGAAAAACTTGTAGGAAAATAATGAATAAAGTTCCAAATACAAAACTCCTTGTAATCTCATAGGAAACTGATAGATCAAATCGTTGATTCAGATTAAGTCCAGTAGTTTGGGCATATTTCTTTCGAGCTGATCTCATGGTTACGAGTTCGGAGAATAAGTTGAACATTATAAAAAATACAAATTGAATGAGCCAAGCGGTTCCAACTTTATCGCTCTGAAGAAAATCAAAGTTCAAATCAACTTTTCGTGGTCTCTGCTAACATGATTTGTCTGCAAATTTTATTTCAACTATGATCTTAAATAACTCACTGGAAATGAATAAAGTATGGATTCACCAATAACAATTGCACTTATCAAAACAACTAGACAAATGTAAAATTTAGACCTATAAAACTTTGGAAGCGTAACAAATAATAATCGATCTAAACTAAAAAATGGTTGAAATATGATTGACAGCCAAAGTGAAGATCTTATGACATAATTATTCCCAATTAGATAACTTTCTGGTAATGGAAAATAGATAATAATTCTAGAAATGATTTGAATAATCATCGAGAAGATAAATAAGAGCAGAATAATTCGAGACAATCCAGAAAACTTATTGAAAAATGTTCGAATCGCTATGAGATGTCCAATTGTTCCAAAAATAACCAAGAAAATGTCAAGCATATTGGAAGTGTGAAAAAAAATGAAAATTCGAGTCAGAAAAAGTAGATGATAAATTGCGTAAATATAATTATAGATTTTGGAAGAAAATGAGCCAAAATTAGTTTGCAGAGAAATATAATTGTATACTTTTTAAGAGACCAAAGGCTTCAAATTCTGGAAATTATCACCTGCAAAGTTAATATAACTACAAAAGTCTGGAATAATTGTCCTAATTCAATTTTTGAGACATAGATATTACACCAAAACAAATCTCAAACTTTATTTTCCAATCAACAAGAATCAAACATTCCAATAAGTCTCTAATTGATCAAAATAATCTTTCTGCGTTGGATTCGTCACAATACAATGTCCCTTTAAATCCATCACATATACTTTATTCGACCTTCTGCTACAACAAATTTTCTTTCTCCATCTCTGATTTGTTATAAGCACAATCCATGGGAAAACTGAGAACTCCAAAATAAATATAAAATCTAAAAGTTGTAAAATTGATATTGAACCATGAATAATATCAAAAACTATAAGAACCGCAAAGATCGCAAGAAATACTTGTAGGAGAATATTAAAAAGTGTTCCAAATACAAAACTCCTTGTAATCTCATAGGAAATTGATAGATCAAATCGTTGATTCAAATTAAGGCCGGTAGTTTGAGCATATTTCTCACGAGCACTTTGCATAGCAATGAGTTCAGAAGATAACTTGAAAACTATCAAGAAAATATAAAATGAAAGCCAATGCGCTTTAATTTTATAGTGTTGCTTCAAAAAAAATCAATTATTTCTTGAAATCCAACTGAATCAACTTACAGTGATCGCAAAAGCTGTGGAAATCATAACAACCATGAAGCATAAGCCAATAAATAAAACCGTGTAGAAAATCGAGTTGTAAAACTTAGGAACTTTGATAAATAACAATCTATCCAAACTAAAAAATGATTGAAGTGTTATAACCATCATCAAAGAACACTTCAGCACACAAATATTTAGTGTGCTATCATTAAAACTATTGAAAATCATCGAATCCATGTGAAGAATCATAGAAAAGCTCAAAAATACCAGAATAATTCTGGAAAATCCAGAAAACCTTCTCAAAAATGTTTGAATAGCTATGACGTGGCCAATCGTACCGAATACAACGAGGGAAATTTCGAGAACAGTTTGAATAACCATAGCGTAACAGAAAAGATTTGTGAAAAGTCCAATTTGTTCTATGAAAAAATTTAGGGTTGGTTGGTTACGCGTGACGATATTTCACCTGTTTCAAAACATTTTGAAATGCTCGCAGATCAAAAACCCCTTATTCCACGATTCATTCAATTGTTGAAAATAATTCACAACGTGACCCATTTTTAAGTTGAACTTTGTCATAATGTTCCATCTCCACTTCTGATTTGTCACCAGAATAATCCACGGGGAAACTGCCAACTTCACGATCAAAATACTCTGCTAAACTCAAACATCAAAACTGAAAAATGGTAGAATAGTGAAAGTGGACGTCAGCGTGAACCTTGAAACATAAGCTCCCAGAAAATTATTGAAAAGTTTTTTTGAAAACAACATTTGACAAATGTGAAATCATAGGAATATCAAAATAGCTTTTGAGAAGCCGGAAATCCTGTTGGCAAATTGTTGAATGCAAAAATATGTGACCACAAAAACCTGAAAAAATCTCCCCCAAAATAAAATCAGAAAAAATCCAAGTTCCAAAAAAAACCAATAAAAATTTGATTATTCACAAATTTTCCGGCCGAGAAAAAAAAACAACAAAACAGAAAAACAATCAAAAATGCATGCGAACACTCAACCCGATTTTATTTTTCATTTTCAGCCCAAACTTTTGTCAGTTTTTCACATTAACCAAATTAAAATGTACTTTTTGTTTACTCTCATTGACCAACTTTTTCAGAAAAACAACACACGTTTTTTTCAATGTTCGTCGAATTTCTGATATTTTTCAATGTATTTTTTGTGGCTATTGGGAGCATTGCTCATGTTACAATTTTGAGAATGGCTTTTATGAGAACTAGTGGATATTGCAGGTAAATTTGAGAAAAAATTAATGAAAAACATGATCCAATATTGGTTTTTCAAAACGGCTTTTGTAAATTTCAAAAATTTTCTCAAAAATCCCAGCCCATGAAAACTAACCTCATTTCGATTAGCCCCAAAATTTGATCAATTCGTGAAGTTCCAAGTCATCCTTATCACATCCAAAATTCCAGAAAGTGAAAAATTGCCAAATGTGCGTTGACCTGAAAATTAGAAAATTTTTTTGCAAAAAATCACTGTTTCAAAAATATTTCAACACAAAAAATGTGTTATATGCTAGGATGAAGATCTTTTAACTTGTTCAAACTGCACTATCAAATGTTCTTTTTTTCAATTCTAGAATCAGAAATATCCTAGACATTTCTGGTTTCAAAATTTCAAAAAGGAAGGAAGCCGAAGCTGAACTATGGAAAAAAATGATAATTTTTCAAAAAAAAAATTCACTGTTTCAAAAATGTTGCTAATATAAAAAATTCACAAAAAATGTATTGTGAGTATCCAGAAAATTCTAAATTGGTTTTTAACTACATCCACCAATCTAAAATAGCCTCAAATGAAAATTTCCAGAAATTTTTTTTGCGAAATGGGTCATTTTTTAAAATTTCCCAAAAATCCCAGCCCATAAAAACTAACCTCATTTCGATTAGCCTCAAAATTTGATCAATTCGTGAAGTTCCAAGTCATCCCGATCAGATCCAAAATTCCAGAAGTTGAAAATTTGCCAAATGTGCGTTGAGCTGAAAATTAGAAAATTTTTTTGCAAAAAAAAAAAAATCACTGTTTCAAAAATATTTCAACACAAAAAATGTGTTATATGCTAGGATAAAGATCTTTTAACTTGTTCAAACTGCGCTATCAAATGTTCTTTTTTTCAATTCCACAATCAAATTTCAAAAAGGAAGGAAGCCGAAGCTGAACTATGGAAAAAAAATGAAAAATTTTCAAAAAAAAATTCACTGTTTCAAAAATTGTTCTAATACTAGAAATTCACAAAAAAACCTATTGTGAGTATCCATTGGATTTTTAACTTATCGTAATTTGAACTACTGTAATACAGAAAATTCTAACTAGTTTAACATCAACCAATCTAAAATAGGCTCAAATTTTGAAATGAAAATTTCTAGAAATTTTTTTTTGCGAAATGTGTCAATTTTAAAAATTTCCCAAAAATCCCAAAGATAAAAACTAACGAAATTCCTATTTTACCCAAAATTCGACCGATTACTGGAATTTCAAATCACCATTATCACATCCAAAATTCCAGAAGTTGAAAATTTGCCAAATGTGCATTGTGTTGGAGCTGAAAAATAAGAAAACATTATTTTATTTTTTGAAAAAAATCACTGTTTCAAACATTTTTTAATACAAAAAATATCAAACATTTTGTTGATTTCGTAGCTATATCAGCTAGAACTAACCGTGTTTTAAACTTCAGTAATCGATTCATTTTTCTAGATTTCAGAATTTGAAAAATTGTGGTTATTTCCTATTTTAAAAAATTCAAAAATGAAAAAAACCAAAATTTTCTTATTTTTATTATTTGAGAAAAAAATTGGGTCACGCTAAAAATTGTTTTTAAAAAAATTTTCGCATTAATTTTCTCCTTGAATCTGATTTTGAAAATTTTGAAATGAAAATTTCCAGAATTTTTTTTGCGAAATGTGTCATTTTTGAAAATTTCTCAAAAATCCCAACCCTTAAAAACTAACCAAATTCCTATTTTCCCCAAAATTCGACCGATTACGGGAATTCCAAATAATCCCGATCACATTCAAAATTCCAGAAGGTGAAAATTTGTCAAATGTGCATTGTGTTGGAGCTGAAAAAAATAGAAAATATAATTTTACTTTTGAAAAAATTCACTGTTTCAAACATTTTTTAAGTCAAAAAATTATCAAACATTTTGTTCTTCTAGTGATTGGAGCTCAAAATTTACCACTGTTTCAAAAATGTTTCTAATATAAAAAATTCAAAAAAATGTATTGTGAATATCCATTGGAATCCAATATTCCAGAAGAAGAACTTATCGTAATTTAAATTACAGTAATCCAGAAAATTCTAAACTGGTTTTCAACTACATCAACCAATCTAAAATAGCCTCAAATGAAAATTTCTAGAAATTGTTTTTGCGAAATGGGTCATTTTTAAAATTTTCCCAAAAATCCCAGCCCATAAAAACTAACCTCATTTCGATTAGCCTCAAAATTTGATCAATTCGTGAAGTTCCAAGTCATCCCGATCACATCCAATATTCCAGAAGGTGAACATTTGCCAATTGTGCGCTGAGCTGAAAATTAGAAAATTATTTTTTGCAAAAAAATCACTGTTTCAAACAATTTTTAATACAAAAAATATCGAACATTTTGTTGATTTCGTTATCGCTAGATTTCAGAATTTGAAAAATTGTGGTTATTTCCTATTTTAAAAAATTCAAAAATGAAAAAAAAACCAAATTTTTTCTTAATTGGGTCACGTTAAAAATTGTTTTTAAAAAAATTTTCGCATTAATTTTCTCCTTGAATCTGATTAATTTTTCAATCTAAAATAGCCTCAAATTTTGAAATGAAAATTTCGAGGAAGTTTTTTCAAATTGTTTAAAATTCAAAAATTTTCCCAAAAATCCCAGCCCATAATAACTAACCAAACTCCTAATTTCCCCAAAATTCGACCGATTACGGGAATTCCAAGTCATCCTTATCACATCCAAAATTCCAGAAGTTGAACATTTGCCAAATGTGTGTTGAGCTGAAAATTAGAAAATTATTTTTTTGCAAAAAAAAAATCACTGTTTCAAAAATATTTCAACACAAAAATGTAACAAAACTGTTTTATTAATTTGATTTCTTTATGAATTTTTGAAAAATCACACTACACTACAGTAATTTGGCCTACAGTATCCCTACAAAAATCCACTATTCCAGAATTCTTCTAATAACCTTCGATCTCACAATGTTCCTCAGTATCCTATGCTACGGTCTCCAAACAATTCTCTGCTATTCCTCCGAAACCCACGAAATCCAGCCTCGCTCAAAATGCCCGCAAACCACATTTTTCTCAACATATTATCATTTTTTGCCAGCTGGCTCATCTAATTTCTCAATGCATTTTTGGAATCGACCTGATTTTCAGCATCGTTTTTCAGATTTTCTATAACTCGGTTTTCTATTTTCTGCTTTTTGTTGCCATGTATTTATCGATTTTTTGGATTTCTTGGGAATATTTGGAAATTGTGACGGCTTATGATAAATTGACAATTGAACCGTTTTGGCTGATTTTGATCAATTTTTTCATTTTTGTTAGCTTACCGGTGGGATACGTGGCAACTTTCAGAATTTCTAAAAAAAAACTTTTCAGATCACAATGTCTGCTCGCTACCTATCAAAGAAAAAATATCACGAAACTCTAGGCGGAACAAGTCTAGCTCGCAGATTTGACGTGAGTTAGCCCAACTCTCAAAAATCCCCCGAAAAGGAAAAAGATCCAAATTTCCAGCTTTCATTCTCCTACGAGCTCTCAAAATGTCTAGTCTACGGTTGTCTATTCAATATTCTAATTCAATCTCTCGTCATACTTTTCACCTGGCTGAATTATCTTCAAATATTTTTCGTGAATCCATTTCATCTGGAATTGACTTCTGGTGTCATTTTTAATGTGGAAATGTCGATTTTTCCCTATATTATACTTTTGAATCATCGGATTTGGCGGAAGAATTGTGTAAGGGTTTTGAGAAAGGTGAGAACGACAAATATGGGCTTTCATGGGATTTGATAAAGCGCGGCTACTTGAGAGATAGCCTCTCAAGGCGCTGATACTTGACAACTAGGGTTTTCAGGCTCGGCTACTTGACATAGAATCTCTTAAGGCGCGACTCCTTGTCAGAGTAGATCTCTAGACCCGGATCCAAGAAATATAGGTTCTCTAGGGGCTGATCCTTGACAATTAAAGTTTGTAGGCTCGGCTACTTGACATAAAATCTCTTAAGGCGCGACTCCTTGTCAGAGTAGATCTCTAGACATGGAGCCAAGAGATATAGGTTGTCTAGGCGCTGATCCTTGACAACTAGGGTTTCTCGGCTCGGCTCCTTGACATAGAATCTCTCAAGGCGCGACTCCTTGTCAAAGTAGATCTCTAGACACGGAGCCAAGAGATGTAGGTTCTATAGGCGCTGATCCTTGCCAACTAGGGTTTCTAGGCTCAGCTCCTTGACATAGAATCTCTCAAGGCGCGACTCCTTGTCAGGGTAAATCTCTAGACGCCGCTCCTACATAAATAGGTTCTCAAGAGTCAAATTTCAGAGAAAAATTAAATGTTCTGGGAAAGCTTAGCTCACTTCTGGGAACCTTAGCCTCAGCCTTAACCTAAACCTTATCCTAAATTAAATTTCCAGAACCCCTTCATCATGCCAAAAAAATCCACTCAAGTCAAATCACTCAACGGCCAAAATATGATGCGAAAACAATCGCAAAACGACCATTTCGATCAGCTCAAAAATCAGTGGCTCAAATGAAACAATTTGTTTTCTTGCACGTTTTTTGATCATGTTTTCAATTTATGCTGCACTTCCAGGACATTCGCAATTTTTTCAAATCGAAACAATATTTTTTTATGTGTGCATTTGTTTTATCATGTACATAATTTTTCAATGTTTTATTCGTCGCTATTTTTTTTTGATGATAACATATAACATTTTATTTTGTGCTTGCCTGGTTTTTATAGGTGGACAGCACGTGTCTTTAGGAATTTTTTTTGGGGTTTTTGGACTTTGGAAAATCAAAATTTGGTGCCACGTGGCTTTCTGCAGATTTTTGAAACTAGAATTTTATTTTTTTTTGTAGATTTTCCAATTTATGATCTACAAAATTTTAAGAACTTCGAAATTTCGCGCTAAAAAGCCACGTGGCTTTTCTCAGTTTTTGGCGCGAAAATCAAAATTTTTCGAAATCAAAATTTCAACTCAGATTCTCAAAAATTCAAAAACTCGCTTCAAAAAAACTTGCACGTGGATTTTATTCTTCCAAATTTTCAGCATCTGAAATTCATCAATTTCAGAAATATTTTTGCCACGTGGATTTTCTAGCCACGTTTTTTTCAGTTTCAGAAACTCTCAGAATCCACGCGGAAAGATTTTTCGATTCAAAATTGACGTGGAATTTGATCAAAAATTTTTGAAACTCAAAACTAATTTCCCACCAAATTTCCAGCCTCGCTCCCAAAAATGGGTAAAAAATACACATGGGAGATCATCTCCACAGCCATCGCCTTCTTCCTAATCGGTCTCTGCAACAATTACGGCTACGTAATTATGCTAAGTGCCGCCGAAGATATTCTAAGTCAACAGCAACACAAAAACAAATCAACAACTGTAGATGTTTGTGATCCCGTGATAACCGGAAGACATTGCAAACCACCAACAGCCGAAGTCTTGCTCTCCGATAATTTGCCAAGTTTACTGGTCAAATTAACTTTTCCATTTTTTATGGATCGTTTTCCATTTGGGATGAGGGTTGCTGTAGTTTGTATTCTACAAACCGCTTCATATTTCGTCGTGGCTTTTTCCACATCAATTCCAATGTCATTGTTTGGCGTGGTTTTGGTGAGCTTGGGTGGAGGATTGGGTGAAATTACGTTTTTGGGATTGTCAGCGCATTATCCGAGGTGAGTTTGGTACGAAAAATTATATGGAATTTTGAGAAAAGCTCCGAGAAATCAAGCCATTATTCTGGTGTTTTGAAAAAAAATAATGTTTCATAATTTGCATTTATTAAACAATTTTCAAAGCTTGAATCGTTTCGAGCCTTTCAAACTTGGGCAATAAAATTGAGCCAAAAAATCCACGTGGCACAAATTTTATCGGAAAAAATAGAGCGGAAAAATATACGTTTCAAAAAATTGAAATTTTGTGTGACAATTGAAAAAAAATATTGAAATTTTGTGTCACAAAAATTTCTGACATAAAATTTTTGAAACGTAAATTTTTCATGAAAAAATTCTAGATTTTCAGCTCTAAATCTAATTTTGAATGAAGTCTGGAACAAAATATTTCCAATTCAAAATTTTAATAGCGGTGAAAAATGCAACAATACAAATCAACATTTTTTTTTCAAAAATTATTCATACGAAAATTTTGAAACAGTGAATTTTTTTTTGCGAACAAATATGAGAAATTTTCGAAAAATCGAAAATTTGATTTTTTCAGAAAAAAGTTGGCATAGTCAAAATATGTCAAAAGGTGATACATAAATGTACCCTACTTCAAATTTCAGATAAAAATGAGGCTGAAATAAAAAGTTGATTTTTTTGAAAAATGGGTGCTTTTAGTTTCCACATAATCTTAGCCTCACCCTAGAAAATTTCTGTAATTTCAGGTTTTGTGCTTGAACTAAGTTTGTAATGGGTCTGAAAATGATAGTTAAATCAGTTTCAGACAGAATTGAGCTGTAATCAACCATTATTGATTGATTAACAGTGACTGAAAACGCTGATAGCGTGGAGACTTCCATCAAAACAAGTTTTGAGTCAAAGTTGGTTCAAAATTCGATTATTTCGAGCTTAATTTTTAGAAAATTGGTATAAAACACTTTTTTCAACATAATCTGTCAAAATTCTGACCCGAATTGCAAGAAATTTTCAATTTCAGCTGATTTTTCAAAAATTTTGAAATTTTTCTGAACCAAAATTTTCGAGTTTCAGCCAAAATTCCGACATATTTCTAGATCAAAAACTCGACTAAAAATTTCAGACATAAAATTTTTGAAACGTACATTTTTCAAGTAAAAAATTCTAGATTTTTGAAGGCAAATCTATTATCGCCACGTTTTAAAGATGAACATCATATGAACAACGTTACATTAACTTTTTTTTCAAAAATTATTCATATACAAATTTTGAAACAGTGAATTTTTTCTAACACAAACTTGAGCAATTTGAGTTTTCTTTGGATATTTTCTTATGTAAATTGCAATAAAAATTACTAGAAAATCAAAAACTCGACTAAAAATATCTGATACAAAATTTTTGAAAAGTACATTTTTCAAGAAAAAAATTCTCGATTTTTGCGGTTCAAATCTATTTTCGCCACGTTGCAAAGTTAAACAACATACACTGCATTAACCTTTTTCAAAAAAAATTATTCATACGAACATTTTGAAACAGTGAATTTTTTCTCAAACAAAAACGAGAAAAATGAGTTTTCTTTAGATCTTTTCTTATGAAAATTCCAAGAAAAATTACTAGAAAAACAAAACCTCGGGCACCACCAAACTTCACGGCTAAAATAGTACCTTTCCAACCCAAATCCTACAAAAATTCCAGAATCGCAATCGCCGGATGGTCCTCTGGAACCGGAATGGCTGGACTACTCGGCAGTTTTTCTTACGCCTTCCTAACCGAGCCACACATGGCAAATCTCAGTCCAAAAACTGCACTTCTGATTCAATTATTCATTCCAGTGCTTTTCGCCTTCGCATACTTCATTCTACTTTCAAAACCCGAATCAATCTATTCACCAACAATAAGTCCAAAAACTTGGCTAGTTCCCAAGAATTATGATAACTTTATTGTGGTTAGTTCAAAATTAGCCGTGTTTGGTGTCTCTAGAACCCAAATTCCGAGATGAATCCGTTAATCAAAAAAAATTTGCAGAGCAAACATCGAGTTCCACAACGTGAATTGAATCTCAGCGAACGTCTTCAATTGATTCTGGTAAGTCACGTGGTTCTTATCAAACTAGGCTCAAAAATGAGCAAGATAAGGGGGAAAATGTGCCAAAACGTGTGTTTTTATTGCAGCCCATGCTTCATTTGATGATACCGCTTGCACTGGTTTATGTCGGAGAATATATGATCAATCAGGGAATGGTAAGAGATCGGGGGGAATATAGGAGGTTCAGAGGAAAAAAATTCTAAAATTTTGGGGATAATGATGAAATTCCGGTTCCAACGAGTCTAAACAAGTCAAAATCATTTGAAAATTTCAAAATTTTTGAGCATTCAGGGAAAAACATCAGAATTGTCATAGAAATATCTGGAAATCTCTAAAATTTACAGATTTAGCTGTAAATTCCGGTTCCAACGAGTCTAAATATGTCGAAATCATTTGAAAATTTCAAAATTTTTGAGCAAAACATGTCATTGACACGTGGAATCAGGGAAAAGCATCAGAATTTTCAGATTGAGCTGAAAATTCCAGTTCCGGGGATATTTTCAAAACCCAAATTTTCAGCTGAAAATAAAGTTAACACTCATTTTCAGCTCAAAATTCACCCAAAAAACCAATTCTTCTTCACGGAAAAGATACATACAAAGAGGAGAGATAGCTCAGTGGCAGTAGTGACTACTGGCAATCTGATAGTCACGGGTTCGATCCCGGGTGCCCGCTACTACAAAGTTGAATCTGAAGATTTCAGATTTTTAGATCTAGAAAAGTTCAAACCACCAAAATTTGCAGACCCAAATGATAATCTTCAACTGCCAAGATGGCTTCTCGCTCTCCGTCAAATCCCAATATCGTTGGTATCAAGTTCTCTATCAATTCGGTGTTTTCATCTCTCGATCTTCAATAAAATTAATCGAACTTCCAGTCTGGTTACTCTATCTTCTACCAGTTCTTCAACTCTCAAATATGGTTTTCTTCTTTTTCGACGCACTTTATTGGTTTGTTCCGCATATTGCGATTATTTTTGTGCTGATTATTTTCGAGGGATTATTTGGGGGAAGTGCGTATGTTAACACTTTTCACAAGTTGCATAATATGGTAGGGGTTTTTGAATTGAGATTCTGGGAAATCTCCTCGAGCTAGACCTAACCTAAAATTAATTCCAGGTCGCCCCGGATGTCCGAGAATATTGTCTATCGGCCGCTTCAATGGGCGATTCAATCGGAGTCAATTTCGCTGCAGGAGTTTCGATTCCTCTTCATTATTGGATGTGCGCTCAACCGCAACCAAGATAATTTTTTGATAAGCATAATAAAATTTTTCAAGGGAGCCTTCTTATAGAACTCGTCACGCTGATCAAAATGCAGTAAAAATCAGCTGCTGAGCTCTGGTTGAAGCCGAGAAAAAGAGCCAATAAAAATGTGGCTAAATGGTGTAGGCGGTAAGTGTCTACATCGCTGGTTGTGAGGTCGAGGGTTCGAATCCGCCTCGCGACTATATTTTTTGAATTTTCAGAAAGTGTGAAATTAACACGCGCTCATAGTAGTCACAAGGTGGACTCGAACCCGCGACCTTACAATTGGGGATCTGGACACTTACCGCCTACACCGTCTGGTCAAGCTGATTTTCACAGCATTTTGAGTTCAAAAATCGAAAAAATTCATTCAAATCTTCACAAAAAACTGATTAAAATTATAATTTCTCATCCTCCACATTGTGTAGAAAATAAAAACGAGAAAAATAAACGAAATATAGAAGAATATTTGTCGAAAATAGTTGTGCATTATTTCCAAAAAAGAAATTTTTTTAGAAAAGTTCCAAGGTTGCTAGGAGCTTTTCTTTTCGAAAAAAAACATGGAAACACGTTTTTCTTAGGAAAAAAGTAGATCAAATCTTATCTAAAATCTCAAATCCTTCCTGGTTTCATTAAAACTTTTTAGTCAAAAAATGTTTGGTAAGTTCTGATTTTTTCTGGAATTAAATAAGGATAATTATAATATTTCAATTTTTTCAGCGCTTAGAAATTATTCCAGATATTCTGGATCTGGAAATCTCGGATTTCTCATAGCCCTATTATTTCTGATAACTTTCATATTCCTGTACGATTCAAATCTTCGAGTCGAAAATAAACTGCAACAAAACACCGTGCTGGAAAAACCCGCGAAAACCGAAAGTTCAAATAAAAATTTGGCGGGTTGTAATCCATCTTTGGACGTGGATACAGTAAGAATGCACAAAATTTTCGAGAAGTTTCAAAATTGCACAGAGAGTTGTGAGAATTTGGAAGATTTTGGTGTTGGATATGTGGTTGGTGAGAAAAAATGGTGGTTTGTCGAGCCGAAATGTGTGAGTTTTTGAGGGAAATTTCGAGAGTTAGGCTAACATTAGATTGGAAAAACCTAGGCTCATTTGGTCTCAATAGAAGCGAAATTTCATGTCAGAAGGAATTAGAGAATATCAAAAATTTCGGCCAAAAAATCTCAATTTTTCTTCGAAAAAATTTAAAATCTGATTTTTTCAAACGTGACCTTGTTCTGCCACGTAGCCAACATTTTTCATTTCCAAAAAAAATCCACATTTTTCAGCAAGAGCTAAATATTCTAGTCGCCTATAATTCTCCCGATTCTCAAGCTGTACAAGAACTCGAGCGGGTAATTTTCATTTCTAAGTTTCAATTTTGAAATGAAAAAAATTATTTTCAGCAAATAACGCGACTTTACAATCATGACGAGACCGCCGAAATCACATATATCGATTTTTTGTGGCTGGGAGCTGAAATTCTTGCGAAAAATTTCGATGAATTGAGAAAACTGCTGAGTCATGCTATAATTTGTCAAATTAATTTGGAAATTGAATTGACGGAAGCGAAAAAATTGGAATTGGTTGATTTTACGAGGGAGCATCGATTTGTGATTTTGAAATCGGAAGAGAATTTGGAAACTTCGAAGATGCGAGTGTTTTTGATGGATATGGAACATCGGAGGTGTTTTAGAAAGTTTTTGAGCTAGATTTTTGTGAATAAATGTTTGAAAATACTTTTTTGAGCACAAAATTCAGTGAGAAACAATTTAAAATTGAAAAATCTGGTATTCGCGTGCGGAAAATCGCTTTTATTTGAAGTTTATGTTATTTTTGGATCTCGGAGCAAATGTTGGCAAATTTTTCACAATTTTCTGGGTCCCGCAGTGAAATTTTACGAATTATCGCTACAGAACCCTTCTACACTTTATTTTTATCGATTTTCAACCACCGCAATCAAAAATACTCACCAAAAATTGCCAAAATCCTGAAATCCCTCAAAAAATCGATTTTCCTCGCAATTCGATAAATCCTCGCCTTCCACCAACCAAACATCGATTTCCTCTCTGAAAATCGATAATTTAACATGTTTTCTCGATTCAAAGTTCAAAACCCCACCATTTTCAGCCATTTTTCGCGAAGAAACCCGGAAATCCGCCAAAAATCAATAGCACACTTTTTGAATTGCTTGTTTCGCGGGCAACCGCGCAAGCGGAGTCTCGTTGTTTTCTTTTTTATTTCGCAGGTTTTTCCCCTGCAAAAAACCATTTTTATTGATTTTTGGGGATAAAAATTTGAAAAACGAACATTTTCGCGCGCGAAAATCGAGTTGTTGGTTTTTTTGTTTTAAAAAATCGAAAAATGACGATTTGTTGGCATTTTTTCACGCAAATCAGTTCACGTGACAATCATTTTTTTTTCTTTTCTTTTTTTTTTTCATTTTCATTCTGGGATGTGAGGAAAATTTTCGAAAAACGTAGAGCAATCTTCCAGTCCTCAAATTTTCCTAATCTTTAGCTTTCTTTTTGATATTCTGATCTCTTTATGGACTTTTTAGTTTAAAAAATGGTCGGACGCCAAAGAGGATTATCCACCAGACATATTTTGGTTTTTGACCCCAGCTTTTTTTGCGAAGATTCATTCTTACATTCTAAGATTTATCTAAAGTCTGAAATGTTGGCTATTGAAAGCAACGAAGAAGAAGTGAGTTTTTTACAAGACAAAAATATCTGTGTAATTTTTTTCCAGCAAACCGACACTTCCAAAATTCCAAAAAATGTTCCAAAACTTCCAAATTCTGTGTATAAAATTTTAGCAAACCTGGATTTAATGGATCAATCGTTTACAAATTTGCGATTCTCCACCTACAATCCTATAAAATTTCCGAGTTTGGAAGAATTATTGGATGAACCGAAACGCATAAATATTAAATATCAGGTGAGTTACAAAAAGAACAGTAATCCTATTTTTAGGCTTGAATTCGACGAATCAAAAAAGGTGAATTATAGTAACCCAATTTGCAGGCAGCTTCTGGTTGGCCACTGTCTGTCGAAAAATTCCAAGAAAAGCAAGCCGAGTTACACGAAATCCACCTAAAAATCAAAGCTGGAATATTGAATTTCCCAAAAGGTGGAAATTTAGAGGTTCATGAAATTAATACGTGAGTTTTTTGACGTGGCAACTTTTTTGAAAAAAAAAATTTTTTTTTCAGAAAACACTGGCTACCTTTTGACATCCTTATAGCTGTAGAATACTTGAAAACTCTTGATTTCTTTCAATTTCTCAATTTTCGTGATAGATTGGTTCTGGCAAAAGAGGTCACTGTTGTCGTAAAAACTTTAACCACATCTTTTGCGTCTTATCAGAGAAATGTGGATTGTATTGTGACTCCTGATGGATGTTATGCTGATGCGAAAAGTATGACTATTATTACTCAAATTCTCACCGGAGGAAAAATGTAAGATCAATAGGATTTGGTGAAATTTTGAGCGAAAAAATAATAATAATAATAATTTTCAGGAAAAATGACGCGATTCTTCTCAATCAGAAAACGATGAAAGCAGTCATGGGTTGTCTAATCCGCTTCAAAATCACCTACAACGAATACATTCTTCTCAAAGCAATTGCAGCCTGTAATCCAACTTTTGAACTGTCTGAAAATGCTCGAAAAATTGTGCAAAAAGAGCGCGAAAGATATGCGAATGCGTTGTTCAAATTGTGTCGATCGAAAAATCATGCGCCTAGTCGATTTATGGAACTTTTGAGCTTTTTGAATACGGCGATTTGTCAGCAACAAGCATTTCAACGATTTATGAGGACTTTTATACGCGGGAATTTGGAATATTTGTATTTTGAATCGAATCGAAAATTGGAGGACTCGTTTTTGTGTGAAAATTGAATGAAATTATTGATTTTTTTTGCTACTAAATTTTTTTTGAATTTGTATCTAAAATTGATCAGATCTCCGAAAAAATCCCAAGCCCCCCCCCCAAAATTTATCAATTCTCCCCCAATTTCCAATCAAAGAGCACTCAAAGCTCACTAAAAAATCAAACTAAACAAAAAAAAAACCTCCCCGTCGACTAAAAATGTTTGCATGTCGTTCGATTTTTGAATCAGACCACATTAGGGTTACGGTAGGGGAAGGTGGAGTGGGAAATGCACGTGAAACACTTTTTTTATCACAGATGTGTTTATTGTTGATATAGCAATCAAATCAAATCAACACTGGAGAACGAGCAGAACTTTTTTGTGGAGCAAAAAAAAAACATTTGAGATAAGAGCCGGAGGAGATTTTGCAGAAATTTTGAAAAAATCTAAAGATTTTTTTTTTGAATTTTCATCATTTTCTCTGACTTCCCTCAAAAATATTCCAAATTCCCCACAAGAGTTCAAAATAACAACAACAACCACTAGGAGAACATTGATCAAATTCTAATTGGGCTCAATTTTGCTCCTTTTTGGCTCACAAGAAAACAAAAATACACATGAAACTATACATTTTTTGTCATCATTTTTCTTCAGCTGTACTGTAGGAATAGTAGTATAAAAATGGCGCCGAAAATCATTTCTAGTGCTAGAAATTCAGATTTTCAAAATTTCTGCTGAAGCTAGACAAATTTGGCGCGAAAAATCTGGAATTTCAAATTATTTTTAATTTTTGCCAAGAAAATCTAAAATTCAAAATTTCACTGTTTCAAAGATTTTTTATTTATTTTTGGAAAACCTGTAAATTTTGGTTGGATGAAGTTTTTTCAATTTAAAATTTTTGAACAACTAAAAAATCTCAAAATCAAAATTTCACTGTTTCAAAGATTTTTCAATTATTTTTGGAAAACCTGTATATTTTCGTTAGATAAAGTTTTTTCAAATTAAAATTTTTGAACAACAAAAAATTCAACAAAATTTCACTGTTTCAAAGATTTTTCAATTATTTTTGGAAAACCTGTATATTTTCGTTAGAAAAAGTTTCTTAAATTTAAAATTTTTGAACAACAAAAAGTTCAACACAATTTTTGAAACCAAAAAAAATCTCTAAATTCAAAATTTCACTGTTTCTAAAATTATTTGAATATTTTCGCAAGACCTATTGTTTTTGGTTATGAAAATTCTTACATTTGAAATTTCCTATTGATTTTGAAATTCAAAATTTAGAACTCTAGGCTACTGTATTTAGCCAAAAGCTCAATTTAGGAGAATGTCCCTTTAAAAAATACAAATTTTTGAGTTCCGAGAATTTTCAAATTCAAATTTACACCTCCGAATTTTCGAATTTCGAAATTTGAATTTTTCCCGCCCAAAATCCCTCCAAAATTTCCCGCGCGCTCAAATTATTCCGCCTCATAGAACCATCATCGCCTCACTCATCGAACCACAAAAACCCACAAATTTTTGCTGTGTGTCTCGTGTTTTTCTGCCGCCGGCTCTTCTTATCACCAGAAAAAAAAACTTTTCCGTAACCAGCAAACATTTTTTTCTCTAAATAAAGAAAAAAGTCAAAAAATTCACTATAAAAGTCATCGCTTCTTCATTTTATTTTATTTTCATTTTTCAATATTTCAAAAATCTTCAGAAAAATCAAAAATGGTCCTTTGCGAAGATCCGGCAACTCCCAAGAAGCCAGTCATCTCAATTTTGGGAGCTGGAATGATGGGAGCTGGCATTGCTCAGGTTTGCATTCAAAATGGTTATCCGGTGCATTTATATGGTAGATCGGAGGCGAAACTTTTGGAGGCCAAGGAGAAGTTGAAGAAGAATTTGATCAGAATTGCCGGAAAGAAGAATTCGGGAATGGAGCCGGAAGGTTTGGCTCAGATTGCGGATGTTCAATTGGCGAATTTGCATATTTTTACGGAGGTGAGAGAGAAAAGGGGCTGGGCTTCTAGGCTAAGGCTTCTAGGGGCTAAGGCTTCTAGGCTAAGGCTTCTAGGTTAAGCCTTCTAGGCTAAGCCTTCTAGGCCAAGGCTTCTAGGCTAAGGCTTCTAGGCTAAGGTTTCTAGGCTAAGGTTTCTAGGCTAAGGCTTTTAGGCTAAGGCTTCTAGGCTAAGGCTTCTAGGCTAAGGCTTCTAGGCTAAGGCTTCTAGGCTAAGGCTTCTAGGCTAAGGCTTCTAGGCTAAGGCTTCTAGGCTAAGGCTTCTAGGCGAATTCTAGGTCTAAGGATTCTAGGCTAAGGCTTCTGAAGCTTTTCTAGGGGTCCTTAGGCTTAGGGGCTAAGGCTTCTAGGCTAAGGCTTCTAGGCTAAGGCTGTTAGGCTATGGCTTCTAGGCTAAGGCTTCTAGGCTAAGGCTTCTAGGGGCTAAGGCTTCTAGTCTAAGGCTCCTAAGCTACCGAAATTGCGTCAACATATTTTTGATCTACCGAAATCGCGTCAGCAATTTATTTCGTGCTGCAAAGTTTCGTCACAAGCTTAATTTGAAAGTGGAAATTTTGATAAGCCTACAAAAAATGCGCCAGCAAAATTTTGATTGACGAATTCCAGTTAGCAACTTTAGGGTTTACAAAGTTCTTGTCAGCATAACCAAACTGCAAAAAATGCGCCAGCAAAATCCCTAGCCTACAAAATATGTGTCAATCTCACCCCATCCCAAAATTTTCCAGATCTCCTCCGCCGTCGAAGAATCCTCAATGGTAATCGAAGCGGTCGCCGAAAACCTCGACCTCAAACTCGAACTCTTCGAAACCGTCCAAAAAACCTGCCCAAAGAACTGTCTCCTCATAACCAATACATCCTCCTTGAAGCTCGCTCAAATGACTCCAGTCATTCAGGATCCTTCACTCTTCGCTGGTTTGCATTTCTTCAATCCAGTCCCAGTCATGAAATTAGTCGAAGTTGTTTCCACTGATGAAACATCTGATGAGACTAAAACTACACTCTTCGAATTCTGCAAAGAGATTGGAAAACTTCCAGTTGCAGCGAAAGACACTGCTGGATTTATCGTAAATCGATTATTGATTCCTTATTTGATGGATAGTATTCGAATGTTGGAACGAGGCGATGCTACAAAAGAAGATATTGATACTGCGATGCGATTCGGAACATCTTATCCAATGGGACCAATTGAACTTTGCGATTATGTTGGACTTGATATTCTTCAGAGCACCCTCAAGAGTAAGTTAGCGGAACTCGGATAATTGAATTTAACTTTTTTCCAGTTTTCCGTGAAAGTGTTCCTGGAGACAATCGATTTGCTCCATCTGAACTAATGGATAAATTGGTGGCTGAAGGAAAATTGGGAAGGAAAACCAAGCAAGGATTCTACACTTATTGATTTTTTGTTGTAATTTATTTATGAATGAGCTGTACATAATAAATGATTTCATCATTTTTCCTGTGTGGATCAAACTACACTTTTATTCTATTTCACCTGCTTCATTTTTCTCTTTCCAGATTTCTATTTCATGATGGAAAAATACGTGGTGACGAATTATTCTCTGTGCTCCCGACAAACATCTTATCTCGAGACCCCCGATTTCCTTGCCAATGGTGTTCACACATTTTCAATTCTCACTTTTCCTCTATCAATATACGGCGCATATTTGATACTTCGTGTAACTCCGAAGCATCTGGAAGGCACAAAATATATTCTGTTTTATTTGCAATTCTGGTTTGTTTGTTTGTTTGTAGAATTTCAGAAGTATTTAGAGATTAATTTCAGCACGTTTCTACTGGATATTATTGTGAATTTCTTGATCACACCTTATCTGTTTTTGCCACTTGCCGCTGCGAATTTTTTGGGAGTTTTGAAGAATAGTTTTATTCCTTTCAAGGTTTTGACATTTATTGGACATTATTCGATTTGGAGTTAGTTTTAAGCTCAAAAAAAATATGCAATTTTTGAAACAGTGAATTTTCTTCAATTTTCCAGCATTAGGAATCTCAATTCTCGCCGTTTTCCAAAATCGTCACAGTGTAATAATCACTATAAAACATAGAATAACTAGAACACCTACACTAATTTATTATTATGTTTTTCTTTACATTTTCGGATTCATCATTATTCTCACCTATCATTCTTATACCGTTGATGATATTGAGCAAACAAAACTCGAATTTCTCTCAAAATACCCTTGCCCACCGCCATTGTTTTTTGAATCGACCACACAATTTGTCACCGATAAATTATATTTTGCTGGATTCGGTATTCTAGCAATGGCCTCTGTTATATTCACAAATGGATTTTATTTTTTCCTCACAACATCTTATCATCTAGTTTTCAAATCTGCAGCTGTTTCATCAAAAACCAAGCAACTTCAGCTGAGTTTCTTGATTTCGGTGTCAATTCAAATTGCAATTCCTATCATAGCTTTATTTATTCCAATTGTTTATTTATGTTATTCGATAATTCAAACAGTTTATAGTCAAATTGCTAATAATTCTGTAGTTTTAACGATTTCACTGCACGGACTGTTGTCTAATCTTTCTTTGGTTTTACTTCACAAACCGTATCGTGATTTTACTTTTCGAAGATTTGAGAAAAGAAAATCTAGCACTGTTGTTTCTGTTGTTATATAAAACTGTATTTCAAAAAAGAATCCCGAAATTGCTTCAGTAAAAAAAATGAATTAAAAATGAGTCCTTGAAGATTGTGAACTTCTGACAAAAACCGTAGAAGATACCGCATCTTCTCTCTTATAAAAACACGAAAAAATAAAATTTCTATAATATTTGTGAAATATCAACATCGAAATCGTCGCCAAAAATCCATGAATCGAAATCAAAATAATACAAAAATTACTCATAGACTGATTATAATAACCAGTTTCAATTGAAAACACAAAATATGAGGCTGGAATTATAGCAACGGCAGTTGTAGTGAGAACTTGCAACGAAATTGCAGTGAAAACTGATTTTTGCAATTTTTGCGTGTTTTTTGAGGTGAAGTTGGTGATTTTTTTGAGATGATGAATTGAGTGAATTGAGAAGAATAGGGATTGAAATAAGGCGAAGAGAACGATAATCCCGATTCCGATGCCACTTAATGTGTTGTCTAAAGCTAGGACGAAAATTCACCGCTCACAGATTCTTAAATTAAATTCCAAAAATAGCAATTTCGAATAAATCCCTATGAACTCTGGAGAACTGTGCAGGAAAATTAAAAAAAATCATTCCAAACTAAAAATGATTTGTTTGTATTTATCCTATTATTTTTATCGAATATTTATTCCACATGCATCAAAAATTCCAAAAAGCTGATAATATTTCCGAAATTAATGAAACGTATGTTTTACGGGATTATTTCTTATTGGCGCCTATAATATTTCGGAAGTAATTTTTATTTTGAAAAAATCTACTGTTTCACGAACTTTTCAAACATTAAATTTTGGGAGTTACTAGCAATTACTTTTGTTTTTGTGGAAATTAAAGATTCTAAATGATTTTTTAAATTTATTCTTTCATCCAATTTTTATTCCACACTCATCAAGAATTACAAAAACCTGAAATTTTTTTTCAAATTCATGAAACGTATTTAAAACGGGGTTATTTCTTATTGGCGCCTATAATATTTTGGAAGTAATTTTTATTTTGAAAAAATCTACTGTTTCACAAATTTTTTATTGCAAATATTTCCTAACACATTTTTGATCCTCAACATTAATAAAAAATAATCGGAAAACTCCTTTCTCGGTTTCCATCGGTTTCAAAAACACATATCGATTTTCTTTGAGAACTTGGTTAATGAAATTGTATACAATTTGATAGCCGTTCGGCCAAATATCGGGGTGAAGCTGAAAAAATTCGTCTGAAAAATAAAACTGCGAAATTTCTTACCTCAATGTTAAATTGACAAATCGAGATTCCTAACTCATCCAACTTCTTTCCCTTATGAAAATAATCAATAAAAGTCAATTCGCCTCCCTCAATATCAATCCATAGAAAATCAATTTGATTCAAATTCAAAATCTCCTTGAAAAAGTACGGTAGATCAATTGTGGTCACATCCTGATGTGTGTATTTTCGAGTCTTCTGATTTTGATTTGGCAAAACTATGAATTCAGTGATCCCAGCTTTTCTGGCCACAGCGAATGGGAAGAATTTTCCGAAACTAGAGTATAGTTGAAGATTTGGCTCGATTATTGGATCTGCGCCGTAGAATGTTGTGTTGGGGAGGGTTTTGTAGAGCGAAACTTCGGCTTGAACATCGTGACCGATTCCCAATGTTACCATAATGTTGGGCTCTTTCTGGAAGGAGGGATTTTCAAACATAATTTCTATAAGCGTTAGTTAAAAATCCTTAGAGTCCCTAAGGTTTTAAGATCCTTTTAGGTTCAGAATTCGTGTTCTATAGTCTTCTCAGGTTGACTGTCGAGTCCTTAAAGGCTTAGAGCCCAAGATTCCTTAGGTTTTGGTTTTTAGGAACTTTCAAAATTAAAAAATACATTTTTTTTCCCGGAATTCTGAAAGCTAACTCTCAAAAAACTCACACAAGCCGGCAAAATTCCCCACTTGATCTCATGCGAATTTGAAAATTCATCAATAACCAGATCTTGAAATTCCGAAATATCATCACATTTTTTGATCGCATCACAAATCTTCGTTGAAAAATCCTTGACATCTAGTTTATTCAGATGATTTTCGAAAATCGGATCTACACAATCATGAAATCCTTTCAATAATTTCTCCGGGGAGGTTTTAGGTGTCAAATTATCGATTGATAAATGACATCTTGGTAGATTCTGAAGCTCGTGGAATCTGGCTGAAGGTGAAACATCGATCTCCTCGAAGTTATATCCAATACCATCCATCGATTTGAATTCTCCACGATAAACCAAATCTTTTTCTCGATAATGTTTCATTGATTTTAAGATATAGGAAATTGTGCTTGAGAAAACCCCAAAATAGAAAAGACAGAATAATAGGATTCCAGAAATCAGGAAAAAATGAACATGATTTTTCAGGTACATCTTTATGAAGTTTTTTTTATGCTTAGAAAATGATGGAGAATACATTTAGGAAAAGGATTTGGGGATAAAATGAATGAAAATAAATTTTATTTGTATTTTGATATAATCTGTTCAGAAAATTGGAACAATGAGATTTGAATCTGCGAAAAATTGTAAAATTTATTTTTAAAAATTTTTTCGGACGATGAAACATTTAGATTCATCTCGCAGAAACCAGAAAATCAAGTTTCATTTTGAAAAAAATCTTGGAAAATTTACTGTTTCAAAAATTCATGAAGGAAACTGTATGAAATTTTTTTTCAATACCGATAACTTTTTAACTGTTTCAGAAAAATGAGAAAATAATTCTGGTCGCTGAGTTGACAATTTCAGTTTCTATTTTTCCAAAAAAAATCCACTGTTTCAAAAATGAGATTTTTGCAAAAAGTAATGAAAATCGAATTATGGGATTCTACAGGGTGACACATAATTATTGTCGCCACTTTGAACCTCTGTAGGTAGAACAAGATTTCGAATTTTAACAATGTTAAGGTCGGAAATTTTAGAAAACATGATTACTGACAGATTTTCAAAACTATACTGACAACACAATTTTTTCCCACCCACCACCTTCACCAACCCCAAAAACTTTGAATTTTTCGATTTTAAGCCTCTTTTTTCTCTTTCCAAGTTCACGAAATGTATCAAACTGAACATATGTATTTGGAAATTAAGTTTTAATACATTTTTTGATGTCCTGAACAAGATATAATAGCATATCTTTCAAGAGTTTACCGCTTCTCCCTTGTTTCAGGGCTCCAAAGTCAAGCGTCTTTTCCGAAATTTCAAAAAAAAATTGAGAAAAATCAAGAAAAACAGCAAAATCCATTCTGAGATCGAGTATGAGTTTTTGAGTAAAACTTTTTGTGAACATGCCTATTCTATGCACTAAAACAAAGTGTTTTGGGATCTGAAACTTAGCTCGAATCTGACTTGGAGTTAGCAAAACTCCCAAAACCATGAATTTTGAGCGTTTTCTACAATGAAGGTCCCTATTTTTTTCTGATAATTTCCAGCTTTCGTATTGTGCAAAAACCCATTTCAGGGACCGAATTTAGGATATAAACACTTTTGGGCATAGTCAGTATTCACCATTCTCATAAAATTTACACCTAAAGTCCCAAAAATTAATTTTCTTCTGAAAAATTATTTTTGGAAATCTATCTCTACTTTACCGCTGTCACTATAATCCAGCAGAACTAATATGATCAAAATAGAATACAAAAGTTTCATTATATAACCTTTAAGATTAAATTTATCAAAATCAAACTTTATCTAATTTCGTTTTGAAAATGTAGAACTCAGGTTAACGAGTTCAACTCACGCGACAATAATTATGGGTCACCCTGTAATATTATTCAGAAAATTCAGACCAGATTCTAGAAAAACAAATATTTTTCTGTTTTTTCTTTCATAAATTAGTGTTTACGTATTTTTTGCATTTGCATTCAGAATCAAAAAACAATTCAGAAACTTCGCATTTTTTTCGAACTATGATAAGCAGGTGAAAATTTATCCCAATTTTTCGAAGTCATTTTCGAAGCAAAAATCAATTGAAAGTACAAGCTAAAAAAATGTCCCTCGAAACTCCCGAATTCCTGCAAATCTTTCTCCATATTCTAACACTTTTCGAATTTCCAATTCATATTTTCGGCCTGTATTGTGTCTTCTATCAAACTCCGAAATCAATGAGTTCTATGAAATGGGTCATTTTTCAATGTTGTGCTTGGAGTGCAGCTTTGGATATCACATTCAGTGGTGGAACCACGCCATTCGTGCTTTTTCCAACGTTGGCGGGAGTTCCGTTGGGTGTTTTTAGGTGAGAAATATTTAATTCAAAAAATATTTGGCGATAGCTTCGCTACCGCCCGAAAGCGATAAACACACAGCGCACTCGAATATATAAATTTCTGGTGTGCCCGACGGTTCGCGGGTTGCGCACGCCGCCACTGTTTGTGTGCGAAAGGGGCGGGGCTTAGTTGAAAGAACGCGTTTTTTCGCTTGAAAATTAGGATTTCAAGGGGATTTTCGTTGAAAAGTATGTTTACTTTTGAGTTTTTTCAAAAAAAAAATATTGAAACAACATTTAACACCAAACTACACACAAACAAACATGCATCTAATATAACTAGGTCAAACTAGAGTCTATTCATTTCCTTTTCCAATCATATAGTTATGAAACATTATCTTTCTCTGGCTCTCTCTTTCTTTTCCTTACTCTCTCACCCAGCAACACTTTAGGCTATCAGCAAGTCAGATTTTCCGCTAAAATTAGTTTCTGTAGGTTTTCACCGCCAAAAATTCAAATTTCGCGGTCAATTTAATTTTTAAATCCGAAAATTCAAAAAAAAAACTACTTCACGCTTTTTTTTTCGAATTTCACGTGAAAATATTCATTATTTTTAGAAATTTCCCGTTTTCCAACCTGTCAAACTGAAATAACTTCCCGTAAGTTTCCCCAAACCCCATCCCGCTCTCCAAAATAAATTTCCAACTCAAATTCAATTTTTCCAGCTCCCTGAAAATCGGCGTGATTTTTCAAACCTTCTTCGAAATTCTGCTTTTCGTTGGAGTCGGCGTTTCGAACATTTGCATCATGGAAAATCGCTATTCGGTGATGCGCGATCGACAATTTATGCACCCGATTTTGATATATTTTTTGAATTTTGTTGGCGCCGCTGTGGTGTTGATTGTGATGTATTTCGATATTCCCGAGCAAAATGAGGCGAGGAGAATTGTTTTTGAGGTGAGGTTTTGGGAGAATTTTTCACTGTTTCAAAATGTTTTGATTTGAAAATTTATGAGTAATTTTTAATCGGGATCTCAATCACAATGAAAAAAGTCCTTGATCAAAAATCAAAAAAAATATTGTTGAAAATTTTTCACTGTTTCAAAAAATTCAAAAAATATTTTTGTTCATTTTTAATTATGACATTCTCACAATTATTTTTGAAGATTCAAAATTTCACTGTTTCAAAAACCTTTATTATTTTGAAAAATTGTTAGGTTTTTGATAAAAATATAATGTTCTTGAAATTATTTTACTGTTTCAAAATGTTTTGATTTGAAAATTTATGAATAATTTTTAATTAGGATAGGAATTAGGAAAAAAAATGCTTTATCAAAAATTCACTGTTTCAAAAACATTTCTAAAAATAATTTGTATTTACTGGTTTCAATTTTTCAGAAAACGAATTGTTGAAAATTTCTCACTGTTTCAAAAATTTCAAAAATATTTTTGTTTATTTTTAAATTCGATGAATTTGATGAATTTATTATTAATTTCAGCTCTAAATAACATCTGATTCCAAAATAATGAAAATTGAAAATTCAATCGAAAAAACAAATTGTTCTAAATTTCTCACTGTTTCAAAAAAATCAAAAAGTTTTTGTTTATTTTAATTTTGATAATACTATGCATTTTCAAAATAATTTTTTTAAATTTAGAATTTCACTGTTTCAAAAAACGTTTATTATTTTGAAAAATCGTTAGGTTTTTGGTAAATATAAAATGTTCTTTAAATTATTTTACTGTTTCAATATTTTTTGAATAACAAATTAAGGGAGGCATTTTCATTATAATTTTTGATGACTTTTGATAATTCTTTTTTCAAAATAAAAAATCACAAACTTTGAGAAATAAGGAAAACTAAATTATTCTATTCTCGAAAATTTACTGTTTCAAAAATAACCCCAAAAAATCTTCATTTCTTCGCAACAACAATAACTCTCGTTCTAAAAAATCCAAAATTCGCCAATCGATAATTTTTGACAATAAACATGGTTGGAATTGGATCAATAGCTGGGAAAAGTGACACAGTCATTGTAACAAGTCCACTAAATTCTCCCAAATCTGCATCCAAAAATGTGCATAAAAATAGAATTGTTGTTGGAATTTGCATAAGAATTACTGGAATTAGAGTTTGACTAACTAACGCCAAAAATAACTGGGATTGTAGATTTTTAAATTTCGCAGATTTTTTGACTGTAGAAGATCCAAATAAGTTCAAATAACATCGGATTCCAAAATAAATTATTGTGAAAAATGAGATTGCCACAATTAGCCACATAATAATTAGAGCAATTACTGAATTTTTATCGATTTCAAAAATTCCTTCTGCATTTTTCTGATAGATATAGGGACCATCATAAACTATATCCTCAATTTTCCAATCAAATATTTTTAAAAGTTGATTTGCAACTTGGGAATTGATTTTCTCGTTGGGACCAACTAGAAAATGAGCAACGCATCCCCAAATGGTCCCGAAAAATATGGGAATTGAGAGCCACAATATTATTCGAAAGCTTTGAAAGGATTTTTGGTAGGGAGAGCTGGAAAATTGGGAGAGAAAATTTGCTGTTTCAAAATTTATATAGTTGGAAAATTTTGTTCGGTATTCCAGTACTGTTGGTCATTTCTGTGCCAAATTTTTTTTGAGTAAAAAATTTAACTGTTTCAAAAAATGTTCTTGAATTGTGAACCTTTGAAGTTTCCTTTTAGAATTCTTTTTTCAATTTCAAAAAATTCACTGTTTCAAAAATGTCTCTTAAAAAATTCTGATAAATATTTTTTCGATTTGTCCATGAAAAAAGCTGTTGGCATATATTTTAGGAGATAAATTTATTCGATAAACGTTTTTCTAGTTGAACAATTTGAAACTTGAATTTTGAGATCCACAATCTGAATTTTTAAACTTTTGAAACGCTTCTGACATGAGTTTCTGAAAAAATTCACTGTTTCAAAAAAAATTATCTAATTTTTTTGTTTCTATGAAAAAATGATTATTTTTAATAAAGCCATAATTTTTTATCAAAATTTACTTTTAGAAATTTTTTTTTCAAATTCAAAAATTCACTGTTTCAGAAAATTCTCATTTTTTTATTCCACAAATAGTATAATTTTCGGCTCTATCGCAATATATGGGTCCCATGGAAATATATGGGTCCGTAAAAAATATAGGGGTCCGTAAAAACATATAAGGGTCCCTCAGAAATATAAGGGTCCGTGAATTTTTTTATGGGTCCCAAAAAAATAAAAGGGTCCGTAAATTTTTTAAGGGTCTGATTTTTTTGATTTTTGGAGGAAAAAATGTGTGGCTTTTTGAATTTTCAATTGTTTTGTTGTATTTTTCTTGATTTTTTGACGATTCTTTGTATTTTCGGGGGGTTTACTAAGCCTAAGCCTAATTCTGAAGCTGAAAAGCCGAAAATAGAGTCACCAGAGGATTCAAAATTTCTCTATTATTTTAGGCTTAGGCTTAGTAAACCCCCTAGAAAAATACTGACTGGCTAAAAAAATGTGAAAAAATTACAAAAAATCACCAAGAATAAATAATTGAAATTAGAAAAAATACTTTTTATGGACCCTCAAAAAAAATAACGGACCCTTATATTTTTTGGGACCCATAAAAAAATTCACGGACCCTTATTTTTCTGAGGGACCCTTATATGTTTTTACGGACCCATATATTTCCATGGGACCCATATATTGCGATAGAGCCTAATTTTCCTTCTTTATCGTCAAAATTGCGAATTTTTCCTTGGAAATCTTTTATTCGAAAATATTTCACTGTTTCAAAAATGTGTTTTCAAAAATTCAGATGAACTGTTTTTTGATCTTCTTCAATTTCTCTCCCCACTCACCCAGTCAAAACAAAAAATCGATAAATAAAATGAATTCCAAAAACACTCATAGAACTCCCAAAAAATCCGCACCAAACCGAATTCAAAATTCTATGCAATTTTTTCGATAAATAAATATTATTTCTTGAATTCGCCATCACCAAAAATATTGATCCGTGAGAAAAACCAACTGGTTCCACAATTGAATAGAGAATTTCGAAACAGGAAATATAAATCATCAGAAATTTATAGGGTCCAAGAGATTTTGGAGATTTTTTGAGGATTAAAAAAGTTAGAAAGAGGTTTAGGAGAATTGCGATGATTGCGGAGATTTTTTGGAAATTTTGAGAACTTGTCAGCCAGTTCCAATGCATTTTTTTGAGAAAAGGGAATAAGAATTTGAATTATGAATTATGAATTTGAAAAACAATTAATTATTAGGAGGTGTCTGGGGAATTTGTAAACTTATAGTTCAAGTCTGAGATTCGAACCATTTTTTTGAAGGAAAAAATCCACTGTTTCAGAAAATTTTAAAATTATTCCAAGTTCGTGTATGTTTGAAAAACCAAAAAATTTCACTGTTTCAAAAAAATCATGATTTTTCTGAAGTTGAAGTTAATTGTTTTGAACACTGTGAAGCATGATATTGTTAGCAAAAAAATTTCACTGTTTCAAAAAAAGTTGAAATTTTTGAGAGTTCATATATTTTTAATTGACAATATGTGTAAATTTTCCAGAAAAAAAATTTAATAATTTTTTACTGTTTCAACGAAATCATGAAAAATCTACAAATGTAGTTTTGTTATTCCTTCACAATCGGTCGAAAGTATACCAAAAAAATTAATTGTTACATAATATTCTGTATAAGAATAGGTTTAATTTTTAATTGTTTATGAAAAAATGGTTGAATAATTTTTCACTGTTTCAAAAAATTGTAATTTTCTTTTATTTATCAAAGTTCTGTTTCACACTTGATTTGAACATTCAAACTATTTTCTAATAAAAAAATTGTAGAATAATATTCCACTGTTTCAACAAAATTATGAAAAATTAAGAAAATTTTGAATTCTCTGTTAATAAAATACCAGAAAAATATATGTTTCAAATATTCCTCATTTTTAATTTTTCCTGAAGTAAATGTTCTAGATGTAGCGCAGATTTGAACGATTTTTCAAAATTCAGAATTTTACTTGCATTAAAAATTACTGTTTCAAATCAAAACATTAATAAATTACATGAAAATAGTTTTGATCGAAGTATTTTCTAGGCGACATTTTTTTCGAAATGAAAAAGAAAAGAAATTTACTGTTTCAAATTTTTTCAAGTTCAATTTGGTATACATTAAATAATTTCAAAAAATGAACGACTAAAAAGTCAAAAATAATTCACTGTTTCAAACTGAAATTGAATTAAATACATTTAAAAGATGTTTTGATTAAATATAAAGATTTAGATTCTAAAAAAATTTCCAAGAGAAAATTTTAGTCAAAATCTACATTCATTTTACTGTTCCAAATAATATTTACAAAATTTTACTTATACAGTAATTATAAATTTTTAAAAATCACTGTTTCAAACAAAACAAAACTATCAAGAACATTTCAAAAAAAAAAAAATCTATAGGTGCTTTAATTTGGTGTAGAAATTTTAGAAATGGGAAAATCATCTGAAAATTTCACTGTTTCAAATAAAAAACATCTGAAAACTGTTCAGAAATATAAATACTGTTATATGGTTAATATATTTGAAAATTATCACCAAAAACTAATTCGAAAATTCTCAAAAAATTCATTGTTTCAAATAAAAAGTATAACAGAAACTTGTCAAGTAAAAATTTGATTATTTTATAAAGTTATGATCTCAAGAACAAAACCAAAAACCTTCTAGATCTTGCCATCGACCATTTCTCCCAGCATCCACCAACTTCCAATCTTCATCTTCTCCCTAAATGTCGGATTCGTCGGAACATCCTTGCTTATCGCAGTTCTCGTCATCGATTTTCAAATGGCATTTTATTTCTTCGGCAATCTGATTATTCTATTCATCCAAGTCAACAACCGATTATCGATTGCGACACGGAAAATGCAGCGCAAATTTTTCGCCGCAATCTGTTTGCAGTGCGGAATTCCGCTTGTTGTTTTGACCTTTCCATTGTTTTATATCAGTTTTAGTTGCTCGCGGAATTATTATAATCAAGGTAGGTCAAATTTTGGGCGGGAAAAATTCTGTCACGTGGATTTTGTATACTTTTCCAGCCTTGAATAATTTGGTCTTCATATTATTTTCATTTCACGGTATTTTATCAACTTTATCGATTTTACTAGTACATTCTCCCTACCGTAATTTTATGTTTCATAGATTTCGAAAACCCACTACAGTACCCTCAATTGTTCCTACTGTAGTTAGTGTATAACTTTTTTGGACCTAAAAACTACTGAAGCTAGATAATTGTTTGTAAAACTTGTAATTGTTGTCATTCGAAACTGGACATAATTGTTTGAAAATTGGACTTTTTTGGAGGCAAAAAAATTGGGAAAACAACCGGTTGAGCGATATAAAAGTGTGATTTTCTGGGCCCGAATATTAGTGAAGCTTGGTTTTTTTTGTGAGAAAAAATTCACTGTTTCAGAAATTTTGTGAGTATTTTTGATGTTTTGAATTGTTGCTAGACCGTTTTTCCATTTTAAAATAACGAAGGCAAATTTTAAAAAAAAATTTACTGTTTCAAAATTTTTATAATTTTTTTTTAATGTTTTTGAATTATTGCAAATCCATTGCTGTTCAGATGCAAAATAAAAAAATTCATCTGTTTCAAAAATTTCTCGAATATTTTGAAAATTGTTTTAAGTATTTGTAGGTATGAAAATTATCTAATTTTTTAAATCAAAATTTCACTGTTTCAAAATTTTTATGAAAATTTTTGATGTTTCGAATTATTGCTAGTCCGGTTTTTCCACTTGAAAAATTTCGAATACAAATTTATAAAAAATTTAACTGTTTCAAAAATTTCTCGAATATTTCGGAAATTTTTTATTTGTTGATTGGAACAAACAGTATGTGAACTGAAAATTATTCAATTTTTTAAATTAAAATTTCACTGTTTCAAAAATTTATGAAAAGGTTCGCAAATTTAATTTCTTTCGATGGTCGTCCAGGTCTCTTTTTCAAAACACAAACAATGTTCGCATTGAAAAAAATTCTCTGTTTCAGAAATTTTATAAGAATTTGTGATGTTCTGAATTGTTGCTAGTCCAATACCGAATGCAAATTTTGAAAAAATTACTGTTTCAAAAATTTCTTGAATATTTTAAAAATTGTTTTAAGTATTCGTAGGTATGAAAATTATCTAATTTTTAAAATCAAAATTTCACTGTTTCAAAATTTTTATGAAAATTTTTGAATTTTTTAGAATATTGTTATATCGAACATTTTCCAAACGAAAATTGAAAAAAAATTACTGTTTCAAGAAATTTTATAGAATTTAGAATTATTGTTTACTCATTGTATCAATTTCTGGACATTTAAAAATATTACTGTTTCAAAAAATTTTCTAATATTTTCAAAGTTGTCTTGTTTGTTCACAGGAAGAAGCAACAATCAGTTGGAAAAAAATTATTTGATTTTTTTCTGATCAAAAATTCACTGTTTCAAAAATTCCTTATAGTTTTGAATTTTTTTTGCTCGATTGGTGCCACTAGACGAGTTACTTCCATCAAATCACAAAAACTACAAAAAAATACAGTTCAAGGAAATTTTTGAAAAAAATTTCACTGTTTCAAAATTCTCATAAGAATTGTGGAGGCAAAACTTATTCGCTTCCTTAGTTGACTGGTACGATTTGTATTGAAAAAACCCTTTCTGAAAATTTACTGTTTCAAAAATTGCATTTAACTTCTCTGGAGTATGTAAAAACTAATATACTTTTACTTCCATAACCAATTCACCAAAAGTTCACTGTTTCAAAAAATGACATAATTTTTTGCGCTTGAATTTATTCTTGATTGTTTGTTTCTTGATGTTTTCATATCTCTAAAAATTATTATCAAACTTGTATGTTTCCCTGAAACTGATCAATAGGTTTTTATTCGCCGAAAACTATGTCCAAATCAATCACAATCCAAACTACAACATTTCACTGTTTCAAAAAATCAAGAAATTTTCGCTGGTTTTTTTTGTTTTGATAGTTAGATCAGGTTTCGTCCAAATTCCAAAAAAATTCACTGTTACATAATTTATGAAATTTTTTAAAGTTGTTCAGTTTTTTATTCCAACAAATTTTTTTTGATAAATTTTTCACTGTTTCCAAAATTTCATACAATTTCTAATTTATAAAAAAAATGTTGCTTCCACAAGAAAAATTCACTGTTTCAAAAATGTTATTTATAATAATTTTTGATGTTCTGAATTATTACTAGAGCTCGTTCTTCCGATTTGAAAATTCCGAGTTGAAATTTAAAAAAAAATTTACTGTTTCAAAAGTTTTATGAGTAAATTTAATGTTTTGAATTATTGTTAACTGATTGTCTCGTTTGTTTATAATCAGGTTAAAATTATTTGATTTTTTTCTGATCAAAAATTCACTGTTTCAAAAATCCCTTATAATTTTTAATTTTTTTTGCTCGATTGGTGCCAGCAGTTCATCAAATCACAAAAACTACAAAAAATATAGAAGTTTCAGAGGGAATTTCTGAAAAAAATTTCACTGTTTCAAAAATCTCATAAAAATTGTGGAGGTAAAATTTATTCGCTTACCCAATTGACTGGTACATTTTGTATTGAAAAAAAAACCCATTCTGAAAATTTACTGTTTCAAAAATGTCATTTAACTTCTCTCGAGTTTGTGAAAACCAATACTATCCCATTTCAATATTTTTAATCAAAAACCAATCCACCAAAATTCACTGTTTCAAAAAATGATATAATTTTTTGCGCTTTGATTTATTCTTGATTGTATAGTTGTTTAAAAAGTTTATTATCAAATTCGTATGTTTCCCTGAAACTGATCAATAGGTTTTTATTCGCCGAAAACTATTTCCAAATCAATCAAAATCCAAAATACAAAAAAATTCACTGTTTCAAAAAATCAAGAAATTTTCGCTGGTTTTTTTTGTTTCGATAGTTAGATTATTTTTTGTGCAAATTCCAAAAAATCACTGTTTCAAAAATTTATGAAAATTTTCCTAACAATAAAGTTATTCAGTTTTTTCCCAGCAATGATAAATTTTTCACTGTTTCCAAATTTTCATATGATTTCTAATTTATAAAAAATTTTTGCTTCTACAAGAAAAAATTCACTGTTTCAAAAATTTTATAAACATTTTTGATGTTCTGAATTGTCGCTAGCGTTTGGAAATTCCGAGTTGAAATTTTTAAAATATTCTACTGTTTCAAAAATCCCTTATAATTTTGAATTTTTCTTGCTCGCTTGGTGCTAGTTCATCAAGCCGCGAAAACTACAAAATACAGTTCAAGGAAATTTCTGAAAAAAATTTCATTGTTTCAAAAATCTCATAAAAATTGTGGAGGTAAAATTTTTTTGCTTCCTTAGTTGACTGCTACGTTTTGTATTGAAAAAACCCTTTCTGAAAATTTACTGTTTCAAAAAATGACATAATTTTTCATGACTGTTTCTAAAATTTGATTTCAAAATTGTATGTTATTATTAGTTTTTCCCTCAAAAAATTCAAACTAAAAAAATTCACTGTTTGAAAAATTTATGAAAATTTTCCTAACAATGAAGTTATTCAGTTTTTTTCCCAACAATATTGCTTTGATAAATTTTTCACTGTTTCAAAAAAAAAATCATAATATTTCTGTGAATTTTTTCGATTTCGCTACAATCATAATTCTTAGGCATCAAAATCACAATATTACATCCCTGTGTAAAATCAAAGATGACTAATCTAATCTCTTCCAAATCACAAAAACCACATCATAGCCTACAGTAAAATGACGTGTCTTCCTATGTATTATATCACCAATAAACACAGTACAATAATATACCTGTCCTTCACATTGTCACGGCGTTTTGGACACACTTATCTTTCTCGTTTATTATTTTTTTTCTACAAAATAATCAAATCTAATCCGGTTTTTGGAGAGGGGTTCTTCCATTTAAAATCACTTCGATTTTTCGAACAACAGATCATTTGGTTGTTTTTGTGTTTTTATCGATTCGCAAGATATCGAAACTTCTCTCCACTCATCAATCATTTTTATCTTGCGCGACCTATTTTCTCCCAAGTTTTGCGCCACCAGAAAATTTTCTTTTCATTCAGGATTTTTAAACTTATGCTTCGTCTAGCCGTTTTAGCCAATATTTTAATTTTGGTAAGAATTTTTGAAATTTCAAATTTGCCACCAAACAAATCTACAATTTGTTTTAGAGCGCATTTGCTCAAGATTGCTCATCACCGCAAGGAACGCGAGCTGCGTTCGGAGGGTATTTGCAATGTATCAAGGAGGGTTTGGATGCGGATTATGGGAATTATGAGAATGAGATTCGAGAGCATTCGAAGTGAGTTTAGACCGCTAGCTTCCGCGAAGCGGACACGCCTAGATTCAAGATTATGCCTAGCCTAAAAATCTGGAATTAGACTTGTCTATAATTTTTCTGATCTTCCACCAGAATTTTGATTTTCAGATTTTGATCTTGATCTTTTGATATTTTTCAGAAATCTGGAAGTTACAAGTCTGAATCTGAATTTTTTTTGATTTTTAGCCTGACCTTCAGATCTTCAGATCTCAAATTCAATTATGGGTTGAGTCATAAAAATAAATAGACAAAAAAATCGCGATTAATTTCACGTTTTTTGTCAATTAATCGCATTTTTTCAGAAATGAATGCGATTAATTGACAAAAAACGTGAAATTAATCGCGAATTTTTCGTCAATTTATTTTTATGACTCACCCCATTAAATTTTCAGCCTGACCTTCAGATCTTCAGATGTTCAGTGTGAACTTCAGATTTATAGATTCAGATCTCGGAACTTCTTGAGATTCTTATCTTGATCTTCGGATTTATTTGGAATCTTGAATTTTGATTTAGGATTTTTATCAGATTTCTAGCCAGCCTGACCTTCAGATCTTAATATTAGATTTTCAGTGAGAGATCTTTTATGTCAGATCTTTAGATGTTCAGTGAGAACTTCAGATTTAAAAATTTAAGCCTTGGAGCTTTATTTTTGGCTAGGATTCTTCATTTTTTGAATATTTTTAGAGAAATTCAGATGTCCAGCTTGATTTTCAGATTTCTGAATTTAGGTTTCAGTTTTCAAAATTTTCGAAAATCTTGTCAAAAATTTCTGTGGAACTTACTGAAGTCTAGAGCTCTCGAAGCTTCAAGTTTCAGACTTGAACTTCAAATTTTCAGTTTCAGAAATTCCGAAAAATATAATTTTCAAAACAATTTTCAATTTATAATCTTCAAAATTCCTTCCTCCCCCCAAAACCCTCCAAATTTTCCAGAAAAGCCGCCAGTGTCTGTTTCGCCTCCTCAATCGGCGAAGGCAACCAAAAAGACAGATGTGTTCTAGCCGAAAGCGATCTCTCACACAACGCCTGGGACAAAACCGGACCACTCAGAGAGTGCTCGATCTGCAGAACTTTTGCCGCCGGTGCCATCAAGGCCATCAAGAGCACACCAGCCGAAGATCAGAAATGTATTCGAACTGAGATCAGTAAGGCTATTGCCAGAGAAGCCGGATATTGTTTGCAGAAGAAGATTCCAAATTTCGCGGGTGTTCCGGAAATTCCAGATTTGGAGGAGGGATCTTTCCAATACAAGGATTCTGTGTGAGTTTTTTTTTGCGTGGGGAGCTTGAAGTAATTTAGGACCATCTAAATTCCATAAAAAATTCACTGTGGAAATCCTGAACTCTTTCAGATCTTCCAAAAAATCTCTCGAGATCTTACAGAGATCTTTAAGCTCGGCAGGCTTTCTGATAGGCTCTGCAAAGTGTTTTGAACTTCCCAAGATCCCACTGGGTCAATTTCAGATCTACAGATCTCTCAAGATTCCATTGGGCCCTTTTCAAATCCGGCTGGGCCCCTTTCAGATCTACAGACCATCCAGAATCTTGTTGGGCCTCTGTCAGATCTTTCACAAAACCTCCCAGGATCTCCCTGAACTCATTTTAGATTCACAGACCTCCCAAGATCCCATTAGGCTCTTTTCAGAAACCGCTTGGTCATTTTCAGATCTCCAGACCTTCCAGAGTCTCGTTGGGCCTCTGTTAGATCCTTCACAACCTCCCTGGATCTTCCTGAACTCATATTAGATTCACAGACCTCCCAAGATCCCATTGGGCCAGATTCATATCTATAAACCTCCCGGGATACCACTGGGCCCTTTTCAAATCCGGCTGGGTCACTTTCAGATCTACAAACCTTTCAAAATCTCGCTGGGCCACTTTCAGATCCTTCGCAGACCTCTCGAGATTCCACTAGGTTACCTGAGCTCTAGGCTTTCCTTCAGGCTATGTGATTGCTCTGATTGACAGGTTCAGCCAACCTCTTCCCCCACCAACCCCAATTTCATTCCAGCATCTCCTCAATCTCCGACCACATCATCATCCAATCCCGCTTGAGCTTCTGCGGTGAGCGCAAACCGCAACGCGCTCAATCCACTCGCAACTGCCTCGCCTCGCCATTCGTCGGCTACCTCGGTGGACACTGCAAAGTGCTCGCCGCTTGCGACGCCAAATTCTCCGGAACCTGCGCACAAACCATCCCAGTGACCAGAAAAGCTACTTGTGAATGTATCACTGAGGCTCGCGACGATTTGAAGAAGAGAATCGGAAGTATCGCAAATGTCTTCCAAGATTTGTTGAATGGTGGAAGAGGTTTGGCTATTGGATCGGCTAACAAGGTTGATATTTGTACAAGTCAAATTAAAAAGCAAATGATCACACCAGTAAACGACTGGGTGAATGTCATTGATACCGCTCTGTCGAGTTGTATTCGTAACAAACCAGCCGGACAAAATTTGGCAATGGAAGCTTTGTTGAATGTTGGATGTAGAAAGGTTATCGCTGATACGACTGGAGCTGCCACCACTCAATTGAAGACTGGCTTCGATTTTGTTAACAATTTGATTGATGCGATGGTTCAAAGAAGTGGAAGATTCTGTGGAGGAGCACATTGTCTTCAAGGATAGATTTTTATGTGATGTGATGTGATGAATGATATTTATTGATTTTTTATTTTATTCTGTATGTGTGTGAAAGAAATTTTAAAAAATATGAAGTTTTAAGTGAAACAGATATTTGAAAAAAAAACTCATTTACTCTGGTGCTACTTTGGTATAGTGGTTAGTGAACTCGATTTTGCTTCACAAGGTCGCAGGTTCGATTCCTGCCCGGCGCAGAAATTTTTTTTATTTTTCTTGTGAGACAACATGAAGAGTTTTGAATGATGTGTCTCTGAAAAAACTGAAAATCGAAGCGCATGGCTCTCGATATAACATATAATTATTAAGACCAACATCAATTATAACCCTCGTGAAATATAATTTCATTTTAACCCAAATGAGCAGCGCAAACTTCTCAGCTGATAAATTTGACTATACCATTGCCCATTATTCAATTGTACTTATACCCAACACATTCGCTCATGGTTTTCTTTGCCTATCAGTCATACTGTTCCTAAAAACTCCAGCTGAAGAGAAAAAAAAATATGATCTACCCAATTTACAAAACTATATTCATCGCCATTTTGTTGAAATGGACATGTTTAGCTATAACCGCAGCAACAACCATACCACTTTTTTATTTTGACAAAACTAACTATGTTGTAATTCTTTTAATTGTTATAATTCTATCAATTTCAAGTTTATTCCTGAGAGACAGCCATGTTTCAATGCTTTTTTATCTTCTCATCGGTGTTCAACGATTTATAGTTATACTGAATTTTGAGAAAACTTCCAAATATGTTCAAGGAAAATATTTGACACGTATTCTAATTTTGATTATGTTTTTGAAATACACACATAATATAATGGGAGCTATTGGTTGTAGCGATAAATTTTGCACACTTTATTCAATTATCGCTCAAGATTTTGAATGTCGACGAGCTTTTAAATTAGAACATAATAGTTTACTTTATAGTTACCTGAATTTGGCAACAGATATTGTTATACCTACAATCTCTTTCATAATCTACATTGTTTTGCTGAAAACAATTCATAAAAATCAACATATTTTATCAGAAACGCGTCGCAAATCGGAACTCGCTATAATTCATCAAAATTTACCGATTTTCTATTTATTCATGATTCGGATAATTGGAGTTTTGTTATTTTACATGGTTCAAACATCCGATGAATATTTGCAGTATATTATTGGAAGTTTGACATGTCGCACTATAACAGTCTCAGATTTATTTCCAGTTACATATATTATTGCGAATTTTAAACGACTTCGAGATATGATGCCTTGTAAATTTTTGAAAAATCAAGTTTATGTTGCTCCTTTATCTACAATCGCTTCTTGAAATAATACATTTTCGCTAAACCCTCAAATCCGATTGCACCGTTCGACTATTCGAACTGCCATTTGAAATCCTTTTCCGGAACAGCAAGGTCTTTCGATTCTTCCCAACCATAATCAATAAAATTATCGGGCCACTATGTTAAAATTATTTTTGAAAAAAAATTATTAAAAATCACAAGACTCACCAAATCAACTCAAAATCTCTGCCAATTTGCGTCACAAGCAATAAGAATTCCCCAACTCCTTGATTCATATTCTGAAGGTCTTCTGGAGTTACAGCAACTGTCACAAATGACAGGAAGATGGCTAGAATTGAGCCAATTGACATGAAAATTGTGGAGATTGTCATGAGTTTTTGCATTTTTTCCATATCCCCAGAGATTTTTGAAATTTTTCGGATGATCAAAATATTCGAGAAAATCAAAAAGAATATTCCAGGGATCAGGAAAAATAGGCGGAAATATGAAGTTCGAAAATATGGGATTGTGTGGATGTAGGTGACCTGGCCTTGGTTGAGATAGGTGAAAGCGTAGGAGCGTCCGGAGAAAACTGGGGTGGAAGATATGGCAGAGAGTATAATCTGAGCAATTATGAAGTGGTGGATGTGACGTTTCCAGAACTGAAAAGACAGAGAAGAATCTTTAGCTTGGTGATTTCAAAAAAATAATTATTTAGGTCCCAGAGTTCTGTGAACGTCTGGAGATTTTCTGAAAATTTCCAAACTCACATATGAATGTTTCACTGGCATTGTAACACTAGTTAGCCTATTTCCACATAACAAAAACATTGAGAAAAGTTTCATGAATTGAAAAAATATAAATAGAAAATAATAAGGAGTCAGAATCCAACTGGGCTCTTTAAAATGCTCCAAAATAAAATTGCAATATGGAGTTACAAAAGTCATCAGGCGCATGATTCCGAAATCAACTAGCACGTAGAAAATTGACTGAAAAAATTCATCTGAAAATTCTGAGTCTTCCGGGAACTTACACAAACTCCATCCAACAAATAGATTGTGAAAAATGCGTCGGAGAAGATTTTGGATTTCTGGGAAGTTATGATAAATCTGGTGTAGATTAAAATAAATAGGATAATGTAGCAGAGTTGGAAAATGAGATTTGCGATTTTCCAGGAATTTGGAGGCGAGCAGGTACTTTCAATTTTTGAAAACTCCATTCTAGTTGATAAGGAAACCTTGTGATGTTTTGAAAAAGTATATTTTTAATGTAATGTTAGAGGAAACTAATGTAAGTTCTGTGAAGTGTGAAGAAATTGTGATTTGGTTTGAGATGAGCAAACAATCTTTGTGCTCAACATTGAGAGCCCAACATGAAACTTCAAATTACTTTTTTCCAAAAAAAAAATCTCAATCAGTGATTCCTCGACTACTCTGCCCAACACTCGAGCTCCGTCTTCTTCTTTGAAACAGCAAACTTTTTTGAATTTTTCCATCCATGATAAGCAAAATTATTGGACCACTAGAAAACTTGGAAAATTTTTCATAATTTAAAAAAGTATTGTTTACCTTATCAACTTCAAATCTTTAGTGATCAATGTTAAAAGCAATAATGCCTCTCCCAATACCGTATTCATTTTCTGAATATCTTCAAAATCCACAGTTAATATAAAAATCGAGAAAAATAACGCCAGGAGCGAATTAATTGATATAAAAATTGTGGAAATTGTCATCAATTTTTGCATTTTTTCCATATCCCCAGAGATTTTTGAAATTTTTCGAATGATCAAAATATTCGAGATAATCATGAAGAATATTCCAGGGACCATGAAAATCAGACGGAAATATGAGCTTCGGAAATATGGGATATTGTGGATATAGGCAACTTGGCCCTGGTTTAGGTAGGTGAAGGCGTAAGCCGGGCCTGTTAGGGTGGGAGAGGCGGAGATGAGGGAAAATATAATCTGAGCAATGATGAGATGGCGTAAGTAGCGTTTCCAGAACTGAAAATGTACATTTTTCGAAATTTAGAGCCCAGAAATTGATCTAGGCCCTCCCAAACTCACGTAGGAATGCTGAAAAGGCATTATTACACTAGTTAGCCTATTTCCACATATCAAAATCACTGAGAAAAGTTGCATGAATTGAAAAAATATGAAAAGAAAATAATAAGGAGTCAGAAACCAGGTGGGCTTTTTAAAATGCTCCAAAATAAAATTGCAATATGGAGTTACGAAAGTCATCAGACGCATGATTCCGAAATCAATTAGCACGTAACAAATTGACTGAAAAACTCTTATCTGAAATATTTTTGAGCCTCCCGGGGACTTACCGAAACTCCATCCAACAAATAGATTGTGAAAAATGCGTCGGAAAAGATTTTGGATTTCTGGGAAGTTATGATAAATCTGGTGTAGATTAGGATGAATGGTATAATGTAGCAGAGTTGGAAAATGAGATTTGCGATTTTCCAGGAATTTGGAGGCAAGCAGGAACTTTGTGAGAACTCCATTCTAGTTTCTTAGAAAAAATTAAATTTTTTTTATGAGAGAGAGAGAAAAACAAAGTTCTGTGAAGTGTGAAGAAAATTGTGCTGGCTTCGAGGTTACACAAAGAATCAGAAGATCAAATCTTGAGCATCATTAACATGAGCAATTGTAGCCAAAATTTTTTTGGGATCAACGATTCAGGTGTCAAAGATCTAAGCCGACGCCGCACATAAACAATCCTGTTCACAGGAAATCCCTCACAAAAAAAAACATCTGCGAACTGAAAAGTCATTTTTTTCCTGTTTTTGTCTAGAAAACAATGGAAATTTATCGATTAACAAATTACACAATGTGTCCTCCAAGATTCCTACAATCTTTCGAAAACCCCAATTATATTCGAAGTTTGCACATGGCTTTTGGAACAATCTCACTGCTTTTAACAAGTTTTACGATATTTATGATCTGTAAGGTGAAAAACCGTAGAATCCGCGGTGTTAAATACGTGCTCCTTCAACATCAGATCTTTGCGCTATTCACAAATTTTATGCTATGTTTTCTACTCTGCCCATATTTCTTCATTCCCTCTGTTGCCATTGGTAGCTTGGGATTTCTAGAAATTCTTGGTGTCAATTTCAAAGCGCAGTGTTATTTTGGTCAAGTCATATTCGATTCCCTTGCGATTTGCATCGTCGCAATCTTCGAAAATCGTCACAGTGCTGTGACAACTATCAAGTTCAAACTACACACAAAATCTGCGCGCAGAATATGGTATGCAGTAAACTACATTGTAGCCTTCGCCATTTTTAGTCCATATATTTTTGATGATTGTGATAATGATGAGGCGAAGTTGGAGATTTTGAAGACTGCGATAGGCTGTCCGAACGAAATATTTTTCTCAAGTATAACTCATGTTTTAACATTGAGAGTCCGAATTCCAGCATTTTCAATGTGTTTTTGTTTATTAATTATTGGATCTCAATCGCTATTCTTTCTACTTCACACAGTTTTTCATTTACTATACTCAAATGACCAAAAAATATCTGAAAATACCAGAAAACTTCAACAGAAGTTTCTTCGAACAATCTGCATTCAAATTGCCGTGCCGTTTTTGAGCGTTGGCCTCCCATTATTAATCGTTACTTGTGCGGTTTTTATGAATTTTCACAATCAATTATTATCTGCTTATTGTTGTGTTTTACTCGGAGCATATCCGTCAATATTTTCGATTTTGTTGATTTTGTTACATCCCGTGTATCGCGATTTTACGAGGAATTTGGTGTTTTGTAGAGGTGATAAGAAGGTGATGATTATTGTGGCAAACAGTCTTTGAAGTACTATTAAATAAGTTTAGCGGGATGACAATAGACTCCCATTGATGCATTTTTTAACAAATAAATTTTAAAACAGTGATTTTTTGCGGATAATTGTTTAATGCTCAAAGCCATACAAAACAACTAAATAGGAAATAAGGATCCCCAAATATCCAACTTTTACAAATACATTTTGAAACAGTGAATATTTTTTGAATAATTTTTAAAAATTTCAAATTACGAAAATCAAGAAAATGAAAATTGTTATTTTTTAGAAATAAATTTTGAAACAGTGAATTTTTTAAAGTATTTTTTTAAACCTGAAAATGATATTCGTGAAATCTTTCATGTTTATAATTATCTCCACTTTAGAACTTAGTCAATCAAATTTTCCAAAATCCAATTTTTTACAAATAAATTTTGAAACAGTGAATTTTTTTAGTAATTTTTTTTGAAATCAATTTTTCAAATTTCAAATTGAAAAAGCAATTATTCAACCTTTGAATTTAATTGAATTAAATTTTCTCAAATTCAATTTTTTACAAATAAATTTTGAAACAGTGAATTTTTTAAAGTATTTTTTTAACCAGAAAATGCTATTCATGAAATTGTTCATATTTATAATTATCTCCAAATTAACGAAAACATTAATCAGCTTTTCCAAAATCTAACTTTTCACAAATTAACTTTAAAACAGTGAATTTTTTGAATCAATTTTACAAATTTCAAATTGAAAAAACAATTATTCAACCTTCGTATCATTGAATGAAAATTTCTCAAATTCAATTTTTTACAAATAAATTTTGAAACGGTGAATTTTTTAAATTATTTTTTTAACCTGAAAATGCTATTAGTGACATTCAGATCATTGCTCATATTTATAATTATCTACAATCAGATTATTACTGAATCAAGCAAATGAAAATTGTTTTTTTTTACTAATAAATTTTGAAACAGTGAATTTTTTTAGTAATTTTTTTACCTGAAAATTCTTTTCGCGAAATTGCTCATATTTATAATTATCTCCATTTCACGAAAATATTGATCAAATTTTCCAAAATCCAATTTTTTACAAATCAATTTTGAAACAGTGCATTTTAAAAGTATTTTTCTACCTGAAAATGTTATTCGTGAAATTTCTCATGTTTATAACCCTCTCCAAATTAACGAAAACATTAATCAGCTTTTCCAAAATCTAACTTTTCACAAATCAATTTTGAAACAGTCAATTTTCTTTAATACATATTTTCATTCCAAAAAGTCAGGTAAAATATAACAAATCCCCCTTTTTCATTTTCCAACCCTACGAGCAAAATATAAATGTTGCACCCAGCCGAAATCCACCATCTGCCAGCCATGTACAAGGGGGGTGGATATGTAATTATGCCCCCCCCCCTTCGCTTTTTGTCACACGAATTCGTTCATTTATTTATTTTTGCAACTCAAAACATGGATACAAAAGAAACAACAAGAATTATGCGAATATTTTATGTGTTTGATGATGAATTGGGCTTGGAAAATCTAATTTTAACTAACAAAAAAATGGGATTTTCGAAATTTCAGTCATTAGCATTTTGAAAAAGTTCTCAAAATTTCCTCAAAACCCCCCAAAAAACTCACAATTCCTCCAGTTTTCCTCGAAATTCGCTCCAATATTGTTTCCACCATTTCGCTGACGATTTTCCTGCAATCTAGAAATATATAAAGTAAACCAAAAGTAAGAAAAATTCAAGAAAGTACATTTTTTCATCAAAAAAGCTTTTTGAGCACAAGTTTTTGTATAAAACTATCGAAAATCAACTGAAATTATGTTACTTGTTTCAGGAAAAGAGGAAAATATGAATTTAACAACAAATTCCATTCAAATTCATGAAAAAACAACAAAAATACGCGAATAAAGCATTTTCGAAAAACAAAAAAACAAGAAAATAAAAGTAGAAATGGAAGTGCGCCCTATTGATAAAAATTGCAGGCCGCGCACTCTTTCAAAAATGTGTGTGTGTGTTTCGTCGTTGCTGACTAATTTTTTTCTTTTTTTAAGATTTTAGCGTTAAATAAGGATTTTCATCGTCAAATATCACTGAAATTTAGGCTTCCTTGATTTTTTTAAAAGGTTTTTTTGAGGATTCTCTAAAAATAAGGTTTTTTTTTAAATTTTACATAATTTTGAGGATAAGCCTAACTTAGGTCTATTTTTTCTAGATATTCAGATCTAGATTAGGCTTTTCCAGAAAATCAAAACTCTGAAAAAAATCCTGAAATTTTTTGGCTTCGAAAAATCAGGCCCTGGTTTAGGCTATTCAATTTTTCAGGGCCTAGTTTCAGCTTGTAAAAAATTAGCCTGAATTTTAGGCTTCCTTATTTTCAGGTTTATAGGCTTGAGCTTCAAAATTTCCAGGCCGAAATTAGGCTTGTTAAAAATATGTCTCAAAATTTGCCTAGCCTGGTTTCTCTGCGTCTCTAGAAGTCACCTACTCTCTCATCCTCTGGTTTCTCTGCGTCTCTTCCCCTTCTCTCTCTCTCTCTCTCTCTCCCTACGCTCTCTCATTTCTCTGGTTTCTCTGCGTCTCTAAAAGTCACAAACTCTCTTATCCCATTGTTTCTCTGCGTCTCTTCCCCTTCTCTCTCTCCCTACGCTCTCTCATTTCACTGCTTTCTCTGCCTCTCTCTCTCTCCCCCTCTCTTCACCCACCCATATCGCATGTCAAAAATGCAAATTTAGCACTTCCACTCTCCTCCATTTTCATTTTCATTTCAAGCCATCCCCTTCCTCAAATACTTGAATTTCACAACAGATTACACCCATTAATAAAGCCGTTGTCTGTCTGCACTCTCTGCGTCTCTCTCGCACTCTCTCTCTCTAGTTCGCCTGAACTGAACGGGCAAATTGCCAAATGTGGAAGAAGACACAACTTTTCTCTCTCCTCGTTTGCCACACTATTTCTCTCTCGCATCGCGAGTCTCTGAAGAGCCAGCCGGCTTTTGCTCACTCAACGTCTTCTTCTTCTTTTTCTTCTTCTCCCCCCATTTTTCCATTTTCGCTTTATTTTATTCTTCTTTTCTGTTTTCTTCACTTTTTCACTGTTTCAACTTTTTTTTTGAAACGTATTTTTTCATTGATTTGAAAAAAGTTCAAGTTGAAAAATGTTCTTGACCTTGTTTTGTTTTGTGAAAATTCTGAACAAAAATTTATTTTTGGATGATATTTTTAATTATTTTTGAAAGCTTTTTTGAGTGGGGGGATTTTAAGATAATCCCTGTTTTTGTAAATTGTGGAAATTTGAAGATTTTTGTGAAATTGGCAAATGCGCTCTATTGATAATTTTTGAATTTTAATGATTATCAGTAGAGCGCATTTTGAAAAATGTTTGAAAATTTTGAAATTTGATTTTTCTTCCCAAAAATTGGCACCAATTTTACTTTGGAACTAAATTTCTAGTTGAAATTGAAAATTTTTGAAAAATTACTTTTTCGCGCCAAAACCTATATCTCAGGAACCTAGGAATTTGAAATTCAAAAAATTCGAAACGAGATTTTGATATTTGAAAATTTCAGTTTGAATTCTTAAAAGTTGAAAATTTTGAAAATCGATTTTTCGCGCCAAAATTTAAAAATTTTTTGAAATCTGATATTTTCTGCCAAAAATTTGCACCACTTTTCATTTTTAGTATAATTTTGAGAGCTCAAATTCAGATTTCAAATCTAAATTTTAGCGCCAAAAAAATCTGGCGCCAAATTTTCATGTTCAAAAATTGGAGCAACCTCTCAAAATCTAAAATTTTCTCGCCAAGTCAAACTAGACTCTAGTTTTCCTAGCTCTCTTCAAATTTCCAATCTAAAAGACGGTGCTGAAAACCCATAAAACCTTCCACATCTCATAAATCACTGCTCATTTGAATTCTCATTTTCGCGCCGAAAAAAATCCCGAGCTTTTCCTTTTTTTTAGAAAAAGTTTTGTTTACCCTACAGAATTTTGAGCCGAAAAACTAATTGTTTTGTTTATTTGGGACCACTGAAAAAAAAACAAATTTTACAAAAAAAATAGTGAAGGAAGGATAATTAGATTCTCCAACTCCAACTTGGACTAGAAAATTAGAGAATTTTTTGTGGTCCCTCCAGAAAAAATGCTCATTTATTTTTTTTTGGTAGCTAAGGGGAACCCCCACATTTTCTTTCTTTTCTCCTAATTAATTTCTTCCCCGCCCCGCTGAAACCTAGAATTAATTTTTTTTCCTTGCAGCAGAGCAGACAAGCATGTGCTATTGATTTTTCCGGCTCCAACATCTAGAGAAATTTTTGTGGTAGATCAAAAAAAAAAACGAAAAAAATGGCTTCTGAAATGAGTCGAGCGAATAATTATTGTTGCGAATGTTTGGCTTCGCAAGGTGAGTAAAAAACATCTAGAAAATCTTAAAAATTTTCTGAAAATCTGGAAATTTTCAGGTCGTTGTAGTGCTGACACGTGTCCGTGTGTGGCTTCGAGGAAAACTTGTGATGAGCATTGTGAGAGCACTCGGTGAGTTTTGAAAATTTCCAAAAAAAAAAATTTAGAAAAAAATTAATTAAATTTCACGTGAAAACGTGAATTCATGGAAGAAAAAATTTCATTTCGAATTATTTTTGCTCAAAGAAAAAACACCTGCAGGTACTTTTTTTCCAGAAAAAAAATAAAAAATAGGAGAGCGTGCAGATTTTGAATTTGTATTTTGAACGCAAGCTTTTTTTGGGGGGAGCAGCTGAACTTAGCGGAACTCAGAGAACAGAAAATCAGAGCGGAATTAGAGATCAAGTTCAGAAATCTCAGGCTTTAGGCTTAGGTTAAGGCTTAAGACTTAGATTAGGGCTTTAGGCTTAAGTTAGGGCTTAGAGTTGTAGGCTTAGGTTAAGACTTTAGGATTAGGTTAACACTTTTGGCTTAGGTTAAGGTTTTAGGCTTAGATTAGGGCTTAGAGTTGTAGGCTTAAGGCTTGAGTACTGGATTTAGTCTTAAGGGTAAGTAAAGGCCTTTAATATTAAATAAGACCTTAGCGTTTTGAGTTTTTGATTTTAAGCTAAGGTTGAAGTTCCTAGCTTTAGGCATTAGGCTTAGGTAAGGGTTTTAGGATCTTAAATGAAACAAATTTTGAAGCCTGACCACTTAAGCCTAACCTAAGCCTAACCTAAATCAAAACCCACTCTACCTTAACCCATCTCAATTTTTCCAGCTACCGCGGTGACTGCCTGAACCAAGCGATCTGCAAATGCTCGTGCGAAGTCGACCCGGCAAAACCGGCGAAAAACGCGTGCTCAAAATCGGAACGTTGCGATTGCCTCCGGATAAAAGAGGGATGCAGTAAACTGTGCGCCTGTAAACAGATCTGCAAGAATAAGGTGGGTTTTTTGGGGGGGGGGGGGGGTTCGGGATCGCTAGGCTCTCTAGCCGCGGGTCCTTGACACTTAAGCTCTCAAGGAGCGGCTCCTTGTCAAGGTGGATCTCTAGGCGTTGGTCCTTGACACTTGAGCTCCCTAGGATTGGCCTCTTCAGGACTACCATCTTCAGGAGCGGTTACTTGGCATAGCAGCTTTCAAGCACCGGTTACTTGACAATAAGCTTCTCAAGGCGCGGTCACTTGACAAATATGCTCTCAAGGCGCGGATACTTGAGGACTATCATCTCTAGGCGCCGGTCCTAGACAATTAGCTTCTCTAGGCTCGGACACTTGAAAACTATGCTCTCAAGGCGCTGCTACTTGAGGACTATGCGGCGTGACTCCTGGTTGAAATGAATCTCTAGGCGCCACTTCTAGAGAATTTGGCTCTTTAAGCGCTGTCCCTTGACAAATATGCTCTCAAGGCGCGGCTTCTTAACATGGAGTCTCTCAAGGAGTGGCTACCGAAGTATTATCATCTCTAGCAGCCGGTCCTAGACTATTTGCTTCTCTAGCATCCAGCACTTGACAGGTTTGCTCTCAAGACGCAGCTACTTGAAATTGAATCTTTCTAGGAGCGGCTACTTGGTGACTCTCATCTCTAGGCACCGCTCCTAGACAATTAGCCTCTCTAGGCTCGAACACTTGACAAATATGCTTTCTAGAAGCGGTTTGACTCAAAAAAAATTTGACTCTTTAAGCGCTGCCTCTTGACAATTGGAGTCTCAAGGCGCAGCTACTTGAGGACTATAATCTCTAGGAGCGGTTACTTGGCATAGCAGCTTTCAAGCACCGGTTACTTAGAAACAATGCTCTCAAGGCGCAGCTACTTGAAATGAAATCTTTTAAGGAGCGGCTACTTGAGGACTCTTATCTCTAGACACCGCTCCTAGAAAATTTGACTTTTTCAGCGCTGCCCTTTGACAATTGGGGTCTATAGGAGCGGCTACTTGAGGACTATCCTCTCTAGGCGCCGGTCCTTGACACTTGAGCTCTCTAGGATTGGCTACTTCAGGACTATAATCTCTAGGAGCGACTCCTTGAGTTCTGCTCAGAATCTAAAAACATGATGTGTTCTAAACCCACTTCCGTCTCTCGAAAAAAACAAAACAGAACAGCTGAAAATTCACTGAAAAAAATTATTTTATTAATTCTTTGTTTACATGGATCTTTACCGCTTAACAAACTACAGTGCGTTTCACAATGATAGGTTCACCCCCCAGAATGATGAAATTGACGAAATCGTGAGTTGTAAAAGCAAGTTGAGTTAAAAATCGAAAAGAACGCACAAAATTATGTATGTAAACTCATTTTCATATAAAAATACCGAAAGCTGAGAAAATTTTTGACCGAAGTTCAAAAATTGCGAAAATTTAGCGTTTCATAATGATAGGTTCACCTAACTCAAACTGGTTCTATTTTTGAAGAAACGGGGAATTTGACTAGAAATCACTTTGAAATCAACAAAAGAGAGCATTTGCATTCACTTGCAATTTTCACAATCGAATTTCATCGATTCTAAGGTCTGCACTGATGTTTCCAGTAAGAGACATCTGGAAATTAGGCCTTTGTTCATTTTTTCCACATTTCTCGAAATTTTATCATCAGATTTTTCTGAAAACATCTTTTTTTGTCTATTTGAACCTGATTACACAGAATTCCAACTTTTTTTCGAAGTTTTGACATGATTCTGACATTACTGGATTTCCGATGTTCATCTTGAACTTCAGATCTAGAACATCAGGAACATCAAAATCAAAATTTTATTGATGGAATTCGTTTCCAGCATCGTCAAAATAGTTGATAAAGACATAATTGATGGTTTCGAATGGTCTCCTAACTCATATCGTGAGTTGATTCGGGTGAACACTAAAAGTTGTGTTTTTACAGTGTTAAAAAATGCTGATTCTTGTGATTTGGAAAATAAATAGATACTAAGCAATCCAAACAAGTGTTTCGGAAAAGATTGAACATGACATATGATTTTGACGATGCTGGGAACGAATTCCATCAATAAAATTTTGATTTTGATGTTCCTGATGTTCTAGATCTGAAGTTCAAGATGAACATCGGAAATCCAGTAATGTCAGAATCATGTCAAAACTTCGAAAAAAAGTTGGAATTCTGTGTAATCAGGTTCAAATAGACAAAAAAAGATGTTTTCAGAAAAATCTGATGATAAAATTTTGAGAAATGTGGAAAAAAATGAACAAAGGCCTAATTTCCAGATGTCTCTTACTGGAAACATCAGTGCAGACCTTAGAATCGATGAAATTCGATTGTGAAAATTGCAAGTGAATGCAAATGCTCTCTTTTGTTGATTTCAAAGTGATTTCTAGTCAAATTCCCCGTTTCTTCAAAAATAGAACCAGTTTGAGTTAGGTGAACCTATCATTATGAAACGCTAAATTTTCGCAATTTTTGAACTTCGGTCAAAAATTTTCTCAGCTTTCGGTATTTTTATATGAAAATGAGTTTACATACATAATTTTGTGCGTTCTTTTCGATTTTTAACTCAACTTGCTTTTACAACTCACGATTTCGTCAATTTCATCATTCTGGGGGTGAACCTATCATTGTGAAACGCACTGTATACATTGTGTCCACCTAGATTCCTCCAAGATTTCGAAGATTCCAACTATATCCGTCGACTCTACACAATTCTAGGCAGCATCTCACTTCTCCTAACTTCCTATTCCCTAATCATCATTCAAAAATTCCGCAAAGAGAAAACTGTGAGAAATGTGAAGCAAGTTCTATTCCAACTTCAGACTTGGGCACTAATCACAAATGTTTATGTGTCCTTTCTGATCTGCCCCTACATGTTTTTCCCGTCTGTGGCGATCGGAAGTTTGGGAATCTACGAGACCTTCGGGGTCAATTTCAAATTTCAATGTTATTCTGGTCAAGTCCTCTTCTACTGCCTGGCGATCTCGGTGCTTGCGATCTTTGAGAATCGCCACAGCGCCATATCTACTATCCAATTCAAACTTCAAACTCGAAGATCTCGACGTACCTTCTATTCCATAAACTGCTTTATCATGATTTTTCTATTCTGCCCATATATTTTCAATTCCGATGATACTGAGATTCATAAACTGATCATTCTACAAACCCTAATCCCCTGTCCAAATGAGATCTTCTTCTCAAAGGTCACTCATGTTCTGACAATGAAGGTGTATCTCCCAGCGATTTCGGTGATTCTAGGCCTCTGGATTATTGGAATTCAGGGGTCATTCTTCTTATTCCACGCTGCACTTGATTCTAGTAAACCAGACTAGACTTTCTAGAAACACCCGGAAACTCCAGCAAAAATTTCTTCTCACAATGTTCGTCCAAGTCGCTGTGCCTCTTTTCATCGTGGCAATTCCCCTATCCTATTCCGGCGCATCAGTTATCCTAAATCACTATAATCAAGTGCTATCCTGCCATAGTTTTGTCAGCCTTGCGATTCATTCACCGGCCTCCGCGATTTCGCTGATATTGTTGCATAAGGTGTATCGGAACTATACTTGGGATGTGATTTGTTGTCGCTGGAAGAATCGGGAGCGTGTGGAAAGAGTTTTTGTTGACAGCAGTTTTGGGTTGCGACATGACCAACCTCACAAGGGAAGTGTTCATATGTCAAACATTTGCATGCAAGAACGAACGTGAACGCGTGGCCGAGTGGTTAACACGCACGGCTGCCATTCTCAAGGTCATGGGTTCGATCCCGCTCCGTGGCAAACTTTTTTTTTAATTTTTTGTTGACTGCAGTTTTGGGTTGAAGCAGGCGACATGAGATTAAAACCAAGCCAGACAGCTGAAAAACTAGCAAACAAGAAAAATTTTTCTTTTTTTTTTTTTTTTTTTTTCTCCCACCTCCACCTCCTCCAAAATGGAAGTTTATCGATTAACAAACTATACCATCTGCCCTCCGAGATTTCTACAATCTTTCGAAAATTCCAACTATATTCGAGCACTATACATCATCCTTGGAACAATCTCGCTAATTCTCACAAGTTACACTATCTTCATGATTCGAAAAGTGAAAGACAGAAGAATGAGAGGTGTGAAATTCGAGTTACTCCAACTCCAGATCTTTGCGCTGATTACCAATGCTGTGCTATGTTTTTTAATCTGCCCCTACATGTTCTTCCCCTCAGTTGCCATTGGTAGCTTGGGATTTTTCGAATTTCTTGGGGTCAATTTCAAAGCGCAGTGTTATTTCGGGCAACTGCTATTCGATTTTCTCGCGATCGCGATTCTCGCAATTTTTGAGAATCGACACAGTGCTGTGACAACTATCAAGTTCAAACTACACACAAAATCCGGGCGGAGAACCTTGTATTTTTTGAATTATATAATTGCGATTCTCCTTTTTACTCCCTATATTTTCGATGATCATGATAACGAAGAGGCGAAATTAGAGATCTTGGAGACTGTAATCGGCTGTCCGAATGAGATCTTCTTCTCAAAGGTTACTCATATATTAACCCTACGAGTGTATATTCCAATGTGTTCAGTGCTCACGGGTTTATTCCTAATCGGTGCTCAAGGTGCATTCTTCCTCTTCCACACGATCTACCATCTCGTCTACTCGCACGACACTCAATTATCCCTGAACACTCGCAAACTCCAGCAGCGCTTTCTATTCACAATGTTTCTCCAAGTCGCCGTGCCCTTTCTCATTATTGCTACTCCGTTATTCGCGTGCGGTTTCGCAATCCTGATCAATTATTACAATCAATTTCTATCGTGTCATAGTTTTGTGGCTCTTGGCTTATATTCACCGGCTTCTTCGTTAACTTTGATTTTTTCACATACTGTATATCGCGATTTTACCCGGAAATTGATTTTTGGAGAGAATAGGAAGACATCGCAAGCTAAAGTTGTTGTGGATAGCAGTTTTGTACTTTAAAAACAGGTGATTTGAAAGAAGTCGTGATTTGTGGTTTTGAAAATAAAGAAGTTTAAACTTCACACGTGAAGCAGGTGGTTTTGAGATCGAGTTCAAATGACTAGAGTTAGGCTAACTTTCGGCTCTCAGGCGTGGGTTAAGCCTAGAGATTAGACCAAGCCCTGAACTTAGCCTAGCCAGAGCTATGGCTATAAGTTAGGCCAAGTTTAGGCTGAGCCTGAAATTATAATCGGCCTGAACCTAGACTTGGTTTTTCACAAAAGTTAGCCTAAGTTCATCCCTAGAATTATAGACCTAGCCTAAACAATGACCAGGGCGGGCTTAGGCCTAGAGATCAGGGCACGCCTTGAACTTAGCCTAAATCCAACCCCTAGCCAGAGCTATGGCTATGAGTTTGGACGAGTATAAGCTGAGCTTGAAATGATCGGCCTGAACCTAGATTTTTTTCTCACAGAAGTTAGCCTAAGTTCAACTCTAGAAAGTTATAGATCTAGCCTGAACGATGACTAGGGCGGGCTTAAGCCTAGAGATTAGGCCAAGCCTTGAACTTAGCTTAAGTTCAACCCCTAGCCAGAGCTATGGCTATAGGTTAGGCTGAGGATAGGCTCAGGCAGGTTAAGTTAAGACTGAAATTATGATCGGCCTGAACCTAGACTTTATTTTTCTCACAGAAGTTAGCCCAAGTTCAACCCTAGAATTATATACCTAACCTGAGCAATGAGCAGGAGTTAGGCTAAATTTAGGCTCAGAATCAGGCTAATCCTAGAGGTTAGGGTGGGCCTCAGAACTTAGCTCAAGCTCAGCCCTGGGATCATAAACCTAACATGAACAATGACCAGGATTTAAGCTAAATTCCGACCCAAGCCTAGGTTTTAGAAGTTATGACAAGCCTATAACTTAGCTCAAGTTCAGCCCTGGAATTCAAGATGCTACCTAGCCTGAGTTACTGTAAGTCAAGTCTATATTATCCCTGTTGAAAATATTTAGTTAGCCTAATTATCAAAAATTTTTCTAAAACCTAAAAGTTCAAACATCCGAAATGTGTTTTGAAAAAATGAAGCTAATTTTCAGCAAAGTCAGAAAAAAAAATTTTCCAGGAGCCGCCCAAAAAGCTGGCGAAAGTCGCCAAGCCCACGCAAGGCTGTCAATGTGCCAAAGGCAAAAAACAGTGTGTGAAAAAAGAGTGCGCGTGTCGGACGGTCTACGGTTTCTGCTCGGCCGCCTGCAAATGTGCCGGTGATTGTACAAACGGCGCGTCGAAATTCTCGATCCCCAAACATGTGCAAAATTGTTTCTTGGAGCACAAAAATGAGTCGAGCGGGTTGATAGTCACATTAATAGGAGAGGATTATGTTTATCGAGGAGATTTTTATCATGAGAGTAAAGGAGAGCCGCATGTTGAAGAGCAATTGGTTGCGGCCATTTATGATTTGATTTCGAAGTATACGGTGAGGAAGTTGGGGATTTTGGGGAACTTTTTAAATCAATTTTGAATGTTCATCTGGGCTGGATTTTCCAAACGAGAATTCAGAAAAATAATTTGAAAAATAACAATTTTTCACTGCTTCAAAAAAATCATAAATTTTTTCCAAATTTTTACAATTTTGATAGAAAGGATTTTACTGTTTCAGAATTTTTTGATTATTTTTGCAAAAATTCAGAATCTCAAAAAAATAACTGTTTCGAAATGTTTTCTGATTAATTTTTAATTGGGATGAAAAAAATAAATTAAATTTTCACTGTTTCAAAAAAAATCATAAATTTTTTCCCAATTTTTACAAATTTGATAGAAAATTAGATAAATCTAATTTATTTTCCACACAAAAATTGACTGTTTCAAAGTTTTTTGATTATTTTTTGAATTTTCTCAAACTTTGCTAATGCTATTCCATTCCTGAATTCTAATTTATCCACGGTCTTCAATGCCAACAGAATTTTCCTTTAAAAAATTACTGTTTCATAATTTTCTGATTATTTTTTGAATTTTTTTTTCAAACTTAAATTTTTTACTGTTTCAAAAAAATCATAAATTTTTTCCAAATTTTTACAATTTTGATGAAACAAATTTTCGATAAATTTTCGATAAATTTAATTTTTTCAACACAAAAATTAACTGTTTCAAATTTTTTTGATTATTTTTTTTTATTTTTTTTTAACTTTGCTAATGTGCTGAAGTTTCATGAAATTCTGTTCAATTACAAAAAAAATTCAAAAAAAAATTTCCAAAAAAATTAACTTTTTCAAAGTTTTTTGATTATTTTTTGAGATCTCAGAGACTTCAGTTAAAGTGTTAGTAAAAATGAAAATTTTCAAATCACAAAAAAAATTCAGAAAAAATTGACTGTTTCAAAATGTTTTCATCAATTTTTTATTGTTTCGGAAAAATTTGATGATCTTCTTCAATGCGTATCTCAGAAAAAAAAGTTTCAGAAAAAAATACTGTTTCAAAATGTTTTCTGATTGATTTTTAATTGGGATGAAAAAAATAAATTAAATTTTCACTGTTTCAAAAAAATCATAAAATTTTTCCCAATTTTTACAATTTTGATAGAGTAAATCCATTTGTTTCAACACAAAAATTAACTGTTTCAGAATTTTCTGATTATTTTTCGAATTTTTCAAATTTGCTTTCATTTTGAATTCCGGAATTCTACTCTTCCTGTCCACAGTTTTCAATACCCACAGAAATTTTCGAAAAAATTACTGTTTCATAATTTTTTGATTATTTTTGCAAAAATTCACTGTTTCAGAATTTTTCTGATCAATTTTTAATGTTCCGGGATGATTTCCTAGTGATTTTTGGAAATGCAATGATCAAGTCGAAAAATCATCCCATCACAATTGTTCACTGTTTCAAAAAAATCATAAAATTTTTCTCAATTTTTACAATTTTGATAGAAAATTGGATGAATCTAATTTTTTTCAACACAAAAATTAACTGTTTCAAAGTTTTTTGATTAATTTTTGAATTTTTCTAAAACTTTGCTATTGTTTGATTGATAAAACTCATACATTTTTCTGTTCAGATTTTCAATTATCACAATAAATTTCCAAAAAAAATTACTGTTTCATAATTTTCTGATTATTTTTGCAAAAATTCACTGTTTCAAAATGTTTTTATTAATTTTTAATGTTTCGGGATGATTTGCTCTTTCCTTTTCTGTTATGTGGTATTTCAAGTCAAAAAAAAATCATCCCATTACAATTTTTCACTGTTTCAAAAAATTATAAAATTTTTCCCAATTTTTAGAATTTTGATGCAACGAATTTTTACAAATCGATAAATCTAATTTTTTCAACACAAAAATTAACTGTTTCAAAATTTTTTTGATTATTTTTTGAATTTTTCAAACTTTTCTGATGCTACTCCATTTCTGAATTCTAATTTTTCTCTCTACGGTTTTAAATGCCCACAGAAATTTCCTAAAAAAAAATTACTGTTTCAGAATTTTTTTATCAATTTTTGAGTTTTCGGAGACGGAGTTAAGTTCATGCGTCAGAAAAAATACAAATTTTCAAATTAACAAAAAAAATCAGAAAAAATGACTGTTTCAAAATGTTTTGATCAATTTTTAATGTTTCGGGAAATTTTGATCTGCTTGTGAAAACTAGATTGAAAAATTACAATTTTTCACTGTTTCAAAAAAATCATAAATTTTTTCCTAATTTTTACAATTAGATAAATCTAATTTTTTCATTACAAAAATTAACTGTTTCTAAGTTTTTTGATTAATTTTTGAATTTTTTTAAAACAATGTCCACAGAAAGTTCCTTAAAAAAATTACTGTTTCAAAATGTTTTGATTAATTTTTGAATTTTTTTCAAACTTTGCTAATGTTCTGAATTTCCATAAATTTCTGTTCAATTACAAAAAAAATTCAGAAAAAACTGACTGTTTCAAAATGTTTTTATTAATTTTTAATGTTTCGGGAATATTTGCTCTGCTGGTAGCACCACTTCTATAAAAGAAACAAATTAAAAAAAAATTTTTTAACTGTTTCAATTTTTTTTTGAATAATTTTTCGAATTTCTGGAAAATTCAGTCAATGCATCTATGATTACCAATTTTTGCAATTACCAGAAAAAATTCACTGTTTCAAAATTTTCTGATCAATTTTTGAAGGTCCAAGTACTTCTTCACACTCAACAAAATTTTTGGAAAAAAAATTGATTTAAAAAAATTTGAAACAGTGAATTTTTTTCTGTCATTGCAAGGGTTGATTTTCAATCATACATTAACTGAAGTTTCCAGGAAATCGAAAAATTATCGGAAAAAAATTGAAACAGTTAAAAAAACATTTTTTTTTCTTCAATTTTCTGGTGAAAAATTTTAAAAACAATTTTTTTCCTGGAAATTTTAGACGAAAAATTTAATTTTTAGAACATTTCCAGAGAATTTTTCAAAATCCTAAAAAATTTCAAAATTCATCCCAACCCTTCATTTTTTCAGGTCGACTTACACGAAATCCAAATTTTCGTCTCAAAATCCCCTTGTTTCCATCAAGATTGCGAGCCAAAATGTGAAGTGGTAGATGAGTGTAAAAGTAACAAAGCGTGCGCGAAATTACTTGGCCTGCTCTTGAGTAAAGTCCGAAAAGAGATTAAAAAAGTGGATGTGAAAATGACGGTCAAATTTCTGTATCCTCACTTGAATCGCGGTGATTTGTACACGAAACAAGGGATTTTGTGTATGTTGCAAGCTGGAATTAAAGTCGAGCCACTTTTGATGAAAGATTGGTGCTCAATTATGGATTGGAGCCCACATGTAGATCATAAAGGAGATTATTTGCAACTTTGGAATAATCATCATTTGGATAAGGCTGTTGCTCAATCACAACTTTTTATTAATGAATGTCGAAGAGCTTTGGGATTATCGATGAAGTTTTGGGTGGCTGAGATTCATGAAATTGTTAAGGATACGATTTTACATTTTTCGGATTTGAGAACGAAATGTGGAGATTTGAATGATGCGCTGAAACAGGTAAATTATCGGGAAATTCTTTTATTTTTAGTTCTAAATTTTAATCGAATTTCAAAAAACTCGAAAAAAATATCATAAAGTTTTGAAACAGTATTTTTTTCGAGCATTTTTTGTCAAAATTTTATTTTTTGAAATTAATTTCAATTTTCTTGACATGTGTTTTTTAGCACAAATTCCACGAGGAATTTTTTAATTTTCAAATTTTCAATTTCATTTTTTAATTTTCAATTTCAATTTTTTTCAATGAATTTCGGGTTAAAAAAACGGTAATTGAATTTAAAAAAAAACTCGAAAAAATATCACAAAATTTTGAAACAGTGAAATTTTTACAAGAATTTTTTTGTCAACATTTTATTTTTTGAAACTAATTTCTAAATTTTAACATGTGTTTTTTTGAGCCGAGAATCCACGTGTCTATTTTATTCTTCGAGTTTCTAGCTCAATTAATTTTGCGCAATCATATTCAATCAATCAAAATTTTCGAAAACTCGAAAAATTCAACACAAAGTTTTGAAACAGTGAAAATTTTTTGAGCATTTTTTGTAGTCAAAAATTTTGAACACATAAATTCAATTCTAAATTTAAATGTCAATGTCAACATTTTGACCAACACAAAACCATGTTTATCGAAATTTCAGAAACTCGAAAAAATATCACAAAATTTTGAAGCAGTGAATTTTTTTTCGAGATTTTTGTAGCCAAAATTTTGGATACATGAAATTCAATTTAAAATTTCGTTGTTTTTTTGGGCTGAAAATCCACGTGTCAATTTTTCTTCAAAATTTTAGCGCAATAATTCATCCGAAACGATATGCAGATTGAAATTTCAAAAAACTCAAAAAAAAATATCACAAAATTTTGAAACAGTAAATTTTTTTTTTCAAATATTTTTTTGTAGTCAAAATTTTAGATACATAAATTTTGATTTTAATATCAAATTTTTGAGCCAACAATTCACGTGTCTATTTTATTCTTTGAATTTCTAGCTCATTCTCAATTAATTTTGCGCAATCATATTCAATCAATCAACATTTTCGAAAACTCGAAAAATTCAACACAAAGTTTTGAAACAGTCAATTTTTTTGAAAATTTTTTGTAATCAAAAATTTTGAACACATAAATTCAATTCTAAATTTAAATGTCAATGCCAACATTTTGACCAACACAAAACCATGTTCATCGAAATTTCAGAAACTCGAAAACATTATCACAAAATTCTGAAACAGTAAATTTTTAAAAGAATTTTTTTTAAAAATTAATTTCTAAATTTTGCCATGTGTTTTTTTAGCTCAAATTCCACCAGGAATTTTTTAATTTTCAATTTGGCTCAATGAACCTCGGGTTAAAAAACGGTAATTGAATTTTCAAAAAACTCAAAAACATTATCACAAAATTTTGAAACAGTGAATTTTTTTTTCAGTGATTTATTTGTAGTCAAAATTTTAGATACATGAAATTCAATTTAAAATTTCGTTGTTTTTTTTTTGAGCTGAAAATCCACGTGTCCATTTTATTCTTCGAGTTTCTAGCTCAATGAATTTTCCCCAAAAAAGACGTTAATTGAAATTTCAGAAACTCGAAAAAATTATCACAAAATTTTGAAACAGTGAAATTTTTCGGAGAATTTCATGCAGATTTAAAACATGTCAAAAATAAATAAAAAACTTTACTGTTTCAAAATTTTGTGATAGTTTGTTTCCAGTCCATGAAAATGTTAACTTTAATAAAATCGAAACTAAAATTTGTGAAAGTGTGTGCCTTTTTCTAGCCTCACACAACTTCCAGCTTTCAAACTCACAAATTTTTATTTTCCAGCTTGATCTCACCGCAACACCGCACAAAATCCGCTCAACGCCATCAAAACGTCGAAGCTTCATCGATTTACACGAATTGCGCGACAAACTTTTGCGATCTTCCTCATCGGACGGAAATAAGAAGAGCGGTTCACATGTGTCAGTGGCCAGGTTCGCTTCTCCCCGCTTTTTTTCGCTATCCAACAAAAATTTTGAAGAAAAAATGGAAAAAAAAACTTTTTGCACGTGAAAAAACCCCGTGACACTGGCTAATTTTATGTTGTTTTTTTGATTTTGATTTTGGCTTTTGGTAATTCTGGTGGAGGTTTTCTCAAATACTAATCAAAAAGAAAATATTGGGAGGGGTACTGTAGAATTACTGTAGCTTTTGAATTTTTATCGGTTTTCTGAAATAAAATGTTTCAATCTAGCACTAGACTACTGTAGGATTACTGTAGAGCAAATATTTTTTTTTGTGATCTTGAAGATTTTCTTGGAAACTTTGGGGACCCTTTAGAAACAAAGTACTTTGATGTTCATGGAGTACTGTAGATTTACTGTAGGAAAAAAGTGAATTAAAGATTCAAATTAATCTATTTTTTTGGAAACTATACTGTAGTTTGGGGTTACTGTAGTTCAAAAAGTACTGTAGTCAAAATAAGAATATTCTCCAAATAAATTACTGTAGGAGTACTGTACCTCAAAATTATTTTGTTTTAAGAATACGGTAGTTGAAGGTTACTGTAGTAGCCAATTTTAAAGCTAAATTTGAATTCCTGATGTTTCTTAATTAAATTACTGTAATTCGAAGTACTGTAGCCTGAGGTTACTGTATGTACTGTAGAAAACCACTATGGCAGGACTGTAGATCATAGATGAGAAGTACTGTACTCAACTTATATAAAGTACTGTAGATCAAAAATTAGTTACTGTAAGGTACTAGGCTTAACAAATTATGTTTCTTAATACATACTAACAAATATTTTAACTAACCTAAACAAAAAAAAGTTATCCTAACTCTCCGCATTTTTTCAGCGAAGATGCTCAAGCGCAAGCCATGGTTGCGTCATTCTGCGGAAGATCATTCGATGATTGCGAAACGGATGAGATTGCGCAGCGAATTCGCCGCGCGACTGCAAATATCAATCTGGAAATCGAGACGCTTATGGAATTTTTGAACCATAAAGGAGCGTTGTCATAAGATTTGGAATTTGAATTTTGAATTTGAATTTTTTTGCTTGTGATTTTTTTCCTTTTTTCTTCTTCTTTTATTATGTATTCACTGCCCCACAGATCTCTCAAAAAAAAAAAGAATTTTAATATTTTCAATTTTTAATTTATTTTTTTTTCACTGAACAAATTTGCCACTTTTTTCGAAAATTTAATTATGAACTTTTATCAAGCATCAATAAATATTTATTTTAAAAATTTTCGGGGACAAAAAAATGCCACGTGTCATTTTTTATTGACGATATTATTCAAATTATCAATGTACGATTTTCTCAAAAAAATTTCATATATTTTTGAAACAGTGAAATTTTTTATTTCAAAAAATTGTGTTTTATCCGCTGAAAATCGAGGAATACTTGAAAAATTCAGAAAATCATTATTTTCCTGATTTTCAGCACAAAATTTCAGCATAGAAACAATTATTTTCGATCTGAAATTTATTTTTAACAAAATTTCAGATTTCAAGTTTCTGGCTGAAATTTTGTTCTCAAATTCCAGAATTTTTGTGCAAAAAATCAAATTTTCATTTTTCCTTCATTTTTCGGCTGCTTATCTATCAATTCTTGATTTTCTCAAAAAAAAATTTAATATATTGTTGAAACAGTGATTTTTTTCGAAATAATATTTTAACAGCGAAAATTGTGTTTTGGCTGAAATTTTGTTCTGAAAATCAAGAAGACCTTGAAAAATGCTGAAATTGACTGTTAACTTAAATTTCAGCATAACATTTAATCGCATTCATTTCTGAAAGAAATGCGCTTTTGGGTTTTCAAAATCCACGTGTCACACTCTACAATTCATGAAAGAATCAATCCTTGATTTTCTCAAAAAAAATTTCATAAATTCTTGAAACAGTAAAATTTTTTATTTCAAAAAATTGTGTTTTTTCCGCTGAAAATCGAAGGAAACTTGCAACAGAATTTCAGCCCAAAAAATTTCGACCTGAAATTAATTTTTTAACGAAATTTCCAGATTTCAAGGTTTCCGGCTGAAATCTCAGAATTTTCTGACAGAAACTTAAATTTTGATATTTCCTGCGTCTACGGAGGATCAATTCTTGATTTTCTCAAAAAAAAATTTCATACATTTTTGAAACAGTGAAATTTTCTATTTCAAAAATGGTATTTCGGTTGATCTGTTGTGCTGAAAATTTGGAAGACTTTGAAAAATGCTGAAAATTACTGTTCTCTTGATTTTCAGCACACAATTTCGACCATTAGAATCAAACTAATCAATTTTCGATATTCTCAACAAAAAAAAATCATAAATTTTTGAAACAGTGAATTTTTTTAAAACAAATGGGATCTGGCTTCATGAAAATTGCTAGATTTCAAGCTTTCCGAATCAAATTTTTTGTGAAATTTTTTTATTTTTTCATAAAACAAAACTTCTATCAACAAATTTCAGGTCATTTTTCCTCACACAAAAACAAAAACAGTCCAAAAAAGTGTCTCTATAAATCCGATGGGAAAAAATCAAAGCTAAAGAGGCGACCATTGAATACATTCCAATTGCTAAAAAACTATGGCAAGACAAGAATTGACTGTTGAAATTGATCAAAATCGCAAAGCCACATCCCAAAAGTGGTAGAGCAACTACAATAAATGGGATCATGACTTGGAGGAACATGCTAAGCAAGAACATTTTTTGAAGTTTTCGAGTTGCGGCTGATAATTTGGTGTCAATGGCGAAGATTAGATGATAGATGCTATGAAATGTGAAGAATGAACCCTGGAAAATTTGAATTGAGGAAAGTGCGCTCTACTGATAATATAGCTCCCAAGTTTCAAATTTGAAAATTTTCGGATTTTTTTTTTCACTAAAAAATTGTCAAAAATTTTTTTTTTCATTTTTCGGTTTTTGAAAATTTTGAGCCGAAGCTCCAATGATGCCACGTGGCATTTTTGAAGCTTCAGAACACTCAAAAATGGTCCCGAAATGTAATTTTCAGCTTCCAGGGCTGAAAATTGCTCCCAGATCTGATTTTCGTGGTCCCAGAGCTCAAAATGAGGTTTCAGCAGGTTGCTATGCTCAGAAATTCATTCCCGGAGTTCAAAAATGCTCCCAGATCTAATTTTCGTGGTCCCGGGGCTCAAAATGAGGCTTCAGCATGTTCCGGAGCTCAGAAAATCGTTTCTGAAGTTCAAAAATGCTCTCAGATCTGATTTTCGTGGTCGCAGGGCTCAAAATGAGGTTTCAGCATGTTCCGGAGCTCAGAAAATCGTTTCTGGAGTTCAAAAATGCTCCCAGATCTGATTTTTGTGGTCCCGGGGCTGAAAATGCGGTTCCAGCAGGTTCCGGAGCTCAGAAAATCATTCCCGGAGTTCAAAAATGCTCCCAGATCTAATTTTCGTGGTGCCAGGGCTCGAAATGAGGTTCCAGCAGGTTCCGAAGCTCAGAAAATCGTTCCTGGAGTTCAAAAATTCTCCCAGATCTGATTTTCGCGTGGTCTCAGGGCTCAGAAAATCACTCCTGAAGATAAATTTCCCAAAAACCAACCTGTAACGCAATCACAAATCCCGCTGAAAACGTCAAAACCGCCGTTCTCTCAATCGCCGCGCTCATAATATGAGTAACACTTGAGAAAAATATCTCATTAGGACACGGTATAATATTTTTCAAGATTTCCATTTTCCTATTATCTGTATCATCTTTCTCAAAAACATAGGGCAAAAATACAATCGACGCATAAAAATAATTCAAAAAATAAAATAGAAATTTCGATTTCTTCGACTGAAGTTTGAATCTATACGAGATGGTGGAGATGGAATTATGTCGATCTTCAAAAACTGTCAAAACAGCCACCGCCAAATAATCATAACACGTCTGACCAACATAGGCTTGAACCTTGAAATTGACGCCAAGATATTCAAGAAGCCCCAAGCTCCCCACAGCCATGCTAGGAATAAACATATAAGGAGTGACGAGGATGTTCGAGATGATATTTGTGACAAAAGCCCAAGCTTGCAATTGAAACAGCACATTTTTCACCGATTTCATCCGCTTTTCCTTGACAGTTTGGATCAGGTAAAATGTGTAGAGTGACAGAATTATGGATAGAAATGCAGTTGTAAAATACACCGTGCGAATGTAGGTTGGATTTTCGAATGATTCTAGAAATCTTGGAGGACACTTGGTATAATTATTTTTGCGGTAGAAGTCTAAATCCATATTTTTTCTGGGAAAACAATTTAAGACAATCAGAAATAAAAAATCTGATTTTTTCAGCTGCTTCAAGGCATTTGGTCTATGATTCTTGAGAAGTTCGAACAAAAAAACAAAATTTTTGATTATGTTTAAGTATCACAGGCTATTTTAATTATCACAAATTAATTAATTAATTAATTAATTACACAGTATTCGCTAGCACACATCTATCAATAGTGGGGAAAAATATGTCTTGCGGAACTTTTTCGTTGAAAATCTCATCGAGCCGAAGAATTGAGAGAACTTCTTCCGGCAGTCCGGAAAACAAGACGGAGACTTGCGATTTTCTGGCATCCACGTAGGTCTGCAATTTCGTAGGTTGCGGAACTACCGCGCGGAAGCTTGCGGAAAAAATAAACTCACATCCTTAATCGCATCGATTCCCATTGAATCCACATAACTGATCGCAGAACAATCGACTATCAAAATTCTTTTCTCAAGAATATTTTCCGCCTCGCTTTCCGCGTGCATTTCCGGAAAGCTGCGCGCTATCGCATCGCTCATTTTATCCGTGAAAATGGTGACATTGGCGAAATTCAGCGAAGCGCTGAATTTCAGAATTTCCACGTTTTCCGGAATGTGTTGGCGGGGAGTTTCGTCGAGATGGATTTCGGTGGAGGAAGTGAAGGTGGGCCTGGAAGGAGCTGGGATTTGTGTGTAGTTCTCGAGGAGAATTCATGGATTCCGAGAGAAGTACACGGATTTTTTAATATGGAAAGTTAAGTTAGGCTAACTCACCATTGCTGCCTCAAAACCAGTGTGAAAAGTGAGAAAACCAGTGAGATTATAAGACCAGTTGTAACATCTGTGAGAATTGTTGAAAGACACGCGACCAGCCAAATTGTCTGAAATTGTTTTTTTGAATTGAAAAAAATAAGGTGAGCTGAATTTCACGTGACGTGAAATTTATTGATTTTTTATGGAAATTTTGAATTTTTCCCGAACAATCCACGTGGTATAATTTTTTACGCTAATTGTAACTTCAAAAACGAGACTCTGTAAAATCAACAATTCAGGGTCAAATTTATTTTTTATTAATAATTTTTGAAACAGTGAATTATTATTCTAGGAAATCCACCCATCTTTGCAGTATTATTTTTGAAATTCCCAAAAAAAGTTATGTATGCGTTTTGAAACAGTAAAAAATCAATTTTGTTCCGAAAAATCCACGTGGCATAATTTTTGCGCTAAAACTAAGAAAAAATCAAATTTCGAAGGCATAATTATTTTTATCAATAAATTTTGAAACAGTAATTTTATATGGTGTAACAAAAGAAGAAAAAGAGTATTATTTTTAAAATTCCCCAAATAATTATAAACTAATTTTGAAACAGTAAATTTCTAAAAATTCAAAAAATATTTTCCGAAAAATCCACGTGGCATAATTTTTGTGCTAATTGTAAAACTACAAACAAATCAAATTTCGTAGGAAAAATTATTTTTTATCAATAATTTTTGAAACAGTTAATTTTTATTCTATGAAATAAACATTATTTTTAAATTCCCCCAAAAAAATTATATACGAATTTTGAAACAGTAAATTTCAGACATGAATTCAAAAAAAATTTCCGAAAAATCCACGTGGCATAATTTTTTGCGCTAACAATAAAACTACGAAATAAAATAAAATTTCGTAGGAACAATCATTTTTTATCAATAATTTTTGAAACAGTAAATTTTTTTTATGTAGATAAAAAATTATTATTTTTGAAATTCTCAAAAAAATTTTATACGAATTTTGAAACAGTAAATTTCTAAAAATTCAAAAAATTGTTTTCGAAAAATCCACGTGGCATAATTTTTGCGCTAATTGTAAAACTAAAAAAATCAAATTTCGTAGGAACAATTTATTTTTATCGATAATTTTGAAAAAGTAAATTTTTATTATTGAGGAACAATTCCTTATTATTTTTAAAATTCCCCAAAAAATTATAAACAAATTTTCAAACAGTAATATTCTAATACTTCAAAAATTATTTTTTTTTCGAAAAATCCACGTGGCATAATTTTGGCATTAAAAAAAATCAAATTTCGTAGGAACAATTATTTTTTATCAATAATTTTGAAACAGTAAATTTTGATTCTAGGAAAAAAAAATTATTTTTGAAATTCCCTAAAAAAATTATATACGAATTTTGCGCTAAAAACTACAAAAAGCAAATTTCGTAGGAACAATTATTTTTCATCAATAATTTTTGAAACAGTAATTTTATATGATGTGACAAAAGAAGAAAAATTATTTTTGAAATCCCCCAAAAATTATAAACGAATTTTGAAACAGTAACACACCTCGGCCAAAATCGTGGTTTCCACAATAAGAAATTGTACGCTAACTTTTTACAGTACAAAAATTGTGAATTTTTCAGTTTTTGACCTCTAAAACTTGTGGTTTTTCAATTTTTGTCCTCTATAAACTGAAATTCTGATTTTTCCAAAAATTGTACTCTGGCCAGCCACTTGGCCGAGGTGTGAACAGTAAATTTCTGAAATGAATTCAAAACTTATTTTTTGTTCCGAAAAATCCACCTGGCATAATTTTTGCAATAATTAAAAAAACATATCAAATTTCGAGGAACAATTATTTTTATCAATAATTTTTGAAACAGTAAATTTTTACTCTTGTAGAACTATTTTTCATCATTTTTTAAATTCCCAAAAAACTATATACTAATTTTGAAACAGTAAATTTCTGACATGAATTCAAAAAAATTTTTTCCGAAAAATTCACGTGGTATAATTTTTGCGATAAAACTGGAAAAAGCTCAAAATCAGTGGCATCAACAGTTTGAGGTAATTTTTAAATTAATAATTTTTGAAACCGTAAATTTATATGATTTAACAAAAGAAGAAAACATTATTTTTGAAATTCCCCAAAAAAATTATATACGAATTTTGAAACAGTAAATTTCTAAAAATTCAAAAAATGTTCCCGAAAAATCCACGTCGCATAATTTTAGCACTAAAACTAATTGTAAGAAAAAATCAAATTTCGTAGGAACTATTATTTTTTTATCAATAATTTTTGAAACAGTTAATTTCTATTCTGGAAGAAACCATTATTTTTAAAAATCCCCAAAAAAACTATGAACGAATTTTGAAACAGTAAATTTCTGAATTCAAAACAAAATTTCCCGAAAAATCCACGTGGCATAATTTTTTGCGATAAAACTAAGAAAAAATCAAATTTCGTAGGAACAATTATTTTTTATTAATAACTTTTGAAACAGTAAATTTATATGATGTAAGAAAAAATTATTATTTTTGAAACTCCCCCAAAAAAATTATATACAAATTTTGAAACAGTAAATTTCTGAATTCAAAAATTATTTTGTTTTTTCCCCGAAAAATCCACCTGGCATCATTTTTGCGCTAAAACTAAGAAAAAAGCAAATTTCGTAGGAACAATTATTTTTTATCAATAATTTTTGAAACAGTAAATTTTTATTCTGCGGAACCGTTTGTCATTAGTTTTTTAAATTCCCAGAAAAATTATAAACGAATTTTGAAACAGTAAATTTCTGGCATGAATTCAAAAATTATTTTGTTTTTTTTTGTTTCGAAAAATCCACGTGCCTAATTTTTTGAATCTGTATAAAACTACAGTCTAGTTTGAAAAAAACTTCGAAAGTTAAACTTCATGTCAACAATTTTCAAAAATATGTATCTTGAACCTTTCAATGATAACACAGTCTACTAAACCGTCCATTTCATTTCAAAGATAACAAAAAATGAAAAGCACTATTTTTCTATTCGCATTTCTGGCCCGATTAATCGAATCTAGAATCGGTCTCGATTTTATTCAAGCCGTCGATGTTGACACTTTCAAATGTCTTCATCAAAACGGAATCAGTTTCGTGATCCCTCGAGTTTACACAAATCTCGGAAACATAGACCAAGTCGGCATAAATAATCTAATAAATGCAAACGCCGGCGGAATCCGCTATATTGATGCGTACATGTTCCCATGTGTTATTTCCGGTTGTCCAAGTGCAGAAACTCAAATTGGCACAGTTTTTGACAAAGTTGCTGAAGCCGGAGCATCGTTCGGATATATTTGGTTGGATATTGAGAGACTCAATTGGCCCGATGATAAACTTCGAAATCAGCAATTTATTGAAGAACTTGTTGCGGCAGTGAATAAAAGACATCGAAATGTTGGGATTTTTACCAATTATTATAATTGGGAATCGATTGTTGGGTTGGATTATGAGGGACAATGGCAACTTGCACTTTGGTGGAATCAATATTCGACGACACGTGGATTTTCGAATTATATACCTTTTGGCGGGTGGATTCAGCCGAATATTCATCAATTTAATTATACGAGAGATGGACCTTGTGGTTTGACAACTGATATTAATTATAGTCCATAGAGATGTGATTTTCATAAAATATTGTGAAGTGTAAAATTATTTTTTTGAAAAACTTTGTTTCCAAGAAAAAATGTTTTCGAAAAAATTTACTTTTCAGAATTTTTTCCTAGACATTGCTCATGTTAATGACAAAATTCGAATTTCTCTGGAAAATTTTCAGCCCTATAGAAATTTTCTCTGATTGCTCATGTTAATGAAACATTTAGAAATTCTCTGGAAAATTTTCAACCCCACAGAAAATTTCAGATTTTTTTCTAAATTTAAGGACTTTTCCCAAACATTGCTCATGTTAAAATTGTGTCTTTAATTTTCTGGAACTCAAAAATTCATTATTTGCTCATGTTAAGCTTCAGGCTATTGCTCATATTTCGAAAAAAACATCTGAAAACTTTCAGAATCAGAGCTTTTCCTGAGCATTGCTCATATTAATTTTTTTCAAAAAACCTTCGTTTCCAAGAAAAAAATGTTTTCGAAAAATTTTACTCGTCAAATTTTTTCCAAGCCATTGCTCATGTTAATGAAAAATTTGAAATTCTCTGGAAAATTAATTATTTCAGCCCTCTAGAAAATTTCAAATTTTTTTAGTTTCATGATTTTTCCCAAACATTGCTCATGTTTGTCTTTAATTTTTTGGAACTCAAATTCAATTTTTTTAATTGCTCATGTTAAGCTTTAGGCTCAAAAACTGTCAGAATTTTTTTTTGAAAAATCTGGATTATCCAGAGCTTTTTCTACCCATTGCTCATATTAAAAAATTTCAAAATTCCCTGAAAAACTCACAAAATCATATCGACAAACTCTCCAAAGTCTTGGCAATTCTTTGACTTGCAAAAATAAACTTTTCAAGCTCACAATCACAATCGCACTTAGAATACACTGAAAAATGAATTTTTTTTTCAAAATTCAAAAAACATTTTTCACTTACCATAGGCAATGGTTCCAATAATGGTCCCAGGAACAAAATCACAGTGAGAAGTAGAAAACTGGAGAAAACAGTGTAGAATTGAGTGTTGGCTCCGGACATTTCACAAACTGAACTTCGAGAAAGCGATGCTCCAACTGGGTAAACTGGGAAAAATGAGGAGCCAATTCCAGCGAGTCCACAAGCATATAATTCTTGCGTCGCATCGGTTTTGTACTTGTGTTTTTTGGCGAATAATTTGCCCATCGACATGACGAACATGTAGCAGACGATGGCGATTGGAATTGCGTCGGGAAGAAGTTGCGGGAGGAAGTTGAGATGTGGGAGAGAGGGAAGTGGGAAGCTGGAAAATGTGGGAGATTCGGAGGGGTGACTAGATTTTCAAGATTTCAAAAAAGTATTTGTATTTGCAAAAACAAATTTTGTCAGTTTCTTCAAAAATTGTGAATTTTTCTCGAAACAGTAAATTTTATTTTCTTTTAAAAAATTATATGAAAAATGTTTTTTTTTATGAATCCACGTGGAAATTTTTTTGAGCTAGAGAATTCAGAAGTCTGTGTTTTTCACTTCAAAAACAGGTTTTAAAAAAATGTTTTTCATAGTTTTCAGAGCCTTGGAAATTTTCTGAAATTTATAGCTTCAAAATTATAACTTGCAAGTATTAAAAAAATATATGATTTTCTTGAAACAGTAGATTTTTGAAAAAAAATTAATTCAAATTAATTTCGATAGTTGATTATCTCGAGAATAAATAAAATCTGTGAAAATTGAGAAACTTGTAATTATTTTTTGAAACAGTGAAATTTTGAAAAAATTGTATTGGATCTGAAACAGAAATTTTCCTGGAAGGCTAGGCTTTTAAAATTTTTCCGAAATGGAATTACAGTAGATTTTGCGAGTTCAAAATAGATTTCCAGTATGGATCAAATTCGTAAATCAGAGAAAAATTATATGATTTTTTTGAAACAGTGAAAATTATATTCATCAGCGCATCAGTTTTTTTGGAAAGTTAAAATATTTTAATTTTTTTTTGAAACAGTAAACTTTTAGAAAATAAAAGTTCATGGGATTTCGGAATTGAAACCAGATTGTTCAGAACTTCTTGATATTTTTCCAATTTTAATGTTTTTTCAACCAAAATTTCGAAAATTGAAGAAAATCATATGAATTGTTTGAAACAGGAATTTTTGAAAAACAAAATTTTTTTGATTTTCCTGAACTGAAACAAAGTGATAAGTAATCAAACTCGTAAAACAGAGAAAAATTATACAATTTTTTTGAAACAGTAAGAATTTATCACATAAAAAAGAGGAATGAAACTAAATTGAAAAATTTCTTCACAAATTATGCATTTTTCTTGAAACAGTGAATTTTTTTTTTGATATTTTTCAATTATATTGAGGTAGAAATGGAGAGAAAAATCTTATTAAATGTTCAAAAACAGGAAAAAAATTTAATAATTTTTATGAAACAGTGAATTTTATTTCCCAAAAAACATTTAATTTTCCCCCAAACTCACCCTCTTGGAATCTCATTGACCACCGAAACTCCAAAATTATCCTTGAGTCCAAAAATCGATGAAATCACCACTCCAAAAATCACCAAAATCAGTTCCAAAGGTGGCGGAATTGGTGACACTTTTTTGACCAAAGGATTCAAAAATGTTTTTCCCACATCCAAAAACACAATTCCACCCAGCGAAATCGCGAGAGCCATGAAATTTGTCGCGTTCAGCGATAGAAATAGGTCGCGGAGCATTTTCACTATCATACCAATTCCCTCGTGTCTCGCCAATTTCACACCAAAAACTTTGTTGAGTTGCGATGTGAAGACGTGGAATGCGGCGCCCGTAGTGAAACCAGAAATGAGAGGATCCGACAGATAGGTCGTGAGAAATCCCAGTCTCAAAATACCCATGAGAATTTGAATTGTTCCCGTGAGAAATGTCAGGGCGCTGGTGAAGATGAGCGGTTCCACGTAGCCACCAAGCGGATAGAAATCCGCGCCGGCATCTGGAGCCAAGCGTAGCCTTGCGGCACCAACCATCATTGATGCAACTGGAAAAAATTCATTTAGAAATCCGTGTACTTCTCTCGGACTACTCATAAAGCTTTGTGTACTTCTCTCGGAATCCAGTCTTTGTCCTGGAGAACTACCAAGTTTTTGGCGAGAAACATTTTAATTTCAAAATTTCAAAAAAATTATTCAAAAATTCGTGTACTACTCTTGGAATCCATAAATTCTCCTCGAGAACTACACATTTTTTAGCGGGAAATTTTTCATTTCAAAATTAAATACAAAATTATTCGAAAATTCGTGTACTTCTCTCGGAATCCAGGAATTCTCCTCGAGAACTACACAATTTTTCAGCGGAAAATGTTCATTTCAAAATGTTTGAAAATTTCAAAAATACAAAATCATGTAAAAAATCTGTGTACTTCTCTCGGAATCCAGTCTTTGTCCTCGAGAACTACACGTTTTTTGACGGGAAAATTTTCAGTTCAAAAAAAAATTATTCAAAATTTGTGTACTTCTCTCGGAATCCACGAAATTCTCCTCGAGAACTACAAATTTTTTGAGGGTGAGATTTGAATTCAAAATTTTGCGGAAACCCTAAAATGTTCAAAAAAAATTATTCGAAAATTCCGTGTACTTCTCTCGGAATCCACGAATTCTCCTCGAGAACTACACGATTTTTGGCGGGAAAATTTTCATTTCAAAATTAAAAACAAAATTATTCGAAAATTCATGTACTTCTCTCGGAATCCAGGAATTCTCCTCGAGAACTACACATTTTTTGGCGGAAAATGTTTCATTTCAAAAAAAATTATGTAAAAAATCCGTGTACTTCTCTCTGATTCCATGAATTCTCCTCGAGAACTACACATTTTTTGGCGGAAAATGTTTCATTTCAAAAAAATTATGTAAAAAATTCGTGTACTTCTCTTGGAATCCAGGCTTTGTCCTCGAGAACTACACATTTTTTGGCGGGTAAAATTTGAATTTCAAATTTTTATAGAAAGTTAGGGCAACTTTGCCTACATCAAATCTCACCTGCAAAAACTCCGATAGAAATATGCCTTGCGGTGCCGAAAAACATGTAGATCAGGCTGGCGAAAAACGAGGAATACATTCCGTAGACGGGCGGAACCCCGGCGAGACTTGCGTATGCCATGCCTTGCGGAACGTGCATTATTCCGACGGTGAGACCGGCTATCAAATCACCGTGTAGATGGGATTTCCAAGAGTAGCTGGAAGAATAGGGGGTTTTTTTTGGGATACACTCGCTCCGCAAGCTTCCGCGCTCTAACTCACCATTTTCTGGCAGCCGAAAATTTTTAAATGAAATTTTTTTTCAAAATTTCAATTTTCCAGGTCACGTTTCAAAAAAAAAATTCAAATTTTCGCGCCAAAAAAACTCACTTCGGAAGCCATTCCAAAATCGGCACATGCTTCACAATCACATTTTTCAAACTCCATTTTTTCTTGATTTTTTTCGCCCCATTTTTGTTGCCCTCAATTGTACAGGATTGATAAACATTCTAGAAAAAACAATTTTTTTTCAAAATTTAAATTCAAAAATCACCAACCTCTTTCATTTTTTTTTGTCCTTTTCACTTCACTTCACAGCCAAAAAAATATGATGAAAATGATGATTTTGCAACCAACCAGCCAAAAAAAATGAATAGAATTTGAATAATATAATCTGAAAATAGCGAAAAAATGTGACTTTTGTCAAAAAGAAATTTATTTTTATCAAACTAGATTGTAAACCCACAAAAATTTCCGATTTTATCAGAGAAAAATAAGACTTTCTTCTCTATTTATAGAGCCTATTTTTATCAGATGTTTGATTCACACCCACCTATTTTTCACATAATTATTAGCTTCGCTTCTCGAAAATTGACGGGTTTTCTACCATTTCCATCTGAAAATTTTCGAACAGTTAGTTGGCTAAACAAACAAACAAGAGCTGCAGTTTGAATAATATTATTGAATAAATTAAAAGCGGGGGAGACGCAGAGAAAATGAGGAAAAACATGCATGCAAAATCCTAGAATTTAGCGCGCGCGATCCAAAAATTTATGAAATGTGCATTTGTGCGTCGTTGTGTTTGCAGATACCGTATAGAAAATTCAAGGAACACACACTCAGCGATTTGGGATGAGAAACCGGCGACGAATTGGCGATGAATCGCCGACGAACAACTGGAAAGTCGCTTGGCAACCGTCGGTTTCTCAGTTGTTCATCGCCAGTTCGTCGCCGGTTTCTCGCATGTGTGTGCGCTAGAGCGAGCTTGCAGTTTCACTTTTTCATCGCGGTTTTTTGCTTTCTACGAATTTATAGGTAGGAATCAGTTCATAAAATGCTTTTATTATCATAAAACATAGTGCATAGCAAATGTTCAAAAATAAGAGTACATGTAATGTTTAAAAGTCACCTTATACAGGATTAATTAGTGAAAATGACATTTTATAAGTCCTTGTTCAGCGTTTTCTGGTGAAAATTTCGATTGATATGTTCTCTTTGTTGTGTCATCAGAATGTGCATCAGTTTTGTAGAGAATAATGTGATGATGAAGTTGCTGAACAGTTTCCATAACATCTAGGCACAACCAATCTCTGTAAATTGTATTCATTATAAACTTGATAAATATTATTTTACGGCGTCCAAGTGAAAAAGAAGCGTACGCGAAAACGCAAAGAATCGCGTAACTTTTGCAAAGCAACGTGTGTTTGGACAAAAAAAGCGTAGGTCTAAGCGATTCTACGTTTTTTTTCACTTGGACGCCGTATTATCAACATACCTTCGCAGTGATATTTCATTGAATATTCTTGAAGATACAATCGAACATGTTTCGGCGTCGTAGTCTGTAAAATTTGAGTATGGAAGTCTCTATTATCATATTGTATTTGGATGTACTTATTCATATTGAGGCCGTGTTCTTGGAATAAGTTAAGATGTCATTGAAAGTTTATATCTAGGTTTCACTCTGTACTCAGAAAACGTCTCGTCAACCGTCCGCGAGCCGGCAGACGGCCGTCGAATTCTGATACTAATTTGTCAGTTTTCTAGCTCGCAGACTGCTAGGTTCTGCCAGCTAGCAACCTCGCGGCGAGCAGTCGAAATGCCTCTGCTAGCTTTCGACAGCTCGCAACCTCGCGAACGGCCGACGAGAAGTTTTCTGAGTATACTGTTCCTGTCTATAGTGAGAAAAGATATTCAGACACAATACTTATTGTTAGTGAATGATCAACTTTTGACGGACATTCTAAGAAATGAGATAATAATTCCAATGAAGTTCACGTTTCGCAAATTTTCTTAATCCATTGTTATTTATATCTGACAGGAAATCATAAACTCTAGCCTCTGTCATGACGGTTCATACATAAAATAGGTCCCCCGAGCCAGTTTTTTCAGTTAGGGCCCCTGTTTGAACAATTTTCAAAGTTAAACCCCTTCTCCACATTTTTGAGCGAATTTTTGTGAATTATCAGCAGAAAATTGGCCAAGTTAGGCAACCTTCCCTTATGATTTTTGAAAAAAGTTAAGCCCGTCACCCCTATTCTGGTGACCCATTTTATGTATGTGACGGTTTCACAACACTTCATGAGATAAATGAATAAATAACTCACCATTATATCAACTCTGTGCCACTCCAATCGCAAGGTTTCGCGTTATTCAGCCAAATTTCATCATTTTCAAGTGCCATGTCTGAGTGTTCAAAGTAGATTGCATGCTGGACCGTTGGTGCTTGAGAATAGGTTACGTCGCTAGGCAGGTTCATTGATATTTATCTAAATTGATCTAGATTTTTACAATCATTTCGAACTGTGAATAATTCATCTCACCTGACTTTTTATTGAAAAATAGTTTTTCCATACAATCTAGTTGATATGTTGATTTTGTATGCGTCAACAAGCAAAACTCCATTCACAACATACTGGAAATACTTCGTAAATAGGCTACAACTGAAGGTTGACACGAAAAACAGGCAAAAACACGCATTTTTTTTCTGAAGAAAAAACGGCAACGCCAGTTTAAAGGGACATGAACCGTTTGTAATGGAAAAACTCAGATTGGCTGAACCATATGAAAAGTTATATACACCATTAGAATCTACGTAAAAAACTGCATCGAAATAAGGTTCGAGTGGTGGATTTAGTGTAACTTTTTTCTCGCGGTATTCGTGACGGGACCCTATTGCTTTTTCGAAAAAATTTCCTTTAAGAGAGAGTGTGCGAAAAAGAGAGACGCTATTGCGCAGAGACATTTTGTGTGCAAACACGCTGACGCACAAATGCACCACACACGTAGGGGTTCGCACCGTAGTTTTTTCAGCAATTTCCTCGCTTGAAAATACTCAGAGAAGTTGGACGATTAATCGCCTAGTAACTTGAATTAGCTGCTGGCTAACCGATTAATCGCCTGTGTTAATTTAGTTCAGGCGATTAATCGTAAGTTCACTTTACTCGGCGATTAATCGTCCAACTTGTCTGAGTACGTGAAAACAAAAAGAAACTTCAAAAAACATCGCTCATTTTTGAAAAAAACATGTTTTTTCGAGCGCGAAAGCAATGCTAAACAATAGGCATAGTTGTCGGAGTGTTGTCAAACTTTTACGTGATGAACTCGCGAGAAATCGGCGACGAATTAGCGATGAAAACAACCAAGCGCTCGCTATCTTCTTCTCTGAACAATTAGCGATGAATCAGCGACGAATCAGTTTATCGCGTGTTCGTCGCCGGTTTATCGTTTGTTTCTCAAAAGACCATTTTCGTCGCCGGTTTCTCATCCCAAATCGCTGAGCACGTTTTGTGGCGTTTGGTCTCGTTGGAAATATTTTCATTTCTTGGTTTTATTGAGCGTTTTGGGGGGTTTTTGAGGTTTTTCGGGGGTTTGGGAGGTTTCGGGGTGAAAATTTGTGATTTTAACGTTGAAGAGAGTTGAAATCCACCGCGTATCGTAGAAAAATTTATGAAAAACGGTTTTGAAAGCAGGAAATTACACGATTGCATTGTTTTCAAGATTTTCTCCAATCTGTAAATAAAATTCCTAATTTTCAGTAGGTTTTTGTGATTCTCTAGATGAAAAACTTCAAATATTCCCTAGTAAAATATACGAATCGATGGAAATTTATTTTGGAAGCCGTTTTCCACCAAAAATCGTCTTTTAGAAGATTTCAGATATCTTGGGGATGAAAAATTTCAAAATGCTGAAGAAAACCTTATGAAATGTAGATTTGAAGCTTTTTCTCAAAAATTGACTAAAAAAATAATAAAAAATTTTGCTCAAAAATAAAAAAGCTCCATGTCAACCAAAAAATTTTCCCACAACTTATTTTATTGCAAAACATCTTATCCCATTTCGTACCAGTTCCCCCAAATCTCGTTCTTGTTTATTCAAAAAAATCAGCCTCAAAGGAACAGGTTCCCCCTCCCTCTGCGATATCTCACAGCGATGGTCTGCGCTCTCCCACTTCCCCACACTCTCTCTCTCCCCCTCTTTTCATTGTCCAAAACGAACGCCAATCGATGTGTTTTCGTGTGTTTTTTTTTGTGTAAACTAACAAAATTTTTTTTGCCAATAACAATATTTAAATTTCTATTTTCAGATCAGATAAATCAATATGGGCTCATCAGGAGTTGCTGTCGACGCCAACGGAAAAATCATCAAAAAATCGGGAGGTGGAAATGGCGGCGGCGGCAATAACAAGAAGACTTTCCCGAACAAAAATCGACAAAACGGCGGAAACAACAACAAAAACAATAATAATCGTCAGAAGAATGGTGGAAATCAAGGCGGCGGCCGAAATCACGGCCCGCCACGTGGCGGACCGATGCCAATTCCACCTTTCATGGGCGGACCAATGATGCCGATGATGCCAATGATGGGACCACCGATGCAGGGACCACCAAATGCGTTTTTCAACGGACGAAAACAGGTCGGTTTTTGGAGCGAGCTGCAAAAAAACTCACGAAAGATTTTCAAATGAGCCTGAAAGTGCTCGGGCGCCACTTCAATCCCTGAAATTGGTGGCTTTGGCCTTTTCCCAGCTCTCAATTGGGATTTTGGATTCCACCAGCTATTTTGAGCTCAAAAATTGCTCATATTAGAGATATTGGTCTTAAAAATCGAAAAATCAATATTTTTCTATCTAAAAATCAATATTTTCCAGCTTACAAAAAGGCCTAGGATTTTAAAGTCAGGAAAAATATCATGTTCCTTTAATATTTTAAGATTTCCAGCTCAGTACGGCTCAAAAAGGCAAATATGCTCTAATGCAAGTTCATGATTTGCATCAGGCCTTTGGAGTTAAAAGCCTGTGATGCAAATTCGCTCTAATCCGATTTTTGAGTTAGATAAGGCTTCCAAAGCCCGGAAAATCCATGTTCCTTTAATTTTTCAAGATTTCCAGCTCACCGTGACCTTACTCATGGCACAGGAGGCAAATGCGCCCCGATGCGAATTTTTGAATCACGTAGAGCTCCAAAAATCCTGTTTTTCTCTGATTTTCAAAGATTTCCAGCTTACAACGGCCTTTCTCAAGGTCCAGGAGGCAAATGCGCCCCAATGCGGATTTTTGAATCACTTCAAGCTCTTAGAGCTCCAAAAAATCTTGTTTTTCTCTAATTTTCAAAGATTTCCAGCTCATCACGGCCTTTCTCGAGGTCCAGGATGCAAATGCGCTCTAACTCAAATTTTTGAGCGAAGCCAGGTTTTTATAGCCTGATGCCACGATTTTTTTTGGCTCAAACGACAAATGCGCTCTAATGTAACTCAATTTTTGAGTTTCTCTAGGCTTTTGAAGCCTATCAAGCCCTAGAACCAAATTTTTTACCCGAAGGCAATTTTTCGGCCGATAAACCGTTCTTCTCTCAGTTTTTCATCAAACCGAATTTTCCTCAAGTTCCACTTTTTCTCTCAAATTCATGTGGTTACACAAAACACGACGATTCTTCTTTCGAAAAACAACATGTCATCAGATGTTTCTATATTCTATTATGTACTGTATTTGTGTGTTTGCAGAAGAACGGCAATAGAAATCAATCGAATCAACCATCAGGTTAATAGTTTTTTTCATTTTATTTTATTTGATGTCTGTTTGAAAAAATTCCAAGATTTCTATCGTAAAAGTCTTGATTAGGTTAGTTAGGGACCAGATTTGCAAAAAAAATCGGATTCAGTGGTGTTAGGGAAAAAAATGTTGAGTTAAATTATTTGAAAAAATAAGCACCTGATGTTGATTCATAACATTTATTAAAAATTGTTTTTTTAATTTTTAACAAATTAATTTGGGGGATGAAGCTTTCGCTTCGGAACTTCTATTGAGCTTGAAGCCAAAAATTTTGCTCAAAATTTGAAATTTTTCATATTTTTTGAGCAATTGAGTTGGAATATTCGGTTTTAATCGTATTTATAAGATAAACAGGTTTAAGACAATTCAAATGATCCAATTTTTTATGGGTTAAGAATATCCGTAAGTGATTTAAGGACATATAGCTCAACAATGTCCTTAAATCACTTATGGGTATCGTAAAATCAAAAAAAAATTACATCATTCATGAATTTGCAAATTGTTTTAGGCTTGGATATGCTATAAATACGATTAAAACCAAATATTTTAACTAACTTGCTCAAAATTCTGAAAATTGCGTTTACTAGATCTCAAAGATCTATGAAAATCAAGAAAATTGGCTCGAAAAGCTCGGCTTTTTCTAAACGTTGAGAATTGCTCGAAAATTAGCCATACACGGCCTCTAAAAACTGTCAAAAATCAAAAATCCACCCTGAAATCCGATCAAATCTGATGAATTAGGACTCTAACTTCTACATCTTCAGAAAAAAAATTTCTGAAATTTATCCAATTGTTTTGCAGACTACAATGGACCATCTGCTGGCAATGTTGGACAAGGAAGAATCGGCGGTGGTGGACCAATGAATGTGAGAAAAAAACGGAACTTTGGGGGCATCCTGATTGTGAAATTAAATTTTGAAAAAAAAATGAGAATCCAAATTCAAAAAAAAACAACAAATTTTTCATTCAGAATCCACAAAATGGACCAGGAGGACCGGATGCTGTTGATGTTCCGGGATTCGGAAAAAATTCGAACATCCACGAATTGTTCGGCAAAATGGTGTGGAGGAAAATGGAGCAGATTCGCGATCCAACAGCCGTCGACAATTTGCAAAATCGAATTATGAACTTGATTCATGAGACGATTGCCGGACAAAATGGTGGAAATAATATGGGAAATAATCAAGGAGGACCAATGATGAATAATGGAGGAGGAGGAAATGGACAAATGCGTGAGTTTTTTGGGGAAAAAGGGTTGCTGGAAAAGTGAAAAATTGAAAATTACTCAAATTTCTTATAAATTTAAACTGGAAAATTAATGGTTTTTATATTAAAACCCCAGAATTTCCTCGTTTTTTTGAAGTGTAAAATTATCAGAAAGTTCTCGAAAAGTTAGGATTCTCCTGAACTTTCAAACAAAATTTGAAATTAAAGGTTTTCACGGAAAATTGATTTTTCAATTTTTTTTATTCTTTACTCAAGGAGTTCCCTCAATTTTTATCTCAAAAAAAATATTTTAAGATGTTCAGAAAAATCTAGAACTTTATAGGGAAATTCAGGATTTTTAACTTTGACCGGCATGCGAAATTTGAAGTTTTTAAGTTCAATTTTGCCACACTTCAATGTTCGTTTAAAAATTCAGAAAAATTCAAATTTTACGAAGGAAAACTCAGGATACTTGAATTGTATTTTGCCACGTGGCATGAGGAATTCGAACATTTTTATAATTTTGAAACTAATTTTTGATATTTGAAGTTTTTATTTTTGAAAATTCATGTTTCAAAATTATAGATCAAATTTGAAAATTTCGGACAAACCGGGAATTTTTTTTTGAAAATAGATTTCTCGAAAAACTTCAAAATTTCTGTTTCTGTCTGAAAAATCGATATTTCCAGCTCAAATTTTAATTAGCAAATTTAAGAAATTCTGGAAAAGTTTGAAATTCGGAAAATCAGCAAACACTTCTAGATATTGTTTTGAGAAAATCTTTCAATTCAAAAAACCCTAAAATTTACCCTATATTCCCACAGAAATTCCCAAATCCTCAAATTCCCAATTTTTCAGAAGGAAACTTCAACAATGGCGGTGGTTTCAACAACGGCGGCGGTCCAATGAATGGTGGTGGAGGAGGACCATTCAATAATGGTGGAAATTTCGGATTCACGCGATTCTAAACTTTTTTTCGTCTTGAAATTGTGAAAGTTTATATTTTCCCAAAATTTTTTGAAAAAGTCCGATCTCTCCCGTTTTATATAATTTTTTTCTAAAACTTTTTGTCCACTTTTTTTCCTGTAGTAATAATAAAAATCAATAACATCTGGATTATTTTTTTGGATTTGAATTACAATAGAGCGCAAAAGCCTGCTCTCAACCTAATTTCAGGCGGCCTGAATTTGAAAAATGTCGAGTTCAAAGATCAACCCAGCAACTTATCGAAAGTCATCAATAAATGTTTATCACATCAAAATTTATTATCATCAAATTGGAGATGAAAAAGAAAAGAGACCTTGTAAATATGATGATCTATTTTTCATTGAAACAAAAATTTTGTTTTTTTTTTTTTGAAAGAAAATGAACATTGTACAGAAGAGTACAGTGAAACTTGTTTTATTAATTGATTTTTTTTGGGTTTTTTTTTAAAGTTTTCGAGGTGGCTCAGGTGGTTAGAGATCGGGTTAACCCAAATTTAAGATTATGAAGCCTGGGTTCGAATCCCAGTGCCTGCAAACTTTTTTTGCAGAATGCCGAAAACCAAAGCGGCATTTGTTCCGCAAGGCTTGGATGATTATATCATTATGGGGAGATATGTGATATTTGTGTGTATTGCTGCAGAACTGCTGATTTTGCCGCAGGTTTCAGCAATGTTTTATATGATTTATGCTGGTGAGTGCTAATTCTAATAAATAAAAGAAAATAAAAAAGTTCCAAGTGGGAGTCGAACCAGAGAGTGTGCGATCAAAATTCTTAAGCCCTACCGGCTGCGCCAAGGGTGCATATTTTTCTACTGCTAAAATTGCAAAGACAATAAAACTGTTTGCAGGCGCTGCACCACGAGTTGTTTCCTGCGCCGGTCAACATTTCGACGAACTCCTCGAAGGCAAAGAAATTTGCTTTAAACTCGAAGAAATGCCGAATTGCACTCATCCAGATTTCCGATATCAATTCAAAAGTGTCAATGTTGAATGGAAATATTTTTGCAAAACGTCGAAATTGGTCAAAAATAGCATATCGATTCAAATGTTGGGTGCAATTGTTGGAAGTATTACTTTTGGACAGATTAGTGATAGTTTTGGAAGGAAGATTGTGAGGATTTACGCTAAGTCACGAGAGTTTTAAAAATTTCTTTTGCATTTTTGAGCGGGAACAATTTTGAGCTTTAAATTAAAGAATATAATTTTCAAAAATTCGAATTCTAAAATTTTAATTCTAAAAATTTAGATTGAAATTTCAATTTTAACGTGAGCTATGACGTGGCAATTTGAAATTCAGATTTTTTATTTCAGAAATGCAAAAAATTTTACTATTTTTGGGTTTTCAGATTTTTCAGCTGGAAAATTAGAATTTCGCACCTAAAAATTCAGAATTTTCAAAACTTCCCAAAACCCCCTGTGCCACGTGGATTTATCCTAACTCCAATTTCATTCCAGGGTTCCCAAATCGCTCTAATCGGAATGATGTTGAGTTGGCTAATCGTGGCCAAAACCGAAGACTTGTTCCAATTCACAATAGCCCGTGTAATCACCGCGTTTTTTGCTGGTGGAAGTATTTCGTGAGTTTTTTTATGGGGAAATGCTGAAAAATGCTGAAAATGCTGAAATTTCCAGAATAATCAATGTATTCATCATGGAAAATATTCCGAAAAAGCATCGAATGTGGATAAATATGCTGATAACTTGGTCACCAAATATGCCGGTTTACGCGTTTTTGGCGTATTTGGCTGAGAGTTGGGATCGATTGGCGTTGATTAATGCGCTGGTTTGTATTCCGGGAATTGTTTTTTTTCAGTGAGTTTTGGGATTTCCGGGGGTTCAGGTTTTTTAGTAGCGAAACTGTGATAAATCTCAAATTTTTTTGATTTTCCCGGGCTCCCAATTTTCTTACTCGGCTTCTGAAAGCCAGGCTTTTACACTTGAATTTCGGCCTGAATATTTTAAGCCTCATTATTTTAGGCCTGGTATTTTGAGACTTTCAGGCTCGATTTCAGGCCTCGCTTATGATTTTTAAATATGATTTCCTTGGGGGATTCCTAAATTTTCTGATTTTCCGAAGCTCGAATTCTTCACTTTTCAACTTAGGCCTAACTATTTTAGGTCTGGTATTTTTAGACTGAGACTTTCAGGCCTCGAATCCTACAATTTTCAGGCCCAGTTTTTAAAAGCCTCAATTTTTAAAGTTTAAATTTTGTTATAGGTCTGTGAGTTTTGTAGTAATTTTTGATTCGAAACTTTCAGGCCTCACTATTTTTAGGTCCGTTTTCGAGCTTTAATCTAGGCTTTGCAAATTTTCTTGGGCCTAACTTTCAGGCTCAATTTCAGGCCATGAATTCTTCAAATTTTCAGACCCAGTTTTTGAAACGCCTAATTTTTAAAGTTCATAGTTTGTTATAGGTCTGTGAGTTTTGTAGTAATTTTTGACTCGAAACTTTCAGGCTCGATTTTAGGCCTCGCTATTTTTAGGTCCGTTTCTAGGCTTTAATCTAGGCTTTGCCAATTTTATTAGGCCGATCTATTAGGCTTAATTTCAGGCCTCGCTATTCTTTAGGCTCGACTTCAGGCCTAGCTTTTCTTTGGGCTCAAATTTCAATCCTACTTTTTTTTCAGGCCCAGTTTTTGAAAGCCTAAATTAAGGTCTAGTTTTTTCATTTAGGCTCTGGTTATTTTAGGCTTAAAATGCAATAGTCTAGTAATTTTCGACTCAAAAGGCTTTAGGCTTGAATTAAGGTCCGTTTCTAGGCCCAAATCTAGGCTTTGCCATTTTTCTTAGGCTGAAACTTTCAGGCTTAATTTTAGGCCTCGCTATTTTTAAGCTCAAAATTTAACTTTAGTTTTTTTTGTGAAAAAAAACCTAAATTAAAGTCTATGTAGTTTCGAGGCGATTTTCAAGGCTTGAATTCAGGCTAAATTTTTTTAGGCTTCTATTTTAGGCCCTCTTATTTCAGGCCTGTTTTAGACCCTCATTTTCCAGATTCTTCATCCACGAATCTCCACGTTGGCTAATCACAAAAGGCAAACTCGAAGAAGCCAAACAAGTTTTGCACAAACAATTCAAAACTTCAAAACAGGAATATTTGATGGGCGAAGAATTTGATGATATTTTACATCTAGAATATACGGTAGATCAAATTTTCGCGTGCCATTTTTTCAAAAAAAAAATTCAAATTTTTCCAGAGAGCTGTTCAAAAACAGAAAAAAGGTCAATACTCATATTTGCACCTTTTTGCCACGTCACATTTGGCTATTACTACGGTAGTTTTGGCGTTTAGTTAGTGAGTTTTAGAGGAAAAATCTCGGGTCCCCAAAAAAAGCTTTTTTTTTCAAAAATCAAAAATTGCCTAATTAAATTGTTTTTTGTTTTTTTTTCTGCAAGAAAAAAAACTAGATAAAATCGTGCAAAAAATAACCAGATTTTCGGCCAAGAAAACAGATTATTTTATTCAAAATTAAAACACAAACTTTATTTTGTTTTTTGCAGAGGAAAAAATGAGCAAAATATCAAAGCACAAAACGCTGTGCTTTGAATTTTGATAGAAACTAGAAGGGCTTCGCTGGCTAACGCCATCTACAGTAGAAATGACTGAAAATATTCGACTAGACTACTTGACAACTAGGGCTTTTAGGCGCGGCTACTTGACATTGAAGCTCTCAAGGCTCAACTACTGGACAACTAGGGCCTCTAGGCGCGGCTACTTGATACATAAGCTCTCAAGGTGCGGTTGCTTGCCAGATCGGGTCTCGACGCGAGTCCTATACAATTAGATTCTTCAAGCGCCGTCATTTGATACTTGGGGCTTCTAGGCTCGACTACTTGACACATAGCTCTCAAGGCGCGGGTCCTTGACGTTAGCACTTTCTAAGTGCGGTCGCTTGCCATAGTGAATTTCTAGATGTGGGTACTAGCCATTCAGCTTCCTTAAGCGCGGCTACTTGACAATTAGGGCTTCTAGGCGCGGCTACTTAACATTGAAGCTCCCAAGGCGCGGTTCCTTGCCAGAGCAAATTTCTAGAAATTCTGAAAATCAAATTTTCAAAAAATAATCCAAAAGATCCCAAATTTTTCGAACAAATTCCACACTGAAAATTTTCATCAAAAAATGTTCCATCTCCAAATTTCCAGCTGCGCAACATCAGTCATAAACTACGGTGTCCTATTCAACATGGAAAAATTGAGCGGCTCGATTTACTGGAACTCTGTCTACACAGGAATCATCCGCTACTTTTGCAACATCACTTTCGGTTATGCGGATCTGAAATTCGCCCGAATCGGCCGGAAATTCATTCACACCTCGGGATTGGTGGTGATTTTGGTGTCGTTGAGTTTTGTAGTCATTTCGTATGCGTTGCGTGAGTTTTGAATTGAAATTTTCCCCCGAAAAAAAATGTTTTTGTACTCCTGTGTTTTCCCCAAAAACCAGAAAAACACAAACACACACACATCATCTGATTTTCCCCAAAAAAAGTGCACAAAGTTCTAGGAAAAATCCGATTTTCAGAGATAAACCTGATCCGAAAAAAAACAAGCTTTTTTTGAAAAGTCAAATTTCAGTAGATCACTTTTTTTGGAATGATATCAGAAAAATCACTAAACTACAGTATTCAAAAAAAATTTGTAGATCAAAAAAAGTCTACAGTATCCTAGAAAATAAGAATCGTAGATCGAATCAAAAAAATTTTAGAGTCAAGAGTACTGTAAGCTACAGTAGTTTGTGATGCCTTCCAAAAAGTACAGTATCCCACCAATAAACTGCAGTAATACTGAACTGCAAAAAATTACTGTCTATTCCACAGTAATCCTAGAAACATTCCGAAAAATCTGTAAATCAAAATTATGTGCCCAATATTTTACGGTAATCCGCTCGGACTACAGTAATACTATAGGAAAAGTCTGAAATTGTGTGGATACTACAGTAACCCCACTAAACTACAGTATTCAAAAAATGTATACGAACTACAGTATCCTAGAATAATTTTTTTTTTTTTAACTTTTCGAAAATACAGAGGTACAGTAAATCAGTACAGTATCCTCATAAATAAACTACAGTAACACTGAACTGCAAAAAAATACAGTAATCTTATCAAAACTATATACAGTAATCCTAGAAACATTCCGAAAAATCTGTAGATCAAAATTATTATCGAAAATCTCATCGGTACCACGCGCTCCACCGAAATAAACACGCAACGCAGACCGCGCCGCGCCAAAACACACAAAAAAAAGGGAGGGAATTTGAATCGTTCCCATTTTTGTGTGTGTGTTGTGGCGCGGCGCGGTCTGCGTTGCGTGTTTATTTCGGTGAAGCGCGTGGTACCGATGAAATTTTCGATAATAACAACAAGACCTACAGTACCCTCTTGAATCATTTCCAGACATCAATCACGAAACCAAAGAACTCATCCGCTACTCAATTCTAATCGCAAGTTCAATGACATCACAAATCTACATTGCCAACGGTATAGTTGGAAATGAATTGTTCCCAACACCAATTCGAACAATCGGATATAGTTTCCTACAACTTTGGAATCGAATCGGAGTTGTTGTTTCACCATTTGTATTTTATTTGGCTGATTATTGGTTGGGTCTTCCATTTTTGGTCATGATTTTGTTGTCTTTTATTGATACATTTTCATTCGAATGTTTGTTGCCGGAAACGAAGGGAAAACATTTGGTCGAACATATGCCGCCAAAGAATGAATGGTTTTTTAAGAGTGAGTTGGGGGGGGGGCTGAAAATTTGGGAAAAAAAAATTTAAAAATTGGAAATTTCAGCCAAGTCTTTTGAAAATTGTTTCATGAATGTTTTTAGAGGTTCCTAAAGATTTATAAAGGTCCCCAAAGGCTTCTAAAAATCTCTGAAAGTTCCCAAAGCTTCCTTAAGGTCCCTAGAGACTCCTTAAGGTTCTAGGGAGGTTAAAGTTAGGTGTGCAGTCAAAATTCACATTTGATACTCAGTCAAGAAATCAGGTACGCAGCCAAATCGGTAGATCATCAGATACGGATATCCAATTAGATACGCAGTCAAAATTCACATTTGATACTCAGTCAACAAATCAGATACGCAGCCAAAACCAATCTCCACAATCCCCCAAGAATCTGTGATTTTCAAAAATTCCAAAAAATCCGGGATTTTTCGAAATCCTGTAAGGTTTTCAACAAATCTCAAAAGTTCACATTTTTTTGGAAAATTGAATTTTTTGTTGTTTTTTTTTTTCGAATAAAAATCTATGATCTTTTTCTCAATCTTCTTTCCCAGAGATTCAGCTTAAAATTTAAGTTTTTCGGATTTTAGTCGGACTTTACGTCAAATATTTGTTTTTGAGGTAAAAAGTTCGAAAATATTAAAATTCCTACGCGTCATAACTAGGTTCTCAAATTTTAAGATTCTCAAAAAATTCCAGATTTTTGCCACGTCATAACCCAATATTTTTGCAGAACCCGAACAGATTCTCGAACTCGTCGAAGATCCATCAAATCAACGTCCAGTTATCGAAACTCCAGTTGTAACTCAACCCTAAAAATGTTTTCAATGATTTTTCATCTGAACCCGACTAAGAATGTATTTAAATTAGTAATAAACCTAATCAAATTTCCTGGTGACGAAAAAAAAGGTGTACTTTAAAACAAATATGATTTTTGTTTTCGATAAAATTAGTGTTGTGTTTTCGAAAACAGAAATCTAATAAGTTTGAGGTTCAGACAAAGTTCAAGTTCAAAATTTTTGGTTTTGTGGCGCCAAAAATCGAGCTTTGAAAAACTAGGAAGTAAAATTTGTAGACACAAGTCAAAGAAACAAAAGTTGTGACTTTAGTGATCTTACAAATACGTTTTGTGCGCGGAAAAAATAAATAAATGGGATAATTTGATTTGCGAAAAAATGTTTTTGATTTTTGGAAAACTCTAGTATGTTCTAGAGAGCAAAAGATCAATTTTCGGAGACAAAAAATTAAATTGAACCCAAGTTATAGAAAATTTGGCTTGAAGATAATTATTTTCAAAACAAAAAACAAAAAGTTCTGATTTCATGTGATCTTACAAAAAATAAAAATATAAGGAGCCTGAATTTCAGCAGTTTTCAGATTAAAAAAAATTCTTTCCAGGTTTAAAACGCGTGGAAAATTTTTTGAATTCAGAAAACAAACTTATCAAACACAATCACAGTGACACCTTCTAATAATCCCAAAAAAAATGCTCCAAAAATTAATTAAAATTTTGAAACAGTGAAATTTTTCAAAAATAAAGTTCTTTGAAAATCGCGAATTTGTGAAATTCTTCAAAAATTCATGAAGATTTTGAAACAGTGAAAATTTTCAGAATTTCCCGAAAAACTTGTGTATATTTTTGAAACAGTGAAAATTTTAAAACGAACAATTTTTTGAATTTTCCGAAAAACTTGTGAAAATTTTGAAACAGTGAAATGTTTCAAAAAATAAAATCCTCTGAAAATTAAAACTCTAGCACAAATCCAAAAAAAAAATTTTTTTAACATTAAAAATTGGGTGAGGCTCACTTGTAGAATAATCTCAAAAAATCCTTCAAAAATTCATGACGATTTTGAAACAGTGAAATTTTCCAAAGACAAAATTTTTTGAATTTCTCGAAAAACTTTTGTATATTTTTGAAAGAATTAATTCATCCGAAACTAATATTTTTTGAATTTCTCGAAAACCCTTGTGAAAATTTTGAAACAGTGAAATATTTCAAAAAAAAATCCTGTGGAAATAGTGAATTTTTAAAATTCTAGCACAAATCCAAAAAAAAAACATTTCTTGCAATTAAACTTTTTAACTTTGCAAATACACGAAGCCCAAAATAATCCCGAAAAATCCTTTAAAAATTAATTCAAAATTTGAAACAGTGAATTTTTTTATAGACAACAATTTTTTGAATTTTCCGAAAAACTTGTGTATATTTTTGAAAGGGTGAAATTATTCAAAACTAACAATTTTCAGAATTTCCCTGAAAAACTTCTGAAAATTTTGAAACAGTGATTTTTTTTTACTTCTAAGAATCTAAAAAATCCTGGCACCAATCCAAAATTCCTGACGTCATCTCCAGCTCCAAATTAAATCCAATAAATCAACTCCCACCATATTTTTCCTCCCAGATTTTATTTTTATTATGTTTTTCAAAAAAAAATCGTGAGCAGCATTCAAAATTATTTGATCTCTTTGGTATTCCGCCCAGAAATTTTGGAAAATATTTAAAATTCGGGAAAATGGCAACATTTTCAGTCATTCTCTTCTTTTTCTTTTTGAAATTCCACCCTCATTTTCTTATTCACAAAAAATATGTAGAACCTAATTATTTCTTTCTAATCATAACAAACAACTTTTGATCTCGCAGAAAAAAAAACAAAATTAATTATTCAAAAACACATCTTGTCTGCCAATCGGCGGATAACAAAAGTTTGATTATGTGATTTTCAATTTTCAAAATTTCTCAGATTTATTCCAGATTTTTCTGGTTGTCAGCCAGAAAATCTTACTATAGAAATCTGTTTGTCCTTATTTTTGATAAACAACAAAAAAAATCACGAATTTGATTAAATTTCGAACAAAAATAACCTACGCGCACCATAATTCAATTGGTTTTTAATATTTTTTTTTCTTCAACAAATTTTGTAAGATCATTTTTCATTACGCGTAGAATTTTGCGGCGGCGTGGAATTTGGTCTCTTTGAATTTGCAAAAATACATTTTTGGCGCGAAAATTGAAAAAATTCGGAACTTTCAGACGTCAAGACTAGAATTCCAGGAGATTTGGGAGAAAAAATGATGTCAAACTTCTAACTTGTTACAAAAAAAGTTCGAAAATATTAGACTTTTAAGTAAAAAATATTAAAATTTGTCAGAATTTTTAGGAAATTTATTTTCTATTTTTTTATTTTCAAAACGAGTTGGCTCGGTAGATTTTCAGGCCTAAAAAATGAAATTTCAAGGTCTCTAGAGCTTTTTTGGCTCAGGTTAAGTTACTGCAACTCAATTATTCCAATAGTAGCTTTAGCTCTGACTCTGAAAATCAGAAACATAAACATTTTTTTCCAAGTTTTCCCCTTAACCTTTGAAAAATAAATAATTGCTCATTCCAAAAATAAAAGTTACATTTTTTTCTTCTTCCGAAAAAAAGTGTTGCGTGGGTTCCAAAATTCCCCCCAAATTTCCTTCTGTGAATCCCAAAAAAATACGTCTGAAAATAGATAGACATCACTTTTGTAACCACAAAATTTGTGCAATTTTCCCTACTATTGATGACAATAACAGTGTTTTTCCTGTGACAGCCAAAAAAATTTGTATTTTCAAATATTTTTCCACGCCTATTTTTATCCGCGGAAAAAAAAATCAAGACGATAATCTTTTGAACAGCTCGCTCTGTTTATTTTTTCTGAATCAAACCAGATCACTTTTTTATGGCTTTGTGTTTTTTTTAGAAAAAATAAATTTGGAGCTCGAGAAATTCTAACTTGTACGAAGTTCTCTGAAGTCACATCCGGAAGAAATTCTGGATCTTCCAATTCAGAATCTATGTAGAACAATTTCCAGTTCAAGTCTTCTCGAAAGCTTCTATGATAAGTAGCCAAGCCTAGAAAACCAAGTTGTCAAGTGGTTGTGCCTATGAAGTACAACTGCCAAGGATCAGCGCCTAGAAAACCTAGTTCTTAAGAAGCCGCGCGTGAAGAACTAATTTTTCTAGGGCCGACATCTAGAGGTTTACTCTGACAAGGCGCCATGCCTTGAGAGCATCTATGCCAAGTAGCCAAGCCTAGAAAACCTAGTTCTCAAGTAGTCATGCTCAGAAAGTTCAATTGCCAAGGATCAGCGCCGAGAAAACCTAGTTCTCAAGGAGCCACGCCTTGAGATCTTCTATGACAATCAGCCAAGCCTAGAAAACCTAGTTGTCAAGTAGTCATGACTAGAAAGTTCACTTGTCAAGGATCAGCGTCTAGGGAACCTAGTTCTCATGGAGCCACGTGTGAAGAACCTCTAGGGCTCACGCCTAGAGATTCACTCTGACAAGGAGCCACACCTTGAGAGCATCTATGCCAAGTAGCCAAGCCTAGAAAACCTAGTTCTCAAGGAGCCGTGCGTGGAAACTAATTTTTCTAGGGCCGACATCTAGAGGTTCACTCTGGCAAGAGGCCACGCCTAGAGATTCACTCTGACAAGGAGCCACACCTTGAGAGCATCTATGCCAAGGAGCCGAACCAAGTCCAAGTTCAACTCCAGAATCTTGAACCCCGTGATCTGCACTCTACTCTCTTCCAAAAATACTTTCTCCCACTCACTTTACTTTTAGTATTTGTCATCTGATTCTATCAAACTCCAAAAACCTGCTAATCCACGTCAAAAATCGTAAGATCGCAAACATTTCCGAAACTACTTTGTAGTTTTTTCTGCCGGCCGATTCTTGACTCTCCAAAACCCTCCCACCTGAACTCTATTTTTCGTACCCGCAAAAACACACGTAGCTTTTTTTTGTTCAAAACGCGCCGATTATTACGACACACAATTCAATTAACACGCACTTTTTCTGTTGCTCAAAAATATAATCAATTTTGGGATTTGCTCCACCCAGACGACGAATACATATAAAAAGATCACAAATTCCACCACCCTAACAACATTCTTTGTTATTTTTTCTCTTATGTTTTCAGTTTTTTTTTCAAAAAAAACATCTCGAGACATTCATTTTTCATTAACAAAAAAAAACTTTTTAATCAGTTTTTTTTCAGAATTTTCCCTAATGATCACCTCCACCACCTTCTTCCACTTTTTCCTCGCACAAATTTTCTATGGCCTATTAATATCTGGAACTGTTGGCTACGTTGTAGTCGTTCAACCATCGACTCATCTATTCGAGGGTGAAGAGATTGTGAAGCATACCAGGCCACATGTTATGCGGACACCGACCAAATTTATCAATGAGAAAGGAGAGGAGGTTAGCGGAACTGTTGAGGAACCGTGTGCCACGAAAATACTTCCGTCTTATCGGCCGAGATGGGGACATAGTGAGTTTGCAGGGGGACGAAAATCCACGTGGCAAGAGATTTTTCAAAACTCTGTTTCACCGGTTGAAATTTAGAGATTCTTAACACATTTCTTATGATTCGGAATTTTCCATTAATAAATTTTTGGTCCGGAAATCCACGTGGAAAATCTGAGATTTTCAAAATTTGAAATTCCGGAAATTTTCGAAAATTATCAAAATTCCTCCAATTTCAAGCTCGAAATCCACATGGCAAGCTCGAAACTTTTAGCGCTGAAATTTGTGATTTCGAAACGGAAAAGACAAATTTGCTTCTGAGTCTAGGCAAACCAACAAAATCCATGTGGCAGTTTGAAAAAAATCAACAAAGAATGCCCATAAACTATAGTTGGACATTGACTAAATCGACTAAATGACATTTTCAGGTTTTTTAAGCAAATGAGTTGAAATATTGAGTTCTAATAATATTCATTTGATAGAATGGTCTAAAACGAACAGAATGATATAAATTTTGATGAATTTACGTTATCCATAAGTGATTTAGCGACGTTTAGTTCGATATTTAGTCGATAAGCCGCTAAATCACTTATGGATAACGTAAACTCATCAAAATTTATATCATTCTGTTTGTTTTAGACCATTCTATCAAATGAATATTATTAGAACCCAATATTTCAACCCACTTGCTTAAAAAACATGAAAATGTCATTTAGTCGATGCCCAACTATACCATCAACAATTTCACATCCCACAAAACCCCCCTACTTTTTCTAGTCGCCAACGGAAGTCAAGTCGAGATTCAACAAGACGAAGTGTCCAACTTCGTCGCCACATTCGTCCAATGTCAAGCCGAAACCAACGAAAGTCGCAAATCGTGTCACGGCGTTCAACATCACACCTATTCCTCAGAATGTGTCACAATTTTCGAGCATCGAACTGCAAATGTCCGAATGGCCAACACCGCCACAGATTTTTTCGAGGCTGATATTCGAGTTCCGATCATGTGTGAATGTCGACTTCGTAAATTTGTTGGCAAAGATGCGACACCCGAGAAAAAGTTGTTGAAAACATTGAGCCAATTGGAGGATTTTATGTTGCATTAATAATAAAATTAGTGAAGATTTTTTTAAATTTAGCTATTTTCTCTCTTTCTTTTTTGGCGAATTTTAGGCTAGCTTTTTTTCAGGGAATTTTTTGTCTTCTTCTTATTCTTCCTATCATTTTTCCAATGTTTTTTTGATGATAAAGTTTTCTCGAGAAAAACAATCTTTGAAGATTCGCGATTAAAAGTTCAGGATTAAAAGCTCTCGGGATAAGCCTCGAAAGATCCAATCAAATATTTTTAGCCAAAAATTTATTTCAAAAATCCTCCCAAAAATACTCACTGATCAGGAATTTGTTGAAAATCTTCTCAAAAACATCAATTTCCACCTTCCCAACCCGGAATCCATTCATTTTCAGCACCAGAAATCTGAAAATATGTGTTTTTTCATTGGAAATCATTGATTTTCTCTTGACTCACCCTAGAAATCACAAAACGCGCGGGGGAAAAAGCGAAAAATGAAAATAATTTTCTGTTGCGCTAAACACGTGGCAGGCGTAAAAGAGCGGAGTGTCGTTGGATTTTTCAACAAAAAAAACATTTTTGCAGCGGAAAAAAGAGGAATTTCAGATTAAGAATCAAATTTTTTGACTGAAAAAATTTGCGCTGCTGAAAATTCGAAATAAATTGTTTTGTTTGAAATTTTTTGGGTCACGTTTGAAAAAATGTTTAGCGCTAACATAAAAATTTAGAAATCATTTTCTGTTTTTTTCTTCCCAAGACCACGAAAAATCGTGGTCCCTGTCTGACCAAATTTATCTTCTTGTCTTTTCTCATCATATCTGTTTCTGTTAGCCTTAGCAAACATCAAAAAACATATATATAAACATAAAAATCTTCCCATCTCTCATCATAAAAATGTATTTTCCTCGATCAGTTCTCATAACCGGTGCAAATCGTGGCATCGGCTTCGGGCTAGTTCAACAATTTCTAAAACACCCCGAGGTCAAAATCATCATCGCAACTGTTAGAAATATTGAATATGCTGACAATTTGAACGAGATTCAGGATTCAAGGCTGCATGTTTTGCCATTAATCGTGACTTGTGATAAATCAATCGATGAATTGGTGGAGAATGTGACGAAAATTTTGGGTGAACATCAAGGTTTGAATTTGTTGGTGAATAATGCTGGAATTGCGGTGGAGTATGGCACGAAATCGGTTGGTTTTTGAATTATTTTGGCGATATTTAAAGTTGACTTCATTTCAGGAACCTTCACGTCAAAAACTGTTAGAACAACTCGATGTAAATTCCATTAGCCCCGTCATAATCTCTCAAAAATTTCTTCCACTTTTGCAAAAAGCTGTAGCCAATAGCGGAAATGCTCCGAATTTCAGCATCGCAAAATCAGCAATCATCACGATTTCCAGCAGAGTTGGATCGATTTCAGAAAATACAAAAGAAATGAAATGGTCTAATTTGCTGGCTTATCAGATGAGCAAGGTAGAAATTCGCGAGTTCGGCTAACTTGTAACATATCTTTGCAGACCGCCGTGAATCAATTCACTCGAACAATAGCCATTGATTTGGAGAGCGATGGAATTCTCGCAGCTGCATTTTGTCCTGGTTGGGTGAAAACTGATATGGGATCCGCTTACGCTGAATTGACTGTAGAGGAATCAACTTCAGCGTTGGTGGAGAGTTTTGCTAAATTGACCAAGGCACATAGTGGTGGATTTTTCAAGCGGGATCTCGAAGTTATCCCGTTTTGAACTTGAAATCTGAAAAATAAAATATTTTTTGAAAATTCTTGGAGTACTGTAGCCAAAAATGTGTGCATTGGCAAAATGCACACAATGCATTTTATTCGACGCGCATGTGTTTTTTCCACATTTTTTGTCATCGTCACTGAATTCTCGGAAGTTTGAGTGTTTTGGAGCAATGTTTTGCATTTTTATGATTTTCAAAGATGGCGCAACTCTGATTTCACGATTTTGGTCGAAAATTGTTAGATGAAGTGAGTTTTTTTGAATTTTTCATAGGAATTTTTGAAATTTTGCAGAAAATTGGGTTCAAGAATGTTTTAAGCTGGCTGGAAGTTGGTCGAAGTGGAAGGAAGTCGAATGGATGGAATTTGAATTGATTTCGGGCAAGATTTTTCAATTTTTTCGAGATTTTGAAATAAAAAATCTGAAAATTAATTTTTCTCATACAAATCCTGGTTTTCATCAACCATCAAATATTTTTGATTGTTTTATAGGGAAATTCCCATATTTTATCGATTTTTCTAATTCGATTTAGCAAAATGTTTTCAAATATAAATATAAATTTTCATTTTTTCTGGTTTTACTACACCGCCAAAAGCATTTCCTTTTTTTTCTCGGAAATTTCCTCAAATTTCCTATCAATTTTCAAACCCGGTAACTCTTCTGCCAAAAAAAAGCTTAAGTAATACCCTTCATAAACATGTGTCAGAAAAATTTGTAACTAAATAGGCTTATCGCGAAAAAATGTGTCCGATAACGAAATTCAAAATTTACAAGCATCTTATCAATGTTCTATTACAGCCGGGGCCTTTTTTCGATTTTTTTCTGTGTGAAAAAAAAGTTTTTGTTTATATTTTTTCTGATATTTGATATTTTTGTGAGGAACGTTTATTATTATTTTTATATTTTAAACGTGTCCCATTTTTTCTTTTTTTTTTGAGTATAAAATTTCGAATTTTTCAGTTTTCCCTCATTTATCTTGGCAAGTTGAACAAGAAATGCTTTTGCTCATCATATTCCCCGTGCTCATGTTGCTCTCCAAAACTTCGGCCAACTACCAAGTCCTCCATCTCGCCGATTTCCATCTCGATTTGCAATATTCGAAAACCGGAAACAATCAGAAAATGTGTCACGATGATGGTGTGAAGAGGAATTCGACGCTTGGCGATTTTGGTGATTATATGTGTGATGCGCCGAAACCATTGGTTCAGCATGCGATTGAGGAATCCGCGCGGCTTTTTCCGCATCCGGATTTGATTTTATGGACTGGTGATAATGTGCCGCATATTGATGGATATCAGTGGGATTGTGAGTTTTTTTTGGGGCAGAGGGTTATAAAAAGGGGGGGGGGTTGGGGAAATATGCGGAAAATTTGAAAAATGTTGATTTTCTTTAATCTTAAAGAGCCCGAGTTCAAAAAATTAATCACTGGTTACAAGCTCGAGTACAAATTATTGACAAAACCTATCATCATAATTATAATCGCATTCTCGTGGAACTTTAAAGATCTGCTCAGATCGAAAAAATCGAGAAATAAATGCCTTTCTCCGTCTCTTTAATTTATAACTTTTTGCTCATAAACAAATCAAAAAATTGATTTCTCCAGGTGTTATTCCGCGCTCAGTGACAAAACAACATTTTTTTTTTGATTTCTGAGAAATGTATTGGACATATTTGGATTCACCTGAATTCCTACGCAATGCTCTTTATTTTCTGAGTATTCTAGAAGTTCCAATTCATATTCTTGGTTTTTATTGTGTCATTTTCAAAACTCCTTCGAAAATGAGATATGTGAAATCGTCAATGATTCAATGTTGTGTTTGGGGTGTTATTCTAGATTTTGCTTTAAGTTTTGGCACAATTCCTTATGTATTATTTCCCACTTTATCTGGACATCCTTTAGGAATTTTGTCGAATTTTGGGATGCCTATAAAATACCAAGTTATTTTAATTGTTGAGTTATTAGTTGGAGTTGGTTGCTCAATTATCTGTATTCTAGAAAATCGTTATTCCTGTATCATTAAAGCTACATCAAGTCTCAAAAGTCATATAAAAATTTATATATTGAATTCTATTTTCGCTAATATTTTTATCTATCATATTTTTTCAAATTGCCCGGAGCAAGAAGAAGCGCGGAATATAGTTCTATACGAACTTCTTCCACGAGATATTCCTTATTATTTCTACACTGATCCGATATTTGTTGTTTCTTTGAATAGTTTACAAATTGGAATGATAATTCTTACAATGTTTTTGTTTTTATTCATCCAATGTGTGGTTTTTTGTTGCTGGAACGATTTATAAGTTATACTTTCAAAAATTGATTCGAAATATATCTCGAAACACGAAAAGAATGCAAAACAAGTTTTTCGTTTTGATTTGTATCCAATTTTCAATTCCAATGATTGTTTTAGCTTTTCCAATTTCCTATATTGTTTTCAGCTGCTCCACGTTTTATTTCAATCAAGGTAAATTGTCTAGGGAATAGATTGGTTGATCAAAAAATGTTATTTTGAAGCTTTCAATAATCTTGTTTTCATCCTATTTTCGTTGTATGGTGATTTAACAACAATTTCGATTATTTTAGTGCATTCAGCTTATCGGAAAGCACTGTTTTCGAGTTTTATGAATGCCAAAGCTCAAAGAAAAGTGGCTATACAACTATCATCTGTTTTTAGAACATGATAATTTGATTTGAAAATGTAATGTTTTGTCTTCTGAACTCTTGTATTCACAAAAAAATTGATTTTGACAATCTCGATTCAATGATCACCGGTGGCAGCAGTAAATATTTTTTGCTCGAAAAAAAATGCATCGAGAAAATTTTCTCATTTCCTGAATTGTAGATGTTATTCAGATTGTCTCGATGATGAATATTCTCAAAACCAAACAATATTCTCTTCCTTGTCATACAAAGAAATGTCTTGGGCATATTTCGGTTCTCCCGATTTTCTCAAAGCTTCTCTACATTTCATAACCATTTTTGAAATTCCAATTCATTTCCTTGGATTCTATTTTGTTATTTTCCGAACTCCGGTGAAAATGCAACATGTGAAATCGTCAATGATTCAATGTTGCATCTGGGGAGTTGCCCTAGATGTTGCTTTGAGTTTTGGCATGGTTCCTTATTTATTGTTTCCAACATTGTCAGGACAACCTTTGGGAATATTATCTGATCTCGGAGTCACTTCGCGTTCTCAAACTATTTTAATATTTGAGTTATTGATTGGGGTTGGTTGCTCGATTATCGGAATTCTTGAGAATCGATTCGCTTGCATTAAAAAATCTAGCAATAGCTATAAAAATCATTTCCTCATATATTTCATCAATGGTCTAATCGGAAATGTTTTCGTCTATCTAATTTTTACAAATTGTCCGGAACAAAAAGAAGCTCGAAGAATAGTTCTATACGAACTTCTCCCTCCTAATCTTCCAAGTCATTTATACACCGCTCCAATATTTGTTGTCTCCTTGAATCGTTTCCCAATCGTTCTTTTTATGCTGGGAGAATTTTTGGGTTTGACAATACAATGCTTGTTTTTTGTTGCTGGAACGATTTACAGATTATACTTTCAAAAAGCTATTCGAATTGTGTCTCAAAACACGAAGAAAATGCAAAACAAGTTTTTCGTTTTGATTTGTATACAATTTCTGGTTCCCATGATTGTTCTAACTTTTCCTATGGTTTATATTGGTTTCAGCTGTACCACGATGTATTATAATCAAGGTATTTTTTAAAAGATTCTTTGTTGATACAAACTTTGTATTTTTGAAGCTCTCAATAATCTTGTTTTCATATTATTCTCATTATATGGTGTTATGGCAACAATTTCGATTATTTTAGTGCATTCAGCTTATCGGAAAGCACTGTTTTCGAGTTTTATGAATGCGAAAGTTCAAAGAAAAGTGGCTATACAATTATCATATGTTTTTTCAAATCATTAGATATGTTAGGCAACACAAAAAGTTGAGAATCGTTTGATTTTCTTCGGAATTTATTTTTTTAAAAAGTGTTTATTAGTACAAACATATTCTTTTTCTTATGTTTTACCAGATAATTGTGTTATTTTTCTATGATTCCTCTGTTTTGTAAAATATGAGAATATAAATTCACGATAAGATGTATGAATAAACATAATAGATGTTGTAGTCAGAACTCCGTGTAACGAGATGAAAATGAATGAAATATTATTGAATGCTTGATTGTAATATAATGTTGAACAACTGTAAATAACATAGCAAAGTGGGAAAGCTATAACAGTTATTGGAATAGAACATTGGATACAGATTAGAAGGAAAAATTTGTTTTGCATTTTTCTCGTGTTCACTGATAGATTTTTATTACTTCTTCGACGATAGAAATTGTATACAGAGCCCAATACAAAGACATTGTATTAAAACAAATATGAATATTCCAATAAAAATCATTCCTATTTCTTGACTATTTAAAGAAACAACAAATGTTGGATCTGTGTAGAAGTGAGCGGGTAGATCGGGTGGTAGAAGTTGGTATAGAACTATTCTTCGAGCTTCTGTTTGCTCTGGACAATCCGAGAATATCAAAAATGATACTATGTTAAGTAGAAATCCGTTGAAGAAATAGATGAGGATGTGATTTTTATAGCTAGTGGTGGGATTTTGGAAGCAGTGATAGCGGTTTTCAAAAATACCAATAAATGCGCAAATATTGCCAATCATTATCTCTACAATAAGAATTATCTGTGATTTGATAGAAATTCCAGAATAAGACATAACTCCTAAAGGATGTCCGGATAAGGTTGGAAATAACACATAGGGAATTGTTGCAAAACTCAAAGAAAAATCCAGAAAAGCTCCCCAAACACAACATTGGATCATTGACGATTTCACATATCTCATTTTTGGCGGGGTTTTGAAAATGATGCAATAAAAACCGAGAAGATGAATTGGAACTTCTAGAATACTCAGGATGTGTAAAGAAGTTTGTAGGAAATCTGGAGTATCGAAGTATGTCCAGTGCATTTTTAGTAGGAGTGCGGGATTGCGTAAATATGTTTCTTTAAAAACATCTGCTGTCTCATGCTGGCCAAAAATTATATGTTGAACAAAAACATTGATTACTGATCTCTAAATTGTTGGCAAAACAATTTCTAGAATCTAGTTCAGTTCATGAAAACCGATTGGGAACATATAAAATGCGTTGTCTAAAATTCTTCAAAACTTTCGATTTTTTGCAATTTGAAAATAGTACATTCCGATATGCCGAGTGAATAAAAATAATTGAAGTTGTTGTCAAAATCCCGTGAAAGGAGAAAAATATAAATACCAGGTTGTTTAACGCTTAAAAATGTGTGTTTAACTCGAAACTTTTGTACCGTACCTTGATTAAAATAAGATGTTGAGCAGCTGAACAATACGTAACAAATTGGAAGAGCAAGAACAGTTATTGGAATTGAGCACTGTATCCAAATCAAAATGAACATCTTGTTTTGCATTCTTCTGGTGTTTTGGGACACATTTTTATTGGTCTTCAGAAAATATAACTTATAAATTGTACCAATTATGAAAAATGCTCCCTGTATATATTGAAAAATAAATGGTCCCATAATCGTCATACCAACTTGAAAGCTGTTCAACGAAACGACGAATAATGGATCGGTGTAGAAATTACTAGGAAGATTCGGTGGTAGAAGTTCGTATAGAACAACTCGCCGAGCACTTTCTTGCTCTGGACATTTTGAAAATATCCAATAGATTAAAATTGTGGCAAATGTTACGTTCGCAATGTATATTATACAGTGATTCTTGTAGCTTGATTTGGGATTTGTGATGCAAGTAAATCTATTTTCGAGAATTCCAATCAACGAGCAACCGAGTAATACAATCATTTCAATAAACAAAATAACTTGAGCTTCCATAGGAACTCCTAATCTCGTTAGAAATCCTAATGGTCGCCCTGACATCGTTGGAAACAATACGTAAGGAATTATTCCGAAACTTAGAGAAACATCTAAAACAGCGCCAATAACACAACATTGGATCATTGATGATTTCACATATCTCATTTTCGACGGAGTTTTGAACATGATACAATAAAAACCGAGAAGATGAATCGGAATTTCAAGAAGGGTTAGAGAATGAAGAGATGTTTTGAGGAATTCGGGAGAATCAAAATATGACCATGACATGGCTGAATTTTTATGAAAAATGATTTTTTTTTTCTAATTAGTGTGACGAACAGACGAATAATCAAGTTTTCTGAGAATATGCTTCAAAACAAGATGTGATAAACAATTTATTAATTCACAAAATATGAAATTCGATTTTCTAATCTCACTTTTATTTTTGTTTGCTTGAAAAATAAAAGTAGGAATTGTCGATAAGCGGAATGAACAAGAATAATTGAAATTGTTGTCAATATTCCATGAAAAGAGTATAGAATGAAAACAAGGTTGTTGAGAGCTGTGAGAGAGACTTTGTTAAACGAAAAACGTGAGAAACGTGACATACCTTGATTAAAATATAACGTGGAGCAGCTAAAAATGATGTAGCAAGTTGGAAATGCTAGAACAGTCAAAGGAATCGAACATTGTAAACAAATCAAAATGAAAAATTTGTTCTGCATACGTTTTGTAATCGATGACAGATTCCTGGTGATTACTGAAAAGTATAGCTTATAAATCGTGCCGAGAACGAAAATTGCACACTGTGTGAAAATGAGTATGGCAGTTGCTAGGATTTGAGTTGCAACTAGATCAGCATCCAAAGAGACTACAAATATTGGATCGGTGTAAAAATGAGAAGGTAGTTCAGGCGGGAGAAGTTCGTATAGAACTATTCTTCGGGCTTCTTCTTGTTCCGGGCATTTTGTAAATACCAAATAAATTGATAGATTTAATAGGGTTGTATTCAATAAGTAGATGAAGCAGGTATTTTTGACTCGGGAGTTATGATTTGTGATACATGTGAATCGATTTTCAAGAATTCCAATCACCGAACAAGCAACAAATATAATAAACTCACAAATGAGAATTGACTGTGATTTCATAGACATGCCTAAATTGTTCAAAATTCCTAAAGAACGTCCAGCCATTGTTGGAAATAATATATAAGGAATTGTGCCGAAATTGAAAACAAAATCTAAACTTGCACCAAACACACAACATTGAATCATTGATGATTTCACATATCTCATTTGTAAAGGTGTTTTGAAAATGACACAATAGAAACCGAGAAGATGGATTGGAAGTTCGAGAATACTCAAGAAATGAAGGAAATTACGGAAGAATTCAGGGGTATCGAAATATGTCCAAGACAAGATGTTTTTTGAAGAAAAATTCATTGCGCGAATGTGTTTTTTTTTTGGAAAAAATCGTTGTTACAAAACATATAATTACAAAACATATAATATAATTTATATGAGTAAGAAAACTGCATTAGCAAGAAAACATGGAGCAATTTAGTTTTTTTCAACAAACAGAACACAGTATAAAATTATGCTCTTCTAAAAATTCAAATTTATCTGAAAATATAAGAAACATTTGGTTTCAATTTTCTTCCGAGTATTAATCTCAACAAGTTCGCGTCAAAAGCTTCCCGATAAGCTGAATGAACAAAGATAATTGCAATTGTTGCTGACATTCCGTGAAATGATATTAAAATGAAGGAAACATTATTGAGAGCTGCAAAAATATTATAAACATAACCTAAACAGGATTTATATTCAAACCCTGATTGAAGTAGAATGCTGAGCAGCTGAAAATTATGTAACAAATTGGAATAACCAGAACAATCATAGGTATTGAACATTGTATACAAATTAGCAGGAAAAATTTGTTTTGCATTTTTTTCGTGTTCTGGGATATATATTTAATTTTTTCCGAGAAGTATAACTTGTAAACCGTGCCTAATACAAAACCTATGCATTGTAAAAATATGCATAGAAATAGGGCCAAAATCGACATTCCGATTTGAAAACTATTTAGGGAAACAACAAACATTGGATCAGAGTAGAAATGACTTGGAAGATCTTTGGGCAGTAATTCGTATAGAACTGTTTTTCGAGCTTGTTCCTGCTCTGGACAATTTGAAAATATGAAATAGAGAATTATGTTTGCAAAAATACAATTACAAATGTACATTATACAATGATTTTTATAACTGGAACCAGGTTTTGTCATGCAAGTGAATCGATTTTCGAGAACCCCAACAATTGAACAACCAACACCGATTATTAATTCGATTATTAATATTGTTTGCGTTTTCGTACTCATTCCCAAGTAAGTTAAATATCCCAAAGGATGTCCGCAGAAAGCTGGTAATAACACATAAGGTATCGTCCCTAAACTCAACGCAAAATCTAGTAATGCACCCCAGATGCAACATTGTATCATTGACGATTTCACGTTTCTCATTTTTATCGGAGTTTTGAAAATGACACAATAAAAACCGAAAAGATGAATCGGAATACCAATGATACTCAAAACATGTAAAGAAGTTTGAAGAAATTCTTTAGAATCGAAATATGTCCATGTCATTTTTCTGACAATGAGAGAGTGATTTTTTGATAAGTTTCAAATGGAAAATGAAATTGAGCAGAAATTCAATGCACCTGTCAATTGCAAAATCAGAACAATTTATACATAGGGATCTCAGGAAGTTGTAAAAATCAAACATTCAAATAGCAGAATTCAAGAACAACTAACATACATTAATTTTTAGTAGATAGCACTCGATTGTTTGGCTTGAAAAATGAAAGCACCACGTTCCGATATTCTGTATGAAGAAAAATAATTGATAATGTTGTCAAAATTCCATGAAATGAAAACATTATGAAAATTAGATTGTTTAGCGCTGTAAATTGGATAATAAGGTTCAAAGAACAATAAATGAAGCGAACCTTGATTGAAATATAGTGTGGAGCAGCTGAATGCGATATAAGAAATAGGAAAGGCTAGAACTGTTAGTGGAATTGAGCATTGTATACAAATCAAGACGAAAAACTTGTTCATCATGTTTTTGGTACTTGTGGAAAGGGTTCTATCACTTCCTGAATAATATAACTTGTAAATAGTTCCAAGAGCAAAAGCCGTGCACAATGTTACTGTACAGAAAAAAGGGATCATAATTAATATTGCAACCTGTGTGTTATTCAATGAGACAACGAATATTGGATCAGTGTAGAAATGAGAAGGAAGACTGGGTGGAAGAATCTCGTATAGAACGATTCTTCGAGCTACTTCTTGTTCTGGACAGTTTGAGAATATAAAATAAACCAAGAAACTCGAAAATGATCCATTCACAATGTATATTAATAAACTATTTATACATCTAGATTTGCGATTCGTAATGCATGTGAATCGGTTTTCAAGAATTCCAATTATTGAGCAACCAACAATAATGATAAGCTCGATAACCAGAATAGTCTGCCATTTTTGTGACACTCCAACATCGGATAAAATTCCCAAAGAATGCAAAGATAAAGTGGGTAACAATGCATAAGGAATGGTTCCAAAACTTAACACAAAATCTAAAACAGCACCGGAAAGGAAACATTGGATCATTGACGATTTCACATATCTCATTTTTGAAGGAGTTTTGAAAATGACACAATAAAATCCGAGAAGATGAATCGGAACTTCTAGAATACTCAAGAAATGAAGTGAAGTTCTAAGGAAATCAGGAGAATCGAAATATGTCCATGCCGAAAGAGATTCGGAAGAACCATTCATGATGTTTTTGTTGCACAATAGGAACGCAAATATAATTATGTGTATAAGAAAAATATTCTATGTGGAAACCGGAAATTGAATTTTTGACAAACAAACATAACATCTTTATTACAAATGTTGTTTCTCTAACAAAATTACTTTTTCAATTTTATTTCCAAAGTATGTCAAGATTCAGAATAATTGATGTAGTTCAAGAGTTTCGGGAATAGAAAAATACACATGGTCTGAAGTTATTGTTAAGTAAAAACAGATTGAACACGGGTTTTCGGTGGCTTGAAAATTGAAAATACAACTCTCCGATATTCTGTATGTATACAAATAATGGATAATGTTGTCAAAATTCCGTGAAATGAAAATATTATGAAAATTAGATTGTTGAGCGCTGTAAATTGAATATTTCGTTCAAAGAACAATAATTGAAACAAACCTTGATTGAAATATAGAGTGGAGCAGCTGAATGCGATATAAGAAATAGGAAAAGCTAAAACTGTTAGTGGAATTGAGCATTGTATACAAATCAAGATGAAAAACTTGATCATCATTTTTTTCGTGATTTTGGATAGGTTTCTATTCTTTTCCAAATAGTATAACTTGTAGAAAGTTCCAAAAACAAAACCGCAACACGTTATGAATGTATATAAAAATGATATCATCATGGTTGTTGCAATTTGATCGTTTTGCAGTGATATAACGAATATTGGATCAGTATAGAAATGAGCAGGAAGATTGGGTGGAAGAATTTCGTATAGAACGATTCTTCGAGCTTCTTCTTGTTCTGGGCAGTTTGAGAATGTTAAATATACCAAGAAACTCAAAAATGATCCATTAAACAGATATATCAGAAAATTATTTTTGAATCTAGATCTACGATTTGTAATACACGTAAAACGATTTTCAAGAATTCCAATCAAAGAGCAACCAACAATAAGAATCAGTTCGATAATTAGAATGACCTGCGATTTTTGTGACATTCCAAGATCGGAGAGAACTCCTAAAAAATGACCAGATAATGTGGGTAACAATGCATAGGGTATTGTTCCAAAACTGAATGCGAAATCCAAAACAGCACCGGAAAGGAAACATTGAATCATTGATGATTTTACATATCTCATCTTTGGTGGAGTTTTGAAAAATACACAATAAAAACCGAGGAGATGAATAGGAATCGCAATAATAGTTAATATATGAAGAGATGTTACGAGGAATTCAGGAGTGTTGAAATATGACCAAGAATTGTTTTTTGATGCGATAGTCATCAGACAAAACTTTTTGAGTGATTGCTAATATTCGTGTTGATCATAAAGAAAATTCATCGAGAACCAGGAAATTAGATTTGCCGTCGAAAACAAAAATTCTTGGAAAACTAATGTGACAATAGTTTTATTCTCTAACAACTGAGGAAACTTTCAAGGGTACTATTCTACGAATTTTGAATTTTGAAAATACCGCTTCTCGATAAGCTGGATGAATCAGAATAATCGATATTGATGTAAGAATTCCATGAAATGAAAATAGTATAAATGCAAGGTTATTGAGAGCTGAACAAGAAAATTAGCATAAATCACCCAAAAATCAAAGCAAACCTTGATTAAAATAAGACGTTGAGCAGCTGATAATAACATAACAAACTGGAATAGCTAGAACAGTTATTGGTATTGAACATTGAATGCAAATCAAGATGAAAAACTTGTTTTGCATTTTTCTTGTATTTGAGGATAGATTTGTATTGTTATGCTGCAAATATAGTTTATAAGTTGTCCCCAACGCGAAAAATATGCATTCTACGAATAAAACAACATAGATTGCCAGAATCGCCATTCCAACTTGAAAACTGTTCAGGGAAACGACAAATAATGGATCGGTGTAGAAATGACTAGGAAGATCAGAGGGGAGAAGTTGGTATAGAACAATTTGTCGAGCACTTTGTTGCTCTGGACAATTTGTGAACACGAAATATAAAATTATATTGCTGTATACACCATTAAGGGTGTAGATAATGATATGATTTTTCAAGCTTGATCTAGGTCTAGTTATGCAGGTGAATCGATTTTCAAGAATCCCAATAATTGAACAAGCAACACCAATCAATAACTCGATTATCAATAAAGTTTGCGATTTGATATCTATTCCTAAATATGACAAAATCCCTAGAGGTTGTCCGGACATTGTTGGAAATAACACATATGGAATTGTGCCAAAACTCAGCGCAAAATCAGTGATAACACTACAAATATAACATTGAATCATTGATGGTTTCACATATTTCATTCTCTCGGGAGTTCGAAAAAATACACAATAAAATGCGAGAAAGTGAATGGGAATTTCGAAAATGCTTAGCATAGGTGTTTTTCCCATTAAATTACCCTCGGAGTTAAAGACCTATGACGAACTCGAATTAAAAAGTTAAAGACCTATTTTACACTGAAAAAAAAAACCTTTTTTACTAAAAATTTATTTTCCAGCATGCTTTCCCAAAGGAAGGAAAAATCTCTGAATTCACTTTTTTTTCAAAGATGCGCAGAGTTTCCACAACAAATTCAAAACTCAATGCGTTTTCCATCACGTGAAATATATAAACAACTCTCATCGCCGACAACTCGCTGGTACGACCACACGCGATCCCTCCTCATTGCAACTGGCTCCGCCCACTTTGTTTTTCTTTTCTTTTTCTTTATTCTCACAGAAAATTCGAATCAAAACCAAAACTAATATTCTTGTAGGCAACCAAATGAGCTAAAAATTTTCACAGCCCTTCTACAGGTAATTTCGCATAGTTTCAATCCAGTACATTTCATCATAAAGACCTCCAAAAGATTTAGGAGACCTCAGCAGCAAAGTTTAGCGTTTCACTAAACTTTCCTGCTGAGGTCTCCTAAATCTTTTGGAGGTCTTTATATTAAGCCGGTGGGTCTTCTAAACAAGCTAAATATCTTGAAGAATAACTGTGAAAATTTTCATCTCATTTGGTTGCCTACAACAATATAAGTTTTGATTTTGATTTGAATTTCCTGTGAAAAAAAAGAAAAACAAAAGAAAAGAAAAGTGGGCGGAGCCAGGTGCAATGAGAGAGATAGCGTGTGGCGCTACCAGCGAACTGTCGGCGATGAGAGATATTGAAATATTTCGCGTGATGCAGAATGAAACAAGGCGTAATTTTTGTTGAAACCTTGCTCCTCTTTGAAAGAAGAAGTTGCTGCAGAGGTAATTTTGATGACTTGAGAAATTAATAATAATTTTTCCATAAAAGTTAAGGACCTATTTTTCATGAAAAATGAAAAGGTTAACGACCCTATTTTATACTTTTCCGGACCAAAAACATGTATGATGCTTAGCATGTGTAGAGAATTTCTGAGGAAGTCGGGAGAATCGAAATATGTCCAAGGCATGTTTCAACACTTGATATGCGTGCAGAAAATGTATAACATCAGAGACAAATCTCACCTGCAGATCGGAAATCATAACATTTTTGTGTGGGATCAGAATCACGGGTTTTTTTGGGAATTCATGTATTTATTCTCTATAAAATGATGAAACTTGAATTGTCAATTTCCTATGGTTTTTCGATTTCATGCATTTTGAAAATAATGCGTTCCGATACGCGGAATGCACGAAAATTATTGAAATTGTTGTTAGAATTCCATGAAACGAAAATAAAATGAAAGCAAGGTTATTGAGCGCTGAAAGAAATCTCAAAATGTGAATATCAGAGTTCACATATCCCAAACATACCTTGATTGAAATAAAACATTGAACAGCTGAAAACTATGTAACAAATAGGAAAAGCTATAACAAATATTGGAATTGAACATTGTAAACATATCAAGTAGAAAAACTTGTTTTGCATCTTCTTAGTATTCGTGGATAGATTTTTGTTGATTTGCTGGAAGTACAGCTTGTAAACTGTCCCAAATGCAAAAAACGCGCACTGCAAGAACAAAAACATAAAAACAGCCAGAATCGTCATTCCGATTTGAAAACTCTCCAACGAAACAATAAATAATGGATTTGTGTAGAAATGAGCGGGAAGATTAGGCGGAAGAAGTTCGTATAGAACTATTTTTCGAGCACTTTCTTGCTCTGGGCAATTTGAAATTACCGAATATAAAATCGCATTGCCGTATATGCCATTGAAAATATAAATTATGAGATGGTTTTTGAAGCTAGAACTTGGTTTTGTTATGCATGTGAATCGGTTTTCCAGAATTCCGATGATTGAACAACCAACACCTACTAAAAACTCAAGAACTAGGATAGTTTGCAGTTTAATACTGAATCCAAAGTTCGATAGAATTCCCAGTGGGTATCCAGATAAAGTTGGAAATAATACATAAGGTATTGTACCCAGGCTCAAGGTGAAATCTAGAATAACACCCCAAACACAACATTGAATCATTGACGATTTCACATATATCATTTTCGAAGGAGTTTTGAAAATGACACAATAAAAACCGAGAAGATGAATCGGAACTTCTAGAATACTCAGGATATGTAGAGAAGTTTGTAGGAAATCGGGAGAATCGAAATAGCTCCATGCCATGCTTGATGGAAAATTTGATAAATATTTTTTTTCGAGCAATTATGCGCGAATATTTGCACCTGGTCCACTTAAAAATCAGAGATTATCTGAAAAATTGTGGCTAATGTGTGACATTGAAACTCAAAAATTCACATAAAAATATTTATTGAGCGCTGAAAATTTTTATGAAATTGTGAGAAAATCGAGCAGAAATCTGTAAACTAGCCTTGATTATAATAAAACGTGGAACAACTGTAAATTATATAACAAATTGGAAAGACTATGACGAATACTGGAATGGCGCATTGTAAACAGATTGCAATGAAAATCTTGTTTTGCATTTTTCTAGTGTTCAAAGATAGAGTTTTGATTTTGTGCCGAAAATAGAGCTTGTAAACTGTCCCGAGAACAAAAAACGCGCATTGCAAAAAGTAAAACATGAAAAGAGCCAGAATCAACATTCCTATATGAAAACTGTTCAAAGAGGCAACAAATATTGGATCGGTGTAGAAATTATTGGGAAGATCTGGTGGAAGAAGTTCGTATAGAACAACCTTTCGAGCATATTCTTGTTCTGGACAATTTGAAAATACCGAATATATGATAGCGTTGCTGTACAAGCAGTTGGTTATGAAAATTATGAGGTGGTTTCTGAAGCTAGAGTTTGGTTTAGTTATGCAAGTGAATCGATTCTCAAAAATTCCAACAATTGTGTAGCCAACAGCACATAATAACTCGATAATCAATATAATTTGCCATTTGATACTCATTCCAAAAAATGACAAAACTCCTAACGGATGGCCAGATAAAGTGGGAAATAATACATAGGGGATTGTGCCAAAACTCAAAGCAAAGTCTAGAATAACACACCAAACACAACATTGGATCATTGACGATTTCACATATCTCATTTTTGAAGGAGTTTTGAAAATGACACAGTAAAAACCGAGAAGATGAATTGGAATTTCTAGAATACTCAGAATATGTAAAGAAGTTTGTAGGAAATCTGGAGTATCGAAATAGGTCCATGCCATGCTTGATAGAAAATTCGATTACTATTTTTTTCGACGAATATTTGCACCTGGTCCACTTTAAAAATTAGAGATTACCTGAAATATTGTGTCTAATGTGTGTATGGTTTTTTAGAAAGATGATAACATTGGGAATGAAACACTGAAACTCAAAAATTCACATAATCGATGGAACTGGTAGTGTGAATCTTCTATATATCTCATTCTTACTGGGGTTTTGAAAATGACACAATAAAAATCGGAAAAATGAATCGGAACTACTAGAATACTCAGTAAGTGGATATGTCCAATACATTTATGTTTTTGTGAAAATAGCTGTATAGTCAAACTCGACTCTGATTCGAACAACTGCATTTTTTTGAAATACATATAATATCACCTGTAGTAAAAAATGAAAGTGTCTCAAAAAATTTTTATAGTAGTTTATGAGATCAGAAAAAAGTACACATGCAGTGAATTGTTTTTCGAAAAATATATACCCTCGTTATTTTTCAAAAACTCATCAATACAACACTTTTATTCTCAGATGAACGAAACTTGGATTATAGATTTCCTCTGTTTTACAGTTTTTCGGAATTTTGAAAATAACGTTTCTCGATAAGCTGGATGAATCAGAATTATTGATAGTGTTGTTAAAATTCCGTGAAGGGATAATAAGATAAATGCTAGATTATTCAGTGCTGAAAGAAATCTCAAAACGTAAATTGTTATATTCAAAATATGAATACCTTGATTAAAATAAAATACAGTGCAGCTGTAAATGACGTAAGAAATTGGGAAAACTAGAACGAAAAATGGAATGGAACATTGCAAACAAATCAAAAGAAAAAATTTGTTTTGCATTTTTCTTGTGTTTATGGAAATATTCCTATCACTATGCTGAAAATATAGCTTATAAAATGACCCCAATACAAAAAATGCGTCTTGAAGAAACAGTAACATTAACATCGCCAGAATAGCCATTCCAACTTGAAAGCTGTCCAAAGAAAATATGAAAATAGGATCAGTATAAAAATGAGCAGGAAGATTAGGTGGCAAAAGTTTGTACAGAACTATTTTTCGAGCTTCTTCTTGGTCCGGGAAATTTCTGAATATAAAAAATAACATTACATTGCCACATATGAAATTCGATATGTAAAGGATAATATGATTTTTGTAGCTAGAGTTTGGTCTAGTGATACAAGTAAATCGATTTTCGAGAATTCCAATAATCGAAATAGAAACTCCAACAAATAATTCGAGAACAAGAATAGTTTGGGCTTCGCAACTCATTCCAATTTGGTATAAAATTCCCAAAGGATGTCCAGATAATGTTGGAAATGATATATAAGGAATTGTGCCGAAAGTTAGGGTAAAATCTAGAACTGCACTCCATATAAAACATTGAATCATTGAAGATTTGATAAATCTCATTTTCTCAGGTGTTTTGAAAATAATACAATAAAAACCGAGGAAATGAATGGGGATTTCAAGAATACTTAGAGAATGGAGAGAAATTTGGAGGAACTCTGGTGTATCGAAATAAGTCCATGACATTTTTGATGTGGTTTGCGATTGGATTTTGAGTAGCTGAATATCTTGATAAAAACTTCACCTGTCGGTTGAAAATCATATTATATGAGAAGACAATTATTTGACTGTTTTCAGAAACGAAAATTTTTTCTGAACCAAAATTGATTTTCTGAACTTTCATAAGACATTTCGCACCTGGTTTTTCTACTGACAAAAAAAACAATTTTTTCCAGTGGTGCTCGATAATCTCAACCAAACAACCCAACTTCTCTTCTCCTCATTCCCACAAAATACAACAATTTTGCCGACTTTTGGAAATCACGATTATGCGCCAGCCAATGGTTTCATCTCCGATTCGAACTTGTATCAAAACACCTGGGAAATTTGGAAATCGAAAATCGGCCCAGAAAATCATGATACATTTATGAGCGGCGGTTACTATAAATATCGCCTCAAAAATGCGACGGCTTTGGTGTTGAATACTAATTTGTATTATAAGTGAGTCAGTTTTGGGTGCGGGGGGGGATGAAGTCAAAAATCATACACGTCATGTTTTTTTGGGAAATGGGGACTTTTGTGAGAAACAAAATTTCTAAAATAAAAATCGATACAAAATAAAAAAAACCTTCGAAATTTCCAGAACCCCGGAAAAAAATTTAAAAAATTATGAAAAATAATCTCAAAAAAGTACAAAATTTTATTTTTCCAATTGAATTTGAAGATTTTGGTCCTAAAATTTGAAATTCAAGCTGAAAAATTGAATAAATATTTTTGACAGTGAAAAAATAATTTGGAAAATTCAACAGAAAAATCAATTTTTTTCAAAAATTATAATTTTCACTGTTTCAAAAACTCAAGTGTCGTCTCCGACACAAGCTGATGACTTCACTCGTCACAGCTAGTTACCCTAATCCCAAAGACTTACTTCTGTAGCTCAGCTTCCACAATATCCTTGCGTCGATTTCCGCGCTAGATCCACAGACCGGTGATTGAGCCATCTCCTCGATAGACTGACGTCTCTTCCCTCGGACCTTGCAACCCACCAAATGGGCGTGGTCACAGAGAGGCTAACTTATATTACACCCTTTGCTATTGGCTGCGCCACATCAAGAATCAAAAAAAATTCAAAACCCATATTTTCCAGCGCCAACAAAGCTTACGCTAACTTCACCGACAAAGACGATCCAGCCGGTCAATTTGCGTTCCTCGAAAATGAGCTGAAAAACGCTGAAACTTGTCCAAACCGCGTAAACACTGATTGTACCTCGATTGTTCATATCATTGCTCATATTGGACCCGGAGGTATTTTTGTTTTGCTTTCTGGAAGAACGTGATTTGTGTTGATCAGAAAAATTCAATTTTTGCACAATTATCTATGATTTCACAAAATTCCAGTTTTCGAGCGGACCTACAACTTCACCTGGTTTCGACCTGAATATAACGAGCGATTTTTGAATATCACCGTAAGATATGCTAACTCAATCGGCTGGATGTTGTTTGGACACCATCACACCGATACTTTTCACCTTATCAAGGACTCGAAGGAAAATGTGGTGCAAGCGGCTTTGATGGCGCCAGCAGTTACACCGTGGTTCTCGTCTTTGGATGGAGCTGGAGCGAATAATCCGACTTTTCGCGTTTATGATACGGATGCTTATAATAATATTTTGGATATTCAGTGAGTTTGGGGTTTTTTTTGAATATTAAAAATATGAAAGGAGAATAGGCCATGACGTGGCTAAAATTTCATGATTTTTGATAAGCTAATTACAAATTGGAATCGGAATGTGATTCTGGAATTTTATAAAATTTTATGAAACGTATATTTTCGGGGGAATATTTCAAAAATAATTTTTTTCTGAAAAAAAAATAGGAGTCGTTAAATTCCGAAAAGCTTTTATTTTGATTTTCGTTGAATTTTTTCAACAAAAACCGAAATTTTGATTTTCGTTGAATTCTTTCATCAAAAACCGAAATTTTGATTTTCGTTGAATTTTTTCAACAAAAACCGAAATTTTGATTTTTGTTGAATTTTTTCCACAAAAGCCTGGTGATTTTTTTAAAACTATTTTTTTATTCCCGGAACTTGACGTTTTTTGTGACGTGGCAAGTTTTCCAGAACCTACTACATCAATTTGGACGATTTGAACAAAAACGCGAGCACACCTTTTGTTTTCGAATACTCATTTAAAGATGCGTATGGAATTCAGGGTTATATTAATGCGAATTCCCTATCAAAAGTTGTGGAAAGCATTAAAAATAACGACACGGTATTCCAAAAGTATATCAATTTTAACTCGGCGTTTTGGAAACCTGAAATGCCTACTGGGATTTATCGCGGAGCTCAACTTTGCTCTTTGGAATATTCGGATTATCCGAGATATTATAGTTGTTTGGCGCAATATTCAAAGGTTTCTACAAGAGTTGCTCTACCCATTTTTTCGATTCTTGTGATTTTGTATAATGAGTTGGACGGGTTGTGGTTCTAACTTATATTTTTCAACCAAACATCATTCTACATTGTAATTATTTATTTGTATTTCCTGTTTATCACATCTCTTTATGCAGATAAAAACAATATATATATATATATAAATATTCCAAGATTGTCTGTCTGATTTGAAATGGATGGGTTTATCAATTATTTTCGAGCTTATCACACAATATCGTCGTTTTTTGGTTGCTCCTTGAATGCTCTTTTGGTTTATGTGGTACTTACGAAAAGTCCGAAGGCTATGAAAAGTTATGGCGTGTTGGTCATCAATTTTTCCATAACTGATTTTTTCATTTGCCTCTTTAATTTTCTTCTGATGCAGAGGATTATTGTTTGTGGAGAGGGGATTTGTTATATCTCAATTGGCCCGTGCTCTCTTCATTCTGCGAGATTTTGTTTTGTCGTATTTATCGTAACTCTTCATTTCTACACACATTCAATTTGGCTACTTTTCATCTCCTTTTCCTATCGATACTATGTTATGGTTCAATCCGAACCCTCTATGTGGAGGACACAACTTGTGATTGCTCTACTCTATATTCCTTCGATTTTTCAAATCGCAAATGTGTTTACTCAAAACGTCCCGGAGGATGTGGCGAAAAAAATGGTTTTGGAATATTTTCCGAGTTATGATTTGAGTCAACTTACCGTGACCGCCGTTAGTTCGGTGTGGGATTTTACAGTGTTGTATTGTACGGTTCATATTGTTGGTGTTAGTATCCCAATTGCTTTTGGGATTATAGCACTGAGAAATCGGATAATAGCAAAGATTCGTGAAACCGGACTAGCTACATCGGAACGATCAAAACAACTACAACTTCAAGTTCTGAGAGTGAGCTGTTTGGTCAGAGTCTAGTGAATCTAGTTCAATTTTTCCAGGCTTTAACATTCCAAGCGTGTATCCCAGTATTCTACCTCTGGGGTGGTTTATGTTTCATGATTCAACAATGGAACTTGGTCAATAATGCTCTACCGCAATATTTTATGTTTTGTTTATTCATCCTTGTTCCGATTCTCAATCCAATATCCTCCTTTATTTTTATCACACCCTATCGTGCTTTTTTTGTTCTTTGTGCAAAACGAAAAGTTAGCGGAACTTCGAGAAATATTTCGATTTATCAGAGCACTGCTTCTGTTTGATGATAAGAAAATGTTTATCTTTTTTATCAGTAGTAAAAATAAACAGTTTTATTCAGAAAATGTTGGAAAATTAGTCCTAGGTGATGAAATCGCTACTATGAGCAACTGATATTTTTGTTGAGGTGGTTGTAAACTTTCGTTTGAGATTCGAAATAAAGAAATTACGATAGGGTGTGATGAAAATGAAAGAAGACATTGGATTGAGAATTGGAACAAGGATGAAGAAGCAGAAACAAAAATATTGTGGAAGAGCATTATTGATTATGTTCCATTGTTGAATCATGAAACATAAACCACCCCAGAGGTAGAATACTGGGATACACGCTTGGAACGTTAGAGCCTGAAACAGTTTATAGAACGTCATCGGACTCTAGAGCTTACCTTGAGAAATTGTAATTGAAGTTGTTTAGAACGTTGTGATGTAGTTTGACCTGCGGCACTGAGCTTCTTTAGAATTTTACCTCTCAAAGTCACTATAGCAAAAGCAATGGGGACACTAACACCAACCACGTGAATACAACAATAGAGCGCTGTGAAGTCCCAAACTGTAGCAACAGCAGTTACAGTGAGTTGGCTCACGTCATAGCTAGGATAATACGCCATAACCATTTTTTTCGCGGATTCTTCGGGGACATTTTGAGTGTGTATATTTATGTTTCGAAATAGCGAAGGGAGATAGAAAATGCAGACTAGAAGTTGGGTTTTCCACATTTTTGGTTCGGATTTGATCATAACGTAATATCGATAGGAAAATGAGATTAGAAGGAGCCAAAATGAATGGGTGTAGAAATGAAGGATTAGGACGAATGAGATGAAGCAGAATCTGGCGGAATGGAGAGAGCATGGACCAATTGAGATGTAGGCCACACCATCTCCACAGATTATGATTCTTTGCATTATGATGAGATTAAAAATACAGATCAAGAAATCAGTTATTGAAAAATTGATGACCAGAACTCCATAACTTTTAATACTCTTGGGGCTTTTTGTAAGAACCACATACACCAAAAGAGCATTTAATGCACAACCGTATAATGAAGCAATCGAGTGATAAGCACGGAAATAATTGATGAAGCCATCCATTGACAATGATAAAAATAACAGTGTTATCAGGATTTTATAGGTGTTTTTTGTATTTCGTATGAATGGGGGAAGTAGACATCAAGACTATATAGAAATATGTGAAATGTATTCTGTGAATGGATAAATAAGACGATCAAAAATTGAATAATAAGCACAGGTTAAAATAACAGTGTGATTCATACAGAGCGTGACTCAGCTGAAAATTAAATACCGTTGGAAGAATCCAGTGAAAAAAAATTGCGATTTTTCAAGGGGCTTCGTGGGTGGCCCTTTTAAAAAGTTTTTTTAAATTATTTTTTTTTACATTATTATTTTGTTGTTTGAAAATTTAATTTTTACCGCAATTTTGTAGTTAAAATTTTTCCAGATTGAAACAGTATAGATTAGGATTTGCGAAAAAAATCTACACGGTATGTTATGAAAAAATTTTTTGTTCATTGTTCTCTGCCTTTCCTACTTCCATAAACAAAAACAAATGAAATCACACAATTTATTCCGAGATACAAAAAACAACAACACAAATATTTTCAAGTAGCATTGTCACTACTCTGAATCGTTGAAATTTTTTTCGAAGATGAACTTGTAACTTTTCGCTTCAAACTTGATACAAAGAAATTACGGTAGGGTGTGATGAAAATGAAAGAGGACATTGGATTGAGAATTGGAACAAGGATGAAGCAGCAGAACATGACGTATTGTGGTAGAGCATTATTGATCAAGTTTAGTTGTTGGCTCATAAAGCAAACACCACCCCAGAGGTAGAATACTGGAATGCAAGCTTGAAATGTTAGAGCCTGAAAAATTAGGTTTGAATTGGTAATATTATTCATTGTCTCACTCTGAGAAGTTGAAGTTGAAGTTTTTTAGAACGTTCTGACGTAGCACGGCCGGTGTCATTGAGTTTTGCTATGATCCGATTTCTCAATATCACAATTGTAATAGCGATTGGGATACTAACACCAACGATGTGGACTGTGACATATAACACAGTGAAATCCCACACTGAACTAACGGCAGTTACGGTAAGTTCGCTTAAATCATAACTGGGGAAATATTCCAGGATCATACTTTTTGCCACATCTTCCGGAACATTTTGAGTGTACACGTTTGTTATTTGAAACACGGATGGAATATAAAGTAAACAGATCACTAATTGAGTTTTCCACATTGCTGGTTCGGATTTAACTATAACGTAATATCGATAGGAAAATGAGATAAGAAGCAGCCAAATTGAATGGGTATAGAAATGAAGGGTTATAACAAATACGATGAAGCAGAATCTTGCAGAATGAAGTGAGCATGGGCCAATTGAGATATAACAAATTCCCTCGCCACAAACTATCAATCTTTGCATCAGCAGGAAATTGAAAAGGCAAACGAAGAAATCAGTAATTGAAAAATTGATGACCAGAACACCATAACTTTTAATACTCTTTGGGCTTTTTGTAAGTACCACATACACCAATAACGCGTTTATCGTACAACCGTAAACCGAAGAAACGGCGTGATAAAAGCGGAAATAATTGATGAAGCCATCCATAACTTGACTGTAGTTGAATGCAGGAAGTTTTTCAATTTTATATAATTTTTTGTAGGGGAAGGAAAGCAGAAAAATATATAACTGTGACTAATTGTAGTTGGAACGATGTGTAAATAATAAGACCAAAAGTCAACTGATATTTTTTCGACAGCTGATTAGGAATTCAGGAGGAACAAATCGTCGAAATCAAAAGAAATTCGATGAGAGCTGGAGTAAACTTTGGTATGAGTCTGAAATTAACGAAATTCGCGAGAGAATTGAGTTATGTCGCAGGTGCAAAATTTCATACGCCCCAAAATACTCATTTTTTTCATTTATAATAATTCAAACACAATCTATCAAATCACAATTTATTAAATGAAAAATACAAAAAAAAACACATTTTAACTGAAATCACTACTCTGCATCGTTGAGATTTTTGATGATGTAATTGTGTTTTTTCGCTTGATGCTTGAAATGAAGAAGTTGCGATAAGGTGTGATGAAAATGAATGAGGACATTGGATTGAGAATTGGAACAAGGATGAAGAAGCAGAACATCACGTATTGCGGTAGAGCATTATTGATTAAATTTAGTTGTTGAGTCATAAAGCATACACCTCCCCAGAGGTAGAATACTGGAATGCAAGCTTGGAATGTTAGAGCCTGAAAGTTATATTTGATCTATCACAATTAAGTGTACCTAGAGCTCACTCTTAGAAGTTGAAGTTGTAGTCGTTTGGAACGTTCTGATGTTGCATGACCGGCATCATTGAGTCTTGCTATAATCCGATTTCTCAACATCACAATACCAATAGCGATTGGAATGCTGACTCCCACAATATGAACAGTACAATACAACACTGTAAAATCCCACACCGAAGTAACGGCAGTCACGGTAAGTTGACTCAAATCATAACTGGGAAAATATTCCAGAATCATACTTTTTGCAACATCCTCCGGAACATTTTGAGTATAAATGTTTGTGATTTGAAAAACCGAAGGAATATAAAGGATGCAGATCAGAAGTTGGGTTTTCCACATCTTTGGTTCGGATTTGACCATAACGTAATATCGATAGGAGAATGAGATGAAAAGCAGCCAAATTGAATGAGTGTAGAAGTGAAGGGTTATGATGAACACGACAAAGCAAAATCTTGCAGAATGAAGAGAGCACGGGCCAATTGAGATATAACAAATTCCCTCGCCACAAACTATCAATCTTTGCATCAGCAGGAAATTGAAAAGGCAAACGAAGAAATCAGTTATGGAAAAATTGATGACCAGAACACCATAGCTTTTTATACTTTTTGGACTTTTAGTAAGTACCACATAAACTAGCAAGGCATTTAGCATACAACCGTAAACTGAAGAAACAGCGTGATAGGCACGAAAGTAGTTGATAAAACCATCCATGACTTGAAAATATCACATGTGACTTTGTTGTTCGATTTTATACATATTTTTGTAGTGAGTGAGAGGGGCAGGAAAATAAATAGTGGCGGCGACAAATTTGTGTTTTGGAGATGACTCAATGCAGAGACTAAAAATTAGCAAATACTATATAATTATCTGAAAAATCAACTCTTTTGCCAACAAATTTATTTCACATGAATCACATTTTCAATTAGTTTCACTAGTCAGAATCGTTGAAGCCTTTGTTGATGTAACTGTTGATGTTTTCTTCAGTCTTGACATGAAGAAATTGCGGTAGGGTGTGATAAAAATGAAAGAAGACATTGGATTGAGAATTGGAACAAGGATGAAGCAGCAGAACATTACGTATTGCGGTAGAGCGTTATTGATAAAGTTCCATTGTTGAATCATAAAGCATAAACCACCCCAGAGGTAGAATACTGGGATACACGCTTGGAATGTTAGAGCCTGAAAAGTGTTATTTGATCTATTATAATTCAGTTTATGAACTAACTCTTAGAAGCTGGAGCTGTAGACGTTTAGAATGTTCTGATGTTGCATGCCCTGAATCATTAAGCTTTGCTATAATCCGATTTCTCAGCATTACAATACCAAAAGCGATTGGAATACTAGCACCAACTATATGAACTGTACAAAATAACACTGTGAAATCCCACACTGATTTACAAGCAGTTACAGTAAGTTCACTCAAATCATAACTCGGAAAATATTCTAGAATCATACTTTTTGCCACACTCTCTGGAACATCTTGAGTAAAAATATTACTTATTTGAAAAACCGAAGGGATATAAAGAATAGCGATTAGAAGTTGGGTTTTCCACATTTTTGGTTCGGATTTGACCATAACATAGTATCGATAGGAAAATGAGATGAAGAGTAGCCAAATTGAATGAGTGTAAAAATGGAGAGTTACGATAAATACGACGAAACAAAATCTTGCAGAGATAAGAGAGCATGGGCCAATTGAAATATAACAGATCCCCTCTCCACAAACAATAATCCTCTGCATTAGAAGAAAATTGAAAAGACACACCAGGAAATCAGTTATCGAGAAATTTATCACCAAGACACCATAACTTTTAATACTCTTGGGGCTTTTAGTAATAACCACATAAACGAGTAAGGCGTTTAGGAGACAACCGTAAACTGAAGTAATTGCGTGATACGTTCGGAAATAATTGATGAAGCCATCCATGACTGTAGTTAAAACTAGAAAATTCACTGGATTTTATATTGTTTATTGTGGGCTAGGAAAACAACTACGATTTGTAGAGCAGTGATTACGTATGTCGAATCAAAAATTATTCGGATCACAGTATTTAATTGTTAATTATTATTTCACGTTGAAAAATACGTTTCAGTCACAAAACCGTTCATCGAACCTCAGTTCCCACTTCCCAAAGTTTTTACATATAGTTCTCGATTTTTCCAGACACAAACCATGAAAACAAGATTTGTTTTTTGTATTCGATGAATTTTGATTCTAATGGCCGTTGTTTACGTCAATAATAGAGAATTTATTTATTATTGAGTTACACGGGATGCTTAACTAGAATCTAGTAGTGAATCCTGCAAGAGATTCAGTCAAATTATGTCAAAAATATTGTGCTTCTAATTCGTCCATCCAAAACCAAAAGACACAGTGTTCCACTAATCATATCAACATCTTTGGTAATTTGACTTAATAACAAATACGCAGCACTCAAATTCGGATAATTCAACCAGAATTGCGCAGGTACATAATAAACAAGTAGAAATGTCATAAGTGTTAGAATTTGGCTGATTGACATGATTATTGTGGTGATTATAAGTTTTCTCATATTTTCCGTGACTTTTGATAACTTTGACATAAGAATTATGTTTGAGATAACTATGAAAGCTATTGATGGGATTATTGTTATAATTCGAAAAAGGGACGTTCGAATATATGGGATATTATGAACGTATACAACTTGAACATAACTAATTGAAATTTGCGTGTAAGCTGGACCTGTTAATGTTGGAGATGAGAAGAATACAGATAATATAATCTGAGCAATGATTAGTTTATGAAGATGACGCTTCCAAAACTGCAAATAATATAATGAACTCAACAGATACATAATTAATTATCAACTCACATGTTTATGCTCCAGTGGTTTCACTACACTTGTATATCGATTAAGACACAGCAAAACCAACGAAAATGATTTCATGAATTGGAAAAACATGTAGAAAAAGAAATGCGGTGTTAAAAAATAAGTTGGCTTTGTGAAGTGTCTCATCATAAATTCGCAATAAATATCGATATAAGCCATTGCACGAGGAATCGCAAAATCACCCAAAATGTAAAATAAATTTGAAACACCATCGACCAAATAAATTGTGAAGAACGCGTCGGAATACTTCTCGTTGTTTTTGAAAATTACTCGATAGGTGAATTTAAGATAAATCAAAACGAATGGAAGCATATATAATGTTTGAAATATGAAATAGGCAAAATGTGAAGGGGCACAAGTATTGTTTTCAGAATTGAACATTTTTTATGTGGTTAATGAAAAAAAAATTATGGCAACATTATGAAAAAAAGTTTGAGAAATCAGAATTTCTGAAGCGTATGCAAATTGTTTTTGAGCAAGTTACATCAAGAATATTTAATCGAACAATAGATTATTTGAAAATGCCAAATCTTTTGCATGATCAAAAGATCAAAGAATATTTAATAATTTATTTATTACTGATGAAAATAGTACTTCTAACTCTGCCATCTAAAATCAACAAACAAAGCGGACCACTAATCATATCAATATCTTTTGTGATTTGCCAGAATAGAAAAACGGCCACAGATGATTTCTGATTCTCAATCCAATAACTAGTCGGCACAAAGTACACCAGCAAAAAGGATAGAAATGTTAGAAGTTGGCTGAATGACATGATAATTGTGGTTACTGTGAGTTTTCTCATATTCTCTGTGATTTTTGATAATTTCGAAACAAGGATAATATTTGAGATTATCACAAATGCTATTGATGGAATTGTGATAATAATTTTGAAGAGAGAGGTTCGAATATAAGGGATATTATGAACATAGTCAACTTGTGCGTAGCCAAATGAAACTTTTGCAAAAGCCGGGCCTGTGAGAGTTGGAATTGAGAAAATTGCGGATAATATAATCTGAGCAACGAGGAATTTGTTGAGATTTCGCTTCCAGAACTGTAAAAGACCTTTTTTTAAGTTTTCAGATGAAAACTTAGTACATGGTTATGTCCAACTGGCAACATTACACTGGTATATCGATTAAGGCATAGTAAAATCAATGAAAATGATTTCATAAACTGCAAAAACATATAGAAAAAGAAATAGGGGTTTAGAAACCAGGTGGGTTCGGGCAAAAGTTTATCCCATGCGATTTAACCCATTTTCTTAACCCATGTTGAAAAAATTTTCCCATGTTGTGATTAACCCATGTTGATTTAACCCATGTGTTTTTGGTTATCCCATGTTCACATTTAACCCATTTTTTTCAGTTAACCCATGCTTTTCTGGAATTCTTTTTTGTCCATCGTTGAATGGGAGCATAGTTCAAACTCGATTTTTGAGCTGTACTAGTACGGATATTAGGCTTAGGCTTAGTAAAACGCCCAGAAGGGTGCAATTTTGAACTAAGGACGTTTGCGTAAAATTTTTTCCTAGCATGAGTATTCAATTTTCTGAAATTTCGATTAGTTCAGTTCAAAATGGCACCTTTCTGGACGTTTTACTAAGCCTAAGCCTAATATCCGGACTTGTAAAGGCCAAGAATCGAGTTTGCACTTATCTGTCATTCAAGGCTTGGGCTTCGAAAAAATATTGCCCTCCAATTTCAGGTTCTGAATACGGCATGAGCATGGGTTAATTGCAAAAAAATGGGTTAAATGTGAACATGGGATAACCAAAAACACATGGGTTAAATCAACATGGGTTAATCACAACATGGGAAAATTATTTCGACATGGGTTAAAAAAATGGGTTAAATCGCATGGGATAAACTTTTGCCCGGTGGGTTCTCCTAAAATTCGCAAAATCCATTCACAATAAATGTCAATTGATCCTACAAAGCGAAGAATCGCGAAATCAGCCAGAATAAAAATTAGATTCGAAACTCCATCGATCAAATAAATTGTATAAAATGCGTCGGAATAAGTGCCATCGCGCTTGAAAATAACTCGGAAAATGAATTTGATGTAGATCAAGACGAAGGGGAAAATGTAGGATACTTGGATGATCAAAAAGATGAAGCTTGAAGGTGCGCAAGTATTGTTTTCTGTGCTAAACATGAAGAAAAACCTGATATTTTTGTTGATATTGAAAAAAAGAGAGAAAAAACGAGGGTTTCTGAAGCGTGCTTAAATTGTTCAGAGGTTGTTTCGTCACTGAACTTCCTTCTGATCAAACTACATACAATGCAATTTTTTACTTGATTTTGTTTTGGATTTTCAGAGAAGTTTTACACTAAATTTTCTTTTTCGATTTTTTTGGCCTTGAAAGAAGTTTTGAAAATGAAAAAATTTGTCATGGAATTAAACTTCCAAGCTTGATTTTTCACATTTTTGAAACAGCAACTTTTATTCTCTAGAAAAATGAGTTCAGAAGGTCAGAGACGCAGAGAAGCTAGACAAAAACCCGTCTAAATTCTCTCACAAATCCCATCAAAAACGGGTTGAATTTTGGGCCAAGCAAACGGTGTAAAATGATCGGCTCCATCCACATATTCCAATCCGCGTTCGTCGAAAAATTGAAATATCTCCTCCGGAGCCCAGGGATTTCGTGTGAAATTCGAAAATGCGTCGAAATATTCGCATTTTTCCCCGCAAAATTTGGCCAATTTTCGATGGCGAGCATCTCCGATTTTTTTGTGATGTTTGAGGCGTTGAGAGTAGATTTTCTGGAGAAAAAAATCTAGAAACATACAGTAACCCAGGAACTCACATCAATCTCATCAAAGCTCGTATGATTCTTCAAAAAATCATTAAGCCTTCGGACACCACTCGGAATCGTCACGGCATTTTGAATGAATATTTTGTGTCGCACAAAATTGCGGATTCTCGAAATTTGAGATTTGGCGAATTCCAATTCGCGATCCAAATTTTTGAAAATCGGAAAATATTCCTCATGATTCTCACAAAAATCACCGCATTTCGCGATCAAAAACACAAAATCGAAAAGCTCGGATTGGATTTTCCCATATGAATTTGGCCACATTTTTGGGCATTTTCCTTGCGCGAATCCTTGATGCAAAAAATCGCAGCCTGGATGTGAGACTAGCCAGATTTGCCGCGATTTTTTGCGGCATGATTTGATGATTAGGGGGGCCAGATTTGTGGCATAACTGTTGCCGAGAATTAGGATTTTGTAGGGAGCAGATGAGGAGAGATTCTGGAAAAAAATTTAGGATCAAATTCGGTAGATCAAAATTTAACTTCAAAAATCCCTTACCCTAACTTTACACAATCCAAACGGCTTTAAATCCCTTCTCTCATAATCGCATTCTTCGCGCATCAAAAATTCATTCTCCTTCAACGTCCACTTCGTATTCAGCTCCATAATCTCTTCCAGACTCAAATTTTTCGAATTTCCCGCCAAAAATATCGAATTCCTCTCACCACTCACATTATTTTCCGATAAATTCCAATAAAAATTGTGAATTTCTTGTCTCCAAATTGAGCCAACACAAAAAATCAATAAAATTGCGCATAAAATGGATTGTGAAGTTCGTGTAAGTCTAGTTGTATACCATTTTTCATAGGTTTCATGAATTATAATTGCGAGGAAAATTGAGAGGATTAAAAATGGGAGTTTGGGTAACTCGTAGAATTTTGAATAGCAATAAATTGGCCAATGAATCAAGTATAGAGAATATGATATATTTCCAATATAAATCATTATTTTATTTGATAAAATTTGATTATTTTCTGATATTAATATGAGCAATGCTGTTATTATTGTGATAAATATTCTGGAAAAATTATTTTTTGAAACAGTAGATTTTTTTAAGAACATTACTTGTGACACACATTTCTAGATCAAAATTTTGTGCTGAAAATCATGGGAATCTTGAATTTCAAAGTTTTTCAAAAGTTTCAGCACAAAATTTCAGGCGGAAAATTATTGGAAACTCAAAAAAGAACAACAATAATAATTTTTGAAAAAAAGTTTGGAAAAAATTATATTTGTTTTTGAAACAGTAGATTTTTTTAGAAAATTATTGGAATTATGAAATTTTTCAAATTTAATTTAAATTCAACATATATATTTTTTTTTAATCAAAATTTTGTGCTGAAAATCAAGAAAATCTTGAATTTCAATGATTTTCAGCATTTTCAGCCGTTTCAGCACAAAATTACAGACGGAAATATTGGAAACTAAAAAAAAAACAGCAACTAATAATTTTTGAAAAAAGTTTGAAAAAAATACAATTTTTTGAAACAGTAGATTTTTTTTAGAAAATTATCTGAATTATGACATTTTTCAAATTTAATTTCAGGTGACAAGTATTTTTCTATATTAAAATTTTGTGCTAAAAATCATGAAAATCTTGAATTTTAAGCATTTTCAGAAGTTTCAGCACAAAATTACAGGCGGAAATATTGGAAACTAAAAAACAACAACTAATAATTTTTGAAAAAAGTCTGAAAAAAATAAAAATTTTTGAAACAGTAGATTTTTTTTTAGAAAATTATCTGAATTATGACATTTTTCAAATTAAATTTAAATTCAACATATATTTTCTAGATCAAAATTTCGTGCTGAAAATCATGGTAATCTTGAATTTCAAGGATTTTCAGCAGTTTCAGCACAAAATTTCATGTGGAAACATTGGAATCTCATACAACCAAAAGGAAATTATTTTTTAAAAAAGTTTGAAAAAATACAATTTTTTGAAACAGTAAATTTTTTTAGAAAATTATCTGAATTGTGACATTTTTTCAAATTTAATTTAAATTCAACATATTTTTTTAGATCAAAATTTCGTGCTAAAAATCATGAAAATCTTGAATTTTGAGGATTTTCGGCATTTTCAGGTGTTTCAGCACGAAATTTCAGGTGGAAACATTGGAATCTCAAACAGATAGAAGATAGTTATTTTTAAAAAAAGTTTGAAAAAAATAAAAATTTTTGAAACAGTGGATTTTTTTTAGAAAATTATTTGAATTGTGAATTTTTTCAAATTTAATTTAAAGTCAAAATATATTTCTAGATCAAAATTTTGTGATGAAAATCATGAAAATCTTGAATTTCAAGGATTTTCAGCAGTTTCAGCACAAAATTTCATGCGGAAAAATATTGTAAGCTCAAAAAAAAACAACAACTAATAATTTTTGAAAAAAAGTTTGAAAAAAATAAAATTTTTTGAAACAGTAGATTTTTTTTTAGAAAATTATCTGAATTATGAAATTTTTCAAATTTAATTTCAGGTGACAAGTATTTTTCTAGATTAAAAATTTGTGTTGAAAATCATGGCAATCTTGAATTTCAATGATTTTCAGAAGTTTCAGCACAAAATTTCAGGCGGAAATATTGGAAACTTAAAAACCAACTAATAATTTTTGAAAAAAGTTGAAAAAAATAAAAATTTTTGAAACAGTAGATTTTTTAGAAAATTATCTGAATTGTAAATTTTTTCAAAATTTTAAGAAGTGTGATTTTTGAAACAACAATTTGTGTTACCTCACAATTCTCTCCGGATATTCAAATCCCACAAAAAGCATCAAAATTGTCACCAATAACAGCCAAGTTTGTGCATTTTCATAGGTTTTCTGCTCTTTTTCCTCTTCAAAATCCAATAATTTCTCCAAATCCTCCTTATTTTCCTCTTCTTTTTCATTTTCAGCCAAAAAATACACCAAAAATCCAGCTAAAAATTGCCAAATCCTCGCAAAAACACTATAAAATGCCGTGCTTTTTGAAGAAATCAAATAAAAAATCAATGAAATTGCAGAGAGCAATAAATATGTTTTTTTGAAATTTTCAGATTTTCCCGAAATCGATAAAATAGTGTAGAATACAATAGGAATCATGAAATAAAATTGAATTTCAACAGAAAGTGACCAAGTATGAGTGAAGAGATTTTCAGCAATTTTCAGCAAAATATAATAATCATCCTCCAAATTCGAGAAATCATTTGAGACGAAAAATATGGATTGTTTTGCTGATTTTTGATTGGTTTCAATGAATGTTTCGGGAAAAATTGAGGGAAAAATCAATAAAAATTGATTGATTAAAATTAGAAAATAATAATTGGGTAGAATTCGACAAAGTCGACGTTGATAAAATTCGAAGATTTTCGAAATTATTGATTGATTTTGATTTTTGGAGAGAATTTGACACATCAAATAACCAGATAATACAAAAAATCTGCAAAAAAAAATTTTTTTAGGGATTTTTTCGCGCCGAACAAAACTCACTGATCAACACCCAAAAATCCATTGGGAAAAAATTTCGGGAAAAAATGAAAAGCCAAAACTGAAATGATAGCAATCGCTCGAATTCCCTGCAAATGCCCTTTTTTCGACATTTCTGCAATTTCTAGCTCTGGAATTTGAAATTTGACCAAACTTCATTTATTCAGACCATTTCATCTGGTTGAATTTACAATTTTGATCGAATTTCGAGATTGAAACATCAATGCAGAAAAAAGTTGATTTTTTAAGAAACTCATTAATTTTTCACCTCATTTCGTTTTTTTGATGAACATCTTTGAACAAATTTGGAACCTCAAATACTACATTTTTTGTTGGATGATTAAATCAAAAGTTCGAAAAATTTTGAGACAGTAAAAGTTTTTTTTTAGAAAAATTTTCGAAATTTTAAAGGTGTGGCACAATTTTTTCCTCTAAATGTTGCAGTTTTCCTTGTTATCAAACTACATATATTTAGAGTTTGAACTCTGAAGTCCCAGAAATTAGTTGTCCATATTTTTCCCTCAAAAATTGCTAATGTCTTATCTCCGCGTTTCCATGAGTAAAAGCATCATAAAAAGTTTCTCACAAACAACGAATAAGATAAGAGCAATCTCATTCGAAGCACAAGACAAATGAAGAATCATTTTTTTGTACTTTTTTTCTCGATTTGGTTACAATCAACTGCTCTTGCAACGTTATGTAACGATGGTTTCACACTAGTCAACAATAAATGTCTGCGGGTGGGTTAAGACAATTCACTTTTAAAAAAATGGCAGCTTTTACAGTTGATAACTTCTGATTATACACGTGAAAATGCTCGACAACAATGCAATCTTCTTGGTGGCAACATTGTTTCAATTTACAATTCCATCGACAACACCGCGATCGCTCAATTCTCAACATCTAGCGCTGATCCAATCTGGATTGGTCTAAAATGTTCTGTCGATCATGATCCATCAAATTGTCTTTGGGATGATCAATTGGGAAATGCTTCAACTTACAATAATTTCATTGCGGGAAATCCTGTAAACGAGATTGGATCGTGTGTTTATATGTTGACATCAGGAAGTTTGCGTGGGAGATGGTTGAGTGGACAGTGTGATTCAACTCAAATCAGCGCGGTATGTGAAAGTGACCCAATTGGAAAATGCACTTATCAATACAATAATAATTGCTATTACCCGATTGGTGAATTAGCAGAACCTGATGCTTTGAATGCTTGCAAACAAAATTGCGCGGGTGGACTTGTCTCAATTCATTCGGCCGCTGAAAACGCGTTTATTGCTAGCTTATTCACCGACCCATCAAAACATTATATCCGAATCGGCGCTCAATTATCAACAAGTAATGTGAATTCGTGGATTCGAATATCGGATACCAAAATCGAGGATTAGGATCTTGTTATAGTCTATCAATGATAAATGAAGTGGCGGCACCTGGAAAATGGATTAGCTCGAATTGTTCATTGCAATTACCATCGATTTGTAAATGGAAATCTGGCTCGAGTTGTATTGCACCAACACTTGCACCATCACAATGCACATCTCCGGTTTATTTATCAGATAGTGGAACTGTGAGTTTTTTGGAGTCTAATGACGTCATCTCAGACAGAGAAAGACATCGCTTCGAAATATTTTTGAGAAAATGTGTGTCCCTTTGAAAAAATACCGTATTTTGTTTCAAGGAACACACATTTTATTGAAAATATCTCGCCACGAAATTCATTTTCGGGATATTTTCGTAAAATACTCTCGCCGTCTCGCGTCTCACTCAAAGGGCGCCATGTATGGTCGTGGTTAAAGGCGGTCAGATAGCTATTCCGGTTGACGGAGACCACCCACGAAGCCTCTGACTTTAACCGGGCTAAACTTGAACCAAACAAAAGATAGAGATGAAATATTGTGAAAATATGAAACTTCAAATCTTCCTGTGCAAAAGTGCGTCGCGGTGTTTGCACACACACACAAATCCGCTGGGCGTGGGGCAATTTGAAATTTTGAAAACACAAGATTTTCTCAGCTCGTATTAACTTTCATGATTCTCAGCTCGTATTAACTTTCATGATTTTTTCATAATGAACTATTTTTGACACTAAGCTTTGAGGAAAACCGGAATAATTGTCTAACTGCCTTTAATAAATTTCAGATATACTCACCAAACTATCCGTATTCTTATACATCTTCTGGTTCGAACCCATGTTATTATATAATAACTGTCTCCTCGTATAACGCTGTTTTATGGTTTGATGAATTGATTTTAGACTCGGTGAGAAAAAACTTTAATATTATTGAAGCGGACAAAAAAAATGAATTCATTACAGAAATCAACTATTGAACTATACTCTAGTTTGGATAGTTCAACTCCATTTTCTGTTATCGATCAAACTACACAATCCAATTACACGTCAACAATCCTTTCACCAACAAATGTGATTAAAATCGTTTTCAAACCATGCACTTCGAATTGCGATCAAAGTATCAATTATAAATGGAAAGCAAAGTTTGGCCGACAATATAATACGATATGTGGATCTTGGCAGAATACAAATGGCTATATAACTTCGCCAGGTTATCCAAATAACTACCCAAACAGTTATGCGTGTGATTATTATCTTCAAAATCCATCAGGCCGGTGAGACTACAATATTCTAGATACATAATTCGTTCTCCTCATCATACAGAATTCAAATTCATTTCGACAGTTTCAACACAGAATATGGTCACGATTATCTGTCAATTTACAACGGACAAAGCAGTTCTTACACACGTTTGGCTGCTCTTTCAGGTCTTTATGGATCGAATACAAATCTGACTTTTACTTCGTCATCCAATTATCTTTACATGACGTTTAGAACTGATTCGGATGTTGCGTTTTCTGGTTTCAGCGCAAGATTTTATAGCTATCCTTGATGTGTCAATAAATATCGTTACAATGCAAAAACCAAACTACAAATTCGTGCAATTGTTTTACTGCTTTTTTCTTATCTCCGCACGTTGATGAGTACACTCAAAATCATTTCACAAACAACGAAAAGATAAGAGCAACTTTACTCTAGTTTCTAAGGCAACGGCAATCGAACCTGTGATCCTTGAGTTCATTATGATGAATATTTATTATTCCTCTCAATTTTCAAAATTAAATACAGGATGATCAATAAACTCGACTTGACAAGATTTCGATGAAAAACAAGCTTCACCAGCTCCTTCCAACTCCACAAAAATCACCAAATTCTCGCCGACTTTCAAAAACTCCTTGGGTACATACAGTGTGATTTGTGGTCCTGCAGTCGGCCAATATCTTCCCACATTATGCCCATTGATTATAATAATTCCCTTATTCCAACCTTGTGTATTGATCCACGTGTCAATTGGTTTATCGACTTGTAAAACACCGGTGAATACACCTTGTTTTTGATTTGGATTGAGATTTTTATGGAGTCTTGATTTTCTATGGATTCGAGAATTTTGAAGTGGAAGATTTATTGGGCACTGCTTCCATCCGGTTACTTTTTGACCATCCAAATAAACATCAGAGAGAATTCCCTGAATTCAAAGAACTTTCAACTTCAAATTCCAGGCCAGCCCTTACCTTATGATCAATAATAGTTTCAAAAGTTTTTCTTCCCTGTGATTCCACTAAAATAAATAAATCATGCTCCTCTGAACTCTCTTCTGAACCTTCACAAATCAAATCCAGATCCAAAGAATGTTTCGAAATATTATAATATTGTCGAACAAGTGTTCCTTGGAATTTTTTGTCCACATAAACATAGGCGAAATCGCCGAATTGGGGGATTGAGAGGTTTAGGCCGGATTGAATTTTCTGGAATTTTGGATATAAGAAATTCCGTTCTACTTTTCAACTTGAAATGTTTTTTTGAAAAATTTGCAAACGTTTAAAAGTTTGTTGAAACAGTAGATTTTTTCTGATCTAATCCGAAGAAATAATTATGAACTTTATTTTTCTCTCGAAAAAAACAACTTTTTTCTTGAAACAGTAGATTTTTCTTCAAAAATTTTTTGATTCGGAAAATCTACTGTTTCAAAATTTTTTAATTATTTCACCGGAAAAAAAATTTTGATAATAGGCGGATCATCATATTTTGAAACAGTAAATTTTCATTTTTTTTTTCGAAATGTTTTTTATACAGAAATCTACTGTTTCAAATTTTGTTCAATTTTTCAAAATTAAAAATTTCACAATCGATGAATCAAATAATTTTTGAAACAGTAACATTTTTTATAATGTGACTTTATCAGAAAACTTAAAAATTTCTATGTGAAAAAAACAAAATTTTGAATATTTTTTTCAAAAATCTACTGTTTCAGAAAATTTCTAATTATTTTCTCATTCTCAGAAAAATAGTATTGATTGTTCATCATTTTTGAAACAGTAAATTTTCAAATTTTTTTCAAAATTGTTTTTCTACAGAAAATCTACTGTTTCAAATGTTGTTCAATTTTCCAAAATCAAAAACCTCACATTAATTTCCATGTTGAACGAAAAAAATATTTTTCAAAAATCTACTGTTTCAAACAATTTCTAATTATTTTCTCAGAAAAAAACGCTTGATTGAACTGAAAACCCGAATTTCCAATTAAAAATTAAACATTTTTTGAAACAGTAAATTTCTCAATTTTTTCTCGAAAATGTTTTGATTCAGAAAATCTACTGTTTCAAATTTTGTTCAATTCTTAACCTCTTTATGAAAACATGTTGGAATCGAAATGTTCACAATAAAGAAATCAAATAATTTTTGAAACAGTAAACATTTTTCCAGAAAATTTAAAAATTTCCGTGTTGAACAAAATTTTAATTATTTTATAAAAATTTACTGTTTCAGAAATCTAATTAGATATTTTCACACAATTAAAAATATTATCATCTTTATTGGAAACAGTTGATTTTTTTTCTGAATTTTTTGAAACAGTAAATTTTTTGCAGACGAATTTTTTGTTTTTAGTTTTCTACAAAACCTGCGTCAACAAAACCCCCATGGCGCATTTTTTGTAGCTCATTTCCTCACCGTCATATAAGCAACAAGTCCCATTGGATGATCCAAATTCTCAAAATTCACAGGACTCTCGCTCTCCACACAACCTCCCAAAACTCCTTCAAAATCGCCATGTGACAATCGCATTTTCACATTTCCATATCCGAATTTCTCATTATTTCCCGGCACATCCAAAGGAGCATTTTTCCAATCCGCCAAACTCTTAATCCATTTTCGAATCTCCAAATAATTCGCAGTTATATCGCCAGCTTCAGAAATCGGAGCTGTATAATCGTAGGAGGTTATACAGGGTGATTCGGTCTCGGCGCCATTCCAGAATCCGAAATTTGTTCCGCCGTGGATCATGTAGAAATTGATGTTTCCACCGAGAGCGTAGATTGCTGGAAATTTTAGATTTTTTTCTCTGGAAGCTACACAAAACGCGTCAGCAATTCTAGAAGCTACACAAAATGCGTCAGCAATTCTAGAAGCTACACAAAATGCGTCAGCAATTCTAGAAGCTACACAAAATGCGTCAGCAATTCTAGAAGCTACACAAAATGCGTCAGCAATTCTAGAAGCTACACAAAATGCGTCAGCAATTTTAGAAGCTACCAAAAATGCGTCAGCAATTCTAGAAGCTACACAAAATGCGTCAGCAATTCTAGAAGCTACACAAAATGCGTCAGCAATTCTAGAAGCTACACAAAATGCGTCAGCAATTTTAGAAGCTACCAAAAATGCGTCAGCAATTCTAGAAGCTACACAAAATGCGTCAGCAATTCTAGAAGCTACACAAAACGCGTCAGCAATTCTAGAAGCTACACAAAATGCGTCAGCAATTCTAGAAGCTACACAAAATGCGTCAGCAATTCTAGAAGCTACACAAAATGCGTCAGCAATTCTAGAAGCTACACAAAATGCGTCAGCAATTCTAGAAGCTACACAAAATGCGTCAGCAATTCTAGAAGCTACACAAAATGCGTCAGCAATTCTAGAAGCTACACAAAATGCGTCAGCAATTTTAGAAGCCACCTAAAATGCGTCAGCAACTTCAGAAGCTACCAAAAATGCGTCAGTGCACTCACCTTTAGCACCATTCAAAATCGTCTGAATTCCAGGAAGACTCTGAGTTTTCTGTCCCCACAAAACCAGCCATCCTGGATAATATTCCGAGTTCACAATTGGAGCTGTTGGATCGAATTTTTGCTGGAGCTTGAAATATTCCGAAATTTCAGTTGTGTTATCTGTTGGACCAAAGTCTACTGTAGTAAGGACTCCGGAAACGGAACCACATTTTAAGAGACGCTCTTGAGATCCATCGGCTGAAAAATTGGAAATTGGAGTAATTTTCAGCATTTCGAGGGTTTTTAGAAAGTTACACGCACTTTTGAAACTCGAAAATTAACCAAAATTCAGCAAAAACCCTAAATTCCATTTTAAAAAATTCCAATAAAAATTCACTGTTTCAAAATTTTATTTTCAATTTTCAGGAAAATTTTGAAATTGTTCAACCCTGTATTTTTTTGAAGTTGTGGAAGTTATTAAGAAAAATAAATAATTTTCCAATGAAGCTCCAGATTTTCGAAACTATTTTTGGAGATTTAAAATATTTTCAGGCTCTGGAAATTATCCAGAATTGGCAAAAACTCTAAATTTCACTATGAAAAACTCACTGTTTCAAAATTCCATTTTTAATTTTCAGAAAATGTTGAACATGTTTTACAATTAAATTAGTATTCAATAAATTGTTTTTCAATAGAATTCTAGATTCAAAATATTTTCAGCCTAATATTTCTAGAAAAACCCCTAAATTTCACAATAAAAAGTTCACTGTTTCAAAATTTCTAATAAAATTTTCAGGAAAATTTTGATTTGCTCAATGGTTATTTTTAGGTGGTGGAAATAATTAAGAAAAATCAATAATTTTCTATGAATCTCCAGATTTTCGGACCTATTTTTGGAGATTTTAAATATTTTCAGCCTAATTTGTTACTCTGGAAATAATCCAAAATTCAAAAAAAAACCCCTATAAAAATTTACTGTTTCAAAATTTTATTTTTAATTTTTCTGGAAAATTTTAATTCGTTCAGCATTTGTACTCTGGAAATAATCCAGATTCTTTTAAAAAAATCATCAAATTTCACTATGAAAAATTCACTGTTTCAAAATTTCTCTTAAAATTTTCAGGAGAATTTTGATTTGCTGTGGAAATATTTAACCAAAATAAATAATTTTTCATGAAGTTCTAGATTTTTGGAACTATTTTTGGAGATTTAAAATATTTTCAGCCAATTTCAGGCTCTGGAAATAATCCAGAATTGGCAAAAACTCTAAATTCCACTATAAAAAATTCACTGTTTCAAAATTTCATTTTCAAATTTTTGGAAAATTTTGAACTTGTTAAGCTCTTTTTGAGAATTGTTTGAAAAAAAAATCCTATAAAATTCTAACTATTTTTAGAGATTCAAACTATTTTCAGCCACAAATTCGGCTCTGGAAATTATCCAAAATTCAAAAAAAAATCCTATAAAAATTTACTGTTTCAAAATTTTATTTTCAATTTTCAGGAAAATTTTAACTTGTTCTATCCGTATTTTTTTTTTAGAAATAATTAACAAAACTGTTTTTTTCTAGAGATTTAATATAATTTCAGCCAAATTTCAGGCTCTGAAAAATCCCAAACTTTTAAATTTTCTAAAACTCACTAGTAAACATCAAAACACTATCTCCCACAATTTCCCTCGTTGTATCGCGCAAAAATTCCAGATACTTCTGATCACACGCATCATAACTTCCATACTCATTTTCGATTTGAAGCATCAAAACTGGACCTCCGTTTTTCCGAAGAAGTGGCTGGATTTTGGGGAGAAGTTGGCGGAACCATTTGGCGACTTCGGCAGTGTAGCTGGAAGAAAAATGGGACTAATATGAGCAATATAAAATTATTTTCAAAAATTTCTAATTTTAGCTTAGAAGCTCGAGAGTTTAACCTGAGCAATCTGATGTTTTTCCCCATAAAATTCAAACTCACACTTCATCCGAACTCCTCAACTTCTTCACATTTTTCTTCAACAACCAATACGGTATTCCACCATTTTCCCATTCTCCACAAACATACGGTCCAATTCGTAAAATCGTGAAAAGTCCCAATTTCTCAGCGATCCTCGAAAATTCCACAAAATCCAATGAGCCCGAGAAATCGTATCTGGAAATGAAACACCCATTTTATATTGGCTATTTTCGACGGTGAAGAAAAAGAGATAGGTGGCCGAGTGGTGAACACTTTCGCGTAGCGTACGTGCAACCAGGGTTCGATCCCGCTTGCCCGCAAACTTTTTTTTGTTTTTTTTAAACTCACTTTCCCTCATAGGTCTCATGCAGATTCCAGGGAATATAATAATAAATCGCGTTGAATCCAAGCGCTCGAACTCTTTTCAGCCGATCTTCCCAATAGGTTCGCGGAATGCGGAAATAATGAATCGATCCGGAAATGTAGCGGAAAGGTTGACCGTCGAGTAGAAAGGTTTTGGTGGTTTCGTCGATTTGGAACGATTTTTCATTGGGCACTATTTGTCTGGAAAATGAGATGTGTGATGCGACGCGGTCTGCGTCACGTGTAGGGGTACTGTAGCGCTCGTCTAAAGATCAAGTTCAAAAAAAAACATTATACACGGCGATATTATCAACCACTGACGTAAAAAAAGTGATAAAAGAAAACCTGCTTCAACATTTTTTTCTCAAATGAAAGTTGATCTGTTCCTAGCCCAAAATTTTTGACCTTGGGAAAAACTTTCTACTCGACAAGTATAAAAGCTATGGAAAAAAATATAAGATTATACTAAACATGAAATTATTTTTGTCTTTTTTGATCTTTCTGATGTTATTGGCAATTTCTGAAGCTTGCCATCCATCGAGAAGTTCGTCGACAACAACAACTTCAGCGCCAACAACAATTAGAACTTCAACTGCAAGATCTACTGAAGCTCCAGCTACAACAACTTCAGCCGGTGCTTCTGATACTGAGACTACAACAACTACAGAAACTACGACGACAACTGAAGCCACAGCAACCATTATTTCAGGAAGTGTTAGTGTTAGTGGAAAGAAAAAGTGATTTTTGTTCGAAAATATTTATTTTTATTGTTTATAAACTGTTTTGTTTTTGAAATTTTCAAAAAAAAAACATTTGGCGATAGCTTCGCCACCGCCCGAAAGCGATAAACACACAGCGCACACGAGTATATATATTTCTAGTGTGCCCGACGGTTCGCGGGTTGCGCGCGCCGCCGTTGTTTGTTTGCAAAATGGGCGGGGCTTGTTTTGAGTGCGCGCGTTTTTTCGCTTGAAAGATTGAATTTTGCTGAAATTTTGCTGAAAATGAATGAAAACTACAATTTTTTGTGAAGTTTGGTTCAAAAAAATATGATACAAAGAATAAATATCATCTTTTTTTTATCATCAAGTTTGAAAGAAAAAATTATTTCCTCAAAAAGATATTTTATCCATTTTCCGTCCTTGAAGAACTTGAAATTTTCGAAACAAAAAATTGGTATAAATAGGATTATTGAGATCAGAAAAAAAACCAAGATCCAAAATGAAACTCATCTTCTCACTTGCTATTATTCTCCTAATATTCTTGACAATCTCTGAAGCTTGCCATCCATCGAAAAGTGCGTCGAGTAGAACAACAACTTCAGCGCCAACAACAACATCTACTGAAGCTTCAACTACAACTTCAGCGGATGCTTCGGAAACTACTACGACGACAACTGAAGCCACAGCAACTATTATTTCGGGAAGTGTTAGTGTTAGTGGAAGGAAAAAGTGAATATTGTTGGTTGGACAAATATTTATTTTTGATTTTTTTTTGGATTACTGTATAAACTGTTTTTGTTTTGAGAAATTTAGGACTGTCAGTCAAAAAATGTCGAAAAAACATTGTAGGTCAAAATTAGTTTTTCGAGTTTTTCAGCCAAAAATGATGACAAATCAATATTTTTCAAGTTTCTGGAGTAATTTCTGATGAAAAAAAGCTTCGAGAACCCTATTATGCTTTATTTTATGAATTTTTTCGAAATTCATCAAAATTTAAAATTTGTTTATTTTACGAAAATTGAGCAAAAACTTCTGGAAAGTGAATTCCAAGGTCAATTTCAATCAGAAATTACTCCAGAAGCTTCAAAAATATCGATTTGTCATCATTTTTGGCTGAAAAACTAGAAACATTAATTTTGACCTACACGGAAAAATAGTTAAGTTAACTGTAAGTTGAAGGAAAGTTAGCCTAAGGATTATTCAAGTCACCTTTCAAATTTTGTTGGTTACAGTACTCTCTAGAGCCCAGGGTTACTGTACTGTAATAATGTTTCAAGACTGCAAAAAAAGATCAATAAATTTTTTCTCGATTCACAGAAGAGTACTGTAAATTTTCTAAAACAAAGAAAATTTCTATGAAATCCCGTGATTTCCAAACCAAACCTGATCTATTTTTTTTGCTGAAAAATGAGAAAATTGATAAGCCGAGATAATTTATTTGTTTATTATCTGGAACAATTTGAGATGGACTAACACAAACTGAGAGGAAAAAAAAGATTACTGTAGAATTATCAAAATTTACTGTGAAAAATTGGGTTTTGGATACGATTGTAGATCACACAATTTGCTTGATCTAGGGATACTGTAGAAGAATGTTCAGAATTCGAAACTTTTCACATAATTTATATAACCATAACAAATAACAAATAGAATCACAAGAAAAAACGATCCAATATTTTTTGATTTTCTCTCTTTCGTCTCTTCTTTTTTCCCTCGGTTGAACCTGAGCCACCAGAAGGTGCTGTAGTGGTGGTAGTTGTGGGTGCAGTTGTGGTTGTAGTTGTAGTAGTAGTTGTGGTGGTTGTAGGTGCTTTGGTGGTTGTAGTTGTCGAAGCTGACATCGATGGATGACAAGCTTCAGCAGCCATCAAAACCATCAGGAAGATCAGGGCTAGATTTTTCGAAGTCAACATTTTCAGATGTTTGAGTGTGTGTGTGTGGAGAACAAAATTGCAGAAACTTCTTTTATAGTAGCAGCTGGGGAAAAATCGGATGTTCCAGAACAGATAGCTTATCATTTTTCTCATTTTTCAGCAAAAAATAGACCAGATCAGCAGGTATTTTAGAGAAGGATACGAGATCTTGTTTGTTTTAGAAAAAATCCAAGTTCGGGCTAGTTTGATTTATTTTGGAGAAGCTACCTGAAATGCGTCAGCAAATTTAGAAGCTACAAGAAATGCGTCAGCAAATCTAGAAGCTACCTGAAATGCGTCAGCAAATTTAAGAGCTACATAAAACACGTCAGCAAAATCAGGGGCTCAACAAAATGCGTCAGCAAATTTAAAAGCTACAAAAAATGCGCCAGTGATTCTAGAAGCTATCTGAAATACGTCAGCAAATCTAGAAGCTACGAAAAATGCGTCAGCAAGTTTGGAAGCTATCTGAAATGCGTCAGCAAAATTAGAAGCTACCTGAAATGCGTCAGCAAAATTAGAAGCTATCTGAAATGCGTCAGAAAATCCAGAAGCTACCTGAAATGCGTCAGCAAATCTAGAAGCTTTCTGAAATGCGTCAGTAAATCTAGAAGCTACAAAAATTGCGTCAGCAAAATTTTTGGCTACTTGAAATGCGTCAGCAATTCTAGAAACTACTTAAAATGCGTCAGCAACTCTAGAAGCTATCTGAAATGCGTCTGCAAATTTGGAAACCACCTAAAATGCGTCAGCAAGTTTGGAAGCTACGAAAAATGCGTCAGCACCCAAATCCCACAGTAATCCTCTTCTTCTACAGTAACTTAAAATTTCAACAAGAATATGATCTACAGTAATTCAGAGCCAGATCAACTACAGTATCCCTAGATCAAGCAAATTCTGTGATCTACAAATCCTTGAGTATCGTATTCAAAACCAATTTTTCACAGTACATTTTGATAATTCTACAGTAATCTTTTGTCTTCTTCTCATTTTGTGTTAGTTCATCTCAAATTGTTCCAGATAATAAACAGATAAATTATCTCGGCTTATCAATTTTCTCATTTTTCAGCAAAAAATGGATCAGGTTTGGTTTGGAAATCACGGGATTTCATAGAAGTTTTCTTTGTTTTAGAAAATTTACAGTACTCTTCTGTGAATCAAAAAAATATACATATTGATATTTTTTGCAGTCTTGAAACATTATTACAGTAGTACTGTAACAGTACAGTAACCCTGAACCCAAACAATTCTAAAGAGTACTGTAACCAACAAAATTAAAAAGGTCCTTTTGAAGTTAGGCTAACTCTCCTTCAACTTAAAGTTAACTTAACAAATTTTTTCTCCAAAACTTCAATTTGATCATTCAGCTTTTTTGTTAGAAAAACTTGATTTGTCTGATAAAAAGTGATGTTTTTGTACAAAATTTTATCGGTGTTCCGAAAAAAATGCAACAAAAATGATGGATTATCTTTCAACACACCGAAAAAAATTGAAAAAAAAATCTGGTTTCAAATGGCCTGGGTGAAGAAGATTCATCCCAAAAAAAGTGTGTATTTAATGCAAAAAAAGTGTAGTTATTAGCTTGTATTAGCTTCACAAAAAAAATCATGAAATTCTTTTTGACTTCAAAAAATCTAGCCCTGATTTCCCTGATCTTCCTGATGGTTTTGATGGCTGCTGAAGCTTGTCATCCATCGATGTCAGCTTCGACGACTACAACATCAGCACCAACTACCACCACAACAGCAGCTTCAGGCTCAGGTTCGGTCGAGGGAAAAAAGTGAAAATAATTTTTTTGTTGAGTTGAGTTGAGTTTTTCTAGTCATAAATTATTGATTATCTCGAAAATAAAAAGCCACGTGGCGTTTAATTTTCTAGAAGCTACCTAAAATGCGTCAGCAAATCTAGAAGCTATTTGAAATGCGTCAGCAACTTTAGAAGCTACAAAATATGCGTCAGCAAATCTAGAACCTACAAGAAATGCTTCAGCAACTTTAGGAGCTACTTGAAATGCGTCAGAAATCCTAGAAGCTACAAGAAATGAGCCAGCAAATCTAGAAGTTACCTAAAATGCGTCAGCAATTCCAGAAGCTACAAATTATGCGTTAGCGACTTCAGAAGCTCTTTGAAGTGCGTCAACAAATTCAAAAGCTACAAAATATGAGTCAGCAAATCTAGAAGCTACTTGAAATACGTCAGCAATTATAGAAGCTACATGAAATGCGTCAGCAATTCCAGAAGCTGCCTGAAATGCGTCAACAACTCTAGAAGCTACTCTAAATGCGTCAGCCAATCCAGAAGCTAACTAAAATGCGTCAGCTTATCTAGAAGCTACCTAAAATGCGTCAGCAAGCCTAGAGACTTCTTGAAATACGTCAGAAAGTCTGGAAACTACCCGAAATGCGTCAGCAATTTTAGAAGCTACAAAAGATGCGCCACGAATCCTAGAAACTACCCGAAATGCGTCAGCAAATCTAGAAGCTACAAAATATGCGTCAGCAAATCTAGAAGCTACAAGAAATGCGCCAACTGATCATTGATCTCAAATTTGTGTTTTAATGATCCCCATCAAACCTGTTTTTCTCATAATTCAAAGAATTTTCTTTGTAAGCTTCATCTTAACTTATCCTAACTAGATTTCCAATTTTTTATTTTTTTCAGCCAAAAAAACAATCCTGAAATTCTTATCATGGATGTTTGAAATCCCGTATCAACATGAAACAAAACTGCAAAAAAAAACTATCTAATTATTTTTTCGTCACCTCGGTGGTCAAAAATATCCAGTTTTTCTTTCTGATGCAGTGATCATAGAATTTTTTTTCGTTTTTTTTTGTTTCCCAGCAAAAAATACTGTAGGAAGCTACAGACATTCCAAAACTACACTCTAGTCAAAGAAAGCCTACAGTAATCCTCTCACATTTTCCAAAAATATCAAATTTCAAAAAATAAACAAAATTTTGGACAAAAACACGTTTATCAGAACTTTGATCTACAGTACTACTTACACTTTTAAAGGAACATAGATTTTAAAGGATCATACAGTACTCATTTCACGATTTTACTGTTTAAAGGAACATAATCTTTGGTTTCAACACGAAATTGAGAAAAATTTTAAAAGTTTATCAAGTACTGTACCTTCTTGGAACAATTTTTCCGAAACCACAGTAGCCCCAGCTATATTTAAAGGATCACACGGCCTCTCAGCATTACAGTACCCCCCCCCCTCCTCTTAAAGGAACATACCCATTCGATAAATTCCGCATCTCCCAAACTCCATATCGGGTTTCGACGCGGACTTTCCGCTCCTCTTCCGCTTGCGAAAACGCAAAAATAAGTGCGGTCAGGAAAACGGCATTCATCAAATTGTTCATTTTCGACGCGACAATTTTGGCAAAAAAATAAACAGTAGACGAAATAGGCCAGCAAAATGATAAGCGCCAAAATATTGTATTTCTGTTTATTTTTTTTGTTTTGCGGTCGAAAATAAACAGTTATCACAAAATTGTTGTTTTGGCCTAAAAAAAATTCGGTTTTTGGTAGTCAAAAAAAAAATCCAAACCTTTTCACAGCAAAAAGTGTTGAGAGTTTTGATAAGTTGTAGAGTTTCTGCGCGTGTCAATCAATCATTTTGTCACCCAAAAATTTCCAAACAGCAGCAGTTGTTATTCAATTTTATAAATAATATATTTTGAGAAATATTACTACAGATACAAAACATTATGTGGAGAAAATCAGAATTCAGAATTTTTTAATTTTTGATTTTTGGATCATTTCTCAAGATTGAAGCAAAATTTATTTGGAACATTTTTGAAACAGTGAATTTTATTTCTTCAATAACATTTCAAGCCAAATTTTTTGTTTTTCAAGAAAATTTGAAACGTAAAAATTTCTGGAAAAATTACTGTTTCAAAATTTGGATATGATACTTTTGCATTTATAAAATTAATAGCTAGAGTTATACGATTGAAAATTGCTGAAAATCCTATTTTCACCAAAAAAAAATCGTAAAAATTTCTGGAAAAATCACTGTTTCAAAATTTTAATATTAAAATTTTGTCAAAAAAACTTATCAATAAAATTTTCATCGATTTGAAAAAATAAATAAAAATGTTGCAAAAATTCTACTGTTTCAGAAGTTTCATAACAATTTTTCGTTGTTTTTGAAAATGTGATAATTAATACGTTTTCTGAAAATCCTATTTTTGCGCAATTTTTTTTCAAGTTAAACAAAACCGTGAAACATATTATTCTTCAGCTAAATTTGGTTTTCAAGAAAATTTGAAACGTAAAAATTTCTGGAAAAATTACTGTTTCAAAATTTTGGTATGAAAATTTTGTCAAAAAATGTATGGTTCTTCTATCATTTTGAAAGAAAAAAATTGTTACAAAAATTCTACTGTTTCAGAAATTTCATAAACATTTTTTCGTTGTTTTTGAAAGTTTGATTGGTTTTTTTTTAAATTCTAGTCAAGTTTAAATTGAGGCTATTTAAAATGATTTATTTTTGTGAATTTTAATTAAAAAAATTCAGCGTTTGACAAGTTTCACTGGAATTCCTTTGGATGGTTTTGCGACGACCCGAAAAATTATACTTTTTTTCTAACAAAAAATTCAAATCCCAAAATAACTTACCTCCAAACACGGCACAGTAAATCCATAATCCTCCCCCGGTAAAACCTCAAATTCCTTCAAAATCTTCGCCACAATCACTTTCTCATTCAATAATCCAAAATTCTGCCCAACACAATTTCGAATGCCCGCCGAAAATGGTACAAAATCAAAGGCACTTCGTTTCGAGACCTCATCAGGTAGAAATCTATCAGGATCAAAAATCCCAGGATTTTTGAAAACCTCCGGATTACTGTGCAGAATAATTGGGCCAATTGAAATTGTACTTCCAGCTGGAATTTCGCACTGATCAAGAAGCTTCAAAGATTTTCGTAATTTTCGTTGAAAAAATGGGATTGGTGGGGTCAATCTTTTCGACTCCTTCAAAACCCTATCCAGATATTTCAAGGCTCGAAAATCCTCTCGAGATTCCAGGGGGTTTTCTTGAAGTTCCTCCTGGTAAATGTGATTTTGAACATCTGGATTATGAGCAATGTTCCAGAGCGCAAAGGCTACACTGCTTGTTGTAGTGTCATGTCCGCCGAAGATCAGAGTGTCGATTTCTTCACGGATTTCCTCGTCAGTGAGATCTGGAAGAAAAACTTGAGTTGGATTTCTAGGCCACCGAAATTCTAGGCCATGTATGGATTTGAAATTGAGCTAGACTTGATGGTTGTTTGGATTTCTAGGCCACCGAAATTCTAGGCCATTTTTGGATTCAAAAATTCACTAATTCTTGAGATGTTTGGATTTCTAGGCCACCGAGAATCTAGACCATGTTTAGACTCAAAATATGCGTTATTGTCTAGAGGTGTTGGTTTTCTCGGCCACCAAAAACCTCGGCCATGTTTAGACTCAGAGAACTCCTGGGTTTCCAGAGGTTTTGGATTTCTAGGCCACCGAAATCTAGGCCATGTATGGATTTGAAATTGAGCTAGACTTGAGGGTTGTTTGGTTTTCTAGGCCATCCAAACCCTAGGCCATGTTTGAATTCAAAAATTCCCTAATTTTTGAGCGGTTTTTGGGTTTCTAGGCCACCGAAATTCTAGGTCATTTTTGGATTCAAAAAAAATCTGGATTTTCTGGATTTTCAGACTGAAAAATGATAAAACTATAGAAAATCTGAAAAAATTTTGAAAATAGTTTGATTTGCAAATTTTAGAATTTTTTTCAGAAAATTTCAGCTACAAAATTTCCAGTCTTTCTAATTTTTTTTGATAAACATGGATGAATTTTGCCACGTCATAACTCATACCTGGCGAATCCAGAAGATGATCCAAAAAACAGCATTTCTCTTGATCTTTATGAAATTCCACATCCGCCCTCCGCTCCTTTATAAACTTCATACTAAAATCCTTCAAAACCCTCAGATTCTCCTCAATTTTCGCCTCAAATCCCGAAAATTTATAAAAAATCGGATTTCTCAACCAAGGTTTGAACGAAAACTCGATCAATATTCTCGAAAACTCTTCGCAAGCATCAATATATTCGTGAAAATTTCGAATTTGCGAATTTGTCTGAATACCCAAAGCCGCGTCGGCAACAATATCCAAAAGACAGAATTTGATGTGCGGAAAAATGTCGAAAAATTCCGATTTGCTCGATTTTTCGTGGAGGATGTCGATGAGAATTTCTGTTTGTTTTTTGAAGATTTCGAAATATTTGGGAAGTTTGGAGAAGTTGAAGACTGGTTGGATTAGTTTTCGATGCGATTTCCAGCGTGGAATGTTCGGCCTGGAAAATATTGATTTTTTCTGATTGGAAGATTGGAAGATTTGGATTATTTTGATATCAAATATGGCCTAGTTTTCTAGGAGATTGGTTTTCCAGGCCACCAAAATTCTAGGCCAAGTTCAGACTCAAAACGAAGCTAATTTTCTCTAGGGTTTGGTTTTCTAGGCCACCGAAAACCTAGGCCAAGTTTAGACTTAAAATGAAGCTAATTTTCTGGGGTTTTTGGTTTTCTAGGCCACCAGAAACCTAGGCCATGTTTAGACTCAAAACACGCTTCATTTTCTCTAGGATTTGGTTTCCTAGGCCATGTTCAGACTTAGAAAACTCCTGAGTTTTCAGACACGCTTCATTTTCTCTAGAATTTGGTTTCCTAGGCCACCATAAACCTAGGCCATGTTTAGACTCAAAATGCTCGCAATTTCAAAGAGGACTTGGTTTTCTAGGCCACCAAAAACCTCGGCCACATTTATATCCAGAAAACTCATTTTCAAACGATTTTGGATTTCTAGGCCACCAGAAACCTAGGCCATGTTTAGACTCAAAAGACTCACAATTTCAAAGAGGACTTGGTTTTCTAGGCCATGTTTGGACTCAAAACACGCTTAATTTTCTCTAGGATTTGGTTTCCTAGGCCACCAAAAATCTCGGTCATGTTTAGACTCAAAACACGCTTCATTGTCTAGAGGTGTTGGATTTCTAGGCCACCAGAAACCTAGGCCATGTTTAGACTCAAAACACGCTTCATTTTCTCTAGGATTTGGTTTCCTAGGCCACGAGAAACCTAGGCCATGTTTAGATTCAAAATATACGTTATTGTCTAGAGGTGTTGGATTTCTAGGCCACCGGAAACCTAGGTCATGTATAGATTCAAAACACGCTTCATTTTCTCTAGGATTTGGTTTCCTAGGCCACTAAGAACCTCGGCCAAGTTTGGACTCAAAACGAAGCTAATTTTCTCTAGGATTTGGTTTTCTAGGCCACCAAGAAAATAGGCCATATTTAGACTTAAAATGAAGCTAATTTTCCGGGGTTTTTGGTTTTCTAGGCCACGAGAGATTTTCCCGAGCCAAATATCGAAATTTCTCACTCCAGCAGCAGTCCTTTTCCAATCCACGGCTCAAAAAATCGATAATCCTCCCCTTTATCCAATTCCTCATTATTCTCCAATATCACTTTCGTCATTTCTCCATCCAACGGCCAAACAAATAAATTGCCAAACAGAAAAACTCGCATGATCCTCGAGCCATTTCCCCGCTGCTCATTCGCCCAAAATTTCAGCACTTCTCCCAGATTTTCAGTCGTTTTATCCATCAAATCTGGAACGTTTCCCAAAATTCCGTGCATTTTTGGACCGGGAATCTGAATTTTCAAAAGTTTTCTAAAGGGATTTAGTTTTCAACCTACCTTTCTAGCATAATTGTAGAATTTCAGATAATTCGAAAAATATCTGAAAATGTATAGGCAGACGAAAAGGAAAAATAGAATCGCAATCATTTTTCTTCTGATTTTCAACAAAAAAAAACAGATATTTTGACAAAACAGTAAAAACTGTTCAAGTGGAAAAATTGCACTTTTCAACACGGGATGCACTTAAAACTAGTTTATTTTTAGAAACAACCTGAAAAATTAGAAATTCCATTGATTTCTGGAGTTGGACGAATTCGAGACGAGCAAAATCGATCTGAAAATGTTCTATTTTATGTCGCCAACCTGCTGGAAAAATCGAATTTCCCAGAGAAACACTTCCAGACAGTTTTTTAGCTCCAAAACATTGAAATTCCCGCCCAAAAACACTCACCATATCAAAAAACTTTGATATTTTCCAAATTCGACTCGGTGGAAACCTGAAAAACACAAATTTCAAGCAAAACCCTGGAAAAACAGCAAAAAAACCCGGGAAAAAAAACAAAAGTAAATTTTGGTGTGTGCAAACACCGCGACGCACAAATGCACAGGTGGATTTGAAAAAAACGAATTTTTTTATTGTTTTTTTCAGTTTTCTAGGTTTTTCGGGATGTTCTTGGCGGAATCGAGGAAGGAAACATGGTTGAAAATAAGGTAAGATTTAATATTAAAAATTTGAAAGCTGAAAATCCCCCAAAAACTCTCAAAATTTCCCTACAAAGTATTATTTACATCTACTTTACCTACAAAAAATTAAATACAAAAAACAAAAGTACCATTTCATCTAAAAATAAATATTTTAAATACGTGTCCTAAATTTCAGCCACGTATTCACAGAAAAACAAAAAAAAATCCAGAAACCCGCTCATTTTTCTATATCCCAACTCAACCAAACGGTTTCAAACCAGCTAGATTTATCACATTTTATTCTTATCAAAAAAAAGAGCCCAAGGAGCCAAAAATCAATAATATAGTCAAAAATGAGCAAAGAACAACAAGATCGTGGAAGATCGGTGATGGGTGAAATTGTTTCAGCCGACACAATTTCAGTTGGTATAACTACGCCGACAAGTCACGAGGAACAGGATTGGTATCACGGACTTTTGCCGAGAGCTGATATTAATTCGTGGGTTTTTTTTATTTTGGAAACAGCTAGGTTTTGGCGCCAAAATTGGTCTTGATCAAGCAATGTTGTTGGACGCGTCGCGGTCACGCGCTGCGTGTCTTCTGAAATTTTATGACGCAAAAATGCACAGAAGTTATTTGTTGGCAGCTTTCCAGTTGTCCAATCAGTAGCAGTAAAGTTGCTCTATTGCACAATCAGTTTTTCTTGGGAACCTTGGATGCGTTGCGGTCACGCGCTGCGTGTTTCATTCTTCAAGGCGTCCCGGGTTCCCAAGAAAAACTGACTGTGCAATAGAGCAATTTTGCTGCAGCTGCTTGGAGAATTGGAAAGCTTCTTCACACGCAGCGCGTGACCGCAACGCGTTGATGTTTTTGGCGGCAAATTTGAAAATCTGATTTTCTGCGCTAAAAATTAACCAAAAAATGGTTAAAATTTGAAATTTTCATGCAAAAATTGGTGAAAATTACGATTTTCACTCAAAATCTTCCAAATTTTTTCCAGAATTCTCATAAACGATGGTGATTTCATTGTCCGAAAATCGCACCGAAACACGGAAAAAGACAAGGAAAAAGACAGTGTTCAACTGGTTTTATCAGCAAAATACAAAGGAAAATGTCATCATTGGCAAATTGCTGAAAACAAGGATGGAAGTGTGATTTTGGATGAGAAGAAATTTGCGAATGTTTGTGATATGATAAATCAATTGAGATCGAAGAAGTTGCCAGTTTCAGCAAATTGTCCAGCCATTTTGATAAATCCGATTATGAAACAGGATTGGGAATTGAGACATGATCAAATTTGTTTGGGAAAAATGTTGGGTGAAGGAGCTTTTGGTGGGGTTTATAAGGCGGTTTTCTGTTTGAAATCGAAGAAATTGGCAGTGGCTGTGAAGGTGAGTGGGAAACTCAAAAAATCGATAGTTCTATAGAGCGCGCTTTCATGTTTTCATTATATTATTAAAAACTAGATGTTTAAGTCGCTCAATCAAAAATTATATTTCTTCAGAATTTTTCTGGAATTTTTGAAACAGTAATTTTTTTTGGAAAAATTGAGTTTTTAAAAATCTAAAAATTTTATAAAGTTTCCAAGAAATTTGAATTTTTCTCGAAAATTCGGATGGTTAATTAGAACGCACTTGCATTTTTTCAAAAGAAATTTTGAAAATTTTTTGCTGGAGCATTCCTTTGTCAAAAGCAAACTTTTTAACATTTTTTTGGATTTTTCTACAGAATTTATGAAATTTTTGAAACAGTGAAAATTTTGTTTTTTTTTAATTCAGAAGTTTGGGCTGTTTTTGGAAAAAAACGAAATTTTTCATTAAAAAAAATTACTGTTTCAAAAATTTTAGAAAAGTTCACATTAAATTAAATTTGTCATTGTTATTCGGAAATTTTGAACGGAATAATGCAAGTGCGCTCTATTAAACAATTCTCATCATTAAAAATCCCACCAAAATTTTTTTCGGATTTTTTGTATATTTTTTAATGTAAATTTCAAACGAAAAATGCTAGAGTATCAAAAAAAAATTTTTTCTGAAGTTTTCTAAATTTTTTGAAACAGTGATTTTTTTTCGGGGAAAATTGAGTTTTTGAATTTAAAATAATTTAAGAAGTTTCCAAGAAATTTGAAATTTTTCTCAAAAATTCGATTTTTTACTAGAGCGCACTTGCATTTTTCATTCAATATTTCCGTTAAAAAAAATTTGCTGGAGCATTCCTCATTTTTAAAGAAAAATTTTGAACATTTTTTGAAACAGTGGATTTTTCTACAGAGTATTGTGGAAATTGATTGTTTTGTTTTGTTTTCTGAGAATTTATGAAATTTTTGAAACAGTGAAAATTTTGTTTTTGAAAAATCCAGTTTTGGAAAAAAACAAAATTTTTCATTAAAAAAATTACTGTTTCAAAAATTTTAGAAGTTTAAAAAATAAAATTTTTCATTTACTTAAGTTTTATTGCTGAAGTTTTGAATGGAATAATGCAAGTGCGCCCTATTGAACAATTATCATCATTAAAAATCCAACCAAATTTTTTTCGGATTTTCTGTAAATGTTGTGATGTAAATTTAAAAGGAAAATTGATTTAGTATCAAAAAAAAAACATTTTTTTTCTGAAGTTTTCTAAATTTTTTGAAACAGTGATTTTTTTATCGAAAAATTGAGTTTTCAAATTTAAAAAAGTTTATGAAGTTTCCAAGAAATTTGAAATTTTTCTCAAAAATCGGATGGTTAATTAGAGCGCACTTGCATTTTTCATTCAATATTTCGGCCAAAAAATTGAGAGTAGAGCATTCCTCATTTTTGAAGCAAAATTTTGAAAATTTTTTGAAACAGTGGATTTTTCTACAGAGTGGAGATTGATTGTTTTGTTTAGTTTTCTGAGAATTTATGGAATTTTTGAAACAGTGAAAATTTTGTTTTTTTTTTTAATTCAGAAGTTTGGGCTGTTTTTGGAAAAAAATTTCATTAAAAAAAAATCACTGTTTCAAAAATGTTAGAAAAGTTTAGAAAAATATATTTTTTCATTAATTCAAGTTATTTCTGTAGTTTTGAATAGAATAATGCAAGTGCGCTCTATTGAACTAGGGGATTTCTAGGTAATTGTTTCAAAAACAGAAAAAAATTCTGAAGATGCAAGTGTGCTCTAATGAACTATAGATTTTTGAACAAAAATTCAAAATCTCACCAGTTTTTTTTTTCAAAATACAATTTGCAGGTGAACAAAGGCAACGATAAAATGAGTACACGTTCAATGATCGAAGATGTTTGCAAAGAAGCTCGAATAATGCGACAATATCAACATGCAAATGTCGTCAGTTTCTATGGTGTTTGTGTGGAAAAAGAGCCAATTATGTTGGTGATGGAATTGGCGAATCAAGGCGCACTTGACTCATTTTTGAAGAATTCGTCGTCGAAAGATGAAATCACATTAAGAGATAAATTGAAATATTCATTTGATGCTAGTAAAGGATTGGAATATTTGCATCAAAATGGATGTATTCATCGAGATGTGGCTGCAAGGAATTTTTTGGTGCATAAAGGAATTGTTAAGATTACGGATTTTGGATTGTCGAAACAATTGTCGGATCATGCGCATAAGTATAAACTGAAGGTGGGGGATTTTGGGGAAAAATTTTGATTTTCACAATGTTTCAAAACATTTGGAGCTTAAAGGTGGAGTCCGAGCAAAAAATAAGTTGTGCTAATTTGAAAGAGCATGTTCTAATTAGTACAATCCTCGAAGGATTTTTTCTGGAAGCGTCTCAAACATTGGTTAAAAAATTACAAAGTTTGAAAAAACAGTGACACACCGTGTAAAATGGCTTGAAAGTCCATAAGTACAGTAGCTTATATTTAATGTTTGAGAAGCTTCCAGAAGAAATCCTTCGAGGAATGTACTAATTAGAACATGCTCTTTCAAATGAGCACAACTTATTTTTTGCTCGGAGTCCACCTTTAAATTTAAATTTTTGAGTTCTAAATTAACAGGATTCACATAAAAAACCCTCTGACATGAGCAACCATCAATTTTCGAGAAAAAAAGATTTTCAAAAAGCTATAAATTATTATGAGCAATCATTTAGTTCTTGTAACTTTGAGAATTTTCAAAAAAATATAGTTTTGAGCTGAAAAATAACTTGTTCTCGATTTTTTTCCATTTTTCCGCCTAACATGAGCGATCTCATCATTTCACAAGAAAGAATGAGAATTTTTAAAATTAAAAAATTCCTGATGAATTTTTAGAAAACTCTAGCTTGTCTGAAATTTTGCGTTTCACGATTTTTCTCAAATTTTTTTGAAACAGTAAATTTTTTAGACTAAAGAAAATTGTTTGAAAATAATATTGTGAACGTGCTCAAATTTAGCATTTTGTCAATTTTTTGAAACAGTAGAATTTTTTATCATTTTTTTCAAAATGGTCCAGGTGAATTAAAATGATTTGGTTTTATTGAAATTTTCAGGGATTTTTGAAACAGTGATTTTTTTGGGTTTTTGAAAAAATTATAAATTTCGATTTCAAATAAAAATTCAAAGAAAAAAAACCAAACCATCTATTTTTCTTGAATTTTAATAATTTTTTGAAACAGTGAAATTTTTGAACAACGGTTTTGAAAATTTTCAAATCTCAATTTTTGTTTCAATTTTTGTTTTGTTTCAGCAAGTTCTTTTGGTTTAAATTTGAATTTCAAGTAAAATAAAAAATCTAGCAAAAATGTTTTTTTCCAAGTTTTTTGAAGAATTTTTGAAATAGTGAAATATTTTAAATTCCAAAATTGAAGTGTTTATCATCAAATTAATCAAAAATTGTATTTTCTCAGAATTTTTTGATGAATATTTGAAACAGTGAAATTTTTTAACCGAAAAAATTAAAAAATCCTGTTTTTCCAAAAGAAAAACCTCTAGAACCCAGAATTTTCCCAAGATCGTTTTTGGACTGAAATTTTGGTCTTCTAATACAATAAATTTTAATATGAGCAATGTTATAGTATTTTATATATCATGTAAACATGCATCTCAAAAATTATATATTTTTTAAAATAAGTTTTTTGTTTTATTTTTGAAACAGTGAAATATTTTTTGAACAAATTTGGTTGAGAATTTCCAGACCCTAACAAGGAAACCTTTTTTACTCAACACTTCAAATCATGATGAAATTTGGTTTTTGGACAGCTTTTGGGACCATAAGAACACCCTAAAAATTTTAGTCTCCCAATGGACCTATGAGCCAAGTTCTGGGCTCTCAAAAGTTCGAAAATTGCCAAAATTGGCTCATAAAACACGTCATAACTCAATTCTCGATCAATTTTATGAAAAACTGAGTAGCAGATGCTGATCAGCGTGGTCGATTTACCCAAAAAGCATGAATAAATCAAATTTTCGGAAAAATTTTTGATTTTGAAAAAAAGAAAGAGGAGGGGCACATATGAATTTTCATGAATTTTCAGCCCAAAAATAAAAAACTTCAAAATTTTTCAAAATAAAGTTTTTTATTGATGTACTTTTAGTAAATCGACTATGCTGATCAATATCTGAAACTTTATTTCTTCCAAAAAAAATTTTGAAATGGAGCTATGATGACTTTTTTGTACTTTTGAGAGCCCAGAACTTGGCTCAGAGGTCCATTGGGAGACTAAAATTTTTAGGGTGTTCTTATGACCCCAAAAGCTGTCCACGGACCAAATTTCATCATGATTTGAAGTGTTGAGTAAAAAAGGTTCCCTTGTAAAAATTATCTATAAAATTTCTAATATGAGCAATGTTATAGTATTTTATGGAATAATAATGCCTATCAAAAAAATAATATATTTGATGAGTTTTTGAAACAGTGAAATATTTTAGATTCAAAATTGTTCAAAAATCTGTTTTTTTAATACCGAAACCCTGAATTTCCCAAGATCTAAAGACTTTCAATATTTTTGAATAGGATTGCGATCCAACTCATCAAAAATTGTATTTTCTCAGAATTTTTTGATGAATTTTTGAAACAGTAAAATTTTTTAACCAAAAAAAAATTAAAAAATTCTGTTTTTCCAAAAGAAAAACCTCTAGAACCCAGAATTTTCCCAGCTCGTTTTTGGACTGAAATTTTGGTCTTCTATAATACAATAAATTATAATATGAGCAATGTTATAGTATTTTATATATCATGTAAACATGCCCATCAAAAATTATATATTTTTTTTTTAATAAGTTTTTTGTTTTATTTTTGAAACAGTGAAATATTTTTTGAATAAATTAAGTTGAGAATTTCCAGACCTAAAAATGATGTCTAAAAATTTCTAACATGAGCAATGTTATGATAAATCCGATTTTTTTCAGGATCTCCACCAAAAGCTTCCAATTCGCTGGCTTGCCCCTGAAGTTATCGTAACTGCCACGTATTCCTTCAAATCCGATGTTTTTTCATTTGGTATTCTACTATGGGAAATATTTATGGATGGTGCAATTCCATATCCTGGAATGACATTAGCTGAAGTCAGCAAAGAAGTTCGAAAAGGATATCGAATGTCGCCACCGGATAAAATGCCAATGATTTGTCGAAATATAATGACGGCACAATGTTGGCCACAAAATCCGGCAGATCGAGATAATATGATGGAAATTCGACAAGCTATTGAAGGAGTTTTGGAAGGGAGACAGAATCAGATGGCTAGATCTGCTTATGTTAGATATAATTAGACATTTTGAGCGACAAATGAAGGTATTTTTCTATTTTTTAATGGGTTTTGGAGTGAAATTTGGTGTTTCTAGCTTAAAAAATCATTTTCGAGCCGAAAATTGTGAAGGGCGTGCTCTGCAAGCCCTGTTCAGATAGTTTCAGGCTTCCTGGGCCTTTTACAGGCTTTCTGGCCTATTTTCGAACTCCAAATCCACGTGGCGTGCTCTGCAAGCCCTGTTTGAATAGTTTCAGGCTTCCTGGCCCTTTTTCGTAATTTTGTGCTTTATTTTCGACTTGAGAACGATGTGAAAAATTATTTTGTCAAATAGTCACTTTTTTGAAACGGTGAGATAATTTTTTGAAAAATTTAAATTTTTAGAGATAGTTTCAGGCTTTCTGGGCCGTTTTTGGGCTTTCTGGGCCATTTTCGAGCCGAAATGACTAAAAATTGAACTCCCTGGGTTCTATTTTGTTCTAATAATTTTTGATGATGTAATAATTTTTCTGAAAATTTTAATTTTAATGTTGATTTTTTGAAACGTAAAATTTCGAGGTTAGTTTTTGAACCATTTTTCATTATTTTTAAATAGTTTTTGATTTTGGAAGGAATTTTCTGTGGGGCCAAAAATGGACTTGCGCAGCACGCCACGTGGATTATGACTCTTTTTATGAGCCTTCAAATGGGTCAGACAGTCCGGTAATTATCAAAAAATATATTTTCCCGGAATATTTTCTGGATTTTTTGAAACAGTGAGTTTTTTATTTATGAGTTTTGAGAAATTCAAAATTTAATTCTTTTTGATGAGAAATTTTGAAGAATTCTAAATTTTTAGGTGTTTTATTTTATTTCTCAAAGATTTAGACAGAAATTGGGCCGTTTTCGGATTCTCTAAGCAATTTTCTAACTCAAAATCCACGTGGCGTGCTTCGAAAGCCCCGTTGGAGTAGTTTCAGGCTTCCTGGGCCTTTTACAGGCTTTCTTGAGCAATTTGAAACTGAAAAAAGGTGGAAAATTTTTTTACTGTTTCAAATTTTTTAAAAATAATTTCCAAAGTTCTCTGCAGAATTTATCTTCAAATTTGTGCTAAAAAATGTTGGAATAATTTCACTGTTGGAAATTTTTTTACTCATAGAAAATTCAATTTCCAATTTGCTTTTCAGATTTCCAGCAACCATAAAACTTATCGAAACTCAAACATCAAAATTCCCCTCTCCTCCCCAATTTATTTCCAGATATTTTTTTTTCCAGCAGAAATGGAAAAAAACAGAAATGTTTGTTTTCAATACTACTACTACACTAGAAAACTAATAGTAGTAAACATCCGATAAAATTTCAGTCCCTCGCTATATTTTTTTTTGTTTTTTCATTCATTTCATAAATTCCAATTTCCAAATTGTTTTCCACACTGAAAATGAAGAAAAAAACAGAAGCTTCTGCTGGAACAATTGTTTTTTTCATGTTTCGTCGAAAAAAAAGAGGAAAAATAAACGACAAATGTATCAAATAGCACGTGAAAAAAAACATTGTAATGAAGAAAAAAACAAAAAAATGAGAAAACTAAAAACTAACAAGTTGTTTTTTTTTTGTTTTTAGAGTTTGTTAAACTTTTTCGGAGATCAGGGAACAACAAAATTCAAGAGAGACGTAGAGAAAATTTTCAGAAATTTATCAAAATTTATTTTTGAAAAAATTCACTGTTTCAAAAAATGAGGAGAATTTTCCACATAAATTGAAAATAATTTCACTCGAATTTTGAGAATTTCAAAAAAGTTTCTGAAGCAGAGTTTATTTTTGAAAAATTTCACTGTTTCAAAAAATAAAGAGAATTTTCACAAAAATGTAATTTTTGATGAAAATATTTTTTTCCATTTTATTGAAAATAATTTCGAATTCGAATTTTGAGAGTTTCAAAAAAAGTTGGTGAAGCAGAATTTATTTTTGAAAAAAAATTCACTGTTTCAAAAAATAAAGAGAATTTTCCACAAAAATTGAAAATAATTTCACTCGAATTTTGATAGGTTCAAAAAAGTTGCTGAAGCTGAATTTATTTTTGAAAAATAAATTCACTGTTTCAAAAAATAAGGAGAATTTTCCAAAAAAAATTTAATTTTTTGATTAATTGTTTTACATGCTTTCATAAATTATATAAAAAAAATTAATTTTGAATTTTTTGAAAAATTTCACTGTTTCAAAAAATAAGGAGAATTTTCCACAAAATTATACTTTTTGGTAATAAAAAATTTTCAGTGCAAGATATTTCTATTCTAGCTTTTGTTCTCAAAGCATCTCTTCATTTTCCAAAAAAATATGGAGCATTGCTCAGGTTAGGCTCAGGTTTTTCAACATTAAAAAAGTGCTCAAGTCATTTTATTGAAAATAATTTCGAATTCGAATTATGAAAGATTCAAAAATAGTTTCTGAAGCAGAATTTATTTTTGAAAAAATTTCACTGTTTCAAAAAATAAGGAAAATTTTCCACAAAAATATATTTTTTGATGAATAAAAATAAAAAATAAAAAAAAAGTTCAAAATTCAATTTCAGATTTTTTCCAGCCATTTTCCGTGCTAGAAATTTCTCAAATCATCTTCTCATTTTCCAAAAAAAAAGCATTGCTCATGTTAGGTTGAAATTCTGAAAGTTTGGCTCTGAATAATTTTAAAGCCATGAATTTGTGCTTGATAATTTTTTCCAGACTCAAAATTCTGATCAGCTTCGAAAAGAGTTCCTGTAACTTTCAGAAGCTTCAGAGTTCCTATAACTTGTGATCTTTTCTCCAGAGTTCCTGTAAATCCCCCCTCAAAATTCCAGCAAAATATCCAACAACAATAATAATAACAATATTTAGTGTTCATCTCATCTTCCTTTCAGCTAACAAACCATCCAATTATGTATACAACAACTGACTGAAAATACTACTACTCGATGTATTCATTGAAAAAATAGTCATCTCTCCACACACACACACAAACATTTGTCTCCTTCTTCTTCTTCGCTTCTACTCATTTTCAATTCCATTCACACGGCCGACACAACAAACTGCCTGCTTGCCTTGTTGTTTTCAGAAGCAGAATGAAAACGTTTGAATATGTATTCAACGTGTGGAATGTCAAAAACAATCGAATTTGTGTATACCAAATAGCTATATATTTATTTATTGGACGGAGACACTACAGTAATCCAAAAAATACGAATTTTTGAACAGAGACACAATGTTGTTTTTTGTTTTTAGGTTAGGAGAGGGTTAGAGACGCAGAGGAGCTAGAAATAGAGGCGCAGAGGAATCAGATAGTTAGAGGCTATGGATAGTATAGGGCTTCAGAGAAGCTAGAGAAGCTAAACAGGCTAGATAGTGTTGGGATTTGAGAGAAACTAGAGATTCAGAGGAATCAGACAGTTAGAAGCTCTTTTGGAGGTGTAGAGAAGTTAGAGACGCAGAGAAAGCAGACGGTTAGATTGGCGAGATAGTGTTTGAGACGCAGACACTCTAGAGAAATGCTCTGCATCTCTGATTTTATTGTGACTCTCGTCGTCTAACTCTTCTTCATCTGCTTATCGTTGTCTACCTTCTCTGCGTCTCTCACCCGGGTTAATCGAGACCTACTCTGCGTCTCTAACTCTATCTTTCTCTGCGTCTACCTTCACCGCATCTTTGCAGAGGTCAGAGTCCAGACAACCAGGTTCGGTGCCTCAACATGTTCTCTCCGTCTCTAAACCTCTCTGCTTCTCTGGTTGATCCTCACTCATGATTTCTATTCACTCTGCGTCTCTAACCCAATCCTTTTCTAAAAGAACTTAAGAAAATCAGAGTTCAGACGACCAGAGTCTGGGTGTATCGGTATCGAACCCTTCTCATGTTCACTGCATCTCTAACTGTCTAGCTCCTCTGATTCTCTAACCATCTACACTCTGCATCTCCAACCAGATTTAGTGAGGCTAGAGTTCAGACGACCAGATACACTCTGCGTCTCTAACTGTCTAGCTTCTCTGATTCTCTAACTATCTATACTCTCCGTCTCTAATTTTTAGCTAGATTCAGAGATGCTAGAGGCCAGAGGTGAGACGACCAGGTTCTGGGTCCTCTCCGTCTCTAACGCACTGAGGCTTCTCTGCATCTCTTAACTTATATGATTCTCTATACATCTATACTGCCTCAACATTCTCTGCGTCTCTAACTGTCTATCTGCATTTCGGATCTTCTCTGATTCTCAAACTATCGACACTCTGCGTCTCCAACCCTTAGCCAAATTTAGAGAGGCTAGAGGTCAGACGACCAGATACACTCTACGTCTGTAACCCACTCTCGGTTTCTCTGCACTCTCACCCCTCCCCCTTTCCAACCAACCCCTCGAAAAATTCATTTCCAATTTTTTTCCCTCACGATGTTTTGATGATTCTAATTTGGCGCTGAAAAAAGAAAAAGAAGGTGTTGTTTACAGTGCACACTTTATGAATACATATAATTGAAGTTTGCTGCTGCTTCTCTGTCTTTTTCTCTCTGAAAATTATAGACGACGTTTTGCTGTCTCGCTTCTTCTTCTTCTAATGAAGGATGTTTGAAGTGTTAGACTTTTTTGTGCGGCCGACAAAAGGACGTGTGCCCTTTGATAGACGAAAATCTCTGAAACTTCTCTCGCTCAACACCTGACTTCCTCCGTGTTTGATAGATCTGTATATATACTTCGAGAATGTTTAAAGGTACATGAGAAAAGTGCAGGTTCTAATTGAATTTTTTTTGTCGTCGAATGTCGAAAACAAGGAAGGAGTTTTGTATGTGTGAGAGAGAGAGAGAGATTAGAGAAAGTGCAGAATATTTCAATGTGTTTACGAGTTTCGAGAGTTGTTGGAACTTCCGGGCTGCAAGAAGCTAGAGAGGCTAGAGAGGCTAGAGACGCAGAGAAGCTAAAGAAGCTAGAGAGTCAGGGACGCAGAGCAAAGCTGGACAACCAGAGACCATTCTATTGTCAGAGACGCAGAGGAAAATACACTCGCTCCGCTCGGGCCGAAAGACAGCTAGAGAGTATCTGATATGAAGAGAGGCTAGAGAAGCTAGAGAGTCAGAGACGCGGAGCAAAGCTAGACAACTAGAGACTATTCAATTGTCAGAGACGCAGAGAGAAATACACTCGCTCCGCTCGGAAAATAGCTAGAGAGTATATGATTTGAAGAGAGGCTAGAGAAGCTAGAGAGTCAGAGACGCGGAGCAAAGCTAGACAACCAGAGATCATTCAATTGTCAGGGACGCAGAGGGAAATACACTCGCTCCGCTCGGAAAATAGCTAGAGAGTATATGATTTGAAGAGAGGCTAGAGAAGCTAGAGAATCAGAGACGCAGAGGGAAATACACTCGCCTGCTCGAGCCGCTTCGCAGAAGATTCCGGGGCGCTTCGCGCAAGCTTGCGGAAAAAAGCTTTTGGAGAAGCTTGAGCCTAGTTGTAAGCCCGGTTTCGGGCCGAGCCTAGATCTGGGCCCAAGCCTAGTCAGACTCTGAACTAGGTCCAGATAAATTCAGGATTATTTCACGATGTTTTGAAATTTTTAAACTATTTTTTTGGGATATTCTATAACTTGAAGCTTCTGCTGATTTTCAGAGAGTTCCAGAGATTTTCTGAAACCTGAAAATTCTTCTAGAACTTCTCCAGAACTTTTCTGGATTCCTGAATCAGATGTTTTTGGGATTCTAAATTAGGTTTCCAGATTTTTCTAGAACATCTCCTTCTGAAATCTAGAAATGTTCTGAAATCCAGCGGGACTTCAAAAACATCATTTTTAGAACTTTCAGATCTCCCAGGGATTTTCAGAAGTCCAGATGAACCTCTAGAACTTCTGGGAGAAATCAGGAGATTTCTAGAAGAAGCTTGGGACCTTCAGGATTTTCAGAGATTTCCAGAAGCCTTCCCGAGCTTCTCCGAGTTCCCAGAACTCCCCAGCTTGATCTTCCGATGTTTATCGCTTCTCAAAACATCCATAAGCTTCTGGAATTCCCTGAAAACCATCTAATCCTCTTGTTTTTCCGATTTTTTTTTTCAATTTTTTAAAGAAATCTCATAAGTCTTCCGCAAAGTTCAAGTTTTCCCCCAATCCCCAAAAACTTTTTTATTTTTTTTATTTTTTGTTCGAAAAAAATCTCAAAACACACAAAAACAATAATGAAACAAACAGCTGTGCTGGAAAAACAACAGAAACTTTTTTTTTCAACCAAAAAAAATAGAAGTTTGTGGTCCCTATTTTTTTGTCTGAAAATGTTTTGAGAGCAGTTGACAACAACAACAACAACAAATGTTTTCAGCGTTTTTTTTCTATTTTCGCGCGCGCGCGAGTTCATCAAACTGACAAACATTCGAGTTGTTTTGGCCAAGATGGAAATGTATAAAATGTATGTTTTGAAAGTTGTTTATCGAGTTGGATTTTGGTCGTTTAGGGGAAGTGAACGAGTGAAAACAGAAAGCTGGGTGGAAAAAAAAGTTTCCGGGTTCTGGGCTTCTGCGAGTTTTTGTAGATCATCTGGAACATCTTTATTGGTTTTTGGAAACATCTAGGATCTGAAAAGCTTTCTAGAAGTTCTCACCTGGATTTCTTAAACATCTAGATGTTTCGAGATTCGATTTGGAAAGTTCTAGGCTTCTGGAGAATCTAGATGTTTTGATAAGTTCTAGAAAATATCTAGATTGGTTTTTTGAAAGATCTAGGATCTAGAACTTCTAGAATATCCTTGGGACCTTCAGGATTCCAGATGTAGAATTTCAGAGATTCGACAGTCGCTCCGCTCGGGCCGGAAGGTAGCTAGAGAGTGTCTGACTTTAAGAGAGTCTAGAGAGTGAGAGACGCAGAGCAAAGCTGGGCAACCAGAGGACATTCAATTGTCAGAGACGCAGAGGGAAATACACTCGATCCGCTCGGAAGAAAGCTAGATAGTATATGATTTGAAGAGAGGCTAGAGAAGCTAGAGAGTCAGAGACGCAGAGCAAAGCTGGACAACCAGAGGCCATTCAATTGTCAGAGACGCAGAGGGAAATACACTCGCTCCGCTCGGGCCGCTTCGCGGAAAATACCGGGGCGCTTCGCGCAAGCTTGCGGAAAAAGCTGAGCCTAAGTCCGGCCTTAAGCCTAGATCTAGGCCTGAGAGCTTCTCCCAGTTCTCAGAACTCTCCAGATTGATCTTCCGATGTTCAAAAAAACATCCAGAAAGTTTCCAAACGGCTTTTGGAGACTTTCTGGAATGTTTTTGGTTTCCTAGATGTTTAGAGATGGATTTGAGAAGATTTTCAGGGGAAAAAATCAGATTTTCAATAATCTATAGATGATCTTGATTCTGAAAAGCTTCAGAGAACTTCTAGAAACAGTTCTGAAGTCCTGAAGGTTCCCTGATTTCTAGAACTCCTCTAGATGCACCTGAACTTCTAGAAAATCCCTGGGAGATCTGAAAGTTCTAAAAATGATGTTTTCAGAGATTGTCTGAAATTCAAGTCCCACTGGATTTCTTGAACTTTTCTTGAACTTCTGGAATTTTCGAAGATCTAAGAGTTCCAGGAACTCCTCAAGATCCTTTTGAACCCCCAAAAAAACATGACAACATTATGGCTACAGTAGTCTTCTGAAAATATGTCAAATCCCAAAAGTGTTTTCACAAATCCTCGGAAAAGAAAACACGAAAACAATACATATTATTATTATGATTATTATTATTTTCATATTATTATTATTGAAAACAACAATAATCATAATATAATCTAAATGTCAGTTACATTTTTTTTCAGGCTGCCAAATAACAAAAACATCTGAAAATATCTGGAAATAGTGCAGACATTGGAAGCTCGCAAAAACAATTTTATTGTCTCTGCAATTTCAACTGTTTCAAAATGTGCGTCCTCGGCGCAGTCGGGTAAGCGTTCGCCTTTTGGCCACACGCTCTCTGGTTCGACCCCCACTCGGAACTATTTTCTTTTTTTTCTTTTTTCAATCATCTCCCAGCTCAAAAGTCCCTCTGAAATCACATAAACTCGCTGAAAACATTGGCGAGCACACACGCAAAAAAAACAAAATATAAATATAAATAATATCAAAACAACGAATTAATAGTTGTTTTTGTGTTTTCTTTTTCTCCATTTTTGCTGCTGCTCTGCGAGTTTCCGAGAAGTTTCCTGGCCGTTTAATGAAAATATTTATTATACATATACATGCTCGCCGAGCACAAAAATAAGAGAAAATGAATATTTTTCGGGGCGCGCGAGATAAACACCGGAAATTGTTTTGAGATGAGCGGCAAAAAAGTTTTGAAGAAAACAATTTTTGATTTTTCGGCTTGCCACGTGGAAAAAATCCCAAAATTTGAGCAGCTACAGTATCCCTGCCACGTGGCAAAAATCATTCCAGTCAAAAAAAAATCAAAAAATAAAAAAAACTCCGCCGGCACCGGGGCTCGAACCAAAAGGTCTCATCTTCATAGTGTAGCGCGCTACCACTGCTCCACGCGTGCCCTTTTCTCTCCAGCTCTATTTTTCATATTTAAATAGGCTGCCTGAGGTGCGCCTTGATCTGCAAAGCCTGATTGTGAGCCTGAAACTGGGCCTAAATTTGCCACGTGGCAAAAAACAACATTTCAAATTTCAATTTCAATTCATTTATTCTCTCATATATAGATAATGCAAAAAAAAGTAAAAATAAAATAAAATAACACAAATTGTGCACAGGTGCCAACAGATTTTTGGCATAAAAATATGAAAAATTTTGAAAAAAAAAACGGGGATGAAAAATGTGTGATATGTGGGAGGGGAACTGAAAAATTCGAAAAAAAATTTCAGAGAAAAAAAAAAATCTACACCGGCCAGATTTTGGGGAGGGAGTTAGGGAAACTGTTTCTTTTTACAGACAAGATTTGTGGGGTTGATTCGATCCAGCGAACACACACGCAAAAAATCAATAATTTCAGTATAAAAAATTCAAGAAAGTAGAGGTAGCACAGAGTGGACAAAGACAAGAAAATCGATAATTTTTTGAGTCATGAGAGAAGATTTCAATAGAGGTTTTGTGTTGATTTCAAAAAAAATTTGGGATTCGAGATAACATTTTAGGAGGGCGTGAAGAAGAAAATAGAGGTATACTGTGCACGATATTTCAAAGATGATGATGATGATAAGGTTAAAAATGAAAAAATAAAAAAAAATGGAATCACAAGGGGGAAAATCACTTGGTCAAGAAGACAAGACAAGAATAAAAAATGTGGATAAAAATTTTTTGGACAAGAAAAAAAACGCGGCTGGGAGGGGTTTTGGCTGGAAATTCAGGTAGATCAAATTTTGAAAACCTAGGTTGCTGTAGATCAAAAATTCCAACGCCTGGATTACTGTAGATGAACTATTTATTTAAATTTAGGCTCCAGAAAGTCTGGCTTACTGTAGTTCACAATCCAAGCTTCGAAAATTCTCAAGACTACTGTAGCTCAAAATTCCAAGACTACTGTAGATCAAAAGACTTCAAGTACTTTTGGCGCCAAAATCACCCAATATTTGAACTACCAGAAAAATACCCGAGCCTATGATCTACAGTACTTCTGAATATTTTTAGGCTCCAGAAATTCCAGACTACTGTAGCTGATAAATTTTTGTGCAACAAATCAAAAAATCTAGCTTCTGTAGCTCAAAATCCCAAGATTACTGTAGAATTTCAAGATTACTGTAGATCAAAAAAAAATGTAGATCAAAGCTTATGATTTTTGATCTACCAAAAAGTGCTGGTGACAAAAAATCCCAGATTACTGTAGATCAAAAGATTTCAAGTACTTTTGGCGCCAAAATCACCCAATATTTGATCTACCAGAAAAACACCCGAGCTTATGATCTACTGAAGATTACTGTAGGCCCTATGTATATTCGATCTACCAAAAATTTTGAGCGCCAAAAATCCCAATACTACTGTAGACCCAATCTTATGATCTACAGTAATTTTGATCTACCAAAAAATTTCGCGCCAAAACCCCTCCCAGCCTCCAGAAAATCACAAAAACAAATTCTAAACCGAACATACATCAATAATACAATTCAACTTCTCCTCAGCTTCTTCTTCTTCTTCATGCTCCAAATTCTCACTCACTTCCTCCTCTTCTTCTCCAATTATCATCTCTTCCTCATCGCCAACCTCACCAATTGGTGAACTTGTTCCATTTGAAGATGCCGGCGCCAAATTGGCGACCTCTTCCAACAATTTGTATTGGGCCAAGAGGGTTTGCAAGAGAGCCGTGTCTTGAGCACCGATCAATTGAAGTGGATTGAGTGGGGACGGGCGCCACCAATGGTGTCGTTGTGTTTGTGGTGGATGTTGTTGTGTTGGTGGGTGTGAGAGAATCGGGTGAGGGTGGAAGTAATAATGGTAGAGAGGGTGAGGGGAATTGTAGCGAAGGGGAATATGAGGAAGCATCGGATGCTGATGATGTTGGCGAGGATAATAGAGGTTGTGGTGTGGTTTTGATGGTGCCATCTGGAATAACATTATTAGGTTTCTGATTTTTTTTTGGTTTGCCACGTGGCTTTGAAATTAATTTTTCTATTTTTGATTTGTTTAGCGTTTTCAAATTTTCAGCCTCAAAAATTTCTAAATTTTTTGAAACAGTGAAGTTTTTAGAATCTGATTTTTTGGTTGCCACGTGGAAAGTTTTTTTGGTTGCCACGTGGAAAGGCTAGACTAGTAGATAAATAATCCACGTGGCAAAATTTCAGATTTTATTATTGGAGCCATAACATATCGTTTCAAAATTCATGCCTTAAAAATTTCTAGATTTTTTGAAACAGTGAAATTTTGAGACTCAAAGTTTGATCCATAGAGTTTGAGTACGTCAGTTGGAACGTTTTAAAAACATTCCTCAAAAATTTCTGGATTTTTTGAAACAGTGAATTTTTTTACTCAAAATTTTATCTATATAATTTGACTTCTGATGTTTGGGCTGCCACGTGGCAAGTTCTAGGCTCGAAAATCCACGTGGCAAAATTTCAGCTCAAAAAATTGCCGAGATTTTATTTTTGGACCCACGCAAAATATTGTCATATCGTTTAAAAATTCATGCCTTGAAAATTTCAAAATTTTTGAAACAGTGAAATTTTTGAGACTCAAAAATTCAGTGGACCTCCTAATTTTTGGTTGCCACGTGGCAAATTCTGGGAGATTTTTCTTAAATCGGACAATCCACGCACTGAAAAACTAGAAAAGCATAGCATTTCAAAAAATATGAATCGATAATTTCTAAATTTTTTGAAACAGTCAATTTTTCAGACTTTTTTTAGATCAGAAAATCCACGTGGCACTAAACAAGCTACTAAATGCATAAAACAAGAAAAAAAATGAATCAGAAATTTCTAGATTTTTTGAAACAGTGAATTTTTTTGGGGGAAAAAATTTCACTACTTCAAAAAATTCCCAAATTTCTGATGAGAAAATTTCAAAACGATTTTGTTTTTGAAAAATACGCTACTGTAAGTAAAAATTACACTGTTTCAAAAAATCCTCAAAAATCGAGTGGAAATATTTTTTGAATTAAAATTTGAACAAGAAATTCAAATTGATCAAAATTAAGCGCCCCTAAAAAAATTTCCACTGAAAATTCTGAATTTCAGGCTCTCAGGCTTATTGGAAAATCCCTAAAAACCTCATTTTTGTACTAGAAATCCGCCCAAAACTCACACAACAACGCATTCAGATTGCTGAAATTGCCCAAATTGAATTGTGTTGCGCTGAGCGCAGCGGCGGCGTTCAGCGTCGACGTAATGTGTTCACGTGTCAAATTCATTAGTGTGTCTTTTCGTTGTCGTCGCCGGATTTTGATTTGATCTGCCATCAGTTTTTGACGTTCTGACACCACCGAACACTGAAAAAAAAAATAAAACGATTTTTTGAATTAAAAATTTTTTGAAACAGTAATTTTTCCAGTGGTTTTTTTGTTCATTTTTATTTTTCCAATAAGATTGCTCATGTTAAAGAATAAGCGATGCTTACAAATTTTTTCTCCAATTTTTGTTAATATGAGCAATGTTCCTTTCAGGTCTACCGTAATTCTAATAGAAACATAACATAAAATTAAAAATTGTGGCTCCGCCCCTCTCAATTTTTTTTGCCATACACAACATTAGGCTCCGCCCATTTCCGGCTGAAAAATTATTGTTTTCGAATTTTTTTTTTGGAATTCTATTTTTTTTTGATGATGAAAGGACGAGAGTACTGTAGAGTTTACACAGATGTGTGCAGAAATGGCAATTTTTTGTTGAAAAATAGAAGAGAAAGTGGAAATTTTGGAACTTTTTTGAAGAAACAATTTTTGAAACGTACATTTTCATGGAAAAAAAAATCTTCATTTTTTTAAACATGAGCAATCATTGCTCATTCTAACAAAATTTCACTGTTTCAAAAACCTAACATGAGCAATGTTAAGTTTCCCAAAACAATTGCTCAGATCAACAAACACTAGAAAAATTTAAATTTCCGAATTTTTCAAGCATTGCTCATATTACCCTTCTACCTTTTTAACATGAGCAATCCCAATTATTTTTATAAATTTTTTTGAATAAAAAAATGACGATTAATTTGGCTGGTTTCTCTGGAAAACACACATATAGAGAAGACAAAAACAAATATTCCAGGAAAAATAAAATAAATTCAGAGGATTACTGTAGGTGTGTTTTCAGAGATTTAGATTTATTCATTTGCAGAGAATCAGGAAGAAGACGAAGAAGATTTTTGTTGTTGTGTGACGTGGTACTTTTTCGGAGAATAAATAAAAATCAGAATGAGATCAGAGGAATTTTTGGGACCCGGAAGAGAAATTTTGTGATTTTCAGAAAAATTTTGAATTCGGCTTCAGAAATTTCAAGATTTTCGATGCCTACTGGATTCTGAACTTTGAAGTTCAAATTCAGGAGAAATTCAAGTTGAACAATTTTTGGGCTGGAAATTTTCAGCCTGCATGAATTTCAGATTCTCAAAAACATTTGGACTTGGGATAACTTGGTGAGCAAATATTTCGGGCTCTAAATTTTAAGCCACACATTTTTTATTTCAAAAAATCTCCAATTTATTTTTTAATTTAAATTTTCTCTCCGTGTGAAATTTTAAGCCAAAATTTCTAGATTTGAAAAATATCTCAAAACTCTGAAAAAAATCCCAGCTTCTCCTCATTTTTCCAGCTTCAAAATCCGGGTAGATCAAAAATCCCCGGCTCCAAAAAATTGTTCCAAAACAAGCCTATCAAATTTCCAAAAACAAATTTTCCCCCGGAATTTTTTTTTATTCTCGCATGTTTCACAACAACATACACTTTATATATCCGCTAAATAATTGGCTCAATTTTTTTTCGTGTGAAAAAATATATTTTTGAAACATTTTTGCATGTTTTTAATGAGATTCTTCGTCATCCAAAATCCAGAAAATTTGCTTTTTTGCGCACAAAAAAATCCAGGAAAAAACATTTTTCGAAAAAAAAATGTCAATCACCGCTTGGAACTCCCTTCCTAACCAGAAAAAATGTTTGTTTTCCAATTTTTTTTGTTGCTTCAAAGCAACAAAAAATGTTGCAGCTGTGTTTTTTTTTGAAAAACACAAAAGTTTTTTTGTTTTTCAAGAAAAAACGAGTGTATCACGAGAAAAATGTGTACTTTTTCTAGAACAAAAAATAATATTTCATAATTTTTCAGACATCATAATTAGAATGTCTGGAAAAATATTCGTGGAAAATTTATAATTGGGCTCTAGAAAATAGAAATGTGTGGGAGTAGATTTTTGGAATTTGGAAGATTTTTGAGAGCTGAAAAAGTACTAGCTTCTGGAAATTCAGAATTTTCTGAAAAGGTCTAGATGACTTTCAGAAGCCCAGGATTGATATGGGAAGCTGAAAAAGCTTCAGGAATGTTTCTAGAGTTCTCAGAACTCATAGAAGGTTTCAGATGATTTCTGAAAAGCTGAAAAGTGTCCTAAGAAGTTCTTCGAAACTTTTTGAGCTGATAAAACTTCTGAAAATGTTCTAGAATTTAGAAATTTTCAGACAAAGTTCCAGATTCTTTTCAAGACGTTGAAAAATCCCTAAAACGTTCCAGACTTTCTGAAATACCCAGAATTTTTTTTTGAATTCTAGAAAATTCCAAAAATATCTCCCAGACTTTCGAATGTTTCAGAAATGTCGAATTTTCAGCTGCTAGAGAATTTTGAAATAGTTCGAGAAAGGTTCAAATTTTGATTTAGAAACTTCTGAAACTCATGGGAACTTTTCAGAAATTCCAGAAGCTTGAAATTCAACTTCAAGAGTTCCCAAAACTTCCCGGTTCATCTAAAAATCCTTCAAAATCATGCCAAACTCCCCCGAAATCCTCAAATTGGAGACTTATCTCAACTTTAAACTCTCAAAGATTTATTTTTCTATTTCATTTCCAAGCTTTCCCAAAACTTATACTAAATTTAAATTTTGAAATTCTTTTTAGGATTTTCGAAAATATAATCCCCTCCCCTGTGAAACAGGTGCAATATACTCCCAAAACATCGTGCAAAGGTGCTAATTAAAAATTTTGCGGTGGTGAAGAAACCTTACCTTGGCACATGTACAATCTCGAAACGGGCAGACTCTGCAAGAAAAAAATTTGAATTTCAAAAAATTTGGCGGGAAAAAATTTGAATTTTTGTAGATCAAATTTAGCGCCAAAACCACTACTTTTTGGCACCAATTTTGATCTACAGTACTCCAAATTTCTGGCGCCAAAATCCACATTTCAAAATTTTTTTTACCTTTTATGTCCTTTGAGCCTCGATTTCCTGCCATGTTGACCGCATTTTTGACAATTTGGAACTCGTTCTGAAAAAAATTGGGGAATTAAATTTTGACTAGAATTTTTGGCTGGGCTGGAATTCTAGAATTTCAGCTTGATCTGGAATTCAGAGAATTCCAGCCAAGAATCCCCCGGGGGAAAAATCAGTTTACTTGAATATGACGGATTCTCGGGCTCGAGCACTGATTTAATGGCGCTCAGCGAGAGCTCAAACGGTTTTGTGAGTGCAGACGGGTAGAGGCCAATTTGTGTCATCTTGAAAAATACTTTTTCAGATTTTCAGACAAATTTTGAGACAAAATTAAAAGTTTCAGCAAAGTTTGAAGCTTCAGGAGCTCCAGAAAAAAGAGCACAAAAAATGTTTTTTCAGAAGAAAATCCAATTTTAAGCCAAATCTCAACAAAGTTTCAGAAGAATTTTTATTTCAGAATTTTAGACAAAAAAATATTCTGAAGCTCCAGGAGCTCCAGAAAAAAGAGCACAAAAAATTTCAGAAAACTAAAAAATTCCAGCAAAAAAGTTGATGAAAAAAAAAGAGCACACGAGCTCGAGAGCAAGAGAAAAAAAAATGGTTGTTTTTTTTTCAGAAAAAAAAAATGTTTGAAAATAGCGGAGGTCTCCACCCCCCGGCCAAAAACACACAAGCTCCGCCCACAATTTTTCTTCTCGAGCTCCTGCCTGCTGTTTTTCAGATATATGTTTTCAGAAGATGAAAAAGCCACGCCCACAAATTTTTCAGGGATAAGAGAAATGATATAATTGCGAAACTTTCTAAGAATTTTTGAAAAAAAAATGTTTCGAAATATTTTTTTTTCGAAAAAAAAAACAGCTTTCATGTACGTAAGAGCAGGAAGAATACAAAAAATTTGGATTTTTGGGGGAAGATTTTTGCTGACGTGGATTTTTGAATTAAAAAATATTTTCATATCAAAATCAAAATCAGAAAGACACAGCGCTTGGCTCCAAAATCTAGTATTTTTAAGTAGATTTGAAGATTTCGTTTTGTGCCAACTGAAAAATTGATCCACAAAATTTCGAAAAATGCACGTAGGATCAGTGAGTTTTGATTTACAAAACACAAATTTCAGAAAAATTCAAAATAATCATTTTTTTTTCAAAATCAACTGAAAATTTCGAGTCTAAACTTTTAGCGCACAATTTTTCTGATAGATCAAAATTCCCGCTAAAAATTCGAAACAAACTCAAATTTCCAGCAGATTTGGGGAGATTTTTAAAATTTCTGAAGGACTGTGTTGGTTTTATTAATAATATTAAAAAATTCTTCAAAAATACATGAAAATTTTGAAACAGTGAATTTTTTCGAGAAAAAATTTTGAAACCAAATTGACGTCAATGTCAGCTTTCAGAAAAATTCAAAAAATCGGTTTTCGGCTGGAAATTTTGAGTCTGAAAATTCAGATAAATCAAAAATCCGAGTTTCAGAATTTCCAAGTAGCTTTGATTTTCAGAGCCTTAAATTATTCCACGTGGATTTTTGTAGATCCAAAAATTCTGGTAGATCAAAATTTTCCAGAAAAAATTTCAGAAATCTCAAAATCCGACAGGACCTCAAGGTAAGCTTAGAGACTGCGGTCAGGCCTAATTTAGGCTATATTGGGCCCAAAAGCTAGTGGATAAAATCCGGGAAGCTCAAATTTCAACATCTGAGGTTCCACGTGGATATTTGGCACAAAAATTTTCTGGTAGATCAAAAATTCCACGTGGCATTTTTTTTCCAAATTTTTTCAATTCCATTTTATTTTCGTCTCGCGCGCGAAAAAAATGTTGTTTTCGAGTTTCTGAAAAAAAGGGGAAGAGGAAAAGTGAAGTGTTTTTCGAAACATGTTCATATGTTTTTTTTTTCTCGAGCTTCTTCTTCTTTTTTTCGGACACACACGACAAGTTGTTTTGAACGCAACGCAAAAATAAGAATGAGATTTTTTCTGTGTTGAGAAGAAGAAACCCAAGTGTCATGTGTGGATTTTGTACTTTTCTACTTTTTTTCTGGTGAGCTCTGGAAATGTTGAAAAGTTTGGGGGAGAAATTCTAGAAATCCAGGCCAAATCGCAATTTCTAAGAAAAAAATATATGAAAACATCCGAAAATATATCAAGATTAATTCAGTTTTCGGATAAAAACATAAAGATTATCGGGGGAAAAATATGCCTACAGAAATGTACTAACCGGATTACTGTAGAGCTCAGCTGAAGAGTGACGTGGGGGGAAAATGGAGATTTTATAGGCAAGATCAAGAAACACTACAGTAATCTAGAAGAAAGCAGAGATGAGCTACAGTAATTTTTTGGAAAAGGGTACTGTAGTTGTTCTTGATCTACAAAATTGTTGGAATATTCAGAAACTACAGTAACCTCTGGGAAATTCTGATGAATAAAAAAATCTACAGTAACCCGGTAAAAAAATCCAAAATGTTTGTAGATCAGAGAATAAAAATATACAGTACTCTCAAGGTCAATTTTCTGAATTTTCAAAAAACTACAGTAGTTTCACAGTATCTACAGTAACCCATTTCAAAAACTAGAAAAAAGTCAAAAGTTTCCAGAAACTCGAAAAAAAGTACAGTACCCTTCTACAACTTTTTTGAGGATAAAAAATCATTCCAAAAATCTACAGTACTCATAAATCTACAGTAACCTCTTTGGATGGTTTCAGAAACTACAGTAATCTAAAAATCTACAATCTACTACAGTAGTCCTCAGGTTTCTTAGAGTTTCTAGGATCTGAAAAAATTCAGGAGACTACAGTACCTCTACAGTATGCAAAAAATCTACAGTAACTCGAGCTTCTGAGCTCAAAGTTGCCCTAACTGCAAAATACAGTAGTCCTAGAGAGTTCTCTCATAGTTTCTATTCTCTGGGAAAAAGTATCCACATTTATGAATTTTTTATCTCGCGCAAAAGAGTTTGTTTTTGTCCAGCTCAGAGATACATGGCTACTACTACTATTTTGCTACTGGAAACGACAAAACAAAAAAACATAATTTGTTGATTGTTTGTCTCTTATGGACATTGGAGATATCCAAAAATAAACAGGCAGCGAAAAAATACTGAAAACATAGACAGAGAGCAAAAATAACCAATAATAATAATAATATGTATGTATACATATTATATATAGATATTTTTTTCTACACATGTAAAAAGGGAGAAGAAAATTGTGAGCTAGTGTTCGGAAAACATAATAAATACAAATTAGAAGCGGAGAACGGATAGGGCAAAAAAGGTGCGTTCGGAGAACATTTATTAGTATAGGATTTTGGAAAAAAAAACGTCTGAGAACTTTTGGGAAATTTTCCAGAGTTTAAAAAAAATGCTCAAGGGTCAGCTCCTAGAGAACCTAGTTTTCAAGTAGCCGAGCCTAGAAAACCTAGGTGAGTAGGACCCGCGCCTTGAGAACATATTTGTCTAGGATCCACGCCTTGAAAACCTAGTTCTAAAGTAGCCGAGCCTCGAGAACCTAGTTGTATAGGAGCCGCGCCTTGAGAACCCATCTCTCAAGTAGCCGAGCCTTGAGAACCTAGTTGCATAGGACCCGCGCCTTGAGAATGTAGTTCTAAAATAGCAGAGCCTTGAGAACCTAGTTGCATAGGACCCGCGCCTTGAGAACCTAGTTTTCAAGTAGCCGAGCCTAGGAAACCTAGGTGAATAGGACCCGCGCCTTGAGAACCTAGTTGTATAGGACCCGCGCCTTGAGAGAATAGTTTTCAAGTAGCCGAACCTTGAGAACCTATCTCTCAAGTAGCCGCTCCTATAGAACCTAGTTGTATAGGACCCGCGCCTAGAAAACCACTGTGACAAGGATCCGCGCCTTGAGAGCTTCTATGTCAAGCACCAATGCCTAGGAAGCCAATTCTAAACTGAATTTCCAGAATTTTCCAGAAATTCACAAAAATTCATGAGAGCCTTCAGAATTTTTGAGAATTCTCAATAAAAATGTTGTTTCGCAGAAAATTCCAAATTTCGGAAGCTTCTAAAAATGTTTGAGAAATTTTCAGATGCTCCTGAATTTTTTCAAACAATTCCAGAATTTCCAGAATTTCAGCAACCCTGTCTCAAATCAGAAATTCTGAAAAATCTGAAGAATCAGAATCAGAAGATCACACAATGATATGAACCTTTTTGCTTCAGATCTCTCCAAAACGCCAGACCGAAATAAAACTTCAAACTTCAAAGCTGAAATAAGCTTATCTTATCCTATCAGCTAATTTTATTCGGAAAAAAAAAACAATCAAGTAATGGACCTTCAATCTTCTGAGAGATCATAAAAGATCAAAATTCAAGCTTCTCAATTCACAATTTCAGAAATAATCAAGTAATGGACTAGGAGACGAAGAAAATCTTCTTATCAAATATCAAAAAAAAAAACGTCACAGTGTTTCGGAACATTGAAGTTATCAGGGAGAGAGATCAAACTGAATTTGGATTATTTTTGGAGAATCAGAAAGCAGAATGAGGTCAGAATCCGACAAATATGACTGAAAATTCAGAAGTTTGGATAATTTTTCAGAATTTTCAGAACTTCATCAAAGTTTTACCTTGAAGCCAAAAAGTTCTAAAATTTCCAGAACTTCAAAAAACATCTGAAAATCCAGAATCTTCATAAACTAAAAAAAAGTGGATCAAAAAAGTTTCCGAGATTTTTGAATTCAGAACTTTCCGAAGCTTCTGAGGTCAAATTCAAATTTAAAAAGTTACAAGAACCCAGAAGATCCAGGAAGTCCAGAAGGTTCAAATTTTTTAAACAAAATGTGATGTCCGAAAAAATCCTGCAGACAAATCCGGCAGAATCCCAAGGTTCAACATCACATATCACTTCAAAATTGCGGAAGTAAAAACAGAGACCAAGTGTTTATAGTTTAATCCTAAAGAAATTCTATGATGAGCAATCCAAAAAAAAAAATATATCGGGGACTTTTTTTCAGATTTTTTCCAGCTCAATTTAAATTTTCAAAAAAAGTCCCAAAATTTGAATCCACAGAATTTCAGAACTAAAACTCGGAGCTTTTGAGCCCAATTTAATTTTTTTTAGAAAATCTGAGCACGTAGGAGTCAAAAAACTACAAAAAACAAGCGATTTGCGTCAAAAAAGTACAAATCTGCATTTTCTAATTAGCTAGACTAGAGCCTAAGAATAAATGTGAAAAATGTATTTTTTAATACAAATCTCCTTCTTCTTCTAATTCTTTTCATCTCCAAAACTAATATTATTTTTATTTTATTTATATACATTTTTAATAT